ATATTCTTGTCATGTCTCCTATCATATACTGTATTTGAATGAAAAAAGAAAGGCATTTGACCTAAGACTTCAGTCAAGTTACACTCAGAAATGCATTCACTACATGACACCTTTGTATTATGGGATGTCCCTTTATGTGATGGGATATCCCTTGTAAGGACCTGTCACTCTTAAACCTTAGTAATTCAACTGTTAGTATAAATCTCTAGATAATTATAGTAGTTAAATAAAAACTTCAGGCTAAAGAAGAGACTAAATATCTGTGAATCTTAAAATAACATCTTAGGATATCCTTAAAATGGGAGATCCCACCTTATATAATATGCAAATAAAGTGCTTGTTTATATCACTATAGTCACTGTTTTTATAATTAAGGCTTAGATAATATGATAGTGGAATAAAGTATAAAAAAACTACCATACAATAGCCAGAAAATACATCTTTTACTAATAGTGGGACATCCCTATGTACCCCTGACACCATGGGACAACCAGTAATACTGGGATATAAATATCAATGTCCTAGTACTGTAGGACATCCCATATGATAATTGTGCCATTGGACCAGCCTTTGCCCTGCCTTTGCCCTGGGTAATCCCATATAATGCCCTGGGACATGTATTGGTACCATGGTCTGTCTGACACCTGAGAGGCTCTTAGCCACTACACAATATAGATTATGTTGAAGCTAAGAGCTAGGTCGGAAGGGTACCCTGAAGTGACCTTGCATACAGTCGGTCTTTCAAAGTGATTGTAGTCAAAACCAACGCGACTTGCACAAATAGTGATCAACAGAAGTGCCACAGCAGCCACAGAGAACCAATGCATTAATAGTCAGTGAGATTATAAAAGCACATACTAATTCCAACACATGAAAAACAGTAGCATTGAAATCTGTGAAGGAAATGGAGCATGATGCTCTCTTAAATCAAGTAAATCTGAGTCAAACTGGCTGAGATATCTGAGTTTTGGATTAGAATGCTCAGTGTGAAGTGCAGAAAAATTGTAGAAATGTCAGAAAAAATCGAGAATGACTCTAAAATGAACATGAACATGTTAGATAGGGCATCTTATTTTTTACATGCAGTGCACATTGAAGAAACAAGCAGAAATGAGAGAAAACTGAGAAATTGAATTGGAGCACTCCAGCACATGACCATGATGTTTTGAGAGTAGCACCGTCAGTTTCAGCTTGCCGGTGAGAATGCCTACCGGGATTATCCAAATCCGAGCAGAATTGAGAGAACTACAAGTCTGGCAAGTTTGGCTAGAAGTGTGGTAACAAGTGCTTGAAGCCGGTAGTGTCACATGCCACCCGAGTCACGTTCCATACGGCAGGAAAAGTGACCTGCAGGGCATGTGACATGCACATGCTTGTAGCTGAAGATAAACATGCAGAATAAAATGCAGAAAAATCGCACAAATACCAGAAAAATTATGGCATGGCCCTTTGATGATAGTGGACTTGTAGAATAACTAGACAATGTTGTAAGTCATTGTAAAGTCCTTACAAATCCATGCTAGATGGCATATTAGAATATTGTAAGGCCTTACAAACCAATACTAGAGGGTGTAATGAAATTCAAAAAATAGTATAATAAGGCATTGAAGCAAAGTTACTAAATACTACTAGACATACTAGGAGTCAATACAATGCTTTGTAGGCTATTGTAAGCATCTTACAAAGTGACACTAGATGACATGTCTCACTTTGTAGGGTCATTATAAACGTGTTCACTAGGACACTTACAAGAGATTACTAGAGACTATTGAAGGTTACTGAAGATTCTTACAAAGTGATGTCAGGTAACACTTCCGACTATTGTAAGCTCATTACAAACTGATACTATAGGATATATTAGGAGCCAGTGTCATAGGGTGTTGTTGACTTGCTGAACGTTACTAGACAATATACCAAGAGTCAGTAGGCGACTTTGTAGACTATTTAATAGTACAGCCCTTATCAACCCACACAACTTATCAATATATAGTGGGACATTGTAGGACACTTACTAAACATTATTAAATGGCACACTAGGAGTTAGTAGAGAATAATATATTGTTACAGGCACATTTGTAACAGTTTCCAGTGTCGTTTTTTGTAGTGATTTTTATAGCCACATTTGTAACAGTTTCTAGTGTCATTTTTTGTAGTGGTTTGTATAGGCACGTTGTTAACATTTCTTGCAGTAATTCTTGAAGGCGCGTTTGTAACAGTTTCTAGAGTCATTTTTTGTAGTGATTCTTATATATGAAGAGTTAGTAGATGAATTTGTAAACCACTGTAAAGCTCTTTAATCCTTGTAAAATGAATATTAATAACTTTTTAGTCATATTTTTATATAGAATATATAAAATGACATGGTAATATCATTTTGAAGCCATTTTTCAGCTGAATCTTTTAAAATGCATTCTAGCCACTTTTTAGGAATATTTTTGTACACTTTTTGTAAAACAACATAGTAATATCATTTTAAAGTCATTTTTCAGCCGAGTCTTTTAGAATTTATACTAGTAACTTTGCAGTAATGTTTTTATATACTTTTTTCAAAACAACATAGTAATATCATTTTAAAGCCATTTTTCAGCCGAGTCTTTTAGAACGCATAATTATCACTTTTGAGTAATATTTTTATATAGATTTTATAAAATAATATAGTCAGTGTCATTTTGAAGTCATTTGTCAACTGAGTCTTTTAGAATGCATACTAGTCACCTTTAAGTAATGTTTTTGTATACTTTTTGCATAACAACATAGTTGCATCGTTTTAAAGTAGTTTTGAAGGTCATTTTTAGAAGAGGTGTACTAACAATTTTTAGTAATATTCTTATATAGTTTTAATAAAAGAACAGAGTAATATCATTTTAAAGTCATGTTTTAGATAATCCTACTCTGAGATACTTAGCAAGATATGAGACTATTATTAGACAGCAACAAATAAATTATTATCTACATTATACTAGATTATCAACTAATATTAAATGGTAGGCACAAGGTTGATAGGCAACATAGCAGACATATAAGACTCGTGTGATAACATAACATATTATTGTTATAAAGTGTGTCACATACGCTTATGTACTATTATAAGATTTTTATAAACTATGATTATATGACATCTTATAAGTAAGTCAAGAGTATAATATTATGAGAAGCTTACTATATATTACTAAGCAATATACCAGTTGTTGAATAACATTATAGACTGTTATAACACTTTTATTTAAAGAGCACTAGCATTTTCTTATAACTTTTTTGTATAAACATATAGATGGCATGCTGGACTATTGTAGAACTGTTACAAATATTTTTAAGTGAAATATTAGATGAATAGCATACTAAAACATTGTAATGCAGTTGTTAATGATATCTGGAGTATCTAAATAATATTATAAGTGATTCTAATACTTTATTTCTTTTTAGTATCTGTATAAAATGAATTTTTACATAAATTTAGTTGAAATAAAAACAGAGTTTCAGAGCTTCAAAAAATAATACACTAACAAGAAAGACTGGAGTTCTTTACACTTATTAGTATAGCATCAAATTTTAGTAGATTTTTACCTAAAGTGACTGTTTTGAGTGAATATAAATGGTGAAACCTTTAAATAGATACTGAATAAAAATACAACATGCTATGCAATGCAATGGTCCACTCTTCACAAGTAATCAACTACTAAGGAGTAATACAAAATGATTAATGCATGTGAGAACAATTAGATGATGAGAGAAAGGCAGGAACACAGGACCTCAGAAATCATTCCTGCCATGCAAAGCAATGGCCCACTCCCCACAAGTGACATACTAGGAGTTAGTAGAGAATGTGATAACAATTTCTTGTATAATTTTAACGTATTGTTATAGGTACATTTGTAACAGTTTCTAGTGCTATTTTTGGTCGTGATTCCTATAGGCATATTGGTAACAGTTTCTAGTATCATTTTTTGTAGTAATTCCTGTAGGCACACTTGTACTAGTTTCTGGGGTCATTTTTTGTAGTGCTTCTTATAGGCAGTTTCTAGTGTTATTTTTTGTAGTGACTCTTATAGTCACATTTGTAACAGTTTCTAGAATCATTTTTGTACTGATTCCTATAGGCACATTTGTAACAGTTTCTAGTCTCATTTTTTGTAGTGATTCTTATAGGCACATCAGTAACATTTTTTGTAGTGATTCTTGTAGGCACATTTGTAACAGTTTCTAGAGTCATTTTTGTAGAGATTCTTATGTATTAAGAGTCAGTAGATGAATTTGTTAACCACTGTAAGGCTCTTATAAACTCATACTACTCAGTATAGTCAAATATTGTAGAATGCTTACTAGACATTATTATATGACATACTAGGAGTCAGTAGAGAATATAATAGACTATTCATGGTTTCTAGGCGGTGTATTAGGATTTAGTAGATGACATTGTAGATTGTTGTAAGACTCCTACGAACTGATATAAATGGCCTTTCAGACTATTATAAGGCCTTACAAATAAATACTAGGTGGTATACCAGGCTATTGTAAGGTCATTAGAATACTGAGCAACTTGCTAAAAGTTAGTAAACTATGTAGTAAGATATTGTAGGAGCGTACTAGACATTACTAAATCACATTATAGGGCATTAACTTACCCGGCTCCGAAGGTTCTGCAGGCCGATCTCGTCGGCTGTCCCCTTTTGGGACTTCGCGCCTCCGAGTTCCGCTCCCTTGAAGCCCCGCAGAACCTTCCCCCCGCCCGTCGAAATTCGTATGCAACACTGCATGGCGCATACCCATTTCGGTGTTCTCTCCCGCGGACAATTTTGTTTGTCCCAAAATAAAATTGTTTCCCTCACGGCTCTTCCGCAGTCAGCGCGCTACGTACAAAGCGACGGAGACATACCGCTTGGTGGAACCATAACAAGGACAAACAGACCGCACACCGCGACACGTGCTCAGTTTTTTTGGAGACCAATACATGGCTCATACTGCACATACTGTTCTTTTGCTGGTCTTCACCACTACATGACATGCCAAAGCAGTCTCGAAAACGACAAAGGACCGTAACCGGAGCTTCAGAAGCAACGAAACCGCTCGGTTCCACTCATTCGGATGATGGAAGCGAAGACGACGAGGAAAGGCGGCTAGAGAGTCTGTTGTTTGGAACAGCATATACAGTTCGTGACGAGGACGACGCGTATGATGCGTATGAGCCACCGTATCAGGATGACAGAACGGGAGATAAGGTGTTCCAAAACCTTATGGACACCGACGTGAGTTCTGAGTTCCTGTGCCCCTTCTGACGTTAATGATTGCACAGCTCTTCTTTGTCGACGACACTGTTGGCGAAGGCTCCAGTGAAGTAGGAGAAGAATTACTTAACGAGGAGGCTTCAGCACACACATTGATACGTGGAGGAACGCGGGAGTCCCATTTGGATAGCAAGACTTCGCCATGGGATGATTCGGATGACACAACCCTCAATCTCTCTCTCGTAACGAACCAACGCCTCCGCAAACTTCGCGACGCATTGTCCGAAGATGCGGTCGGTGGAAAAGAGTACGAGAGACGGCTCAGACGTCAATTCGAGAAGGTTAATCCCACCCCCGACTGGGTGATGAATGCCCGCAAGAACGCTCCTGGACAGACCGCTAAACGGAGGAGATCTTCAGATTCTCTGGAATCTGTATCAGACGAGGAAGAACTGTCGGAACTGCTGTCTGCTACCAATGGAGTAGTGTCACGCTCGCATAAGGGGAAGGTTCTCTCTCCGGGCACGCTTACTATACAGCGTCTACGCGACGCTAACATCACAGCGAAGTCTGACGGCGAACTTAAAGCAGTCAAGTTTCACCCCTCACGTCGTGTCCCGGTGCTGCTTACTGCTAGTTCCGATCGACGTCTACGTTTGTTCAACGTGCGTGTATCATTCGTCTTCAGTCCATCGTTGTTAATATTAGTGCAGGTCGACGGTCATACCAATCCGCATCTCCAAACGATTCACATACCTTCCCTCCCACTTACCACGGCTCACTTCCATCCCAGTGGTACCTCAATACTTCTCACAGGCCCAAGACCATTTTACTATGTATATGATCTTCAGTCAGGCGATATGCATCGCTCACCGCGAGGGTTATGGGGTACGACGTTCTCCAGTGCCAACCCAGCGTCACAAGATGCGAGTATGGAGGTGTGCTCCTTCAATCCTTCTGGCGAAATTCTCGCAGTCGCTGGCCGTAGAGGATATGTCCACCTTGTTGATTGGCGATCAGGTCAAGGGCAAGTGGTCGGGAACGTCAAAATGAACGCGGCAGTCAAATCTCTGTGGTGGTCGAGGGGGGACCTGATGACTTTAGGAGAAGATGCTCAGGTGTATGTCTGGAACGTTGGCGAACGGCGGTGCATACGGCGATGGAGAGATGACGGCGGCTTCGGAAGCCGCATTCTTAGCGGGGATCGAGCAGGCCAATATGTTGCAATAGGGTAAGGCTGGAAACTATCGTTATCTTTTCGCACTAAACATCGTCGCAGTTCTCATACAGGATTGGTCAACGTATACGATTCAAGTCGGGTCCTATCCTCGGATACTCAGAGAGCGAAGCCGCTGAAATCAATAGGCAACCTCACCACATCGATAACATCACTCTGCTTCAATCACGATTCACAGCTACTAGCGATTGCGAGCAACACCAAGAAGGATCAGATGCGCATGGTATGGTTCTACGGTTATGGTGTGCTTGTCCACAATTTCTGAGTCGCGTGCCATGCAGATCCATCTCTCTTCCATGACGACATTCTCGAATTGGCCTACATCCGGTACTCCCATAGGGCACGTCACTAGTGTCGACTTCTCAAGCGGGAGTGAGTACGTGGCCGTTGGAAACAATCGAGGTCGCGTATTGCTGTATCATCTTAGCGATTTTTCTCCGCAATGATGACGTGCTTATGCAAGGTCCAATCTGTTTGGACTTCGAGGCTCCGGCGTTGTCCTCTCATGCTGTTTTCGGAAGCTTGAGCTGAAATGTGCCTACAAGCACATCACATCCGCCGTAAGTTCACAGAGACGTATGTCGGCACACTTACATTGTGGTAATGCTGTTACTTCCGGCACTACGGCACTCTGGAAACCTAACCTGGACAGTGCGCCTCGTATGATACCTGCGGGCATGGCGACATACTAGTATGCGGGCGGCAATGTAAGGGAACTGCAGGTCGGGTAGCGTCGTCATACGCACTAGCTTGGCTTTCTTCTGTGCATCTTCACGGCCCTCCCATCCAGAGATACGCGAGATTGGCTTGAATGCATTGTCTTGAAGTACATAAATTCCCTGAAAGATATCAGATGTGGACACAGAATACACTCTCTGAACGAAGAGACAGACTCTGTGATTCGTCCGTAGATTATCCACCTGTTTGTCCCAGCACGCCGCCCAAAGATCTTTGCAAATGAACTTCACGGCATCCAGTGTATCGGAGAACAGTGGACGGTCGTGGCACAGTCTGCGACGAGAGATGACATTGGTTATCCCGGCGCGGGACATACTGACCACGGACTGCTCGTAGAGACTTACCGCTCAGTTAAATTTGCACCGACATGCATACCTATTGCTTCCAGACGGACCTGTACGGCCTCTTCATCGTCCTCTCCAGCTGCCTTGGAGCCGCGGGACACATTGCTCCGAACCGAATCTCTCGGCGCATCCTTTGAAACCGGCAGGACGGGAACAGGAGCTGGGATCAAACCAGCTTCAATCATTTCATGCTCTATTTTCCTCGCACGATTTGCGGCCACGACGGAGGATGCGCGAAGGGCGTTGACTACTTCGATCAAGAGATAATCCATGGTCGGCCCGTCTATCTGACAGACAACGGGATCTGAGAGTGCATTTAGGGTTGGCACGACTGCGGTGGAAGAGGGAGGCGGATTTATGGCAGAAGCGGAGCTTTGGAAGGATGTTCTCGCCGACATGATGAGGGTGTGTAAGAAAGTGTTTGCATGGCGCGCGCCTGGTTTCCCCCAAATATCTCTAGTTCAAACTGGCCGCTCCTCTTCTTTGTTCTTCGTTGAGTAGCAAGTGTAAGATGAATTGATTCTTAGTCTACCACTCTAGATCTGATGTATTTACTTGATGAGTGGCCACAGTACATACATTTCGCTGGGATCCCACCCGACGCGACCATTCAGCTATGGAGTCGCCAGAGAGTGCTTTGCTCAGCCCGTGTTCACAGTCTAGCCTCATTTTATACCCTCTCGAGGGTGTTGTATATTGAAGAAGGTTCTTACCTGTGCAATACGTCTCTTTGAGCGCTAGTAACAGTATGTTTCCGTCGTTAGGCGCCAAGGATACATATACTTCACCCATCTCGAGGCCACCATGTCTGGTCTCTCATCTTTCTTTCCTACCAAGCTGCTTAGTTCGATGCATCGCCCTTCAGAGCCACTCTCCCGCTCAGACCCTCTGTCTCGCCTTCGGTTTGCGTTAGAAACCATGCCAGGATCGCGCAAATACGTCTTTACTCCTGCGACTCGAGCTGAGATTCTTTCCGAACTATATGACGCTTTCTGGGGCCCTTACGCGCATCTATTCTTGCCCAACTCGAATTCTAGTCTTCCACTGCATGCGACTTTGAGCGAGGTTCAGGTCAGTTCCGGATCACAGAAGGAGCTTCCTCCAGTCCCGGGCAGACCGTGTGGACACATCTTCAAGAAGGGCGAAAGCTGCTTTCGTTGCAAGTGAGTTCAAGATCAAAGCTGTACTCTTCTGACATGTCGTAATTCCTGCGTTGTTCTAGAGATTGCGCTCTGGATGATAGCTGTGTCCTATGCTCAAAATGCTTTGAAGCCACCGATCATGCTAACCACAATGTCAGCTTCTTCATTGCTCAACAATCTGGCGGATGCTGTGACTGTGGCGATATTGAGGCATGGCTTGTCCCCATTGATTGCCCCTTCCATCCGGTTTCTCCTGAAGTTGCCGAGTATTTGAGCACTTTCATTGCCGGAACATTACAGACTCCTCCTAGAACCGCTTCCAAAGTGATATCAGCACAAGATGTTTCCCCAGTCAAGGACTATCCTCTGAGGGTATCAGTACCCCCGGAACTTCGAGATACGATGAGCAGGACCGTGGCGTACGCCCTTGACTTCGTCTTGGACACATTGGATTACTCCCCAGACGAGACCTATGTCCCTGCAACCGAAATCGACTTACGAGCGCAGCTTTCAGGGGACCCAATGATGAGAGACCAGTTCTGCGCTATTATCTGGAGTGATGACAAGCATTCGTTCGAGGAGCTCACTCAGCTGCTGCGCGATCTTGCCAATCGCTCCAGAGAAGAGGCCTCCGAGATTGTCGAGCGCATTGACGAGCAAGGCCGTGAAATCGTGGACATGAACAGCAATGCCTCACGCCTTCTGGAGATTGCACATACCATATCGCAGATTGACCTTGGTGTCACCGTCCGGCGAGCATACGATACCTTCCGCGAACAGGTGGCTGCTGTGATCATTGAATGGTTACTCGATCTCACACGCAGCCGACTTGGATCAGATGCGTTGGTGATGCGAGAAGTGATTGCTTCGGAGTTATTATCCACTAGGAGGAACTACGCTTTGCTTTCTCAGCAGGATGTTGGTAAGCTCTTAGCAGGCGTTCACGACCCTTCAAGGATCGACTGGTTCTTCCTGTACCATCACAAGTTATGGAAGAAACCTCGTTTGAATCTGAAGGAAATATATGCCTCCATCCTTAGTCTTGGCCATGAACACAAGATAGCAGTCGGTGAGCATGACTACACATTTTTTGTCGAGTAAACTGCAGCTTTGTATCATCAGCATCTCACTTCGCTAACGTGTACACCCGCATTATTGATACCTATCTCTTGGTGGATCGTGAAGCGGAGACATCAATCAAGTATTTCGCTTTGCAGTTGTTCACTGTCCCGTCTGTCGCCCTCTACATTGTCCGGCAACACAACCTCATACCCCGATTACTTGCTATCATCGGTGCCTTCTTCACCAATCAAATTCAGGACAAGAGGATCGTGTTCCCGGCCGATCCCAACGCGGAGATTGATGTCGACACATTTCCGTTCAAGTCCAAACGATTCATGCCTGTCTTCAGTGACCTGCGTTACCTCTGCCATAACGAACCAGTGCAGCAGCTGATCGCTCACAATCGTGAATTTATCACGCAGTTGTGCAAGACATGTCAGATCTTCATGTGCGTCAATCCGAACAAGCGTGCTGTTAGCAGCCACGTCGAGTACGAAACAGATGCGTGGATCAGTATGTTCAATGTCACACTTTCGCTCTCTCGAGTCATCAAAGTCTATGGAGAAGCATTCTCAAGAGCGACTGTGGCCGAATTAGTGGCCGCGATCACCACTGTCATGCACCACATACTGGTCGTATCTGCAGTGGTAGATGATCAGCGAGATATCACCCGCTTCCCACCTGTGGTGTTTCATAACTCTGTCTTCGGAGATGCCTCTTACCAGATTATCGACTTCAACGTGATGGAAGGCTGGGTCAGCTTCCATCACTCGTTGCAGTGGTTTCTTGCGGAGCTCTTCAAGCACATTGATATCCTCAGCGAAGACTCCTTGCAAACAATAGGCATGTCAAGCTTGCGGGACGTTTGCTTGTGCAACGCCAGTGAACAGGCCATTCTCACAATTATTGATTATCCATTACGAGGTCAGACCCTCCGATTGCTTCAGGCACTTAAATATGCTCACGAGTCCTGATCACTAGTTTTGACCAAGGTCGCCCAGATTCGAACTGGTCTCTGGGTCCGGAATGGTTTTGCTATCCGGGGGCAACTCATGCATTACCGCGACTTCATGCTGCGCGAACTGTGCTACGACCAGGACTTGTTCCTTCTGCAAAGCGCGCTGGTAATTCTTGATCCAAACACCGTCATCGTCAGCATGCTTGACCGTTTCCAACTCCTGGGATATTTCTCTGGCGCCACGCTGCACCCTGTCTTCGATAGCTCCCAGCTGTCCAGCATGGTTGAAGAGTTCCTCTATATCCTCATTACAATACTGACCGAGACGGCCACTGCCACAAAGTTGTCCCTTCCTTCTGCTATAAGGAGGGAGATTATCCACGCGCTCGCTGTGGGACCCTGCACATTCACAGATCTGACGAAGCGGGTTACCGAGCGAATGGTGGACGACGTATCGTTTGAACGTGTCTTGAAAGAGGTGGCAAATTGCAGAGCACCCGAGTCTGGAGTAGACTCCGGAATTTTCGAGCTGAAGGATGAGTTGTATGACGAAGTGGACCCCTTCTTCTACCACTACACCCGGAACAAGCGCGAGGACGTGGAAACAACACTGCGTAATAGACTGAAGAAGGCGACGGGTTTGGATGATCCTGTTGTCGTTCCAAGGCCTGTGGCGATCACCAATGGTCCATATGTCGCCCTGCAGTCCGTTTTCCAGTCCGAAGCTCTTCTCCAAATCTTATTCTACGGCATCTACAACATACTCACTCTGACCGACGCGATAGGATCTTCTCCAGGTTCCGCTGAGGCCATTTTGGATCAGCTCATGTATCTCATCATGGTTGCGGTCATAGAGCAACCGCAGGTGTTCAGTGGCCTGGTAGCTCACAAACCGTTCGAAGAGGGCCAGACTTTGCTGGACATGCTCTGCAAGTTTGAGTGCCACGACAGCTACAAGCCGTACAAGTCCCGCTCTGGCTGGATTTTGCAGCACATCGCGGAGCATCAGCAGGACGAGGTCTTGAAACGACGACGGATGGTCAGCGCATCCGTAGGTGAAGTTGCTGATCCCGTGGATGCGAAGAAGCGTGCTGCAAAAGCCAGACAAGAAGCGATCATGAAGCAGATGAAAGCGCAGCAAGCTAAAGTCGCCTTCAACTTGGAGGATGTTGAAGATGAGGAGAACGAGGATATCAGCACAACTCCAGATGTCCCCATGTCATACGGCACCTGCATTGTCTGTCAAGAAGAACTGAATTCTTCCAAAGCATTTGGTTCACTTGGTTTCATCCAACCTAGCAGGTTACTTCGGCGTCATCCTGATGGTCACCACGTACATATCAACGAGGCCCTCTTGGCACCGCAGTCTTTAGACAGGAGCCTGGGGGTTGTTCCTATGCCTAGCTTTCCTCCTTCGGAAACTGAGATACGGGACTCAAAGGCCCGAAGCTCACATAATTTCGACGCATTTCCATCCCAGTATACCCGGTTTGGTCTTCATGCTTCGATCTGCAGCCATATGATGCACTTAGATTGCTTCAATGTTTATTGCAGTTCGATACGACAGCGGCACAGGACACAGGCTACCAGGAACCACCCTGAGAACGTTCAACGTAAAGAATACATTTGTCCATTGTGCAAAAGCTTGGGCAACGTGATCCTTCCTGTGGGAATGGGTTTGGCAGCTACCGAGTTGAATGCAGTATCATTCCCGGACTGGATTCGTGCCGCTGGTATCAACATCCTTAAATCAAAGCCTGACCCTGTTCTTGAGTCTCTGCAGTTCCGCAGTGGCACCGGAGAGTTTGTATTCTGGAGTGCTCAAGATCTAGGATTCCAATCTTTCATGCGTATCCTCGATCGACCAGGACCAGTCAACACGGATACGTACAAGATGGTTGATACCGTTGTCGGGATTGCAAAGACCATTTCCCAGCAAACTCGGCATCTACGAGATCGTCCAGAACCTGATCTAGGCGAAAGAGGTGCAGGTATGTATCTCCCGGAAGAACTGGTGGGATACACAATCGCTTCGTTCGAGGTTGCGCAGCGGGGATCTGGTTTTGCTGGATACACTATAGCCGATAACTTGTCTGATTCCCACTATGGGGTGATCAGAGGCTTGGTTGCTTGTCTCACAAAGCTTGTCGCGTGGAACTTCAAGGGCAGGCCTGACGAAGGGTGTGATGCTGTGCGACAAGCCATCATCAAGCGTCTGTTACCTGAGTGGAGTCGTACTTCCCTCACCTCCTTCGCCTTTCCTCTTCTTCTTCGCGACCCATTCGCCATCCTCGTCGAGACTGCAGCTGTCGCACCAGACATGCTACGGCATGTTCTTATTCTCACGTATTATGCGTGTCTCGCTCGGACAGTCATCGGACTGATCTACGTCTTGAATAAAACCCGCAGCTACCACGCCTCAACTATCGTGCAGCGCAGCCACGAAGACATTTTCGGCGACGTTCAGATGTTTTTCATGTCGGTTGTCCGCCACTCGCCTGTGTTCGAACAGGCAGCCGATATGGCGTTCCAAGCTTTCGGCGAGGCCCGGATCGAGAAGCTATTGTATGCATATACACTCCCTTTTCTACGCAGAGCCGCCATCCTATGTCGTGCAATGGTTCCAACTGGATTCCAAATTCGTGCGTCTGGAGGTGATGCTTGCGAATATAGGCGTTTGCTGGAGATGTTGGAAATACCTCCGTTATCCGATCTTCCAAACCAAGATACGTTGCAGAATGCATTGTCTGGCTGGTGTGGCCATTATGGCCATTCACATGCGGCATCCCAACTCAATTGTGGCGTTGTCCTGGACTATCCCGTCGTATATCATCTCGCTCGGTTACCTCTTGTTTTGGACAACCTTTACCCAGAGCAAGACAAGCTAATGACATGTCCACGCTGCCATACTGTTCCCCTGGATGCCGCCATTTGTTTGATTTGTGGAACAACGTGTTGTATGCAGAGTCACTGTTGCATTGATTATGACAACCAGAGCCGAGGTGAATGCAACATGCATACAAAGGAGTATGTAGACCCTTTTTGTGTCGTAGAAACTCACTTATATGCTTTGCTTACAGATGTGCTGGTCCAGTGGGACTCTATTTCCTGGTGAAGAGGTGTTCCTTATTGTATCTCTACGCCAACAATGGCACATTTGGTCAATCTCCATATCTCGACAACCACGGCGAGGTCGACATATCCATGAGGTAATTCCTTGTCTTCTCCTTGCACCACCGTAAGCCACTCACCGTTGAGTTAGGCGCGGTCGTAGACAGTACCTCCACCATGTCAGGTGGGAAGATGTACGGAAAACTTGGCTCAATCAAGGCATACCGACTCTGATAGCAAGAAGATTGGAAAGCACAGTAGATAGCGGCGGATGGGAATCTCTGTAGCAGGTAGTATATTGCACCACTGTTTTGCATTACGTCTGTCAATTAGTATGTAGCATAGCGGCAAACGTGTATCCATTGCACTAGTTCTCTGTGACTAGACAGTCTGTGCGTGTTCCAAACGGGTTATTGTTCTCTCACGACCAAGCACTTGCATAAGATCCGATAGAGCTGGTCCTGTCTAAGGGCAGATGTCAAGCTAATGAGTCCTTATAGACTGCTAGTCTTTCACGCTACCTTCGAACCAGTCAATGCATATCTGAGGATGGTCATGTATCCCTTCTGCTTCAACTTTGCATCTGAAGCTTCTTCATGCAGGATATTCGTGATGTTTGCATGGTCCCACACGCCGCCTCCTGCACTTAGGCGACGGCGCAAACTGACTATAACCGAAACTGAGGGGGGTCTCAGTTATTTGTTTTGCACTAGGGTACAACTAGTGTTGGAACTTACGATAGTCATCTGAGTGGAGCTTTAGACGCATTGCTCGGGCTTCTTCCGTGGAGAAATCGGGTTCAACGAACAAGAATGAAGCCTCGAATGGGAGATCGTTGAGATTGGTGATACGGCTCTTCGAAAAAAGTCAGTCAAAATGTATAGGGGCCAACCAACAACGAACCTGCATGATACATATGACGGCCTTGATGTATGCAACAGATGTGTATTGACTGCAAGACACGCCGTCAGACCCCACGAATGCGAACGCCGCAGCCGGAACCCACCTGAACGGATAAATTCCTTTTACTAGACCATGAACGCGCTCAGCCATCTCATCGAAACCACCATCAACTGACATTAGTTGCATGAGATGGTGCTTGTTGAGATATTCGAGTTTCATCGGATCAAGAACTGAACGTCTATGAGTCAGGGACGACAGTTCAAACTGGCGACAGAAGTAATCAGTCATACACTCACAAACGGCGCGGATCTCACTTTACCTTTTGGATCATCTCCCGCAAGGACATTACGGAGGTACTATCAGGCGCCTGCTGCGTTATGGACTCGGTTTGATCATGCGGAACACCCCAACCAGCTAAGGCAAGCCAATTGAGAATGGCGCTAGGTTCCCAGCCGCGACGCTAGATATAAACAAGTCATATGGTTCATATGTCTAAACGTAGCAGAGTACAGACAGATATCCGAAGACAAACCTTGTAGTCGAGCACTTGTACATCTCCTTTCCGTTTTGACATCTTGGATCCATCTGGATTGAGCAGAAGGGGTATATGCGCGAAGTGAGGAGCCTTGAGCGACAGACAGGCGTACAAATCAAGATGCAGGGGCAGAGAAGGGAGCCATTCCTAAGCAAAGTTCAACGTCTCGTGCAGATGGGGCTTCCATGGGGTAACCAACTTCACCGCGGAGAACATGCGTAATTCCCATCTCGTGATCGTCCACCACAGAGGCCAAGTGGTATGTCGGGAAGAGATCAGACTTGACCAGTACTGGATCAGTAGGAAGAGAAGCATGCGCGTCCTTCACGGCACCAAAGATAAGGTCTGGAGGCGAAGGGCGAGATGGCAGTCTTCCATCCTGATAGATGGGGTACCGCAAAATCAATGACAATGCAAAGTATGCGCAGGTACACTCACGTTGAGCCTTATTATCGATTTTTCTCCCGCCTGGACCCTCCTCACAGCCTCTTCTTCAGTAAGGTTCAGACATGCTTTGTCGTAGGTAGTGGTAGAACCAGAACGAGCTAGCTTTTCGCGAGTAGCAGCAAGTCTGTCCGGAGAACAGAAGCACCGGTATGCATGGCCATTCTAAATCAAAGGTGAAATCATGACGCGACCAGTAACTCAAAGGACGTACATCAAGGAGTTTCTTGGCGTAAGTGCGGTACAGATCCAAACGCTCCGACTGACATATATTGTTCAGATGCATCAGAGCGTCTTAACGGAACGGACCGCACTCACCTGAAAATAGGGAGCATGGGGTCCTTCCTTCACAGGACCTATGTACATATTAAATGCGTGGTGGAAATGACGGATCAACTTCCCTCACCGTAGTCATAATCCAAGCCAACCCATTCCAACGCCTCTCGTATTCCATGAACAGCGCCCGGAACCGCTCGCGTCTGTTAGGATGGACGCATGAACAGTGAGGAGTTGTCGGATGAAACAATAGTGAATGTTCGGTCAGTTTCAAGATGGGTTAATGTAAGGCTCCCGACTGACAGCATCTGTATCCTCGACTCTTAAAATCCACTTTCCGCCCAACTTTCGAGCATACAGATAGTTGTATAACGCCGTTCGCAGACCGCCGAGATGAAGAGCACCGGTGGGAGAAGGTGCGAAACGTAGCAATACCGACATACTCCGGAAGCTCACGAGAGATGTGCAACAACAACTTGAAGTCTAAGTTGGCGGCTCAAGAAGTGAAGTGAGGCTTAGACTAGGCCTACATTCTCGCGGTGTCCCAAGATAGACAACTCATACATCGTACACATGCAATCTCAGCGAGACTCGTATTTACAACAAACATTCTTGATACATATCACAATTAGGATACACAGAATGGGGCTACGGAGATGCACCTGCGTTGAGCGCACACGAACTATTGGTGGAAGTTACCACCCTGTAAGAACAAGAACACCACATGACGCCAGAGGAAGGAGAACGCGAGAAGCAGCCAAGCACGATCGAGACCAGGAACATCAGTATTGCATAAATACCAGACCTCAGGATGTTCGAGAATCAGTTGCGCATCGAGTCAACAGACGGGAGTAAGTTTCGGATATCTTCAACGGAATGTTTGATTATCGACAGGTAGCATTGCGTAAGGTGAGTACCGACCTTTTCGGCGCGCTTAGCACCACCAAGTACAAACCGACATATTGTGGTGGAGACCTCAAACCAGCGTTTGGCTTCGTCCAAGAGAGAGGAGCTGCTTAAAAAAGTGGTTGAGTACATCATTGCGCAAGAAAAATTACTACAAACTGTAAGCACTCAACACCGGCGTTATATGACGTCCCAAGCAGCCAGTGCCGTTCATCCATTGGATATATCTGCTGGCGCTAAGGAACGGAGACATTCAACGGGTCACGAGAATACCGTCACCTGATTCTCAGTCTCCGCTGAATGCTCGCCCATAACAGTTATGGCCTGCTCGACATAACCAATAGCCCTGAGTCTGTCGGCCGAGGTATTCTTCGACAGAAGAATCGTGCATGTAGCCCGCAACCACCGAGAAAACTTTTCGACGGACAGCAAGTCGTGGTCCAGCGCAGCATGAAGGATGGCCTGCGTTTCGAGGGTCATTCAAACTGAGTGCCCAGAGTGATATATATCCGTACCTCCAATGCCATGAAAAGAACTGATCCAGGACGGTCATGCAGCATCCCTACGAGATTGAGTACCCACTCACCTTCGACGGGACAACTTTCTTCAATCCACTAAAGCCACGCCCGTTAGTCAGATGGTATTGGTGAAAAAGGTGAATATAACCAAAGTATCTGCAATAGCTTCGAGTGTATTCAATGCAACCGTGTCTGATTTAACAACTTCCTGCGATGGAATATCATGAGCATGGAAGCAACAGGAGAGGCGACCAGTGTACCTCAATAGTGTTCCGTAGCTTGTCCCATTCTCCCAGATGGCAGAGCATCTCCGTTTCGAAGATCCACAACATACGAAGGAATTGACTGCTACGTACGAAGTCATCACTCTGCAGAGACTTCACATTGTTGACTACTTCGCTTATTTCCTTCTTGCACGCGGTGATGTTGTCCGACAGAATCTGCATCCGTTCCATCTGGAGGATAACATCAAAAAAGTCGTGCGCTTGCAAGTTTTACTCGACCCTTACTTGTTCAGAATGAGCTTTTGAACCACCGTCTCGGATAGAGAAGACTGCAGAAAGATAAGCCATATCGGACTTTGAGTCAGTAGAAGACAAACCTTTTCCCATTACTCCAGCAAAGGAGGCATTCAGCAAGAACATGTGAACTTCAGGATCAACGTCTGTTAACGTCGATTTGAGGTAAACCTTCAAAAGCTACACGAGGAATAAATGCCATCGAAAACAACTTGCCAGCAAGTATATACAACGTCATACCTGATTTGCTGTGTCGAAGAGCTGTGAGACGCTCTCCTCTGAGTTAGCCCACTCTGTGCAGCCCTGTACGGCGCAATTGTAGGCCGTACGCCAAAGCCAAGATAGATCCTTCAGAATGGTCGGAGCTATATGCTTGGCATCTAAACGAGCCACGAGTGTCGTTGCTAGCAGGGAGTGAGTGACTCTGAAGATATAGATACCGCTACGTACCAGTCAGAAAATGTTTGACAAGAACGGCTATCAGGGTCATTCTTGGACAAGAAGTAAGCGGTATGTAGGCCTTGCGTAGTCCGCGCTACGACGTACCGGTTGGGACCAGGCTCTGCGAGTAACTTGAGCACCAGTCTGATGATGCAACGAATCAAGGTCAGAGCTTCGACATCGGTCGCAGGTCCTTGTCTTATCTTGACCACATCCAATAGGGCCTCGAGAGCTGAGAGGAGTAGAGCCTTCATCTCTGATTCGTTGGCGAGTCGAGTTGCTAACATCAACATTTTGCGGTCGAAGTCGGGGGCAATCACCATAGATCTGATAGCATCGATCGCTGTCAAGTGAAGTCGATAAAAAAGCTTAACATCTGGAAATGCGCATCATACCCTCATCTTCGAGCCCTGCATAAAGGTGAAAATCAATGTGTGGTTAATTGTTAAAGCCCATGGTCCGACATATCTGAACACACCTTGATGGACTGCAACCAATAGCAAAACGTAGCAGGTTGCAGCTTCGGTATGAGCACATCGGCGAATAACAGCGGAGGCCTTGGCGTATTCCTTTTGTTGAATATGACATAGCGCAGCTTTGCGATAACATTTGCTGTCGCTTGTGGGAGAGATAATGGAGAAAACAGGGTGTGTTCCAGCTAAAAACCAGTCAGCAGCTTCTCCCCAGTTCCTCGCACGATAATGACGATCTCCGCACTGCCACAACAACTGCCCACGCCCGCGAACAGGAACTTCAGCCATCTTTCGTCATAGGTGATGGTAAACATACCGTAACGCATGCAGTAGCTGAAATCTTCGTGATTTCAAAGTTCGCATCGCTCAGACCTAAACGTGAATCCTCTAGGGAACAAAACCTGGCTCGAGGTAAGAGGTATCTCACATGTCAAAGCTGCCCGAACGTCGTCCATGGCTTTAGCGTGGGTTTGGTCCTTCGCGCAGTGCAGGATCAAGGGAAGTAGTATCCGATCAACATTTTGTTGGGTTGATTCATCTACAACTTCCAGAATTTTGAGCAGACAATGATGGTGTATCGTAGAGACGAGAGCACTGCATGGATAGTATGAGTACCCACGCACACTAGTGCTAACTAAGCGATACTCACTGATCATGTCCAAATGTTCTCAGTTCTTGTAGAATACTGTCCGAATTCACATGTGATTAATCTCTCAGAATCAAATGGAATAAGTACACACTCTGAGATGGAAACGTCGGAAAGATCCATATGGTCAATGATGGACCGAAATGCTTTTGAGTCAGGGACAATGAGCATAGCATAAGCAAAAAGTCGTTGGAGAAGTCACCATCAATGATGACATTCTGCGCCGCCTTGCGCTTTCGCAAGACAGCTATTCTCATCCACCGCAATTGTTGAAACTCCGCTTTCGTCTGCAATAGACAGATTTATCAGATCACTTGAGAAGACAACGTTTGCCCGACACGAACGTGATCAACCGATGCGTCAATAGATGATATCAACTCGTGCAAGGAAGCTTCCGCTCGGACCAGGTTTTCTGGATCGTCTGAAGAGGATAGAAAATACGCTCGAGCTAAACCGGCCATATCCATCAGTTCATATCTCCACATGGACCAGACGCTGGTTTCCCAGGCACGCACCTAAACTTCGTAAAATTGATCGCTGATTCAAGTTAGCGAGCTACACTCTAGATGGCAAACGCCACGTACTTTCAGTTCACTGCTGCCGGCATTTTCCGACTCCGAGTGGTCCACGATGGCGAAAGCCTTTTGTATCCATTTGACGGAGTCAATGGCCCTCCTTGCCTCCCCGGAGTTGCTGACATCGTGTGAACCAGCTTTCAGTAAGGACTTGCCTATCGCCAGAATCTTAGCTGCGAGGAGTTCTCGCTGGGCATAGCATTCCGCCAGTAAGAAAGGGGACGAATACAGCAAAAAATGAGCTTTACTTCGCGTGACAGCAGCAGAGTAAGATATTCGACATTCTCTGTTGATTCATCACGTGAGGTCTATCAGAGGCGACTTGGGTTATCGATGACCGACCGGTAGCTTTGTGCAACATGAAGTTAGCTACACCCTCGTTTCCCTCCTTGAAGGCCTGCTGATAGATTCAGTTCAGGATAGGGCAGATCGGCACGTATCACATACTGCCTCCATCCTGCTGCAGTAGTACATAACCGTTGCGCGCACCCTCGCTTGAACATGGGCGTGCTGCGGATCCTGTGCGTTCCTCAGAGCCTCCTCGTACTGTTGACGTTATATTCATACAGTGCGTGAGCATAATTGAACTCGCAAACCTTCGCCGCAGATCCGAGAACACTGGTTGCAAGATCACTGCTGCCCGCATCTGTGACAGTGAATATGCCAGTACGTTAGCGCTACCTTGAGAAAGTTTCGAACGTTCCTACGCTGACAAACCTGAAAGGCTAGAACCCGCTTTACTAGCGAGTTGGAGCACATGTATAAGAGCTAGCGGTGAAGATGTAACATGGTTACCCTTCTATCCCGACACAATGATCAGGCCGTTCAACCTACTCTCGATTCCTGGTTTCTGCTCTAAACCTGCTTCAATGAGCCGAAAGCCAGCTAATCTCACTGATAGACATTGAGGGTCAGAATTCTCAACATCATTGGCACGAACGCGAAGGTTGGGCTCTCACGTGCTGCGAAAACTGCTGGACGATTGTCGTCGTCTGAGCATTCTCGGATGGAGGCGGATAGATTCCACAGATAGACCCCTACAGTAGCTGAGAAAGTCGCAGAATAATGAATTGGGGCACATGTGAGTACCTTCTCTATCGAGGACATCGGCGAGACTGATCCAGTCCTTATTTGCACGCGAACGCTGGTTTGTAAGGGCCTGCGCCAAAGCAGCTATTTGGTGCAGGTCTTCGCATAGAGATGGCGAATAGCATGAGGTCTGCGCGCTCTCGATAAGTTTAGGTTTGATCCTGGCCAGGACGCCTAGCCGTGGGCGGTGAGGTTGCGAGTTATGAGTGGTGTGATCAAAACACACCGTTAATTGATTCGTAAAGTTCCTTGAAGTTGGAGGACGTCTTCCGTTTGCGGGCCGACATGATTGTTCTGGATAAGCGGCTTTCGGTGGTTCCACGACCGCTGATGAACAAGGGAAGTACTGCGAGAAGATGGAAGGATGTGACACTGGACAGGGCGGAAAACAGCGTGACCGTGTTACCATCCTGATGTGACAAGACGCGCGGCAAGCAGGAAAGATTGGCAGGATGACTGTGTCACTGCGACTTCTACCTAAGTAGTGTCGAATACAAGTTCAACCATTCACGGCGGAGATGGCCTCAGATGGCACAAATGACCAGCTCCCCATCGATGCTGTTGCAGATTGCACCAGAGTTTGTTGCTTACCTTCTTCCTCTGATGCCAACTTACACAGCGGCATCCACAGCAAGCTCAAAGAGATGGAATCTTCGCCGGAGTTTCCGCTGGTCTAGTCGGCAGTACGCTCTTGACCTCCTATCGGAAATTACTCACCTCTTGATCATGCGGACACGGTTTAGCTATCTTGGGCTCCAGGCTTTTCCGGTTCAATAGGAACACCACCATCCTCTGCGGGATTGGTGAGTGAGCTCAAAGCTCCGTGCGCGTTGTAGTATCGGAGTTTTCCAATGCTGACACGTCTCATGCAGTAACGGGAGTGCTTTCCGGGTATCAATTCACCCAAGCGTTTCTGTCCTCTAACCTTGCTCGACTGAAAGCGGAGCATGCTAAGCGGCAAACCAGGGGCGACAGCGACTCGTTCATTGGGGACGAGTAAACCCCCGTTTTCCCACCTTGGTGTACTACCACTCAACGTGTGCAAGACAGTTATGGATGGATGAACAATGTTGATTGAAACTGCGCAGGGTGGGTGAGAGTCACCACCACGTCCGTAGAACTTCAAGCGGAAGAACATAGCGAAGATAGCGTGAACCATCACTGCGGACTAAACTACGCCGCTTAGTCTGCTGCTACCGTGGCCCAGTCGTCATGTGTTGGTGCCCAGCTTCGGAATATCATTATTGCGGAGTGTGATGCTGATACGGTCCCAGACCTCATGAGCCAATGATGTGGGAGTGACAGGCCTACAGAAGGTGTACAGCACCACCAACTGAGGTCAATTTATTTCACCTCGTTCACCGCTTTGCCTTTGCAAGCCTCTGACAGAACGGCGGATCTTGGAATCAATCAATTGTTTGAGAGGCGCTTGACTGTCGAAACTTTCGGCAGGATTAGATTGTTGTCGAACGACGCAGACAAACGGTCAGAAGAGACAACGTGTCTAAAATAAACCCTGAGAATGGATGCGCAAGGAACTGCTACAACGTGTGAGGTGAATGCTGGCACGGGAATACGTATTACGCGAGAATACAGCTGAAATGATACAATACGAATGTGTATGCAGATATGAATGCGAATGTAAAGTCACTGATGCTATGATGCGAGAGAAGTTCCGCGGGAGGAATCAAAAGTGTCAGCCTCTCGCCTGCTGTGAAAGAGCCGACGTATTCGGTGAATGAGCAGAATAGAATTGGTGGTATCCGGGGGGACCAGCGTTGGCAAACGGGGCGGAAGGTATTGCCTGACGCTGCTCGAAACCTTCCCGTCCCTGAGTATGCGCTTGAGGCAGATTGCGCGAGATTTCCGAAAATGGTGGCAGTACTGGAACAGGCATTGAGCGGCGATGCCCGTCACAGGGACTGGCAGAAACAGACTGCACGAGCAGAGGTACAGGCGCATGGATGTGCCGGACCGATGACGGGACAGAAGGCGGTTGGTGGTATTGCAACTTGGCTTTGCGATAATTTCTCTCCTCCGTTGCTGAAGAGGTGAGCGCATAGTAATAAAGATTCTGATACACGAATGTCAGCAACTGATCTGAGTTAGGAATAGGGACCTTAACCTGAGGAGCCGTATGCGGCTGTCTCTCATCTAAATGATAGGCAGATACCAAAATCTGCGGCCCCACATCCTGTCTCACGCCGGAAGTCCAAGCCGGAGAATTACTGCCGTTGGTTGGTGACGCGTCTAACGACAACTGGGCTAATGATTGCAGCGGCTCTGAAGGGGATGAAGAATTCGCCATGGAGTAACCTCCGGAGTATTTCGCCTGAGGGATCTGCAAGGTGAGACCAGTAGGTTGGTGGCTTGGATTGACTAGAGGAAAGACATTCGGGACTGGAGAAAATGCAACCTCGGCAGAACGTTTTGAGCCGGACGACGCGGAGACAGCGTGAGCCGAGACAGACGGCACAGATGGAAGCGTGCTCGAGTCGGAGTAAGTGAGAGGGAACGCAGCTGAAAAACGCCTCGGAGAAGAAGAACGCGCACGGTGAGAATTTGCAAATGACCCGGCGCTGCACGATGGTGTGTGCTTAGAAGTCATCGCTCTGGACCAATGACCAGAACGTGCACGCCACCACGGACGATGCCACTGCTGCGAATCTCTCTCCTTCGCCATGATGAGCCCCCTCAGTAGATTCAACCACGAGCTATATGTTGTCTTGTCCACATACAGTCCAAAGTCGATTCCGAGGAGAAACTCCCTCTCCATCTTATTTAATTCGACTAGATCAATTCCAGACACTTCTGACCACGTCTTGTTCGTGTATGTGTTACTGTTGATATGAAAATATCAGAAAGAGTGGACGACGTCCGAAAAACACACTCACTCGTCGACAAACTTGTTCGCCATCATCAGAGCCGCCATGGCGACCCGATACTCACTCCCGGGTTGTCCGGAAGTAAAGCGATTACGCGCTTTCATGCGGTAGATATAATGTAGCGAGAGCACAATGACAGACTGGCTAACTTGCGTAGTCTCGAGGACCTTTTGCATGAAACATATAAAGGCAGGTGAAACGGAGAATTGCAGTGACGCCGTGGACGAATCGCTATGAGGAAAGTAAGTTTGGGGGCCCTCAGGATCTGCGCGAGTCCTCTTGGGCGGCGATATCGACGAGGACTGGGACGAGAACCAGAGGTAACAGATCATTTCACAGGTCTTCTCTACGATGTGTCGAGATGGTCGCTGTTGAGCGTTGCTGAACCAATCAAGGGGCGACTGACGAGACAGCGAAGACACATGTCGGAAGTCACAGATATCAGGTAAAGTAGCATTGGGCGGCGCAGAGGGCACAATGGCTGCAGGCAACCCAGTGGAGGTGGAGATGCTGCTACGCGGCTCACGCCGAGTGAGGGCTTGAATGCTCATGAGTTCAAGTGAAAAATGCATGAAACGATGCACTTACGAGAACGGTGTACCGGCGGAAGTACTATATCCGAGTCCGCTTGGGACTCATCGTAGTGTGTACCTGAATGATAACGGAAGGGGGCCTTGAGAGAAGAGGGGGTAACGTTGGGACGCCACGACGACCAGGTCGAGAGGAGTTCCAAGGGAAGTGGACGTAAAGGAAGGTTCATGGTATGCGATGCGAGAGAGGGGGGAGGAAGAGGGGAGAGTATAAATGGACACGGTACAATACCGAAGAAAGGGGGCTCAAAAGGAAAGACCTCGAGGGAGAGAGAGGAAGATGCAGAAAAGACGGTGGCATAATTAGGACGGCTGCTGCTCTGAAGGTTGACTTCGCCTTCACTCCAGCACCAGTTCCTACCTTCCCGACGTGGAAGCCAGCCAGAATAATTATGTAATATTCGGACACTACGCGTGACCATCACGTCACAACTTGCTGCTCCCTGACCGCCATCTCCAGGCGATATTGCAACCAGTACATAGATTCCTTTCCATTCGCTTGATCCGTCTCTCCTTCCTCCGCCATGGGGATCCAGTTTGGTTCCTTCAACGGCATATGCGAAACCGCGGCTCTCGTCATATGTCCGCTCATAGGCACTGCCCAGGGCATAGAGCCTTCATGCTACAGCAGAAATGTCGAGATCGGTGGCAACCTCATATTTCAACCAGGTTAGTTCTCTTCACTTCTCGATACGCGACGTTGCACTCCGCTCACTAGTGGCGCCCAGCAACGTGCTTTATCCATATAGTAGCCATTATCATGACTGGCATCATGATCTTCCACATTCGGAGCAAGTACACGGCTGTCGGTATGTTCTCTGTTCCTCATCCCGTTTCTCGCTTAATAGTACACTCAAGGACGGAAGGAAATTCTGACCTTCTTCTATCTCTACGCAATCATCGAGCTGCTGGCCCTCTTCCTGGATTCAGGCATCATTCCGACGGCTAATGCTAGCTACCCGGTAAGTCTCATCTCGCACAGAAAAAAATACACATGGCTGACTCCGTTCCAGTGGTTTGCTGCAGTTTACACTGGACTCGTAGCCGGAACGTATTGTTGCCTCCTCATCAATGGTTTCATCGGGTTCCAATTTGCTGAGGACGGTACACCATTGTCCCTTTGGGTGAGTGCAGTTATGTCACTGCGAAGCCCGCAAATATTCACTGGCAGTCAGCTTTTGAGAATATCCATACTTGTTGTTTGGGGCGTTTCCTTCTTCATCGCCATTGCCACATTCAAGGGCTACGTTGGCTTCCGTTACACAAAACCTATTGGTCTCTGGATCATATACATTCTCTGGCCATTAGTCTGTGTCGTCATCTACGTCGTCTCCCAGCTCATCCTTGTCTTTCGCACTTTGGAAGACCGTTGGCCCATCGGTGACATCGTTTTCGGTACTGCATTCTTCACAGTTGCCCAGGTCGTGCTGTTCGCGTTCAGCGTCACTATTTGCAATGCTGTTAAACACTACATCGACGGACTATTCTTCTTCACCCTCTGTATGCTTCTTAGCGTCATGATGGTGTACAAGTACTGGGACAGCATTACGGTGCGTTCACGTGTTTCTTGCGCCCGGCATCATTGTCTCTTATGCTTTGCCAGCGCGAGGATCTCGAATTTTCTGTTGGATCAAAGGCGACAGTGTGGGAGGTCAAAGATCCCCTGCTCGCAGGTCCTGACTATGGCGAGGAAGACACAGCGAGCAATTATCATGGCGGCCCTCCCGCTAGTCTTGTGGGAGGATACAGTGGGAAGCAGTTATACCAGAATGCAGGACCAGGTGGACGGAGTTATCCACCACCAATGGAGCGATACTAGTTTCTCACAGGATTTGACGGACGCTTTCGTTGATTTTACCTCAGTTTGTTGCATTTATACGTACGGACCGCTACCCTAATACATTATGTATACTTACACAGTCATCGGGCAAAATACCACATCCCCAGCAGAAGGGATTAGAGCGGACCTTATAAGAGAGATGAACGGAGTAAAAAAGCGGGCAACGCCTTGAGAGGTTAATTCTGTAAATACCGCGACGACTTGCGCGTCCCGAAGCGACAATTCAACCCCATTTGTGCCACCTTCTCGATCTCCGACTTCGTGAGCCCAAGTCCGTGAGGCGGAACGGCCATCAGCATGGCGTACTCGCCCAGAAGGGAGTTACGGAAAGGAAGGATGTCATCGGTCTACAGAAAGCATCGGGTTTGAATCACCGTTTGGAGCAATCAGAGACGAGACTCACACAGATGGCAATAGGGTGGTTATGCTGCAAAAAGTACCGGATGTGATGTGCGTCCAAGTCACGCACGGTCTTACAAAGGAGGTTGGACGATAGACAGATTTCAATGCAAAGCTTGTGTTCGCGGACCAAGATTTTTGAAGAATCGTCAAGAAATGTTGCATGGCCAAGTCGGTCGGGATTGAAAGAAAGAAGCTGGTGAATTTCAGCCGAAGGACTTTCCTCAATCTGCGGGGAAACACAATTGCACCGAATATAGACTGCACCTTGGCTGCCAAACGAAACTCACCTCGGCTATGTGGAGAGTTATACCCAAGCCTGCCTCCTTCGCAGCACGGAAATGCTGCGCAAACTCTGTCATATTTCCAGCCTAATAACGAGTGCCTCCGATGAAAAGAGAATATCGAGAGAAGAGCAAGACATACTCTCGGATCGCCACACAAATCGACACCGACAACCCTCCGTTTCATTTGTCTCAATTGTATTGCACAGTTGACACAATCGAGAGCCACTTCAGGGAGCATTCTTCGATCAAGGCTCACTATAAGGGCAGCCTGACTTGCAGGGTATCGCTCCACTTCATCTAACACCGTTTCAAGATACCGGAGACGGCTCATGGAAAACGTTTCACGAGGAGTGGTGCGCAACTCGAGGTACGCGGCTTGAACATAGCCATCGCTAATGGAGAGGAAATGTTCAAGGACGGCGCGAGCAGCTGCAGCGAGCGCGACGGGAGTAGAGGTCAAAGCGTAGATGGCGGGGAACAAGTCAAAGAACTCGTGGATTTGACCAAGAGTGACACCCTGCACCAGGCGTTCTATTCCTTCGCGAACAACATCGGACGACAGGGTATGGAGTTCAGACGCATGTACCTGTAGGTAACTACGTGCGAGATCCTGGAGGACTGGAAGCGGGATGGATCCGTTCAGATGGGCGTGAAGTTCTGCCTTGGGAAGGCTCTGCAGAAAGCTGAGTTGAGCAGGAGTGAGACTATCGAGTGCAGCTGCTGCATATCCCCCGAGCTTGGACATCGCGAACAAATTGTACCTTGCAAGGTACAGCGAGGCGCTCACCGCACGTGGCTATGTTCCCTGCCTCGGCCATGTCTCGGGCAACAAGTGGCACTAGCGGCCTCTGTGACTTACCGCTGTTGCTCACGATGATAGGACCCAGCGTTCCCGCCCACCTGCCCGACACCCATGACGATGTCCATCAATCTCCACATGCTAGCCCCAGTCGACCCCAACCAGAGGAGGACGAAGAGGAGGATGACTACATGCCTACTCTTCCTCCAGATCTGCTCGCTGCCCGGAACTCTGCACCCGCTTCCAGCATAGAAAGACACAAACCGGTCGTTGGCCCATCCTTTCCTCCATCTCTGGCCAGAAGCCTGTCACGGCAAGAGGAGGAGGATGATGACGATGAATATGGTCCCGTGCCCCTGCCGTCCGGTGTCACAGTTGAGGAACGAGATGGTGTGAAGGAGTTTCTCGAGAAGGAGGAGAGACGGCGCAAACAGACCGAGGTCAGTCTTGCAGCTTGAAAATAAAATCTAGAGAGTCAGCGGTGTCTGTCGTTCTGGTCTTGGCGGCCTACGTGCGGCCTACGTGCAACAAGCCTCGTATGAAGAGGTCCCTATTTGAATGACTCTCGTCCCGTATTCGTCTCGTGTCGTCGCAGTAGCAGATGTGTGCGGGACTCAGTCGTTGGGCGTTATTAACTTGTCAGCACTCTCAATGTGCTGTATTCAACGCAGCTGGTGCGTACACCCCGAAAGGACTACTCTGGCCAGTTGCTGCTCAGAATTCATTCAACTTGATACATCATTACTCTACAACGACTTGTCTTACGGAAGGACTAATTTTTTACAGGCAGCTTCCGTTCCGAAAGCACCTCAACGTGAAGAGTGGATGCTGGTCCCACCCTCTTCGTCCGATCTTCTAGGCTGTAAGTTCACTCACAATCGGCCCCATACATCGTCTTCTGACACTTCTCTTGCCTATCCCTTGCCCTTATCCACCCTTAGCAATCGATCCATCAAAGCTTAACCGACCACGGAGATTCGCGCGCAGTGCAGCTCCTGCTCGTGACGTGGACTCATCCTTGTGGACAGAGACCCCTGCAGAACGTCAGCAGCGCGTTGCTGATGAAGTTGCAGGTAAACGGCGCCGCGCTGCTGATGTTGATGCAGTCGACGTCGAAGGGGAGGGCGAGATGAAGAAGCGGAGGAAGCACGAAGAGGAGGTCCGACGAGGAGTAGAAGAGCACACGGTTCGTGGTCCCTGCCTCTCATGTATGGTGTGGTATGCTGATGTCTGTGCGTCGTGTGCATACTGCGCCGGTTGTCAACTGTACCTTTTCAGAGGAACATTCGTGGCGGAACGCTGCTGAAGCAACACGCTAGTGCCTTGAAGGACGAGAAAGGGGAAGACGAACCGTCCGGAATCTGGGATCACAGCCGAGATATGGCACTTTCTGGACGGTTGATGGACGATGGGTCTCGTCAGAAGTTCATCCGAGATGCAAGGGGCTTGGGTGACAGATTTGGCACAGGTAAGAGCGGCGGGTACTTGTGATGGCGATGATGGGGGATGGACGACTTGGTGAATGTTATCAGCTTGTGTCGGTGTAGTACTGTATCAGAGTAATGCTTCTGAGAATCACAGCAAGTACGAGCCTGTACGAGCTCGGACGTAGCGGCACTGTCGCGGCCGGACCGAGACGGCAAGTCCATCATCACCTGAGTTAGGGCCTGAGTATCACAAGCACTGCAACTTCACGCCAACTATAAGTCCCTGGGCTTCTACCCCTTCAACCCTCTCTCACCCCTTGTTCTTATGGCTGACCGTCTCTCCCAAGTTGCTGGCCATCTCACAAACACGTACGGTCGCGGTCTCCTGGCAGGCCAAGTGGCCATCGTTACTGGTGCATATCCGCCCCTGCTGTTACAACCTGACCGTCACTGACGTCTTGGACAACTGCTTGCAGGCGCTGCTCAGGTATGGCCGCACAATCTAGAAAGCGATACAATGACCAGACTCTGTGCAGGGCATAGGGAGAAGTACCGCACTCCTTTTCGCAAAGGAGGGTGCCAAGGTCGTCGTCACCGAGTACGTCTCCCTCTCCTTATATGCATGCCTTTGAGTTGCTAGAGACGTATAAACTTCTTAGCTTGGACCAACAGAAGGCGCAAACAGTCGTCGACGAGATAAAGCGGGCCGGGGGAGATGCACTAGCTGTCAGCGGCGATGTCAGTGCAGATGACTTCCCCCAGAAGGTCATTGACGCCACGATCAAGTACGCCTGAGCCGTTCAGTCCCACTTGACTACGATTTACTTATAGTGTGTCGTAGAAAGTATGGGAAAATCAACCATATAGTAAACAATGCCGGGTTTACCTACGATCGCATGCTGCACACTACACCGGACGACGCGTTCGACATCATACAAAAGGTGCATGTCCGCGCTCCGTTCAGGCTCATTCGTGCCGCTGCGCCATATATGCGCATCAAGGTCAGTCCTTCTGTTTCTTGGGCAACTATGTGCGTTTACCTAGTTTCTCAGGGCAACACGGAGAACCGCTCAATCGTCAACGTGTCTTCAACATCAGGCCTGCACGGGAATGTCGGTCAGGCTAATTACTCGGCTGCCAAGTCCGCGGTCATTGGCTTGACGAAGACCATTTGCAAGGAATGGGGCGTATTCGGTGTAAGGGCAAACGTCGTCGCCTTCGGCTATGTGCAAACCAGGTAGGTCATTCTCCACCTTTTTCTGCGATGCCTGATACTGCTATGCTTACCGATGCCAAAAGGTTAACAGCTGCGAAAGAAGAAGGCGCTACCATTGAGATTGACGGCAAGAAGGTTGCTCTCGGGATCCCGAAAGGGGCCACCGCTGTCACAGGCGGAGGAGGAGCACCCGTGAATCCCCTCGGAAGAGGAGCAACCCCAGACGAAGCCGCGGCAGCCGTACTTTTGTGAGATCTACCGCGTTATCTGCTTGTCCGCTTTATTTACGAGGATGGTTTGTGATAGCCTTGTATCGCCACTCGCGTCATTCGTTTCTGGCCATACCCTCGAGGTTACCGGCGGCGCCGGCATTTGAAGCGTTGTGACCGTGGAAAGTGGTGTAGCCATGTGTTTTCTGCCTTGTCTCCTGTACTTAGCTACATCACAACTGCGGCGATGGTCAGTTGATTATGTACGACCGGATTCCGCTTGCGTCTGCAGAAGTCGAGATTGTTGAATACAATGACCGCCGCGGTACAGTAAATATAAGGATGTCATGATCAGGCGTACCTGCTTGTTTACATAACAATCGAAATGGCGTGTGCACTGAGCTTCTCTCTCAGCCTCTCAGGCTCCCAGCTTCTCTCTCCAGCCTCTCAGGCTCCCAGGCCTCCATCGCTACGTCTCCGCTCTTAAACTCGACCATCTCGCCTCTTGTCTGGTCGTTTGACACGTTCAATCGTCCCCCGTGACGCTCGGAGGGCGAACCTAAGCGTTCATCGCATCTTCCTTCTCTCCTTTCAGTCGCTCGTTATCTACTGACTATGGGGGCCTGTCTGTCTTCGGAGTCCGTAGAGGTTAGCGATGAGGAGAAGAGGCTACATAGGCAGGCAGAGAAGAGCCTGAAGGAGGTAGGTTTCTCTCCGTCCGCGTATGGAAATCTACTAACGTTCCCTCAAGGCCAAGGCAAAGATGGCCAAGCAGGTCAAGGTATGTCCCTCGTCTGATGTGTCTGTACGTGTGATGCGAAGCTACCCATGTAGGTCCTCTTGCTTGGCTCTGGCGACTCAGGGAAGTCGACGGTTCTGAAGCAGATGCGACTAATCCATCGCGTCCCATTCTCCACGCAGGAGGTCGAATCTTTCCGGCAACTTGTGTTTAACAACCTTACACAGGGCATCAAGTACCTGCTCGACTCAATGGAAGATATGGGTCTTGAGGTCTCCGAAGAGAACAGGTCATATCTGTCTCTGGTGGACGACGCAGCGGATCTCAGAGACGGGGAGCCATTCCCACCGGCTTACTACGAGCCACTGAAGAGATTGTGGGAGGATCCGAGTGTACAGAAGGCATGGGACAGAGGCAATGAGGCCGCTATTCCGGACAAGTGAGTGGCACTCTTTGTTCTGCACACGATATATCATCTTACTCCCACAGTCTGCTGTATTATTTCTCGGACCTGGGTCGACTTTTCGAGCCTACTTACGTACCGAGCGAACAAGACATTGTCCGCGCTCGCGTGCGGACTATAGGCATCACCGAAACTGTCTTCCACCTACACGATCATGAACTTCTGATGGTAGACGTGGGTGGCCAGAAGAGTGAACGGCGTAAATGGATTCACTGTTTCCAGGATGTCACCAGTATCTTGTTTCTGGTCAGCTTGAGTGGTTATGACCAATGCCTCATCGAGGATAAAGATGCGGTAAGTCAATGATTCATATCTCGACCAGCTGACTGATTCGGACGACAGAATCAAATGCAAGACGCAATGACAATATGGGATTCCATATGTCACTCTCAGTGGTTTAAACAAACATCCATAGTGCGGCTGCAACCACCTTCGGCAGTTTTTAAATAGTGCTGAAGGGTTGCTTAGATTCTTTTCCTGAACAAGAACGACCTCTTCGAACAGAAAGTCAAACATTCGGATATCAAGAACTTTTTCCCTGTAAGGTGTCACCGCCTTCATTGCCCTTATTGTTGACGTCTGTCCATTGACTCGCAGGATTTCGATGGCGAACCTGGTGATGCTCACGCTGGAAGAGACTATTTTAAGAAGCGGTTCGCAAAGTTGGCCCAGAAAGCTAATGCGAGGGAACGCGAGATTTATATCCAGTACGTTCTCTCTTCTCTAATTGGAGTCCACGTGCAGTTGGAACATAACTGAGTGATATGATGTACTTTGTCCAGTGTGACCACTGCTACTGATACCGTAATGCTAAAGGTAGTAATGGCTGCAGTTGAAGGCAAGTCTATTCTGTCACAACATGAATTTCAGTCTAACTCTATTTTCTTCAGAGTAAGTCTTGGCTCTTTTGCTTTTCCCATATCCCCCACCTCCTTTCCTTTTCTTATCTTTCGAGTGTTCACCCTCGTTGATCTCCATGACTTCAGCATAATTCTTCGGCGAAGCCTTACTACAGCAGCAATGATCTAATCCTGCAATGATTTACCTGCACCTATTTCTCATTCTGATCATGTTTCCAATAATCTTTTTGCTGAAATAACCAATTTTCTTCCCACATTCTTCTTATGGTTGCTCTACTGCTTTCATTGCTGTTCTTACTCATGGCTTTTTACCTTCCTTTCTGATCAACTCCTGCATTTTGAATAAATTACTCCACAATTACCATGCATTTATGACTTTTAGCATCATTATCAGCAACAATGTAGGAGTCTGTTCTTGCTGAATATTTTCTGAGCCTGACATTTTGTCATTGCAGATCCGGGCCATTTTACTTTGATCTTGATCACACATTTTGCATATGCATTAGTGCTATCTGAGAGTAGGGACACTTGTAAAGGAGTAATCATTTTTCTATTTATAGTTCTATCATACTGTGTAGCATCTTATAATATGTATTTTGCAATGTTATCTTATAGATAGGCACCACGTTGTATGGCCTGAGTGCCACTGGAGCAGCTGCTAGCTTGTTATAGCTTTATATTTTTTGATAGTGACTGTACACAATGTTTGTGGCAGCACAAAACCAATGAAATGTTCATGAACATGAGTAATACATATATCAGGTTGCAAGCCATCCTGCTATCCACACAAGGAACCCGAGCCCTACAAGCAATGCTGCCAAATCATCGAGGAAGATTCCTCCGATCTGCAAGTATTTCATCCCATTGGTAATGATGGAAGGTAGTGGTGGAGGAAGGTGCGGAAGTGCGAATGCGAGCAGCATAGGTGTCTGTATCGTATCCTGAAACTCTGCTCGAGACTTTAATTGCAAAAGCAGGGGGGAAGAACTCACTAATCTGGAAAAGACGCGCCAAGAGTGTAGAACAAGGATAGATGTCGTGAAAGCCCAAAAGAAGGGCTATGGTCGGTCAGAGGTTGCATAGCGCTAGATGATAGCTCAGATGATGCTTACCACAGCTTGTACACCCCAACCTTGCTCCGGAAATTTCCAAGCAAGTTCTGCCCAGCGTGTCCAACGAGTGTCCGAGAGTACAGCACCGTGAGTTCGTAGATCATAGGATTCGGGCTCCTTCCAGAAGACGAAGTACGCCAATAGGGCCCATGCAACTAGTAAGTGTACAAGTGGCAAGACTTTCTGCAGGAATGTCTTTGGCTTCGCATCGGCGAGTTTCTGGGACGACGCGGCCGACGTAGTTGAGTCCATAAGAGAGGAACCATTTGCATCACTAAATTGTGTCATACTCGACATAAGAGCTGCAAGGGGCTCATCCTCGGATGGGGGTGCAGAGCTCCCTGAGGACGGAGGGAGTCGGGGTTGGTTATTGGATACAGGTGGTGGTGCTAGACCACCCCCGAGCAGTGCATTCAAGAACTGCCTCTGTTGTTCTTCTGACCAGACAGAAGGATCCGGCACGCTGGTGCCCAAGCCTGCTGCCTGGAAAGGCGCACTCGACGATCTCCCGACATTGCGAGACGACGACGGAGAAGAGGGAAGCTCCGTTCTTTCTCCTACGAAGCTCTCGAGATTCGGACGGTTGGGCAACGGAGCCAATGGAGGATCTGGCGGTACGTACCGCGCCGTCAGCAGCGGTGTAGAAGGGAGAGAGAGGTACGCACCATCGTGCATATAGGCGGGAGCCTCTTCGCCCCTGGCGGACGATGTGAGTTTTGCGAGGCGGTCGCCGCCTCTGGCTAGGATGGCCTTCCTGCGAGCTTCAGCTCTGGCTGCAGCAGACATGGCCGTCAAGTGCAGTCCCTTGTGGCTGCCACGTGCACACTTCGACCTCCTTTTGTGACATCAACTTGATCTCCTTCTCTCCCACTCACCGCTCGATATTTCCACCATGTCGCGGCAAGATAAAGCGACGACAGAAAGACATGCAAAAACCCTCAGAGAGCTCCTCAAGAAGCCGGAGAACAAGGTCTGTGCTGACTGCAAACGAAATGGTCAGTCCAGTGCGCATGCGCTCAGCGTGACGGTCTCTTAGTCCTCGTTAGATCCTCGATGGGCGTCCTGGAACATGTGCGGAATCCTACTTGTCCAGCCGTAGTGATTTCTGGATCTGACTTGTAACCCCCTCGCAGTGGCGTCTTCCTGTGTATTCGCTGCTCAGGTATTCACCGCTCGATGGGCACACATATCAGTAAGGTCAAGTCGGTGGACCTTGACGTATGGACTCCGGAACAGATGGCTGTAGGTTATGTACCTTTTTCGGTGCGCACACTGACTGACGACGGTCGCTGCAGTCCATACAGCGGTGGGGAAATCGTTTAGCTAACCTGTACTGGGAGGCACACCTCAAGCCAGGGCACATCCCAGCGGACCAGTGCGTCTTCTCGCCATGCTTGTTATGTCAATCTGACCCATCTTCTACAACTAGCAAGATGGAATCTTTCATCCGCTCAAAGTATGAGTCTCGACGTTGGGCTCTCGATGGACCGCCGCCGTCGGATCCATCCGTTCTCGAAACCCAGGCAGCACAAAGCACACAATCCACGCAGGCCATACCAGCAGTCACTGCACCTTCAGCGCCATCTTCTGGTTCACCATCCGTGACGCCGTCTGTAGCATCCGCCCCGCGCCCTAGCGTCACCAACCGCCAACCACAACCGCACCAGCTACTCTCCGCAGGCATCGCCAACCGCACCCACCAAGCTGCCACACACCCCGCTCTCTCAACCCCAGACACGCAGCTCCAGCAGCCTGCCGCATCCGCGTCCGTGCCGCAGGCTACTCCTGCGAACGAACTATTCTCGCTCGACTTCCACCCGCCTTCAGAATCGAGCACTCCTACCGCAGCCCCAGCAAAGAAGGATGTCAAGCAGGACATCCTCTCCCTCTTCTCGACACCGGCACCGACCCCTGCGCAGCCGGCGTTCCCCCAATTCGCCCAGGCCGACGCCGGGTGGGGAAACTTCGCCTCACAGGTGTCCCCTCAGCCGCAGCCACAGCAGACAAGCATGATGGGGAACGCTGGTGTTGCGATGTGGGGTGCGAGCTCGGGGTGGAAGGCTCCGGCTCCACCGTCCCAGCCGAGCCTCTGGGGTAACGCGAGCGTGCAACCTCCGCAACAGCAGCAGAGTCTTTTCACCACGAGCGACGTCTGGGGTACTCAGAGCGCTGTTGCAGCCACGGGTGATCTCTTCGGTACATCTGCAGGCATGCAGAAGAAGGACGATGCTTTTGGCGACATTTGGGGCGGGTTTAAGTGATATACAGTGGATTTGTTTCTCGACTACCCTCATGCGTGTCCGATGTTGCACTGTGCATGTACCATATATCCATTTAGTACACTGTACTTGCCCATGTGTTTCACATATCCATTGACTACAATTCCAAGTCCTATGAAAGTTAACGGATCAGTTAATATCTGTCGAGTGATGAGGGAAGGACATCCACCTTCTCTATAAGCCTGCGCGCAATTGGATGGAAAGCATCCTTAAACGCCGAGAAGTACTTGACTGCCATTGGTTTGTCGACCTTGCTTGCAGCCCTGAACACTGGCCGGCAGAATTTCATGCGCCCCTTGATGATGCCAGTGCCGTCGTCGCCCACTGCCCACCGCACCGCGGCGGGCGCAAAGCCCTTCGCCGCATCCGATGCGGGATCCGCGAGTGCAATTTGGTAAAAGCGGAGGCGGAGCTCCGCGTTCTTTGTGTTGGTAAAGCCGTAGAGCGAGCCGAGAAAGCTGACGTGCACCGAAGGTAGTGCCGGGTAGGACTGCAGGCGTTCCAGGAAGACCGCTGTGGTTGGGACTTAGGAGAAGGATAAATGCTTCGTAACAAGAGCGTGCGCACTCTTTTGGTTTGAGTTGAACTCGTCGAGATCCGTCTCTTTGAATGCAAGCCGTGAGGTGTCAGGCTCAGAGCGGGACGCGTCCCATTGCTCAGCGAGCGCATACGCCTGCCTCGCCAGTGCTGTGTCGTATACCATTGTGTTGGGCAACGTTAGGCCCTCTCCGTGCAGCCATTCCTGGATGCGAACATCAGCAAAGTGCAATATGTAAAACAGTAAATCATGCTTGCATCCCACTTGACGCTATTGAGCACCTTCACTTTCTCCTCACCTCCGTGCTTCTCGAAGTACGCGAATAGATGGGCCTTCCACTCGTCCGTCGTGATGCTCTTGCCCATGAATGTGCTAACGTAGTCTTTTACGTAGGGCAAGAAGACGTCGAGACCGCCCAGCTTCCGCTCTGGTGACGGTGTAGCAAGTCTATCAGAGAACTCTGTAAGAAAAGCGAATAACCATAGCGCACCGAGGTGGAGCAGGAAGTTTGCGCCCTTTTCGTAAGGAATCGTGCTGTACGCATCGTCTGGATCCTCGCCCTTCTCGAACTCGATGACGAGCCGTTGATATTTGGGCCGGTCTTCGTGGAGTTTAAGCGCCTCCTTCAGCGAGTTTGACCCGATCAGGAACGAGAAACCGCGCTCCGCCGGGCCATGCAGTAGTTGCTGTAGCACGCGCTCGATGTATGTCGTCCAGCCCTCGTTCAGCCAGAAATGTGTCGAGTGCGCTTGGCTGATCGGGAGAGGATGAACGGATGAACGTCGGGTGAAAGGCGTACGTACGTTACGCCGTTTCCAAACCACGAGTGTGTCAGTTCGTGAACGACGACGTCCACCTTGAGATAAAACGTCAGTCGATAAGACACGGAACGATAAGAGAGGCGCACCAAGGTACGGTCGCCGACTAGCAGTGCTGATTACGGGATGATGAGCATATCACCCAGAAATAGAGTGCAACTTCATGTCATACAGGGTGTCAAGAATGTGAGACACGCATTCTCCTGCAAAGAACACCATCAGCATTCAGCCGCGAATCTGACCGATAAATATCGTACCATGCCACCATAGGGGAAGGATGGAGGCAACACCAGTATATCATACACACCAAACCGGTACGGTGGCAAGATTGTCTCTGCGGTAGATAGGAACCTTGAAAATCCCCGATCAAGTTATGTCCATGTACCACCGTATCAAACTATGTCACCTGTTGAGGTCCTCACTGAACTCCCAGTACGCGGCGTCGATGAACTCGGGCTCGGCCCACACACCCGTGGTCCAAGCCTTTCCCTCCGCTTTGGGGAAGGAGCGATAGCGCACATTCCCCGCGGCGATAGCGATAAGGTACGAGGGTATTGGAACGGGCTATACGAGTAATTGCATGATGTACAAAAGGAAATGTGCTATATATCAGTACCGAAAATAAGAAAATTACAGTGCTTACCTGGCTGTAAGTGTACGTCACGGCATCCTTCCCGATAACCTTCCCGTCATGGGCTGGTCCGTCAGAAGGAGGCGAAATGCGCTGCGCGGACAATAGGACAGGCAATACAGACGTGACCTTCGCTGTATATGTCTGACGCGGGTGTTAAAATGGGCGCGACGGTAAAAAATCGAGGTGACATACAATCTTGACCGATGGCGTATCCTGCAGCGGCGCAAGACTGCGCGCATATATGGGCTGGCATTGGCTGAAGAGATACGGGAAGGTCTTGCCTTGGGTCTGCCTGGGAATGTCTCAGGGTTATCATCACAAAGTATCGGTAAAAGGCCTACTCTTTTGCGAGCCATTGCAGAGCCATAGACTCCCTTGTGGTTTTGTAAAAGACGGTAGCTTTAAATCGCGCACCCTTCTTAGGTGTGGAGGGTAGTGATATCTGGAGCGCAGAACCCATGACTTCATGCCTGGGGCCAAGGTTGTACTGCGAGGACAGATCCGCACGGTCAATATGCACGAGCGACACGACAAAAGACCGCGCATATATTCACCGACGCGGGCTGCCCGTCGACTAGAACCTTCTCTATGGAGAGATCGGCCGTATCAAGGCTACAGAGACATGAGTTTGGGCATGCACGGGCTGCGACGAAAGCAGAACGCACACGACCTGCTGCACATCGTCCTGCTTGACATTGAAGGTGTGGGTCGCGGAGCCGGAGATGATGCTCTGGGCGAAGTCGACCGTCCAAGCGAAGTCAATGTGCGAGGAGGCGATTTGATCGTAATTAGCCTGGGTGGTGGGGTCCATGTCTCGGTGCACTATCGAGGAGAGATGCCTGCGTGCGGGGAGAGTGGGGGACGGGTGGTGGTCGAAGGAGAATGGACGGGGTCTGTGTGGTGAACTCAGAATTCAGCTTCGAGCCATCTATCGATCTGAGATCACATGCCTCCAACGTCCTCGGAGGTGTGAAGTCGACAAAGACCCCGACAAAGTCTCAGAAGAAACCAGAGCGCACTGCCTAGCGTACTTGGCTGAGCAAGACAGGAACTGCGAAACATAGCGCGTCTGGATTCCGGAAAACATGGCCAAGCGCGCTCATAAGATAGGTAGGTGATCCAGCGGACCGCGACCCCGGCGGCGAGAGCGTGTCGTTGACGGGTGGACGGTCTAGGATCGCTGCTGTTCTGCCCAGACTGCGGGACGCTGCTGAACCTGCCGCAGGACGGGGACGCGGTGGTGCAGTGCGAACAATGTGGTCACGAAGAGCCGGCTAGCTGTGAGTGTTTTCTTCGCGCTCTTGGATGAAATTTGACTCTCGGACAGCGTACGAGAACATCGAGATCGTCACGCGTTCACATCCAGACGCGTTTCCCTCTCCGCTGAGACAGAAGAGCAAAACACAGACCAAGGTACATGAAGCCAACGAGGCCTTACTCAAGGTGTGCTACCTATATGTTCAGCTGCGTATTTATTTCTGACTATGTGCAGGTTACGGAAAAGTGTCCCGAGTGCGGACACATGGAGGCATATTCACACGAAGCTCAGGTGCGAGGTTTTCGTTGTATGACGACGAGTTGCATGAATGACACGGTATGTACACAGCTAAGGAGTGCGGATGAAGGATCCACCATTTTCTACACTGTGAGTGTCCTAGCTGTATGCGTGGCCCGCCCGGGACTGACGAGTTACCGCAGTGCGTGAAGTGCAAGTACGGTTGGCGCGTGAACAACTGAGCGTGCCCGCGTACACGGGCATAGTCGCGCAAGAGATGGTACTGCGTGATGGTCTACACGTACACACCGACTGTGCAGAAGAGTGCGACGACGCCGAAGCCGCCGAGAAGGCTGGCGATGGAGGCGACGGCGACTTCACGGACGGGAAGGGTATCTTTTGGAAGTCTGGATATTGGAGCGCATGAGTAGGATGAGCGAGCAAAGTAATGAAAGGGCTGACGTGGAGAAATAGAAAGCGAGTGCGAACGTCGTCGCCAGGAGGACAAAGGCGAGGTAGGGCAGGAGACCGACGGGGATGTCGGGGGAGAAAGGCGGGATGGACCTGTGCAAGGCCTGGCGGAGACATATTTTAATATTTACGGAAAAACAAACATAAGAGGTTTACCTGAATGGAGAGATAGTCTTGCATGCTGGATGTTGGAGCACGCTGGGGCAGAGTGCTGCTGCTGCTCGGCTGTCGCTGACGTACTACGTGTCGGGCAAATAGGTGTCATCAAACGCATATCAACTCGCTCTCCTCTTCGCCTTCTCCTCCTTACCACCATCACCATCGACGTCTGCTGTTTCGCTACTCTCTTGTACTCTCCAGAGGTTCGTCTCTCCCTTGTTTTCCCTCAATTTGCCCCGTTTTCACCCCACCTCGCGCTCACCCCGCCTCACAGATGTCGTCCGCTCACAATCTCCAGCAGCACCCCGTGGTCATTCAGGTGCGGGACAAGGCTTCCTACTACGTCAACCAGCTTGACAAGGAGGTGCGCGTCGGTAGTTGTATTCATGTACAGCTCATCCTCACTATTTGTCACACGACTCCAGCTTTCAAAACACAGCGCGTTTACCGCTTTCGAAAAGCGCACCCAGATCCCCAAGAGCTATGCCTTCCTCGTTGGCCTGCTTCTTGTCACCCTTTTCCACTCCGTTAACGTCCTCGCCGCCCCTGTCTCCAACCTCATCGGCTGGGCCCTCCCTGCCTACTTCTCCGTCAAGGCCCTTGAAACCCCTGGTCACCAGGACGACATCCAGTGGTTGACGTACTGGATCGTCTTCGGCTTCTTCAACTTCCTTGAGAGCTTGGCCCTCGGTCCCATCCTCTACTACTTCCCCTGGTACTTCGTCTTCAAGAGCTCTTTCATCCTTTGGCTCCAGCTCCCCACCTTCCGTGTACGTGTCATCCGCAGCTGTGCTATTTCAAATGCTGATCGCCTGCGTGCAGGGTGCGCAATCGCTCTACGGTAGCGTCGTGAAGCCCGTCTTCGCCAACGTGCACTCGAAGGCCAACTCCGCTCCCACCACCGAGTCGACCGTCACTGCCGATGGCCTGCGCGAGCGCGTGGCTACCGCGACCGAGTAAGCGCTCCGCTGGGCGTCTGGCGTTCTCCGTAGAACACTAGCTCTCGTATCTTGTTTTCCCCTAACGTACCGATACGCCTGCTTGAGCTGTCGTCGTTCACCGTACGATATTGGCTAAGTACTGTGGCTGGATTTCTGCAAGTATTTTATCCAGGTTGTCTTCTTTTGCGACGTCTTCATATGAATGATTTATGACTTAATTCACGATATCCCTTTGTGACATGGCGAATTCGGACGATATTTCGACCTGAGTGAGACCAACTTTCTCATTATTTCCCGCATGTCCGAGTATCGCACCGTTGAATACCACCATCATGCTGGCACCACGAGCGCACTTGAGCGCAACGAGACAACGCCGCGTCGCAGTATTTATCGACCTGTACTGAGACACCACGATGTTCCGTCTGGAGGAGGCATATACTCACCGGTCCTTACCTGGCCTCGACAGTGACACCAATGCAAGTCTACACTGTTGTACCCAGGGACGCGGTGGGCGCACACATACGCAAGTCGAGCCCTGATGCCATTCGGAAGTTGCAGCTGTAGGGCAAAGGGGACTCACCGACACTTGAAAGATCCGATGCGGCTGATAATATGTAGACTGAGGGTGAGTACGTACTCGTGTACTTGTCGAGGTGCCAGACATTGTATCATTACGACAAGTTCCTGCTCCTTTTCAAGAGTCCTACTATCTCTGGCGCGCCTTCGGTCAGCTGATGCGGGCCATGACTTGTCCTCGTGCTGTCCAGGCTTGTAAGCGCGCCCTTGCGCTCTGGAATACCGAGGGCGGTGAGCACATCCCCGCCTGGGACTCTGACTTGAGATCCGACATTGGAAGGCGCTGCATGCCATTGACGCGTCCTCTTGATGGGCCAGCGGGTCTGGGACCGGGGTAGAAAGCTCAAGGTTTGTGCGTTCCGCCCACAGTGGTCTTGGATCCATTTCCGCTGAAGCTTGGCTGAAGCAGCCGAAGGCAGACTGACACTCTGCTTCGACCTTCGTTCCTCAGGATGTCCGTGTCTGGCCGTCCATCTGGCGAGCTCCATTCTAGATGATCAGCCCACCCGCGGAGGGGCGGGCGCCACCGACCATGCGCGCCAGATTGGACCCGACAGTCAGACTTCTAGGTTTCTTTTCATAGAGCTTGCCAGTGGATTGGTGTATGCGACTTCCTCCGTGATGGACTAGTTGCAATTCAGCCCGGCCAGCGTCGACAGGCGAGCGGCGCGCGTCGAGTGTTTTGGCGGGTCGCCGGAATGTTGAGCTCCGTGTTCGGTCGCATGGGACGATGAGCTACGCGTCTCGTGCATGCATAGCTATATATTGTACGTCCCCAGCGACGTCAGCCTTAGTGCGCCGACGGGTTTCGCTCAAGCTTCCGTCAAAAGATAGAAGATAGAAGGCCATCAATACCGTCACCACAATCTCCGAGTCCGAACAGATGCGCCGACAACAGAAGTCGAAGGTGGGTGCATGTTCGCGGGAGTTTGCGCATGCTTCTGCTTCGCATACTTATCTTCCAGGTGAAAATTCATGATCACTTGTAGCAATATTTGCAGGACTCGCCTATTGCAGGAATGGCAATGAGTGGACTCGGCAAACGTCGGTGGACAAATGAGTGCACCCCGTACATTGAGATCGATATCTTTCCGTCTTGTCAGAGCAGTGAGCTCTGCTGTGCACGAGAGCGCACGCGGGAGGTTTGTACTTGCACGATATAGCGTCGGTGGCGGCAAGCCAGCGGTTGGTAGCAGCAATCGACGTCCGCCACGATACCGACGCCACCACGCGGTCGAGCCTGAGGGGCTTGCGCAATGCGCACCGTGGTCGGACCGCGTTTGTGATCACTACGTGCTCGTCGCTCGACGTAGGACACTGCCAACCCTCAGACGTGTACTACTTACTCATGTTATTATGTCTTGGTTCCTACGACGACCACCGGTACCGCGCGCAGGCACAACGGTTGCCTGTTGATGCGACGGGAGCAATTGGAAGGATATCAATATGTTGCTCTGCAGCTGAACCTAAACCTTCAGCGCCACGCGAGTGCGCGAGCTCTCGACTCATGGATTGGAAAGCCAATCGCGGAACATCATCTGAGCGAAATGGCTCGCCCCGGGTAAGCAGCGATTCCAGAGCGAACTCGAGCTGGGGAAGGCGGAGAGACTGGAGTGCCTAGGATGGATGAAGAGGAGAGAGAGCGGAAAACGAATGATGGCAGCGCATAATGGAGAGAAGAGAACTTGGCCTCGATGTCTCTGATCCCGATAGGATGTTCTGTTCGATGGCCATATGGTCCGGCTGTCCTCAGGCTGCCCTGCTGATATGACCGCTCCCGCTCTCGACTTATCGCGGGTGTTTCCCTTTATTTCACCGCGCGTTTCTACAATCTCGTGCGCCTCAGTTCCCGTTTTTTTGCTCTCTCCCTTCCCCGTCTCCTCGTCAAATTCCACCGGCAAATTTCAGAGACATGTCGGACATCGCGGAAGAAAAGGACAACGCCAGCCATGCCGGCACTGGCTCCGATCTCGTCTCCCATCCAGAGATTCATGAACAATACACCGGTCTCAAGAGCTTTTACTACAACCCCATCGGACAATGCTTCATGCTCGGCTTCGTCTGCTTCATGGGCCCGGGTTTGTTCAACGCCTTGAACGGTCTCGGCGGTGGTGGTATGGTCAACACCACCACCAGTGCTAATGCCAATGTCGCTCTCTACTCCACCTTCGCTTTCGTCGCCTTCTTTGCTGGGTATGTTCGCCGTCTGATCTGATCTCTGCCCGATGTTCATGAGCATTTTTTTCTTAGCTCGATCAACAATGTACTTGGCCCTCGGCTTACCCTCCTACTCGGAAGTACAGGTTACGCTTTATACGTCGGCTCTTACCTGTAGGTGCCCTCAGATAGTCGCAATATCTATCTTCACATTGTCCCTCCAGCACGGTCAACATCCACCACAACGCTGGCGGCTTCGTTATCGCGGCGGGTGCCATCCTTGGTATCTGTGCAGGTCTCCTCTGGACTGCGCAGGGCTGTCTCATGTTGGCCTACCCCGTTGAGAGTCAGAAGGGAAAGTTCATAGGCATTTTCTGGTCCGTCTTTAATCTTGGCGGCGTCGTTGGTGCTTCCGTTTCCCTTGGCCAGAACTTCCACTCAGAGGTGAGTTGCATCCCTGCGAGTTACAGTTCATTATACTCAAGTAACTCCCCCAGAATAACTCTGGTATGTTTCAATCCCCTCCTTCATTTTGGAATGATGTCAATTGTGCTCGCATGCTCTTGAACAGTCGGAAATGGTACCTACGTACGTCTTCATTTATCGGCTACCATACGTGGATCGGTCTGCTCACACGACATCACAGATTGGTTTCCTCGTCCTCACCTGCATCGGCGTCACAATCCCCATGCTCATGGCGAACCCGCAGAAGATGATCCGTTCAGATGGAACCAAGGTTACCACCATGCGCCACCCCTCCTGGAAGACCGAATTCTACGGTCTCTACATTACACTCCGCACGGATCCCTGGGTGCTTCTCTTATTCCCTATGTTCTTTGCCAGTAACTGGTTCTACACCTGGCGTGAGTAGTAGTACCGAAGGCGCATCTACGACGCCGAACTGAGCCGCTTGCACAGAATTCAACGACTTCAACGCCGCGCTGTTCAACATCCGTGGCCGTGCCCTCAACAATCTCGTCTATTGGCTCGCCCAGATTATCGGCTCCGTCAGCATCGGCTTCCTGCTCGACCAGAGGGGTCTGAGGCGTCGCTTCCGCGCGTTTGCCGGCTGGGTCGTGCTTCTCATCATGGTCTTCATCGTACATATCTGGGCGTACTTCTACCAGAAGTCAGTATATGTTCCCTACCATATTTTCAGCGAGAAGTGACCGTTGTCGTGGTGCAGGAACTATACCCGTGCAAGTGTCGCTGCGAACCCGGTCAAGATCGATATTCACGACAAGGAATTCGTTGGCAGAATCTGGCTGTACATTTTCTGCGGTCTACTCGACTCCATGTGGCAGACTACCGCGTACTGGATCATGGGCGCCATGTCTAATGATCCTTCCAAGCTTGCCAATATGACTGGTTTCTGTGCGTATCTACGCTGGATCCCTCACTGAATCTTCGTAACTCACGATGCTCACCGCAGACAAGTCCCTCCAGTCCGCGGGTGCTGCCGGCGTCTGGCGCGCCGATGCCGTTGGCCTCCCGTGAGCAGTTTTCTCAATGAGCGCTCGGACATTGTGCTGACCGTCACGAAAACACAGTTACATGAACATTTTCGTCTCCACATGGGTGCTACTCGTCGCAGGCCTGTTCTTCGCTTTCCCGATGATCTACTTGCGTGTAAAGGACCACACGGAAGCCACGGACGAGATCGACGACATCCTGTGAGTGCATCTCGTGTCTTACGCTATCCGAAAGCCAACTATGCTTTTTAGCGCCCAAATGAGCGGCGACCCCCCTGCCACATCTTTCCCCACCATATCTTCATCCAAACCCGAAGGACCTACCACCGTTTGATTGGACCTGTTAATCTGATTGCGCGCTGCCATTGGACGCTTTTACCCATGTTGCGGTTGCTGCGGACGCAATCTGTCATACTCATGTTCTGCTTGTTGTTTTAGATATCAGTGGTCATCGATGCATTGCTTGTTTTGTGTTTGTATTGGTCCTCCTGTTTCACGCGCAGTATTCCATTACAGCGATACCCATTTTCTACTTGTCGCATTACTCTTACTCCAGTCCGCAAGAAAAACGTGAAGCTGTATCTATGTTCTGTACGTATCAGAAAATCGTCGCAAGCGCGTCACCGTCTCCTGCGCCCCCTCCGAAAGCATTCAGTACACGCGTATTTGGGCCATTCTTGCCGAATGTGAACCCGACCCAGACGCCGCGCGCGAATGGCTCCTCCTTCTCCTTGACGAGCTCGACGTTCTTCTGCTTTTCCTTCACCTCCGCGTACTTGGCCATGTCCTCGACAGACGTGAAGTCGTCGTAGTACCCGGTGTCGATCTCAGAGTCGAGGGCGGGCACAAACGGCGCTCTCACGCTCCGCATCGTGTCCCACTTCACGCCGTCGAAGAATGGGTGGCCCGCCAGCTGCACGAGCGTCGCGTAGCGCACGCTGGCGTGCGCGATGAGCCTGTGCGGAGCGTGATCGTCAGCGCGGGCGCGGGCGTTCGCGGTGCAGCGGCGGCACTGACCTGGTGACGGCGTCCCACGCGACGTCGGTCAGGTTGAAGATCAGGTCCTCCGGCTTGTCGTACTCTGGCCGCCGGAGGACCTTGGTCCACTGCTTCAGGTTCGTCCAGGTCTCCTCCGGCGTCACGCCGCTAAACGGGGGGAAGCCTGCGAGAAACTCGAACAGGATGCAGCCGAGCGACCAGTAGTCGACTGAGTACGTATAAGGTTTACCCCGGAGCACTTCTGGGGCCATATAGTCTGGCGATCCGACGATGGAGTCTGCATACCGCGGGTCCTGGTTACGGATGGAGCGGTAGATGGAGCGTCGCTCTATAGTCGATCGGTGGATCACTTCGTTATCTTTGACTTTGTCGAGCTGAGGACGGACATCAGAGAACGAACACCTAGACAAAACTGGTCTAAATAGTCTACCTTGACTTTCAAGGATTCGATACGTTGCGGGTTAAGCGCGCCGGTTGCCAGTCCAAAATCTGTGAGCTTGACATGACCTGTACCGTCTACCAGGAAGTTCTATACTCTGTCAATACTAGATGCGAATAGAGAGAGCTCAGCACATACTTCGGGCTTGAGATCGCGATGGATATACCCGAGCTTGTGCAGCTCATTCACTGCAGCGAACATCTCACTGATATAAAACTTCGCATGTTCTTCCTTTAATACGCCGGAGTTATTGAGCAGTGTTCGGAAATCCCCGCCTGGAACGTACTCCATAGCAAGATAGACATATTGCGGGTCCTGGAAGGCGTACAGGAGCCGGACGAGCCATGGCGTCTTGGTTGCCGTGAGGATATCTCGTTCCACGAGAACGTGGCGAATCTGGAGATGGCATAAGAGCGTGAGGAAGAGCCAATGGGCTGCAGCCCACCTCGTCCATCTTGAACAAAGTCCGCTTGCGCATTTTCTTGAGCGCGCACACCTCGCCAGTCTCTTGTTTCCTCGCGAGGTAGACCTCGCCGTATCCGCCCTGGCCAACTTGGGCGATGATATGGAACTGATCGACCTTCAGCTTGGTGCGGCGCTTGCGGAGGACGACACGCTCCCGTCCGCAGTACGACTTGTATTCCTTTGCATATTCGGCGGCGGACAGATCACGCTCCGTCGTGTCTGCGTCGAATTTCGCTCGGCGTTCTTTCCGAGCGGCCAGGTATCCGAGCATTTGAAAGTAATAGTCCAAGAAGTCTATGAAGGACAGGTACCACTGGTCAGAGGTCTCACAACCCCAAAAGAGAAGAAAAAAATAATCCCGCAAAACGCGCAGACAAGGCTCGAGGCACGTACGTAGCGATACCTTGAAGAGGGAGACTCACACAGTTGAGCGACGGTGGATTTCCGCCTGACCTCGGGGCTCTCAAGAAGCTCCTTCTCCCACAACTTAAAGCCAACCTGCTTGAGGGTGGTGCCTCCGGCCTTGGCGGTCTCCATGTGTATATCGTGGTCGAGGGTCAACCCCTTCGCGGTCGCCATATGCACATCGGGGAGGCCGACAGTCATGCCCTTTGCAGTGTTCATGTGTATGTCTGGGTATCCTTCGTACATTTTCTCCGTCTTCTTCTGTGGGTATTCGGGCATGGCGGGCAGAGGAGACGAGACTGGGATGGGAGAGATGCTGAGGTGATTACCAGATGGCGCGCGAACATGCACGGAACGGTCACGTGCAGCTCCCGATCGCGCTCACATACAGTACCGCTCGTAGAGACGCTCTCTTCCCCGACGACGGCCACGATGACCTATGTTGCTCGCGTTCCCAAGCTTGACCTACCCGCCATCTTGTCTCAGCAGAACCCGCAGATTGACCTCAGACTCGACGCATACGAGACGTCTACCCGCAACTTCCTCAAAGCGGTCTCCAACTATGCACAACGGGCACACACCGAGATCACAAACCGCAAGAACGCCCACACCACAGAACGGAAGAAGACTGGGGAGAAGATGCAGCAGATAGAGACAGAGACGAACCAGTGCAAGGCCAAGGAGATCGAGCTGATTGCAGGTGTGCCCGCCATGAATCCATCTTGACTGTAAGCTTATCGCACCCTTTCGACAGTCTTGGACAGGGAGCAGGAGGAGAAGAAAGAGGCTGAAACGTCGGTTGCCGCTTTTAGACGTCAGCTTGCGTCAGTCAAGGAGAAATGCGCTTCTTTTGATATGGAAATTGAGCAGCTCCGCACGGTAACTGCCAATTTGCGTCGAGGTATATAACGCCCGTTCATTCCTCTATACCCCTCATTGTCTCATATGATGCAGAGCGAAACAGGGAGCGATCACTCCTTAACAATCATGCTTCTCGCGTAGCGCCAGAACTCGTGGATTGCGAGAGCAGGCTACAGTGCCTGGTCGAAGGCATAGACGAAGACAAACTGCTTATTCGTTTCACACATCTGGATCCCTCAGATCTCAATCGAGAATTCAGCTTAGTTCTTGACATTTCAAATCGCTCATACAAAGGTATGGTCACTCTTTCGTAGGCTATCGGTCGTACTAACGTTGCCTCCAGTCCCGACAACAACGCCGTTTCTTCCCACATTGCCAATACTGCTCGACGCGCTAAATGACTCGCGGGACGTATATGATTTCATCAGGCAGGTTAGGCAAGCTTTCTGTGATTTGGTTGTGCAGGGCAGATGATCTGGAGGTGTTGGTGTATAGCCGATCTTACTATCTTATTTGTAGCCAGGATTATTATTTTTATAGGCAACGTCATGCACTCCCAGGAGAACGAAAATTGGTAGGCTGCGATGGATGGACATGCTCCCGGCTCCCAGAATTTCAAACGAATTCATAGACATGTTAAATAAGCAGTAAAAGGATATCGTGCAACAAAGTAAGACAACAAACGGCTACTGTACATTACAACGGTAATCCATAAAATCAACAACATTGGTATGACTTCAGCAATGCCCCCCACGCCGTCATCATACACCGTCAGCGATCAGTCTTTGGGGGTGCTCGACCCACGCCTTCCACGCCTCGACAAACGCGATGAGCTCCGCGCCCTCGACGACGCGATGGTCCGCCGTCCAGCTGATGCCCACCTTCAACCGGCGCTCGCCCTTCCCGTCCCCGCGATTGACGTCCCACACCCACTTCGCGCGGCCGATGGCAACAATGGCGACGCCACCGCCGGGGACGAGCACAGGCGACGCATGGTCGGCATCGCCGATGCCGCCGACGTTCGACACGCTGATGGTGCCCCCGCGCCGTGGCATGTCCGCAGGGGTGAGCGCGCATGGGACTTGGCGGCCAAGGTGCGAGAGATGCCGAAGGCGTGCGGCGAGCGCGTACACGGACGCGGCGTCGACGCGCTGGAGCGTCGGCGTGTAGAGGCCCGTCGGCGTCGAGAGTGCGATGCTAATGTCCGCGTGCGGCCGGATCGCCAGCGTGGGCTTGTCTGCGGGAGCGGCGGGTGCCACGATCGAGGCACGGAAGAGCGGCCATTCGAGCATCGCCTTGGAGAGTGTCTTGAGGAGGATGGGCAGATAGGTCAGACGCGAGTAGTGCCCGAATTCCGGGGCTGGAGGAGGGCTGGGAGGCGGATAGAAGGAGGAGGGCGAGATGGCCGGGTTTGGTCGGGAAGACGAGTGAGAAGGGGGTAGGAATTGGGCTGGGATATGAGCATTCAGGACAGCCATGTAGTCATGGAGGGTTGTAATATCAAAGGTCGTAGAATATCTGTTCGCAATTAGAGCAGTAGGTCCCGTCGTTCAGGGAAATGGGCCTACCCAAACTGAGGGATCTCCAAACTCTGCAAGTAGCCGTGAACGTCTGAGGCTCGAGAGACGCAACAGCGACGTACCTTCACCATAGCCTTCCACATGTTGTATCTCGTGCGACCGAGCTCTATCACAGTATCTGCACCCTCATCCGTCGTCGTGGAAGGTTGTGAAGGTGCAGGTGTACCCTGAGTGACATTCGCCAAGTACGCTTCTACATCGCGCTTCTCAACGCGCCCAGCTTTCCCGCTGCCAGGGATCAAGAGGGCGAGGTCTACACCTTTCTGCCGCGCAAAATGGCGAACCGATGGTGTAGCAAGAACATCTGCAGAAGTTGTTTGCAAAGCTGTCCGAGGAACATTGGGATCCAGTGGGTGCGGTCTGCGAGACAGCGAAGGGCTGTCCGGCTGTACACTGGATTCCGGGCTAGATACACTGCTCACGGGCTGAGTGGACTGCTGGGCCGCTTCAGGCTCGGTAGTGGAAGCGTCCGAGTCCTCGGCGACGTCCTCCTCCACCTCAATAACACATAAAGCTTTGCCGACTTTCGCAATTTCACCCTCGTTAACGAGGAGCTCCTTGACGACACCGTCAAAGGGACTTGTGATTTCCACGCTTGCCTTGTCGCTCTGGACCTCACAGAGCGGGTCGAAGACCTGGACGGCAGCCGAAGGCTTCACACTCCTGGAATTCACGATAAGCGAGTGGGTGGGCAGCGCAGCAGTCCATGTTCGCACCACTTGATGACCTCGCATTCGGTGATACCTTCTCCGATGTCCGCAAGGTTGAACCTTTTGAGAGATTTGCGAGAGGCCCAGTATGCGGCAGATGTGTGAAAGCGAGAGATAAATGACTGTGGGCAGGAGCGAAGGGAGCGAAGGAGCAGCATGCGCACACTACCTGCGAGTGTATTTTCTGAAAATGTGCGAAATAAATGCCGAGAGTCAGGCGAACATGGGACGGGGCAAGGAGACAAGCGACCGTCGGTCGGGGTTGGAAAGGCGACCAGACGCGTCCACCACTGCTCCTCCGCTGCTGCTCCCTCTCCCGCCTCTCCTTCCTCCTCGACGACGACGACGACGGGCTCGACTTCTTTCTGACACGCTCTCTCCTCGCCTCGGACGCGTGGTTCACGACTTACGACCAGGTATGCGTCCTGCTCTCCCCGCCGTCGTGCACGCTGACCCGAGACAATGTATCCCCTCCAGCAGTACTTCTCCCGACAACGCAGACCTCTCCCAAAGGTCCTCTCCTGGACATCTCGCAGCTCCTTCAAGTCCAGATCCACTGTTTCGCTGACCGTCAGCCACGGGGATCCCGTCTCTTCAAGCCCACCTCCGACTGCGATGGCAGCCGTAGACTCTGCATATGCCTCACCGCCTCATACCAATGGCGCCACAACAAACGGCAATGGCGCACTCCACGACGGCCTCGTCGAGCCCTCAATCTCTTTCCAGCCCACCGCTTTCCGCTCCTACCTCCTCGCGCTGCTCCCACCCGTCCTCGGCGCTTCAGCGGAAGAGCTAGAGTCTCTTTTCGACGACGAGTTCGACGAACGCGTCTCCCGTTTCGCCGGCGAAGGCGGTGGTGTCATATATGTCGTCAAGCGCAAGGACGACGTCGATGGTAAGTCCGCTCGCACTACGTGTTCGTCCCTCCGCTACAACAGAGATGCAGTAGAGGATATACCGCCAACCTACACATACCAACTCACGCACCAACTCGCTTACGACTCCTCCCATGTAACCACCCTCGCCATCTTTAAGCGCAGTCCCATCTTGGACTCTACTACTCCGCTGGCCACGCAGCTGCATATCCTCAATCTTTTTGGAGGCGATGAGACACCCTACGAGAGTCTCCACGCGGTACTCAGCTGCGCCGTCAAGCCATGGTTCGACGCTTTCGTTGGGACGCGCGGAGGGGGAAAGGACGGTGATAGCAAGATGGGTAAGTCGCTGCACTAATTTCCTCGCTCGTGCACGTACAGACGACCCGCAGGTATACCCATGACGAAGAAGAAATTCGCTGAGCTCGAGCTTTCGCTTCTACATCTCCAGCAGAACGTCGAGATACCTGAAACGCATCTTATCATTCACCCCGTCATCCAACGGACAGTCGAGCAGGCCCATACAGCGGGAACTCGGCCCAACATCTCTGACATACCATCCAAGCTACTCAATGACAGCTCATTCCTCAACACTCTCCACGGACACGTGAATCAGTGGATCAAGTCCATTCAGACTGTCACGAAGCTCACACGCGATGTCGGGTCAGGGACCGCCTCGCAAGAAATAAATTTCTGGCTGAGCTTGGAACGAGCGCTGGAAGGGATTGAGAACCAGCTGCGCAGCGAGGAAGTGAACATGGTCATGGAATGTCTGCGCAATGCGAAACGTTTTCATGCTACTGTCAGTTTCATTGCGGATACGGGTCTCAAGGACGCGACCGACACTGGTGGGGTGATCTTCTGTATGTTCACTGTAACAGTCATTAAATCAAGGTTCTCCAGTGCACAAGTACAACCAGCTCATGAAGGACTTCCCACTGAATGAACTCCTCTCTGCGACAGACTTAGACAAGATTCAGGAATCTCTCGTACTCATTTTTGGCCACATTAACCGCAAGCTCAAACTCTCACCATACCCCATCCGGCGTGCGCTTCCACTCGTCGAAGCCATCTCGCGCGACTTCAATGACCAACTCCTGCGCGTGCTCACCTCACACCGTCTGCTGTACACGCCGTACGACACCTTCGAGCGCCTCCTCTCGCAGGCGATGACGATTTTCCGCACGTGGGACGACAACATCAAGGAGTTCACGAACGTCGCGCGCGAGGTCACGCGGAAGCGCGCGGAGAAGTTCATCCCCATCAAGGTCGTTCCAGCTCACGCGAAGCTCCAGGACCGCGTGCGCTATCTCCGCGACTGGCGCAAACAGCATGAGCAGCTCGCTGTCATGACCGGGCCTACCAAGGGCCTCAGCGGCGTCGGGATGGAGATGGGCGGCATGGACATGGAGGCGGAGGTCAAGGACGCGTACGAAGTCATGAAGAGAATCGACGTGCTCGACGTATCTCTTGGTAAAATTCTATCAGTCTTCTGATATAATGCGTGCTGATCCCCACCTCTAGAGGGCGGCGAGATCTGGGTGGCAGCAGAAAACGCGTATAATGAGCGCGTTGCGCGCGTTGAAAACCAGATTATTGCACGGCTAAGAGACAGGCTGGGAACAGCGCGTAACGCGAATGAAATGTTCCGTGTCTTCTCTAAGTTCAACGCGCTTTTTGTCCGCCCGAAGGTCAGGCTGTCTGTCTATTCAGTATCTTGGGGGGTGTAGCTGAATTTAACCTCCTAGATTCGTGGTGCCATTCAAGAATACCAGACTCAGCTTATCGACTCGGTCAAAGAAGACATCAAGCGTCTGCACGACAAGGTCAGCGGACGGTGAATTATAGTTCATCTTCATCTACGCGTTGCTGAAGCACTTCCTGTAGTTCAAAACACAGTACCGTTTCTCAGAGGCGTACCATATGTCACAAATGCGTGATCTGCCTCCCATCTCCGGAGCTATTATCTGGGCCCGCCAGATCGATCGGCAGTTGCAGACATACATGAAGCGAGTTGAGGACGTCCTGGGTAAGGGATGGGAGCTCTACGCTGAGGGCCAAAAGCTACAGTCCGAGAGCACCGCCTTCCGCAAGAAGCTGGACACTCGCCCCGTCTACGATGCCTGGCTGCACGACATCAACCGGCGAGATATGGGTGTCAACGGCCGGCTCTTTGAGATTGTGCGGCTCCGAGGGGGCGGGTTCCAACTAGCGGTAAATTTCGACCCGCAGATCATCACGCTGTTCAAGGAGGTGCGGAATCTGCTTTGGCAGAATTTCCAGGTGCCACATGCGATCACGAATATGGCGAAGGACGCGAAGCGGGTCTATCCCCATGCTGTGAGTCTTATGGAGACTGTCAGGACGTACGGGCAGACGCTCGATCTGGTCGAGAACAACCAAGGTATTGAGTGGCTCGTGGCCGAGTATCGGAATGAGGCACAGCGGATGGTCACGCGCGGTAAGTGATCCTCGTGAACGTCCGTGAATGCAATCATCTAATAGCCATCCTGCACAGGTATGAACATTCGATGGGACTACTTCGTGAACCAGTACGACACTGCTCGGTATGTATCGAGTGGAGATGCTCGTGACAACCGCCACATTCAGTTTGTTCGGGAATTCGCAAGTGTAGTATCGGTCCTCCAAGTGAGTACTGTGATACCAGGATTCAATTGGTTCTAACGGTGTCCAAGGACAAAACAAACAACGTGATTGATTTGTACAAGGACATCATTCGTGCAGTTGAAGAGCTTGTTACTTGCCCATACACACCAGAAGCCTTCACGGAACTGCTGGGTCGAATCCAGGCAGATGTAGGCGTTTACCGTATTAACTACTTCAGTAACTCATCTCCATCTAGATCGACAGACTAAACTTGGAAGGCTACGCCAACCTGGAGTATTGGGTGGCTGAGCTGGACAAGCGGATAGAAGGCATTTTCTTGCAACGGCTGAACAATGTGATCCAACTCTGGTGCGGAGAGTTCGACCGATCCGAGGATCCCGATGGCAGACGTGACACACTAGTTCTGCGGGATATCACAAACAAGCGGCGAGGGGACAAGCGCACGAAGGAGGAAAAGGTGAGTCTTGCCATGGACCTCGCTCCCCGATTGCTGAACCAATGCTATGTCAGTCCTTGGAGGGCAGCATATCCCTGAAGCCGATCGTGCATGAGATCCGGATACAAAATCAAGTCATCTTCCTCGATCCCCCAATAGAATACGCCCGACAAACCTGGATTCGCCAGCTGCATGATTGGTTAGGTATGGACATGTCGCCGCTCGGACTTTCATATACTCACAGCAGCGCGCTACAGGAGTCGTTTGCCGGCTACGACGGATACAGAGCTCTCGATACGAAATTGGGCTCCAGATGCAAGGGTCAGTGGCCTCGGAAGCAACATACACATCACTGGTGCATTAATCCCGCCCAATCATCGCTATTCGTGCTCTTGCTAACTACATGCCCAGCTAACTCACTTCTCTGATGCAACCCTCGAGCGGCCATTCGCGCTAATCGAGAACAAGGTGCAGCAGCTAAAGGACTATGTCGCGAAGTGGCTGCAATTCCAGTCTCTATGGGATCTCGAGGCAGAATACGTGTTCAATCGCCTCGGTGATTCCTTGGCGCACTGGCAGCAGCTTCTCACCGAAATCAAGAAAGCGCGCTCCACATTCGACACCTCGGAGACGCAGAAGTCGTTCGGTGTATGCGTTATCGACTACGAGCAGGTCCAGGCGCGCGTGAATGCCAAGTACGACGCATGGCAAAGAGACATCCTGAGCCGCTTCGGGATCAAGCTCGGAAACGCCATGAAGGAGATGCACGCGACGATCCTCAAGGCTCGGAATGACCTTGAGCACCATTCGATAGAGGGTTTGGTGGGCGGTGCACGGAGGTTCTGATTTTATCGCATTGGGCCCACACTGTCACTCGTTGCCATTTTATTTCATGCATTATCATACCACTTGTAGAGCAGATATCCAATAATTGTACCTACAACGCACACTCCCTGGAAACCCATGTCATTCTATTTCATGAATCTTGATGTGATTTACTCCATGGTTAAACAAGACTCAGTTTTCCCCTGATATCCATATCAACAAACAATCCGCATACCAAGTGTCCGCGCAATGCAAGTATTCTCGCATTTACCGAAAAGCCGCGTCCGAGCAAGCAAATATTGCTATGCCGCCGAAGGCGAGCCAACAACAACAGTCCCACTATGCGGCGTATTTCCGTTCACGTGGTTCAGGCACTCTCCCAATCCGTCCACCTCTGGTATGTGCGCTTCAGCGAGAGCGCCGACAGCGGGACTCTGATTGCCGATGAGGAGTGGTGTCCGTTCAGTGCCTGCCGACAGTGAGTTCGCCCTACTCGTGTGGTACTCCACGATTCTAGACGCGAGCACAGCGGAGCGGCGGCAGTCAGCATGGTCAACGCGTGCGAAATGGTAACAAGAGGGCTCACCCTCGCATGACTGTTGCGTTCTTCAGACGCCTGGCGCGGCGCTTGCTCTGATTGTCTTCGTACCGATCAGTCTCGTCAACGATCTCTTCCGAGATGATTTCCTCGATAATGTCTACACACAAAGCTCAAGCGTCCAACAAGTGAAAGTGCAAGAGCTTCACGCACCTTCGAGAGTGATCACGCCGATGGCACCACCTTCCACGCCCGGTGCTTTACTCAGTAGCAGGAGATGTGCGCGGCCGGTTTGGCTAGCTCGAGGTTTGATCGAAATGAGCACAAGATGAGAAATATCACATCTTACAAGTAATCCAGCGCCTGAAAACAGTTGATAGAAGGGTGCGCTTCGGGTAGGATAGACAGCGGGAACTTCGAGACAGGAAGGGCCTGTGATGGGTCATATACGGACAACTAACCCCGACAACGGCGAAAATGTTTTGAGCGTTTCAGAAACAAGGCCAGTCCGCGTACCTTCTTCAGAAGCAGGATTCCTATGAATGCTAGTGGCCTCCCGGGTGCATGTACCGGAATGCGCGAATATCCACTTCGTAGACTTAAGTGATTGTGGTCAGTTCGTTGGCTGCATGCGATGCCCAAAACTGCAAAATTTAAACGTACATAGATTCAACAGTGTCATGGTCCAAGATCTGATCAGAGCTAACCGTCATCACATCCTTTACGAGAGCGAACAGTGCAAGAAGCGTCAATCGACGAATATATAGGGCATTGGAAACAACTGCGTACCGCCATGGGCGTCATGATCGATTCCACATGCTTGTTGTTGAGCTCGAGTACACCGTTCAGGATGCTAATCTCATCGTCTCGTAATGGCTCTTCTCCTTGTCGATGGAACGCCAAGAACGACCTGATGATAAAAATCTCGGCGATGAGTCAAACAACGAAGCCGGAAGGAAGCCCACTTGAGTTCAGCCTTTTTATATGTATGCGCATCATTTGCGCCCAAAACCCAATCCAGAAGCTTCGAAATCGGCCACGCAATGGGGGCTACGTTTGAGTTAGAAAGAGGGGTGCTGATGAAGAGCAAACGACCGTCATGGTGCAATTTGAACCACCAGACTTACCAAAAATATACATCATGGCTAACACCACAGGTGCACATGAAGCACCTATTGACAAGCCATAGCGCACGCTGACTGCTTGCGGGATAATTCTAGTGCTGATATGAGAAACGAGGGAGATCATAAACCAATGAGGCACGTACTCGCTAATTTAACACGAAGAGGCATGCAAGGTTAGTTTCAACTACACTCAATTCAGTGAGCGACAAACCCAAATATCACTGCAATAAGAAAAGAAAAATGTTCAGTACAGTCACACGATCTGCGTTGAGGAAGAAAAAACTTTAAAAAGGTATGGTTTATACGATGAATTGGGTGGCCCAATGCGGACAAATATGCCCAAAGACAATTTGAACCAAAGTGAGTACACGTACCAATCAGAGTTGTCGAGATGACAACGGCTAGTAATCCGCCACCGAGCTACCACAGAGTGTTCACTTCAAACTATACGCGTTGTGTATTAAGTGTACTCACAGCCCCATCAAGGAATATGGGCAAGCTTTCATTCACGATCTGCACAGAAATCAACGGGATGTGATAAAGCATGCATCAAAGCCACATACGACGTTCCCTAGGAGGAGGACCTGATGTCATTGTACATTAGAGGGCATTACCACAAATTGAGCCTGGCCACATACCACAAGGACCCAGTGGCGGCGACGCGTAAGAAGCCTGAGGACTGCAAGCATTATAGAAGTAGAGAGATGTTCACAAAGAGTGGCCATACCTTTCTGTGCATTCACTCGCTCTTGTGGCTCATCCGATGAGGCGGCCAGGACACGGAGGTGGAGTTCGTCTAGTCCCATGAGACCAAGTGTCAACCTGGGGCGCACAAGGGCATGTCTCAACATTTCATGGTACCATGAACATCCACAAAGACGAACTCACCCAGCAAAGACACCGCCAGCGAGAACGAGTCCGACACTCACGACCATCTTGAACCAGAAGTCAGGAGAACCAGCTGGGTCTCCGAGGTGGGCTTGCGCACGAACAAGTGGGAGTAGCATATCTGCAAGAAACACGTGGGGGAGATGGTGTAAGGAGGAAGAAGGAGGAGAAGGAGAAAGAAGAGAATGTTCGCTGAGAGGCTAGACAGTGAAGGCCTACCGGCGCTAATTGCACCAGCGTCATTCACTTCTACAAAAGGAAGGTGAGCAAGATGGACCAACTGGGAGGGTACCCTCTCCCACGTGCGCGAACATCAACGCTCGAACCTTTGATCCAAAAAAAACTTATGTGCAAAGTTTACAGTATCCTACATACGATACACCCCGCGCATATCACACGCTAGGTAATTCCAGACATCACAGCTATCGTCCCAAGCGAGCCCACATCCCGCCCTGGACACACAACTTAAGCATCTTCCCCCACAGATAGGCCCGTGCGATACGCACCTTAACGTAGATCGTGAAGGCCGTACCGGGCCAGATCTTCTCAAACGCCTTGCGTCCCTTGCCCGCCTTCCAGGCTTCAGGTGGTTCCGCTCCTCTCGGAATGGCCTCGGGCACGAGCTCAAATTTGGAGAACCGCTGGAGAAGCTTGCAGAGCATGAAGGACGCTTCGGTCAGCGCGAACGCTTGTCCAGGACACTATGAGGAAACAGAACGTCAGGTCAGTGTCCGATAACGTGAGTTGATATATATACAGACCATCCTCGGTCCAGAGAGGAAGGGGACGAAGACCGACGGATCCTGCTGGTAGTGAGCGATTCTCTTTGGGTCTAACCACCGCTCTGGATCAAAGGTTTCACTATCTTCGCCCCATAGATCCTTGCGACGGTGGAGGTGGAGGGTCATCCAGGTCATCCGCGATTTCGCGGGTAAGTACAGAGGTGGACCACCATCAGACGACGGGAGGAGGACCTCCTTGATCGAGTGGCGGATCCCGAGAGGCGCGCCGGGGTACAAGCGCAGCGTCTCATTGAGCACAGCAGTCACTACGGCGCCTAAGTATCAGTAATCCATGTCAAAACGAATGACAGTGACACATACTGTAAGTCAGCTTGCGGATGGTCGCCTGCGTAGGATTCCCAAAGGGTCCACACACCGCGATCACCTCATCCAAAAGTCGCTTCGTGACGTTTGGGTGTTGGGTCAGGAAGTACATTGTGTAGGTGAGTAGACCTGCAGTCTGCAAATGTTCAAAATTAGACACAATATTGGGAATAGAAGAAAGAACCAACCGTGTCGCGAGCCGCCATCATGACATTGAGCAATCCGTAGCGAACAGTCTCTTCATCTAAGATACTTCATGAGCCATTTGCATCACACTGATAGACAACTCACCGTCGGTACTTTCCACGAGACTGTCCAACAACGTCCTCTCCTCGCGATTGAGCGTGGCGCCTTGCTCGTCAGCGCGCTTCTTGCCTTCGAGCGCCTTCGTAACGATGGGTTTCACCCACATCATGATGGTGTTGACGCTCGGAAGGGTGCGATCTCCGAAGAGCTCATACAGCGGCCAGAAGGCGTTCAGCCTCCAGCGCATGGAGATCGTAACCTGCACCTCCTCAAACGCCTGCGCGAACGTGCCAAACTCGTCGTCAATGGTCGAACCCTTCGCGCCGATACGCGCCTTGTACGGAACCGGCCGCGGGCCTGAGAGCGAGTCCGGGTAGAAGCCCAGAATGAATTCCGCGCCGGCGTCGAGAGTGAAACGCAGGAATAGGTCTTGGAGATCGATTGGCTGCTGACTCTCGGCAGCGTCTGCGAGGATGGCAAGCGTCTTTTCGGCGTGTTTCGCAAGGATCTCAAAGTCTGAGACGCGCTCTCGGCTCAAGAACGGCCGAATGAGTGCTCTATTCTGCGGAAGGAGGGGGCGAGTGTGAGCAATTCGGGAACACACGTGACACCTACCTTCTTCCAGGGCAGTCCATCCCTTATACATAAGAGTAAAGGGCACGTACGACAGAAAGATGAGGATTCACTCACGTCACGAAGATTCCGCGACCCAGGAATGTACCCCTGAACAGGCGTCATGGCTTCAATCGGCGAGAATAACAATCCTGGCAAACTCACATTGTATGAAACTGCTCAGGACCTCTCTCAAAGAGATCAAAGTTAGTCGAGTGCATCGCCTGCATATGCAGGTTATCACGAGTCAAGAACTACATGACGCACAACTGAGCTTTACGATAACCCCGGACAAGAGGAAGACAAACGTTATCCTTCCATAGGATGCGGGTGTTGAGCGTATCACATCCATACTCGTCGAGCAAGTTCCCCATGGACTCCAGAACATACCCGTGGCGCAAGTCCCTAGCGAACCTGAACATGATATCGATGTTCCCTGGCCACTTTCCGCGAGCGCGAGGAATGATCCTCGCACCGAGTTGCCTGGCACGTCGGTCGTTCGTCCAGGTCGTATACCATGCCTTCAAAGAGATCCAAACGCATGGTGAGAGGACGTATATAACAACAGCAAGGGCGTCGAAGCGAGCGTGACGAGCGACAGAAAGCGAGATGTACGTAGTGATGAACGGAGGAAAGAGGCTCTCCAGGAGGCCAAGGAAGAAGCGCGTTCGATAATCCATCTCGGAGAACATAGTGGTGGACGATGAATGTAAACTTTACGGCAGACCGCAGGTCGGGTCTTTAGACGAAAATAAAGTCGCCACATGACGTACGCATATTTTTGACCTCAAACAGCGTGTGGCCTGACAAATGTCCATGGCTAGCAGCAGTACGTCGTCGGAGGTAGCAAGTGTGAGAGAAGTAGGTTTGATTGTGCTCCTCACAAGGGAATCGTATGCGCAAGGCCGAGGGCACTGACATCACATCAGATCTCTGCCGGATATCGAAGAATTTTGCTCCACCACCACCATGACTGGGACGCTTTAGAAATCATCTGCTTTAATGCAGGTAGGTTGTGCAACAGATATTCCATCCACTCACACGTTTTTGTCTAATTCGGCGTAGTTCTCACTCGCAGATTCGACGGGTCGGCACTGCACCTCTAATGAGAACCTGAAACTTGAATGAAGGTAGATCAGTATTTTTTGTCCGGTAGCTGCTAAGCTACCTACCCCTTCCAATGCATTGTATATGCACTGGCGAGGAAGCAAGGCTAAACTTGTCGACGTGGTTGTATTTCTAAGGGAAAATCCGAACCAATGTTCACGGCCAAAGCTGAACGAACATCCAGAAGGGAAGAGAAGCATGTTTCAACAGCAGAGCTTGTCGGTAGAGTATCGAACATTCGGCAGGCATGTGATCTGCCTTCTGCAAAATTTAGATCTCGACAACAATCGCCCCCCTCAACTTCTCGTCTCTGAGACCACCGACGGCAGCAGCATTGACCATGACCGTGCCTCCGTGCGTAACTTGATTGCCTATCTGTCGCCCAAGAGCGCTCCTCAGAGTCTCCCACACGAGCGTAAGCATGCTCCACCACACTCCTCGGGTGGAACAAATAGCTTCGAATGCCATCTGTGCTTGTGTCCAATGGGCATATTCAATGCCGCGCCCTCCATGGATGTGACCAAAAACATGCAGTCGTGGTCGTACACGCCAGACAGCGTGGAGCAAAGCCATACAACCACTACCTCCCATATCCAGATGGAAGGCTGGAGGACCATGTGTAATGAGCACATCCGTCTGAATGGGCATCTCAGACCAGACCGACGACGAGCGGGCCTGGGAGGCTGGGACGCGAGGATACTGGAAAGGCCAAGAACCATGACATGGTGTATCGGGACTTCCATAGACAATGAGGTCGCGACCGCGGACGGTCAATGACACCGAGGACTTATCAAGATAGATGAGGTCAGGATGAGCCGAAAGAGCGGCATCGCGAAAAGCGGGCTCAGCCAAGGCAGAGTCATGGTTCCCGGCTATGAAAATCTTGTGAGGGTGTGGCTGGATGCTGAGCCAGTTGAGTGCCTCTGAAAGCTCTTCCAAGGTTCCAGACTGAGTCAAATCCCCGGCATGAATGAGAATATCTCCCGGAGGAAGTTCAGGTAAAGAAGGATGGGCATTGTGAGTGTCCGAGATACAGACAACACGGATCGCATCAGCATTGCTCCGAGTAGCCGCATATGCCTCTTGGCAGCGAGCATATGCCCATCGAGCAAGAAAGATTGCTGGGGAGAACCAGAATTGCTCCCAAACCGTCGACGGTCGCCTGTTAAGCAAGCTATCCAAGCCATTCATCGGTGATAGTTCAAGTTAAGATCTGTCGTACGGTGAACGTCTTTGCTCGTAGAGCCTGTCGTATACACGTGTACCAGAGACTGTCAGAGAGTGAGTCCCACTGCAAAGGCTATGCACGCACCTCAATAGTTCTGCCAACAACTGTGTCGAGATGACTGAGCGGTCGGCGGGTTATAATTCAGTGAGATCACCACGATGGACGGCCCACGGGGCCGGGACGGCTTGTGTGACCATGCAGGCCACGGTCCTGTGACCTGTGACCTGTGACCATCCGGATTGGGCTACGCTTACAAGTGGTGTCTACGAGGACTCCTGCCGTGTGTTCTGTCTCATTAATGCCACACAACCTGTCTCAGTCAGTGCATCCCGGAAGGTCCTCCTGTTTGAATGCCACCCTAACCCTCAACCTCATCAGGAAAAGTCAAATCCACTTAACCGTCTTATTGCCTTATTAAAGGTGAAATAAGACCATCCATGTTCTTATTCTTTCTTATTTCTCCTTAAATAAGGCAATAAGAAGGTTAAGTGGATTTGACTTTTCCTGATGCTGTGTCCCGCGTCCATGTTCCGGATGGACGCGTCACTCGGCCTGCCGTTCTGACAGATTATCAGGCCTGTCACGGTTGAGTTGTGACTACTTCCCGCTGGATCGATAGCTTCATCATGTGGAAAGTTACTACGGTGCCCTGTCTCGTAAACAAGCACACGTAAGCGTCCGCAAGCCACACGCATATAAAGACACTCGGAGTGGTGCAATTGCCCCACTCACACCGAGGAAGCGCCACCTCTAACTCCAGAATACTTCCGTTTAGCTCAACAGCTTTGAAACAATTCGCTCAAGTCCATCATGAGTTTGTGCGCAGATTGTTTTCGCGGTATGTACCTGCTCGAGACTCCAACGAAGAACGCAGCTTGACCTTTTTGTGCGCCATCGCATCTGACATCGGTAGGTGTCCGTCATGAGGGCGAACCCGAGGGTAACATCCTCTAGATTCAGTGTGGCACCTGAGATCTGATGCATGTCCTTCGGCGTCTCAGGCAAGATCGAACAGATTGGAGGCGTCGAGTGTTACGTCGCCACGCCTTCCGTTGATTATCCGAGGGACAAGGTCATCCTCTTCCTGTCCGATGTGTTTGGGATCCCACTGCTAAACAACAGGGTGTGTGAAATCTTCGAGGTGAATTTGTGCTTCCTAGGGAGCTCAACGTTTTCAGCTTTTGGTGGATGATTTTGCACGTAACGGGTTCAAAACCATTATGCCTGACTTGTTCAACGGTGAGGCGGTCGACGTTGCAGCGTTCAGTGATCCCAACTTGGATCGCCGATCCTGGAAAGCCAAGCACTCTCCTGTCTCGGCCGCAGCAATAGTTGAGAACGTTGTAAAGGTTTTAACGGAGAGCGGGGTGACGCGCATTGGAACAACGTCGTACTGTTTCGGTGCTCAGGCGGCGTTCTACTTAGCGCGTGCCAACATCAGTCATGTAACAGTGCTTAGCCATCCGTCTGCCCTAGACGTCCCCGCAGATTTGGAGGTATGTGCGGGATCTTTTCCTTGACCTCGTCTGACCATTGAGTCCCTGGTCACAGAGCTATCACGCGAATTCGAAGGCGCCCCTTCTGATCAATAGCTGTGAGGTCGATACGCAGTTTGGTCCAGACTGCCAAGCTATTGCAGATAAGATCTTCGGCGAAGGGAAGTTTGCTCCCGGTTACCAGAGGACGTACTGGGAAGGTTGCGCCCATGGCTTTGCTGTCCGTGGCGATCTGGTGTGTCGAAATTTGCCCATAATCACAACACATTCTCATATATTCCGCAGAGCGACCCGAAGGTGAAGGCCGGGAAAGAGGGATCGTTCAAAGCGACCATTGAATTCTTCGCGAAGTACCTTTGATGTCATGCGACTTCGAGGACTGATAAGTATCCAAGCTGTGTATTAGTAGTCCTTCAGTAATGCAATATTCAGTATGCGGAGATGTCTCTTGTCATGCTCGATCTCGCCTTAGAGACGATATGAATAGGGTCGCGATTGGAACTTTCAACGGCGAAAATCACAAGACATGTTACAGTCGAAATGCGTCTATCGTTTTCGACTTAGCTGTAAGTAGGAAAGGAATGGTCGTTTGTATCGACGCGCAGGGAGAGGCGTCACGTGCCGGACTATTGACGCGCAAGTCCAAGAGGCAGGCGAAATCATAATTTTCGACACCGTCCTCAAAATCTGAAAGGACCCCGGGAACCGGGGGTAGGGTACATAGTCCTTCCCGTTTTAGTCTAGCGCAAGGTACCCTTCCTTCCACTTTTGTCCAGCGTGAGATTTGCAATGATCAACCGACGTGCCCGAGACGCGTCTCGCGCGAAGACGATACACCCAGACTGCACGCTCAATGTATTACAGCGTAGCTAGCTGTACAAAATGAGGCAGAGACATGGTATGTACTAAGATCCGGAAGATACAAGAGGTGGGCGAGATTAGGATTGGGGACACCTTCCTCCATGGGGGTAACCTATGGTATTGGCTTTCGGGGATGATCCTGGACAGTCGAAGGGATAGAGTCATGCGAGATATTTGCATGTGAAGCATTTGCACATATGCTACTGTCAGTCTGGCTTATATACATGTTAGCCTATGGGATGTCACTCAGAGAACAGGTTCACGTGATACTGTAGTACGTCCTCTCTTGGTATTCAACTCTCGTTGCATTTCCTTATTGTTCTGCCTCAAACTACCACATGACTACCCTATTTCTTACAAAATACACGTACTAAGACAGTAATCAGGAGAAGTTGTGGAGGTGGAAGCTCGTTGAGCGGAAATTTGGCCGAAATCGCCAGAGTGGCTGAAAATGGACCCCGGACACCGATACCATAGGGTACCCCCTTGGCTCCCCTTGGAGGTGTGTGTGTCCCCGATCCTAATCTCGCCCGCCTCTTGCGCAAGTCCGAGTCGAAATTGTGTTATCGGGCTTTCTTCCACAGCCTGCTGCCATCTCGCATGAAGTTCTTCGACAAGACTGCGTTGAGTGCAGGAGCATTTACAGGTGCGAAGTTGTCCTACTAGTATTGAATACATTATGTTGTTCCGACAGCACATTGTTTTTTTCCAGATCTGAGGGATGCCCTGCTTGACTGCTCGCACTAAGCTCGCACTGCTATATCGTACAAGAGGACCAATACACCAATCCATATCAGTTTACAATGCCATCTGAGTGCTTCTTATCCTTGTACGCCTTAGCCAGCTGATCAATCAATTTTTCGGATGGTACCGTGAACTTGAACTTCCCCGCCCAGTCCTTTAACTCCGCCCTCTTCACCGCAGACCCCCTCTTCTGAATCAAGTGTGCAAGGTACTCGACGGCATCATCCATGTCATACGGACGAGCACCCGCCTTGGCCAACCGGTCTAGTTTCGCCGCCAGCGCGTAACGCCAAGGTGCGGCATAAACCTTCAGTCCCGGCTTGTTGAAAACCAAGTCGTTCTGGGTGACCGCTTCGTCATACAACTCTTTAATTGTCCCCTCCTACAAAAGTTGAAAGATGAATGCTTTTATTAGCGGGGCGCTCGACCACTCGAAAACAGATCAAAGGCTACCTCGATGAACAACGCAGTGTGGTTGTTCAGCCACTGGTCTCCAACCTTCAGTGACTTGGACGCATCATATGCGGCGACGATGATCGCAGCCACGTCCTCCGTCTTCGTCTTCGTGCGATAGAAGAAATCGACGTCGGACGTGGTCGCGCGCGAATGCAGGAAGAGCGTGTTGACTGCGCCGCCCACAGCGATGATGGAGATGTCGCGGCCCTTCGCCTTCAGGGCGCTGGCGACTTTCTCAAGCCCTTGCGTGATTTTGTCCGCGGTAAGGACGTCTTCGGGTTGGCCAGGACGATTGACGAGGTCGCTGAGCGTAATTGTGTCGCTGGCGGAGAGGCAGTTACCCATTGTCTTTTGGGTGCACAATCGGAAGGTGCTGGGCTGGGTGCGTACTTGGAATCATGACTTCGGGCGGGGCTTATGAGGGGGCGAACAGGTCTATGGGAATTTGACCGGTGATCCTAAATCTCCGAAATCAGCTTGAACCTTTCCTTTTGCGCTGCTACCTTCTCCTTCCCTGCTTGTGTCAAGTTGATCTCGTGCCCATACACTCTCGTTGAACGTTGAATACTGGAGCTCGTAGATCTAACCTAGTTTGACATCAGTGTCGGAGGTCTGGGCCACTTGGAACCTTTTTTTACCACTGCTTTTGCTGGAACAAGCAGGCCCTGTAGGATCTCGTGCCCATGCTCCAGGCCTTGGAAGAGCCTGCAGAGAGCACTACCCAGGACGTTACCAGTATTGTGGAAAGCCACCTCGTTGAATACTCCACCTCTTGGCGACAATGTCGACCTTCTCCTTCGGCATGTTAGATGGGGGCATTTATGTGGACGAAGAACCGACGCTCGGTATCCACAGCTTCTCAAAGTGACCTTCGCAGCCTGCGACACGGTCTACCGGGAGACCGCCTCGTGTGCGCTCAGTTCGGTAGATGAAGTCGTCTTGGTGGGGTCGGTCCCAATGATGGATCATATTCAATTTTGCATGTTATGACCTGCGGGTGGGTGTCCTATCGTCGGTACGCCCTCTTCGTTGTATTGACAAGGCTATGACGATAATCTCGTGAGCAATAGCAGCGTGAGGCAGGTTCTAGGTAACTTCTCTTGGTTCGCGCGGAAGTGACACTGCGCAACGCCTTGTACTTCAAGCACGTCGTGAAGTTCACCGCAGCGCAACACAACTTTACACTTTGTGACCATAGATGGCATTCATCTCTTCCGTACATCAAGAAGAGGACATCCTATAATGTCTCACGGGCCCGCACTCTCCGCAGGTTCTCTCGGAGAATGCCCATGCTCGCATGGATGTGGAAGCACCGTACCCCCACGTGGTCTGCCACACGCCGCGGCCAACATGCGTCTGCCATTCCGAACAAGCACCTCCCCCTTACTCTAGCCATGACATTGATCCTGCTTCGGCGCGCGTTTACCTTGCTGGACTCCGAGACATGGGTTTCAGGCATACGAAGCGCTAGCACCAGTAGTTTGAAGTCGAAGTCTACGAAGGTGCGCAGTAGCTGTGGCCGCCGAGATACCGTGCACTTACCCGCTGATCCAGAGGCAGAGCAGCTCACCGCCGAATAATGCTCCTCAGCCTTCTAAGCAACCGGCCGAATGCACCGAGCTGGATGCGTTCTTCGCAAAATATCCCACATTCGACTACGATCCGTCAGCGCCAGTGACTGTCGAGTTGCGACGGATGTGCAAGTTCTTTCAATGGCCAAAGAAAAAGCGAAGGGAGCCAAAGTTGGATAAGCACGAGGAGAGACTGGCTGCTGAGGAAGGCTTTCGGAAGGCTCTAGTGGGGCAATTCAACAGCCTGTTTGGCAAGAAGGTGGATAAGCTTCAGAACTGGCAGAGGCTATGCCAGTTGTTACAGATCGATCCGATCCCAATAGGACTGGAAGCGTGTCGCAAAGTGAGTGGCTACTAGTTCAGGCAGCCGCACCCTACTGATGTGATACTCATGCCGCTCATGACGCAGGCCGTGAAAAACACCCACGTTAATCTCATTGATCTCGTGGATTATACTAGGACGGGTACTCCGGCGCGTATACATCCGTCTGAGGAGCGGCTTAGGGATTATACCAAGGCCGAAGGGAAGTACTTCCCTAAGGAACGAGCTCATGCTGGAGGAGTCCTGAGATATCTCCTTCGCCGCATCCATGTTGACGTTGATTGACGGAGGTCCGAGCCCCAAACCGCCGACCTGTAGATACATAAGATTTACACTCCTTAATCTAGTCGGGCTGTATATGCAATGCGCTACTTTTGGTGTCGCATTTGATACTCTGCGTCCACTGGCTACATGCACGATGTCGGCTACAGTACTGTGATTGTACTGATATCCTTGGCTGTATTCAAGTTTCATCACCACAATAATAGTCGTCGTTGATGTTCACCGACCGCATGAACGTACTGCGTATAACATTGCGACCTGAATCTTCTTGCCATAGAAATAGGACAAGAAGCCGAGCAAACATGCGAACTGTGCAGTTTGACATACACCCGAGTTGTGAAATGCTTGACACAAGTTCATTCAGCATGGTCACGGATATGTAAATAACCGAACATACGGGGGATAAAGAACAGCGGTCCCATAGATACTAACATCCAAATGTGAGCGAGTACAATTGAGGGTATACACGCACCGTAGTTGGCATGCTAGCGTAGGGGTTGCCGAGAAATAGTCATAGTACCTCCCAGGTTCATGAGATCTCGATACATGCGGCTGGGGGATGGCAGATGAGATCGAAGCCGCCGAACTGAAGGGAGTAACGTACCAGAATCAAGAGACCGGTAGCCGACCAGTGTTATCAAATGTTACATCCCCTCTTGCGCAACCAAGGTGGTGTCATACACAACACTCTCATGAGCAGACGCAGACACCAACGTAACACCGCTCCATTCACACTGGTTCAGCAACAGTGATTGCGCATCCTCTGCTATGGGCCACTTTCCATGATGACTCATGAGCCGTCATGATTCAGTGTACTAGAGGATCCTCAACCGTTCGCAATTTGTCAAATACACGGGGTGCTGATGCGCCTACGCTAGCGTGACCTTCCCTGGCACTCCTCGGAGTGAGGATCCAACATCTCCCACAGAAACAGATCATCAGTTAGAGCCCACCTTTTAGGGTGTATGTGAATCACTAAGAGCCAAAATACAGATGTTCAGTAGGAATGAATCTTCGCATATTATGGGTTCAGGGTTACTGCCCAACCACGAAGCGATAGGACCAAGGTTGTAGCGCGGTCTGAGATCATATCCGAATCCTTGCAAGCAGGCGTGGCTTTCTCTCCAGAACTTCTCGCCGTGAACGCGTAGAGTCCTTAGGGGGTGGCCTCAGCGTGAAATGAAATCTCGGGTGTGCATAGAGCATGCGCACGAAGCCTCGCATGAGATGAATGCGGGAAGACAGTGGACTGAACAATAGCAGTTGTGAACGTGATGATGCGGCACGCTTCTTACTTGCCAAATAGAGCAGCTGCTCAATAGACTGTGGTGGCCGATCTCAGATCTCACTTTCTTCATTTCGCCGAATAGCTCAGGGTGACGCCCGGCCTGCTCAGCTGGATTCCTCCTATGGCCAACAACGCATTGGAAAGGCGTGGACGCGTTTCTACTTCCTCAAAAACCCCAATGTGCGTGCGTATTCCTCAGCTTTTCTCTCCGCGCACCCGTGCCATTTCGCTGCGCGACGTCGACGGAACTGAAGATGGGATCACCGTACGATATATTCGGCGTTGTCTCTGGCATCATCGGTATTCTTGCGCTTGTTCTTGCTTTCCTCCAATCGCAATCTCCATCCCGCAAAATGAAATATCTGGATGAGGTCTTGCATGACGCCGAATCACTGTGGCACAAAGCTATGGAAGAAGGTTTGTTCGCTCGGACGCCCTTGTATGTTCTGCACACGGAGTCGCAGCTTACCATGTGAGTGATCTCGATAATGTGACAATATACATCGAAGATAATTCTGACGTCTGCCGCAGGGCCCGCTCCCAGACGGAGCTACTACGAGCGCAGACCTACTGCGCTAGGACATTTTGCCAGCTGTTCATGGCAACGGTAAGAGGACTGTCATCAAAAATATCTTCCAGGTCCAAACATGTGGAGGAGATTCGTGCTCGAATTGCGGTTAGTGCCCATCCGTTGAGCGAAAACTATCCTCTTATACGCAATATTTTCTAGACAACAAGTGCGCAGGTAAGAATCAGGCTCCACCTTGAAGGAAATCTTCCTTCACCTCAGGATATAGCCGGTAACTTTCATCTTCCTTCTCCTTAGATTGATTGAATATTCATGTGCTTGCATATCGCAGAATTCTTGGGTTCAGCAGCGGAGCCGATCCGCGGCGACAATCAAGTTATCTCGTCCCCGGATAAGATACCCACCAGCAATGTCCCAACACACGAACAACACACGAAGCTCGCTCGGCTCAGAATCCCCAGTCTATGGTCGTCCTCAGGAAAGGCCGGAGATTCTGACATCACGCTCGTATCATCTGCGGTGTCTCAGGGTGAACGCATAGTGGCAGAAGCAAGCTTATCCGATGGATCTTCTGCTGACAGTAATGCTGAAAACCACAGCGAAGGTGGACCCGTCCATGGTTACTCGAGCCAGAACGCTTGCATAACGACCTCCCCTGAGAAACTCCAACCCTCCCCTCCTGGACCTCGTGGTACTACGTACAAGACCGTATGCCGTGTTGTGAAGAAGCTTTCTCCTGGGCGTCGTGCTCGCGTCGACGTCCTTTCTATCTGGGCTGTGCGTGCTCCCCAGCGGATGCCTTCTGGTAACGATAACCGCAAGTGTTCGTGCAATGTTCACTCTTGCCGACAGAATGTCATCGAACCTTGGGTTGCTGGGGACGAAGCCACGGAAGATATGTATACATCTGGTGGCCAGGTCAAGGAAGTCACCGTCAACTCGGAGGTCTGATGCTTGGAGCCTTGGATCAAGTCGAGTTGTCTTACGATTGGGTTCGTTGTATGCTACCATGTCACGAGCTGTTACGAGCTACTACGACGATTTTCTTGTATCTTGACCACGTTCTATATATTGGGCTGTAGCTCAGCATTAGGCTGCACTATTTAAATTACTTCAATTGCTTATACTGAATCCGACGCGCCACAGACGCGACCTATCACGTGCACCGTGTTCGACGTCAACATTAAGCTCCTTCCTACCGAGTTTGCGTCTCAGTTCTCCTTGTAAGAGGTAAGCTGACCTCAGTATTGCACTACTGATTCGTTGTGTCACTAACGAATCGTCTGCCGCTTCACGCACAGGTTGGATCTTAGCACGAAGCACGAAGGGACCAGGTGAGTAATGTGACAGATATATTTCCGTTACTGTGCACGGATTCTCAGAAAGTGTTAGAGGGGTGACAAATATTGACATTTGGTCGTTCAGTGTTCTCAAAGTCCAACAAGTCAAAAATTTGCGCCAGATATGCATTCTCTGCATCGTCCGACCTCGGCAAGGCCTCCTTCGTCCCGACCTCAGACTGGCATGACGCATACATGGACCGCACAATCTCGTCCAACTACTGCCCGCCCTCAAACTGCAGCCTCTTCCCGCCATGAATCCAGCTACATCGTTGCTCTCGTCGAAGGTCGCGGCGTTGCACGCGAGGTGGGAATGGCAGCGTTGGATAAGGATACAGGCAGAGTCACTCTCATCCAGGTGTGTCTCCAAGGCTTCGTATATACAGAGTGTTGAATGTACGTGATACAGTTGGCAGATTGCCCGACATATGTGAAGACCTTACACCAATTGCACCTTCACTCTCCCTCGCTTATCCTTGTCCCGGACACCTTCCTGTCGGTAACAGATGTTTTATTGGCTTCTGGAGCAAAGAAGCCGTCAACAACGTCTATTCTGATACAGTGTATCATGGAAGAGTTTGATTCCGTACCGATTGAACCAGTGCCGAGAAAATACTGGAACGAGACCGCTGGTGAGTGATTGCGTAGTACTGTCGACGAAGTAAAGACTGACACGTCATTTCAGGGTACGATTTCCTTAATCAGCTCACTGTCGAAGATGACGAGGGGGCTGCAACACTCGTCGCAGCATCAAGCAAGTCGGTATATGCGCACTTGAATGATGTTCCAAGGTTCTCAAGGGTGTCTAAGCAGGTACTACGCGCTGTCAGCCGCTAGTGCGCTGTTCAAACACGCGGAATTCAAGCTCAATCTCCGTTTCTCCGCGTCGTCATTGTTAATCCGGTATGTTCAGGTCGAGGGTACAATGATGATCGACCCGGAGTCTGCCCGAAATCTCGAGTTGGTGGGCAACATATCCTACAAGAAGTCGTCTCATTCGCTCTTCGGGTAAGAATCTTGACCGATTTACCCGTATAATCGACGAGCCGTCGGTGCTTTTCAGCCTATTGAATCACACATACACTGCGATGGGTGCTCGCCTTCTACGCGTCAACGTACTCGCTCCTATCACAGGTACACAAGAAAATTTCCCAGATACACCGCTGACGTACTGAAATCTGTGATGCGTCATAGTACATGGGTCAATCGAGGCGCGCCTCGACATCGTGGAAGGTAATTTTCATCCCACTCACTCCTATAGGCAAACAAACAAACACCTTGACAGAACTGGTCCAATCAGAAGATCGCTTCAACGAAGTCAAGAACGCGCTGAAGACCCTGAACAGAATGGACTTTGACAAGCTGATATCTTCTGTTGGTCTCCTTTGTTTACATCCACCGATCTCTAACCCCTCATATAGCTCGCCTCCTCCGAAGCCCGCGACACCGGCACCGCGAAGCCCGCAGCGGCGCGTGTCGCGCAGATGCTCAACCTGCGGAACATTGTGAAGAGCCTGCCGCTTCTCGCGAAGGCTCTGACGGGATGCAGGTCGGAACTACTGCACATCATCAGAGAGGTGGGGATCTATGCTTCATACGCTAATGCCTGAGTTTTACCTTTGCGTACTCCAGATGATATCCGATGAGCGGTTGGAGCGGATCGAGCAGCTGGTGCGCAACAGCTTGAACGAGGAGGCAACGCCTGCCAAAGTAGGCACCTCACGCTTCAAACAGACTTCATGTTCACCATCCAGCAGGGCGGCCTCGGCGCAGTCAACGCCCGCGTGTATGCGGTCAAGGTATGCACTTCTCCTTGTCCTCCAACACATTCTTTACCTCAATCCCCTGGCAGGCCAACTATAACCGCCTGCTCGATGTAGCGCGCGAAACGTACAAGGAGAACGTCGGCGACATCTTCACGCTGCAGCAGGCGCTCTCGGATCGCCACAGTCTACCGCTAAGCCTAGTGTATCAGGACACGGGGTTCGTGTTCGCGCTCAGGAAGGGCGACCTCGAGGGCGAGCTTCCTAAGGGGTTCGTCAACGTGACGATGCAGAAGGGACGGTGGACCTTCTCGAGCGTGGAGTTGGTGTGTATGCACTTTTGATTCTGATAAAAGAAATCTCACAGCCGTGAGTAGAAAAAACGCAATGCACGCATGAAGGATGCGTTGGATGAGACGTTGATCCTGAGCGATAAGTGAGGACACTTCGTACCGCGTTCATGGTCACCAAGTACTCATTGTATGCTCTTCAGAATCATTCAAGAACTCACCGCCGAGATTGTGGTAGATATTGGTGCTCTGTACAAGGCGTCGGAGGCTGTCGCCATCTTGGACATGCTGTGGTCCTTTGCTCATGTTTCCATCTGTATGTATGTATCATCTCTGTCCCTTTTCCATGCTATACGTGGCTCTTCGCATCGCAGTGCGCAACTACGGCAAGTCCAAAGTCTGGTATTTTGAGCACGTCTCTCACACGTTTGCTGCAGTACGTCCCGAGTTCACCGGCACGCTGGCTATTAAGGCGGGTCGACACCCGATCCTGGAAAACGTCCAATCAGCTGGCACGCTTGTGCCAAATGACGTCTACTGCTGCGAAGCCTCCTCTTTCCAGATCGTCCAGGGACCAAAGTAAGGCTCGTTCTTTGTTCTGACGACTTTCCCATTGATGATTCGTGCACAGTATGTCTGGTATAGAAACACACCCGTGCATCCACGAACTTTTGATTGACCCTGATGCAGGAAAGAGCACGTATCTGCGACAGATCGGGCTGCTGACCGTCATGGCAATGTGTGGATGCTTCATCTCCGCAGAATACGGCAGCTTCAGGTGCGAGTCTTGCTACTCTGGCTTACTTCCCTCGTACTCCTGTTCAATTTAGGCTTCATGATGCCCTGCTCACTCGACTGTCGAACGACGACGACATGGAGAAAAGCTTAAGTACTTTTGCCAACGAGATGGCCTCTTCTGCCATGATCCTAGGTACCTTGTCGGACATCCTTCATTTCCGGTGCATCTGACTTCCTCTACTGCTCAGGAATCGCTACGCCGAATTCACTGATATTGATCGACGAGGTCGGGCGCGGAACTTCTCCTAGAGAAGGCGTCGGTATCTCACACGCCATCGCGGAAAGTCTGATACAACTGAAGGTGCGCAGGGCAATTTCCTGGAATCCTTGTCTCGATGACGTCTGTGTCTCGTAGTCCTACGTTTTCTTCGCAACGTGAGTGGCCTTCGGCGGTAGACTCTACTATTTGACGCGTACGCTCATTCTTTCAGGCATTTCAATGAGCTCGTCACGACGCTGTCGCGCCAACCCTCTGTCGTCAAGTGAGTGATTGCTATCCTTCTCCGTTCGGCTAACGGGCTCGCGCTAGTTTGCACCTGTCAGTGCAGGTATGGATTACCCCGAAGGCATTGTGGTTTTGTCTGATTGTCTCCTGACTCCAGAAAACACGACAGTCCAGCTCAAATTTCGGCATGGCCTTCCAATACAAGTGCGCTCACTACCATAACGCACCTGTGAGCCTATTGATAACCCCACGCCAGAATCGTCGATGGTGCACCGGAATCGCAAGAGCACTATGGTTCGAACTGAGGCCTCCGTATTCTGCCTCTCAGAGCTGACACGCACGCAGGCCTGGAACTCGCGCGGCTTGCCGACCTACCTACTGACGTGCTTGGCGAAGCGCAGCGGGTGGCGGAAACGCTCACGGAACTCGAAGCGCGAGAGCGACAGGAGAGCGAGACGAGCAAGGTTGCCGTGCGGCGGAAAGCTCTGCTCAGGGTAATCTCCTGCTGAATCTCCCCCTTCCAATGCTCACTAGATGTCTGCCTTATCTTGCTTTTTGTGTGCTGTGCTCTATTTCTTGCTTGCGCTCCTCTCCTCGCCTGTCCTTCCTCCTCCCGGACGCCAACAGCTCCGCACACAACTGGCACAGGCACTGGACCACTCGTCGTTGCCAGACGAAGAACTCGCGGCGTACCTGGAGCGATTCCAGAAGGAGATCACTAAAGCTCTGCATGATACGCTGTGACTGGCACAACCCCACTGCGGTACGATCTGTGTACAGTTTTCCGGCTGTGTGCCGCTCGACGAACTCCAAATTGGATGGGCCTCTGCTCGGACTGTGATACTGTGCGAAGCGTGCATGATTTGTATTCTCGTGTAATCCGGGATGTGTATTAGTTCTGGAAATCCATGCACCCCTGCGTGTCGCCTTGATCAGTGTACGCAATGAATCTCGATCAGAGATATCCACATGAAAAGGTAAGTCGGTCGGAGAATAGGAGTGAGACCCGGATTGACTGCCACATACTAAAGCGCCGCTTAGCGCTCGATACGATTCTCCTTCAGGATAACAGAGACGCTTATACCCATTTGAATTTTTGCAGCGTGGTTTCCCGAGGTTAGGAAATTCAAGCGTTCAAATTACTCTGACAGTGGCATGAGTTGTCTACCGTTTCCAGACGCGATTGCTTCCCGGACCTCGTTGTATAACTCTTTCTATTCAAGTCTAATGCCGCCGACTCCTGGAGATGCACCAAGCCACAGTGTGCCATCCGTGAGGTCCGACGCAGCAAGTGCCGGGCCTAATTACGTTTTCCGTCGTACTAGAAGCGGTCTATACGCGACAGAAACAATTCAAGAACCTAGCTTTGCAGAAGTGGCTGTCGTCGTTAATTATAAGATTCAGAACCAGACAGTGGCACGCAGCGTGACAAGAGTGAGGTGCTGAGACGCGTGGCGTCACGTAGCGTCACACCAATCCACGTGACCAGGACGCGTTTCGTCGCCACACTTCTCCGCCGCCATGAGCTCTCTTCCAATTCAGGGCTTCCTCACGAGGGGTTGCGATCTGGAAGTTGGGAGTTCTATGCACTGAAGAGCATTGAGTAGATAGCACAAAGAAATGGGTATTTAAACAGCACTCGAGGCGACCCACATAGGCTTGAACGCTGAAATGTGGCGGATGCGATGAAAGGAATTTAGGAAAACAATGGGAGGTACCAAGGAGGTACCAGTTGAACTGTCAGCCATACAGCCACCTGTTTCTGAGTCACAATGGTCCGTGCGCAACAACGGAAAGGCATAAATAGGGCGCTAAAACTCGTAACACACCTTAAACTCGAACATGTATGTCCACCGTCCTTTCCTGTCAAAGCGCTACTCACCTGCCCTCTCCTTCCTCCGTTTCTTGCTCTTGCATGTCGCCTCCACTGCCACTGCCCATCAACGTCTTCAGCTCGCAGGTGTGCTAAGCACAGATGGCCACGCAAGAGGTACGTTCGTCATTGTGGCCACGGTCGTCTCTGCTCCACATGCTGACTCGCGGACACCATCAGCCACTACAGCAAGACACTTCAAGAGCAACAACAAGAGAAACAAGGAAAGACAATTCGACAACAGCGACATCAGCAAGAATTCAGGCGGGTGGGTGGGCAACACCGGCAAAGACTGACGACACTTGAAGACGGTTGGGGCGGGAGGGTGGCCAAGACCAACTGAAGACTACTAGGAGGAAGACTGGTGGACGTTCAAGTTGGGGCGGGTGGTGGCAAGACCAACTGAACACAAGCGGACGCGTTGGTGGGCAAGATTAACGACGACTGACAACATTCGCAGGTGGTTGGGGAGGGTGGTGGCCAAGACCAACTGAAGACGACGGGTGGGCGGGCAAGACTACTAATGTTTGCAGGCGGTTGGGGCGGGTGGTGGGCAAGACCAACTGAAGAAAACGTGGCGGGCGGGCGGGCAAGATTGACGACGACTGACGGACTTTAGCAGGTGGTTGGGGCGGGTGGCGGGCAAGACCAACTGAAGACGGCGGGTGGGTGGGCAAGATTAACGACGACTGATGCACATTAGCAGGTGGTTGGGGCGGGTGGTGGGCAAGACCAACCGAAGACAATGTGGCGGGCGAGCGGGCAAGATTAACGACGACTGATGCACATTAGCAGGTGGTTGGGGCGGGTGGTGGGCAAGACCAACCGAAGACAATGTGGCAGGTGTGCGGGCAAGATTAACGACGACTGATGGACTTTAGCAGGCGGCTGGGGCGGGTGGTGGGTCAAGACCAGCGAAGGCCATGACAGCAATACCGGCAATGAGCAAGAGGTGGTGGGTGGGCCAAGGATATAAGGTGCGTCCCCGAGGTACGGGCCGACGTGCGGTTTCGCTCGTCGGTCCTGGCGCAGGCCTTTTCGTGGCCCTCGGGATAAGTACCCGCCGACGCCCACGACCAGCGCGGCGGGGAAACTAACGTGCGCCGAATCTTGTACTCTTTGATTGTCCACGCATACTGTATCCTGTCTTCGTAGTTGAGTCTGTCTATCGTATAACGTCTGCTATTTCCCGTATCTTGACACTCACGGAGACTGCTATTGCCGCAACACACTGAGCTTCGCTTGAGACCATCTTCGACTCAGCGAAGTTGTGAATTGCGGACATTTTTTACATGGTGATCACCATTAGTTACGATGATTGCCTTCACGCGGGAAGGATGAGAGACCATGAAAACATGCTGGTCATCAGTTACTTATCGCTTCAAGGGTCTGCGACATGTCCAACGCTCAGCGAAAAAAAGGGTCCGGAGTCAGCAGGAGCAAGAGTGAACGGCACACCAAAGGACAGAGCCGTTCCACGGTAGGCGCATGCATGGCAGTGTCGTTGTTCGCCAACTTTGCTACGTCCACATGGATCCAGTCCTCAGGAAATTCAAACAGGATGGCCGTCGATCTCAGCAGAGACTCGCGCAATGCAGTGGAACAACTAGGCCGACGCCGGCCATCGTGATGCACCGTGCGCGAGGCTGCTCGAGCTCGTCGTCCGCGCGACAAATCGCGTCATATCCAGAGGCACGAAGGTTGGAGCAGATTGTCTACCATCTGCCTTCGGGAGACTACAAGTCGCCATCGAGCGCGACTTTGAGTACGACCTGCTAGCAGCGAGTACATGGCACGGCATCACGCACCCGACTTGCGTCTCTATTCCTCTATGGCGTGGCTAGGCTGCTCAATACTTTGGATTCGCCTGAGCGGGTTCGTTTGCATGTCGCGCCTAGGCAAATATTTGGCCGAAACAAGTTGCACACCACGAATCAAAGTCTGCGGCAAGTCTAGGATCAGCCCTGGGATCAGCCCGCGGAAATGAAGTCCAAGAATCGAGCGCAATATCGAGCAGCGCTAGGTCTCTCACGGGCAGCGTCTCTAGACAGCAAGCATGGGCAACCTGTTCTCCAAAGCGCGACTCGTTCTCGAGGCGGGCATTCACCTCAGCAAGACCTACGACCTCCTCGCAGACCGCATCGCTACTCCACCCGGTCTCCCCATTCCCAATCCCACCCGCCCCTTCTGGACGGACCCCCCATCGCCCATCTCTTCCGATGGCGACCCTCTGCCGGACTACGCAGACGTGGTGATCATTGGCTCTGGCATCACCGGCGCGTCTGTCGCGTACACCCTGCTGGGGCTGGACAGCTCATTGAAGGTAGTCATGCTCGAGGCGCGCGACGTCTGCTCGGGTGCCACAGCCAGGTACGCACGCTCCGCCTTAACGTAGCATGTCTAGGTATAACATGTGTCTCTGCAGAAATGGCGGGCATATCAACGCCCCGCTTTACCACGACTACAGCGAGCTGAAGGAGAGATACGGCGAACGCGCGGCGGAGATCATGATCAGGTTCCGCTTAGAGCACTTGCGCGAGTTCAGGCGTGTCGCTTTAGCTGAGGACATCCTTAAGGTCTCACAGGTTCGTGAGACGGAACACTTGGATGTGTATGCGAATACAGAGGGCTTCGCCCAGGCGAAGGAGAACCTCGCAAAGTGGAAGAACGACATGCCCGTCGAAGCCTCCGGTTTCGAATCGTATGACGGTAGTGAAGCTAAAACGGTGCGTCCTGCCATCTACGAATTCGTGACTTTCATTTGTGTTACTTCGCAAATTTTCGAGTCAGTGTTTCGTTGACGCAATCTGCCACTCCAGAAATTCCGCCTAGGCGAGCAGGCTGTAGGATGCATTCGAAATCCAGGCGGAGCTATACATCCTTATCGTTTCGTTACGTCGCTGCTAGCCAAATTGCTCGACCGATACCCTTCTCAGTGAGTAGCAACTCGACATCCTAGTCATCACTGCGTCAATTATGGCCGTCCGCAGGTTCCACATTGCAACACGAACACCCTGCACCGCGATCCATGCCTCGACCGCGTCCGCTCCCCACTACACACTTACCACACCGCACGGCAGCATCACGACTCCACACGTCGTCCACGCAACTAACGGCTGGGTTTCTCACCTGCTCGCCCCCCTGCGTGCCAAGGTGATACCCGCACGCGGGGTAATGACCGTGCAGCGCCCAGGCTCGTCGCTGAGCGCGTCAACACACGACGGCGGGCGCTCGTACGTCTTCTATCGCGATACGACTGGGTACGACTACCTCACACAGCTCCCGACGGACGAGCACGAGCTCATGTTTGGCGGCGCCTGGGCGGTGGCTGTCAGCGACGGGCTGCCCGAGCTCGGGTTCGCGGATGACTCGGAGTACAACTTCGCCGCCGCTGCGCACCTCGCGGGCGCGCTTCCGCTGTACTTTGGGCCGGAACACTGGGGAGAGGAGGCACGAATCTCTGAGTCGGTGGAAAGTACTCAATGGGGGATAGGGCGCACGAAGGCTCAGTGGAGCGGAGTGCTCGCCATCTCCGTCGACGGCCTGCCCTGGGTCGGGCGTGTGCCGCCCAAAGTCTCAGGACGCGCGCAACCGGCTCCAAAGGTAGCCACGAAGGAGGGTGCGGCGCTGGCCCCGCCAGGGGAGTGGATTGCTGCGGGGTACACGGGCGAGGGGATGGTGCACGCGTGGATGAGCGGGAAGGCGCTTGCGTACATGGTTCTCGGGCGCGAGGGTGAAATAGAGGCATGGTTCCCGGACATTCTACGGGTCACAGAGAAGCGTTGGAAGGCGGCGAGTGTGGACGACATGATATCGCGCTTCATGTGATCTGCGGTCAGTGCTGCGATCCATGGGTCTCTTTCATCGAGGATTTTGAATGATCCCTGTTCTGTGGCTTTCTGTTGCATGTGTAGACTAATGTTACAATGTGGCCTATACATCTTCACTTCTTCCCCAGTGCTTTGAGGGCCTGGTCCACTACCCCCGTCAATGCAATGACGCCCTCCTCCTCCTGCGTCTGTCCAATAAGCTGCAGGCCCACAGGGCAACCATGGAACAGCTTGGGATCGTCTGCGATCGCCCGTCAAACACGCCGAATACGCCCAAAACACGTCAGCTGTGAGTGATACACGTGGGATAGATCTGCAGGTACACGCACATAGTTTGTATATGGCCTCGTCTTCGTGATTATAGAACGCGTGCGGGGCCTGCGCGCCGTCGAGCGCCGCATCCGCATACGTTACCGGGAACGCGCAACTCGTATAATCGAGTGCATTGCAGAATGTCGTATAGAACGCATCGCTGCAGAACGCAATCTTTGTCAGTGGGGGAAGTTGGCGAAGAGGGATGCTACGTGCGAGTTGCAGCCGTGCGGGCACGCGGTGTACGGCGCCACGGGGCTAATAATGGCGTCCACGGGACGGCCAGTCCCAGTCCTGGTCGCGGTCGCCTCCCAGTGGTCGAGATGCGACTTCCTGATCGCGCGCTTTTCCTTGTGCAGCTGCCACAGCTGATGGACGTGAAACCGTATTCAGTCCGTCAGGTCTTTGTTTGACGCAGCGGGAGACCCACCTCCCAGGCGTTAACGTGCCGGCGCTCCCCGACGATTGTGCGCGCCATCGGCTCGTCCAGAGCGTATTTGTGTGCGTCAGTGGCGGGGCTCATGGTTTGCAGGAGAGGCTCGCCGGAAAGTTCACATGCCGCGCGATAGTCGTACCCATCGTCCGCCGCGAATATATTCTCCTGCAGAAACCATCGACTTCAATTTCCGGTGTGGTATTTTTACACGAATGATACTAACCGCATTCCTATATATGTCCATATGGCGGTGCGGCTCCCAATCAATGACTGTAACACAGCAAAAGCGCGGTCAAAATCACGACGGCAGTTAGTTCATTCTTCCCAGACGTTACCTGTATGCCCGGCAGCCTCAAGCGCCTTCTTCACCATTTCCATTGCACGGCGCAAAGGCGGGTGAGGTTTCACAACTAAATTGTCCCACATGATGGCGAAACACATATTCACGCCGTTTCCGTGCTCTGCGAGCGCGTACTCGCGCTCGGACCACTCCTTCCTGACCGCAAGGGGGTCTTTGCGCCAGGGCCGCGCGTCAATGATAGCCTTGGCAAAGATCTTGACAGCGGCCAGGGAATTCGCCATGGGCCCGAGGACGGAGGAGATGGACTCCTGGCCCTCGGCCGCATTCAAAGTGTTGCAATACGGGAAACGCTCGTACGAGGGGCGCAGCCCGTACAGGTTGCAGAACGCGCTCGGAATGCGCACGGACCTGGTTCCCACCGGTGAGCGCACGATATTAGCGGATGGACACAGCGGCGATGCTCACCCGCCGATGTCGGTGCCGACGCCTAGGGGGCTACCGCGCAGAGCGATGAGCGCGCCCTCGCCGCCGGAGGACCCGCCCGGGGTCATGTACCGGTTGTACGGGTTCGTCGTGCGGCCGAACACATTGTTGTATGTCTCACCCCACTGTGGCGGCCATACAATTTAATTGACGGGCAGTGCAAGCAGATAGCGGGCGGGATTATACCATCAGCGTCTGCGGGACATTTGTGCGTACGAAAGGCACCGCGCCGCATTCGTACAGGATCTCGACCAGGACGCTGTCGGACTCCGCGTAGCGGCCGATCCACCCGGCGTATCCTGCAAAGGGAGTCAACAAGCCGGTTTCAATATGTACATGCTAAGGCCGCGTTACCCATGATAGTCTCGAGCCCTTTGATGGAGAATTGATCCTTGAGGGAGATAGGAAGACCATGCAGGGACCCGATGGGCATCCCGGTGGTTCTAAGATGATCGTCTACCTCCTTCGCGCGGGCGAGAGCGCGCGGCACAAATATCTCGGTGAGACAGTTGGTCTGTGAAATATACGGAGATCAAAATTGCGGACAGATGTGAGCAGACAGGACACGAACAAGCTGGTGGGCTATGATGGCGCGCTTGTAGAACGCGGTTGTCACCTCGGTGGAGGACCATTCTGCGGAGCGCAGCTTGTGGAGTAGAACCTCGATATCTGTGTCAGTTATTTCGAGCTCGTGGAGGGTCAGCAGTCCGCAAGTGCTAGGTATTTCGAGGACATTCGACTGGTAGTCGGCGGGAGTCTCGATCAGCCACTCTGGGGGAATCGAGTCGTTCTGTTTTTTCTTCCGCGAGGTGCAGATAGTCTTCCAGTCCTGGTCAGGCATTGAAGGAGAAAGAATTGAAGAAATGTATTCGAATCACTACATGCCTGGTTATCTCTTCGCTGACTGACACCGCGGTCGAGCGAGATAACGCGTGGGTATTTAGATCTGAGATGGGTTGCTTCTCATGGAGGAGAGGATGGTCCGCAAGATTAATGCGAAGTTCCTCTTTCGAATGACCTGGAAAGGGCCTGTGTGCTCTCGTGCTGCGAAGGTGTGCAAATACTTCTGCGAGGCATCAGCTCTGCACCCACGTTCAGCCTGCCTTGTTCAATGTTGCTACGTCCTCACTGGCAGATCGACGGCACCGGGTAAAATATATTCACGGAACATCAGAAAATACCCGGCGGAGTAGAGCGGGGAAGGCTGCCGAATCTCCGGACTCCGTTTGAGGACCCAGGGCGGAGGTGCGGAGTTTGAAGTAAATGTGTATCCAGGGACCAGATTCCGGCAATGCTTGTACTTATTTGTTCGGTGGCTCGCGGTCGGGAGGAACGGTTGTGCTCGTTGAGCTCGCTGTCGTCGTCGTTGACGGTGTTCTCCCCGTCGTCTGCTACAGTCCTTAGTCGACTGTACCCCATCTAGCCCCTCTTCCGCCTCATTCCTTTTCCTTCTCTCCTTAAAAAAGTTTGCCAGCGTCGTTGTGCGTCCATTGTCCGCTCTCTGAGCGTATCTGACGGTTGTATTTACTTTCTCTCCCGTTCACGACGCCGACGACCACGTCCACGACCTTTCATCGCTCTCAACTCGCTGGTGCTGGCAGTCAAGCTTCAGCCGTCCCTGCTCAATCGCAGTCCATGGCCGTTCTTGTGACCCAAGACTGGCATCCACCTAGAGATCTCACAATGGACGCTTCACCTTCCCCGAATCCTATCAATGCATCGGTTCCTCGCCAGCGATCTTCTCCTGCTAACGATCAGTCTCCCATACCTTCACCCATTCCCCAGCAGCAGCCTTATCCGTATCCGGTTCAGCAGCAGCAGGCAGGGTGGTCTCCATCACAGCAGTTCTATCCTGCATTCTACCAAAATCAGCCATACCCAATGCAGGGACAACCCCAGATGCATCCTCAGTCGGGCTACTACGATCCCGCCAACGCCCAATTCGCGCAGTGGGCCCATTGGCAAATGATGTACAACGCTCAGCAAGCCCATCAGATGCCCCATGTGCCCCCACAAATAAGCAGCCAGCGTAGTCGGAACAGCGCGGCCAACTCGAGCGACTACTTCGCCCTCAACCAGATGGCGGCGGGCTTCAACACCTTCCCCAGCGGCACGCCCCCACCACACCCCTCGCAGCTTCCCAACGGCTACCCTGCCACACCCGGTGACCAGTACGGTGGCTTTCATCCCTATCGTCGTCCACAGCGCCAGGGATCGTCCAATCCAGAGCCCCAGCAGCCAGGCAATGGAGAATGGCGGTCCGGCCCACAAATGGGTACCTTCCAGCCCCCATACGCTCGCGCCGATGCCGCAGGTTCCTCAACGTCCGTCAACTCGGGTTCGACCGCCTCGGGCAGCCATCGGCCGCGGACCAATAGCACGCAGGGTCCGACTGGCGGTGGGAGCAGCAGCCCGGCTGCACCGCCCGGACACAGTAGCTCCAAGTCCTCCGTCAGTAATGGCCATGGCAGAGGGGGATCCGTGACCTCGGTCAATTCGCAGGTATCCAGCGCCTCGTCACCGCGTCCGCATAGCGTACATACGCGCACGAATTCGTCATCCTCGAACTCATCGGCCGCGCCTCGGCCCTCAACAGTATCGACGGCGTCATCCACGTCAATGCCGCACGCAACGGCGACGCTGCGCAAGCCGTCACCGTTATCGCAGGGCAATTTCACGCCTCCGGTTGATCGGCGCAAATCGCGCGACGATAGCGATCTCGCCGCAATGCTGGATGAGAGTACGCATGCACCTGGGGTGCGCAGTGGAGGGCTGAAGGGACGCCTGCGGCGTGCGCTGTCACTGAACGCGAATGCTACTTTGCGAGAAGAGGACGAGAACGAGGATGTGCCCGTGAAGAGCGGTCCTTCCCGTGCGGGCAACTCCAACGCTGGCGGCAGTTCGCAGGCGGTGTTGGCTGGCGATGATGAGTCTACTGCGACAGTGCAGAAGAAGAAATCGCGTTCCCTCTTCAACTCTCGACTGAATCGCTCCACCGATAACATTTCGCTGTCGTCCACGATGTCCTCTGCCTCCATGGTGATCCGCCGGCTGGGAGCCATCGGAAAGATGGCCCGGCGAAACTCGCTGGCGGGCATCACCTCTCTATTCAAGGATAAGAAGGACAAGGACGATGATGAGGGCGGGGGCAAGAAAAACAAGAAGAAGGGAGAGAAGGGGGTTGCTGCGGAGGCGAGTGTCTCCCATGTCACCGCTGAGCTCGACCGTTCCGACTGGACTTCGGGGCCGGACTTCGCTGGGCTGAGTCCTGCTGCGAGACTTGCGCGACAGCACACGTTGAAGAGCAACGCCGAGGCTGCGGCTAAGGCGAAAGCGGAGCAGGAGGCTCGCGCTACTGCTGCAGCTGCCGCCGCCGCCGCTCAACAACAGGCAGGAGGAGACTCAGCTGCGGTTCCGACAACATGGGAGAAAAATACTACTACCCGTCAAGGTGAGAATGCTCCTGCAGCCAGGGTGAACGAGGTCGGGATGGGGCTTGTGATTGAGGATGATGATTCGGATAGTGATGGGGACAGCGATGGGGTTCCTGGCGATCACCAGGCGCACAACTATTCCATGGATGGATGGGACGATGATGAAGATTGGGGTGAGGGGCAGGAGGACGAGGACGTCACCATCAGGGCCGACTTTGAGAACGCCCACCTGGACGATGGTGAGGAGATGGAGCCCTGGGCGATCAATGTACGGAGGAGCATTGAGAAGGCACGAAGGCCGAAGAAAGGCATTTTGAAAAGTTAGTTGTTCTCCTCCATTATGTGTATCTCTCACAGTGTCTTATACAGCTCGGGCAGATGGGACTAGCTACGAGCAGGATGTTTACCTGCAGCATCCTAATCCTGCGTTTACCAGAGGGCGCGCCAACTCTTACGACTCCGTTCCCACTCATGTTGGCGAGCTTGGAGCCCTTGCGCTACTACCATCGCAAGATCCAGATCACATCGATGGCATCCACAGACATCCAACAAACGGACACACGTCTCCTAACCCTTCATTACCTCCGTTGTCGTTCGATACTAATAGCCTTTCTGTTGAGCCTTCGAAGCACGACACAAGTAGCGCTAGCGTTCCAGTTGCGGACAAGGCGTTGTTCAGCCACCCCAACTCATCAGCACCGGCACTCTCCACCATATTCTCCCCAAACCCTCCTTCCCTCGCTCAGAGGTCGGCCACGGCACCAGCCAAGCGGTTGGCGTTTGCGACCAACTTGTCCGTCTATGATACCTTCCCGGCGACTGTATACGACAGGCGCAGCGAGCCTGCGACTTGGAGCCGCCTGACTCCTGCTCTTGCGCAACGCATCAAGGAGGAACTCAATTCGTACAAAATGGAAGAGATGGAGGTGCACGCTGCTAGCCGCGTCCAGTAGGCGTTCGTTCTTCCTCCGTCGCTACTTGCACTAACCACGATTTCTTCAGCACCCAATTCTTCGTTTGATGTTACGCGTTGGCACTGTCTGCAATCGCCACGATCGCCACTTTTCACCTTCCCTGATGAAAATACGAAACAATACTACATCTTCACATCCATTGTCATCTGACATCCACCCCGTCCCCTTCCCTTCCTTTCCCTTCCCCACCCCTTTCCCCCTTATCCTAGTCGTCTGCATCATCACGATAGCTGTTCACGCACTTTTTGGATCAGATATCCGCGCTCTTCGATCTCACTCAAGTTATAGTATACCCCATCAAGCCCTCATGTAATACTATGACGCATCGTCGTTCCGGTCCCTACGTACATGTACGCTGCGTCGTACTTATTTGCTATCTCACTCTTTTCTGCATCTCAGTTACGGACTTTCATGGGAGCCCGCCCTATCATAGCTACTAAACTGCCGTGTCTACTATATTGCGCATGCTTTCTCACCACTGTCTTGATCGTCATCTTTTTTATTCTCTCACTGCGTAGTTAGCTTTCTCCTTGTTCATATGCGATCCAAGGTAGAGCTTTGTATGCCATCATGAAAGTTACAGCGGCAGACTGAGGTCTCTGGGCCTGTACAGACTTACAGTTGCATGGCAAAGAATTCCATCCTTACGGATCGTCTTCCCGGCTTCGAAGGACGAGTATGTGGTAAAACGCGATGATATCAGGTGATATGTATATGAATGTCATTAATCTACAAGCTTGCGGGATGAGAGCTAGATACGAGTGCGGCGCATGGAATAATAGTAGGGTCAAACAAGAGCGTAGAGCGAGTATAACGTTCACCACAAAATAATTCAAAACACGATCGATGGACCCCAATCTCAGTCCCATGAAGGTGAAGTGCTGTAAGAGTGGCTGCGAGTAGTAGTTCCGTTCTGTGGCGGCGGCGGCTGCTGCTGCGCAGGGCTGGATGGCGACCATTGTGGCGAAGTCGGACTGTATGCCGGTGATGCCGGTGCTACAATGCAATATATTAGCAGAAAATACTGCCCAATACAGAAAGACAAACTCACAATAGGCAGGAGCTGATGAATCGAGGTTCAACGTCAGCAATACACAAAAGATACAGCATATATGCTACTCACATGCCGGTGAATATGCCGGTGAAGTAGGGGCTGAAAGTTGTGGTCAGCGTTGAGCGCTTCTAAGATGTGAATGACACTCACAGTATTTGGGGGACGATGGAGACGCCGGGGAGGTCGGTGAGTATTTCGGGGATGATGGAGACATCTGAGCCGGGGCTACACAGGAAATGAGACATAAGTAACTTAAACAACATACAGATGTACATGAACGTACAAGCTGATACAATAGAAGACACGGGTACAAAAAGGGTTAGTGAAACATCCAGAATAGCATAGAATGAGGCACTTGCTTGGTGAGTCTGATGAAACAATGTCGGCATAAGCATGGATAGCACCATCACAAGTATAAAACGCTTACAGCGCGGCGACGCCGGACTGAACGAGGGGCTCGTAGGTGAGTAACGGGGCGACGTGGGACTAAAGGACGGTGATTGGGGGCTATATCTTGGGGACGTCGGTGAGAATGACGGTGAAGTAGGAGAGTAACGCGGGCTCGTTGGCGAGTATCCTGGCGACGTGAGGTTAAGAGCTGGCGACGTGGGCGAATAGGTGGGTGACGTCGGCCCGCGAGCAGGATCGTAAAACGGTGATGTCGCGTACGGCGAAGTACCGAAAGGCGATGTTGCTCCGCCATACGGCGAAGGGGGAACGTAGGGGGATGTCGGAGAATAGACGTTGGGAGAGCTCGGGCTGTAACCTGGCGCTGCAGGCGACATACCTCCTGCACCCCTGGGACTCACACCAAAACCGGTGTATGAGAAGCTTGCTGCATCTTCTCCTCCATGGACAGCGAGCGGGGTGAAAACTGCGGCCTCTCCTTTGAAGGAACTGTCTTGCCACATGGGCGAATTGCTGTCATATGGAGTCATTGCAACTTGGCCTGGCGTGACACCACCATCGACCTGACCAGCCAGCATGTTCTGCACAGGTAAGCGGTGATCAACGATGACATCCTTCAACATGTCGATGTCGAGCGCGACGTCGAATGCACCAGTACCCATGGGTGCCATCTGGCCGAACATAACATTCTCCGCAATTCCGTGGCAATCATCCTTCTCGCCAACTGCAGCAGCTTCCATGAGGATCTCTACAGTCTCCTCGAATGAACACCTCATTAGTGCTCCAGTATCCGCTCGGTTGATACCATGGCGTGTGATAGCCATGAGCGTTCCCCGGTGCGTCATGAGATCGCAAAGGAGCGCCAGGTGACGATAGTTGACATACGAGCCGTCGAACTCGATGACCCCCCGAAGTTCTCGCATGATCGCCGCACGAGCAGCTTCAATGCCAAGGACGTTGAAGATCTCCACGCAACTGTTCGAATACGTCCGCTTGTAATCGACGCCGTCGATACACATCACCGTCTTCAGATTGACACCATCCGTTTCAAGGACCCATTCTTTCTCGGCACGAGCCTCAATGCTGCCTTCCGGAGTTATGACAACTTTGTCATGCTCCATCAGGAAAACGCGTTGGATGCCCGGCACTCCACGAAGACTGATGGAATTCAGCATGGTATTCTCCAGCTGACGCAGGAAAATGTCTTCTTCAACAGTCCCCATGCCATCTTCATCCTTTTCGGCTCCACCCAATACACGGCAACGAATGATGAGTTTCTCTGAGTTGTCCTCGCTCCAGATAACGAAGAGGTCGGTCTTGAAGCTCTCTGCAATGCGTCCGGCGACATAGGGCATCGTCAACTTGCGATCAATCATCTTCGCACGGTCCAGTTCCAATCGCAGCAACCAAGGGGACTGCAGATGTAGCTTGGATTCAACTTCCTCGTCGGGAATAGCGAAGAAGGACTCGACGAAAACACTGTCTTCCTCGATGATTGTTGAGCTTGGATCGGGATCATACCATATTTCCACAGCCGCAGTGACGGTGCGCAACGAAGTAAAGGCAAGCTCCTGCTGTACCTTCTTCGCCAGAACGTCTACCTTCGCGATCTCCGGTTGGAGATAGACGGAAAGTGACGGAGTCTTAACGTTCGTCGCTACATTGATGATCTCCTTCAACCGCGGAACACCGAGGGTAACGTTCTTGCTAGAAACACCGGCGTAGTGGAACGTATTCAACGTCATCTGCGTGGCGGGCTCTCCAATCGACTGTGCGGCCAACGTTCCACACATTTCACCAGGATGCGCCAGTGACTGATTGAACTTTGATTCGATCTCGCCCAGCACCCACTCGAACGCTTCGCGGTTAAGGTGGAATTTCTCCAAGACACGGCGAGCAGCGAACGTGGCACGGAGGTGTATACGGAACATCAAAGTCGCATTGTCCTGTGACTCCTTTGCGACCGCGTTGATACCCCGCACTACAACTAGCCGCTCTGCCAAATCCCGGACTGCTTCAACGATGTACGCTGGCTCAAGATCACTGGGCTTTCTACGATCGATGTGGAAGATCTGCATCGCGTTTTGTACGATCCGCTGGAGATTAACGGGCAGATAGTGGGTGAGGGTTGGATCCATTCCACGGAAGACAAATTCGCGGAGTAGTCGCCGATCTTCTACAAGTTGGGCGAACTCCTCATCCAATTTCGCCTGGAGCTCAAGTGAGCTGTCGTCCAAGCCAACTTGTAGCACACCAGGAAGGAAGCCACCCGAGGGATCCGTGACATCAACGCGGTAGTCGTGCTCGAATTCGCGATTGTTGAGATTGTAAGTCTCGAGCTGCTGACGCTCAATGAACGCGCCGTCCATGCCGTCTTCGCCATACACGAACTGGATGAGATCCCCGAGCGAGTTCCGAACGGTCCCGTCGTAGCACACCATGACATCCTCGAGGGCCTTGACCAAACGACGCTGAATGTAACCTGTCTCGGCAGTCTTGACGGCTGTGTCAATGAGACCCTCTCGTCCTGCCATCGCGTGGAAAAAGAACTCCTGAGGAGTCAAGCCGCGAAGGTACGAATTCTCCACGAAACCCCGTGCTTCAGGACTGAAATCATCCTTCGTGAAGTGAGGCAGTGTGCGATGCCGGAAGCCGAAAGGAATACGTTGCCCCTCGACAACTTGCTGACCAACACAAACTGACATCTGCGACATGTTGATGAAGGAACCTTTGGAACCAGCCGTGACCATCTGTTTCACGTTGTTGTCTTCCTTGACATGCTCCAGTGCATACTTGCCCGTTTGGTCACGGGCCATGTTGAGCTCACGAACGACTCGACTTTCGAACGACTCTCGGATGGTCATACCCGGTGCCGCCTTGAGTCGGTCGTGCGCAGCATCGTCAATCGCCTGTGTGACATTGACCTTGCGGATAGCAATCTGGTCCGTGATGTGCTCCATCGTCTTCCGATCTGCGATGGTATCTCCAATCCCAATGCTAAACCCATTGTGGAACAACCAAAAGTTGACCACCGTTTGAAGGCCCGTGAACAACTGCCGAGTCGCCTCCGGTCCCTTCTCGCGAAAAACAACGTGAATGAGACCGGCCTGCGTCGCACCAACCGTCTTCTTCTCCACGATGCCAAAGATGATCTCGCCGTTCTCAATCATCATACCGTCATCAAAGACTGGGTTCGATGATTTCGGATCGGGGGAACGGAAAATATTGATGCCGCGGGGAATGCACAAACTGAGGATCTGTTTGCCCGTCCACAGAGGTTTGGGCTTGATGATGGCAGGTACTGGCACAGTACCATCCCAGTCTGGCACCCACAAGAGGATGTTTTGCACCTGATTCCAATCAAGGAACGTATCACGCAGAGTGAATTTCCGGACACCGCACAGGGCGTCCTGCACGATACCCATAACTGGCCTGTTCGCTTGAGGGGTGATAATCTGTGCATTCAGGTCAGTTAATGTTACCACCGGAAAAGACAAATGAACTGACCTGGCGAGGTACCCACGCTATCTGACTGAGCTCTGCTCGAGTCTCCTCGCTCTGGGGCACGCTGTAGACCCTTGAGGACGATATGGTGATTGAAAGAAAGATATCAACTTACTGCATGTTCATCTCATCACCGTCGAAGTCGGCATTGTAAGGCGGCGTCCTTTTGAAAGTTCAATGGATGTCATGCAAAAGAGCATCTTCTATACTTACACAGAGAGATTTAGGCGGAAAGCTATACACGATGCATTGATTAATACAGCGACAGCTAAGGCGCTAAGGGCCCGACTTACTTGAATAGGGCATGAGCTTGACACGATGACTCATCATACTCATCTTGTGCAGACTAGGCTGCCGGTTGAATAGAACGAAGCTGCATGCGAAGATCAGAACAGAGATCACAATGAGGCAAACGAACGACGGACTCTCCGTCCTTCAGATGGCGCTCAACAATCCAACCGTACTGCAAGAATGCGTCTGCACGCTTGTTGTACCTCAGATCGATACGTTCACCAGTGTCCCTCACGACGTATCGGGCGCCAGGATACGCCGTAGGTCCGTTCCTTACAAGTTCCTGCAAATATGCAATATTGTATGGCGTAACTGGCGCGGGCATTAGCTTTGCAATGCATAGTAAATCTAGATATGAAACTTACCGCGCTCAGGGAACGTCAAGTTCATTGCTATACTCTTGGGCACACCAACCTCGTCCAACTCCAAGTTGGGATCGCCAGTGATAACCGTACGGGCAGAGAAATCGACGCGCTTCCCCATCAAGTTACCACGGAGTCGGCCTTCCTTGCCTTTGAGACGGGCACGGATGGCTTTTACAGGCCGTCCGGATTTCTGGAGAGCCTGCGGAATTCCAGCAATATCATTGTCCATGTACGTCGCAACGTGGAACTACGCATGAACGTGTCAATCAACATGTTGCTGGAGCATATGACATGAACATACCTGGAGTAGCTGTTCGAACTCAGTGATAACGTGGGCTGGCGCACCCTCCTGTTCGCATCGCCGGACATTCGCAGAAGCCTTGATGATATCACCCAGCTTGTAAGTGAGATCATCTTCGCTTCGCATAGTGCCACCGTCCACGGCAATACTTGGTCGTACTGGGGGCGGAGGTACCGGCATGACGGTGAGGATCATCCATTCTGGGCGAGCGTACTCGTCAGAGAGGCCAAGAAGATGAAGATCCGAATCCGAGATCTTCTTCAGCGCGGTGTAAACCTCGTGTGGAGGGAACAAACGCTTGTCTGGCTGGAGAGACTTCACCTCCTGCAGTGCGCATGGACATTAATATGTAACGGTCACCAGAGTCACAAAACAAACCTCATCCTCATCCTTTGACCTCTTGTACTGCACGAAGAGCTTCAAACCTTCCTTCCTAATGAGCGGCTGCGTGGCGCCGCACCCTCCATGCCCCTTCTTAGGCTCGTCGTTCTCCATTCCGTCGTTATCTTCTTTAGGCTCGTCGGATTCACAGATCATCTTGCCTTTGCAATACGCCCACACAGCCTGCATACGAGCCTTGGGATCCCGGATGTGCCGGATCTTGTCTGCGAAAGTTGTGTCCGACTTACAGGATCAAATTTCGTGAAACACGTATTCGGGATTGAGGTTGATCGAAAAAATATGCAGGTCAAAACGTCAGCACGCATGCCTTCTCAATGAACATCACAGGGTCCTGCCATGCCATGCGACAAGTGCGACACGATCGACATAAACACAACAGGGGGCTACCAAATTCGAGAATCAAGTGCAGGCCAATAACGTGCCACTCTCTCTGCGTCACAGCGAGGGCCGTTTAGCCATCCATCTCAGCGTGACTCTGACGAGACGACGACTGATAGTCTTCGCACTCCTCGCTCAGCCCCCCATTTCACCACGCAACCGCGTGTCCAACCAACACCGAGCGCTTGTAAGGGTCCACGCGGCGATCAAGCGATCGAAAACGCGCGCAGTCCACGCCACGGGTGGAAGAACGCCTCGATTGTCGAGAACAGACGCAGAGCGGGCTTGGGGTTCTCCATGGATGTGGAGAGAGCCCCCAGAAAATTGGGCAGTGGGGTGCGAAACGAGTAGAGGAAAGAGAGTCCACTCACGCTGTCGGCTTTCAATCGCCCACAATTGACACAGATACACTCCAAGATTTTCTTCACTTTCACGATAAAACCTGGAATGCAATCGTAGGTCGGCCGCATAACACGCGATAAACTCAACAGACGCACCTGGATGAAATACCGGCCTCGCCAACTCTATGTGACCGAAATGACCTGGACATTCCGACATGCCCTCTCCACAAGTCTGACACTTGAAATTCCGGTCGATCGTTCCCATACGAGGGTCCATCAAACCACCCGCCTTCGGTTTGTGCGTAGTTTCATCCATGACTTCCGGATGCTCGATCTTTGCAACCGAGTACGCTTTCTGCGACGGAGGTCAACAAAGACCGTGGGAACGCACGCAGAAAGAGGACTTACAATCTCTTCAGGCGAAAGGATACCGAACTGGACCTCCTTCACCTTGCGGACGGGCGCCGCGGAATATGCAAACTGATGACCGAGCATGTCTGAAAGACGGGAGCAGCAAAGACACCAGCGAGGAAAAGAATCGTATGGAAGTGCAGGAAAAACGACAACAAATGGCTATAGAACAAAAATCCACGGTATACAGGGACCTCTTCAGCGCGTTCGCGTGTTTGAGAGGATTTGTGGCCACACAGGAGACCTTGCAGCGATTTTTGAGCGAGCCACGCAAGCTGAGTCAACGAAACGAGACGCGGCTGTGTCGTCAGATCTCGAGAGATTCACAGTAAGCAGCAAGAGCAACCTCGAGGGAATGTCGAGGGCGACAGAGAGCGAGAGGGAGGGTCTTCGACAACGGGGACGGCGATGAGGATGGAGGTTGCTGGACAACCCGCGTGGTGGGTCACGAACTCTCGGGGCCGCCCTTTGTCACCACTGTCACACTCCTCGGTCACAAAGAGTCACGCTCGTGCCGCAGCTGGGCGCTTAACTTGGCTGAGTTAACGGCGTGCGACACAGCGACTGTTCTCTCTCCGTCCACTTCACATGTCTTCCTATCTCACTTCTCTCCTCTGGGGGACATCCCAGGTCGACGATGCCGTCGGTATGTTGTCTGGGACGGAACGTAGATGCACAGTTCACTCACGCTCACTGCAGACAAGGCAACCTCGGAGTTACTGCCATCGGGTGCCGAGGACATCGCTCTCAACCTCGAAATATGCGACCAAATCCGGTCCAAGTCTGTGGCACCCAAGGATGCGATGCGTGCCCTCAAGAGGCGGCTAAATCACAAGAACCCTAATGTGCAGTTGTTGGCGCTTGGTGTACGTGTACACTCTGTGGCAATGAAGAACCATACAACTGAGCCACTTCGTAGTTGACAGATACTTGTATCAAGAATGGCGGAGACCTCTTCCTCAGCGAGATCGCCTCCAGAGAGTTCATGGACAATCTGGTGTCAATTCTGAAGATTCCTGCCTTGAACATGGACGTTAAGAACAAGATCCTCAGGCTTATCCAAAATTGGGCAGTGGCGTTCGAGGGCAAGCCAAGTCTTTCTTACGTCGGGGAAGTCTACAAGACGTTGCAGCACGAAGGTGAGTTACACAATAATGAATTTATCTCCTTCTCTCAACCGTAAAATCCAGGCTTCAACTTCCCACCTAGAGATCCCGCAGTAACTAGCTCTGCCATGGTCGACACCCAAACGGCACCAGAGTGGATCGATTCCGACGTATGCCTCCGATGTAGAACGCCCTTCACCTTCACAAACCGCAAACATCACTGCCGCAATTGCGGGCAGGTCTTCGACCAGCAGTGTACCTCGAAGGTTATGGCGTTGCCCCACTTCGGTATTACCCAGGAAGTCAGGGTCTGCGACAGCTGTTACACGAAGCTTAACAAAAAGTCGACCAAGTGCGTGGCATAACATGGCTGCATCCATCCGTGTGAGGCTTACCCACTTCGTCCCCAGGATTCATCGCACTTCTCAGAGCGTCTCCGGCTCTCGTCATCATGCCGCTCGCGAATTCGCCGACGCCGATCTCCAAAGAGCCATCCAGCTTTCACTCCAAGAGGTTGGTGCTGCAGGTGGGTACCGACCAGGCTACGTGCCATCTCCCTCGCCATGGCAGTCGTCAGAGCCACCGCTCGTGGACAAAGGAGCACGCCCATATGCAGCTTCCACTCGTTCTGACGCCGACGAAGAAGACGACCCAGATCTCAAAGCAGCTATCGAGGCCAGTCTGCGGGAGGCAAACGCGCCGCAGCCCAGCGCTCCCCTCAGTGTCGAGGTGCCCGCCCCGGAACAATCATATGGCTCGTACGGTATTGGAGCCGGATATCCGCAGTCGTACCCACCATCTGCTTCTACTCCCAGGCCCCGCGCACCGGCCATTCCCACCTACGATCTAGAGCCCCTGGAGAGCGATGCGATCATGACATTCAGCCAGACAGTGGAACAAGTGCAGACACAGGGTGGCAGAGACTTGTCTAGGTATCCTGCGGTGACCGAACTGTTCGATAAGGCCAACTCACTTCGGCCAAAGCTCGCGATGAGCTTGAGCGATACTGGACGCAAAGAAGGTGGGTGCTAACCGTATGCAATCGGTAGGTTTCATAGCTGAGTCCCCTCTCTCAGAACTATTGTCGGAGATGCACGAGAAGCTGTCTGAAGCTGTCAAGTTGTACGACAAGCTGTTGACAGAACAGGTTTCTCGACCAGCCTGGCGAACACCGTCTGTTGCACCTCAGACCACTGGTTACCAGAGCGGATACAATCCACGCTACCAGGCCGATGGATCCTACAGCCACTGGACTCCCGAAGCGCAAACGCAGCGGCAGACAGCACAGGCACACGCCGAACCCTCTTACTTCTCTGCGTATCGGGATCAATCTGCTATCGCGAACGGTGCATACGTCACATCCCCATCTGCAGATCCATATGTACATGCGTACCAGCCGCAGCAGCAATCGCCTCCTGAAGTGCCGCGACAATTCTCGCAAGACCAAGCGCAGCCGCAATTCGCTGCGATGTCGCCAGTAACTGTACCGCAATACGGCGCGCAAGCCCAGCTGCAAACACCGGCGCCTCCGCCGATCGCTGTCCCGTACCCGCCACCTGTAGCAGCTCCAGTTCAACCGCCCGCTTCCTTCCAGTCTCCATCACTCACCTCAATACCGCCACCTGTTCAAGTACAGTCGCCGCCGGTTCCCTTCACCCAGCCGCAACCTCCCGTTCCACCAATGCAGTCCCCCATCTTGGCCCCCCAGCCGCCGCCGCCGACATCGACGCTAACCCGACATAATACTCTCTCATCGCCTCCAGCACCCGCGGCGAATGCGTACGTCCACCGGAACAACGCACCGTCATACACGTCGCAGCAGTTGCAGCAGCTGCAGCAGATTGCGGTCCCTGCCGCACACCTGCCGCACTTCCCCGTCGCGCCCACGTCGTCTCCGCAGAGCTTCGTCGCGTTTAGTCCGCCGGTGGAGCCTGAGCGAAAGGAGGCGTTGCTGATTGACTTGTAGTGATATTATGTATTTTTTGTTATGCAGCATGCGGATATATGAGGACATATGTATGTTGCTTGCAATGGCTACTGGTGTAGATCATGCGGGGCGCGCACTTCGCAAGGACATAGTTCTTGGTGATGTGTGACAAGCAATGCTGAAATATAACGGAAAACTGACCGTAACTAATATCATCGTCACAAGGCGCGGAGACACAAACACAAGCATGAACAACTTAAATAAATGCGTCCAATGGAGATACATGTGAACCCGAAACAAAGAGATCATGATTTACGAGAGCTAACAGATAACCAGCAAACAGAGAGGTAGAAATGCGATGTTGATGTACTAAAGAGACGCGTTAGATCGGTACAGAAAAGTGCGGTCACGATCACCATCGACGACCATCTCCAGGGCGCCACTTGTAGTTTGTCTGGTCCAAATACCACTTCGGCTGCTCTGTCTCGCCGAACCAGGCGCGAAGCGCCTCCACCGACTTGAACGAAGGGGCTAGTGCGAGGTCGTAGTTCGTGAACAACGACAAGATAACCGGACTCCCAGCGTTCAGCGGCGAGAGAATGGATAACAGGCCAGGAGGCCAAGACAACTGGAGCTCTTCAGCCAACAGTTCTACTGTTTCCTGCAACAGTACAAAGTACCCGACACGGTCCTCATCCGGATCGAGGTTCCTGGCGGTGACCTCCTCCTCCGAATCGTCGGTGTCGAACCCTGCGTCGTCATCATAATCTTTGTCGGCATCCTTCATATGAGTTCGCGAGTTGCAGAGGACGGGTAGATTGAGTTCCTTGGCATGCTGGAAAAGCTTTGCTTGGTTCACAACCCAACCACAGTGAAGGACGGGAGGCTTCAACTCGATCTTGGAGGATGGTATCAGGATACGAGGAAGGGTATCGAAAGGCGGAAGCTGCTGGATTTCCAGCCGACGCTGGAACGGGAGGAGAACGTGAGTATAAAACTGTTTGCTAACTGAACCGGCTGTCAATACCTTGAGCGGGAACCGCTCAATATTCACGTTAAACGGTTTGAAGGGAATAACCAACTTCCTTGGAATGCTATTTGGAGGGTCGATCCAAGGAATGGCTGGACGATTGGACTTCGCTGGTTGCATTGCGAAGTGCGTCCCAGGTGCAGAGTGTGCCTTGGACGCAGAGCTTGCCTTGGATGTAGAGCGTAAAGAACGTTTAGTTGTGGTGGTGCAGGACATTCAACATTGTAGACGAACGCAGACATTTGAACGGCAACTTGGGCCGGGTGGCACGTTCCGTTCTTGTTCGCGGAGTGCGAAATTGGCCACATCGAGATCTGAAGATCTGACGTAGTATTCAACTTGTTGAAGTCACGCAGCTGCTTAGACTTGTCCATATCTTGCTCCCGACAATCTGCCAGTCATACTTATATTACCTTCAGTACACCATGGCACCGGATAAGTCCTCGCGAAAGCAAGAAATGAAGCGACCGTCGAAGAAGACCAACAGTCCGCCCGTTCCTTGGATCGACCCTTCAAATATGGATCGAAGCGACTTGGTCGTTCCCTTTAAACCGTTTGACATGCATGTCGAGAGGTTTCCACTCCAGGTAATTACAACCGTTTGTGTGTTAGGAAGCAATCCATACTCACCTACACTCCGACAGCGTCTGAGGGAAATCCAGCAGCTTCCTGCTTTCGATACTCTCCCTCGCATCCTGATCCCGTCCTCTAAGTTGGAGATAAAGCCGCCCGTGTTGCATTATGCTTGGATTACAGACCGGTTTGAGTCCAAGCTTTTCCAGCACGCGAAGGATCACAATCTACCTATAATGCGCAGCTCGAAGACTCATATGAAGTATGATTCGGACGACGAGTACTGTTCGGACGAAGACGGTGAGTACGACTCGGACGAGTTGGAGAAGGGCCTCACCGCTAATGACCTCGACCCAGAGGAAGATAGCATCGGCTACTACCAACTACTGCAGGATACCGCCGTTTTTGTGCTCAAAGAGCTGAACTTATCTTGGGCTCCTGACTTGATAGACATTACCAGCTCGCTAAATTGCCGCGACTCGCTGATCCTTTCCGTGTTCACGAACTATGAACTTGCACGCGCCCCTTCTCCAAAGTCCGTGGAAGCACTCCGTCTCTGGCTCGAAGAACCGGATCAGCCGAAGTGGTACTTGGACGAGATGGACTACAAGTGGCGCCCCGGATATGGCCGTCGATGGTAAGCGTGAGCTGCTCTCAACGGTCCGCCCCTCCCTACCGTGTCCATCACATTTGCTAACACGTCCCTCTAGTGCATAAATATCGCACCTCTGTCCGCGAGATATGTGTTGCTCTTGTGCACCACGATTTCACTATGTCTGATTGACGTATATCTCCACTGTGCTCGTCTATTCAATTGAAATAAATATGTATGGGAATGAACTAGGGGCTCGTTCATGCGCCTCATCTCAAAGTACTCATCAAATGATACCAAAATTTACCTTCTGAATGAGACAAGGACTCTGGCAATGGCCTATAGGTCAACCTGGGTAATTTGCTCTTGCATCACGAGTTATCTTGATATGCATGCATCACCCGCGAGGGCCACGATGACTGCAGAAGAAACTACTTTATTCTTTGGCTGCTCCGTCTCTGCAGTGGTTTGTTCGATGTCCTGACATGTTGGTTTCCGGCAGCCTCAGGGGAGTGGCATGGCATCGTCGTCTGGCTTGCGAGAGTAACAATTACTAGTCGCAACCAATATCATCGTTACAAGGAGTAGACAGAAGAAATAACCATACACGACTTCGTTCGGCGAGAATAAACGAGTACGGCGAATATATATGAGAACCCGAAACAGAGAAATCATGGTGAACGACAGCAAATAGATATCTAGCGGGGGGGACGACGCTAGAGGAGTTAGAATATGCAGCTGGCGCGAAAAAGCATGGCAGACCACTCACTTATCACCATCGACGGCCATCTCCAAGGCGCCACTTGTAGTTCATCTCATCCAAGTACCACTTCGGCTGCTCCGGCTGCTCGAGCCAGAGACGAAGCGTTTCCACCGACTTGGGAGAAGGGGCTCGTGCGAGGTCATAGTTCGTGAACAATGAAAGGATGACCGGACCGTCGGCATTCAGTGGGGAGGTGATGGACAACAGGCCAGAAGCCCAAGGCAACTTCAAATCCTCGACCACAAGTTGAACAGTCGTCTGTAACAGCACGTAGTAGCCGACGAGGTCCTCCTCTGGATTGAGGTCCCTGGCGGTGAGCGCCTCCTCCGACTCGTCGGTGTCCTTCATATGGGTTCGCGAGTTGCAGAGTATGGGAAGATTGCGGTCCTTGGCATACTGAAAAAGCTTCGACTGGTTCACGACCCAGCCACAGTGCATCACGGGAGGCTTCAATTCGGAATTGGGCGATGGGATCAAGATACGAGGGAGAGTATCGAAGGGGGGAAGCACCACGATTTCCCTCAGACGCTACAACGAGAGATTACGATGAGTACAGATTAATCAGTAACCGAAGCGGCTCTACATACCTGCATGGAATACCTCTCGACATTTGGTTTAAAGGGAATGACCAAGTCCCTTCGATTCCTATTTGGGGGGTCGACCCAAGGAATGGAAGGACGGTTAGTCTTCGGGGGAGGTTGCTTTGCAGGACGTGTCTTGGGTGCAGAGCGCGTCTTGGGTGCAGAGCGTGTCTTGGATGCAGGGCTTGTCTTGGATGCAGGGCGTGCAGAGCACTTGGTCGTGGGCGTGAATGACATAGTAAATGGAGACGGTGGTGGTTGCTTTGGCGGGAAGTCCGTCCCACAGCGCCTACCATTTATGCAACACCGAACATGGCCCACGATGACAAATTCGGCAACTCTAGTGTTCCATTGTTGTCTCATTGTCCGCGCCTACACACATGGCCTGCGCAAGCCCCATTGTCCTTCTTGGCCACACCAGAATGAACGACCATGCGAACGGTACCTCAGACATGGCCCAGTTCAGTTGGTATAAATAGGCAAGGATTATCCCACTCTTCCACAACCTCCGCCTGCTTTTGGTATTACTTCGACTCCTTCGTCTACTTACAATGGTGAAGAACTGGCCGAACAGGTTCACAGTCACCAGAAAGGACCACATGGAACATCAAAAAGTTCTTATAGACGAAGCCGACAATGATGACCGGGAGAGCCCCCTCTACCATGCCATTGATTGGGGCCTCAACTTCAACGCCCTCCGAACCACTATCAAGGGGAAACGCATCTCAGTCCATCCTCAGGCTGAGCTGGAAATACCCGGGAAATACACCGAGACTGTACCGGAAACAGGTGCTCTAATATGTCGATGCCCCTTTATTTTTGTCTAATCCCCTTTCGTGCAGATCGTGCCCTTCGCAGTGAACCAAGAGCTGTGGAACCCGTGGGTCAACTTCAGGAAGATATGACTCAATTGTCTATCAACTCCCATGGCGATGACAATCTTCTTTTGAATGAAGAGGGCTCTGAGACGAATGTGGAAAGCTTTTCTGACGACGGCAGTGATGATTCCTCTCGCACGGAAAAGCCAGAGGGCTCTCCTGATAGTGACGACGGAACTTTTCCCACCAAGAAGGCGGAAAGCTCTTCTTCTCACGATAAGGAAGTCTATGGGGAAGAAGAGAAGATTTTTTCTCTGGTTGGAAGCATCGATAGTATTTCTGCCCAACTCACAGACGCCGGCGATTCTGCTACTACCGTGGTCGAGTCCCCCAAGAGTAAACACCGACGACCTGACTTCATCACCTTAATAACTTTTCCGGACAAGCATCGACGGGTTCTATTCATTCACGAGGTCAAGCCTTTGAATGTGTTGTTGTATACGAACAAACAAACCATTTTGGAGGCCAAGGTCTCGATGGCATTCCGCAGCCTGTTGCCACAGATCATTCAACAAGTCCAGTTTGGCTTCGAGCATTACCCTGACGAAGATATCTTGTACATCATGGGTATGGTTCAGTTCTATTTTTGCATTTACAGGTTCTACCGTCGCCGTACACCGAAGTATGGTGAGCCTCTGCCCCAAATTCTTGAGGACATTCCAGAAATGAGAAAGGGCCCTTACAGCCTGTTCAACAAGACTCAAACCGACTATCACAGCAGATTCAAGTACTGGTGGACAAGAGTCAGGGATGATGCCACCTGAATGCATCGGGCCGAATTTGAAGCTGTTCGGGTGCGTTCGTATTGGCTGGGAGGTGTCGTGGTGAGGCGGGAGATGTCTAATCCAGGATTAATATTGAATTTGATATCTGAAGCGATAGTTCATTTGCTGTTGGGGGAGTCAATTGCTCTCTTGTGTTTTAGGCGTATAGATCTCCATGAACTGCATATCCCGTATGATACCGCGGTTGTTATCCTTCCGACGCATTATTGTGCAGCAAATGGCCATCGTTGCAGTATTGTGAAGCATACTGGCGAGAGAATAAACGCGAAGTACCATCCACTGTAGCACAGAAAAATAGGGTTTGTCCACGTACGCTGTCTCAAAATGATTCTCAAGTTTTGCGTACAACTCTGTGAGCAAGAGAAGAATACTATAACTTATTCGTGAAGTAGTTGCGGGACAGGTTATAGCAATAATAAGTACCTTGGAGCAAACGTATTCCGCATATGTTTCTAAGATGCGCTTCATTCGTCGCCGTTGAAGTACCGGCAGATAGGTGATTATTTACATTGTTTACATCACGATATCCGCCTTCGCCACGAATGGCTTAGGACATACTGCCTCGACGGACCCATTAATGAAGATATTGTTAGACTGAGAAGGTGTTGGAATAAATCTCGAACGCGTTTGCGCCACCGGCGCACGTTCATTTTTGCAGAGTTCGAAAGTAGCCACATCGAGATCTGACGTTGTGTTCAACAACTTGTTGAGCAGCTGATTAGCATTGTCCACATCTTGCTCTGAACAATCTGCCAGTTTTAGTCTATTGCCTTCAGTACACCATGGCACCAGGCGCATCCTCGCGAAAACAAAAAAATGAAGCGACCGTCGAAGAAGACCAACCGTCCACCCGTTCCTTGGATCGACCCCCCAAATATGGATCAAAGCGAATGGCGAGGTCGTTCCCTTCAAACCGTTTGAAATGTATGTCGAGAGGTTCCCACTCCAGGTAATTACAGCTGTTTGTGTTAGGAAACAATCTATACTGCACTCCCGCAGCGTCTGAAGGAAATCCAGCAGCTTCCCGCCTTCGGTACTGACTGAGCCTGGTCTTTTTCTCCCTCCACTGTCGATCTGCAATGGGCAACCAGACTTCGCGCCACCGACGCGGACGCGGAGTTAGAAATTGGCCACATCGAGATCCAGCCTTGGTGAACGTTGAAGTTGAGTGGAGGTCGTGCACTTAGCTGCCTTGTCCGCAATATCTTGATCCAGACAGTTTGCTAGAGACAATCTGCTAGTCATACCTGTATCGCTTTCAACACATCATGGCACCAAAATCGTCTCCGTGAAAAGAAGAAGCCTTGAAGCGGCCGTCGAAGAAGACCAATTGTCCGGCCATCATACCTTCCCTCAGCATGCACTAGCACCGACCTGGTGACGGAGCGTGGAAGCAAGGGTCGGACTTCTGCAAACCTTTTTCTACAACGATAATGTAGATAATTTATTGCTGCGGATAGCGTGACGAGTCCGTGGATACAGAATGTAATATACACAGGCTAGATGTAACAACGAATGCATGTAGTAAGTAGCAGATAAACACGTCAAGTAAATGATAGGCACCCAAGGCGAGTCCGAGGTTTTTACTCCACACCTACTGGCGTTCGGGCTAACAGCACTCACCGCCGCGCGGGATCATCATACGGCGTCGTAAACTCCTCGCTCTCCGGCTCGTACGGCTTGTCGTTGAAGTGCATCGGCGGGCGGATAATATTGGGCACCGCTCGGTACTGCTGGTTCCGCGAGTCTTTCACGAGCTTGATGAGCACGCCGATGAGGAGCACGAGCACGCCGCCGATGAGGCCCATGATGATGTATGAGTTGCGCGTCAGCCCGCTCAGGTTGACTGAAGAGGAGTCGCCCGACGACGACGACGCGAGGTCCGCGTTGGGCCTGACGGCAGAGCCAGGGGTGCTGCTCGGGGTAGCTGGAGAGGAATTTGCAGAGTTGGAGGAGGGAGAGTTGGAGGAGGGGGAGGAGGGAGAGTTGGAGAAGGGGGGGCTGGGAGAGGAACTGGGGGTTGCAGAGGACGGGAACACGCTCGTGCTAGGGACAGAAGAAGGGGGTACAGAAGAGATAGAGGTACGGACCGCGGACGGCGGTGCAAGGGAGTATGTCACGCTCATGGATGCAGCCTCAGCATACGAGGACGTGATGTTCGCATTCGCCTGCATCTGCTGCCACTCGAGCTGCCCGATACGTTGCAAGTTCAGAGCGTCAAAGTTTGCCCAAGCCGCGTCGGGGTCCGTCAGCTGCAGATCAGGCGTCGAAGGCGGTCAGGAAGACAGAGGCGGGAGAGGCGGGAGGACTCACAGGGAGGACCTGCATGTAAGGCGCTGTACCCACACTAGCGGCAGTCCAATTGCCATAATAGAAGAGAGAGTAAACGTTCCGCAGAAAAGTGTCACCAAGGAGGAAGTCTACCAAAATATCAGATGTCAGCTATCAGACAGCTACTCGAGAACGGTGAATTACGCACCCAGGGGAGTACCGTCAAACATGTACGCGAACGTACCAAAGCACTGCACCGAGCCATCATCGGTTACATTGACCATGGTGGCGTCGATTGGATCAATGGGAACCAGAATATCACTATCGGAAGCCTACTGAGAGGGCAGGAATGACGGGAGGTGTAAAAAAACACACCCGAATAGCATGCTGATGTTCAACTTGGTAGAGCAAGGCACTTCGTATGTATTCATGGTACTACTGAAGTTCGCGCCAGGAATATTCCCGTAGATCGCGTCAACATAGTATTGCGGGGCAGGAACTGTGCAATTTGCTTGTAAACATCCCTTAACTAAGCGATACGCGATGTGAAACCTACTGAGTGTCGTTCCGGAATCAAGGACAACGAGCGTCTGATTTTCGTTGGGAATGGCATTCGCGCTCGTACCGTTCACTCTAACCGTCAGATTCCAATAAGTATGAGGTAAGGCGTCAGACAAATAGAACTAACCCCATCGAGTGGCCAGTAAGGAATTCGCCGTTAACGTAGATGCCATCCATGAATGTCAGAAAATCAGTGTCTGAATGAACCGGCAACTGAGGCGTATCGAGAATGGACGCATAATCCACTACGAGCTCCGCTGTTCGCAAAGAAGACATGTCAATACACGTACACGTATCACAAGATATGAACACTGACAGATACTGAAGACACCACCCTCGGTGATACCAATGTTTGAGCGCGTCAGGAGAAGAGTGATGAAAGCTTGTTCGTCAGGGTGGTAATTGAATACCTGACGGGCAGTGACATGGAATTAGTCTCGAGAATGCGATCTCATTCAGACACCCACGTTATTCAGAAAGGGCATGCCACTATATGAGGAGTTTAACAGCTGCCAAAAGATCTGCGAAGCGAGTGGGCTGTGGAGAAACCACGTTAACGCGCAAGATGGGACATCCAATATACCGCACGTACGGACCAATCCCCAACAAACCGACATCGGCGCCAGCAGCAGTGGCATTTGAGTCAATAGCGTTGACTTCGCGGAGTTAATCAGATGAAGCTACACCAAGCAATGACTGAGGGGCTCACTCATAGCTTGTCCCTCCACCAAGAACTCGCCGACTGAGACATTCGCCATGACAATAGGGCCAGAGGACTCAGTCGAATCACTACGATTTAGGCGAGTCAGAACCGCATCTCCGAGCAAGGACGACAACGAAAAGGACATACGCATATATGTCAGTACTATTGTATCCGGTATCAATGAACCCATCAATTGTAACGTTAGAGGTATCGATCCACAGGTCTGAACTGCCAGTGTCGAGCTGGACTTGGAAGGGCTGGCCTTGAACATACACTGTTATGGTGTACAGTCCATAAGCCTGCCAAGCGTCAGAAAATCCCACGTTGTTCGCGTTTGCTGGGTTGGTGACGACGACGGTATCCGAATGACTCGCGGCGCGGCGTTGAACGGGAAACTTCAGTGCATGACCCGTCGCAAGGAGAGAAGAAAGAGAAAGAAAAACTAGACCCGCGAACATGGTAGCGCGGCCAAAAACCTCGAAGAGATAGAATGCGAACTCATGGCGGTGGCGAGGATGTCTTTTATATGCGCGTTAGTGCGGTATCTGCTGATGGAGGACTGCTTCCTGGAGATCGGCACTAGTACTCAGGCTGACGGCGGGCGATGCGCCCGACCCGCGTGGGGTAATCTCCTTCATATAGAAGGATCATTCATAAAATTTGCTTCCAGTCCAATCAAATCTCTCTTCTCTTCAACTCCGACTGAGAAAACAAGAACAACGTGAGAAAACAAGAAAAATGATAATCGCCGTGAGTTTCACACTGTGCCAGGTCGTCAAGGAGAACACAGGTCCTGTACATGTACCTTTCTTCCCGTTTGTGCCAATTGTGAGTCCTACTGTATCTGGGAGGTGCACACTCCACTTTGTTCTGTCCGCCGAACTCTCCAGGAGTGAAAATTGCACAGCGCAATCGGAAAACGGCCACTGGGCACCTGCATGTAGCACCAGCTTCTGTGGTAATACTCAGTGCTCTTGGACCCACACCCGGTATTGTGCGCACAATCAATGACCGGGACGCCCAATACTTTGTTATCCCCTTGAGGAAGGATCGGTTCGGCGTTGACACAGCACCTCCGATCCACTGGCGGACTTCACCAATGATTCCACAAAGCTGTGGCAGGGCGAAGTCAAGCACAGCGCGCATTGCCCACGAGGCAGTCCAATCCAAGATGAAGATATCGGGATGCATCCGGCGCTGAGGTCGGCTACGCCCGAACCCCGAGGTCACGATCATAGTCGCCAATGCATCAAAACTGTGCCTACGGTCCGCCCATGGACACTGATACCAGGACGCGCTCAACCTGTGGCGCAGTTCTCCACTAGCAGCACTTCGACAAGGCCAAGAACATACGAGCAAGCAATGCATACTCGCTATAAGAACGTGAAAAATGATACAGATTCCTTCGTCTGATTCTACTCAGCTTTGTATCATACACATCTCCAAAATTATACTCCGACAACCATCCTTCCCTAGTCGCTAATGTATGTATCACCAACAGATAGCCAAGGAAAACAGACAACCTGCAATGACGCTCGTAAGCACACGGAAGAGATTGTAGCTTTTTGTCACGTACTGACTGTTGAATAGTAAATCAACGGCGATATGGCGCTGGTACGTCGGCAGGAGCCCACTTCCAACGAGTATGACTCAGATACCACTTTGGTTGTTCTGGTTCGCCCAGCCGGAGGCGAAGTGCTTCCACCATGCTAGCTGAGGGCGCCTCCGCGAAATCGTGATTGGTAAACAACGAAATTATGTGTGGGCCACCTGGCGCTGAGGAGTGCACAACGCTGGAAATGTTAATGGGCCAAGGTGACTTGGAGTTGAGCTCTTCGATCATGCAAAAGAGAGCATCTCTAAGGAGCATCGTGTATGTCATCGTCGGGCCGCTTTTAGGATCAAAATCATCCGCAGTGAGCGACCGTGACACGTCAACGTTGTCAGACTTATTGCCAGTCGATCCGTCGTGGGAGCTCGAGTCCACAAGCATATTCTGGAACGGTGAATGCTTGAAGACAGGTAATCTGTGGTCTCTGGCGTACTGCAAGAGCATCTCCTCATTTGCGACCCACCCACAATGCAGCACAGGTGGCCTTGAGGCGGACTCCATGGCAGACCCAACCAACATGACAGGAAGTCTGTCGTACGGAGGGAAATTTATCACCGAGGCTGGGGGATGCTGCGTGAGCAGAAAAAATGTGTCAAAATGAATGCAGCAAACGTAAGAAGATGGTGCCCGCACGATCATTCCGTCCTGGTCTATGCGGTCTGCTGGCGGGAATAAAAAGAACTTCATGTCGCATTCGCCATAGATGTCGATCCAAGGATATCCAGTGATTAAAGCAGTGTCGGAATCTGTTGGGTGTTGCTCAGAAGTAGAGTGCTTGGTCGTAGCAGACATGGTGGTTGAGGCGCATCCGGCAAGTTCAACTTGCTTTATCATGGTTATCCGTGTGATAAGACGCATTTGGCAACCTGTGTATTTACTATTTGTCGCCCGTGGCTGAGGTACAACTACAACCACTATATTCGCAAATTTCTACAAGCATGTCTAGTAACGTTTGCCGTACAGTTGCACGGGGTTGAAGGAGGCTCCGTGTTGCAGAACTGTCCACAGCGCGCGTCCAGTGAACGAGAACGCCAATAAACGTTCTGTTGCAAGCACGACTGCCTTCGATCACCGCACAGTCACTCAAGGAGCTCAGGGGAAGTCGCTTTGGAAAAGCGAGACAACACGCAGACCCCCTCCGCTCGCCATTCGTTTGACGGCAAAGAACTCAGTCGGCCAGGGCAAGTTCAAGTCTTCGACGATGATCCGTGTAACCCCACTTTTCATCAGCCAGAAACACGCAACCATGTCGTTGGGGTCCAAGTTGGTAGCCTTCGGTAATCGGCGAGAACGGTTGACGGACAACTTCAACGATGCGCACATAACAAACATGTCATAGTCTTTGGCATATTGAAAGAGCATTGTCTCGTTCAATACCCAGGCGTAACGCATTACTGGGGGGTCGCATTTTCAACCGCGAAGATGGAATGAGGATACGAAGATTCAAGCGTCGGGAAGGCGGGAAGAGTGATAACCCGGTCGACTTGCTGCGTTGCGACAGTTTGCAACGAGTGAGAGTTATGAGGTCGAATACATATACTCACCTCAGGAGTAACCTTGCCCGTGAAATAGGGCCTGTAGGGAATGATCAGGCCGCTTCTATGAGTGCCTCCAGGTGGTGGTCAGAGTGAAAGGTGGCAGGAACCCACTACAACCTTTCTGTTTCAGTGCCGTGCATGAGAGAGGAGTCGGGGCGGAAGCAGGTAACTGCAGCGACCTCGTTAAATGAGATATTACAATTAGTTTGAGTCAAAGCTTTGCCAGCATGCGGAGGATCGCAATCCAGCAGCTTGAAGACTCATATGAAGGATTATGATTCGGAAAATGGGTACGACTGGCACGAGTCGGAGAAGGGGCTTACTGCAGGGGACCTCGACCATGCTTTCATGTATACTCCACCTGTTCTCGTTCTCAAAGGCTACCTCTCTGTCTGACTCTCGTGCGTGCAGCTCGATTTTTTGACATGGTCTGCAACGTATCCGACGCCGATACTCAATGTCAATCGTTATTCTTTGAGCCACAAGGAATGACAGTTGCGCTCACCATCTCCACAAGTTTTGTAAGTTTTGAGAGGCTCCTCGTGTCTGATTCGCACCTATGGGTGGCATTGATGCTCAATATCTGTGAAGACGACATAAGTAGAACGAATATTGGCAAGAAATGCGAGTCTGCGAGAGCTGCATAGGCGACGATCGGCGCTCACACCCACGATGCGCTAGTCAAATTATGGTTTGACGATCAGCACGTCCCAGGATCCCTAGTGGTAAGGCCCGTGGTCTATCTGTAGCGCAGTTCCACAAACTATGTTCAATCTACTCTATTCAGTAGGCCCAATCCGGAGAGTTACTGTGGCATACTGTAAGTTGTCCAAGCAAGACATCGATTAGCCAAATATTCGTTTCGAGATCTCCGCCCACGCTCTTCTCCGCTCGTCAGCAGCTGCGCCGTTACCAAGAACTGACTTGTTTTCAATAGCGCGTCGGCTCAAGTACGGCATGACCTGGCGCCAGCAAGCACTGAATTGGCGAAGTTAATGGTAAGTTGGCACACCACTCACTTCTGAGAGGTTTCCATAAGGAATATATTTGAGGACGAACGGCGAGGAGCAACGCGTGCGGTCAACCAGACTGTTCGTCAACTGATCGCTCATGCCTGGGAGATCGACAAATCAGCATATCACAGGAGAGACGCACCAGAGACACATACCATAGAGCTGCGCCAGCGTGATGCGCTCCGTGACCTCATCCGGGAGATCAAGGATCCCATCAGCGCCCACCGTAGCCAAACCCGATTTCGCCAGCTGGCTCAAAATCCGGTCACAGCTCTGCGCATTGTGGGAGCCAAACAGGACGCCGACGCGGGGGACTACCTCGCCGCGCGCGACATCCTTCGCGATCTCCTTGACCAGGACCGCGGCGCAGGTGTTGTAGCAGTTATCCGTGTCAGACTTCACGGGCCAGACGGGCGGCAGCGGGTCGGGGGAGATGGAGAGCGAGGTGGGGGAGGCATGGGCGGCGATCTCCTGCGGGTGATACGCCCCGCGCACGAGCTTAACGCCGAGCGAGTATCCTTCCTTGCGTGCGGCTTCAAAGCTCTGGGCGAGGAACTCGGGCGTCCTGTGGGGTGTCAGGAGCAGTGAAAAGTGTTTTGCCCGTGGCTTACCGGCGGAGATATGCCTGGTACGTTGCGTATACTAATGGCTGGACACCGACGGGCGCTGGAGGGGGAGACGAGCGAAACCAGGACGAGCGCGCAGGAACCGGAAGCTTGTTGAACTCGCGGATGAGCGAGAGCGTCAATGCATCTATGGCCGGCTCCTCAGGGCGTTAGCTCCACGCTCGGCACTTGAAACACGGAAACCATACTTGGTACCAACTGACAAAAGGCGGCCCATCAGTCGTGCTACAGGTATAGAAAAGGCGACGTACCTGTGTTCCGCGTCAATGATGACCTTGATGCCACGAGCTTGGGCGCGCGCACAGATTGCGCCGAGGTCGGAGCGCAATTCCCGAAGTGAAATAACGTCTTCTTCAGTGAGCGGGCTAGGTGGAGTATGCGCAGTGAGAACGTCCAAGTCGGTGGGGAGAGGGCGGCCGGGGAAGGCGACAAGCGGGAAGGGCGTGGGGCGAGTAGCGACCAGGTACTTCGATAATCTGATTAGGGAGTCCGCGTTGGGCAGAAGCGCGCTCTGAAGGGAGTCAGATACGCATGAATGACGAGGTGGAAGGCGACTTGCCAGCTTCACGGCGACCCATGTCCTACGCCCTGTGAGCCGGCCGTGTGCGTGCTTGGCCTCAAAGTCCGCAGCCACGTCGATGCAATGGATAGTCTCCTCCACGATCTGTTTGTGCACGGATTGTTTAGACTGCGAAGCGCCCTTGCCTGCAGCTTGAGCCTCGTCAACCTCGACGCTGTATCCGAAGAGGCAGCCCTTGTTCTCTGCGCGCAAGTTCTCAAGCAGCGGTACAGCATCTTCTGCCGTATCTCCGCCCACGAACTACCTCCGGCTCTCAGCGCAGTGATGATCTTAGAGCAAACAAACGCACCTGATTGAAGAATGTAACGCGGACGATTGCTTCTGTGAGTTGCTTAATACCGGGAACAGACGTCAGGGCAGAAAGGATTGCCGGAGACCAGTCGACAATAGTAGGGACTGAACAGATGGAATATACAAGGTACGACCTCACTAGTGCGCTCAATGGCGTCGGCGGTCGCTCCGAGTGCCCCACCGTCTCAGATTTCTCCGCATCGGCATGTATACTACTAGAGACATTTCCCAATACCAGAGAAGTAGTGAAAATGCCTCCTGACACGATACCAATGTAAGAGACACGCGATAGTGAGAGACGAGTAGGACGTGAGCCAAATGAGAACGTTCGTACGCCCCGCCAAGCAGCCGTCCTCGGAGCAGCCTTCCAAGTAGCTCTCAACAGCATGATGACGGTCGTAGACAAGTGCAACGAATGCCACAGGTATTATCCTCTCAGAGAAACATGGAGCAGTGCGCACGGAAGGACAGACGGATGATGACCTGACTCGGATGTCTGCAGCTTTAAATTATACGTTATCTGCTACTGAATCCTGTGAGTCACCGACGATCTCGCGGAGATCCGAGACCTTCCGCCAGCGCCGTGACCGAGGGCGAGAGCCAGAATTTTTGAGTGAAATGTTTCTTTCAGGGCCGTGGACGAGCGAATAGTTTCCGCAAAAGGGAAGTCTCTGCGAAACATATCCCGGACTCAAAATTCAGTCTGATCCTGCTGTGACATAAACCACTCTCAGCAACTCCTCAAGTAAACAGCACGGCATGCCGCCTGGGACCGGTGACTCGCATGGTCGTCTATGATCCTCAGAGTGCATTTTTCACCGAAGATCGGCGGGAGTTCGGTCAACATGTTCACCACTATCAGGTTCCGAGGCTATAAGGAACCAATCATCCGAGACGCCCGGGCCAGCATATATTCCCTCGACATAGGAAATGTCATCCAGCACGAACCACGAGCAATCCTGAGGACTGGACATCATAACGTCCAATTTCCTTCAATAGGATACAAAGAGCATCCCATGTACCGGCGCCATAATTTAAGGGGCAATATGTATTGTCAGAAAAGCGCTTGCGCTTGACTAAGTTGTCGGTAGAGTGATGAGAGGGTCGGTGCTGTCTTTGCGTCACAAGGCACCGTTCAGTATTCCCATGCAGCACACCACAATCTGGGGCGAGGGCCACACTTGATGAAGCAAAGACGTACATACCGGAGTTTACATACAGTACCTTGGGTCAGATGAGTGTGCAGTCACAGTATGTATACACATTGTCCCAAGCTAAACTTGTGTCTTCGGATAAACAAATTGTTATAACGTTACGACGTGTCTTGACTTTCCTGGAAATCGAGGGGCTACCGCAAGATATCTTCAGAGGTATCCTTGCTGCTGCCTCAAGCTTTGAAAGACAAGTCCGTTTGATTCTCAGAGCAGTATGCCAACCAGCACCGCGCAACGACAGAAAACGGAGACTATGGAAGCTTACGACTTGCTTCGAAGCTAGGTGCGGCCCCGAGATTCCCTCAGGTGAGAGGCGAGTACATCCAGAGCACGGTCAAGACTTCTCGGAGCAACGAGATAACAAAACCCTGCAAGTTGGAGATAGCAAAGCAACTGGGGTCTAGGAGGTGTCTCGCGCAGTGAACCAGGCGGGCCGGCGCCTATAATGCGGCTCTCGTCCTGCACGCCACAATCCGTTACCCTGTCCTACCAATCCCCATTCCTCCATCATGACGAAAACATACATTATGAACGGTCTGATAGAGAAGGTGCGTTATTTGTCCCTAGCTGGTAACTAGACCTGATCGTCCGCCCTTAGATGCAATCTCCAGACCAAGATTTCAGGTATGTGATCCAATGATATTTCTTGAACAAGTGTCAAGCGCGGAATGACATTGCCAGGTATATGGGTCTGAATGATCTCTTGTTAGAGATTAAGGCGGATCCAAACACCCTACTCGGCGACGAGTCGGTGGAGAACAAAGTGCTCCGCCAGGTTCTGCAGCTGGTGGAAGACAAGATCTCCGAGGTGAAGAACCAGGCCGTCAAGTGGTATGTCCCTGTACTGCTCTGCATGTCTTAATCACTGTTTAACGTGTGTAAAGCCTCGGTCAATTGATCAAGATCATCCGGGAGTCTCAGATGGAGTTTGTTGTCGATCGCCTCATCGACTTCTCATCCGGCAAGGACGACGAGCTACGGGACATCTCCAGTTTGGGTGAGGTGACCTCTTACACACGTCAGATGTACGCATTGACCATCTGGCTAGCACTGAAGACTATCACGGCCGAATTGCCACCCGAGGGCAAAATTGCGGCCAAGGCCTGTGAGAAGCTCACTCCGAAACTGCTCGTACAACTCTCTAATGTACGTGTCTGTTCCCCCCTGTACGTCTTCTTATTGAAAATATTCTGTTTTTCAGTCAAACACGCCTCCAGAGACTTTGATTGAGACACTGTCCATCTTGTCGATACTGATCAGTCGCTTCCCGACGTATCTCTCGAACCCTAGTCTTGAGCCACAGCCACTGGCTGTACTTACCCCTATGCTGTCGCACCCGCGTCCTGCGGTGAGGAAGCGCGCGATTACGACCCTCGCACAGTTCCTGCCGACTTCTCAGCTCCAGCTCTTCTCGGAATTGCTCTCGTCACAAATCATGCCTGGTCTTGCGCCACTTGCAAATGTGGAGAATCAGCGCACGGTCGTGCAGCTTGTCTCCGCCGTGGCGCGTCACTCCCCCCACCAGGTGGCCCCGGTATTGGACTCGCTGGTGCCTAGTATCATCAAAGCTGTGCAGCGCGACGACGAGGAGCTGCGGGAGAGCTGTCTCCAGGTGTGTGTTGGGTTCCATTATTTGTATGCGTCTACTGACAACATTTACTTTACAGGCTCTCGAGGCGCTCGTGCTGAGATGTCCATCGGAGGTGACACCGTATCTCCCCTCTATCATTCAAGCCGGTAATCAGTACATCAAATATGACCCTGTATGCATACCCTTCTTAAACCCACGTGCGTTTCCTGACAATCTTAAATCAGAACTACGCCGGAGACGAGGATGAAGACGAGCAGATGGCAGATGAGGATGACGAGGATGCGGAGCTCGACGACGAGTGCGTAATACAAATATGTTCCACCTGGCATATCTGAACCCACTTTTTGCAGATATTCTGATGACGAAGATACGTCATACAAGATCCGTCGATCCGCCACGAAGCTATTAGCTGCGGTAGTGGGGACACGTCCAGAATTGCTGACTACCCTTTACAAGGAGGTCTCTCCGGTATTAATCTCGCGGTTCGGGGATCGCGAAGTGACCGTTCGCGTCGAAATATGGGCAACTTACGGCATCTTATTGAATCAAACTGGCCTGTACGGTGGCCTCCCTCAATCCAAGGACGGTGAATCCACCATTGGCGGTAAGAGGAAGCGGACAGATGACGAGGGAATGGATATCGAAGAGATGCCGTATACTCTCCTCCGCTCTCAGGTGCCCGCTTTGGCGAAGGCCCTGCTGAGCCAGCTCAAGTCGCCAAAGACGGCACCTGCAGCCCTGCAAGCAGGCTTTACGCTGCTGCGCGAGCTGCTCAGCGTACTACCTGGTTGCTTGTCGAGCCAGGCTGCACAGATCATTGCGACGACCAAGGCCGTCCTGTCGCAGTCGTCGAAGACGAACGCGTCGACATTGCATGTCACGTGCATGTCCTTCATCGCACTGTTCTTCAAGACGCACTCTCCGCCAACGTTCGCTGGGTCGTTGGACAGTATCACTCCTATCCTCCTCAAGTCGCTGAATGAAAAGCACCCTCGGTTGGTGTCCGAGTCGTTCCGTGTCTTCTCTGCGCTGCTGGGCGCGATGCAGCCCGTGAAGAGCGGCGAGTGGGTTGACCGCGTGTATACCGAGGCCACCCAACGACTGAGCAACCACGACACAGACGCAGAGGTGCGCGCGTGCGCGGAGAACTGTATCGGTGACCTGTGGATATGTGCGACAGACATGGTCAAGACCAAGAACAGGAGGGAATGGGACGCGATGTGCAGGACCACCGGACGGACGGATGGTGCGGTGCAGGTCATCACACGGGTGGCGCGTGAAGTCGAGATCGGCGACGACTGGGTGAATGGGTGCATACAGTGGCTGGTGATCCTATTGAAGAAGAGCGGTCGTACAGGCAAGAGCGATATGTTCACATGTTTGGATGCGCTCCTGAGAAGGTCAGTAAGCTGGGTTCCGATACTTCGCCTGCGCTAACTCCCTTGGTAGATACAAAGTTTGTATTCCTACCGATCTTCCGTCAGTCTTGATACCTGTGTTGAAGATCTACATCACCAACACCGACATATCTCTCTTAGCTCAAGCTCTGGCGATTGTCGCCCTTCTGCTTGAGCTAGCGCCTTCCACTACATTCCCGGAGGTCGAACAGGGGCTTCTCAGTGACATCTACATCATCGCACACTCACCGCTTGTATCTGGTGCTGCCTTCGAATCCGTGCTCGCCTTCTTCGCCGCGCTTGTGGAAGCTGATATGCAAATTGCGACGCACGTCGTGCCCAATCTTGTCATCAGCATCGAGCAAGCACCTAAGGCCGAGGCATCCCAATCAAACGTCGCGAGGTGTATTGGCCAGGTCGTAAAGAGCCAGCGAGGTGTCGCTGCAGGTACGATTGCAGAGTTCACGCGTCATCTGAAGGTACGTAGATACCCCAGCTCATCGTCCCGCTCCTCATTGAATCGATCGCTTTTGTAGCCGGCTTCGAAGGCCAAACCGTCGCAGGTGGTGCTCAGCCTGCTCGTGATGGGAGAAATCGGTCGTTTCATGTATGTTCAGTCTCTAACTCAATGTGTTTTGCTACAACGACGTGTCTTCGCAGTGACATGTCCCCTCAACACGAGATTTTCAACTTTGCGATTGAACGTTTCACAGCTGAACAGGAGGAAATCCGGACAGCTGCAGCTTTCGCGGCTGGTTTGTAATTTTTTTACCTCGGGTCGATGTACGCTGATCGTTCTCTCAGGCAATATGTCTGTCGGGAGTCTTCACCACTTCCTTCCCGTTATTGTCAAGATTGTCGAGCACGATGCCGAGAAGCGTCTGCTCGCGTTGCATGCCCTCAAAGAGGTCAGCCCACACTGAAGCTGACTTGAGTCTGGAGAACTGACCATTCACTACAGGTAGTAACTCACTGCTCACATAGTCAACTCGAGAATGTCGCCGATATGCTCTGGGTGCCACTGTTTGAGAACTCGGATAACTCTGAAGAGACCACTCGCAATGTCGCCGCAGCCTGTCTTGGCAAGCTGACCACCACACATCCTGCACGATACTTGCCACAACTTCATGTAAGTCTCTCCTCCTTGGGATATGATCCATATTAACGCTTCCAAATGTAGGAACGAATTAGCGACGAAAATCCTGCTGCAAGGGCAACCGTTTTGTCTGCCATTCGGTACACATTTGCAGAGAGTGCAAATTCATACGACGAGCTGCTCAATTCGTTGCTCATGGATTTCCTGTCCTTGATCACTGATTCTGATCTGGTATGGTGAACATTCACCTCACGTATCTGCAAGATAATTGACACCTTGTTCTGTTCTGGCAATTGTAGACTGTTCGGAGGCTAGCACTCCAAGCCCTGAACTCTGCAGCGCGGTCCAAGCCCCATCTCATCCGAGATCACCTCCCAACCATCCTGCCAAACTTGTACAAGGAGACAGTGATTAACCCAGACCTCATCCGCACAGTACAGATGGGTCCCTGGACACACAAGGTCGACGATGGTCTTGAACCTCGCAAGACCGCCTACGAGACCCTGTACACATTGGTGCGTAACTATGTGTGGCGTGATGAATACGTCTCATGCTCTCCCATAGCTCGACACATGCTTGGCGAAGTTGGATCTTCACGAGTTCCTCGGGCACGTATTGACGGGGCTCTTGGACGAGTCAGACGAGGTGAAGGTCATATGCCACATGATGCTCTTCCGGCTTGCGCAGGTGGCACCGACCGCAGTCGCACAGCGGCTGGACGACATCACACCGCCGCTGGAGAAGAGCATGAAAGGCGCGACAGTCACGAAGGACACGGTGAAGCAGGATTTGGAGCGCGCGGCGGAGCTCCAGCGCAGCACGCTGCGGGCCATCGTCGCGCTCAGTAAGATCAGCCAGCAGGGCATCAGCCCGCGCTTCGATGTGTTGGTCGAGTCGACACGCAGGTCGTCCGAGTGGGGGCAGGATTTCGTGGAGCTTGTCGGTGCGTAAGCGGTCGGATAGTCGAATCTTTCGTGTCTGCTTGCGCTCTTGTTCTGTTCTGCTCTCCATTAGTCCGCCAAGGGTCGCAACCGTAAGGGACCTTAGTGAAATTGTGTAGCCATAATATACCTCGAAAAATGTGTGATTGCACCCTAGCATACGCCCAACGACCACCTGTAACCGATTAACGCTGAGTATTGACCTTGTTTCAGGGCGTTACTATCGTTGACCCGGATATGCAATGACTCAGAAATGCCAAACGTTTTTATGCAACTCCATTCCCTTACTTGATCACTTCAAGATTGGATATGTAAAGCCTGTGTACCTACGCTTGATGCTCCAAATTTTGGGTAAATATATGTGGCCTGGTTGGATCCCAGAAAATTTGCGATTGCATATTGCGGTTGGCGGGTGCCACACAGCGGCATCTCACTACGATGTTCAACGTAGCTCGAAAAAATCCGGAAAAATACCTGTGGTATTCTACATGCCATTGAAACGCCGGAGTCTATCGTGCCAGGCATTGCACAACGGGACCAGACGTGCCAAATTTTGCCAAATCTGGGTCAACGACAGTGCGACAGCCATGTTTCGAAGACCAGTGTGAAGTGCATTAGTTGGACTGTGAAAGTATACCTCGTCGATATCCGGCTCAAATCGCACGCCTGGAGTGCATCGGATATCGACTTCACGAAAGGCACCAGGCTAGGCGATCAAGCCCGTCTCTTTTCTGAAGGTGGGAGCCAATCAGACTGGATCACTGCTGGATGTGCTCCACTATTTGATACATTCAACGGTCTGTAAGACGCCATTGACGTCAACCAGGGGCCTCAGAGCTAGAACGTTGGCACTGAAATCATGGACAAGTTCAGCATTGTGTCAAATAATTGAGGGCGATACTGGCTTACCATGATTCGGCGTGGCTCGATGACCTGGAGATACACGTCAACTCAGTCTGGTGTGTTCTGAAATTGAAAATAAGCCCCCACAACGCAGTCCGTTGGGACTCCCATTGACGGTGGTCAAAAGGTCAGTGACAGGTCATGACGCGTCAATTACCGGTCATTGCGAACACTGCTTGGGAGCCTATGTTGTCGAGGTCACAATACACAGTCAGATCACATGACTGTTAGAAATTTACTGACTCATTTACCGACCTAATGAATTCCGAATTCGAGTGTGTCCCCGAAAAGATTGAGCTTTCGTGTACCACTTTATCGTTGAACGTGCATGCTGTGCCGACTCGGCCGCATAGCGGAAGCCCGGGTAGGTAGCCCCCGTCTCCAGACGATGTCCACACCAAGTGCACGAAGAAGAGGCTCACCAAGACTGCGAAAAGATGTTAGCCGGCGACCAGCTGCGGTGCTGCGACACTGTGTCCCGGGTAGTCACTGTCGTCTCCCGATCACCAAAAAATTCAGTTTGCTGACAAGCACATCTGAGCAGGACCCGCGCCGTCCCGACCAATGCATATAAACGTTAGGACGAACAATTGTGGTACCGCCAGTTTTTCTAAGTGCTTGACTACCCAGACCGCTGCTTTGACCACTATCGAACCTATGGCATTAGAACCTCAGAATCAGATGCAGCAACTACGAAAATTAATCGCAGAAAGTCACGAAAATGGGTGGGATAAAGCCTGGTAATATCAACCGAGGCTTTTGCTTCAGTAGATCGCTCACCACTACTCATAGGCAAGAGAATGTCACCCCATGGGATACAGGGAAACCTCAGCTGGCTTTGCAGGAATTGATAGAATCCAAGGCCCTTGACTTGCCTACGGCTGGAAAGGCTCTCGTACCTGGCTGTGGTCGAGTGAGCAACGTTAGAGAATGCGCGCAATCTGCTTACTGGTGCATACACAGGGATACGATGCGATCTTCATCGCCACCAGCCTCGGGTTAGACACTCTTGCGATTGATATATCTTCCACTGCCGTTGAAGCTGCGAACGAGTGAGTCTTTTGCCAAAACGGCATGCCATGGTCGAGATTCACTACTAATTCACGCACCGACATCATCAGCTTAGTGAAGTCATCGAACCTGCCCCCGACCGTCAAAGTGGCCATGGAACTAGGCGACTTTTTTGCTTGTGGATCCGCTGGACAGAAATTCAATCTCGTGTACGACTACACGTGAGTGTGTTCGAAAGTGTACGACAAGTAGCCAATCATCTCCGGATGCTGAACAGATTCTTTGTCGCCATCCTGCCTTCCCAACGAAATGAGTGGGCCAAGACGATGTCGTCCATCGTGGAATCGGGTGGATATCTCATCACGCTCGTCTTCCCGTTGGACCCGCCGAGCGACACAGGCCCGCCTTTCTACGTCAGACCTGAGCACTATGCCGAGGCTCTCGGAGCTGGCTGGGACAAGGTCTACGACGAGGTTCCTGAGACCGAGCTGGAGTCGCATGTAGGACGGGAGAGAATGATCGTCTGGAAGAAATTGTAAGAACTGCAGCGTATAGCTTCACGTAGATCAACGTTGACCTACCCAATGTACAAAACAACAAGTCAGATGAGTTTGAAACGATGAAAGATGACAGAAACAAAACTATGCAAGAGCCAATTATTAGTGCGTCTCAGACTCTCAATCATTGACTGTCGGTAATGATGCTATGATGGGTGTGACGGTCGCGGAGTAGTACCGTGGCCAACCGTCGACGGAACATCTCCTCCTGCTGCTCGAGGAAATCCTCGTCCTGCCCCTTCAATATAGCCTCTTGCTCCCTGCGGACCAAGTCTTCCTCACGCCTACGCAGTTCCTCCTCTCTCCTCTTGATGTCTTCCTCTTTCCGACGGGTCTCCTCTTCCTTCATGCTAACCTCCTGCTCCTTACGTCTCGATTCCTGCTCCTTGCGTCTGATCTCATCGTCTCTTCTCCTTGCCTCCGCCTCTTTCAGTCTATTCTCAGCTTCTTTGCGCTTTCTCTCCTCCTCCTTCCGTCTCTCCTCCTCCGCCATGCGCTTCGCCTCCTGTGCTATTCGTCTGGCTTCCTCCTCTTTCCGTCTGGCTTCCTCCGCTACACGTCTCGCCTCCTCCTCCTTTCGTTTAGCCTCAGCCACCTTCCATTTTGCCTCGGCTTCCAGCCGTTTCTCCTCTTCCTTCCGTTTTGCCTCAGCCTCTCTGCGTTTTGCTTCTGCCTCCTTCTGTTTCACCTCCTCTTGCTTCTGCTTTTGTGTCGGCGTTGAACCACCCGTCGATCTTCCCTGCGGAGGAGGCTTCATACTGGGAGAGGGTGTGCTGGCAGTGTGACTAGATGTGGCAGTAGGCGTGCTGGGGGCGTAACTGGGTTTCGAGGTCTGGGTATAGGCGGAGCCGTTAGAGCGCCCGGACGAAGACCATCCAGAGGCTGAACTCGTCCAACTCGAGGAAGAGGCCGTGCTGCTGCTCTTGGGAATTGGCCACGGATTCGAAGGAGGTACCGAAGCATGGGAACGTCCTGCCGTGGGTCGACTGATGTCAGAAGTGCTGCCCATGCTATCTTGCCTCTTCCTCTCTTCGGCGGCACGACGGAACATCTCCTCCTGCTGCTTGAGGAAATCCTCATCCTGCCCCTTCAATATAGCCTCTTGCTCCCTGCGGACCAAGTCTTCCTCACGCCTACGCAGTTCCTCCTCTCTCCTCTTGACGTATTTCTCTTTCCTACGGGTCTCCTCTTCCTTCATATTAACCTCCTGCTCCTTACGTCTCGATTCCTGCTCCTTGCGTCTGATCTCATCGTCTCTTCTCCTTGCCTCCGCCTCTTTCAGTCTATTCTCAGCTTCTTTGCGCTTTCTCGATGGTCCGTCAGTGGTGTCTCTGTTCTGGTCATCAACGGAGTGTTGGACAACACTGAGATCATGCTGTTGCACACTCCCCTTTCTCTTTATACCGTCCAGGATTCCGAGCTGCTCGCGAGCCAGCGTCTCGTTCCAACCCACATCCAAGGGGCCGCCTGCCGCCCACCGACGCGTTTGCCTCTCCTGCTCCAGTGCGTGCATAAGCTGCTCCTGCGCCAGACGCCTGATGCCCTCAATAGTCCTGTCGTATTCCTTGCAGATCTTCTCCCTCGTAGCATCGTCCAAGGGATATATGCCCAGCCCTCTGTCCCTCTGCGCTTTCGCTTCATCCACCGCCGGCCGCAACAACGCCTCGATCTGTTTGATGGTTGTATTCTTCCATTCTATATCTGGCTCTAAGTCAGTACTCTGGGAGGTGAAAGTGTCTCGCTCGGTGATCGTCGGTAGGAGCATGGCCATGGGACGTCAAAGATAGGAAGTGCGGAAGAGAGAATTGGAGCTCGGATGGTGTTGATGAAGACAGCTGGGCGGAGACAGCTCGCGCAGGAATCTTGCTGGAAAGGCGGAAAGGCGCAGATGGCCAGGATGGTAAGGAATTTCACGTCACCTAATGTCACGGGCGCTCAAACCAGTCGTGTATGCCCTATCTTAATTGCATTGCTCATATCGATCGCGATTTGAAATTGCGCATCGACACCGTTCTGTTCGAGGACAGGACGATATTGACGTGAACGAGGAACATGGAAAGGTTGAAGGACAAAGACGCGGTCATGGCGGCTACTGGCACGGCGTCGTCGCAATCGTCGAACGGCTGTCCTTCTTTGGTGTGTTTCTCGCTCTCGCTTGGTGCTAAGTGGGCTTCCGTTGACTCGTCACCTTTCAGCTGAGTGAGCGTGATAACGGTGGTGCGTTTCTTGAAGTGATGGAATGACTCATGACGAGCGCGTTTCCCTATATTCTGGACAGTCTCGCCATCCCAGAGGCAGATTTCCTGAGCTACAAAGGTTGAACGTTGAAGCAGAATGTCAATTAAACTATTGCCATCAGCAGAAATGCAAATTTGCAACAAATTGGGATCGCCGCTAAAGAAAGTTCCAAATTCTTCAGCGTTGAAACGTTGATGCATGGTGTGGTGTTCTTCATACGTTCTGACGCTTGAGCGAAGAGAGATGGTGATGTCAATCTCCGTGAGTCTTATTACACGAGAAAATACCAGATGTTATGTGATATAAACAGACTCAACTACGAAGACAGGATATACATGGACAATCGAAGAGTACCTAAGCACTATTCGGCGCACGTTGGTTTCCCTGCCGCGCTCGTCGCGAGCGCCGGCGGGTACTTATCCCGAGGGCCACGAAAAGGCCTGCGCCAGGACCGATGAGCGAAAGCGCATGTCGGCCCGTACCTGGGGGGACGCACCTTATATCCGTGGCCCACCCACCACCTCTTGCTCATTGTCGATTTTGCTGTCATGGCCTTCGCTGGTCTTGGCCCACCACCCGCCCCAGCCGCCTTCAGGAGCTGTCTATATTGAGTCTTGGCCCACCACCCGCCCCAATCGCCTACAGATCGTCAGTTACCTTGCCCCGCCGCCCGCCACGTTGTCTTCAGTTGGTCTTGCCCGCCACCCACCCCAACCGCCTGCTAATGTGTATCAGTCGTCGTTACCTTGTCCGTCCACCAGCCACATTGTCTTCAGTTGGTCTAGCCCACCACCCGCCCCAACCGCCTGCTAATGTGCACCAGTCGTCGTTACCTTGTCCGTCCACCAGCCACATTGTCTTCAGTTGGTCTTGCCCACCACCCGCCCCAACCACCTGCGAATGTTGTCAGTCGTCGTTAATCTTGCCCACCCACCCGCCGTCTTCAGTTGGTCTTGCCCACCACCCGCCCCAACCACCTGCTAATGTGCATCAGTCGTCGTTAGTCTTGCCCACCCACCCGCCGTCTTCAGTTGGTCTTGCCCGCCACCCGCCCCAACCACCTGCTAAAGTCCATCAGTCGTCTTCAATCTTGCCCGCCCGCCCGCCACGTTTTCTTCAGTTGGTCTTGCCCGCCACCCGCCCCAACCACCTGCGAATGTTGTCAGTCGTCGTTAATCTTGCCCACCCACCCGTCCGCTTGTGTTCAGTTGGTCTTGCCACCACCCGCCCCAACTTGAACGTCCACCAGTCTTCCTCCTAGTAGTCTTCAGTTAGTCTTGGCCACCCTCCCGCCCCAACCGTCTTCAAGTGTCTCCAGTCTTTGCCGGTCTTGCCGACCCACCCGCCTGAATTCTTGCTGATGTCGCTCATGTCGATTTGTCTTTCCTTGTCTCTCTTGTTGCTCTTGAAGTGTCTTGCTGTAGTGGCTGACGGTGTCCGCGAGTCAGCATGTAGAGCAGAGACGACCGTGGCCACAATGACGAACGTACCTCTTGCGTGGCCATCTGTGCTTAGTACACCTGCGAGCTGAAGATGTTGATAACCAGTGGCGGTAGAGGCGACATGCGAAAGCAAGTGACGAGGAAAGAGAGGACAGGTGAGTAGCGCTTTGAGGAGAGGACGGTGGACATACATGTTCGAGTTTAAGGTGTGTTGCGGGGTTTAGCGCCCCATTTATGCCTTTCCGTTGTTGCGCACGGACCATTGTGACTCAGAAACAGGTGGCCGTGGTGGCTGACAATTCAAGTCGCGCCTCGCACGCTTTCCTAAATTCCTTTCATCCGCCACGTTCCAGCGTTGGTTTATGTGGCTGGGTCACCTCGAGTCCCTTCTGAACAGTTATGTCTTGTGCCATCTCCAATGCACGTAATTAATCGAATATTTCAGCCTCGAAAGCTCTGCCTCTCATGAGGGAGAGCTTAGAGTTGGAAGAGAGCGCATGGCGGCGGACAAGTGTGGCCATCGCGAAACGCGTCAGGCGTCCTGGTCACGTGGATAGATGTAACGCTCCGTTACGCTACGCGTCTCCCTCTGTTGAGTTACTGAATCCGCGAGTTGTTTAACGATCATGATTACTACTATTTTCTGACGGTAATCATGATTAGCTTTTTGCTGTGGAACTGAATCTAATTTTATTTTGTCGTCATTTGTAGAAGTATTGTCTTCAGGGGAATCTGTGATCGAAGATCAAGAACTGGAGGGTCTGTGCGCGACGCGCGTCGAATACGCTCCGCTACGAAGATCGAGCTGATCAGTCCCCTTCCCTGCTGTCTCTGTCATCGAATGATGTGCACGATCTATGCAATTGGTCCACTCCACAGCACCCGCATCATGCACTGTGACATCAAGCCGGAGAATATCCTGCCGGACGTGGGCAGGGTGCATCTATCTTTCCCCTTCTGCTTGGATACAAATGGTGAGGCAGGATGTGCAGTTATTGTTTCCCATAAACACGCGCAAACACTGACTTCCGGCGCATCGCTGATCTTACTGGTCGATCTCTGTGTTTTGAAGCCAAATGCACTACAGATGCTCGAAAAAGAACCGCGCCGACTCACGACGAGCCCACAGATCAAAGAACATTTTTACTTCGCGACGATGTAAGTCCCTTATTTGGGCGTCGACGTGGTCATTCAATTCCGACAGCTGTTTTAGTGACTAGTCCGTGCTCGAGCGCAGAGAGCCCGTACATTCGGACTCGGTGTACGCAGCGCTCCACTTGCACAGGCAACAGGTATACATCACCCAGCTATTTTCCTTCCCGTCTCTCAATCCCTCTCGCACTTGGCTATGAGGACTCGCTCTCCCAGCACACCGAGTCGGCATTTCGTGGTTCTAGTGGGCATCCCGGAGTTTGAGCACTTCAGTGGTGACTCTGATACTTCTCGCGATCTATCGGATTCAAATCCGTTCCTCGACGATTTGGTGCAATGCGCCGAAGGGGAAACGGAAACTGTAAATATTGCCACGGGGAGGCTAAGCCGGATGTAGACGAGAAGCTGGGGCGATTCTCCACACTCGTCAGCGGGGGCACTGGTGCTGGCGCGCAGAACGTGGTGCAGCAGGTCAAGCGGTGGTGGAAGTGGCGTGGCATGGTTTTCGTGAGGCCACGGGTGGTCTCGGGCAGGATGGGCATGCTGGATGAATGGCTGGAAACGAGTTTCTCGTTGGGCATCGGCGTGGCTTTCTGGAATAGCTGCGTGCTGTCGATTTGATTTGTTGTTCATCTGCTATCTCTGCTTTCTCCGGGCTGTCGTGTTTCGCCTTGCGTCGTGTGCCTTCTTGGGGTTGCCTGGACCGGTGATTGCTGTGTTGTGCTTCCGCGCTAGACTATTACTAGTTGCTACACTTTGGCTACACTGCTTATTTATTAGGGTGATGCATCGCTGTGATCGACTGTGTTATCCGTATCATTATGTGCTTTTTGGTTGTTCATTGTCTGAGCCAGTCAGAAGTTCGAACATGCGCGGCGCGCGTGAATTGTCGCAAAAACTCAGTCACATGACCAGCACTTTTGGATCATATGGGCGCCTATGTAATGGACCGAGGACAATCCAAGCCTGTCTAAGGAACAGTCCACCACGATCCACGGCGAGAACAGGACACAACATACACGTTCCATCTTCTTACCCAGTGCTGTTCGATCAGAAATGGAAGCATTCCAGTTGCTGTCGCGCGGCGGAGCGAAGTTCGACAAGCACAGGTTTAAGAGCGACATGCGGCTGTTCAACGTGAGCAACTCGTTGCGTGTACTTGGGTTTGTGATACTGACTGTCGTTCGATTATAAGGCAGCAAATATGGAAGAGAAAGGCAAGGGCGTGGCAGGCGCGGCCGACGGGGAGATTCCACCGGAGCTCGATTTTTTCAAGTATGCGCAGGGTGGGAGCGCAAGTGCAAGTGCCAGTACTAGCGTGAAGCGGAAAGCGGCGGGCTCTAGCAATAAAAATACCCGTTCAGGTGATGCGGGCGCATCTGCCAAACGGCAGCGCGTAGAGGATGAGGACGTGGCTGAAGGGGAGGATGAGGACGCGGCCGAGGGGGAGGATGAGGACGATGCCCCCATGCCCCGACACCGCGTCACGACGAAAGGCTCGAACGTGCCGGAGCATGTGGACACCTTCCAGGAGTTGAAAGACAGACACCACCTGTCTTCACACCTTCTTGCCAACCTCGCGCAGAGCGGATACAAGCGGCCAACAGGTATTCAGTCCTATGGAATTCCTATCCTCATGGAGGTACGCCGATTTTGCTCTGCTTTGTCCTCGCTCAACAGACACATGTCCCGCAGTCCCGGGATTTAGCTGCAATATCTCCGACGGGCACAGGAAAGACATTGTCATATTTATTGCCCGTCGTCTCATCCCTCGGTGCTCCTGCGTCTAGAGCGAAGAGCGACGCAGGGATGGGGGTACGCGCTCTGATCCTCGCGCCGACACGCGAATTGGCGCATCAGATACATAATGAGTGTCTCAGGCTCACCCAGGGACGCAAGTGGCGGATCGTACTCTTCAGTAAAGCGACCGCAAGCACCCTCGCCGAGAAGAGCGCACGCGACCGAGTCGGTAAGCCTGCCTGCCAGCATGAGGCATTACCAATACACAGTCGCTCATGGGAGATCGCCCCTTCCAAGATATCATTATTAGCACGCCACTGCGTCTAGTCGCGGCGCTTCGAGCGGATCACATCCAGCTGGACAAGTAAGTCGACTCCGCCGCTCACTACAAATCTATCTCATGGTTCTCAGTGTCCGACATGTAATTTTGGATGAGGCCGATCGTATGCTAGACGCGGAGTTCTTGTCTCAAATTCAGGAGGTTATCGCTGCATGTACACACCCTAAAATTCAAAAGGCTGTTTTCAGCGCTACCTTACCGGCGGGTGTGGAAAAAATTGCGATGGGCATGCTGCGCGATCCAATACGGGTGGTCGTCGGGCTGAAGTGAGTTTTCGCATTGCCCGTGAGACGAGCTATGTTGCTGATAGGCCTTGCGTCCCAGAGACACCCCCCTTCCGCTCATCGCGCAATCACTGACGTATGTAGCAGATGACTCGTCCAAGCTGCCGACTCTCCAGCAATACCTCTCGCAGCCGTACAACCCTCCTGTGCTCATCTTCGTATCGTCGCAGCCACGGGCGACATCGCTCGCAGAGGAACTCGTCCTGAGTGGTGTCCCAAACGTCGACTGTCTGCATGCGGGAATGAGCATGAAGGAGCGCGAAGACGCCGTCTCGCGGATGCGGCGCGGGGAGAGCTGGGTAATGGTCAGTACCGAAGTCATGGCGCGCGGAATGGACTTCAAGGGCGTGAGGGAGGTCATCAACTATGATTTCCCGCAGAGCGTGCAGAGCTATGTGCACAGGATCGGTAAGTGACGTAGGGTGTCAGGCACAGTCATCTTGTTCGTCCGTTGTGCAATTAGTTGAAGCTCACTAATTTTCATCCAGGTCGCACGGGACGTGCTGGTAGAGAAGGAAAGGCAGTGACGTATTTCACGGATCAAGATGCGCCATTCCTGAAAACGTAAGTCGTAGAAATCCTTTCCCTCTTCGCCGCCCATTCTAATCGATGCCGACTCCGCCACTCCCGCTAGAATCGCGAACGTTCTTCTCCAGTCAGGGTCTCCTGTCCCGGAATGGATCCTCAAGTTGCCAAAACCTTCCAAAATTAAACGGCGTGAGATGGGTAAGGTCAGGCGTGCGGAAGCTGTCACACAGGCGAGCAGGGTCGGTCGACAGGATGCTCTCAGGAAGAGGTGAGCCACTTGTCTCCTTGTCTGGTGCCAGCATCGGTGATCAATTCTTTTTTCAGGGATATGATTGCCGCATCGAAGCGCAGGAAAGAAAAGGCCAGGGAAACGATGATGGCGGGGGAGGGTGCCAGCGACAATGGAGAAGGCCACACTGCCTGAATGGCTTTTCCGGAGTAAGATCATGCACATGTCATGTGCTATGTAGTTGCCGTATACGTATTGCATCCACACCTGCCGCCTTGTCTTTGAGGATCATCTGGATGTTAGACGAAGTTGTGGTTCTGTAAGTAGAGTGCAAGGCTGTGGCCGTTTTGATGGCTTCAGAAAATGCGGGGGCGTTGGGCAGTAGGAGGCTGGCAGTCACATGAGATGTCCAAGGGTGTTGCTTTCAGGGCATCTCCCGAGGAAAACCAGTGCAGGAAAATCGAGACGAGAAGGGTCGACTAGTCCACATTTTTCGTTAATACAAGGAGAACGGTGATGTGCGGCTGTTCGATCGGAACGTGTCGGATGTAGGAGAGCAATTGTTCTCCAAGAAGGGATTCGGGCGTCGCGTCCAGGATTCCAGGATAGGCAGAAGGGGGGGATCCCTGGATCCAATGCTCTCGTAAGGTAGTCCCAGACCCAACGATGGTCCGGCCAGTCCTCATCAGTCTGATGCCTCGATAGGAGTATCAGAACAGGGCATGTTCCGGTGCCTATACTATGAGAACCGAGGATAAAGGAACCAAACTGGGAAACGGTGCCGGGAGCAGAGGGTGCTTTGATGCTGGAAAGCAATATTAGCACCGCAACCTTCCAAGAAAGGGGAATATTCTGGCGGCTGCATTGAAATGCAGGACCTCACAAGAGCATATGCATGCCGGATTTGACTAGACTGTACGTCTTGCTTAGAACGAGACTGACCTCAGAGCGAGCCAGATAATTTTTTAACGGTATACAAGAGCGATGTGGACCAGCGGTTGCGAATTAGCAGTCAAAAATGCCTCCGCGAAACTCGAGAGACGCACGTTAAAATTTGAAACCCAGATCCGAGACGTAGGAGCCGTGCCACATATGCACCTCATGTTTTGGGCATGAGGGAATGTCCTTTCTTCCCATTATCATGGACCACAGAGCGGCAGAATGAACCCTAAAATCCAAGCAGTAGAAAAGCCTGAGGAGCTGGAGCCGCCGGGATAGCGTTCCTCGCCCTCAAACCCCCCTTCTCAGGCTGTTCCCCGTCCTCCCCTTCCCAGGCATCCCCTCAGCGTCCTTTCCTTACCGCTATAATGTCCAAGCCGCTTCACGGTACTCGTCGGTCGCGTCGTCTGTCGAAGCAACCGCCTCGCGATCCCGGTTCGTCCATTTACTCACTATTTGCCATTGTGGGTCCACACCTCGATCTTACTCACTTGCTCGAATTGGATCCAGAGTTTGAAACGTTGGACTTAGACGAAGTTCAGCATCATTCAGATGGTGGTGCTGTCGATCACTCGTCTCCCGAGTCGTCCAGTTCGCCACGCGGACCCCCACAGCCGCCCACGACGCCTTCTCGCGGGTCTCAACGTTCCTCGCACAGTCGCAAGAAGGCAGACGGTCACATCCCGCGACCTCCTAATTGCTTCCTGTTATTCCGGTCTGATCACTGGCAGGCAATCAAAGAGGATCCTGCGACGCCACGAACACACACCGCGATCAGTCAAATCGCAGCCGCCCGTTGGTCTACTCTCCCTGAGGAGGAGCGGAGGTATTACAAGGATCTCGCGAAACTCGAAAGCGAGGCCCATCGTCAGAAGTACCCAGGTTACAAGTACCAACCTGGGTCCCGAAAGGACAAGCGAGTGGAGCGCAATGCCAGCCGTAAGACCAATGCGAACAAGACTCTGCGCGCTAAGAAGCTTGCGTCCCACCCCTCGCAAGGTGTGGGGAAGATCCAGAAGGTGCTGAGGAGAGACGACATTGATTCAGATCCGGAGTACGCTCCATCTCCGAGGTGCGCTCCTCGACCTTTGCGGGGTTCAGTCGAACGGAAGGAGGTTCAGAGCTCGAGAGTGTCTCTCGGTGTCTCACGTGAGATGTCTGAGCCGTTTTCGTCTGCACCTTCTACTCCGGAGACTGAGGATATCGGGCTGCCTTCGACTCCGGACAGCGGCGACGTCGGGCTTCCTTCGTCTACGGACAGCAACGACGAATGGGACCTTTGGGGTCCGGACAGCGGCGACGTTCAGTTTCCTTCAACTCCGGACTGGCACGAACCCGAGCTCCCCTTATATAACAGGCAGGCTGATTTTGGATTCCTGTGCACTGAGGATATGGCGATGACAACTCTCGATGACCTCCATGTATGTGTTGCCTGTCTCTGTTCTACGATCCAAAACTTACGCCTTTGAGTAGGCTGATTTTCAGATGGGACCCGACGCGTTTTCTCTTACCTTCGCCTCGACTTATTTTGGGGAAGCTGTCCCTGGTGAGCGCAATGTCAGGGACTTGTAGAAGAGTCTCACATTGACGGCGGTGACGACCACTCAGGCATGGTGAACTACGACCCTGAGGGCGACGCAATGGATGGCAACTAAGTTCGGGGAACAATTTGTTTGTGCTTCATTCGCTTTTCTTTACTACAGTCTTCCCATGTTTCATCGCATCTATGTCTTCGCTGTTCTCGCTTCACTATGTCTTCGCTATTCTTGCTTCATTATGTCTCCGCTATTCTCGCTTCACTGTGTCTTCGCTATTCTCGTTTCACCGTCTTCGCTATTCTGTGATCGCTTCGATATCTGTGACACCGGACATGCATTCGTATAATGAGTAGCACCTTTTGCCGACAATTTTGCATAGTATATCAACAGATGGTATCAGATTGCTAAACAAGATACTATACTGTCTTACTGTACATTTAATTTAGACTGCTCATCCTCATGCAGGATGTAGCAGCCAAGGTGATCACACCACACGTACTCATGAGCAAGGATTTTACTGAGCGTGCTATACGCAGCAACGTCAGCAAAGGGCACATTGCTTCGTGGATCGAGGTATCGTGCAATTCTTCCTGACATAGGACATATCTGCGTGGGGCGGGCTAGAAATATGGAGGTGCTATCAGTGCAAGAGTTGTGACGTTTTTGCAAGCGAACATCACCAAATGGCCGGCCTTTTGCTGTATAGACTCGCAGCTCATCCCAATTGACATGATCACCAAACATGGCCTTCATCGTGCTGAGCCATGATGGTCTAGGTTCATCCTCCGTTTGGACCAATTCATGGACGACATAGTTCCTTGAAACCTTCTCTGTTCGTTCGACAGGCTCCACTCCTTGCACGGTTGGGTTCGGCGGGACATAACCATGTTGAAATGGCCGAAGAGGTAAAACGCCTGCTGCGGGAATAGATGATGACTGGGTAGATGCAGGTTGGGGTGGATGGTAGACAGTAGCAGAAGGGTGGAAGTAGGATGGAGATGGTAAGGACTGCGCTGACGGAGACTGGGCGGTACTAGAGTAAGGTGTTGGAGAATACGTGTAATGGTATGGAGCGGCAGAATACGGGACAGGTTCGACTTTTACCTTCACCTCTTCCACCTTGCTGATAACTCGGAGGAGTGGTCCCTGGACAGCGGTGCGGACAAGCCGAGCACGTTTGCGCTTCTCCTCCTCGATGGAGAGATAATCACGGTGCTCAATGATGTTTCCTTCTTCCATATCTAATGCTCGAGCAATGAGCTCGTCTTGAGTGGGAGCACGAATTTTCGCTTTGACTTTCTTCTGGATAAACGACTGATCATATCCGTCAGTGAAGACTCTACGACACCGATACCAAAGCCGGCTACCTTCTTCTCTTCAGCATCTCTCATGCGACTGACCGTTGCAGAGGTGTTGAGCATAGTATGAATTCTCCCGCTCTTCCGCTTCGCGCTTTTAACAACTTCCCCCGTCTCAGCATCAATCGCTACGCCCAGGGATACACGCCTCTTGAGCTTTTCCGCTGCTGAGACCGCTGTGCGCGAAGTTGACGCTTGAGCCAGGAGAGGATGGAATGTATCCTTCTGTTTTGCATGAGCAGCAGCAGTTACTCTATCGAGCTTGGAGCGGGACGCCTGAATAGAAGCTGAATAGCGAACGTCGGTCCTAGTAGAAATAACGCACCTTCCGAACAGCCCTCTCCTCCTCTCTAACAACATTTTCCGCGAGATCGTCCGCGAGACTCTGCGCCTCTTCATCGGTACTCTCAAAATCCGACTCGAAGGCATCTTCTTCGTCTGCAATTGTAAGTGGGTAGGCACGACATGCATCAGCGAAAGAGTAGCAGCCTACCTTTCTCGACTACGAAATCAACATCTTCATCAACGTCCATACCATTGCTTTCGGCGCGAAAATCAGCTAAAACAGCTTCCATCCTTACAAGGTCTTAGCAATTTCAGTTACAGTTGTGTGAATCGACTCACCTATTTCCCGCATTGCTCCGCTTCGACCGTCGCATCACTAATGAATCCTCTGCCATCTCGTCGCGTCAGTGGTATCGCACTTGACTCAACTTCGGGAAAGCCGTGAAGGGGAGAAGTCAGCAGCAGGAGTAGCCGCATATGGCAACGCCTTGTGAATTCAACAAAGACAAACAACGCCTATGGGCGCTGCAGACACCGACCTCAGTGCGAGCCAAATTGAAACCATGCCGCGCAAGCCAAAGTTCATCCCGGGCCCCTCAAAACTGTCAAAAATTCTTGCCAATCTCAAGCAAGAACCCCATCCTCAGCTTCTGAATATCAGGGCACTCAGGCTGACGCTGGCAGCTCGGAATGACCACTTCGGCGCCAGGTGAGTCGCTGCGCGTCGTACATGGCAACGTATTCTGACGGTGACATGGATGTATGATTGGTGCGCAGACACTTTGTGAAAGAGGATCTTCCTCGAATACGCTATCATAACGCCGCAGTAGACATCGAAGTGAACAAAATGGCGAAGTCTCGTGAAGATGCGTGGAAACCAGAGATGGTCGTTGAGTTTGGTATGACCTCCTCGTCCTTATGTTTGAATGCTGAAATATCGGGCTTACGCCATTGCAACAGCGGATGGAAGATCTCAGACACTCGACCTGGACAAGAAGTGGTCGTCGACAATTCTCCAAGAGCTCTTGGATTTGGCAGGCGGTCCCATTTGGTCGAGGTGGAAAAAGCAGAGAGCTGCGGCCGGTCTTCCTGTTCTGGATCCTCCGGTGCCCAAACCACAAGCACCCAAGGCTTCCGCACAAGATCCATTCTTCCTTCCGAATAGGCCTAAGACTGGAGCAGCTGCTGTCTTACCATAGTTTATCGCCTTTTATACCACCCGCTTTGACAAAATGACTGTACACAACCTTCGCGGCAGCACAAAACCACGGAGTATTCGCAAACATGCGTAATACATACATCAGACTGCGAGCTATCCCGTTCTGCTCACGATCGAAGAACTCAAGCCCTTCGAGCAAGGCTGCTAAACTGTCAAGAAATATTCCTCCAATATTCGATCCCGTCGGTCACGATGGAAGGCAGTAGAGGCGGAAGAGCAAGCAGTGAACAGAATGCAACCACCCAAGGTTTCCGCGACAAAATGCAGATCCTTGACTGGGCCTTCGCGGCTCTGCACAAGCCGCAATCGTCGAGCCTTGGAGGATGCGAACAATCATTCTGGATCATTTTGCTTCCTGCAGATTCTGCGATTCCTAATTTTTCTTGAGTTGAATAGGCAGACATTAATCATCGTGATGCAGGTGGTCAAAAGCTTGACAATGGAGCTGCAGAACTACCGAAATGCGAATATCGGGTGTGGTCGCCATGTCGGGGACACTCTGGATGCCAGCTGCAGTGGCGCTGGCGATCGAAAGGAAGCTGAGATCTCATCAGGAACGGAGAAGCAACGACGTCGGTGATGCGACGATCTATGTCTGCATTAACGAATCCTTGTTGTTCAACGTATACAATCGTATCGTCTCACTAGATCTCACTAGATGTACTGGGCGGTCAGCGTTGCACCAGAGCGCACATACAACGTAATGCTACTACAATAGATGCTCATCTTTCCAAACATCATATCTTTTAAACAATATATGGTCCCCCTCCCCTCCCCGCCCGCGTCGCCATAACTTGTTATCATTAATCAAGAATCAATACCCATTCTGACCCTCCTCGGCGGCCGCCCAACCTCCCTTGTCTCTGATCCCACCGCTCGCACCCACCTTATTCTTCCCGCGCGCCTTCCGCCCACCTAGCTCCTTGTACATCTCGCGCATCTCGACCTTTGACGGGCTGAAGGTCGCCTCCGCCTCGAGACGCCATCGTTCTTCGCGCATCTCACGCGGAGTCTGGTAGCCCGAGTGCGAGGGGGAGGAGCGGCCGGAGTAAGAGCTTGGTCTGAGTGGGCCGAGGGGTGGAGTGCGAGTCGCGATAGACTGGAGGTACGTGGTACGCTGTAATACGAGGGATATGGGACAAGGAGGTTGAAGGATCTTGGTAAAGCGGGCGCAGATGCATTGGCACTCACCCAATTCTGTTTCGACTCTCGCTTAGTCCACTTGCCCGGGGGCAAGCTCTCATCGTGGAAGTTGTCTTTCCGATAGTGCTGGAACCAAACTAGACGGACATCGTTAAGCCAGCGTGTCACTTGCAGAAGACGCTTGCACGCACCATAGTTTAGCGTCTGACTCTTATTCCATTTTCGCGATACCCGCGAGCAGGTCGCTAGATCCTTAAGGCTCAGGAGAGAGAAGATGCGCTGAGAAAGCTCGGTTTGGAATGCTTTCAGCGGGTCTGACATGTTTCTAGCTGATGAAATGTGCAGAGGGCCCGGGGGGCGTCGAGAGGCTGCTCCGCGAGTGGGAGATGGTGGCCGAGAGGCCGGGCGCGAGCGTGCTGGTGTTCCAGGGAGCGACACCTTGGCTTAGTTAGACGGAATCACAAAGAAGAAAAAAACAAGAAACGTACGACGTTCACCAGCTCGTCGTCGCTGTCCTCCCTCTCCTGGTTCGGGGTCGTCCGTCCGTTCTGGACGTGATCTGCAGCAACACCGAGCTGTTTATCTAGTGAGTCTAGTGTTTGCGTTCTGAGGACGTCTTGCAGGAGGCTCATAATGCAAAGATGCCGGGTGAGTCTAAGAGGACGGATGGCAAGAAAACAGTGCTAAGTAGCGTGCTAGACAGTCGTAGACCGTTCGAGTTATAGACAGGCGCTGCAGCTCCCGCCCAGGATATCCGTCGTGACGTCACCTGATATCCCATACCCGGCAGTTCCCGCACTGTGTCATTTCCTGGCCACATACAACTCCTTGAACGTTTGTTTGGAAAATGCGACTGCATTATAGAAACAAATACAACAATCAAAATTAACGCCTGCGCCTGTATCATACTAGTCCGTTGTGGCTCGAAAGCACTGACAGAACAATACTCGATCAATTCATATGCATTGAACCGTAGAAACGTACTATAAATCAGACATTGTTCCTTCATCATTGCGAATATGAACGAAATTTGGAGGATGGCGACCAGGAAATATTTATGGAGCGGGAGGGCCACTCACGACGATATCTCACCAGCATCCTGCAACAACTTGAGGATGTAAGGAGTATCCGGCTTGATGTTTCCGTCCAGCGGAGAGAACGCCATTTCCACGTTGTAATGGAAGACGACCCTATAATATGTCTGCGAATTTGATGTGAGAGATTATAATCCTCCAACATACAGAGGTACTCACCTTTTCCGAGGTAGAAATTGATGATTCTCGCAGGACCGTGCCTGAATACCATCTTCCCTTATATTTCACCCAGACGCGATCCCTTGACTGAAACAAAACATAGGTGAACCACAATGCTCAATCGAGGCCACTCGAATACTTACCCTGAAACTGTACGAACACGGTTCGCCCGGTTCTTTGGGTTGGGCTTCTTCCTTCTCAAGCTCTTCTTCCTCCATCTCGTCGTCTTCCTGCGACCCACCGGATTCTTCGTCGGACTCCACGCGTTCGTCGTCAGACGCAAAGTCCTCGTTGCAGTTCATTTCTTCTTCACTTTGTTCCTCGGGTTCTTGATCCACAATGATGAACCTTCCTACGATAGAGCCCGCATTTTTACGTCGACGTGGGAACCCTGAGCCGTACCGGGAGTCATAAGCATAGTATGCCATGGTGTGCGATGATCAATTCGAGGGTCAATCTTCGGTGGCACAGAGAGTTAAGCTTGAGCGCGAGAGGCGTAGCAAGTCAAGTCCAGATGAGAGTTGAGAGTTGAGAGTAAAGGTCCAGAGACGCTCAGAGACGGAGTTATATATACTTCTCCAGCGGCGTGCGGCCCACGCGAGGCGTTGCTTTGTTCACTGGGCTCAATTCATTTCTTTGTGGCTTTGCTGCACCGCTTTTGTTCTCTTTTTCCATAAGCGGTATGTCACCTGGACGGAGAACAAAAAACAATGCATACCGAATAGCGACATAACAACTGCGCAGTTGTGGTCTGTAGGTTATGTACTTCCTCGCTTCGTGCTCCTTCTCTGGTGTCGAAGCGGCACGGAATTCAGAATCAGCCCAAGCATATTCTCCACGCGTAGCCACAGGATCAGCAACCTGGAAACCTGGTTCTAAATGCATCAAGTGTTTCAAGCTCGCACGCCAGGAGCTACGAAGAGAGCTTTAGGTTGCGCTGTGGCGTGCGGACCGTGAACGCCCGTTGGATCTAGCACTGTAGCAGCGCATCATGCAACCTCGTAGAGCTCGAATCTACCTCGAATGCGAACTTTCCGCGCGTTAGACCAGTAGATCATTGTGGCCCCTGCCGTATAGAGAGACTGCCTTGTCCTGGATCGCTTGGTGGCGCATCATGATCGAGTTGAATCTTCGCCCAAAACGGAACAAGATCACGCAGTGATCGGGGATGAGATCTGTTGCCTGCGCTGAGCCTCTCTGCAGCATCTTGCCGACGCACTGACGAGTAATGTTGACAGAACACCATTTGCGCGAGCCTGCGACATTAATCCTGGTCAATCCTAGGATCTTCCATGGTCCGAAAGTCAGAGAGACCCGCGCGTGGTACGGATAATCTTCACGTGTGTGTTGGCCATGACCGCGACCTCGTCCTGATTCTTCTCCGAAGCAGCATGCGCAAGTTTCGAATAGCCGAGTGCTCACTCAAGAGCCTGGTTCAAGAGAAACATGAGGGCCGAGTACAGTACTGCATATTGGTTATCGTGACTATACTATTGGGAAGTCGCGAATCTAGGTCCGCGGCGACGGGGAACGGAGAACGGATGAATTCGAACCGACTACGCTACACAAAATAGCTCAGGTACGTAATACCTCGTCGGCCGGCTTGGTAATACGAGACAAAAGAGGCAATGTAGGTAAAAAAAAACATATGTAAACTAAACGAAGAGATGATGGAGGCGAGGGGGAAGCGCGATGGTAGAGGCAGCCGTTGTCGAACGATCAGGATGTAACCTGCGTTTATATTCAGCCCAGATTCTGCCGGCGAGAAAGATGCATGCTCGATGCCAACAGTGCGCGATTCTGAGCAGAAGGCGGCGGCGCGGGAGTGTTTCGCCTTCTGGTAAGGGCGGTAATACACCGAGAAAATATCTCGCATGATATAGGGGCCACATATCATGGTCAGTGAACAATATGCGTGCAGACGAGAGGATTTGCACTGAGAGGTCATCGGGGGCGGCGGCAGTAGTGAGAATGCCCGATGTCTCAGTGAGGGTGTCTGTACGAGCGTGTTCGCGATGAGGTGCGAAAACCGGACATATGACGAAGACGTGATGTGCGGTTTCGAGGGCGTCACACCCGAAATGGCATCGCGGGGAGATGTTTCCAAAGCGGTGGAAGCGCGCGAGAGCGGTGTCGAGCTGTGCAGAGCGTGCATAGAGCTGCACGAGGGCAGAGAAGGCTGATGAAGCACGGGTGTACGGGTGATCAGGAGGACAGTGGTTGTCGTACAACGCGAGGGATAAGGTATGGTAAGGTCGGGATGCAGCACGAGAGCAATCTGTGTAAACGATAGCTTGAGTGATATAGGAAGGAATGTTGGACTCGATGTAACCGTCGATGGGAGAATAGAGGGTGTAGCGATCCATGAAGAATGTGGGAAGCGGCGCGGGAGGAGGCGGAAGGAGGAAACGTTGGGATGCGGAAGCAAGGGTGTCAGCGGATCGATTGGCGAGGGATGTTGGTGATGTCGACGTAGTGTGGGCGGGTGCGTGAACAACGGGAGAGCGGTGTGTTGTGTGTAAGAGAATGTCGCGAAGCCAACGGTAAAGTGAGCGTGCTGGAAGGGATGACCATTGATGCGGGAGTAAGGGGGCCTCGAGAGAGTCATTGATAAGCCGTACGGAGTTGAGATGATCGGTGACCAGCATAGGCGTTAGGGTTGGAGAAGAGAGGGAGGGATCTCGAGGGGGGCTGGTGCCGACAGGGGGTTGAGCAGTAATTAGGGCAGTAATCATACCGTAGATCTCGCCGTGGGTAGTGGTGGAGGATGCGCGGAAACTGGCTAAGGAGGCGACAAGTGAGGAGGTGTGATTTACTGCGGCGAAATTGACCATTCGAGGGCAGCGAAAGGAGGGGTTGGCGGGGATCATAGATGCATCAGAAGCGAGTAAGGAGGCGGACGGAGTCGTGAGGTGGTGCGGAGAGGCAAGGGCAAGAGCGCGAAGCGTTTCGTGAGCATTGCGCTGTCGGACAGGCCGGGGTAGAGCAAGGGTCCATGAGGAAAAATCAGGAATGTAAAGGGAGTGGCAGTTGGATGAGGTAAGAAGTGATACGAAGCGCGAGAATGGGAGATTTGTAAGCCAGGTTTTGAGCAACGTCCAATACTTGTTCACCGTAGGGGATGATGCAGTAACACGATCGACGAGATCGTTCGCTTGGAAGGAGGCATCTGTATCTGGGCGAAGGGACCATTGACCAAGTTGGGCGAGGGAGGTGAGGCCGATGGAAGACAGAGAACGGATAAGGTAATGTGAGAGGGGGTGTGATGAGCGCGGAGTTATCGCACGCGAGAGGTGTTGTAGAGAGACGTGATTATGGAATAAGAAGGATTGATCCGTGTCGCGGATGGAAATGTGCTGGTCAGCGAGAACGGAATGGGCGAGTATGCACGAAAAGGGGAGGTGGTGTCGCTGATGAAGAAACAGAGAGTCGGCAGAAGGGTCTTGTAGAGGGTCGCGGCAGCCATTAATGAGACACGTCCAGTCGGCGAGGGTGATCTGTGCCATGACGCGGAATGCCGGGACGTGATGATTAAGGTCACGTAGAAGTCCGGAGACCGCGAGGGCATCATTCAGGTGGGAGACAGATGGAAAGTCGAAGCCAAACTGGTCGAGTGGTGTAGTTAAGAGGGAAGAGTTGAAATGAAAGGGAAAGTGGAAGTAGTCGTGAACTCGATGAGCAATCTGGTGATCAATGTCTAGGGCATGTGTTCGGGAGATGGGTTGGAAGGATAGAAGAGGACGGATGCGAGCAATGAGGCATTGGACAAAGATCCGTCGGATCACAGTAATTGGGAGGCGAATCGTAAGTGTGGGAAGCTGGAAAGAGGAGACAATGTCGAGAATGCGGCGGTACTGGTGATCCGGGTCATTGATGGAGGTGCGAAGGAATTCGAAGTGCGATGTAGAGACAGGAAGGGTGTGATACACAACATCTCCACTATGTGGGCGATCAGGCAGGACGGATGGGAAAGAGAGAGTGGGAGGGGGGCTCAGAACATTGAGGATGGTGACGAGGGACTTGACCCAATTCGTGAACCATCCGTAGGTGGCCTGGAAGCGCTCCATCATAAGGCAAGATGCTTGCAATCCCAATGCTGATCGCGAGAGTATCGCTGAGTCGTCGGTAGCCTCGACCATAACGGGCTTGAGAAGGGATGAGTCAAGCGGAGTATGGTGTTCGGCCAGTCGATTGTGACAAGTAGTGACACGAACGACATCGGTTCGTCTGTGTACGGAGTCTGTGAGCCAGTGGTTGCCCATACTTGTTGTCAGGGTCGACTTGAGCCCCGAAAGGGGGCCCCCTTGCTTGGTAACTCCCGAGATGACAATTGGAGCAGTGAGACCGTAGGCGGTCTTGACTCGATAAGGGACATCGGTCTGTGCGGACTGGTCGAATGTGATTAGTGACGGGGGAAGTCCATATGCGTGGACTGCGTCGTAGAATCCCTGTGGTTCCAAGTGGTCAAACCCCTTTGTCTGATCACGTCTGAGAATATAGACTGGGGTGGAAGTACGGTTGGACCAGGCCTCGAGGTGGGCCAGAAAGGAGGTAAGGTCTCGGGCCTGTACGCCAGGTTGCGTGGCGACCTGCCCATATGGTAAAACCGAGTGTTTAGCCAGATATGGAACGAGGAGGGAGTTGAGCCAGGCGAATGGGGTGTTAAGGAGAAAGTTGTTGCAGCAAACCCCACGGTAGTTCACAAGATCGGAGGGGACGCCACACTTGTATATGGTGGAGAGAGTACAGGGCTTGACGCAAGATGGAATGGACGATGTGGATATCTCATAATTAAGGAGGTCGAGTACGATAGCGAGAGAGAAGTCGTGAAGGGCCTTCACCATCCATTTCTCCCACTGGTCAGGCCCGGGAGCGGGGCGAGGTTTGCCTTTGCGCAGAGTGGAGCGGAGAGTAAGGAGGGTCATAGGAGAAGGCCAGGAGAATGGGTCAGAGGCAGTGCGTTCACGGATCTGTAGCACGGAGGGTGTATTCAGCCAGGGCTTGTCAGGTTCCGGATATTGTCGGGGACGACGAGAGAAAAGATGTCGGAAGTAGGATGTGGTCGCATCCTTCACCATCTGGGGGTCAGTGATGAAGGCATCGCCTTGTTGAGGATCAGTAATTGCCAAGGGCGGTCCGGATATCTCATGAGCATGAGGATATAGGCGTTTACTAGATCCGCCGAGAAGGACCGCATTAATACGTGCCCGTCCGGATTGGACAGCACGGCGATGGAGTTCAAGATGCTCAAGATGATACCGTACGCGATGAAGAGCTTTGCGTGTGGCAGTTAGGAAGGTGAGGAAGGCAGTATGAAATGGGACATCGGAGGAGGGGTTTGAGGTGGAGTAGAAGTCATCGAGGTAGGTGTGAACCCAAGTATGCGCTTGCGCAAGGTGCTGCAGGGAGTGCTGCCTTGTTGCATAGATGAGGCGCCCAATACGTCGTAGTTCAAGCATGACCTGGCGGATGTCGGGATTGGAGACACGGCGTGCATCACCAGAAGAGTGACGATGGGGAACATCGAAGGCGCATTGTGCGGCACTGTGAAGAATCTCTGTGAAGGATTGGTACCGGAGCTGGAAAGAGGATTCATCCGTGATGGGAATGTTGTGGAGGTCACACTCGCGGACAAGCCTGTCAACCGTTTCCGCGAAGGTATCAAACCGATGTTTCTCAGACCGCTTGGGGTAGAGAAATCGCGCGGGGAATTCAGTGTAAGGAAGCAAGGACGGGATCTTTGTAGAGGATGTGGGACCGAATCGTGGGGGAGGGCTCAGCGCAAGGGAAGCGGTAATTGGCCGATGGTCTGTAGCCGGTACGAAGACGTTGGAGGTTTGCACAAGGCCAGTGAGAATACCAACAGAGGAGTGAGCGACTCTGTCAATAATTGAGAGACCGTTGTTGCTGTGGAAAGTATACATGGAAGAGGCGTCAGCGTCATCGCGTTGGGACCATAGATCAACCCCATGGGAGGTGTTCAGGAACGTGCGATATTGTGAAGAAGCGGCCGATATACGAAGGTTAGCAGAGGACGACTCGGAGAGTGTCAGTGTCGCATTGCAGTCCCCAACCACCGTCCAAGAGAACGGTGCAGTAGAACATAGATCCGCGATGCGGCTCCAGAAGGCATTGTCAGTTTCGGACCCGCCGGGATCCCAAGGAGCATAAATGGCGATGAGGCGGTGTGTAAATCCATGCCCACTGGTGGTTGGGATGACGATGTCGAGTGCAACTGCACGGCCCTGTAGAGAATCATGCGTTGTGACGCGTTTAGTGTGTAGCACTTTGCGGACTCCAACAATAACTCCCCATTTCCCGTGGTGGGAGTGGGCACCGACGGGAACACCGAGAGATTCGTGGGTGGTGTAGTCGCCAGCCCTAATGCGCGAGGCCAAGGGGGAGGATGACTTGGTCTCGTTGATCACCCATGCGTGGGGGCGCTGGGAGGAAATTACGGAGGCGATTGCGGCTTGTTTGGAAACATTCGCTAAGCCGTTGGCATTTACAGCGAATATATTAAATGTTGACGCCGCCGTAACCGCAGGTATTACAAAGAGGAATGTGAAAAGCAGCACAATAAGGAAGCGACTGGAGCCACGGAGATGTAGCAAGAGAAAGGGGAGGAGGGATAGAAAGTACAAGAGGGAAACGATCCAATCACAGGTAGTAGAGAATACGAAGAGAAGGTAATTAATCAGGTGGGGAGGCAGGCTCGCTGTGTCTATGAGACAGGAAGGAGAAAGAGAGTCGTTGAAACTTAAGCAGGATGATGAAATGGACGTGCACTCCACCTGCGCACTGCGGGGCTTTTGACGCAAATGGGGTGACTGTAGAGAAAGGGACACAGATGACTGCGAGCGATCCGTTTCCTCACTGCGCGGGGGAGTGAGGGACCCGCAAGAAGTATACATGCACTGTGGGGAACGTACCAGTTCATCCATTCGGTCATCATCGTCATGTTGCCGCCGAGAAGGCGGGTTGAGATAATCATCATCATCTGGGAAAGGACGCTTGTGAGGGAGGTCTGTGGGTAGGCGAGACGGTGGCATCTGCTGTGTAGGCAATGAAAGCGGGAAGGAGGCGGAAGACACAGGTGGTGTGGGGGCTGTGGCAGGGATCGGGACCGAAGGGGGGGCGGACGGAGATAACGCTCGTGGTGGAGGACTCTGGGAACGCGGCGGGCCGAGGGGAAGAGGGCCAGGTGCTGAAGTATCACCTGGCGGTAGTAGCGAGAACGTGTGGGCCTCGTGCTTCTCAAGGGAGAGCTGGATCTTAGCTACAGTTTCCTTTTCTTCATCAATCCGATGTTCAATGCCTTGGATGCGTTGTGCTAGTACAGGACGTGTTTGCTCTGGTGTGAAAACGAGAACATCCTGCATGAGATCGTGTCGCTCACGCAGGCCACTGAGTGTGGACTGGGCACCAATGAGACGGCAGTTAAGAGAAGAGGTGGTTGCAATGGACGTCAGCGTGGACATGATCTGGTTTGAGTTGACCGCCAAAGTATCGAGCATGCGTTGCTGACGCTGGAACATCTCGTTGTACATCCGAACAGCCTCTGTTCCCTGCTGTCGTAGTGCATCGAGTTGGGCCTGATGGTTGCGAGAGTCAGCGGAAGAGAGTGCCTGGCCTTGTATTACGGCGGCGTTAGCGGGAACGCCGTAGGTGTTGAGAAGGAAGAGGAGGAGGGGTCGTGAGGCCGAGACGATGCGGGAGAGGGGGTGGTCAGTGAAGAGGTCAAACGGGTCCGAGGTAAAGTGGGAGGTGACTTCCCAATCTCTCAGGACTGCCGTATAAACATCCCCATTCATAGCCATGCGACTACAAATGAGGGCCCCCTGTCCGTATCGCTGGTAAATGAAGCGGTCAATGCGAGCACGTACTCCCTGAAGATCCTGCAGGCCCATGACAGCTACCTCGAGTCCGTATATAGGGGTAATGAACCGTGGTCGCGAAACAGTAAGCGCATGGCGATCAATAACTGGTGGGTTGATAAGCAGGGACTGTACAACCTCAGAGTCAAGGAGGTCAAAGGTGAGTCGCCAGGCGCCTGACGGGCAACTGGCATAGGAGAGTTGGTACTCATGTCCGCGATCAGTGAGCCATTCTCGCACCCTGTCCAGCATGCGTGTCGCCTGGTCCTTATTGTCCATAGGGAAGACCACCCTACGCGTGCGGTCCGGCCCAGTGGCAACTCTCCAGGTCGCATGGATACCAGGTATGTTGTCAAGTATGCCTCGCAGCTGTTCAAGAAGATCAGGGCGAGGATGGCGGGCGAGCGCCGGGTCGAGCGCTATGTAGGCATAATCACAAGCGTGGCGGGAATCTGCAAGGCGTACAACAAAGTAGCGGGTTATTGGGTGGGTAGGCTCAAGCTCGCGCAACATCTCCTGAAGGTGATGGGACGCGGAGTAGATCGTTGCGTGTGGTAGGCCAGAAACAAACAACTCGACTCCTACGTATGGTTCTTCGACTCCTTCTTCGACAATCGGAGGTGATTCCTCCCTGTCATATCCGACAGGGGGTCGTTCAGGCGGCGGGGGGAGGTTAGACGACGACATTAGAATAGGGGCTAATGGTGAGCAAGAGGCAGCAGGATAATCGCGGAAGACCCGAATAGTTCGGCGGAGAAAGGTTTTTAATGCCGGAAGGCAATAACAGAGTCAAAGATCAGAGGACGAGTAGAGAGGTTAGTCAGACGGCGGTGGTGGTGGTGGTGGTGGTGGGACACGCGAACCTTAAACGGGCCTTTCCAGCACTCGTGACGCGTGACTCGTCATGACGGACTGCAGCCGCATCTGATCACAGTCTGCCGGGATTGACATACTTGACAGATGTTACTTCTGCGCAGAGCGGCTGGGGGCCGCACGTTGCGTCACATCATCCACGAACTTGAATCGTAGGCGACCTACACAGCCCCTCTGGTGTTTCTACAGTTTCTAGTGCAGATTTTACCTCACGAGGACGCGGGAGGTTTGTCCCGCAAGCCATCTGCACCAGGTCTGCCCCGGGCATGGATCCCGCGCTGGGAATCTCAGTGAGCTATAAAGGCTGGGTGAGCTCGACGAAACGAGACAGCATCCTCTGAAGTTTCAAGTTTCGCCTTTCAACTTCCACTCGTTCACAATGCTTGCTTTGATATTCCTCATTCCTCTCTGCGTGTCCATCGCTGCAGCCGCCGCCATCAAACGTCAGGACGGAGTGATCTGCGAGACCGTCCACATTGGCGCCATTCGTATCTTCTCGAACGACCAAGCTGCAAGGTATCTGCCAGACGATGGCGCCAATGTGACGTTCTTCACCCCCGAGCCGAGTGAGCCGCCCTTCCTTATTGAAGGCGGTAACACCGCCCTGTATGAGTTCCAAGAGTGTAAGTTCATGACGTCCTGGCGGAATTCATCGTGCTAATGTGCTTAACTTACATAGGTACCAGCAGCTTCATGGGCTATCCCGGAGTAGTTGTCAACGGAACTACCATCGTGACCTATGGCCATATCGTGCCGCTGGGGTACGGCGGCTGTCTCACAACCAATCTGCCGACACTCGTCAACCCTGACGGGAACTACTACACCATCTTGAACGAGACCTGCTCCACATCTGACGACGATTCGCAGCTGTTACAGTACTGGGTAATTGTGCTCGACAATGTGTTCTTCTGTTTTCTGGTCTGATGTCCGGGCCACTGTCAGTCTTTGACGTACGGCGACAGGCTCATGCGGATCAATTTCGTGGGCAGAACCGCGGACGGGACGACGTACAATACTAGTGCTCTGGCTGAGATGCTACCTCAGCTCGACTTTCTCTCCAACGAGCAGGCTGTTACTAGTGAGCACTCCACGTGGTTAAGATTATTGAGAGACATGCTGACTCTCTCTCAGTCGCAGCATATACTGAGCCTAGTTTCATCCTGTACTCACTCCGGTTCACTGATTAAGGCAGTACCGATATAAGATTTGCCTCAAAAGGACCTTGAATACTGCCAAAATTGATAATACCTATATACTCAGGCTCCTAAAACCATCTGTTGCTATAGTGTTCTCGCTCCTTTATCCTAAACAGCATGTTTTAGTAATCATGTGACATATGTTTTATGAGACCTACCCTTTTGAGCAAAAATTATGGGATAAGGAAATTCGTATGGAGGAGGAGAACACTATAGGATGGCTGGCCAAACTTGTTGTCCGAGGTTATGCCGAGCACGCACATCCAGCATTTCTTGCAGGAAAAGCCGAGCAAACCCTAGCATGGGTCTTATTTTTCTCAGCACGAGCGACCCAAATCCGACGTTCGTGTACTGCGCATAGTGCGCCCACCAGGCATGCAACCCATACACATTATTTTTATTCCATTGTTTTGGGGGACTGCTAAGCATTGCTGAGAGCTTAAGGCTCCAGAGTGCAAAGTGAAGTGCTAGTGTGATTCGGACTCGCTATGCGGCAGATAAATTGGTACAGTATTAGTTCTCAATGGCTTTGTAGCCAATGCACCTTGAACAAACAACAACTGCGTAGTTTTGTGCCTGGATCAGTGCAGCTTCAGTACATATAATATAGATCTGCTGTGCAATGGCGCGTGATGGCACGCACACTACGCGCAGTACACAAACATCGGATTTGAGTTGCTCGTGCTGAGAAAAATAAGACCCATGCTAGGGTTTGCTCGGCTTTTCCTGCGAGAAATGCTGGATGCGTGTGCTCAGCGTAACCTCGGACGACAAGTTTGGCCAGCCATCCTATAGTGTTCTCCTCCATACGAATTTCCTTATCCCATAATTTTTGCTCAAAAGGGTAGGTCTCATAAAACATATGTCACATGATGACTAAAACATGCTGTTTAGAATAAAGGAGCGAGAACACTATAGCAACAGATGGTTTTAGGAGCCTGCTATATACTACGGACTAATACATACTACGATGTGCGGTCTCCCTTTGGACAACTAAACTATTCGGCCATTGCCTCATGCAATGGTGTCCATCACTGAGCATGTTGGTGAACAATTGCGCAGCCTCAAGGCATTCCGAATGACAAAGCTTGAGCCTGTGAATTTCTGTAGCCCGAGCTGTACATAGTGCCGCCAGCAAACATATTTCCGGTGGGAGGTAGGACAGCTGATGGAGGGGTAGGTACTATGGAGCCCCAGACCGGCAGCCAAAGGCCTAATTATTACATACTTGGGATCACTTGGTCAGAAATTCCGCCATAATATGTACCTACTTGTACCCACATGAGCGAACTCAGTCCTCCACGTCAAACATCCCTTCTTCTGAGTCACTGTCAGGATAATCGTCCACGTCATCGTCATCCAACTCCGCGAAAGAATTCCAATACCCAGGATGTGCAGTAGCGCCAGGATACATGGACATCAAATTTTCGGAAAGACCAGGAGGCACGACCTGCGAAGCCTGCAGCAATGAGACATATCGCACATTCTGTGCTTCGTTGATTACCCCAAAAATGGTTGAGGTAGCCTGCGCACACCATATATCGAATGCAGTAAAGCGACAGTTCAAACCGGAGCTTATTGTGGCTTTGGCTTTGTGCTTCGCCTTATGCGATGGGTGTTACAATGCTCCTCAGTTATGGCACGTCTTTTCTTTTTCCTTTCTTCATTCCCTTTACTTTACCAGACCACGTGATCCAACACGTGATTCATCGGAGCGCAACCTCCGATTCTCTACCCAGATGTCCAGAACCCCTAGTCTGGGGTTACACCAGATCCAACTCCGGACCTTCTTCTTATCACACATGCAAGACGTGCATGTATGCCTCATCTTTACCTCATTCTGATACACGACTCGTTATCCCCATTAGTACTGATTATCTCTCACGATCTTACTCAGCTTTCCCATATATATTACTTCCTCGCCGTTATCTTGCCCAGACATCGTTTCACTTTATCTAGCCAATGAACAATTCCATATTACTGCGTAGTACTGCGGATACCTTTTGTATAAATAGACGACCTCATCGAGCTGGATCCCCATCTCGACCTGGTTACCATTAAACCAGCTTTTCACTTGCCTTTGACTGAGATCGACCGTTAGTAGCAGACAGCTACCACGAGTCATAAGAACGAACTCTGATCGACCTTCAGTGCAAGGACGTCGCCAGAAGTGTCACTTGAACGGACTTGTGTCTTAGACTAAGACCTTGTCTCGTGATGACTCGACTTGACGCTCGTGTTTCGCTGCCGTGTAACATTAGGTTGAGATCTTATTACTCTCTGTGACTTCTTAAAGTCTAACAACGAACTACCGACTGGACCGAACCTTGAAGACTAAATGATACACCCGATTCGATTGCTAAAGCACCGTTTGAGATTACTCTGTAATCGAGGTAGCTGAAGGGATAGACTGATCACTCATCTTCGGAGAGGGGTCTGTCTGAGAGACCAATAGGCCGAGGAGGCTGAGGTAATCACTCGAGCAATCAGCAAATAGGTGTACCAGTTTGAAGACAGAAGACACTCTACGGGCTTGTTAGCCGACGATGAATGAACCCACTTAGTTGAGGACGGTGTGCAGTCTACGTGTAGACATAGGCCACACAGAGGACTTTATCCACACTGGCTTTGAATTACATCAACCCGACTGCTCTTCTCAGGCAGTACATCGATCTCCTCCCATCTCAGGCAGAGTGGGACGCACAGAGGAATGTACACATTTTAAACGGACGACCTTTACTCATCAGACCAGATCAACACATTGATCACCCAAGTGGTGACTACGAAGCAGCCCTACCCCATAACATTGGAGGGCTCATACTATCACACATCGCAGACAGTGGTATACCTATCTCTTATCCAGGAGAAAGACCAGACGTCCCTTGGAACCTCCCTGTCCAGGATCCCATACCCCAGTCGACTCTTGCACCAATCGTACCCGATTATGCTCTACTGATGGCTACAGTTACCATGGATGAAGATCGTCACCATGTCAGCCAGAAGGAACTTGGTTTCAGAAAACCCGAAATCTTCAACGGCTCAGACCGTTTAAAGCTTAGGGAATTTATAAACCAATGCAAGAATTACATGGCCGAGAATAGCCATGTCTATCAAGAGGACAATCAGAAGATTGCATTTGTGCTGTCGCACATGCAAGGAGGAACAGCGGGATCATGGGCGCAGAGTTTCATAGAAATGAAACTCACTGATGACAACTTCCTATCTTACGGAGATTGGAAGGAGTTCATTACAGATGTGAACAAAGCATTCAGTGATGAAAATATTGAAGAAACCGCTCGTACCTTGCTGCGTAACATCAAGCAAGGAACTCGTACCGTGGATGACTACATTGCCGAATTCCGATTGCTTGAGTCAAAAGCGAAATTAGAAGATGCCGGAAATATCGAATATTTCAAGTGGGGACTTAACGACCCACTCCGACAAAGGATATATGGGATGGAAAGCATCCCAAGACACTTGACAAGTGGTATGAGTACGCCTCATGATTTGACAACCAATGGAGATCTGCTCAGATCTTCAAGCGAGGAGCTACTACGACGACACGAGGAAAAAGCCGATCTACCCATCGTCCCTACTACTTGACTTCTACGAAGGATCCGAATGCGATGGATGTTGATCGTATCAATATCTCACACTTATCTCCGGAGGAGCGACAGAAGAGAATGAAAGAAGGATTATGTTTCCTATGTGGAAAGAAGGGCCATATGGCCAACGACAGACAATTCCACTCCCAGTCTAGAAGTTTCACCCATGCTAGAACAATACAGCCCGGGTTGGACACCGATACGATTACATGGATCAAGAAGATGCGAGAAGACCTCGCACAGAAGAAGGAGATGCCAAAGGAAGAAACCAGAGAGGAACAGATTGCCTATGTGCGAAACGTTTTCAATGACATGACTGATGAAGAACGAACCCAGTTGGGTTTTTGAAATGATGGCCACTAGTAACGCATGGACCGTCGCATCTTACCATATCTCCCCTCATTATTTGTAACACTAGCAGAAATTCAATCACTGTGAATATTTCGTTGGGAGAGAAGGAAAACATTGCAACAGAAGCCTTGATTGATTTCAGTGCGGCCGAAACGTTCATGCATATTCGCTTTGCGAAAGAAAATGATTTTATCAAATGGGAATTACCGAAACCGATTAAAGTCGTAAATGCGAACGACACGCCAAATCAGATGGGTACCATTACCCACTGTACTTGGAAGATGATGAAGATTGGAGGAAGGAAGACACTTACTCGCTTCCTCTTGACTGGCATTGGCAAAGAGAATATACTTCTCGGCATGCTGTGGCTTAAACACCTCAATCTGATGATTAATTGGGAAACCGGTGACTTTTGGTTTGGCAAAGATGCCAAATGGCCACCGAAACCCACCGTCGAAGATGTACCAGATGAAGAAGTTTCAATTTTCAAGGAAGATGACCTTCCAGAGTTAATCACCACCGAAACTTCTCCGACCTCATTTGGACATTCAGAATCTATCAGAGAAATCATGGCCGATAACACTGAGCGTGGTGAGTTACCTGCAGTGCGGAATGATACTGAACCAGACGATCCACCATTAGAACCCTCTATGGATCAGCTTGATGATGATGATCTAGTTATCTCCTATATTGCAGGAGAACCAGTTATTGGAATATTTGAACCCATCAGGAAGGAATCGCCTTTGATGAATGAAGAGACTGGAACTGCAGTTTTCACTATACGAAGGGGCCCCACCATCGGAAGGATGACACACAGTACTTGATCTCCATTATTCTGTAATGCACAGAATATGGTTTTTTATAAACCATCCGGTAAATCACAGGAATTGGCACAACAGGCACATAAGGAAGCATCAGCTGTAGACAAACCCAAAATCATTGAAGAGTTGGTCCCCGATTACCTCCACGATTTGAAGTCAGTCTTTGAAAAGAAAGCAGCTGAACGCTTCCCAGAAACCAGGCCTTGGGACCACACCATTGACTTGAAACCTGATTTTATTCCACGCGACTGTAAAGTCTATCCGTTATCACTCAAGGAACAAGGAGCGATGGATGATTTCTTGGAAGAAAATCTGCGAAAGGGATACATTCGATCATCGAAATCACCCATGGCCTCATCATTCTTCTTCATTGGAAAGAAGGACGGAGCGCTACGTCCCTGTCAGGATTACCGATGTCTGAATGAAGAGATGGTGAAGAATGCCTACCCCCTCCCGCTCATTTCTGAACTGATGGATCAACTCAAGGGTGCATCGATCTTCACGAAAATGGATTTACGCTCCGGATATAACAACATCAGAGTCAAAGATGGTGACCAGTGGAAGGGCACGTTTAAGACAAACCGCGGACTTTTTGAACCTATGGTCATGTTCTTTGGACTCTGCAACTCTCCGGCGACTTTCCAAATGATGATGAACGCACTCTTCGAGGACATGATCGATGAAGGATGGATAGTCATTTACATGGATGATATCCTCATCTTCTCAAACAATTTGGAAGAACATCGCATTCGAACCCGACGCGTACTCCAACGACTCAAAGACAACGACCTATTCCTTAAACCAGAAAAGTGTTTCTTTGATGTTAAGGAAGTCGAATTCCTAGGCATGATCATTCGAGAAAACTACATTGGCATGGACCCTATCAAACTTAAAGGAATTGCAGAATGGCCTGAACCAAGCACGGTAAAAGGTGTTCGCTTGTTCCTCGGGTTTGGAAACTTCTACCGGAAATTCATTGCCAACTTCTTGGATATTGCCAAACCATTGATGAACCTTACACGTACTGCTGCTGGATCTCCACCTTTTGAATGGACAACAGAATGTCAGACAGCTTTTGATACATTGAAACAACAATTCAGTACTTCCTCAGTGTTGTTGCTGCCCGACAAAGCAAAACCCTTTATTGTCGAGTCCGATGCTTCCAAGTTTGCTACGGGTGCAGTTTTACGACAAGCCGATATCAATGGAGAACTCCACCCTTGTGCCTACATTTCACAGACGCTCAATCCAGCTGAATGAAACTACAAAATCTACGACCACGAACTTCTCGGAATTATTCAAGCCCTTATCGAATGGTGCCATTATCTTGAAGGCTCTCCTCACCCTGTCGAAGTTTGCAGTGATCACAAGAACCTCACGTACTTCCATACAGCCCAGAAGTTAAACCGCCGACAAGCACGATGGAGTCTCAAATTATCACAATTTGATCTTCACCTCATCCATGTCCCTGGAACTCAGATGATCCAATCAGATGTGCTATCTCATCGTAACGAACTCGATGACAGTGAAAGTGACAATGAAGATTGTATCCTTTTACCCGATGCACTGTTTGTGCGATTCATTTCCCCGATGCTATTTGATGAAATCAGGAATCATGCAGCAAAGGACCTCATTGTTCATGAAGCCCTTGAAGTGATCGTGCACAAAGGGCCATTCCCAATGAAGTCCTCGCTTTTCGACTGGGAAGTTCGCGATGGTGTCATCCTTTACAAGGGAAAGATTTATGTTCCACCATCCAAACCTCTTCATTGTGACCTCGTTCGACTACATCACGACTCCCCTGCCATGGGCCACCCTGGAAAGTTCAATACTCTTGAACTCCTACATCGTGAATTTTGGTGGCACGGCATGTATGCATTTGTCAACAATTACATCGAAGGCTGTGCCTCCTGTCAACAGATGAAACCGAATACTCACCCAACTCGTATTCCTTTGGAACCAATCCCCACAGACCCACACGCATTACCATTTTCCTGTTGCACCACAGATTTTATCACCGACCTCCCCGTTTCCAACGACTTTGATTCGATTATGGTCGTAGTAGACCATGACCTTACGAAGGGGGTGATTCTTATGCCCTGCCTCAAAACGATCATAGCTGAAGGGACGGCCAAGATTTTTCACGATAAAGTTTACTCGTGATTCAGGTTACCTGACCGAATTATCTTGGATAGAGGACCTCAATACGCATCCAAGGTCTTCCAAGAGTTAAATCGACTACTCCAGATTAGATCATCGATGAGCACAGCTTATCACCCTCAGATGGACGGAGAAACAGAACAAGTCAACCAGGAGCTGGAAATCTATCTTTGACTCTATTGCAGAAACAACCCTGAAACATGGGCTGATCACCTGCCAGACCTCAAATTTTGTCATAACACGAGGGAATACTCAGCATGGAAGATGAGCCCATTCCGCATCATGATGGGATATGAACCACGTGGACTTCCTTCCGTATTCCCAACCACGAACATTCCATCGGTTGAATCCAGGCTAGACATGTTGCAGAAGATAAGACTAGAAGCACTAGCCATGCACGAGTTAGCCCGACAACAGATGGCGGACCGAGTCAGACAAGGATCGCCGAAGTTTATACTAGGACAGAAGGTCTGGCTAGACTCGAGGAACCTGAAGGTTAACTACGCCTCGTGCAAAATAGCTCCAAAGTGTGAGGGGCCATTCGAAATCGTTGAAGTTATTGGACCAGCCAACTATCGTCTCAGACTCCCGAAGACCTGGCGAGTTCATTCTGTATTCCACGCTGCCCTTCTATCTCCTTATCGCGAAAACGACATACATGGTCTGAATTACGTGAACCCACCACCTGATGTTGTGGATAATGAAGAAGAGTACGAAGTCGAAGCCATCCTGAACCACAAGACACACCGAGGTCACCTGAGGTACTTAGTCAAGTGGAAGGGATATCTATCAGCAGAAAACTCGTGGGAACCTGCCCACAATTTACAGAATGCAAAGCAAACCCTCGACGCATATAAAAGGACCAGGGGAATCAAGTAGAGGATGAGGAAACTGGAATGACTACCACGACGGCCTTTCTCGTTATCTTCCTTATCGTCCTCCACTGCACAACCCTCGCTTTCCTTTGGATCGTTCACAGAATCCTTATCAGATGACTCGTTAAACATACACTCTTCACACGAGACAACCCACATGCTAACAGCTGGGGTGATCAGAATGATGCTTGGAACTGACTGGGCAGTTCTTATCTCCGTGAGAATACTCTTTATCGCCCAATGGATTTTCATCTATTTGATTATCACCCGCATCCACGACATTCTATTTCACATCACTGATAACCAAGATCCCCTTAATAACTGAAAGGTATAAAAGGAGGAGAAGATGATGTATCATCAATGCCCACTTCTGCTATAGACGACCTTGTTCACAATATACTTGCTGAAGTCACTTCCACGATTATGGGCACCCCCGCATCACCTACGCTTGTCAATGGAGTACCTTCTCGAACACAGACACCCTTTATCCGCACTTCATTGCCCTCACCTTTTATCGAACTCAGTCACACATCAGATGAACAAGAATTTGCCACACGTCTGGTCTTGGCCATCCATGTTCCTGTCGACTTCACAGACATTCTCGTTGCCCTATGAAATTGCCCGCAGGATTGACAAGCGGTGGTTTCTATGCAACGAGCATTGGAAATGGTCGAGTGGATGCAGACGGCCAGACAAGAGCTCATCGCAGCAGAGGAAAGGACAAGTAGAGCCCGAACCAGAGTTGACCAAGTCTGGTCATTGATGCGCAGTATGGTCACTCGTACAGCACAGGAGATCTGGAGGGAGCATGGAGATGAAGACATCGGACACATTCTCGGATACACCAATAACACAATACCCGCATCCACTCCTCGATCATCACCGGAACCAATTCCTGTTCGACCTCGCCCTCCTCATTTACACGTACCTACGGGTCGATCCCCGCTATCGCAACCCTCCTTCTCACTTGTATCGACTTCTTCACGTCGCAGTCATTCTTACTGCGATGGTCATACACAGGAACGAGGACCACGAACCAGCCGATGGACATGCTACAGATGTGGAGGTGATCATTATGTTCGAGACTGCCCCCGACGACGATGAAGACTACAATATTTCTTGTGGGACAAGAAACATTAGACGGGAGCTGATGTTACAATGCTCCTCAGTTATGGCACATCTTTTCTTTTTCCTTTCTTCATTCCCTTTACTTTACCAGACCACGTGATCCAACACGTGATTCATCGGAGCGCAACCTCCGATTCTCTACCCAGATGTCCAGAATCTCTAGTCTGGGGTTACACCAGATCCAACTCCGGACCTTCTTCTTATCACACATGCAAGACGTGCATGTATGCCTCATCTTTACCTCATTCTGATACACGACTCGTTATCCCCATTAGTACTGATTATCTCTCACGATCTTACTCAGCTTTCCCATATATATTACTTCCTCGCCGTTATCTTGCCCAGACATCGTTTCACTTTATCTAGCCAATGAACAATCCCGTATTACTGCGTAGTACTGCGGATACCTTTTGTATAAATAGACGACCTCATCGAGCTGGATCCCCATCTCGACCTGGTTACCATTAAACCAGCTTTTCACTTGCCTTTGACTGAGATCGACCGTTAGTAGCAGACAGCTACCACGAGTCATAAGAACGAACTCTGATCGACCTTCAGTGCGAGGACGTCGCCAGAAGTGTCACTTGAACGGACTTGTGTCTTAGACTAAGACCTTGTCTCGTGACAACTCGACTTGACGCTCGTGTTTTGCTGCCGTGTAACAATGGGAGTTTGAGTGTAGGTGGATTTCGCACATGGACCCCGACTGTGTCCACACCGAGGGAATACACCATTCGGATGATGGGCAGCGGACGTTCTGTCTTATTGAACGTCTGAAGATCAAATGGGTTAATAACGTTAAATATGTGTAGGCAGGGACACAGGTCTACCTTTATAGTACAAAGGCCTGACCCTGACTATACATACAGGTACATAGACCTGCATATAGTACAGGTCTATGAGGGTCACAGGTTTATAAAAGATGAACCTGTACTATGACCTGTACTATAACTATGTATGTACCTATGTGTAGTTTACTACACATCCTGGACATGTCTTCAAGTAAAGTAGTACTTAAGAGCAAAGTTTAACATGCAAAGTTTAAGTTTAAGTAGCTCTCTTACAGAATATATGTGTTAGCATTTGTGCTTTAATTAATTTAGTTTAATTTGAGTCTCACTCATATATTTATAAAAACTCCGCAGGTTTATATAGTCAGACCTCATATACCTATACTATGTGTACAGGTTTCACAGGTCCAACAAATTCATATCTGGACTATAACATTTACTATAACTATACTTGGACCTTTGCATAGTTTATTACACTACTATGTCCCTGCCTAAATATGTGGGGGACGGAAGTGCTGGAGAAGCCTGCAACTTCAGCAAAACTCCATTTGACCTCATTACATGTCTTACCTGCCTTTTTTGGGCCTTTTTTGTCTTACTTGTCTTGAATTAAGAGGTGAACCTCATTATTTTAAGACTGGCCTGTCTTGCACTTTTCCAAAATAAGACATAATAAAAATCTATGTAGTGTATGTTTTAGAATACCTTTGCTTATGTGTATTCCAGACCCAACACCTCCAGAATTCCAGAAAACATGTCCTTCAGAAATGTAAGAAAAATTGCAAAAAAGACAATTAAGGCAGTAAGACAAAAAGTAGAGGGGAGTTTTGCTGATGAATATTCTTTGAATGAATGAAGATGGCAGAGACATTCAATCGCTTCAGCCTCAAATCTCGGAAGAGAAAGGGTATAACAAGGTCCACAGGGGCTTAGTTGTCTCTACAGATTATAGCAGCTCCTCGTACGATGTAGCGCAATAGATACTTCTGATCTAGCACCTTGAAGTCACGTACTTTGATGAAGTGGGTGACATAAATATGCGCATTCTTGAATGTCTCCTCGAACATCTTGTTCTGGGTGGAACACTGCACCTGTGAGGGCAGTGCGTGTCTGACCATCGAATTGTACACCCCGGCTGTGAACAGCACTTCCATGTACTCTGTCATGCCAATAGCGAGATGCTTATGCCCTCTGGTTGACCCACCAAATGCTGGATGATCAATGGTGTCCATGACGATATTTGCAACAATCAATTCCCCTCAGTCCCCCTTGGACATACCTGGCATTTCGAGGATGTGCATTAACACACTAGCAGAGGAAATGGTGGTGCACTGTATCAATAGCGCTGCAGCATCTGTGTGTAGAGGTTCAGAAGCAGCAGTGGTGATCATAGTTTCTAAGCCTGCATCAACAGCCAGACAGAGATGCATATGTTTCTCCACCTGCATCACCTGAGAGGTTTCGAGGGACTTCTTCATAGTACCAATAGTACCCAAGGGATCAATCTCCAATGCCAACCGCTGCGAAAGAACAGCAAGCCATTTGTCATGATGGTCTTTCAGAATGATTCCAGACACAAGTTCCCTGCACAGAAGCTTCTCAGCAGCGAACTCTATGATGTTGCATCGGTCAGCATTGCTGCCTTCCCTGTAATGCGAAGCCCATCTATGCAGACAAATAAATAACGAGAATGATGTACAACCTTCTGAAACTCACAGAGGGCAACCGAGAGTGACCCTGTACTCCATTGAAGTGACTTTTTCCAGAGTCCAAGAGCCATCTCCCCTGAATTTGTCCTCTAAAGCAAATATGTCAAATTGGAGTTCACAAAATGGTGGGATGACGATAAGCATGCCCGTAGTGATACAATTTGATGGATCTGCATGGTATGCTGGTGTGAATTGTGGTATGGACCCAGTCATCGACAAGAATAAAGACCAGATGGGAAGGCTTCGGATGCTCCTTAGAGCTCGGCGGAGTGAGGTGTAGACCGACCACTCCAACTTCTCAGTGTGCACTGTCCTCATGAGTGTGTGGGCCTCATCAAAGGAGAGAATGAGTTGTGCACGAAGGGTATTGTCCAATGATGGAGAGACCAGATCCAGAAGTTCCTTTGCCTTCTCAATAACAGCTGTCGTACCTGAATGCTGTCTCATCACCAATTTCATTGCACTAGTGTGAAGTAGTAGTACTAACCAACTGACTCTTCAGTCTGGCTCTTCGCTGCTAAGAGATCGAAATGCTAAGAGGAAGCTCTTAATACAGAAAGAAAAATCCCAGCAAAGTCAATAGCATACTTTGTTTGCTCCACCTACGACATAGTCATAGAAGTGGATACATGGCTTTCCCTGTTCATGGAATGTCTGTCCAGCAGTCATATACACACAAAATTGGTTCACAAAATTCTCGGCACTCTTGAACTCCAGAACTGTGTTCGGTGCTTGACTTTCAATTTTGGTGAGCATAGTCCCCATCAGATTTCTTACCAACTCATTTAGTGCTTCAAACAATGAGCGTAAAAAGGCCATAAAGCAAACATCACATTGGGAGGGTAGGTGGCTATGGCCCCCAATGAACCAAGTGTGAATATTCTTGTCAGGAGGAGGGAAACCTGAGATACACCTGAATTATAGAAATTCAGGATTACAGCGGGCATTATGCTAACCTTTACCTGAGTCCTCGTGCAAGTTCAGTGGCACAACAATGTTCTGCTTCGCAAGTTCATCTATTACCATAATTTGCCCATGCCAGATGACTGAATGACAGGGATGAGGTGAGCATATGACATCTCCTTCCAGTCATTATGCTTCATATGAGTGTAAAGTGATTTTACTGATCCTCTAAGAAAAGGAGTACTCCACGATTTGATAGTTGCTTTTGAATAATAAGCATAGGCCAGCGTGAGAGAGGTCGCTTACTAACCATTCATGGAATCTTGTGCTGCCCACACTCCAGCAACTGATGAGACAGCACAGTATAAGATAAGCGATGTTTGCTTAGAAAAAGGCCCAGTATTTAACTGACTGACAGTTTTCATCGTTGGTCTTCACAGAATTTCTGCACACAACAAATATTCAGACTGAAACATGAAGACATTATTTGATGGCCTACCGAAACAGCATATTTTTGAGAAATTGCCAGCAGTTACTGCCTGGGCCAGTTCTTCTCTCAATGCAGGACTGGAGCAGGCATGGCTTTCAGACAGTCTAAGATTGAAGACATCCTGGAAACCAGGCATATTGATGATCACCTTCAACAAAGGCGCTGCCAGAAAAACGTCCGCCAGGACACCATCCGCCATGGTCGTTTTTACAACCGGATTAGCCAATATTACTCCATTCCACACCAAGTCACTTGGTGTGGAATGGAGTAATATTGGCTGATCTGGTTGTAAAAACGGTGTTGTCCCGGAAGTGCAGGATCTGGAACAGTGTGCAGGAACTCGGAATGTGCAACCTTCATTTGAATTCCTTCATCAGCGGAGGGGGATGCAGGTCTCTTTGGTGGCATAGCTCCTTGACACACCCTGAAATATAATGAACTATGAATATCTCTCCACCGGTAGCACAGCAAACCATTCAGATTTGTCACAAAGTATGACAATGGCAGACGGTAGATGACAGCGGAAAAAGTATTTGCCTGCAGAAAACAGACTTCAGTCTATGATTTGGTAGTCGCAGAAGTGCCGTGTGGCCTACTCTCGCGTAAGCACTGCCCTTTCGGGAACTCAGGACCCCTGTAACTCTGCTCTGATGCCATGACCCCGAAAGTAGGCCCTCCGCTGTCTCCTTAACGGAGTTTCAAAACTCCATGCACAAAAATGAACTTGGACGATGTCACTCTCGGGGAGGCAAACCACTTGATGGACACTCTGGCGTACGCGGGTAACGGTCTTGACACCTAATATGCTCCATCGTTGGAGTAAGAGCCCTCACGCGGGCTGTACTGCTGATTTCTCGCTAATAGCATGGGGCCTGTGTGGCACCGTGCATCGAAAACACCGCCGGGTATTGCAAAAGGCGGACGGTACCCAGGCCACTAACTCTGGCTGGCGGATTGCGGTGTCTGCTTCGACTGGGCAATGAATGCCGCTACAGAGCAGCCGGGATTACGATGACCGTCCTGAAGAGGGCGCCGGGAGGACTATCATTGGTTTCGGCACAGGATCATCGATTCCAATGGCATCGTAATTCTCGTGGAATGCCGCGGACTCTTGTGTCGGGACCCAGCTGGCAACCTGGAGCAGGGCGGCTTGGCGACAATGGACCGGCACGGCGTGCAGGCATATGCAAGTGCGAGACCTGGGCATGGCTTACTGTTATTAGCTGCAAGGAAACGACGACGACGAAGTTCGGACGTGCAGCCACCCGAACATCGAAGGAAATGGTCTCCTCCGAACTGCGAAATATTGGTACGACGAACGTTACGACAAGAACCATAACCAAGATGTGGAAGTACCTGCCACACCCTTGGGACACACTCAATGAAGCAGGAGACGGCCTAGGTAGTGGGCGATGCTGAAGATTCGGACCACGCACGTCGACACCTAAATGAAGACCATGGACGGGACAATGACGGAATATGAAGAAGACTACGATCGGTGTAGACGAGGGGCACCAAACGATCGGTCCTGGAATGGGGGCCCGCATAACATGGCCCTAATCAACTGAAAACCTGGAATATGGAGCTTTTGGGATCCATCCAAGACATCTTCGTGGAGGCTCACGGCCAAATACGGTTGCAACCTTGCAGACGGTTAGAACTTGCAGCGTCTGGTGCTCGGTCAACCGAGGCCATGGCAGAATCGGTGGCCGAAAACATTTTTGGGCTTGGGGACTCGGACACGTGGGAAGGCTCCAAATATGCGCAGGGCGAATTTGGCCATGACACATTGATGATCGTCCACAAGGCGAACGGCCACGGAGATGAACAATCCCGCCGCGGAAGGACGGCGACCGGGCAGAGCAGCAAGGCAGAGATACAACGGAAAATGGGCAGAAATATGATGCTGATATCGAAGAGACGTACGGCTGCAGTGGCTGGCAAATTTTCAACAACATACACGGCACCACATCTACACGTCCGGTCATGCTTTGCCATTCTCAATGACGCTATACCTCATACACGACAGCCGGTGTAGAACGGGACCCGATGCCGGGATCAGTGCAGCCACAAATACAGGAAGGAACATCATCTGCTCGTATCAGGGTTATCAAGGTCTAACGTCTGCTCAGATCCTGTATAATACCGAAATAAAGGCCGATATATTCAATGTGGCAGGGTAACAAAAATCCGAAGACCACTCACCGTCAAAAGAAGTTCCCCAGCTTCGCAAGCTGCACATGCTGAGCAGGCACGCCGTAGCGTTGCCAGAAGGTCATCAGCGTCGCAACATCCACCTTCCGCCCGAACCCTCCTGGGCCTGTGTGGAGATCGAAGTAGCTTCCTCCACCGTGGGCGCAAAGGCCCTCCGCGACGGCGTTCACCGCGTCGGTAGCGTCCTCCGACCAGGCGAGACGGGCGTCGACGACGCTGAGGAAGTAGCCCGTGGCATGGTCCGTGCCGTAGGCGATTTCGATTGCACCTTGTTCGATGACATGTCTGCCCATTTGTGTGTGTGTGCGCGTGTTATGAGGGAGATGCTGGACGAGATAAAGGCGCAAGACGATGCGATGGGGTTATGCGGGGAAGACGCCGTCTGCTATTTATACGGGACGTAGACGCTGCGTGCTTCGTGGTCAACCTTTACATAACTTTGGCCGTGCCCTCTTGCATCGCATGGTAATTCTCCTGTGGGAGAATGCAACGTACGTCGACTCGGAGCGGCACAAGGGAAAATTTCACGCACCTCAGCGGAGCGCGTTCAAACTTAGGTCTTGGAAATATCGGCCGCGCACACGAGAAAACCACCTTCCATGAGCATGAAGCAGAAAATAAGATCATGTAGGCTTGCCCCAGACGGCATCGTGCGGGCCGTGAAATTCCGCCGACGATAGCGCGCGTAGGACGTTCGTGGTTCCAGTCTGCCACAACCACCATTGTGCGCATGTCATTTGACCAAAAACGCTGCCGTCTATGCTTCCGAACTTGATTGAATTCTTGGCCGCCAACATCTGACTCGAGTGGGCCGTAATGACACACACACAGGCCCACATACGCGGTAATTCAATATCCACAACCACACGGCAATCTGCGAAATACAATGCATTTGAGGATGGCCAACTTCGACACAGTATAAATCTCTCCCTCTTCCGCCCGGTCGTCTTACCGTCTCCTTCTCTTCCACGCACCAGTGACCACCATAATTACCTGAGCTTACGATCTCTCTCCCAAACTGCAATAATGGACTATCCCAACATAACTGTGAACCATTTCACGGTTTGTCAAAGACACGGCCAAGAGCAATGCACCATCTGCAACTGTGATCATCGCGTTGCCAACAACGCAGCCTCCGGTGTCGAAGACGAGCTCCACGATCTCATCCAGCTCACAGATTTCTGGATGCCGGTGAGTACCTTGATTTTCCCACGCAGACCGACGGTTAAATTCATGTAAAATTCGCCATTTGTCTAGTATCGCCAATCCCAGAACGTTTACGAGCTGGGCGCCGTGGCCGTCGGTGCCCCGTCTGTGGCATACAAGTGCAACAAACACGACACGCAGGACTGCGGTATATGTTTTGACTGGGTGACGTTAATCGGGGACGAGATCATCATGACCTTCATTCAAGAAGCGTGGACGATGTTGCTGGTCGACGATCCCAGGCTACCGGCACTCATCGATCTGAGTTTTCAAAGCCTATGGTGAGCCACGCCACGACTACTAGGACATGCGGCGATTTGCATTTTCGTTGTATCTTGCGCTGTTGGTACTGTTGTATTCCCCTCTCACATCCAGCGATAGCATTTCTCCCTTCAGATTTTTGACGCATCCGACCGACCTGTCATTTGTCCTGCCTACGTATTCGTCCTTGTATGTCATTTTACTGCCGTTCAACTTTATACCTTCGTTTTCAACTTGCTGCTTGATTGTTTACATTATTTGATCACCCTCTTTTTTCTGGAGGGGGAGATTAATTACCCTTCATCTTCGTCGCATTTGTTGACTCCTATAGCACCGCACGGAAGGTGAGCCGACTATATATTGCAGAGCCAGGTCGCACCCAAGGTACACGAACGACGCCTGGCATGATTGGTAGCTTCCGAATTTGCCTCCGCCGCAATCGGTAATTTGCATCCGCGAGTATTTGCGCATAGATCAGACCGGGTTTCCTGCCACCCTTTCACTCTGGCCACCATCTGGAGGTGCCAACATGTCCACTGAGACCGCAAAGACGAAGAAAAAAGGGACGTCTCTGAAGTCGGCCCGGAAAGCTGTCGAAGCCAAAAATACCTACTATTTAATATTGCCATACCTTGACACTGTCGGCACGGATAGAAGCAGCCTGATCGTTCCCTACAGGCCTTATTTCACTGGCAAGGTTAGGCCTAAGGTAAGTATATGTATTCGTTCTGATAACTCTCCCTCGTTGTAAACTCTCGCAACGCGACCGGGTCATCACTCTTCCCGCTTTAGCCCGCACATAATTACGTTGTTTACCGATCACGATTTCGCGGAGGCGCCCTCAGCTAGCATGGTGGAAGTACTTCGCCTCCGGCTTGGCGAGCCAGAATAACCAAAGTGGTTTCTGAGTCACCATACTCATTGAAAGTGGGCTCCTGCCGACGTATCAGTGCCATGTCGCCATTGATTTACTACTCAATAGTCAGTACGTGACAGAAAGCTCCAATCTCTGCCTGTGTGCTTACGAGTGTCGTTGCAGGTTGTCTGTTTTCCCTGGCTATCTGTTGGTGATACATACATTAGCGACTAGGGAAGGATGGTTGTCGGAGTATAATTTTGGAGACGTGTATATATGATACAAAGCTGAGTAGAATCAGACGAAGGAATCTATATTATTTTTTCGCTTTCCTATAGCGAGTATGCATTGCTTGCAACTCGTATGTTCTTGGCCTTGTCGAAGTGCTGCCAGCAAAAAACTGCGCCACAGGTTGAGCGCGTCTCGGTCTTAATGTCCATGGGCGAACCGTAGCCACGGTGACAGTTTTGCGTTGGCGGGTCCGCCACAGCTCACAACTATAATGTGGCGGTGACCTTGGGTTCAAGTTTCGGGTGTGGCCGAACTCAGCGCCGGATGCATCACGACATCTTCATCTTGGATTGGACTGCCTCGTTAGCAATCGCGCGCTGTACTTGACTTCGGACTGCCACATCTTTATGGAAGCACGAGCCAGCGGTGAAGTCCGCGCTTCGACCCTCCTGTGGATAGGAGGTGCTGTGTCAATGCCGAACTGATTCTTCCTCAAGGGGATAGACAACAAAGTAGTACTGGGCATCCTACCGTATCTGCGGGGTGCACACCCCACTTTGTTAGGATCTGTCCGCCGAACTCTCCAGGAGGGAAGATGCACTGCGCAATCGGAAAATGGTCACTGGACACCTGCATGTAACACCAGCTTCCGATGTGGTAATACTCAGTGCTCTTGGGTAGTACCCACACCCGGTCATAGGATTATTGTAGTGCGCACAATCAATGACCGGGACTGTGACACAATTGACACAAACGGGCGAACGGGACGAGGCACGGTGAGAAATGTTCAGGATCCATTGCCCTCTCCTTGACAACCTGGAACTCACAGTTCGGTACGGAAGCAAATTTTATGAATGGTCCTTCTGTATGAAGGAGATTACCCCACGCTGACGCGCGCGTCGCCCACCGTCAGTCCCGACCTCATGGAAGCAGTCCTCCATCAGCAGATACCGCACTCACGCGCATATAACTGACATCCTCGCCACCACCATGACTTCGCATTCCGTCTCTTCAAGTTTTTTCGCGCGCTACCATGCTCGCAGGTCTAGCCTTTCTTTCTCTTTCTTCTCTCCTTGCGACGGGTCATGCACTGAAAATTTCCGTTCAACGTCGCGCCGCGGGTCATTCGGACACCGTCGTCGTCACCAACCCAGCAAACGCGAACAACGTGGGGTTTTCTAGCGCTTGGCAGGCTTATGGAAGGTACACCATAACAGTGTATGTTCAAGGCCAGCCCTTCCAAGTCCACCTCGACACTGGTAGTTCAGGCCTGTGGATCGACACCTCTAACGTGACAATTGATGGATTCATTGACACCGGATACAATAGTACTGACATATATGTGTATGTCCTTTTCGTTGCCGTCCTTGCTCGGAAATGCGGTTCTGACTCGCCTAAATCGTAGTGATACGACTGAGTCCTCTGGCCCTATTGTCATGGCGAATGTCTCCGTCGGCCAGTTCTTGGTGGCCCCTTGGTCACTGCTTGGTGTAGCTTCGTCTGATCAACTCTGCGAAGTCAACGCTATGGACTCAGATGCCACTAGTGCAGGCGCCGATGTCGGTCTGTTGGGGATTGGTCCGTACGTGCAGTATATTGGATATCTCGTCTTGCGCGTTTAATGTGGTTTCTCCACAGCCCACACGCTTCGCAGATCTATGGGCGGCTGTACAACTCCTCATATAATGGCGCACCCTTTTTGAATAACGTGAGTCTCTGAAGGAGATTACATCCTCGAACTAATTCCATGTCACTGCCCGTCAGGTATTCAATTACTACCCCGACGAACAGGCTTTCATCACACTTCTCCTGACGCGCTCAAACATTGGTATCACCGAGGGTGGTGTCTTCAGTATCTGTCAGTGTTCATATCTTGCGATGTATGTACGTGTATTGACATGTTCTCTTCACAAACAGCGGAGCTCGTAGTGGATTATGCATCCATTATCGATACACCCAAATTGCTGGTTCATTCTGACACTGCTTTCCTGACATTCATGGATGGCATCTACGTCAACGGCGAATTCCTTACTGGCCACTCGATAGGGTTCGTTCTATTTGTCTGACGCCTTCCTCGTACTTATTGGAATCTGACGATTAGAGTGAACGGTACGAGCGCGAATGCCATTCCCAACGAAAATCAGACTCTCGTTGTCCTTGATTCCGGAACGGCAACCAGTAGGTTTCACATCGCGTAACGCTTAGTTAAAGGATGTTTACAGGCAAATTGCACAGTTCCTGCCCCGCAATACTACGTCGACGCGATATACGGGAATATTCCCGGCGCGAACTTCAGTAGTACCGTGAATACATACGAAGTGCCTTGCTCTGCCAAGTTGAACATCAGCATGCTATTCGGGTGTGTTTGTTTTACACCTCCCGTCATTCCTGCCCCCTCAGTAGGCTTCCAATAGCGATATTCTGATTCCCATTGATCCAATCGACGCCACCATGGTCAATGTAAACGATGATGGCTCGGTGCAGTGCTTTGGTACGTTCACGTACATGTTTGACGGTACTCCCCTGGGTGCGTAATTCACCGTTCTCGAGTAGCTGTCTGATAGCTGACATCTGATATTTTGGTCGACTTCCTCCTCGGTGACACTTTTCTGCGGAACGTTTACTCTCTCTTCTACTATGACAATTGGACTGCCGCTAGTGTGGGTCCAGCGCTTTACATGCAGGTCCTCCCTGTGAGTCCTCCCGCCTCTCCCGCCTCTGTCTTCCTGACCGCTTTCGACGCGTGATCTGCAGCTGACGGACCCCGACGCGGCCTGGGCAAACTTTGACGCTCTGAACTTGCAGCGTATCGGGCAGCTCGAGTGGCAGCAGATGCAGGCGAATGCGAACAGCACGTCATCGTATACTGAGGCTGCATCCATGAGCGTGACATACTCCCTTGCACCACCGTCCGCGGTCCGTACCTCTATCTCTTCCGTACCTTCTTCTGTCCCTAGCATGAGCGTGTTCCCGTCCTCTGCAACCCCCAGTTCCTCTCCCAGCTCCCCCTTCTCCAACTCTCCCAGCTCCCCCTCCTCCAACTCTCCCTCCTCCAACTCTGCAAATTCCTCTCCAGCTACCCCGAGCAGCACCCCCGGCTCTACCGTCAGGCTCAACGCGGACCTCGCATCGTCGTTGGGAGACTCCTCTTCAGTCAATCTGAGCGGGCTGACACGCAATTCATACATCATCATGGGCCTCATCGGCGGCGTGCTCGTGCTCCTCATCGGTGTGCTCATCAAGCTCGTGAAAAACTCGCGGAACCAGCAGTACCGAGCGGTGCCCAACATCATCCGCCCGCCCATGCACTTCAACGACAAGCCGTACGAGCTGGAGAGCGAAGATCTCATGATGCCGTATGATGATCCCACGCGGCGGTGAGTGCTGTTAGCCCGAACCCCAGTAGGTATGGAGTAAAAACCTCGGACTCGCGTTGGGTGCCTATCATTTACTTGGCGTGTTTATCTGCTACTTACTACGTGCATTCGTTATTACATCCAGCCTGGGTATATTACATTCTGTATCCACGGACTCGTCACGCTATCCGCAGCAATAAATTATCTACGTTATCGTTCTTGAAAAGGGTTTGCAGAATTCCGGCCCTTGCTTTCACGATCTGTCGCGAGGTCGGTGTTAGTGTATGCTGAGGGAGCTTGATCATGAGCCTCGGGGGTTTGCAGTGAATGGTCCAGGGCGGTCGATTGTTCGGATGCGATTGGCGCCTAATGCGATCTTGCGTCACGTCACGTCCAGCCGTGCCCTGCCGGGTATAATTTGTAGTCCATTTCATATGCCCACTTACGTAGCATTAGAGACATTTGTTGACCACATTAGAAACCTTTCCAGCTTATAAAGGAATTGGCGCCCGAGGCTCGACGCCCCGATCATCGGTGCACTAGCCCGTGTTCATCTTGTCGACGCCTCAATGGTCCATGCACTAGTGCAGCCCGCACGGCACCACTGTCAACCTTGAGATTGTCATTAGTAGCGTGCATGCGGGATTCCCTCCCATCTCCAGGCAAAGGCCCGTCCTCCTCCCGAGACATTACAATCTAGACCAGACTTCACTGAGTGTTGTTACAATGGGGCCAACTCCGGGGCAGAACAGGGGTGACGTGACATAAGCGCCCACAGGGCGCCAATCGAATCCGAACAATCGAGTCTACTCGTCCCTATCGGGCTTGCTAAGTTCGACTTTGACACGCAGCTTGTGACTTGTCGTTCACGAACACCTTCCACTCTGCTGTATATAACCTGAAGGTTTGTCTGTGAGCTTCAGGAAATACTGTGACCGATTTCCACTGCCAAGGCCCATTTCAAAGCCCCGTTGCAATAATTCAAAATGAATATGATAGCGGAAGCATCGGCGGAGATGAAGTTGAACCACAGCGTTTCTGACCTCGATGTGCGTAACCTCCAAATGGGATTTTCTTTGTTCTCGGTTGGACTTCACCATCCAGCAGCATGGAACCGCGCTACCCATCTCCACGACACTGTCCACGTGTCCGAGCTCGTCGGGAAACGTGTCCGACATCTTGGCTACCCCGCCACCAAAGGTACGCGAGGCTATCACTAATGCGTGATACTGATACGAATGTTGTGTCCCGTCCTCAGTCAAAGTGCCATCTATTAGGCGGGGCCGATCCACTGATCGTTTCTGCGCCATTAGGGGAACAGTCCTGGCAGTCTATCGAACAGCGTATGTGCCCCGATGTGAGCTACGATATAGAGGTACGCACGTGGCTTCTTTGTGCCCGTCTACAGGTTCACGGTCACTGCTACAGGAATACAAGAATATCAAAGAATATATTCCGGAGTGGGGCCATGAAGACGTCGACGTTCGTCGTTTTCCATTCTTTCTAGTTCCCAGAGACGAGACCGCTGGAGGAAACCGAATTTCACAGGAGATCATGGTGCTATCGCCGAAGCCAAAGACGATAACTCTGGATACCATTCCGGAAGATTCTGAGGTCCATGTATGCGTCGAGAAATTACCACGCAGGGCCTACACTAATCATATTACAGTGCATCACCGCGTCGGACTTCGACCTCATTCGTCCCATGTATAGCAACGTTGGTCGCGAAGACGAGCTCTACCTTGGCAGAAAGAGCGGGGCTTCCAAACTTTACGCCGTGAAGGTTATCAGAAGGTCGTTGATATCAGATTCTTCAGTTTCCGCAGACCACGCACGGGTCGAACAGACGGCACTAAGGCTGCTTACTGAACGCCAAGTACCCTTTATCACCAGGCTCCACTGGAGTTTTCACGATAATGCCGTGTTCTACATGGTCACGGTACGCGTCTTTGTGTGGGCCGCTGTGGGCGCGATGATAATGATAATGATTCTCTGCAGGACTTCTGCCCCGGCGGGTCCCTGCGCGCGTTCGTGCACGGGGGCAAATTCGAGCAGGGGTCCGCGCGATTCTACACCGCCGAGATTGTGAGTGATCGTCCCTGTTGATGACGGGATGCCTACCCTCATCTCGCGATTCCACTAACCAATCGCAAATGGCACTGGCAGGCCGAGGGCATCTCCGCGCTCCATGCCTCTGGAATCGTTCATCGGGAACTTACGCCAGAGAATGTGCTCCTCGATAGAGCGGGCCACGTTGCGCTCTCAGACTTCGGGTCGGCCATGTTCTCATCTGACGCCTATTTGACTGATTCCAGAAGACCCGGACGCGCTGTTGGCGTGCGCGGGTCTGGCCTCTACCATGCACCGGAGGTCATAATGGGATGGACACATGATCGCGCGGTAGATTGGTGGGCTTTTGGGATGTTAGTGTATTTCATGTTGACGGGACAGGTGATATTTCCTTTCACTTTCTTTGGACCTCTTGAACGATGCTGATTTGTCCTCAGCACCCGTTCGTGATCGGAGGAAGCTCGTCTGCTGTTCATCGCTCAATATTGGAAAGTCATATATTGCATGGCGAGTTCTTAGCTTCTGTATCCGATCTACCTGCTCAAGACTTGATATCGAAGGTGCGTGCTGTGAATTGTGTGCGAACTGACACCATAATGTTATTTCATTACTACAGTGCTTAGAACGCAATCCTGCCATGCGCATAACCGAGGACGGTGTGAGGGCGCATGCATACTTCGGTGACGTGTAAGAATTCAGCTATTGGTGTTCATGAGTTATTGACAGCGGCCTCCGCGCTCCCCAGTGACTGGCAGCAAGTGAGAGAGAAGAAAATCCTAGGTCCAAGTACGCAGACTTATGCGTTGTCCCGTACTAACAATTTTCTTCAGTTCCATTCGTGCCGAAGTTTGAAGATAATCTCTACGAGATCAACTCTTTTCCTACAAGTCCTGGTCAAGTTTCTTCGGTGATTCTCTCTCCGGCAGCAAATGGGATCGTTGGAGATGTCTCCTTTACTTGGGGGCTAGATAGCGTTGATACTGCTCAGGAGCAGTATACTCGAATGGCCTCTGACGCTCACGCTTCTGCTGCTGTGCTAGTCGACTCGCTGGAAACGGATGCTGTCTCTCCTTCGGTGAATATCGGAATTGGCACGAAGAGCGAAGAGGAACTTGACACCGGTCTCTCTATCCCTGCTGAGCTTGGTGGTCGCCAGTCTGGAGCGGCGTCTCCACCAATCAGGCGCGGACTTGGTACCCTGCGCAAATACTCGAGCCTCAATTTCGATCTTGACACTCTTGCATCTGCACCTTTTGGCAGTCAGGATGACATTTCGAGGCCATCTCCTCAGCCTTCGAACATCCTGCGTAAATCTCAGTCACAGTTGAACTGCGGATCGCCTCTGTCGCTGCAAGAGACTCCCGACACTTCCCGCTGGCGGAACAAGTTACGCAAGAAGTCGCGCCCCGACATCTCGCTGAACTTCGTGCATACGCCGCAGCCTCCACTGGCGCTCCCTCAGGGCGTCGAGCAGATCGGCAACGGTATCGGATACACTCGCCGCTCTGATCCCTATCATTCACGTCTATCCATCGCCACTCTCACCCCGCGGACGTGCTATGCCCTCTTTTCTGGTGGACGCCTCCCCAGCATGCCTGCCAAGTTCGAGCCGAAGGAGGGCCGAAATGGACAGCGTTCTAACCACGCTGGCGTCGCGGTAATGGAGGGGCCGAACCAGAGCGAAGACCAGATGGACGCGGTCATGCGGGAGATGTACGGCAGTACGTGGAACTTGGGGCTGTCGGCGACAGATCTCTCCTCGGCTGGCGCGGACCCAAGGGCCTATGCGGCGCTCGGTAGGCCGTGCGTTGGCCTGGGGTACGGGGAGACGCCGTTTGGGAGGGCCCATAGTCATGCACGGAACATTGCAATGCGCGAGACCACGCCGACGCCAATGGTTCCTGCTGAACTCAGGTCGCTCAGCCCCGCTAGCACTCTGCGGTTGGTCTCGCCGTCGACCACGCCTCGGATGGATCTTTCCTAGCTCGAGCGTGTTGTCGTCACGGTTCTCACAACAGTTTCTGTTCTCGCCTCGGACCTGTCGTATCTCGCCTCGCTCCCAGGTCTACTTCTTTGATTTCTCCGAGGTCACCGGTCTTCTCGGTGAACCGTCACGAGTCAGTCCTCTTTGGCTGCGATAACGACGATGAGACTCTTTCAGCTTTCTGGTTCGGTGTGGACATATTAGCATACACATAACGTTTTGCGGGCCTCATGCACGTCGCTTGTACATCCTACGCTCTATATACGAATTCGAACCCTTGACTGCCTCTCGCACCACACGGTACATGTAAAGATAGCGTGTCTGAAATACCCTGCCTTTCCTTGGCTGTTCATGCCGTCCTGCTCTGCCCCCTTCCCTCGATCAGACCAATTCTCAGATGAACTCTACGTTGAGCAGCCACACCTTCAAGTTTTCGTTCTACACCCCTGAACTATAACGCCGCTTTCCACCAACGCTGCTTGCCATTGTCCTCAACAATCAACACTCAACGAAGCTGATTGTCTAGGCAACGTGTCGTTTAGACTTCAAAGTTCAGCGCCATCCCCCCGTCTAATTCACTTTCTGGCTTCCTCGGTGTACCTAACCTACGCGGGGAAAGAAGCAGCGTCGCAGAACCGCCCTGCACACGCGCTGTGCCTTGCGTTCCATGCATTACCAAGCAGCCGAGGCTGAGCTTTACGTCGTGAGCAAGAACGGGGTTGATCGTACGTCGTCGCGTCCGGGCAGGCCACTCACTGCTCCTGCGTGTGGCACCGACTGATGTCGGCAATTCGAACAGAACAGGCGCACGTCCTCGAGCGCGGCGCGCAGGAGGTGTACGTGCATTATGTAAATGCGGACAAACGGCTCGACGAGTGGGTGGCCGCAGACGCCGTGCGGCCTGCAGGACTCCACGAGGCGGCGATGGCGGGTGCGAATGGCAGTAGGAGCACGCTCGCCGGGCGCAAGAGGAAGAGAGGGCCCGGCGCCGGGGAGCCTGCTGGTGCTCCTCCGGGGCAGAGCGATAGCCAGAGAGATGCCGGGGCAATTGCAGAGGCAGGGTCGACGCAGCCTGGGACCGCGGACGCACCTGGACCGGAGTCCATCACGGAGGAGGAGTATGACATCGAGCAGCACAAGCAGATTACCGCACGGCGGAACTTCGACAAGGTCGTCTTTGGGCGATGGCAGATCAAGACGTGGTGTGTGCAGCTTCTCTCTTATCCTCATTATCCCCGGGGCACGTTCGTGTGTGCTGACGGGTGTTGCATTGGGTGCAGGTACTTCTCCCCATATCCGCTGACGGAGGCGGAGGCTGATGACCAGGTGCCGACGCCCAGCTCACACGGGCCTGCTTCGGCGGGGAAGATTCCTGGTGTAAGTCGCTCGACGGTTCGAGCGCACGGGCGCACGTCGGACTTACTCGCCGGTGGACTCGGGCGCAGCCATGGCGTCGAGAAGGCGATGCTCTGGGTCTGCGATCGGTGCTTCAAGTACATGGCCGAAGGCCTGTCTTGGGAGCTCCATGTTGTGCGTGCCTTAGTTCACGGCGTGTGTTGTTCATGCTCATCGACGTCAGACGTGTTAGAAAAAGTGTACGAAACGACATCCGCCCGGTCGCAAAGTATACCAGCGCGGCGCGCATATCATCTGGGAGGTGGACGGCGCGAAGGAGAAGGTGCGTAACTACGGTGCATTTGCGGGACTGGCATGCTGAGGTCTATGCCAGCTCTATTGTCAGAACCTATCGCTGTTTGGCAAGCTGTTCATTGATATCAAGACGCTCTTCTTTGATTGTGACAACTGTGAGTCCGATCCATCGCACTCGAGTCGACCCCAGACTTAGCCGTGCCACCAGTCCTGTTCTACATCCTCACAGATGCCGATTCCCAGCGGGATCATGTCCTTGGATTCTTCTCGAAGGTAGCCTTCCATACCATGCACTACGTCTCGCCGGCTGAGGTGACGTTTATTTCCCTCCACAGGAGAAAGTATCGTACGATGACTACAACCTCGCATGCATCGTCGTGCTTCCGCCCTACCAGAAGAAGGGCTACGGGATGCTCTTGATCGAGTTCAGTAAGTCTCAAACGTGCCTAGTCGCCAGCTCCGACTAATCATTCCACCTGTCGAAGGCTACGAGCTCTCACGCCGCGCAGGCAAGGTCGGCACGCCCGAGCGGCCGCTCTCCGACCTCGGTCTGCGGAGCTACCTCACGTACTGGACGTCCACCCTGATCAGGTTCCTCCGGTACGCGCTCCGCCCACTCTCCCCGCGCCTCGCACTGACTGGCCTCCGCTCGCACAGGCGCCTGCTGTCCGTGCTGCCGCCCGAGACGAAGATGGTGACGGTCGGCGGCGTGCCCGACTTCACAGAGGCGCACACGCTCGTCGCGTCCCAGGACGACGACGCGGGCCCGCGCGCGAAGCGGCGGAAGAGCACCAAGGGCTGGGACGGCGAGGAGAGCCCGGCGCACCGCGCGGCGGACGATGGTACGTGCGCGCGCTCCCCCTCCGCCTCCTGCGCCGACGCTGACGCGGACGGGGGCGCAGACGCGGTGTTCGCGGCGCTGCGCACGGTGGAGACGACGCCGAACGCGGACGGGAGCGCGACGGCGCACGTGCTCGCGCGGTGCACGCTCGCGGACGTTGCGCGCGCGACGAACCTGCGCGTCGAGGACGTCGCGTTCGCGCTGAGCGAGTGCGGGCTGCTGGGGCGCCGCACGGGCGGGCCGGAGGACGGTGTTGTGGTCGTCTCGCGGGAGATGGTGGAGGCGGTTGCGCGCGAGCGCGGCGTGAAGAGGATGTGCATGGACCTTGCGCATGTGCTGCTGTGACCGACGGAGAATGCTGTATCTTGTTTTATTTATTCTCAGTTATAGCTGTCTGTTGCAGTCGGCCTCGGTGTACGTTGGCACGGTTTGTATTCCGTATTTATTCTTGTGTCCAATGTCCCATGTAGATGACCGGTCTTTCTACTACTGACCACACATCCGTTGTCGCACCACTGCACCATCGGGGTCTACTGCGCAGCGTCGCAGGCCGTCACGGCAATAAACGATCTCCGTGCCATCTCCAGGCAAGAAACGCATAACTGGCAGGTACGATCCAACACAAACGTGCCGTTCTCAACGGTGAATTCACGATTGCACGGATCATCATCTCAATGTCTCTAGGCACTGCTTCCATTCCCTCAGATACAACGCATACTACAGAACCGGCGCGCGGTCGGATCGGATCCAAGGAAGAGGAGATAAAGTGCGGGCATGACGGCGTATAATTGTGAGAGCATGCAATGCATAGCATAGGATACAGTGGCGCGAAGGTACGTGTGAGATGCAATACGTATAGGGAGGCGGGGCAAGGACGGGACGGGGCGGCGGGAGGGACGAGACGTTTACTCGGGGACGGCGTCCTCGTGCTCGACGGCGATGATCGCCTGCCTCTTCTCGTGAACGCGCACTGCCCGACGCTCGCGCGCCGCCTGGGACATACGTGAGGCGTGCTATTAGGACAGAAAAGCGGGCGCAGACGCACCTTGTTCTTGATACGGCGAGCCTCCATCTGGTCTGAGAGGACTTTTGTGCGGGTCTTCTCCGCCTTCGCCTTGTGGATGAACTCCATGAGCACGCGTTTGTTCTTGAAGACGTTACCCTTCGACTTCTGGTAGAGCGAGTGGTAGCTGCGCACGCGATCAATAATCGGAGCCGGGGAAGGGGAAAAAAAGGACGGGAGACGCACAGGTGCTTGTCGATCTTGCCCGCCTCTCTGTACTTCCTGAGCAGCCTGCGCAGGACGCGCTGTCTCCGCATCCAGAGGACCTTGGTGGGCATGCGGGCCTCGGCGGTACCCTTCCTCTTGCCGGGGCCGGTATGGCGGCCCTTGCGCTTGGCGGCGAGGAGGTCGCGGGTGCGGGCGCGGGAGTGGACGGTGGTGGGCTTGATGATGATGCGGCCGTCCTTGATGAGCCGCTTGACGTGGGTGCGGGAGTTGGCGTTGCCGATCTCGGACTGCTCGTTGGGGTCGAGCCATATTTTGCGTTTGCCGACGCCGGCGACGGACGCTGCGAGGCGCTTTTGGGAGCGAAGGTTCACCATGGCGTCTGCACGCGGGACGCGGTGAGCGTGAGGGGTGTGCTCGACGACGGGGGCGACGGCGAGGACGCTTACCTTGGTCTTGAGGAGGGTCGATGGGAGCGGCGGGGACGCTGTCCTCGGTGTGAGGAGAGCCAGGTGGGATTACGTGATCAGCCACACGGGAATGGCCGAAACCTTAATCTCAGAACTGTACAGGACCGGCAGAAGGCGGAGGGGCGGCGCGCTGCTGTGCCATGATCCGGTGGCTCGATCGCTCTCTCTCAGAGTCTCTTGCTCTCGTCTGCTGCTGGCGTCTCCGCCTTGGGTTAGTCGACTGCCTGTGCGAAGCTGGGAAGGCTCTGTGCCACTCGCGGTGGTGCACCCGAGTGAGTCCGGTGCATGCATGCATCGATGATGGGTGATGCATTGATGGGTCGCTGGTGTGCTTTGCTTGCTCTGCTTTGTTCTGTGTGCTACTTTGGGCTGGCGGCTCAGGTCCGGGACTCTCGCGCTCGGCTACACGGTGGACGATGACATCAACTGACCAAGCGACGATAGAAGGAGGTGCTCAGCGGTGTGGCATGGGAGCTCAGCAGGGCCGCTGGGTGAGGAGGACCGGTGGCGAAAAGAGCGCGTTATCATCCTCGAGACGAGGCCCGCACGTTGGGCGAGCTGTGGACGCGTGTAGGGGGAGTAGTCTACCTATCTAGCTCATGATATCTAGCCTGAATTCTATTCTGCGAGTTCCATCAGTCTCATCACCGCGTGTGCAGGCAAGCCCACAGCCAAAGCTGCAAGCCGAGTCGCGGACGCCCACGGGCGAGCGAGCGCCCGTGCCCCTGCTTACGTAACCCCCTATAAGCCATGCCCTCCTCGCTTTTGTTCCGCTTCCCTCTCTCTTGCAACCCTCATCGTCTGCTCCTCGCCACTGTCGTTCCCGCCGTTCCCAACGGCAACTGCGGGAGGGTTTATCCCAACCGCGCCCTCTCGTTCCTCGCCAGAGCCTCTCTCGCCCCTAGCTGTGCTTCTCCATCTTCGTCATGAATTCTTTATAAACTCTCCCAGTTTCACCCCCACCACCCGTCCAGCACTTCAGTACCCCCCTTATCTCCCTTTCTCACTTAATTTCCGCCCCCATCTCATCATTTACGACCATTTCACATACAACACATCCCCCAATTCCCATGACAGAATCTACAGAAGCCGCCCAGAACGAGGCTGAGGCTCCGGACAGCTCGGACAAACCTCCGCATCCAACAAAACAACAACGAGTGAACGGTACCAAACACAACCGCTCTCCCTCCAAGGCCCACGCCGCCATCGCCGTCGCTGTCGCCGCAGTGCACGACATTGCCACTCTCATGCCCAACGGCCACGTCCCCATCCCCCCGCCAGACTCCCATTCCTTCTTCAAGTCCCCGGGTCACACCCGCCGCAGTCTCGAGGACCTTCACAAGTTGGAGAAGCTCACCCTCGATGCTCCACCCCCGCTCAAGCGCGATTCGTCATCCACCACGGGCTCCATGACGCCCTCGTCAGAGTCCCCGTCCGTCTCCGAGTGCGAAAGCTGGAGCGTCCCTTCTACCCAGCCCCCGAGCAGAGCCCCCAGCATGTCCTCGGGCGTCTCTGGCAACAAGCTCGTTTCGCTACCCAAGCCGACCAAGCCGGCGAAGACCAAGGATCACTCACCGCCGTCGACGGCCCTGTGGATATCTCCGACCCCATCTGGGGGCGAACCGCAGTCTCCGACTACTGCCCGCGCGAAGAGCCCGCCTTCCGTCCACTCCGAGACGGGTGGACAGAAGTTCACCCTCAAGGACCTGCTTGGCGCTCCGAAGCTCGCTAGGAAGTCTTCCGCGCGCTCCACCGGCAGCAGCAGGAAGTCGGACTCGGACAACGAAGGCCGCTCGACGACGGGCAAGAGTACCGCGAGTCTGCTCAGGAAGTACGGGGTCTGCGAAAAGGTCGCCATCGGCAAGGGTGCTACCTCCGTCGTTCGTCTCGCTCACAAGTGGGATCGCAGTGAGGAAAAGCTCTACGCTGTAAAGGTGGGTGTCCAGTCTACGTCTGCAGCTCCTTGTCGGCTCACCGATCTGTCGTAGGAGTTCCGCAAGCGGAGAAAGAACGAGACGGAGAAGGAGTACGTCAAGAAACTCACCGCCGAGTTCTGCATATCGTCGACGTTGCACCATGTCAACATCGTCGAGACCGTGGACCTTGTCCAAGACGAGAATCAGCATTGGTGTGAAGTCATGGAGTTCTGTCCTGGAGGTGACCTCTACGCAGCGATCAAACGTGGGGGCATGTCGCCGAGCGAAGTCGAGTGCTGCTTTAAGCAGATGCTCACCGGAGTCGCGTATCTTCATAGCCAAGGTGTGGCCCATCGTGACATCAAACCCGAGAATCTCTTCTTCGACACGAGGGGCCATCTGAAGGTGTGTCTCACACCCCCATGGTTGTCAAGGCATCTCATTAACCTCGAGTGATGTTCTTAGATTGGCGATTATGGTGCTTCGACTGTCTATCGCCTCCCCTGGGAGTCGACGGTGCACATGTCGACGGGGCTTTGTGGCAGCGAGCCGTACATCGCCCCGGAGCAGTTCCTGGGCAAACGTAAGCAGTGACATTGCCTCTGCTGTGACGTCCCCTGATGCGCTTGCCCGCGCTAGCATATGATGCGCGTCTCGTCGACGTATGGGCTTGCGGTGTGGTCTACTACTGCCTGCACTTCCAGGAGCTCCCCTGGACGGTCGCGCAGCCGACGGACCACCTCTTCGCTGCGTACGCCTCTGCATGCCAGACTGTGAACGGGTGCCCACCGACGATCAATAACCTCTCGCCCCGCGCGTGCCGCCCGGTCATCAGGAAGATGCTCGAGCCCGATCCGAAGCGTCGCGCGCTGATTGACGAGCTGATCGCACACCCGTGGGTGCAGGGCATCGAGGTCTGCCATACCATGGCGCGCCCGACGCACGTCCACGTCAATGCGACGATCATGGCGCAGGCGCAGGTGCAGATCGTACCGTAGCGGCGGAGCCGTATTGTTTGGCGTTCCGAGTTACTCGTGTGAAGAGGTTTTGTGGACGCTGCCCGCCTGCCCCTCTTCTCCGTCATGTTGTGTTCTTGAGCGCCGGTGCCTTGCCGCCGACGTATGCTTTTACGTTTATTCCGCCGGTTGATCATGATGTAGATGTACTATTCACCCTAGTGGACCGCGTCGCGCAGCCAGTCGGCGCGACCGGTCTGTTCAGCAATGACATATGTTTTACGATGCATGTACCGCTGGATACACCATGTAGCTGTACTGTTACATCTTTACTTTTTGTACTCTAATTGAAAATCGAATGTAATTTACGGCTTCGAACGGGCGCTTGTATCTAACAGAGCGGATAGGCGAAACGGAGTTTGTTTGGCCCTGTTGTGCGGCGGCTTTGGATCCTAACAGAGCACAACAACGTCCAGCGCCTGTTCGCTCATCGTTTACCCTCAGCGGCGGCGACCGCTCTGCCGCGAACATGTCCACCAATCTAGACGTAAGCCGGCTCGCATATCTGCCTGAGAGTATATTTTCTGACTGTCTGCAGCGCGCGATCGAGCTCGTGCAGCGTGCGATCGAGGAAGACACGAAACAGAATTATGCCGAGGCGTACAAGCAGTACCAGAACGCGCTCGACTACTTCATGCTCGCTCTCAAATGTGCGTCTACCCTCTCCTTCTGTGTCCGAACGCGGTGCGCTGGGAGTGCTTTTTTGGCTGACGGTGCGCACGGGCAGGGGAGCGGAACGAGAAGTCGAAGCAGCTGATCCGCACCAAGATCAGCGAGTACCTCGCGCGCGCGGAGACGCTCAAGGACCACCTCTCGCAGTCGCAGGAGAAGCGCGCGAAGAAGGCCGTCGGGGTCGGCGGGACCGGCGGCGGCGGCGGCGCTGCGGGCAAGAAGTGAGTGCGTGCGTCCGTGTGTGTGCTGTGCAACCCCCGCTGAACGCAGGTGCGCGCAGGAAGGACGGCGGCGGCGGCGGCGAGGACGACGAGCAGGACCCGGAGGTGAAGAAGCTGCGCGCGGGGCTTGCGGGCGCGATCGTTACGGACAAGCCGAACGTCAAGTGGGACGACGTCGCGGGGCTCGAGGCGGCGAAGGAGTCGCTCAAGGAGGCGGTCATCCTGCCGATCAAGTTCCCGCATCTGTTCACGGGCAAGCGCACGCCCTGGCGCGGGATCTTGCTGTATGGCCCGCCGGGCACGGGCAAGTCGTACCTCGCCAAGGCCGTCGCGACCGAGGCGAAGAGCACGTTCTTCAGCGTCAGCTCGGCCGATCTGGTCAGTAAGTGGCAGGGCGACTCGGAGAGGTGCGTTTCTGCCAGTTCGTTCCTGTGCGGTCGAGGAACGCGTTGATCCCGCTCCGTCCAGATTGGTAAAGCAGCTGTTTGAGATGGCGCGCGAAAACAAGCCGGCGATCATCTTCATTGACGAGGTCGATTCTCTGGCAGGGACTCGAAATGAGTCCGAGTCGGACGGCTCGCGGCGGATCAAGACCGAGTTCCTTGTGCAGATGAATGGCGTAGGCCATGATGATACTGGAGTTTTAGTCCTCGGTGCGACCAACATTCCCTGGCAATTAGACAACGCGATTAAGCGGAGGTGCGTATCAAGCTGTTTGAAAATGTTCTTGACTTCTTCAAGGTGCGCGTGCGTAGATTCGAAAAGAGGATATATATACCCCTTCCCGGCCCAGAGGCACGAAGACGGATGTTCCAAATACATGTCGGCGATACGCCGTGCGAACTCTCACAGAAAGACTACCGCCTACTAGCAGACAGGACAGACGGGTACGCAGCCTGCATTTCCTCTCTCCAGACGGTCTGATGCCCTTTGCGGGTGCGCAGTTACTCCGGCTCCGATATATCCGTCGTCGTGCGCGACGCGCTAATGCAGCCCGTCCGCAAAGTACTGTCGGCGACACACTTCAAACAAATGCCCTCACCAACCGACGCTGCGGCGCTGAAATGGACGCCGTGCTCACCGGGAGACAAGAACGCGGTGGAGAAGTCGTGGACGGACATTGAGAGCGACGAGCTCCTGGAGCCACCACTGCGGCTGGCAGACTTCCTCAAGTCGCTCGATAGCGTGCGGCCGACGGTGACGGCGGAGGACATCAAGAAGCACGACCAGTGGACGCTCGAATCTGGTGGGTCGTGAAGATGAGTGTGCGTGTGTGCGACAATTGACTTTGTGCCTCGTTCCGTATTTTTGCAGGTAATGAGGGCGCGTAATGTACGAGTGCTCTTGTAGTATTGTATTGTTTATGATATCCGTGTACTCTAGATCTGGGACATCGCTGTCGTTCCGTTGAGATCTCTTCTGGATCGGAGATGGGAATTCGATGGGCCGCGACGAACTCGCAGTATTAGAACCCAGCATAGCTACCTGCATCATGCAATACACACTAGTGTATACTGGGAAGGAAAACGAGTCGGTGAAAATGAAATGTGGAAACAGAGAACAGTTCAAAGGCGCGCAGACGACTTTGACCCGCTCGACCACGATGGCGAAGCGCAAACAACAGGCCGCCGACGCCGACTCGGACAGCGACGATGACAGCCACCGCGTATGTTCTTCTGCTCGCTCTTCCTGACAGCCCTCAGACAGCAGCCCTAGTAGAGCCTCGTGGACGTCGACTTCGAGTTCTTCGACCCCAACCCCGACATCGACTACCTCGCACTCAAACGCCTCCTCGTGCAGCTATTCCAGGCCGACGCTGAGTACCTCCAGATCAATGACTTCGCCGACCTCGTCCTCTCCCAGCCCCTTGTGGGCACTACCGTCAAGTGCGACGGCCGTGAGAGCGATCCGTACGCGTTCCTCACCGTACTCAATTTTCACGTACACCAGGTGCGCCCTTATGCTCGCCTCTTTTTGTTCCCCCTAGTCTCACGTACCGGATGGAACACAGAGCCGGCCGTCCATGAGAGCGGTCATCGATTATGCACTCGCCAAGTCCTCCGCCGACCCTGCCTTCCACACCACGTTACAGGGTCTGCTCGGCCCTGCGGGCCTCTCGTCGCAGAACCACGTCGGACTCATATTCTCCGAGCGTCTCATCAATATGCCCGTGGAGATCGTCCCGCACATGTATCGCATGCTCGCCGACGAGATCCAGTGGGCTGTCGACGACGTCAGTCCCTTCCCCTACCTCTTCGTTCCTCAGCGTGACTTACAATCTTGGCGGAATATAGAATGAGCCGTATCGCTTCACCCATCTTCTGTTCGTCTCACGCATATATCGCCTCTCGCAGGAGGAGCAGGAAGAGCGGCAGGGCACCGCACCGCGTAGCAAGCGTCAAAAGCAAGCGCCGACGTCCGCGCCGTCCACGCCTGGGTTGTACCCCTTCCATCCTGAGGACGAATGCATACAAAAAGTGCGTCCATTGCGTTCGTGCTGCGCGTGTCCGTGCGAAATTTACCTGATTTGAAGTTTGCGGTGCACTCGCTGGATTACGCGTTCCCTCATGCACAGCCACGAGAGGACGGGCTCGACCTGGGTGGACGCATGATGCTCGTTCCCGCAAACCGACTACGTGACCTGGTAGCAGCCCTCGCCGATTCCTATCCTTCTCCATCTTGATGCGTGTACCACACACGCACCTGTACCACATATTTGCGATGAGAAAGCATGTACGATCAATTATATGCAAAAATCCGGAAGACCAGTATGTACCTATGGTAAAGCCACGTTGCGCGCCGTTTAGCTGTCCGAGCTAGACGACTACCCCTCCCCGTCACTTCACGACTATCGAGCCCCGATACCCATCTTCAACAATGCGCCGACGACGTCCACCTCGTCCCACCGCGCTGCAACTGCCGCCGCACCGTTTTCCGCACCTGCGACTGCGCTCGCGGCGACTTTCTTCGTTTGAATGTACATGAGAGTGTTGCGAAAGTGGCGCGCAATCATCTCGGGGGTCTGTACACCCTCGATGAGACCGGTGGGCGCGCGTTGTGATGGGTGCACATCCGGCGATGCGATGTTGTCGACGGAGGACGTAATAAGCTCTACGAGGCTGTTCACGAACTTGGGCGTTACCTAACATGGTGCAGTAGATTAATTCTGGGAGCCGGGTGGAACAACAAGACGTCGGACTGACCGCTGTAGCGCCATGGTCGAGATAATATAAGTATTGATCCAGGGTATCACAGTATAGTTGAACAGTAACGATCTCTTCTGTTGCAGAGCTGGCGATGCGCAGTGCCTTTTGCAGACATTCTAATACGCGTTTGCTGTCCTGGTGTGGGTACTATGCAGAGGATCAGGACCACGACTAACTCAGCAGCAGACACTTCATACCGCCTTCACGTTCTCTGCGCTCTCCTCCTTGGATGCAGCCTTCGCAGGCTCCTTGGCAGGAAGTTCCTCGTCGGGCGGGGGCTCCTGCCACCAGAGATGGCTTGCGAGGTTCACCGCCGTCGCCTGGTGAGGCTTCTTGAGCAGCTTCGCGCCGTGTAGCGCGGCCTTGGTGATGAGCGTGTCGTAGTTATCTACGCCGAAGACGCGCGCGCCCTGCAACGTTCCGATAATGAGCGTGATCGCCTGCAGCTGCGCGCGGCTCTCCGATATGCTCTCCTCGTATACCGTGAACGCCTGCACGTACAAGTCGTACGCGAGATCTTCGAACCCGCACTCGTCGGCGATCTGCGCGGCCAGCAGGAAGAGCCGCAACGCGAGCGACGGCGCCTCGACTTGCGTCGCGAGGATGGAGATCAGCTGGCGCACGAACTTGAGGATCGTCGAAACCTTGTTCTGCCAGTCGTCCTCCTGCGCGGTGTGTGAGTGAGAGGTCGCGGTGTGAGGGTGAGATTACGTACCAGGTGTTCTCGGTTCTTGTACCGTCGACATAGCTTGATGGATGAGGTGATGAGAGCAGGGTACGTGAACCGCATCCTCTCCCCACCTGTCTCGAAATGCCGACGCGCCGTTTGTAGAAGCTGTTCAGACGATAGAATCAGCTAAACATACGCAACGACGTACTGCTCACGCACCTCGAACTGTACGTCTAGCGACTCCGCACGGAACAGATGCACCATGCGCGCGACCCAACCCTGCTCCTCCGCCAGGTCCTCTCTTTCGTGGTGATATGGCCCCCGCCTTGGGTCCTTAACCGTCTGGCTGCTCAAAGTCGCGTCCGCCTGGTCCCGGATCAGTACATGGCACAGCTCGAGTATGCCATTGACATCTTCCGGCGTTTCAATGACCGTCTCGTTCTTGAGCACCGAGGATATGAGAGCGTGTGCTAGCGACCGGCGCGTGGCGAAGGGCTGCTGTGTGAGCAGTGGCGAGTATTGTTGTAGAGCGAGTAGCGTCAGCACGGACTGGTACGAGTTGATCGGCGCGACAAGCAGCGCGGCGAGGTTGTTAGTCGTTGGTTGAGAGTGCAGGTCCGGGCTGCGACGCTACCGTTACAACATATCGAGCTCGAGAATAGCTGTGCGCACCTGTCCGTAAACTCCTTGATCTTATCGTGGGCGAAACCGAAGATCTGGTCGACATACTCCAGCCTGTCGGGGTAACAGCTTAAGGATAAGTTAGTGAGAGAGACCAGGAGCGCAGTGATGTCTTGTATCGACAGGTCTGGTCGGGCCTTGCAAAGAGAGTCAACCCTGTGCCGCGATGAGAGCGATGCGACCAACCTTGATAAGCTCTACGACCTGCTGCCAGAATACCTCAAACAGCTTTACATCCTCCGGCACCCCTCGGAACTTGCGCACTTGCGGTCGCACTTCCTTCTCCCGCTCCTTCTCCTTGCCCTTGGATGTCTCCTCCAGCGCAGTCTCTTCCGTCGCGCCATCCACCGAAGGCGCCGCTGTAAATTCCTTCTCCACCGCGTCCACGACGGGGCTGTCCGGCACCGAGCCCCATTGCTCACTGCCGGCCGTCGCGGAGTCGGCCGTGGGCGAAGTGACGCCATGCCCGTTCTGCCGTAACCGCGCCTTCTGTGTCTTCACCTTTTCCGCGAGCCGCCGCGCCGCCGCTTCCTCCTGTCGCTTCGTCTCCTCAGGGTCTTCGTTCTCCGCCTCGCGCGCCGCATACGCAGCGAGGCGGTCGATGAGCGCGATGACGATCTGCTTGATGTTCACCTTCGGGTGCAGTTGCGCGGTGGCGGAGAGGAACTGGCCGAGCGTGTGCAGATGGAACTCATCTGTGAACACCTGCACGAAGAGAAAATTCAGACGGCTCGTGCATATCGGTGCCGAAGCGCATACCTGGATCACCACTTCCATCAGGTACTCCTGCGCGATGACGTCCTTGCAGCTCACCACCTGCTGCAGGATACTCGGCAGGATGTCGTTCTGGTACATGTCCAGGTCCACCCCGTCCAGCTGGCTGAGCCGGACAAGGTTCGTGCCGACGAGAATCCGCAGCTCCTTCCGCTCCATCTCGCGCTTCTCGCGGTCGCGCGAGTGCCCCTGGTGCTGCAGCCGCACCCAGAGCTTGTTCATCTCGACGAAGTTCGTCAGTACGAAGCTGATCGAGTCCTGCAGGTTTCCACATGGCCTGGACAGACACGCCTGAGCACCGAACTCACGACTAAACAGTGTAGCGAAACGCACCCTGGGTCATTCCCAACCGGCAGGTGATCCCTCGTCTGACCGCTCAGATAGTGCCGCAGAAATAATCCCCTGATGGGATGCAACACTCCGCGGGACATCTCCATCATATCCTTCATAATTTCCTTGACGGGGGCTTCTGGGATGGACATATAGACAGAACCGACGGTGATCATGAGATAGAGGCGGGGAACGATGTTTCCCGCGTATTGTACAAGCTCGTAGAGGTCTGCCAGGTGGTGACGGCCCTGGACGTGCGCATCGTATAGATAGTTGGATAAATGACGGAGCGCATCGAATACAGCCATATCTGCAGGGGTCTGAGCGTCATGAGCGGAGAGTAACGTCGCGTGTGCGTACACAGTTCGTAGTATTGTTTGGGCGAGAGGGAGGACGTCCGAAGTTCGGCGAGCATGAGACTGGCACTCTTCAGAGCATCCATAAGCTGGTCCAGCTCCTGGAAACCGACGAGATATTAGAATAAGAGGCGAATACGAATGACGGACGGACCAGATGCCTCTTCATCTGCTGGACCTGTATCTTGACGGTGCTGAGCGACTCACTCAGCAACTTCCCCTCCTCCACCATCGGTACTGTTCCTGCTGATACGGGCGAGGTAGCCATGGAATATTTTGGATACGAGGACCAGGCGGCTTGCCGCTGAGCAGGACACGGTGACTTCCTCGTCAATCTCCTAGCGGGTACGCGTACATTTCAAGCTCCGCGGTGAGTGCAATAGCGTCTGCGCTTTGCGCAAGATTGGTAAATCTCCAGCACGTATCTTCAACTTCCCCATTTTTCAATATGAACGGAATGTCCTTTCATTGCCACCAAGATGACCGTGGGTGCGATACAATTACAGCGAGCAGAACAGGCTCATCTTGGATCGGTCGACGTGTCGCGTGTTCAGACTCCGACACGCGCGTGGTAACTCCGACCTTCATGTAAGGTGCATCTCCCAAATAAAGAACTTTTTATATTGACCTAGGTCCATATGTAGTTCCTTGAATGTCCTCCTGCGTCCGGCATGTCTTCATAGTCTGAGCACGCCCATCATTCTCCTCCCGGCGTCGCGAATAATAACGACGAGTTCGCGAACTCCGTGTGTGAAATCATGAATTGCTGCGAGCCGAGTAACAAGGCTGAACAGACAATTCGACAGTTTGAGGCCTGCTATCCCAATGCAGTCATTCTCGAACGTATCTTCGCATACCGTTTTAACCGCAATGCTTCAGAGCTCCCTTACCTATAGTGGGGAGCAATAAACTGCATGCGCCATCATCACCGCCTGGGACACCCAGGCAGCTGCTGCGGACAGAGAAAAAAGTCTGATCTCGCTTGCCCATGACTGGTTGTTCTACTCAAGTTCTACTTCATATGGCCTAGTAAGCATCGCATTTCTTCCCAATGTCATTTGAATATTCTCAGAAACTACGCGGCTCTCTCCGACGAGCAAATGCAAAATATTGTGGCATCGACTGACACTTCGGAAAATAGCATGACCACCACTGTGGAGATGCACAAGTCATTCGACAATTTACTTTGCTGCCTCATTGCTACCGTGCGTGTCATATCATTATTCTCTTGTGTGTTTACCAGTGATAAACGGCCCGTTCAAGGAGGAGTGACACAGGTACGATGTACATTGGTTCACCAAGCGGGCCTCACCTCTGGACGGCTTCCGAGAAATCAAGTTCATCAATTATGCTCCACATGACACGAAACTTTTGAACCCCAAGTATATTGCTATTCACGCGGCAGTTGCCCATGTTCTACATCTGAGTGGCGCCGTAGAAATCCTGGACTCTGCCATGGAGAAATTCTTCAAAGGTAGTGTGGCCGTGCCGGCTGGTAAGCTCGATGGCGAAGGAGACATGCAGTTGTGGATTTGCCTGATGAACTTGGCGGATGACAACGTGCGTCAGCTATTCCATCCAGGCTAGAAGACAGCAACTCTCACCTCAATAGTCAGCTCTGAAAGTGCTCAGAGCAATGATGGGACCTTGGGAAGCCTGTCTCCGCTAGAAGCAACATCATGTAGCATTTCTCCACATTGTCATAGCACAGACTCTTCACTTTCTGGTGTCGGTTGCTGATCGTGACCCATTGTGTTATTTGCATGCTGTGGCCGGCTAGGACATCTCATCCACTGCCACCGGTAAGCTCTCCTTGGCGTTTTGATTATCATGATCATTCACCAGAGTCGTGTGTACAGTTGCTATATAAAATTGTCGATAGTGTCACCGCATTGGTGGAATACCTCGACCCGGGAGTCAGCCACGCTGAGGAAGTAGCCGGTGAAATCCTCCGCGCCGTAGGTAACTTCGATGGCACCTTCTCGGACGTGTCTGCACAAGCTTGTCATGTATGAGGTAGATGCTGGACAGGATAACGGTGCACTACAACGCGGTGAGGATGTCGAGGAATTCGGCGCCATCCGCGAGTTATGCAGCACATTGACACTGCGTATGCTTCGCTGTCGAACGTTAACCGTTACACTGCGTAGCTAACCTCTCGAGGCAAATTCTCCGCGGCAGATATTGCCTGTGTCGGGCGGCTGAACGCGAAAATTCTCACCCCCTTCTGAACTGGAGTGCGGAGTGCATTTATAATTTTTGGCTTGGGATATCGTTATCGACGGCGGGAGCTTGGAGGTAAGTAGAGACGTTCAAGACCAATTCAAGGAGCCTGCGCAGACGGGCCGCAATGTTCCGCTGTGATAACACTGCTACATCCGGCAAGCATGAAGGTACGTATTATGTTTACAACCACCGCTGCGCGCAGTCATCTCTGCTTCATCCCAACAGAAATGCGTCCATTTATACTTCTAGACTTCGAGCCTAGTTGATCGCCTAGTGCTTAGCTGTGATCACACGAAGGAGCATACACGGCAATACAAAATTCAGGCCAACGGATCGGCAACCGCTGGCCCTGAAATATCATGCATTCGAGGATAGCTGCACCATGAACAGTACAAAACCTCTTCCCCCCTTCGTCAGCAGCTTATTAGGCATGAATAACCGGGAAAGCAGTTCTGTCACCGTGAGTATCATTGACTATTTTTCACTGTTAGGACCTCTTGTGACGCTCCATTGGAGTTTCTTTGGAGTCTGGGCAAGTGTTTGACGTCGTTGGAGGTAATTAAAAATCATAAAAGTGTATGCGTCAATTGCAGACTTCGTGTGTGCACTACCTCAGTTGTGGAACCTCAGACTCTCTAACCTGTCTTCGAGCACATCTTTCGCGGTTATCATTCGTCCCTTGCAAATCCCACAGGTCGTCAAACTTCTACTGCATCCTTTCAGCGATGCTCGGCTGCTGGTGACCAACATCGATTGGCTGGCCGGATTAAAACCAAATTTACAGACATTGAAGTCGGGCCTTCAGTAGACCGCACACGCGGGCTAGCTACAGGCCGTCGGAATTCATCTAAGACAGTTAGTGTTACATGCGGACGAATTTGACACTGCTTTCAAGTGTGAGTTCGGTGCACTACCTCACCCTGGTGACCTGGTAATTTATGCCGGCAGCAGTCGAGCGGTTGAAACTGCACGAATGCACGAGACTAGCTACGAGAGTTCGATTTCACTATGTTCAGAATCTCGTGAAGATATTTTGCGCAGGGTTTCGGGAGCTAATCTACCTCACAATAACCACGCAGTCCCCGAGTGACTTGCACGACATGGAGAGCGGGACTCATAAGGACGTCCGAGTGTCAGCGAGTCTCTACTATGGTGCCGAGCTGGTGGCATTCATTGTCGAGTGGCGGTACGACAGCGTGTCATGTGCATAAGATGGAGATCAAGAGGAAGAAGGCATTTTTTGAGAGATTGTACGGATTGTTGGGTTGCGGGCAAACGAAAACGAATTGCTTCTGCGTAAATTCTCAACACTGGGAGTCTGTTTGAATTTGGAAGGGAACACTTGAGAATGCATTCCGTTTTTTTGAGTAGTGCCAGAGCGCCGGCAGGATCACTCGGTGAGAACCACCAATTGAGACGGATGCCATGCCTACTCCGTTCGACGCCCGCCCAGCGTTCTCTCGGTGCCCCTGTTCAGCGTCAATACTAAAGTTCATTCAGTCAAGAAGTCAAATGCATGTGCGTCACCCGGGAGAGCACATTGGATATCACTATCACTGATCTTTGTATCTCAAACTGCCGAGGCGAAAACTTTAGTAATGGTGACAGCATGCGGTGAGTTGCAAGAAGACCTACCCCACTCGATATCCGATGGCCCCCTCACGACTTCCCGAGCTTGCCCCTAAGTTTCCTGAGAACCTCCATCTGCACGGGCTCCTCGACATAGTTTTCATTCATCCACTCGGACTCCGTAGGATTGTCGCCTTCCGTGGCGGCTAACTGCAGAGCTGTCACACCAGTGCCCGTCCTGCCGTGGCCAAAGCCGCAGTGGACAAGTGTGGAGTGCTGCTTCGGGTCGGTGAAAAAAGTGATCGCGCTCTCCAGCTGTGCGAGGGTAGGGGCGGCATAGTCTTCGAGGGAGAAATGAAGATAACTAATCTTCGCGTCTGCCAACAGCTTCTTCTCGTCGTCCCGGTAGGAGAATTCGTTGAAGCTGATAATGCTATCAATCCCTTGATCCGTGAGGAACTTCACGGCGGGAGCCGTAAGTCTCTGACTTCGGTCGCCCTCTCTGATGTTGTAGTTTGGGGCAGAAGAGCGAAATAACTGGTGCCCGGATGCGACGTACTTGGAGACTTTCTTCCATTGGTACCATTCGCCACTCATGGTGGCTGTAAGACGCATGAAGTACGTATGTCAGTCAGGGCTGTCGAGAATACGTCCGAACGAACAACTCACTAAAGCGGGAGAAGATAAACCTTGGCTACAGAGAGAAGCCAAAGGGTGCTTTATATAAGGTCTGTGATCCTGAAACAACGGCAGTAATTATCGCGATCGCGATGGAGATGAGTCACGGTGGAGGCGCAATTCCCGATGGGTGCCTGAAATCATGCTCATCATCACCGATTAGTGCATACAGATGAGGGAATATATGGCGAGTTTTCGAAGGAAGCTGCTGTATGGAAAACACATGGAAGAAAACGGCCGAAAAATACCACAGAAAGAATTGGGGTGTAATCGGAAAGTTCGCTTTTGTGGAAATTGACGCCTGAGCATAGAGTGTAGTCGCCGGTTTAGACAGCTCCAGTATTGACTAGTTTCTCGAATCGAGACACTGGTGAGAACCCCGGACAGGGACCAGCCTCTCACACCGTCCATTTCTTCGGTGAAAAACGAAAGCATCTCTGATTTAGTTCGACGTATAACCATCAGTCCAAATGTGAGTGTAAACAGTGTTATTCCGAACGACAACGTACGACAAGGCGGGCGGGAAAGGATGCAAGACGGGCGAAAAGCACTTCCACGAATTGCAGGCATCGCATTTTGAAGGCGCGATAGCGAAATGACTATACTCGAGCAGAGGCTAACTCAAACCGTCATGCCACGTAACAATCCACAAGTAAGAAAGCAAGTCTTTGAATCGGTAAACAGCACGTAAGGCGGAGCGCGGCAGACCCGCTACGTCATACTCAACACTCACCTTTCGCCTTCACCGTACACATAAATGATGCAAGCGTATCCACCTCACGCACGGCGTGCTCTCGGAAATGGCGCTGCGCGATGCCCGCAAGAAGCCCATGCACGTCGCTCACGTCCACCATCATGGGCATGACCGCCGGCCCCCGCTCGTCCTCGACCAGGCGGAAACTCCGTCTTCGATTCGTTGGTTCGCGACAGGAAAGGACGGCCCTGGAATTGCTGTGGAGGCGTGCCGACGTCCGTGCCGGCGAAGCCGGAGGAGCGAGGATGGCGGTGGTGGGTCTTCCGTGCCGAGCGGCGACGAGTCAATCTCTGGAACAAGGTCGTACTGTTCGAGATATCTGTACAGTGTAGCGGTAGGTAGTGTTATGAAGTTGATCTCGGTGTGAGATATATCAGTATGAGAGCGCATTATCAACGATCAGGCCTCAGGCGTATAGCAGAGCGTATTTCTTCATCAAGTATGTACAAGAAGAACTCACCAAAGGTATCCTTGCATCTGCATCCATCCTCCTCGCAGCCGCACCACTGCTTGCGACAGGCTCAACCCTGGTGAGCTCGTTGGTGGTGCCATGTGAACCGGTGCTTAGCACTTAATGTTGCAAGGTCCAGTCGGACTTGACCAAGGTCGACGCCACTGAGGCCCGGGCCGGACCGAGACACGAGGTAAAATTACCTGTTCGAGGAATTGTGGCTGAAAACGGCCCGTCACTGCACTCGATACAGTAACTTACTATGTTTCCTGAAGTGATGGAATGCTTCATCGCATGTACGCCTCCGTTGTATCTACAGTATTCGTGGCTTTAAGTTGCTTCTCTCCTGCAGGAAAATCCTTTTACGTCGGATAGAGTCCGCAACCCAATATTCCACTGCAGATGATTTGCCGCGATGACAATCTCTGCGAGTCTCATGAGACGAGAAATATCAGACGTTGTATGATAGACAGACTCGACTACGAAGACAACTAATGTATGTGTAAGACAATACATCAGCAAGATTCGGCGCACGTTGGTTTCCCCACCGCGCTGGTCGCGAGCGTCGGCGGGTACTTATCCCGAGGGCCACGAAAAGGCCTGCGCCAGGACCGACGAGCGAAATCGCACGCCGACCCGTACCTCGGGGACGCACCTTGTATATTTGTCCTGCCCACCACATCTTATTGTCGGTGTTGCTGTCATGGCCTTCGCTGGTCTTGGCCCACCACCCGCCCCAGCGCCTTCAAGAGTTGTCGATCTTCAGTCCTGGCCCACCACCCGCCCCAATCACCCACAAATCGTCAGTCATCTTGCCCGCCCGCCCGCCTCTTCAGTTGGTCTTAGCCACCACCCGCCCCGACCGCCTGAAAAAAATGTGTCAGTCGTCGTTATCTTGCCCACCCGCCCGCCACATTGTCTTCAGTTGGTCTTGCCCTCCACCCGCCCCAACCGCCCGCAAAATTCGGTCAGTCGTCGTTACCTTGTCCGTCCGCCCGCCACATTGTTTCAGTTGGTCTTGCCCACCACCCGCCCCAACCGCCTGCTAAAGTGCATCACTCGTCATTAATCTTGCCCACCCACCCGCAGCCTTCGGTTGGTCTTGCCCGCTATCCGCCCCAACCACCTGCATATGTCCATCAGTCTGCGTTACCTTGCCCGCCCGCCCGCCACATTGTCTTCAGCTGGTCTTGCCCGCCACCCGTCCCAACTGCCTGCTAATGTACATCGGTCGTCGTTAATCTTACCCGCCCACCCGCCACACTGTCTTCGGTTGGTCTTGCCCACCACCCGCCCCAACCACCTGCATATGTCCATCAGTCTCCGTTACCTTGCCCGCCCGCCCACCACGTTATCTTCAGTTGGTCTTGCCCGCCACCCGCCCCAACCGCCTGCTAATGTGCATCAGTCGTCGTTAATCTTGCCCACCCACCCGCCGTCTTCAGTTGGTTTTGCCCGCCACCCGCCCCAACCGCCTGCTAAAGTCCGTTGTTAATCTTGCCCGCCCACCCGCCACATTTTCTTCGGTTGGTCTTGGCCACCACCCGCCCCAACCGCCTGCAAATATTAGTAGTCTTACCCGCCCACCCGCCGTCTTCAGTTGGTCTTGGCCACCACCCTCCCCAACCACCGGCGAATGTTGTCAGTCGTCGTTAATCTTGCCCACCCACCCTTCCGCTTGTGTTCAGTCGGTCTTGCCTCCACCCGTCTTCCTCCTAGTAGTCTTCAGTTGGTCTTGGCCACCCTCCCGCCACAGCCGTCTTCAAGTGTCGCCAGTCTTCGTCGGTCTTGCCCACCCACCCGCCTGAATTCTTGTTGACGTTGCTGTTGTTGATCTGTCATTCCTTACTTGTTTTATTCTTGCGCTTGACGTGTCTTGCTATAGTGGCTGGCGGTGTCGACGAGTCAGCATGCGGAGCGGACACGACCGTGGCCACAACGACAAACGCACCTCTTGCGTGGCCATCCGTGCTTAGCACACCTGCGGGCTGAAGACATTGAAATACAGTGGTGGTAGAGGTAATGCACAAGAGTAAATGACCGAGGAAAGACAGAATAGGTGAGTGACGGTTTGGGAGGAGAGAACCGGGGGACATACATGTTCGAGTTCAAGATGTGGAGTAGAGTTTAGCGCTCTATTTATGCGTTTCTGTTGTCACCTCGTGACTAAGAAACAGGTGGCGGCTGACAGTTCAAAGCGCGACTCGTGTGTTTGTCTTTGCGGTCATCACGGCGACGCCACATTCCTGCGTCGATTATGTGTGGTCAGATCGCCTTGCGTTCTTGTGCGCTTATGTTTTGCGACATCTCAAAAGCACTTCGTTGACTGAGAGATCAGGATTCAAGGATGCCACCTCTCAAATTAGGATAGTAGGTAGCTCATATGGATGGCGGACAAATTGAAGCGGTGGCCACCAACGCGTTTCAACCACGTGGATATTTGTGACGCTCCGTGACACTACGCGTCCGTGACTGTTTTCCGTGTCTTGTACAAAGACTGTTCTGGCAGTCAGAGATGTGTGATCACAATAATTCAACGAAGATGTCACGTCTTTGCGCCGTTCGCACAATCGTTCATGTTTCTCGTGTGGACATATCGGTGGCGGAGCAGATTTTGACAGCGTAAAATCAGTCAGATGCGAGCGGATTTCTGAAGTACACTGCAGCCGTGATTAGCTAGTGCCAGGTAATACTCGCAGCGCTATTGAGGTCCAATGCCAACTCCTTCACTACTAACTCCTCCACCTCCGGGATGAACGTCCAAGTACTCGCAAGGTTCCCCTGCACCCGCACCTCAGACACCCGCGTCTGCACACCCAGCACCGTCAAGCTCTCCAGCTTCTGCTCTACATCGAAGCTGCCCGTGCTCGCTACGTCCAGCCGCCCCGAGCTCGCGCGGAACGTCAATGTCGTGTTCGCCGTCGGCGGGAGGGACTCTCCGTCATCAATGTACGCCGTGCCAAACGCATGCCCGCCCGCCGCCTGCGATACCACCAGCCCGTACGGGCTCGCACGCGTCTCCGCAATTGTGTACGCGGGCTGCGGGTGCAGCAGGATCGCGGCGCCGTCGCGAACGTGCACGTTAATATGCCCAAGCGGCGCAGACAGCGTCGTGTTTCCGCCCGGCGTGGCGTTCACAGCTGCGTGTGTGTACCAGTCGCGCCAGATCACTTGTCCCGCGCCCGGGAATATGCCTGAATGTCTGCATCAGCGACGACAGTGTAGTCTCGAAATCACAAAAGGACCTTCGACTGTGGACACGTTCGGCGTCAGCACAGGTGTGATGAGCAAATCCCGGCCAACGAGGAACTGCGTGTCGACCGCGAACAGCTCAGGCTCGTTGGGGAACTCGTAGAAGAGGGCGCGGATTGCTGGCGTGCCATACAGAGAAGCGTTCGCGAACAACGTGTACTATCGATGCGTGAGTCCTTCAACTCAAGTTCCAAGCTCACATCAGAAAGAAGCGTCTCACCCAGTACGGAAACAACATATACCTGATCCCAATCGCAACGCGTGACGCCTCCGCAACACTGTCCCATCTATACGGCTCCTGCGGGAGCGCGCCCAGCTGGTTATGGTTCCGGTAAAACGGGAAAAACGCAGAGAGCTGCATCCAGCGGTTGCACAGCTCCTCATCCGTGTTCCCTTCGAACCCGCACGTGTCAGGACCGACGAACGGAATTTGGAACAGCTGGAACTGTAGCACGCCCTGGATGCTGTGTTTCATGTACGCCCACAGGCTGAAGTTGTCGCCGAGCCAGTGTCCGCTCCACCGCCCTGTGCTCGGGAACGTCGAGCGGCTGATGAGGAACGGTCGTTTCCCATGGCGGATTTGCTGCAACGCCAGGTGCGTTGTTTTTTCTTCCATTAGGCCCCACATGTTATGCACATCGAGCTCGAGGTAGCCCCCCGCGTGCGTCGCGTTTGTCGCGACCGTGTGGACGTTCAGCGGTCCAAAGCCTGCGGACGACAGGTGTTTAGCTCGACTCGGCTTGGCTTCTGAAATAAGGTGAGCCCAAGGTAAAGCTTACCGTTGTGAATGGCATACGGGGGAGAGTTGACGTTGATCCCAGTCTGTTCTCCAGCACCGACACCCCGCCTCTCGAGATTATTGGAGCTGATTTGGTCTTCCCCATACGTCAGCGAGCCGTTGACGGTGAGATTGCCACTGGGCCCCCAAAGCGTCGCATTGTATCTGCGTCACACACCGCGCGATCAACCTCACCAACGGATTGGAGGAAATAAGATGACAAACCCTTCTGGATACGATGTCACCAGATTCCCTGGTGAACCAGGCAGGACGGTGGGCACCGACGTATCAGACAAGTTGGCACCAGTTCCGCTAAAGCATGGATCAACGTTACTTTATTCATATACTTCAACAGTAGTTTGGCTCACCATGAGTAGTTGCAGAACGACGAAACCTCGTTCATGTCGAGCCAGATTCCCGAGAACTCGATTCCGCTGTCGGACCAGTTGCGCAGCGCTTCTGTCCAGAATGTTTGCGTGTTCTCGGCGAACCAGTCTGGGAACACCTGCACGCGAGGTCAGTACCACCCCAGGTTCGGCTAACATCGAGTGCTGCAGACCGCACCGTATAGCCAGGCCAGACTTGTCCGATGTACTGTGAGCCATCGGGATTCTTGATCCAGACGTCTCTGAGGTACGGAGTCTCAGCTGTCCGACATGCGGTTCAGGAACACTGAACGTACAACTCCGTGCCTCTGATATAAGGATCGTACTGCGCCAGTCCGATGTTATCATATAGGAAAGGAGAGTAACTGGTGCTTCACGCACGATATCTGTGACATTCGCTTGGTGGTTGATTCCGGCATCTACGATGGGGATGTAATGTTGGTAGTTTGCAGCCTTTAGGTGAACATGTCAGTACGACAGTGACGTCTCAAGAAGAGACCATTACCAGTTTTCGAATGAACTCCCTCATCTCCTCTGCGGGAAAAGAGACAGGATCAGAGGTAAAGTCACGCAGCGCGTGGTACAGGTCAATGTCGTTCCACATCACTGCAAGCGCCTCAGTACATTATCGAAATTCCCTTTTCAGCGTGCCGATCTCACCTTCCAGTGATATGTTCGCAGCGCGCATATTCTCCACTTGCTCCTTGGTCTCAGAGATGTTCGTGTATCCCCACTTGCATAGATGGAACCCGAATCCGAACGCGGGCTGCCATGTCGGGAGTCCGATGAGCTCACCGTACTGCTCGATCACCGTCTGCGGCGTCGGGCCCGCAAAGAAGTAGAAGTCAAGTGTCCCGCCGATCACGCGATACTCGATGAGAGATACCGGGGATGACGGCGGCGTGAGGAGGAGAGTATCGGAGCCTGCGGAACTGTGCAGGGCATTCGGTTGGCTAGACTATCAAGGGCTATATGAAGAAACGCACCTGAAGTGGAATACACCGTGAGACTGCGACGTCTTCGTCGTCTCGTTGTATCTGTGCTCCAGGTAAATGGGGTGCGAGCCGTACCTACAAACAAATGAGCACCACGACCTCAACACGCGCGCGCATACACCAACATGTTCTGGTCGATCGGGTCCGCGATATCGCGCGCCCACATCGTCTGTATGGTGCCCACCCTGCCGTCGGTCCCGACATCGCGTCTGAACCCGCTGCTCGCGATGACTTCGCCAAGGCCGTAGATGTTCGTGCCGCGGGGAAGCGCAGACGTCAGCTGGAGATACTGATCCTCAAACACGAGTGGGAACCCGTCGAGCGCCGTGGAGCCATCGCCGGGGATCACGGGAGGAATGGGAGTCTGTGGGAGCGACGCTATCCGCGTATCAAACAGCGGCTGCTCGTCAGGCGCTGAGCGGCGCGTGACCCAGAACGCGAACGGGGCAGGCTCGTAGTTGAATACCAAGTCCGAAGTGTGTGCGGCACCAATTTCGGACGGCGGCGCGAGGGATATCACCGAGGGCGGGATCGTGAATTGCGCGTTTGCGGTGTCGAAGATGTTCACGTGCAGTCTGCGTGGAGTAAGTCGTGTACTGTGGTGCTAGCAGTACTTTGGACGAACCTCGTTTCTGTGTCATAATTAACTTGCAGTGTGAGATTGGATATGTCCTGGCCGAAGGCATTGCATGCTGGTCCCGCCAGGTTCAACTGAGCAGTGAGTCCCGAAGCTGTCTCCGTGAGTGAACTCAGAGTGTATCCTGTATGTTCAGTTGTCAGTGTTGTATTCAGTGACAATGCATTCAGAAGGCAGAGCGCGTTGCACAGCTTGTCAAATCCGTCGCGCTTCTAGTCCACGCACCTGGGCATGATGAGATATTTAGAGAATGGGTCGAATCATTGACCACAAAAATGCCCGATAGAGCGCCTCTCCGGAAGTCAGCTCGCCCGAGAACGCCTCTCTCGACGAAGAAGAAAACCAGCGCAGGGACCACTGGCAGCATGGCAACGATTATCCAACTTCTGGGGAACGAGGACGGTGGGCCGCCCGGTGCTGCCTTAGGCTGGGCTTTATGCGCCTGTTTCGCCCCGGACATTACTGACAACGTTGAGCGAGGGAAGCTCTCAGACCAGGTCAGCTGCAACGCTGCTTTTAAGTGCGTAAACCCCACATGACTTTGACGTACGAGGAAATCCCACTTACATACAAGATGTTGGGCGGAGCGCCTTCGAAATTCGCGAAGATTCTGGGGTGCACTGAGTGAAAGCTTTGGTAGTTAATGTACTGTGGTAGCCTGCAGCCACATCCAAGGATGCGCGCAGATGTCGTCTCGCTCAACCCAGCCGGTCCTGGTGTACATACATTTCAAAATGGGTGGCGGCAAGAGTTGTGGCTGAGGTTTTGGAGGCTCGTGTACGTACGAGAAGACTTCTTTCTCCCAAAATGTGATCATGAGGGTGCAAGATCTGAATCGGGGACATACCTCGTGGGAACATCACCATGAGACGCTTCACCATCCGACAACGCAGCGCTGTTGCGCTCCGTTCACCTTTTCGTCTTAAGACTCAGAGTTATTCTCAACAAGGCGTAATGCCTCGAAGCTTTGAGCCATCGGACTGCTGTAAGTCGATGGAAATCAAGCGGGTACTCCGCAGACTCCAGTGTGGCATACCGACTTTGTTTCCATCCACGTATTTGTGTCTCTATCCCTGCCTTTACTCCCCAATGCCTTCAAGTTAGAATTTACAGCCCTGCGAGTCTCTATACCATCCAATATCCCTGCACCAAGCGCGGAAATCGATCTGTGAATACATGGCTCAGAAGCTCGCGATTTTGGGGTGGCGCGTCCGTAACTTCTGTCCTATCGTCATGAGCTATCTGGACTTTGTCGCAGATGGAACCGATACGAAGCCGGCGCGTGCAACTGCGATGGTTCGCTGTGAGCTTCTCTTCTTCTTGGGCAAATATTACTGAAAGCGCTAACCCATAGCCGTCTCCTTCGATAGCTGTTGAAGCGTCCCTCGTTCCAAAGCGCAATGTGTTGGCACTGTGTCGATTGGATAATGGTTTTCAGTCCCACCGTAGCGCTACTGCGGTATTACTCTCGATGCGCCGCCAAGCTGCTGTATGTCAACAGACATGTTCTTCAAGCTCTCGGTTCGGTGGCATCAGTGCTAGTGAATGCCCACAGCAATCCCGAAGCTCCTGTGCTGTTCTTTCTGTTGCGACGGCTTGTGAGACGCGCGCATCGGTGAGATGCATCACTGCTCGTGTCTCACCTGTACGTACGCTTCAGGCTGGTCAGCAATGGTTAGGCTGGGCGCAGTTTTCTGGACTTCGACCCTTTCGTGACGGTGTCGCGGATACTGTATGTGGATCCCAAGAACTTCACCAGACTATGATCCGTGCCAGCTGGGTGACAGCTTGTGCAAACCTTCTTCGTGGAGCTCTGCTGATGATGGGGCGTTGAATTTCCCCGATGGCGAGAGTGTGTTCCGTCCTCCTCTGGCCGTATTTAGTGGAGAAACTTCAGGGCGTGCTCGTGTTACCATGTTGCCTCATTGCTTTGGCAAACGTGGTCACAGGTCAGTTTTCTGTGGCCACTTCCGTCACGTGACCGCGACAGGAAGAACGCGAAGAATGAAGGAATGACTGCGTGCGCGCTGGCGATCGCGTTCCAACCGCAGAAGTCTCACCGAAAATGGTTCGCACTCAGACGCAGGAATGTGCTGTATGTACCCAGGTGAACTTCCTCGAAATCCCACCGTCTCACTACTTTAAGCTTCAAGCTTTCAAGAACTAATTTTGCGATAGAAGAGGCCGAAGAAGCCTTCTGGCTGTCACTGATCTCCCTACGCTGTGCAGCTCCACATAAGTCGTAGAATTGCCTCTTCCGGCACTCATCCCATTGGTCCGTTTCCACGTTCCCCCGTCCTCGTCACCGTCCCCCGTTCCCCGTCACCGTCACCGTCACACCATATATAAATCGAACCCCCCCTTCACCCGCCCGCGCAACCTTTCCCCCGAACCACTACCCACCTGCGACGATGAAGCTCTCTCTCGTCCCCTGCACGCTCCTCGCCGCGGTCTCCGCCGTCGTCGCGCAGACCCAGAACACCACGTTCCTTACGGGCTTCATCGAGACCCTCCAGGGCATGGGCCTCACCGATCTCACCACCTTCGCGTCGCAGATCAACGACTCGTCCTTTGGCGAGGCCCTCCTCGCTACCATCTCCGACGGCAAGCCGTACCTCTTCTTCGCGCCGTCGAATGATGCATGTGAGTGTTCACCTCTCTCGGTAAGCCCCTTCGTGCGCTGACGCTGCCCAAGTCATGAACGCACCCGAGAATGTGACGGCGAACCCACCGGATACCCTTGCGTACCACTATGTGTCGGGCAACTTCTCCGGGGATATGTCCATGTACCCGAACGTGACCCTCGGCCGTACCTTCCTCAATGACTCCATGTTTGTCCAGCTCGAGGGTAACAAGAGCCAGGTCCTCGCGTGGACCAAGCTTGCCGACGGTGCCATCCACATTCTGAACCAGATGTGCGTTTTGGGCGCGTCTTCCGTGGACAGTTAACTTACTCCCTTGCAGGAACGATACGATGGTGACAAACACGACGATGTACGGGAACATCACGATCAACGTGATCAACACCGTGCTCAGCTTCCCGCCATCGCTTTCTGACGTCGTTATGATGGACATGAATGCCTCGCTCTCCTCGCTGCAGACCGTGCTCCAGGAGATCAACGTAGAGTACTTCAACGCGAGCACCGGCGAGACCCATAACACGTCCACCTTTGACGTGCTCAACATGGGCGCACATGGTTTCACCCTCTTCGCACCGAACAGCTCTGCTCTAGATGCCATCTCCAGCGCGCTGCAGAGTTTGAGCAACAACCAGACGCTCGCCGATACCATTCTGCTGAACCATGTAGGCATACAGTCGCTGTGCTTCACTGGCCATCATTGAGCGTTGACTCTCGCAGGTCATCAACGGCACTTCGGTCTACTCTTCGGAGCTCGTTGGCATGAACTACACCTCTGCAGCGGGTGAACCTCTGTTGTTTATGATGAATACGACTGGGCAGTACGTGACCTCGGGCAACGTAACCGCGAAGATCATCCAGCCGGACGTTCTCCTGAGCAACGGTGTCATTCACGTTATCGACCGGGTGTTCCTGAACGAGAAGAGCGACATGAGCGCGGCGAGCTCAGCGTGCGTAGCTCTTTCAGTTTATGTCGTGATTTTGTAATTCACACCTATGCGCCTGTAGTGCCGCGTCGGCGACGTCTGCTGCTGGTCATAGTACTACCGAGTCGGCACCCATTGGATTCTCGCAGACTGCCTCACTCACTGCATCCGGATCGAATGCAGCGCAGCCATCGAACTCGAAGAGCGCGGCTGTCGCAACGTACGCCCAGAGCGGATCCACGAAGATGTGGGCGGTGGGTCTCACAGTGTTAGGTGCCATCGTCGGCGGGTACATCACGCTGTCGTAAGGTAGAAAAGGGCCTCACTGACGGCGTCCTGGACGACGTCGTCTTTGTGAACTTGGACTGGAATTGTGGTTTAGCTGTAGTTTTATTGGCAATCTTCTTGTCCTGTACCATACACGATTTCTACTCGTCCTGCCTTGGTACCAGCATATATACTTGTGTGTAGTATGTACACTTGCGATTGCATACACGAATCGGTGGAGAGATCTAAATGCACGATGCTTTCGGGAACCACAGATGTTGCCTTTCTGAGCACCCGAAAAGATGACGTAAGCAACAGTGAAGCGCTCACCATGCTGGGTCCATTTTCCATTCTCCTGTGTTCTGGTTTGTCTGCTGCTATCTACGAGAATGTCACTGGCTCCCTGTTGAATATAAATCCTTGGTAGATAATCCATAGCGGCCCGGGAGCGAGGACAATGTCTCTGGTGAATGCAGCCATTCGCCATAGAGCCTGCCTACCTGCAGAAGTAGGGGCGTCCTACTTCCACACCACGTCGGTACCTCTTCTGGAAAAGGGACGGGCACCCCGCTCGAGACCAGTGAAATATAACACCCCGCCGAGTAGGTTGTGCATCTTTGGCTGACTGTCATGGCCGACCGAGCTTACGTGAACCTGTCGCTTGCAGAGACCTCACCATCGCGCACGCGCCTCGTCAAGGATCTCACCCCGCGCACGAATAAGAATGAAAAGGGGAAGGGGAAGGCCGGGAAGCTCGAGGTTGCGCCGCGCGCTGCGTTCGTCCGCGACCCCGCGCCGCATCCAGATGCGCGGGATATGAGGGAGGAGAGGGAGCGCCAGCGCGAGCTCACCAGGCGGTTCGGGCAACGCAGGCTACGCCGGGCGTCACAGGAGAAGCCGCGCCGCTCTTCGTCGTGGGACAGGGACAGGGACAGGGACAGGGACACCGCGCAGTCCGCGCGCTGGCAGGAGAAGAAGACGCATCCGCTCGCCACGCGTGGGCTCCCGGACTTCGATAAGCCGTGGCGGACGTCGCGGGGCGTCACGCCGCCCGCAGCGGCGCGGGGGGCGGAGGATGGTTACGCGCCCGCGCAGCGGAAGACGCCAGTGTACAACCCGCTGAGCGACGAGTTTGACGTCGCGTCCAAGTCTGTGTCGACGCGAGAGCTTCCGGGCGAGTTCGCCTCGCCACCGCTCATGGAGGGTCTCCTTACGTCCGTCGTGGACGTCCTCGGCCCGCACGCGAAGCCTACCCCAATTCAGGCTCTCGCTCTCAAGCACCTCTTCACGCCACTGAAGGGGGAGCCGGGCGGCAAGCGCCGCTGGCACCAGTGCCTGCTCGCGTCCGAGACGGGCTCGGGCAAGTCCATCGCGTACATGCTCCCGATGCTGCAGGGTCTGAAGCAGTCAGAAGTGAACGCGGGCACATCGACTGCAGCGGCGCCGGACGCGCCTGCCCCGAGCACGCCGCTGAACCCGCGCGCACTCGTGCTCGCGCCGACGCACGAGCTCGCGCGGCAGCTGTCCGCGTTCGCGAAGGCGCTGCTGCACGGAATCAAGCTGCGCGTGCTGTGCGCGTCGCAGGCGAACCTGCCGAGCACGCCGCGCCACCAGGTTAGCGCGGCGCAGATGGCGCGTGACGCGGACGAGGGCGGCGAGTTTGGCGTGCACAGGGGGGCCGCGGGACACCCCGTGGATGTCCTTGTAGGCACGCCCGCGCGCGTGCTTGAGATGGCCAAGGGCCGCGGGTGGGATTTTGAGCAGCCGAAGGCGGAGGACCACTGGGGTCTTGACGAGAAAGGGAGGGCTGCGCGCCGCCCCAAGGCATGGACGGTGGGCAAGCCAGAGATGGGACTGAGCAGGGTTGAGTGGGTCGTCGTGGACGAGGCAGATGTCTTGTTCGGTAATTGTAGTGCGCGCGCATGGGGATAGTGACTAATTTTTCTCCCTTGCAGACCCCGATTTCCAAGAGTCGACAAGGCGGATCCTTGCTGAGATCAGTGTCGCACGCGGGCATCCGGTACCATTCGAAGAGGGCCTACCACAGGACGCGCCACAGAAACCACTTGACTATCCATTCAACCTCCTCCTCACGACCGCGACGATCCCTTCTGCGCTCGCGTCGTACCTCGACACGCACCACCCCGGGCTGATGCGGCTCGCTTCGCCGCATCTGCATCACCTCCCGCAGACGCTCAAGACGGAATACGCCGCGTGGACGGGCGGGAATCGCTATGCGGATATCGAGCACCGTCTACGCCGCGTGTGGGCGGAGGACCTCATGGCGGGCGGCGGGCGCCGCTCGAAAGTGCTCATTTTCTGCAACAAGAGCACCAAGGTCCAGGATCTCGGGCGGCACCTGAACGAGAAGGGCATCCCGAACGTCGCGCTAACGAGCACGAGCGATACAAGGAAGCATGGGTCGAACCACCACCTGGATGGGTTCCTTCGCGTGCGGGGCGAGGAGGGCAAGGAGACGGAGGGCGCGCGGGAGGTGGGCGAGGACGAGCCGCATGTGATGATCACGACGTCGCTGCTGTCGCGCGGGCTTGATTTCGCGCCCGACATCCGGAACGTGTTCATCGTGGACGAGCCGCGGAACATGGTCGACTTCCTGCACCGTGCAGGGCGTGCGGGGCGCGCGGGAGCGCTGGGCAAGGTGGTGGTGTTCGGGAAGGCGAAGGGGCGGGGGTCTCTCAGGACGAAGGACATGCGGAAGAAGGTCGGAGCGTTGACCGCGTAGAGGGCGCGAATCTGTGTTCGTGGTTTTGTTGTCTGCAAACCATCTCCATTCACTCATATCTTCCTCACATCTTATGTCATGAAAGTACATTACATCGCTTCTTGCTCTCGGATATGGGAGCTCACGACGTTGGTGCGATCGGACGTACTCACACCCCAAAGCAAGTTCACTCAGTCAAATGTCATCTGGAATATTTGGGTAAACATTGTTTTTGTTTTGCAGCGCTGGCCCTTAGAATCCGAGGATCTGCTCAGGTGAGTCGCACTGGCTTTGCAACTGCGGCGATTGTGCTTCAACGATATGTGTCCCATCGCGTCAACTTGTGATAGTTAGAGTCGGATGGAACGAAGAATATACGGTGTTCCCGCGATGTGTAGTGCTCGATCTGTGACGGCTCCTTGCGCGCATAAATAATGAGCGCAGCTTTGCCTGAATTTCATTCGGCTTCTGCCACTTTGAGGAGCTGATTCTGAAAGAGCACCTCGCGACACATGGTGATCTCAAAACACTGAAACAGGGGAGTGAGCCTGTCCGATCTGTGGAGATGGGAGATACACACGGCATCTTCAAGAACAGTCAGTACCTGTGAGATGAGGCTGTCCCAGATCTTGTCTGACGAGAACTCAAACTGCCACATTAATTGTATTCGATGTGATTCCTCCCAATAGACTGGGCCTCTCAGGCTATGTGTTCAATGATGCTTCCTTGCCGCAGACATCCCAGCACTCCGCCATCCCTCGCTTGAGCAACGCGGGTGGTTTGAAATTCCCATTTCCTCGATTCTTCGGTTGTCGCACACTGCAGGTGCAACGGTGCTGTGCTAGTCCGTGGAGGAGGTACAAGAGATGCGAAGCATGATGCACTCTGGTGGTGCAGATGCCTTAAGGTTAGTCAATTGTGTTGGTTTCAATTGAAATTGCTCGAATCAAGCTTGTAGGTTCGCGAACAGAGGCACTGGCTCCTTCTCCCAACAGTGTATTAATCAGACCACAGAGCTCTGTCCGTAAAATCTCTCATGCACCGGCATCCTATGCAGTCTTCGCAACTTTATCACTTTCGTTGCGATGATGCATCCAGGAGAGCACTATAGTGGGCAGTTCCTCTCACCATGACGAATGCACTCCCACCCTGAAAAGCACAAAGGTTGTAATGATCCCTGTTGGCTGCAGTGTTCCCTCCACCTCCCCAAATGTTGTCAGGAGCAAATGGTGACCTAGAGCCAGACCAACTGGCTTATCAGGTGTTCGTAGCTCACCATGATTGTTCATGAGGCTTGTGGGCTAATCTGTTTACCTTGGTCAGCTTTGTAAACAACTGCAGCTGTGTAGCAGCTGCAAGTGAGTTTAGCTACTGAAATGTTGATGCTAACATGATGTAAACCTTTGCTAGCTTTGCTCATTTTAGACCATGCCATAACACTTGCTGATGAAATTGACCACATATGGAGAAGTAGAAAATCTGGAGCCACAATCCTGTTTATCTCCAACCGTTTTCTTGGATTGGTATTAGCCTTCAGCCTGGTGGTGGAGATACCTCCATGGCGTACAAACCTGGTAAGTGCCATGGTTGTAACTGATGCTTCTTACATTGTGACTGATGCTTGTTGGATCACTGCCTTTTCAGAGGTCTAGTTCTTTCTTCAATATGAAGTAGAGACCAGCTCATTATGTGGCAGTTGTGATGCCATAGGGCTGTTATTTGAAGCTTGTCAAGAATTACTTCTGATTGAATGGGCCAGTAAGTTAATATGCATCTCTAATTTGATGTTCATAGCTGTTTTCACCCTTCAGCATTTTTGGCTTTTCGGGTGTATGCAGTAGGGGGTCATGCACATCTCCTTGCTGTAGTAGTATTTGTGTTGAGCTTGATGCCTTTTGCAACCAATCTGGTATTGTCAGTTCCATCTAATCAGAAGTAGTGTATGCTAACTTGCAATGCTTCAGTATAGCTATATCACAAACTCATATTTTGTCATTGTTGTTCCTGAGATTGGTCCCATATGCATGAAAGAAGCAACTAGTATTGTCCAAATGAAACTTACAATACATGTGTATCTCTCCTTCCAACTGAGTCTTTGGCTAATGGGCAAGGCAGGTGTACACAATGTAGTGTTATTGTTGCAGACATCATTGTCCTCATTGTAACCTGGATGAAGACATACAGTATCAAGAGATATGCATGCTCAGCTCATATAGAGGCTCCTCTAGCAACTCTCTTACTACGAGATGGTTAGCATCTATACTGTTTGCTCAACCCTTCCTCAGTTTTAAGCTTATCCCTCTGCTAATTCCTAAGGCACTTTGCACTGTATGTGAGTATGGAGCATGACAGCTGTTCAAGCTGATAACACATTACAGTTTTCATCTTTTGATGAACCTTGCACAACTGTTGTCAAACTACTATGATGTGCTGTTCTGCTACTGCTACTTTTCACTTGCTTATCTCTAATGTGCCTTCTTGCATCAGGACCACGGGTGTCTGTACTACTTCATCCAACCGTGTGCTCACCTCTTCTCATTTAACAGAAATCGCTTATGCTCACACACCTTGCAGATTTATGTGTATCATCATCTCTTGTTTCTTTTTGAACCTGCGCGAGATGCACTATATGCAAAGTCATGTCACTTCTAACCTCTCCTTCATGCACACATCTGTGCAAATCTCACAATTTGCCTCAAGGATAGTTGGTAATATGGGTGCATCACTCAATCTTGGATCTCCCTTGGGAGTTGATGACCTGTATGGTTTGGACATTCATGAGAATGGCTTCATTGCCTGAAATATTGGAGGGGCTGCTGAGAAGGAGGCAGTGACTACTGGGCTATATTGATGGTAAGCCCCCAAGAAGATGTGTATCTTTGATTCTGAAATAGAAGACTATGTCTCATGCAGGGAGGACAAGCTGCATTTGTACCAGGATATACATGTACATTTGGATATGCCCAGTTAATGGCGAGCAGTGTTATAAGATCAGTCAGAAGCATGGCCTACCTATCTGTATGGCAAGAGAATGTCAGCATATATCCTTAAAAAATGACAGGATAATCATCAGCCCACAGGCTACATCAATATTGTCACCATAATTCTCCTCATTTTGACCACTTTTGTGGTCATGCATCACACCTGATTTTTGGTTTGACCTCACCAATAAATTTCTCTTGATTTTTCTGATTTTCTGGTATTTCTTAAAATTTCAAGAAAGGCAATTTCATGCCGGAGTGGTTGAAATAGTACAGTATTAATGCATGATGAGTTGAACTAAGCAGGTAGTGGAAATTGCTGTGATTATACTCACTTCAGATAAGAGTACTAAACAGGACCAAAGCTTTCATAACATAATCTTGAGCTCAAGTGAAACTGTGCTACAGACCCTATAATGTTATGACTTGGGTTTTGATGGACCCTGATCAAACAATGAAAGCCAGGTCTTATCAACCCATATATTGGATGCAGATCCTATTGGTCAAATAAGTTATCAAGGGCACATTGAATTCAGTGCACACCTGTGGGTCTTCACTTGGACAATTTAAACAAATTCATAAAATTTCGCAGTCACTGCCTCTGCATGTCTGAGGCATTATACAACATTTCCACACATTGGTTAATGGAAACATGAGGATTAACCTAACAGCATCAACACTGTATGAATGTTCTGGATGAGCCAAACAAATACAATTGCTTACAGGAGCAGTACTCACGACTAACAGATAATCCTCCAATGAGTTATCACGGTAGACTGTGCATTATGCATAGAAAGGATGATGCTTGTCAGATAGTTATCTTCCACAGTGAACATATGCAACACACAGCACCTTTCAAGCTTTATGGAGTACATTGTTTACATTGAAACCCCTTTCAGTTCTTCTCGATCCTACATACACTGGTACCATGTCAACCATAGGGCTATGCCCCCACGGACAATAAACACATGAGGCCAAAGAGAACATATGCAACACTGACTGAACCAATTCCCTGTCTCATACCACTTACTGTCTAGCATTATCAACGGAAGGTCCAAGACGAGTAGTCCATCGGTGCTTGGCGACTCAAATGTGTGGTGCATTCCTGCTGATGAAGAGGCCAGCTGTCAACGACCTGACTCCATGCATGGGCGTGTGATGACATTCCCCAAAGGGCTCTTGCTGATCAACAGCTCGTCTCTCGCGCCTCTCGGAAGGACCATGGGACTCCCATTCGAAGGACATGTTCAAGACCTTCCACCACGCATTAGGCGACCTTCGTACTGAATCTGGCATGAATAAGGCTGCATGGCCACGCTGTGTTTCGGACCTGGGGTATAATCACCGACGAAGCTCGAACACGCCTAGCGAACGTCATAAACACCCAGGCGCGAAGCTCACCGTTGGTTTATTGTAGGCCAGTCGGTTTTGATAAGCCTACTTCTCGTGCACTACTGATCAGCTTCTGACCTTGAGAATCCTCGAATTCAGGGGAAGATTCCAACAGCTCTGGGACTCGTGTAAATTTGTGTGTTTCTTGACCACTGCTTGCGCGCATATTTATATTACCTGCCTCGCGAGACAACGTGAGCACCCGCAAGTACTTCCGAATAGATATGTCCACATTGCGTGAGAGAGCGTCGAAGACCACAATCTTGATCTGTACGGTCAATGCGCAGCGCCGTGACCACCCTGCCAAACACGTCGAGCTTGCGAGCGCATGCCTGAGGATTATCTTACGAGATGAATGTCTACACAATGAGAACAGCATGGTAGGAGGATATTCCGTGATGGTGGTACAGAATTGAGATGGAATGAGTCGGTCCGGAACCGTGTTGCGGGTATTTGGCTGCATTCCAGCGGCCGCCACCCCTCTCCACCAACGACGACGACGACGACAGTGACGATGTCGAGCAAGCAATCCCGACACTCCTCCTCTACCTCTTCGCCGTCGTCCCCCCCATCCAACCACAGCTCTAAGCTTCCCAAATTCCTCCAGAAGTCGACCAGAGACAGATCCAAATCGCTCGTCGATCCAGGCCACAATGCAAGCAGCAGTTCGTCTTCGAGCTCGTCGAACTCGCCTCCGTCACCAGAAACGTCGAAGGCAGGCCGAAAGGCGTCAAAGAAAGGGTCTATGTTGAAGGAATGGGAGGAAGAGCAGCACCCAGTGTCGCCGGACGTCGATATCCCTCAGGGCGGCGAGGTTGCAGACGAAACGCCCGTCATCGTCGAGCCCGTTAACATTCCCCGCCCACGCACACGTTCAGAGCGACCGATGTCGGAAAACTACCCCTCTGTTGCGTATTATCCCTCTTCGTCCTCTTCGCGCCTGTCCGATATACCCACCCGGCTTTCGGGCTGGTTTTCTCACACCTTCAGCTCATCGACCACAGACCTGTCCCTGCCAGCATTGCTCTCGCAGCAGCATTTAGCGTCTTCTACGTCGTCGCCGAAGGGTAAGGGTTCTGCGCTGCTCACTGCTGCGCGGCACGGCAAGGGTCACATCGACAAGGCGATGCGCTATCTTCTCGATAGTGACTCTACCCCTGATAAATGCTCCGACCCGATCTGGTTACTCGGCGTCGAGCACGCAGGCTACGAGCCTCCACCAGCACCCCCACCATTTACCGCATCGAAGCGGAACGCGAGCGTCGGCCGTCGCAACTCGATAGACTCGCGCCGATCGCCGTCATCTGTTAGTTCCTCCGCCTCCTCGCCTATCGCTCCCTCTAGCTTTCCGGGGGACCCTTCGCTCTCTCAATCACATCCAACCGTGTTGTCGCCATCCAAGGACAAGGACCCGTCGCGAAATTGGCCGCCGGCGTTTTATGCCGACTTTACATCTCGCATATGGCTCACGTATCGATCTCAGTTCTTGCCCATACGAGATACATCACTTTCGGCTCTGGAGTCGGACGTAGGGGAGGCCGTGTCGAACCCCAGCAGCCCGCAGCCCAAGAAGTGGAACTGGCCTCTCGTTGGGGAAAAGGGGTGGACGAGCGATGCGGGATGGGGATGCATGCTCAGAACTGGACAGTCATTGCTGGCAAACACTCTATTGCACTTACACCTTGGTCGAGGTGCGTGACGCTGCCCCAGTTACTGCCGTTGATACTCACCTACAAGGTGCTGCAGACTGGCGTCGACCGCCATATCCTATTTATACCGCCGATTATGCAACGTATGTTCAGATCATTACATGGTTTCTCGATAATCCTTCGCCATTATGTCCGTTCAGCGTGCATCGCATGGCGTTAGTCGGCAAGGATCTTGGTAAGGAAGTCGGGCAATGGTTCGGGCCGAGCACTGCTGCGGGTGCCATCAGGTGCGTATTCGTCGTGTATCCGCTGGTCATGACCTCATCCTCCGTACACAGGACCCTCGTGCATGCTTTCCCTGACGCCGCACTGGGTGTGTCAGTCGCATCGGACGGCGCGGTGTACGAGTCGGACGTGTTTGCAGCTTCGAGGTCTAGCAGGGCTTCCTTGCGCAGATACGGACAGACGTGGGGCGACCGTGCAGTCCTTGTACTCATTGGAATCCGCCTCGGCCTCGATGGCGTCAATCCTATCTACTACAACACGATCAAAGTCAGTATTGCGATCTAGTGGGATGTCCTAATTTTAATCCCCTCCTGTACTTCAGGCACTATACGAGTTCCCGCAATCAGTCGGCATTGCAGGTGGTAGACCGTCGTCGTCATATTATTTCGTCGGATCGCAGGCCGACAATCTCTTCTATCTGGATCCGCACCACGCGCGGCCCGCCATTCCTCTCCGCCCACCACCTCGCTCAGCAGAGTTGCCCTCCCTGGAACGCTGGGAGCGGCAGACATCTCCTGGGACACTCACGTCCGATTACGGGCCAGTGCGCGTTCCCCAGCACACTCGATCCCCAACTGCACCATCCGTGCGGTCAAGCGCAGGCTCCGCGTCGTCCGTTCTTTCCCAGCGCTCGCCACCGGTACCGTCACCGCTACAGCAGCAGCAGCTGTCGACGTCTTCCTCGAACTCAACGTCCCAGTCCTCTTCCGCACAGTCGCACGCGCGATGGCAGTCGTCGAGCGCGTTGCCCGACGACTCTGAACTGGATTCTCGCGACCTTGGAATTGGCGCAGACCTGGACCCGTTGCAGCTCCATTATGTAACGGCGTACTCCGCCGCAGAGCTCAAAACGTTCCACTGTGACCGCGTGAGGAAGATGCCGTTGTCGGGACTGGACCCTAGCATGCTGCTCGGCTTCTTGTGCAAGGACGAGAATGACTGGAAAGATTTTCGCAAGCGCATGAACGATGTGAGTAATCTACGCCGTTTTATCTACATGCTAGAACCCAAGTTTCTGATGCGTCTGCAGCTCTCACACACACACAAGACAATATTCACGATTCAAGACGAGCCGCCAAGTTGGCCGTCCGACTCGGATGATAACATGGGCCTCGAGTCTATTTCTGAGCCAGACATCGACATGCCCGAAGATGACGACGAGGACGCACTTGACGATGACCGTTCCTCGAGCACGTCCCCTGACACAAGTGTGAGCGTACAAGACGGCGGCGCAAAATCTGAGGCCGACACTGAGGAGGACCCCGTGGGCCCCATCACGCCTGGCGCGGGCAAGAATTCATTAGACATCCCGCATCCAGCCAAGGGCACTGTGCCCCAGCCTATCTCGCGTGAATCCTCACTTGATTTCGATGACGACGAAGATGAGGAGTGGATGGACCCATCGACGGACACACCGCCACTATCTCCTGACGCAGAAGTGCCGCCACCGTCGCCATCCTCACCGCCGGTGCAGGTGTATGCTCCGCCGCTCGCACAGGCGACATCTACAGGCTCAACGATCAGTGCAAGTACTCACGCGAGCGGGAAGAAGCGGAGAAAATTTAAGTCAAAGAAGTCAGGGTCCGGTTCAGGTTCTGCACTGCCTGAGCCACAGATGCAGTTCCCGTTTCCCGCCACGCAGGCAGAGGAGCCGCTGTCAGATGCTCAGCTGGAGGAGACGCGGAGCAAGCGGATACCGCAGATGCGCACGGCGAAGGCGCGCGATGGCGGGCGCACACAGAGCGGTGGCGTGCGCGGTGTTCCCGCAGACGACATGGACGACTTCTAGGGTGTGATATTCGTTTGTCCAGTGTTGCTGTTGTTTTGGTCGTAATTCCTCTGCGCGACATATATCGTCCCATGTCCACCCATTCCGTCCCTTTCTGTATGGTCTGTTCACGCCCTCGACTACATTCTGTACATGCCCTGTACATTCCGTCGTTTCCGTCGTAACTCTACTTTTCGCTTCCGCCTCGGGAGTTCGGTAGCGTTGGATGGTGTACATTGTTGTGCAGTGAATTATATCAGACAAGATACCCGTATTTTGTTCGTTAATGGAGGGAGACCGAGACCCGTGCATAAAGATATGTTCGAAGGATGAAAAGATCACAGTGTGCGTATTCGAAAAGAGATGGAGCTTTTGCGCAACGGATACAATACATATATGCGGACCTGCAGACTGGGTATGCAGCAATGGCGAGAGCACGCAACTAGATAGACGATAAACAACCTGGAGAGAACGCGTTCCATGAGGCGCGACGGACCACTATCACGACCCGCAGCACGATGCAGGAGCCCATTTATGGTCACCGGACGAATGCGTGAGGCGGATAATGTCGTCCGCGTCCTGCATGTGCAGCGTTCGCGCCTCGAGCGCCTCCTCGTGCTCCCGCTGCACGACAACGCGGCGCGCAACGTACTCGAACACTTCCGCGACGCCCTCCCCCGTCTTAGCGGACGTGAAGAACAGCTTCGGGCGGCGCTCTCGCGGTGGAGGCGGCATGCATGACGTGGGTGGGGAGCCAGAGAGAGGCGTCGTTGCACACGTTGCTGCTTGCCTGCGGACGAAGAGGCTTGGGGTGATCGTAGGCACGGAGGATATGGAAGATGCAGAAGGCGTGCGATGCGAGGGCGAGAGAGATGGGGAGGACGCGAAAGAGTCGGTGGTACGCACAGGCGAGGAGAGCGCGGACTCGAACGCGTCGAAGAACGACGATGAGGGCGTGTGGTACACGGTGTGCGTCGTCGTCATGGTCCCAACTGTACCCCCGCGGAACAGAGAGCGGCTGCGCGAGCGTGACTTGGAGATGTGCCGCCGTAAGCGCTGTGTGCTCGGTGCGATGTCGAGAGGTACGGCGTGTCCGTTTGGGGTCAGCAAGTCTTCTTCAAGCTCAGGCTCCACGATGAGCGGCGACGGCGGTGCAGAGGCCGGCGGGACAAGCTCGTTAATGAGCGCTAGCGCGTCAGCTTCCGACACCACACCAGCTGCACGGACTCCGTCTGCGTTCTGCAGCATGTCGATCTTGTTACCCACGACGACGCAGCAGAAGTCCTCGAGCTCGTCGTCCGGTACGGGAGCGCGCTCGCGGAATTCGGACCACCACTTGTGGAGCGCATCGAGCGTCTGGGGCTGGTTCACGTCGAACATGAGCAAGGCGGCATCAGCACCGCGAAAGAACGCAGAGGAGAGGCTCGAGAAGCGTTCCTGCCCCGCAGTGTCCTGCTCGCCGTCTAGTCAACTACACATAGCAGTAATGAGCCAGAAATCTCACGCACCCAAATCTGGAGCACGACAGACTCGTCCGAAAAGCTGTGGTGCGGTAGAGTCTTGGTTATAAAGTCTGCACCAATGGTCGCACGATAGCCCGTCGTAAAGCGTCCTGAGATGTACTGCGAAACCCTAATGAGAATGATCGCGGCGAGCTGGCTAGCTGGTACGCACCTGGTTGCGGAGACTTGTCTTGCCTACACCAGAAGCCCCGATGACGACGAGCTTAACCGTGCGCATTCCCGACGTCGTCGAGCCAATTCTTCATGAGCAGCACGCCGGCGATGGAGGACGCAAAGAGTAGGCGAAACCTCTTCAGACAGACTGTCCAGGGTCCCAGACAAACCACTCGGCCCGTGGTCACCGCCACATCCGGGGCGTCTCTACCGTTTCAAGAACTCAGGACGGTCCAGAGTCATCCAGCAGAAGCCAGCAGAGCAGATATGCATGCACACCAGGAATCTCATCATGATTTTCGCACTGCTAACTGTAGCCGAATATCGTACACTTATCTTTGATTTGACCATGCCCCGCGGGACAAAATCAAACTTATCTCCACATCTCGCTTTCCTACACCCGGTCAACCAACTCCTCTTGACCATCGTAATTCGCCAGCCATCCTTTGATTCCACCCTTCAGTATGTACGCTGCTGAAGTCTTGATACCAGAGTCGTTCAACCGATCTTGGTACCTACATCCCCAGTCACACCTTAAAACCCACCGAAGAAGGGACATTGCATACCAACGAGAGCATCGGGGGGCCTTCCCACTTGACAAGCCACAGTAGAAAATGACCTGCTTTGTCTGGCCAAATTTCTCCACGAAGGCCGGGAGCTCGTCGAAGAAATTCTGCGGCGGACAGTGTAAGCTACCGCGAACACGCCCACCCTGTTTGAGACGATGAGACTCCTAAGACAAGTAACATGGAGAGATCGTCACGCGAACTCACAGAGAACGTCTGCCTGACGTCGATGACAGCGTAGTCCTTGCGCTCAGAGCCCTTCATCATGCTGGCCAATTCATCGGCGGTAATATAAGGCACATCAGATTTGGTCGCCGGGAACGGGAGCCACCAGTCAAGCAGCGGCTCAGGCGATTCAGTCTGCCCTTCGCCGGGAGGCTTCACAGCGTAAATTTGATAGGATCCTGCATTAAAACATTGAGAGCTTTCAGCCAGTGGTCATCCACCGAGGTCCAGTACTCACCCGCCCATTCATTCGAGTCAAAATTCGGGGCGTTAGGCTCTTGCGGCCCGCAGCACGATGATGGTGTTGCACAGCAGCTGAATCCGGCTGTGCTTCCCGGCTCGAAGTAGACGTTCAGGTCAGCTTTCTTGTCAACGAACATGGGGTCTGAAATAGTGCATCGCCGTAAGCGTGAACACAGTAGTGGAATAATCATCGTGAATCCTCGCGCACCTGAGAAACCCGCATCGAGGATAATACCTCTGTACTCATCGAGAACTATAGCACCAGAGATACACCCAATGTAAGCGGCGAGATCGTTGCGAATGTTTTCCGGCAGAGGCTTCTTGGCCAGGATCTGTCCAGTCAAATGACTAAGGCGTTGATGTCAGCTAGAAAGCAGCATTGGCGCACATCCGACAACGCAATACGACCGCCAGGTTTCAACACTCTGAATGCCTCTTGCATGATCTTCGCCTTGCCGGAACCTGGCAGCAGGTTAATGACACAGTTTGATATGATGCAGTCAATGGAGTTGGCCGCGATGGGAAGAGGCTCCGTGAGGAGCGCCTGCACGAAGGCAACATGCGGCGGCTTGAGGCCTTGCTTCGATGCGTTTCGACGTGCCAGGGCCACCATGTCCTGGTGGTTGGATTCTCAGTGCGTTATGCCATGACGTGGAGTGGAAGCAGAATATCTCACCTCAGACATGTCCAATCCGATCGCTTTACCTGTCGGTCCGATCTTGGAAGCAGCTAGGAAGATATCGATGCCTCCTCCAGAACCAAGGTCGAGTACTGTCTCTCCCTAGAATATACAAGGCAAAAATTGTACTGTGATGAAGTGAAGCTCGAAGGAAATGACAGACCTCTTTCAAAGAAGCAGATGCGATAGGATTGCCGCAGCTAAGCCCCAAATTGGCTCCAGCGGGTAAGGCCTGCAGCTCTTCAACGCTGTACCCGAACGCTGATGCGACATTGTGCACATCTGCAGTTCAGAGTCAAATTTATCACGCCGAGCAGCTCGAAATCATTGGTTGAGACAAGTACTTACAAGACTTATCTACGCTCGCCTTTGCCTTCGCGCTGTAAGCGTCGCGCACGGCTTCGACCAGTGTTTCTTCGGAATTGGACATGACTGCAGCTGAGGGAAGGGATGTTTCCTGGAAAGCGCAGTTTATAGGAATATGTGAATTTGACTGATTCTAGAGCGTTTCTCTTCGAATTTGATGACGATCCGGAGCGGGCCATGCAACTCCGAGTAAGGCGGGCATTCTCCCGTATATTTGGGTTAGATGCTAGACAGCGCCATTGAACCGCCGCCTCACTCTACAAATGCAAAGGCGATGAATTATGAGGTCGAAGGTGTAAGCATGCCGCTTGGATTCATGCGGTACTAAGCCTTGCTACATTAATCGGTCGCATCTCCACAACCAAGGTTCTGCGACTTTTTTAAATTCGTTTTAAATAAATTCCCGGGGGGGGTGGTCTAGGCTTTAGGACATACAGAATTTTCTTGGATAGGTAAGAGACTACGTATACTTTATGTCTCTGGCTTTCACATCTGACTGGAGCGTCGTCATGTAGGTTCTTGTTCATGATGGTGGGGATTATGTATGCATTCACGATGAGGGACCATGCAAACCTTCAGCAAATCTTTGAGCAAGAAGTCCTCGCCATCCGCGGCCGGGAGTCGGTATGTCAGCCGCAACTATCGCTCGGAAAGCACCCGTGCCGGGTGCACATCGATCGTCCAGAACCATTAATTTACGTCTGGACCAGTGGGTGACAGAGAGGAGTTGGAGATCTGAGCCACTTCGAAAGGAGACACCCGCGCAGGCCGGCGGCTCCTGTCCCAGTCTGAGACTCTACACCCGCGTAATAAATGGGCTCTCCCTCAGCCGTTACCTGTAAGTCAGCACTTCTTTCAATTATGTACAACCCACTCACAGCTCTCGTGCGCTCGTCCGATGCAGAGGCGCTGTACACCCTAGAGTCACATCAAAAACCTAAGAGATCTTCGAAGGACAAACGCAGACCGAGCTTCTCCCGAATGTCCCACATTAATCCCCGGCGATGCGTTTCGTTAACCGTTGTCTTCTTTACATCGCTTCTGGTATTCCTCTGCGTCGCTTCGACGTCCCTCAAACAAGTCTCGAAGGTCATCGTGTGGGACAAGCAGCGGACACGCCCCGCAAGCCCGCCGCGGCAAATCATTGAATCAACGCCGGAGTACATGCAGATGGATAACGTCTTGGCTGGCCCTCCAACCGCATATTTCAGAGGTATGTCTCCAATTACTGCTCGCCTACATGCAACTTATGGCTGGTACAGACGCCCTGAGGAATGACTCCAAATATCTGACATCTTGGTACGGTGCCGGCTTCAGTGCGTTAACTTCCTTCCTCCTGTGTTTTCGCGTTTCCTGACCTTGATCTCGCAGACAACGATGTTATGACAATTGTCAGTTTTGTTTCTGTTCGTCCTCACACTAACTAATCACCTTGACTCCAGGCGAATATGATTTATCTGGCAATGCTCACAGATCGGGTACCGATACTCCCCCCACTGACCTCATACATATCAGGGAGCGCGCCGCCCCTTCCCTTCTCTCAGCTCTTCAATGTCTCGTACCTGATGCAGAAGCTGCAACTGCCGGTCCTCGAGTGGCATCAGATCAAGGACTGGAGTCTCTCTCATGCCCTTGGCCAGCCTGACTCGCTCGGCTGCTGGAACGTATGGGAAGTGGCGAACGTTTGGTCAGATTCTCCGCGAGGGAGCTACACGCCGACGCTTCTGAATCTTGGTGCGTCCCCACATCAGTCTCACACACAATCGCAAGCGGCTCATGTTTGAGCAGACATCTCGTACACCCGTGCGCCGTCCTGGGTCAAGCTCATCCCAGGCTATGAGCACGACTCTCATTCGCCGTTCTGGGCACTCGCACGTTTGGCGTTCCCTCAGACGCGCACTGCGACTCTTGCCGACCCGGAGGAGCATCCGACGCGCCCGTCTGAGCGGTGGGGGGCAGTCCTACCGCCAGATGAGCAGCTGCTATGTTTCGACTACCTGTACTACGCGTGCGGGATGATGGTGCGTATTGTGATGCATTCTACCGAAGTTGCAGGACTCATTGGATTGCAGCCTTCCGAGTTTGACTGGGACTACAGTCCATCTTGGAGATTCGTTCTAAAGCACTTCAAGTGGACGGAGAACCTCCAGACGCTTTCTCGGGAGTACCTCAGAAGAACGCTGAATGTGACCGAAGGCGAGCTTATCCCTCCTGTGCGTATTGCCGTCCCGCGTATTATCATAGCGCTAACCACTGTCCCAGTATATCACATTGCACGCACGCCGAGGCGATTTCATCGGTATGTGTGGCAGCACGCCTCGCGATGACTGCTTCCCGCCCCTGTCGGCCTTTGCGCGGCGTGTGGCAGAGGTTCAGGAGGAGCTGCGCGAGAAGCACGGTATCGAGGCTAGGCATGTTATCATGACGAGTGATGAGCAGGACGCGGCGTGGTGGGAGGGTGTAGCTGCGCAAGGCTGGCTAAGGGTCGATCACGACGGCGCCAGGACTGCGGAGGTGTATGGAAACTGGTACGTCGCCTACCTGTTTCGATGCTAGTAAGTCACGGTGAGGCTCACGTGCGCTGGGTCGACTAGGTATCCGGTCATTGTGGATGCGGTTATTCAGTCTGGCGGCATGGGTTTCGTGGGCACGGACTCCTCGACGTTCACCACCATGGCAAGGCGGCGCGTCGAAGACTGGAACAATGGTGCTGTCCGCACTGTGAAGTGGGGACGCCCGAATGCAGATGCGCATTAATTCCTCGCCGTCTCTCACTCCCTTTGCATATCTATCCTACCTGTTGCTATTTTTCGTAGATTATAGAGTTGTCCTTTTAGAGGTTCTGCGCGCATGTCGCTTAGCCCGGCGCTAGACAAGTTTTATTTGTACTAATCAATACACTCGCAGATCATCTCTCTCTACATACTGTTGCACTTTGGCGCATTGCGTAGAACTTGTCTTATCATGGTGTTCCGGGAATTTAGACGATTCAGGAGAATACGGTCTCGGCTTCCGTGCCCACGGACCTTGTCCTAGTTTCTTACGCGGGGTGGCTTATCGGTAGGTCCCAAATTTAATTCGGAGCCTCAATTTTCAGGGAGATAATGGTCCGCGGAGAACGTGTCGTGAATGCACGTGATCTGGAGATGAAATCGGAAGGAACCCCTTATAGACCTCATTGTGCCTGGGGAGACTAACCTTCATCAGCAAAAGTCAACTCTTGCTTACTCAGATTATTCCCTTGATTAAGGAAATTTTAAGGAGATCCTCATTATTATTATTCCTTATTCACCTTAATTGGCCAAATAAGGAAGCAGACCTCCTTAATCAAGGCAATAAGGGAGCTAACCAAGAGTTGACTTTTCCTGATGTTGTTGTACCTTTAGTCTCGGAACCAGCCGTTCTGACCTTCGACCCTTTTTGGGAATTGAGGTGGAAGGGTTGTCAGAACGTGAGGTCACGCCCGTGTGACATACCCCCCCCCCTCTATACAATTTTCACCAGACGTTCTCGGGAGCGACCCAACATCTTTAACGCCCAATTTGGTAACCGCCAGGTTGCTCACGTGAACGTCTGGTTACGAGACTACTTATTGTACCTTCTAGGCTAGCCTGAACTGTCTGCTCTCTTTCCGGAAGAGAAAGTGTCAAGTAGTTCGTCCGAATCGGACACAGATACCCCATCCTCTCGAGGGAAAATATTTGGACTCTGACTAAACATGTATATCCGCTGCAGCTCAGGGGGTTCCCTAACAAACGTACCGTGAGTAGTGGTTTCTTGTGTTTGAAGCATGAGGATTGCCTGTGACAAACTTCATGGCTACTCAACGTCTCGCGCTCGCTGATGTGACTCTAGTCCCAAGCAGAGATTCCTATGTGCGCAAGGCAGTTAGGTTCCACACGTCTGTCATGGAAGCTCGCTGTCAGCCCTATTTTGATCAGCTCGCCCCTGATTCTCTGCGTATATTCCATGGCGAATCCGAGTCGACGTCTTGAATATCTCTTCTCAGAATCTGCTGCTCTTGTCGACAATGTTCTCCGGGTTGAAGAGCTACCCGACGTTCGACGCCGAGCAATACCCAACCTATGACGACTTAGAAATACCCTCACAGTATCCAGCCAATTCTGAGCCTCTTTCGCGGAGAAATGGCTTACCGTACTTATTTCTATGCCTGTCAAACATTATACGAGTGTCCAGGAGGCGGTGTGCCTCTATGACTATCGTCATCCTCGTCGGTGTGCTCACTGTTGTGGCACTCACGGACGGTTTGATGGGACCATCCTTCTCGTCGAGTAGCGTGCGACTTCACATCGAGGAGCGTATCCAGGAGCAGAAGAGGATGCGCCCAATCCAGGTGCCACTACCAATTTCTGCTTTGCCAGTAGCCGAAGTGCCAGAAGCTGTCGAACACTCTCATCCCCCGCCTCCTTCTCCTCCCTCGCCGCCGCCGCCGCCGAAGGTCATGCTGCCAGAATATATGAATATAGACAATTACCTGAATGGTCCGCCTACAATTCACTTCCGTGGTATGTAAAGTGTATTTTCTGTGTCGGACGCTGAACCCGAATATTGCATGCAGATAATTTGAAGAAGAACAAGGAGTATCTCACCTCCTTCATGGGTGCAGGATTCAGTGCGTCTCCGTGAATCTCTTTCTGATTTTAAAAAAAAACATGTTCCCTTTGCAGCTAATGATGTGATGACAATTGTGCGCACTTCTTTTGTGTACCGCGCATCAGACATGTTCTGACTGTGCGTCTACCCAGGGTAACATCATTTACCTTGCTATGATCACATCTCGCGTCCCAATCCTTCCTCCTCTCACCTCCCACATAGAGGGCGGTGCTCCGCCACTGCCGTTCTCCGACATCTTCGACCTCGGCTACCTCATGCGTGCCACACAGACGCCGATACTCGAGTGGCATCAAGTTAAGGAGCTCGACAATTACACGGTGTTCGGTGAGACCGACGAAATTGGGTGTTGGAATCTTTGGGAGGTCGTCAGCGCTTCAACTGAACCTCGCGGGAGTCGCACAACGACGGTGTTGAATCTAGGTTAGCAACAGTCTGGTTGGTCTCCTCATGCGCACGAATATTTCTTACTTTGTTTCTGCAGATATATCATACACACGGGCACCGTCGTGGATGAAGATGAGCGACCAGGATTGGAACTCATACGCCTCATTCTGGGATCTCGCGAAGCTGGCGTTCCCGCAGACCCGCAGCGGGACCCTCTCTAATCCAGGGGCACATCCGACACGCCCGTCTGAGCGAAATAATGTTGTACTTCCTCCAGATGAGCAGCTCCTATGCTACGACTATCTGTACTATGCTTGCGCATCTGAGGTGAGAATGATAAGATATATGACTGCGCGGTGCGGCTGAACCCAGCGTATCCTGCTTCTAAGGCATCCGAGTATGACTGGGATTTTAGCCCTGCATGGAGATTCGTCGCCAAGCACTTCCGGTGGACGTCCCGCATGGAGAACCTTGCTCATGAATACGTCCGCCGCGCAATGAGCTTACCGGAGGCCGTACCGATCCCGCCCGTAAGCCCATATCGCTCTCGCATCTTATTTGTCTGACCATTTGCGCAGTACATCTCGCTGCACGCACGACACGGCGATTTCGGTGGGATGTGCGGCGGCAGCGCCCTGGAGGATTGCTACACGCCGCTCTCCGCGTTCGCACGGCGTGTGGACGAGGTGCAGGAGGAGCTGCGCGCGAAGCACGGCATCGATGTCACGCATGTCATCATGACGAGCGACGAGAAAGCCGAGGAGTGGTGGAGCGAGGTCGCTGAGCGCGGATGGTACAGAGTGGACCATGGCCGCGAAAATACCATGGCGCGCCTTGGGACCTGGTAAGTTCCCAGCCTTCGCCTTAATAGGACGAAGGAATTGAACTAAGATTCATGTAACCAGGTATCCGGTCATAGTGGACGCTGTGATCCAATCACAGGGCATCGGCTTCGTGGGCACGGAGTTCTCGACGTTCTCGAGTTTTGGAAGACGGCGCGTAGAGGACTGGAACAATGGCGTTACCAGGACTGTGAAGTGGGGATGGATAGGTGCCGATGAGTCTCACTAGGGTCTTCGGTCGTGATTTGCTCTATACGGGGTCACCTTCGATGTTCCCTTTCTTCTAATATATTCACTTCACTTTTTCGGTCTGCGCGAGCAATCACCGGGGGATATTATTGCTCATGATGCATCATATCCTTCATTAGTCGGATTGAACTTCCATCATATTCATGTGAAAGGATGTACGGTCTCGTCATACACAACTCCACTACAAGTCACCACACGTAGAGCCATACAAACTTGACTTGTCACCACCGGCTTTTGAGTAGGTGGGAAGGCTGATCTTGGGTATGCGGACTACTGCGGGCGCCATACACACTGTCAATGGTGTCGGCTCTATATGATTCACCCGCCGATCGATCAAGCGACAGACCATCCAGCAGCTGGTTCCCGTCTAAAGCACAATCGTGGTATTACTGACGACAGATGTGCCGTGCTGACGGATGGTCAGACACAGCCGGGCGTTTAAGATACATACAAGTATGAGAGGGTGCAACATTGTGGTCTACAACCTGGGAGTGTTAGTACAACGTTATAGAGTCATCCCACCGGTGGGTACAAATTCAGCATTGGAGAAGGGTATTATACACTGCGATAATATGTTAGTTCGCGTGGTCGGAGGAAAGGACGCCACCACGTACTCGTCATCTGCAAGCAGAAAGAAACAGGTCAGGACAGCTATCAGAAGTGGGCAGCGGAGAGAGGGCATGCGACATACCGTGGTACAAGAATTGTGTCTGCAAGCATGATAGAGCGATGTCAGTAGCGCTAAAGATAATGCTGTGAGAAACTGACCTTCTTCGGATTCTCTGGAGCATGCGAGACGTAGCGATCGTTATCTGGAGGCCTAGAAGAATAAATATCAATAACCACAATAACACGTTCAGAAAATGCGTGTAGCATACCGCTCCTTCTTCTAGACATATGAGGTGCGCTTAAATCACGACCATATAATCAAATAAAGGACGCGCACTCACCTTGCACGATGCAAGCATGCTCTGCAGCGTCACACACACCGCGATAACGCTCAGTACAGGCGACCACTCATTGCCTAGGATGGATGCACATATCTGGGTGAAGCGGCTCAGTACTCCGCGGGTCGGTCCTGCTAACCACTTACATGGCCATTTGAATATACATGCTGTGACCGCCCAATCAGTACAATGAGTGAGAGACCGCATATCTGAGAGACTCACCGGATGCACTGGTGCTTGAAATTTCTCATCTACCACGAACTGCACGGCGGGGGACGATATGGGATAAGAGCTATCGAAGCGGAACTTCAGGGCGAACACCTCGCCCTGGGACCAACAGCAGTCAGAGCATATTCTTGGTTGTTGGAATCATAACTCACCTCATATTGCGTCTCTCCCAACACTTCTATGGACAGAAACCACGTCTGGAAATCATCCGCGCTGAGTAACTTGATACCTGTGCTCCGAGATTAGCATCGGACCACAGTGGGGTCAGATGGTTTGTTGCACACCGACTGGAGTCCCCTGCGTCTGGATATCCTTGAGCTCCTTCTGCAATCTTCTGGTTGACACTGCCATAGTAGATGTCCGTCGTAGACTGAGACAAAGTAGCGTAGTCCCACAGCCACCGCGGAATGCGCAGGTCGCCTCCGCCACAAGCCAAACAGATGCAAAGCGCCCGCCCGGTGTATAAATTCGGGCAGTAGTCCGAGTCCTGTTCTGCTTCAATGTCATTGTCATCTCCGCTTTAGAGTCACTTGCCTCCCGTCGTCCTCAGGATAACCAGGGGATATGCAGGCGCTCGCGGGGAAGAAGACGAATTCTTGCTTTTTCTAACTGTTGGTTCGTGCTTTCTCCTCGACCATCGCAAGATCTCGCAAGGAACATCCCCAAGTTTTTCTCGTGTTGACGGCGTGTATGGAGCGTAGAAGATCAACTTGTTGTATTTTACGTGGTATACGTTTTTTTCCATTAGACGAGATCTACGCTGCTGCCACCTCTTCAGCCTGACTCTTCTTTATACGCGTCTCTTTGTCCTTCGTGATTTCATCCAATATCTCTTTCGCACCGGTGTTAATCAGTATCCGCGCGAGCTTTACGCCCACGTTTTCCGCTTCCTCGACGGTTACCACTTGCTCCTCGACAGTATGCTCGACATGTCGATCTCCAAGCAGTGAGGTGACACATCCTGTCAGCACTAAGACACCACCTGCACGCCCTTCGGTTTCCTGCAGCTCCGTCGATACACCCACCGGGACGCTGCACCCGCCCTCAAGCACGCGCAGACATGCGCGCTCGGCGCGACATGCCCACTCAGTCTGCCAGTGCGTCACCGCGGCGCACAGTGCGCGTGCTTCCGCATCATCCGAACGAATCTCTATCGCAAGAGCACCCTGCGAGACAGCGTGCAGGAGTGTGGGTGGTGCCAAGTCGGCGGTGACGCGGTTGCCCCACCCAAGACGCACCATGCCGGCCTTCGCGAGAATGAGCGCAGCGTAAGGCCCGTCAGGATCGTCGAGCTTCTTCATGCGGGTATTTCTGAACGAGACGTAAATCAAGCGATAGACTCATGCGGAGTGTACATACAGGTTACCGCGCTGCAGAGGGGGTCTGTTAGGGATGCAAACGAAATCGCGAGGGATGACCATCGGGACGTACCACGTCTCGGAAGACAAACTTTGGAAAACGCCGCTTAAGCTGGGCGACTCTCCGCACGCTGCTCGTGCCAATCACGCTGCCGTCCGGGAGCTCCTCCAGGCTATTGTATGGCGTGTCCTTGCGTACGACCAAGCAATCCACGGGATCTTCGCGTTTCAGCACGCCGGCGATCTCGCACCCCTCGGGCAGGACGGTGGGCACGTCCTTGAAGCTATGCACGAGCATGTCCACTGCGCGCTCCCGCAGCGCGACCTCGAGCTCCTCTGTCCACAGTGCCTTTCCGCCGATAAGGTAGAGTGCTTGCGATTGATTGTGGTCCCCGCCGGTCGACATGAAGGATGTCGCGAAGGTGGTGGACGGGTGTGCTGCGGCGAGCGCATCGCGTACGATGTTTGTCTGTATCTGGGCGAGTTGCGAGGCGCGTGAGGCGAGCGTGAAAGTGCGAGGGCCCCCGCTGGCCGCTTCGGAGGATGCAGAAGTCATTTTTGATACTCGCCGGTTTGAGCACCGCGTGTTGATTTCCGAATAGCCAAGTGCAGTAGTCGTGACGCTTTCTATGAAGATCAAAAGTACCAGAGAAAGCGAGTGCATACAGCCTGAGATATCAAAAATCGAGCACGTGACCTAAATGAATGCTTACGCCGCGCCGTGGGGCGGCTTTGCTCGGAGCACATCTTTCTCATCGTCCACCATGTCCGCAGTGTCCTTTGCATCATCGTCTTTGCGTGCGTTGAAGAGGGTTCCAAAACTCCGGGTCCATGCAAGAGCCACTTCGGCTCTTCATTCGTCGTCGCGAAGTCTTTCTGCAAGTGTACTTCGCACAGCGAGCTTTTACCATGGCTCAACACTTGCTACCGCGTCGACCACTCGCAGCGGGAGAACACCAAGCAAGGAGCGCCCATTACATCGTGTGTGACCTTCTGTATCCACCGCTATCGAAGCTGATATCTTGCAGACCGATCTATGTTTATTCAGACAGAGACCACACCTAATGAAGACTCGCTCAAATTTATTCCCGGCGTACCAGTAATGGAGGACGGCAGCGCAGAGTTCCTCGACACGCGCACGGCGCTCAAGTCTCCGCTCGCTATCCGGATAATGGGCGTTGAGGGCGTGACAGCCGTGTTCTACGGTCCCGACTTTGTGACCGTTTCGAAAGATTCTGAGACGTCGTGGTCCGTCATGAAACCGGAGATCTATTCGATCCTCATGGAGTTCTTCTCGTCGGGCCAGCCGCTTTTCCGCTCCGAGGAAGACCGCGAGGCCGCGGGCCCACAGGACACACTTATCCTGGACACGGATTCTGAGACAGTCGCGATGATAAAGGAGCTGCTGGACACGCGTGTACGCCCCGCGATCATGGAGGACGGCGGGGACATCGAGTACAGGGGGTTCACCGATGACTGCCTCGTGCAGGTGAAGCTGAAGGGCAGTTGTCGCGGATGCGACTCAAGCACGGTGACGCTTAAGAGCGGTATCGAGCGCATGCTCATGCATTATATACCCGAAGTGAAGGGCGTGGAGCAGGTGTGTGTCGCCGTTTAGTTCACGTTGGTCTGTATGCTTACTTCTCGGCGCAGGTGCTCGACCAGGAGGAGACTATTGCGTTGGACGAGTTCCAGAAGTTGGAACAGCGTTTGTCACACGAGCACAAGCCAAGAGATTCGAGGTGAGAGCTATCCTGAGTTGTTGTTTCGTCGTCGTTCATCTATTTTCCAGCATGGCGCAGTACATGTCTGTTTAGTTCGCACACTACTCGTAGAATAAATATCACATGCTCTAATAGATCGTTACATTGTATTTTTATTGCATTTTACCACCCCGAAGTACTTCACTGCAGATGCTCGTCTTGCACGTGCTAGTAACGCGATCGTTCTTGCTTTGCGGCAGCTTGCACCAAACCTCTGTCAGTGTTACTCTGTATATTAACTGGCGTTGACTTCATTGCTGGACGCCTAACGGCGACAAAGGAAAGTGCAATCCACCCTTTTCCGAGAAGCGAGATCATATTATAAAGGACCGGCGGTAGCAAGGTGTCTCCCCTTGTCCCCTTAGAATATGGAAGAGCATTTGTGGCCAATATTTCCACCACTTTTACTGGTGCTCTCCCTCTGGCTAGTATGGCGAATATCCAAACAGACAGTGCAGCAACCCTCTCTTCGCTCTGTGGCAATTGTGGTTCTGGGAGATATTGGCCGCAGTCCCAGGATGATGTACCACGCCGAGAGCTTTGCAACGATGGGCTTTGAGACATTCCTTGTTGGTTACTCTGGTATGTCTCTACCTCCCTAGCCTATACTTCGGACATGCAATGAATATCCCGGGAGCTGGAAAGAATGACAGGACTTGAGCTTTATGCGCTATTTATTGCATGTCCGGAGTGGTGCGTTTCATGATCGCGAAAGCAGCGTCTTACTTTCTACAATTGTCATCGTTTGAAGGCTCGAAGCCCATTCCCTCTCTCCTGTCCATACCCCACGTAAATTTCCTTTACCTCTCCGCTCCGCCCGCCTATCTCGCCTTGCTTCCCTTCTGGCTCTCCGCGCCACGCAAGGTCATCCACCAGGTCGTCAGCATCCTGCACGCACTGCTCGTCAGTATACCAAATCCTCCCGAGTTCATCGTCGTCCAGGTGCGTTAAGGGCACCCACACTGCAGCCGGACACTGAGCGGCCGCTGACAGAATCCTCCTAGCATCCCGACACTTGCGCTCGTGTGGTTCGTCGCGAAGATCCGCGGGAGCAAGGTCATCATCGACTGGCATAATCTGGGTTATAGCATTCTTGCATTGAAGCTTGGCGAGCGTCATGTATTCGTGAAGATCGCTAAATGGTGCGTCGTGCTGCCTGATATCTTGGTGTATCACACGATGCTACGATATTCCCAGGTTCGAGCGGTATTTTGGACGCTCAGCATACGCGCACTTATTTGTTACGCATGCAATGCGCGAGTTTCTCGTCAAAGAATGGGACCTAAAGTACGTTATCATTCATTTAGGTCATCTCGCCACTTAATTTCTTTAGAGGACACAAAGCAGTCCTGCATGACCGCCCTCCTGCTCACTTCCATCGCGCTTCTCCAGCAGAGATCCACGAGCTCTTCCTGCGCCTGGCACCAGCACTCTCCACGCCCTCCCTGACATCTTTCCTGCCACCATTTTCTCCGCCGTACTCTACGCCTTTCACTGCAACCCCTACTTCGTCTACACTTACTTCTATACCGCAGTCCCCTACGCCCGACCTTTCAGAGCTTTCGGATACCGACTTCGCGCTGGGAGGAGCCGCAGCGCCGACACTGCGCGCGGATCGTCCCGCCCTACTTGTGTCCAGCACGTCCTGGACGCCGGACGAAGACTTCAGGATGCTCCTCGCCGCGCTGGAGATGTACGAGCGGCGCGCACGCGCCCGCTCTCACGAGCAGGCGCGGGAGAGGCGCCTCCCAAAGGTGCTCATGGTGGTCACGGGGAAAGGCCCGCTGCGCGCCAAATATATGCGCCGGATCGAGAAAATGCAGAGGGGCGACGCGGCACAGGAGCCGTGGCGGTTCGTGCGGTGCATAAGCATGTGGCTTGAGGCGGAGGATTATCCGCGTTTGCTCGGTATGCATATTCGACACATCGGTGTTCGCGCTCTGACGATTGGGTCTTTGATTAGGATCGGCGGATCTGGGCATCTCGCTGCACTCGAGCTCCTCCGCGCTCGACCTGCCGATGAAAATTGTCGATATGTTCGGGTGTGAGCTGCCGGTCTGTGCGCTTGGCTTCGCGTGGTAAGTGTGATAATTACAGATCTCCATCACCCAATCTGACCCAAGCGATTAACGCACGAAGCCTAGACGAGCTCGTGAAAGACGGGGTAAATGGGCTCATCTTCAACGACGCTGCCCAACTGGCCGACCAGCTCGAGGTATGTCGCGTTTGTGTCTTATATGTTGCACGTCATCTCACGTTCTAATGTAGACCCTTCTCACGTCATATCCATCCTCGCATGCTCTCGCTACCCTGCGGGCGTCCCTCGAGCAAACTCCCGCGGCAGGTACACCCTCAGATGGGCAGCGCAGAGCATCAGGCGCTGAACACTGGGAGTGGGGTACGTGGTCGCAGAACTGGAACAGCGTTGTGAGGCCGCTGGTGTTGAGTGATGTGGGGGGAGGCGATGAGATATAAGATATCACTATGTATCTCGGACATGCGAAAGGTTGTGCTGGCACTGTCTTTCTTTGAATATTGATCCTCGTATCTACCTCTGACTGCCGTGGGATGAACCCATAGTGGATCGGTCCCTCCTCCGTATTAGCCTTTGTCCGATCTAGCAGGAAGATTCGCAGCAATGACACCTGCAACATGTGAGCAGTAAGTTCAATCTAGTAATATTGGTATATTAAATGGCTGCTCGTTCGCACTGTACTGAGAGCAGGTCTGCCAACAAAGAAATCGAACAGTGTGCATGCTCTAATTTTCATTCGCGAAGTGGGTCGCATTCGAGTTCTGTGACATTTTCGTGGAAGTCCTGCACTTGTAAATTGGTAAGCCTAGACGAGTGTGCGACCGAGATCGAAGTGAACGAAGCTCCAGGTGCAACACAGCACCATAGCATGTCATGATTGGTCCGTCGTGTCTAGGTCCGTTCAAAGAACCTTATAGATCAAGAATATACTGATATGGCCTCGCGTATGCAGAGCCCAGTGTAAAATAGCGCGTGGGAAAGTTTTCACCAAGGTGCAGCGCAAGCCAATGCTTGAAGTTGTGCAACCTCATAGGAAGGCTTGCGCCTGCAGCTTCCAGATGCGGGCATACTCCCCATCACGTTTCAACAGCTCGTCGTGCGTGGCAGCTTCCACCACGACCGAGTCGTCCATATATCTGCGCCAAAAATTTTAACAAGTAACGTCGACTCCATAGTGAGAGCACCCACAAGATCAGATCTGCATGCCGCGTGAGGCTCCCGAAGCGATGTGAGGAGAATAGCATAGTTTTGTTCCCCCGCAGTTCGCGCAACCGCACGAATAGATCTATACCCACGCTTAGATGATCAAAACCTCAAAAAAAGATATAAACATTACCATGTTCCGCTGCGGGATCCAACGAGGCACTTGGTTCGTCAAACAACAACAGGCCCACAGTCGAGTCGTCCGGAACTACCGAACGCATAAACGTTCGCGACCTTGCACAACGAGTGAGATATCATTCCACAGCCTACCGTTAAATTCACTCACACAGCCAGCCGTTGCATCTGCCCACCACTCAAAGTCGTATTCGCCGTAGCAGACATGTTCCCTGCGCTACGCACTGCATTGAAGTCGATACTGCGGCCGAATAGCGTATGCGTGCCCTCGGGAATCCCCGCATAGTAGTCGCGCACCGGACGCTCGAGGTACGTCTCGAACCCGTCGGGTAAACGCTCGATGAAGTCTTCCGCGCCGCCGAGCTTCGCAGCCAGCCGAATGTGGTCTTTGTCCCCGGCATGCGCAGGATTTCCCAGGCCGATGTTCTCCCCGATCTACTCCAACGAGGGTAAGATGGGCGGAAAAGCATAAAGAAGCGCCGCGAAGGACACTCACTGTGAGCGGAAAATGGGTGTAGTCTTGGAAGAGTACGGACATAGCCTGTCGAAGGTCGTCAAGCTTGAGCGTGCGGATATCCTTATCGTCCAGGAGGATCTCCCCCTCTTGGGTATCGTACATACGTGCGATAAGCTTCAGAATTGTGCTCTTCCCTGAACCATTTACGCCAACAATTACCTTGAAGAGACAGGATGCATAGAGATGTGTGGCGGAGAAGAACCATTAACAAGGGGTTTTCACTTACACAGAGCTGTCCCGGCAAGACCTTGAATGACACATTGCGGATTGCAAAGTCATCCGCACCTGGGTATTGGAACGAAACGTTCCTGAGAAAAAGTAATGTACATGTTCCTCGTCAAAATGCTGAAACAGTGTAGGCTAATGCAATGACGAGCATACCTGAACTCCAGCGAGATGCCCGCCTTCAGCTTCTGTGTGTCTTCTGGGAATGGCACATTGCCGTCCGGGATGCGATTCGGTATATCAACTACGTCGTATAATTTACGTACGGTAGCCAGCTGATCCGCGATGGAACCGAACTGCTCAAAAAAACGGTACACAGTCCATGAGAAACTTGCCGTAGTCTGCTGGATGAGATTGAGCGAGGCGAGCGAAACAGGTAAGTAGGCAGGCCGTTGCACTGCGCGTAGTGTGAACACAATCTGAAGTAACAGCTTTAGTCAAAAGCAAGATATCATTCAGAACATATACGGAACCTACTTGGGGCAACTCACGCAGAGGATCTTGAATCAGCGACGAGAAGGTGAGCTTGTCGCGCGACCGGCGATTACGCTGCAACTCCCAATAGTCACCAGCGTCGTCTCCTACCCGCGCAACAGCTGCCTGAAACTCTGGATGCAACTGCGTGAGCGGACATGAATCAGTTGTCTCCAATATCAAGTCCTACCTGATAGGGTATGTTGGGCAAGATTCCCTGCTACAAACTCCTGGCGATGTTCCATGTCATTGACGACATGTTTTAGACCTTGGATTCGGATATAGTCCTTGTTTTTCGTTGTTGCAGCCCACACTATAAAACCAGTCAGATGAAGTTTACCAAATATGTTGCACCTATACCTCTTGCGAAGCCATATGCCTTCTGCACGTGCAACCAGCCAAATACTGATTGTGAAAAGCTAAGAATCGCAAGCAGCGGCCCATCCGGCTGGTCTCTTAGAACGCTCGCAAGTACAGAAACCTGCGAGATGATCTGTATCGCGGTGGATATTGCACCAGATACCATGGTGAACGTATCCCACGCTATGCTACGACCAGACGAGGCTGAAGCCTCTTCTAATTGGCGCTGGACGGCAGTGTCAGAGAATGTGGGAAAATCGAGTCGGGCCCGGGCGCGAAACAAATGTACAGAGTAATGTTGCTTGAGGCGGGCGTTCAAGGGGTAGGAAAGGCGACTCTTAGTGTAGGTCAGAAGACGAGTTGCCAAAGCACAACATATTCGGCCGAAAGATATGTGTAGGAGCAGATCCTTGTCAACTGTTCGTGTGTCAATCGCTACTTGTACCTGAATGTAGAGTTGTCTAGTGCAGTGAGACTGATAAACATCAAGATACTCACAATATTGAGTAATCGTGACGAATACCTGGAATGGCATTAACACACGATCAAAATCAAACAACAACGTAAGTCACCATAGTGTTGTTGCAGGGATCAGAGAGCTCAAGAACTCTACGATGACGTAGAAAAAGAGGAGTTGCCAGCAATTGCGGATGCTAGAGATGTCCTTCATCATTTTCCAAACATATGGGAGGCTCTGGCTCATCTCTAGATATTGTCCTAGCGTCGATGAACCAGGAATATGCCATGAGAACTCCGTCTGTTTCTCTTCGTAAAGATCCCACACGCCGATTTGGGTGTGTTTAACACGTTTGGCATCTTCGGGATCGAATGTTCCCTGGCGAGTGCTGCGACCTCGCCGGGGCTTCCTCATATGCTCTAAAGTCCAGTAGTAAACGCAGATGATCTGGTGTTGTTCCCTCGATACCTCCTTCTAGTATCCTGGTGAAAAGTCATCGAAGTCAAGTCTGTCAACAGGCTATGCTTGAAATTGAACACAAGTTGCGTACCGGGCTCCTCCGAGAGACGATTACTCGACAAGCTGTACAATGGAGCGCTCCCTTTCAGCGACGCTCGATAATCGCTACTAGGTTGTGGTACTATAGCTCAGGAATCAGGATCAAAAGCAAATCAAGCAGAGGAATCGCTATACACGTGACCGAGAGGTGCGCTATACCAGCTCACTTGCCTAATGTGGATGTGCAGTGAGGCATTATCGCATCCGTGTCTGGCTTTCACCCTTCCACAGCGATAGTCACAACTCCCAGCCCTCCAAATTCTTATGATCTGGATTGACACTGAATTCTCGCCTTTGGAAAGCTCAGCGTGGTACTTATTTTGCTGACACAAGTCCACCGTGAAGACTCGACCCTTGGTAAGTACCACAGAATTTCGCTGATGAGAATTATATGGAGAAGGCGGGTAGGGTGTTCGTATCATGCCAGGCCGATGAAGCCGCGCGAGCCTTTAATGCCGTGACTTCCAGCGTGGCATCATGCACTTCTCCCTAATCTTATGGAGGTAGAAGTTTCAGATCTCGCAAATGTCTTGCGCGCCGGCCCCCTCCACGGCTATTAGGCTAGAATCTTATCGATAATTCAAAGCCTTACGTTGATGAGTTGTACACGCGCGTGAAGACGGTGCGTCAGGTGTGAGATTCTCAATGGGATGTGATAGAACCCAGAGGATAAGATTCCATCGGGAGGTATGTCGCTAGTTATTATGCACTTTTAATGCGACACTGATCAACTACAAGGATTATCAGACGCCTTGCAAATGGCCCTTCAGAAGTGGTGTGGCCGTGCAGGCGGTCTCAGTCAAGTGACGGCGTTAGCGTGACAAAATGCCGTGTCACTGATTGTGACAGTGCTGTATCTATATTTGCCGCGACGGCGACAAGCATAAAAGGTTCTGCGCCATTAACATCCAATAATCGTCTCCTTCTCTCTGATCTTCAGGTGTGTCGCTGGTGATCATGAATAATGGTTGGTATACCACTGCGTGTCAACTTGAATGAACCGACTTACAGAGCCTTCAGGTATTTGTCAATAATCAGAAATACGCGTGGTATGCATGTCCTTCTGACCCTTGCATCGTCCACACACGGAATTCACATCGCTGTTCCTCTTTAGCGAGTCCTGCATCAAAGGACACCGTTCGTCTTCATGTAATCACACCGACCGCCCCCTGTTTGAGATCAAGAAGAAGGGACGCCCAGTTTCGCAATGCGAGAAGTGCCGGGAGCTCCGGAAGACGAAGCGCGCGCACAACAAATGCGCCTGCGATTCTGCGTCGTGCTCAGCTTCAGGCTCTTCGACTGCCGATGCCAACCCTGCCGCTCAACAAGCCCCGTTGAAACGTGCGCATCTGTTATCCTTCACCGTCAGACATTGTGGAGTTGTTGACGTTGGATGATTAGCCATTGGTAGATTCAGACCTATTGCACCTGCATTGCCGAACGGTCTCAAGGACATGTATACCGGTTTGGACGAAGTCTCCTTTAAGTCGTCCGCGAAACAGGCCGCAATCAATTTCATCATGTACCAACCTAAGTCTAGCTCGCACGGTTCGTAGCGTTTCTGTTGAGCATCGTATATTGTTTCACAAATTTTGTGCACTTCAGGGAACACTTTTGACTGTCACTGTGATGGTGATGATTGTCGTTGTCGGCCTCTACAAGCCCGCAGTTCGGTCCTTCATCCATCCTCCCTCTGCGCTCCTCAGGAGAAGAGCCCTATAGCACCACGTAATGGATTGTGGGCACTCGCACAGGCGGCCGCTTTTTGCTGCAGTCAGCCGTCTGCCGAAGGTTCTGCTACTCACTCAGAATCTACATCGGCCGAGGCTCATCCACAGGAAAGCGGGAAGCATGCAAGGGGTGCCCTCTCCAGTCGGACCCCATCTCCAACTCTTATACCCGAGCCTAAACGGCCGAAGCATTGCGCCAACATTACTGACTCCTCATCAATCGGCACAGTGATGCGTTCCAACATCCAAGATCCCCCTCTCTCTCCAAGTCACAGTTCACCCTCGTTCACGCCAGCTTCTCGCATGCCTGCTCCAACCTTCCCTCCGATTCCGTCCTTGAGCTTCGCCACGAATGTAGTGAGCGCCGGCTGCTGCTGCACGAACCAGTGTGCGTGTCCAGGGTGCATCGAGCATCGCGGACCAGAGCACGCGGCCAAGGATTTTAACGATTGCAAGGACGGATGCGGGACCTGCGTGGATTACACGGGCGGCGTGGAGCTTCCTTTGCAGGATCCACCTGGTCGCAGCGGCAGCGGCACGCATGCATCTCCGAGCTCAGTTGACAGGTTCTTTGCACATGCTGCGGTGATTCCAATTGCAAGGGCCGCTACCACGCTGGGTTCAGATAAGGGCAAGCAGCGCGAGTTACCGTTACGTCGCTCTGGTGCTGGTGAAGACTGTGAAGACTGTGACCACTCTGAGGACGAGTGTGTTGAGAGTGCGGGATGTTGGTCGGCTACTGCAGAGCAGCAGCCAACTAGACGCGTGGGCGGTGATGCACACTCGGCATCCTCCCCGAACTAGGCGTCCATTCTTGCTTTTCAGGACATAAGTTTTCTCCGGGCCTGTCTTCGGCGAATTAATGGGACCAATGTCCCTTGTAAAACGTATCACTACATCGAATACATGCTATCTATGATTCTGGAATGTACAATTCTCTGCTTGCACTCACGCGCATGGGACCACATCTCATGCTGCTCCTGTCAGGCTACGGGGTCCTCGAATTTTTGCGAGCACGGTGTCGACGGCTCTAATATCGCCCCCCTCTTGTGGTAGACACTCTGTCCAGACTTCGTGCCTCAGGATATCCGTGCCCGTCCCTTTTTATGTATACGTACATGTCACAGACCCGCCGCCGTTAAGTACACCGCGCCTAGTCTCCCGAAGGCAAGCCAACAGTGACTTTGCCGAGGTGGGGAGGACGGTCACAATATGTAAGGTCTGCTTTCGAACGCGCCCCTCGAACCGTAGTCTGAGTTTAATATAGATTTATTTAACAAATCTAATCGACGTTGCGCCTGGGCCAACTCGCGTGGTCTCTCGGACTACGTCGTACCTGCTCCCGCCGGGAGTAGCGAATCCTGCCTTCCGCTTGCCAGCGTAACTGGTAATAAGCAGCCAGGCAGAAAGAGGCTACCACCGCCCTTTCGCACCTACACTCTGCTCACCAGGTGTGTCCCGAGGGCCTGATCCTGCCCGTTCATGCTGACACTCATCTGTCTGGCCAGGCGCGATCTATTTTGGTCTACCCTTGTATATGTAGCAGCTACCGAAAGGCGTAACGAATGAATTGTTTTTGGGGCGCGACAGCAGCCACTCCCGCGAGGCCCGCGTCCGGTTATCTCGCGTCACTCAGAAATTGGAGATTAGATAGCAATTCGCGATGCCGAGACAATGCCGAAGCGCCGGCCGCAATGCCGGCCGAACGTTCCTTGATGGAAAGAGTACAGATTTGCATTGATCGAGATCATTTTGCTTATGTAACTCCGAAATCGTTCGGACCCTTACGAAAGCAGACTACGCCGGGCCCGATATACGCGCGTGGACGCTGGAGTGTAAGGAGGCTCAGGCGGCCCGTCCTCGAATTGTAAGACCATATACTGTACCACAGACGGTGCACTCACAGTGGTCTCTGAGCCTGCCATATCGACCGTGGCTGCCGCCTTGTTGTGCGAGCTCGGGAACGCCGTCGGACAGCCCTGCGGCTGCGCGGCCCCAAGCCTCAATGTTTTAAGACGTCAGCTGGCCGTGCTCACCAAATGAACCGACGACAGATCACGGCGGCGGCGGCGTCGTCGAGAGCTTACAATATTGCCCCACGCGACAAAGCACGCCACTGGTGGCTTGACGCGTCGCGTTATTCTTTGTCGTCACTGCCCACTGTCATTGGTGACATGGTGACATATTCTCCTAAATGCCCACAGAAAGGAATTCATTGATGGTGCGGAATACGAATCAGACAACAACAGGTGGGCATCGTTTGGCTGAGCAACAGCCCTAACGTGGCCACGGTTCGCGCGTTTCTGCGGCTATGATAGGATGGGCCGGGATTGTTCTCCACGCAGCACGCCTTCCAAATTAAACACTTAAGTGTGAACGCAAATGACGACCTCATCGTGCGAGGAAAAACACAACACTGCTATGCAATTGATCACTAATCTTACAAGGTGGACGGACGTATTATTGCTACAGAACCCTAGACCTCCAACACATGCAGCATGGGTTGCACTATGAGGCATCGACGTCAGTCAGCTAGAGAGAATAAACCACGATAACAGACCTACCAAGGACGACAATGATTGATGAGGGATATGAGGATTAATGCACAATAGGTATATTATTGAGGGCCTGCTTCGCCGAGAGCCTAAGGACGCCAGATAGGGCGACTGGCCTTCTTGGGTGACTTCATTTTATGAATACCATGACGGTCACTCATATCAGAGGTTGAGTGTTCCGTTGGATGCGCAGCAGGCACTTCGGGAAGAATCTGGGGCAAGGTCAATCAGAACAGATATCTCCAGATACCAAAGAATGCGGATTTACACACATGTTCTGAAGAGCGGTGGGGATGCATGATAGGACTGTTAGCGAGCGCAGGATGATCACGGTGTTGTGGAGACATCGGGACATATGGTACACTAGGAAGAACCTTCAAGTTGGTCAGGTACGATGAAACAGCGGTGCAGATCTTGAACGTACGTGTTCCGATGCCTGGTGAGGGTGGTTCACAACCTCATGAATCTCTTCATCATACCTATCCTGATTGCTCTCGTGGTGGTGAGGTGAAGCCGGTACTCCAAGTCGTGGAACAGCAGGCAGAGTCTGAGCTACATTAGTTAGCTGTCTCATAATAAGGCGAACTACATACATGGTCTGAGGCGTGATGATGATGGTTTGCCACCTGGGAAGGGCTCGTGCGGCCTTGCGAATAGGAGGAATATACCGGCGATTGGGAAGGTGAACGAGAAGGTGAACCCGAAGGTTCAGATTCCCTCACAAATTCGGATGCAGAATAAAATGCCATGTCTGCAAGTGAGAAAAGCAACGAATGCGTTCTGTCTGTCGATCCCACCGTTCTTTATATGCAACCCCCAGGCTTACAAGCAATGCAAGTTCCGATCGCGACAAGACCAGACTAATGCTAGAACATGTGGAGCTCGTACGGATGTACCCGGGATACAAATGCCTCCATCCCGTCTGGTGGATGTCCAGACACTTCGGGTACAGAATGCGGACAACGATGACGAGGGTTGGACGAGGGGCCACTGATCGGTCAGGCCAGCTTCCACACAAATCAAATCCGCAATTGAGAAGAATCGAGTCATGTTACCAAGGTATGCATCAGTCCGCTGTAGTACAATAATTTACCATATGTCATACACACATGAAGAGGATCAGATGCCAACTCTACGGCGCGGAGTCTGCGTCACACGAGCACCAGCCCCGATGCCAGTGTGCCGCGGTGTACCCGGTACGATGATCTTCGAATTTGACCCGCTGGCAATCTTCACTGCCAGAGCTTCTTCTTGCGCTTTCCTTGCGCTCCTACGTCACCGTGAGTACAGTCAACGAGACTCAAAGCTACACTCAACCACTTACTCAGCTCGCTGTTTTGCCATCTCGCTCTCCAGCTCTGCCCTTTTGGAGAACTCACGATCTGCCACACGCCGGTTACCGCGGTCATCGAAATTCTTCTCCTTGACGGAGTAGAATACGGATCCAAGATCCGCTGCACAATCAAATATGAGCCTTCCTTTCTGAAGGGTGGAATGACGAAAGCATACCCAGCCAATATGCATCCACGGCTGTGACTTGAGTCATGTACTCCTTTGACGTCAGGATGAGCTCGTGGTATACAACGTATGTCGGTGTGTCTAGAACGAGTACTATGAGTACGCTTAGGAGATAAATCGAAAATGTACTAACAGCCCAAGCCATACAACGCGCTCGTAGGATGTAAGTGGGTGGGTAGACCCGTCCGGATGTTGACGAACTCGCCGATACCCTTCACCCGGGCAGCCTGGTGGAAGTAGCCTGCCGTAATTGCTTTTCTAGACAGACTTTAAACACCCCATCCACTTAAAGAACGAATCAGCTTACCTGATAACATCGAAATCGGTACCGGCGGAGATGAGCTCCATCTTCTGGAATTTCATGATGTCTTCCAACTGGGCGCGCACTTCACGGGCTTTCCGTAGAAGCTTTGGATGTAAGAAGTGGCGCATGCACCAGTCGTCCCGGAAACTGTACAAGAGAAGGAACCCGGGATGAGCCATTATTCACGTCAAATCCAGAAGTGACAACCTACCCATGGCTCTTCCACTGTGTAAAGACATTCAACAGAGTCAAATGGTCACTTTCAGGTACGTTGAACTTCTCCCGTGCAGCATCCGACTCTTCCATCCGCTCCTTCGGACGGTAGAACACGCTTGGCACCGACAACATCGACACGATCGTCAACATCTCTGCAGAACACTTGTATTCCACCGAGACGATCAGCATCTTCGCCATGGACGGCTCCATAGGGAACTCAGACATCTTGCGGCCGCTGGGGGTCAGGTCACCAACGTTGTCCAAGGCGCCAAGCACCCACAGCTGATACATCGAATTCAACATGTTTGCCTGTGCCAAAGTTTGTTACTGAGCAAGACCCAGGGTGTCATCCAACTGACATACCTGTGGTGGAGGATCCATAAAGTCGAACTCCAGCAGGTTCTTCACCCCAAGAGATTTGAGGAGAAGGACGGTATTCGCCAGATTGGTTCGTTGTATCTCGGGGATGGTATTTGCGAACATTTCGTTGCGATATGCCATCTCCGTATACAACCGATAGCAAAAACTGGACGACACGGATGAACCTCAGTACGTGAGGGGCGTAGCACACTTACAAGGTATTACTTACCCGCTACCAGTACGTCCAGCTCGTCCGGTCCGCTGGTTGGCATTGGCTTGACTGATCGGTGTGATCTGCAACGCATCCATACCGACTTTGGGGTTATAGACCTTCAGCTTTGAGTAGCCAGCGTCCACAACATACAAAATGCCATCAACTGCAACGTCAATGCATAATCAGAATACGAATCTGATTGATTCATGAATGTAACGCATACCCGTCAGAGATGTCTCAGCGATATTCGTGGCCACGATGACCTTGCGCCGCCCATCACTGGTCGGCTCGAAGATCTTCGCCTGCAAATCGGCTGGCATCTGCGAATAGATCGGGAGAACGGAGAGCGGCGCAGGTTCATCCAATTGAGCAAGCCGTTCTGTCGACAGCATAGAATAGTCAGCTATCATGACCATAGATTTATGCTCCAAGCATACCCTGTACGACTTGGCACGTCACCTCAATGTCCTCTTGGCCAGTCATGAAAACGAGAATATCTCCGGGTGGCAACGAGAGATGTATTTGCAGTACTTGTTTCACGGCGCTGTCGACATAGTCTTCGCAAGGCGACTTGGAGTGGAAAACTTCAACCGGGAAAGTACGTCCGGGAATTGTGAAGGTTGGAGCATTGCCATAGAATGACGAGAACTGCCGACCCATGTTCTCAATCAGTAACCTGCAATCAGCGAGGACTGATGAACACCCACCTTCTCAGCATTCATTGTGGCTGACGTCACGATCAACTTCAGATCTCTCCGACGAGACAGGACTGATACATAATGTCAATATGCCAGTGAAACGTGGATGCCGGCGAATACAACGCACTCTTTCGCAAAAGACCCATCAGCACGTCGGTACTCAACGAACGTTCATGAGCCTCATCCAGGATTATGCAACTGTAACGGTCCAGATCTCCTTCATTAAGCGATTCACGGAGGAGTACACCGTCAGTCATGTCTGAGGGGCATGAAATGAGTAGGCAGACGTCGTCAGGCGTAAATACAACTCACACTTGATTTTGGTCTCAGGTGATGTGCAGTCCTCAAATCGGATAGCATAACCAACAGTCGAGCCTAGCTTGCACTGCAATAAATTGTCAGTCAATAGCCGAAGAACACTTTTAGAGCACGAACCTCCATCTCCTCGCTGACACGCTTCGCGACGGACATCGCTGCGACACGTCTTGGTTGCGTGCAACCGACAAGGCCATAAGTGCAATACCCATCCTCGTACAAAAACTGAGTGAGCTGTGTTGTCTTTCCGGAGCCAGTTTCGCCAACGACGACGATGACTGATAGCACGAGTAAGAAAAGTCAACTGACCGACTTGAGCAAAGTACTTACCTTGATTGTCACGGATGACCCTCATGAGCTCCTCGCGACACGCAAATGCAGGCAAGTACTCGCGCTGCTCCTTCAACGTTCGTGTCCGCGCAAAAACACTCTGGCCTGCCGCCGCTTTCAAGTGCGTCGCAAACTTCGACTCGCCCTTGTAGTCTTCCTTCTCGCCGCTCTTCGCCTTCTGCTCGGCCTCGGCTGTTCATGCCGTGGCACGAAAAGAGTGACTACGTGAATGTCCACCCGAGAGTACGGTAAGTAAGAAAATGGAAGACTCACCCTCAGCCTGAGCCTCTTCATCCTGCACGCCCATGATGTTTCCGAGCGAAGTGCCACCAAGAGCGGCCATTTTTGCGGCAGCCTTTGCTCGTTCTGCCTGCTCGCGCTTCTCCTTCACGAGTGCACTGCCCTTGCGAGAAAACTGTGCCATATCACTTGTCGGATCACGTACGGGATTGATCGGCTCGAGCTGACGCGTGAATACAGTACGCCCATCGAGGAATGGCGGCTTCAGGTCATGCACGATGACGTGCACACTCGACTCAGACTCGTCTTCGAAGTCGAGGTCGATGGTTCTGCGAGTAGCTACACCCGAGGTCAACATCCGGTTTGCTTCCCAGAGGTCGTTGTCGGCATTCTGACAGATGTTAGGCATACAATCGTAGAGACAGGCTTGAGGGGAACTCACGTATTGCGCCTGCTTCGCAGATATCTTCTTGATCTGTTTGTTGACCACTTCCGCCTGCCGTATCGCTCCCAAGTCCTCATACTGGGACAACGGATTGAACTCATCGTCACCCAGACCACCACCTTCCTCTGCACCCATGTACCAATCTCTGTCTAGCCGGATTTGTTCCTCTTCCCACTCATGTGCGTCCAGGCCCAACGCTCCCTGGCCCTCATCCGACCCAGGTGATGCGCGGCGAGGCGTCAGCGCGTCCCACCGCCGGTCTCGCACTCTCGACGAAGACGCTGAGGGAGAAGATGCACGGCGCGGCGTGGCGTCCCAGGACAGATTAGGCACGCGTACGCTGGGTGCCTCGTCCCGTCCGCTTCGTTCGGAGCGTGGCGTAGCATCCCATCCCCGCCTATCGCGATCACGCCGATGGTCGAACTGGCGGTCGCGATTTAAACGACGCTGGAAGTCACCTAGACCACGTGGAGCATCGTCTCTGCGCTCGTTCTGCGCAGTAATTCCTTCTGCACCGCAGTGTCAGTTCGCCGTCGAAAATGTAAGCTAGCCATACATACCCCGTTCTCGGGTACGCCTCCGGTCCTCTAATCGTCTCCGAGCTATCTCGGATAAGCCACCCGGGTGTGAAGGCGTCTCCTCTCCACGCTGTCGTATGTTCGCCATCCGAGACACAGGCAACGCCGGCACTAACACCGGCTGAGCATAAGGTAAGGTCAAATAGAATGTGCATGACACACCTTTGAATACGGGCTCAAACCCATTGTCCAGCCTCGGTTTCTTCCTGCTGCCCTCTCCGTTCACTCCCGCTGCTTCCGCGGCAGCTGCACGCTTTTCCTGAGCAAGTCGGTCGAGACCCAGCACAGACGTGCGTGGGGTGGGTGGCTCGAGTTTCGCAGGTTGTCGGAATGTATGTCTCTGAGACGTATCAGGGCCAGAGACCAAAGGAGCATTGTGCAAAGACATACCGCATCGTTACGCACGAGCCCACCCGCGCGAACGGGTTCCGGTTCAAGCACCTCACTGTCGTGCACCACGATGCCCTGGACAGGTTGTGGGACGTGGCCCGTCGCCTCCTGTTGTGCGTGCGTAGAGATCTCGGAGTGCAATTCCGCGAGGAAAGTGTCTTTGAACTTCCCAAAGGACTTGGCCGCTAGAATGAAGCCATCTAGAGAGGTAGTTTTCGCGATATCTTGGACGCGACGTGCCAGAAGATCGTTTGGGTTCACGGTGTTCAGTGCCCTGGAGACCTTGATAGCAATTTGATGGGTGAAACCGTCGTCGGTGGGAGGGGGTGAGGCCATCGACAATAAAGTCAGCAGTAAAGATACGAAGTCCAGCAAGCTGCACAAAGGCGATCGAGAAAGTGTAAGCTTAGTCAGCACATCCGAATAAGGTCTTGTAGGTTCGTGGCTCTTGTTCATGAGCATTTTATTCGAGCAGAACAAAATCCTTTGAAACATTGGAGAAGCATCGTAAGTCTAATATGAAGTAGTCACTTGAGATTCGGGTGACAGACACATTCATACCCTGTTCTGCGGATAAAACCTTCCACATCCTTGTCTCGTTCCCACCGCTAGAGGCGTATGCACACTGTAAAAGCCTTCACAACGTCCGAACAATTTCAGAATAAATGAATCTAGTGACATAGATTCTCCAGAGCATCGCTGTGCAACAGCGCATCATCACAATTTTGCCGAACTCTTTATCTTCAAACAGCTCATTGAAAGCGGCGACGACTTCCTCTGTCGGCCCTCTAGGTTCGTCCAATGAGGCGGCATTCGTGAGGTTCAATGGAAAAAGAGCGGGAACATTTATGAACAAGAAGAATTGGTCCAGGCCTAATCGGAGCAGTGATAATGGTCACCTGAGATATTGACGCCTAACTATGGTCTTTGGCCTGAAGCCACCACGAAATCAACGTTCAACAATCGATCTTTATTCGCGGTGAGCTTGTCTCAGGAATTGCTTCGGAATCAGCGAGATCGTGGCCAGTTGATCTATGTATTTCAAAGAGACGCCGAATGTCATCCGATGCGAATGTTAAGAACATGTATGTATGCACACCTATAACAAATAAGCAGTTCTCTGTGACTACGAAATACGAGGACAGGTAGAACGTTCAGGCATTCGTTGCGAACTTGGAATCAAACGTCAAATGTCGAAGAGCATCCTCGACGTCGAATATCCTTGTCTTTCCCTTCAGCTTCCATATGAGTGCCAATAGGACCAGGACCTCTTGGGGACGCACGAGCGACATCTTCAGCATTGACCACGCCAACGTACCAATACGCGAGCTTGACAGAGTCCCTCGTCTGTTGGTCACGGCAGCAAACGGTTCCGTGCAATTCTCCACCACGGGCGCTACATCTGGGTAATGCACCTCAACGTCCTCACCCACCGCATCTGGCATCGGCGCCCGAGTGGGCATATGGATCGGTGTGAGACGGCAGCGATACCCTGTTTCCTCAAAGCCCTTGCGCACGGCTGCGGCTGCGGTGTCTTCTCCCTGATCTTTGCGAGGAGCTATTCGTCCTTCTGAGTTATGTGCACGAGCACGACTTTGAGGGGGGTGCTGGGCAAGATCAAGAGAGGTATGGCTCCTGCCGAGATCACGAATCGTCGCGAAGAATAAACTTTTGAGATCGAGGCGGGCTGGGCTGAAACGGTGATGGAAAGTCATGAATAAACTATGAACGTACGGCATCGGGATGCTCACTCATGGTGAAATACTTGTTGAGTTATGCCAGTTAGAGCGGTCAGAACTGGTCAGTCCGCGGTGATAGAGCGCAGGAGCGGGCGAGACGTTGGATTGTATACCACGCAGAAAGAGCTCTTTGCATGCCCACTCGACCAGCCAGTTCGGCAAATTGCTATCTTCTCACGACAACTCAGAACGGACAACCATCGATTCACCTTGAAGCTTGAAGCTTGATCCCGCAGATCCGACGAACAACGCAGTGCGAAGAATGCTTGGTGTTTTATGATTTCTTCAAGCTTCATGGAAATGCCCAGGAAAGGCTCAGAGCCTCGTGTAAAGTGCAAGCATGACTAGATGATGCCATCGACCCAGTGGTTCAGTTCAGAAGCAGGTGGTGAGAAGGAGGAGAAAGGAGATGACGGGGAGGTCAGAAGACCTCGGACAGTATGACCATGATCATGAGCTCCTGCCTCTGCGTCTCTGCTTTCCTCTCACCACCACCACGTCGCCGTCCTCAAATATTTCGAAATCTCTCCTGAAACATTCCAGAGGGCTAGAACATAGCTTTGTCACTGCTGCAAGCGTCCTGAAGGATTCGGTCGAAATTCCGAGGTCACGATCGACCCCCCAAGGTCGTTCTCGGGCGCGTCGTCGACGATGACGACCAGGCCTTCGCGCTCCGCCAGCATACCCATTCCCGCGTCCTCTTCTGCCGCCGCACGTACTCTCGAGAATGTTATATCCATGCCTTTTAGCAACCCTACAGGGTCTGCTCCCGTGCCCGTTCGGCCCCGACTAACGAGCACCATTTCCCGCAGCCCCGACAACCGACGGACCGTCGCTGCCAGTCCAGTGCACACGTCTCCGACGCGGTCTATCGCTGGTAGTTATTCCTCCGCCGTTTCTCTTCTCGGGCGTGGCGGCACCGCGGCGCGACCAGGCTCCAACGCCACCTCGAGCACAGCCCCAGTCCCGACGTTCCAACCGCGTATTATTCGTGCGACGAGTTCGCCGGGATCAGGACCGCGTGACCCTGCTTGTCTTCCGCCGTTGCCAGCGTCGCCCTCTCAGCCACGCCCGCGCCGGCTGAGTACCATCGCGCGCACCGCGAGCACCCCGGCGATTGCGCGCACACACCGCCAGCCGCTCTCCTCCACTCTCCTCCCGCAGTCCTCTTCACTCCTGCCTCCACCCGCCCACTCTCACACCCATACACACACGCATGCACAGGCGAATGCATTCCCGCGCCCCGCATACCTCGAGTACTCCTCTCTCCGTGGCTTCCTCCATACCGAGAGCGGCCCTTCGCTCCCGCCGCGACATCCTCCGCCGGCAAGCGACAGACGCACTCCCTCTCCGCCCACAGTATATCCGTACCTCCGTCGCGAGCTCACACCCGTGGCCGACAGCGACCGCGAAAGCACCGCAAGCCCGCCACCTGCCGCATCCGCGACGACACCTAGCGCTGCAGTTGGAGTACTGGCGGCGAATCCGGTCCTGAGGCTGCCCACGCGCTGGAGCGACCAAGATCGCTTGCCGACGCTCAGTGTGTCTGCGGACGGGCGGGAGTTGACTTTCAGCGGTGCGTATTTTATCTGAGTCTCTATCCTCTTTGTTCTCTTTGCCCCTCAATGATATTGAAAATACTACTGAGCATTTTGGTAAGCTCGGTTGCATGGTATTCTTGCTCTAGTGTTCTCGTGTTAGTGGATGTTATGAATTAGGATGCACAAAGACATCTATGTCTATTTCTCTGGTGAATGGTCCGTGACTACATGCCAAATATTCTTTGGCTAGTAGTCACAGATTACTGTCGTCAGGTGGTGTATTTTTCCGAAGACATTTATGCCTTCAGCCCTAGGTTCTCATCGGTTGGTGTAGGACTGCAGTTCTCGATTCTGGAATGGTTTGTCTGAATGTCGCACATTGTCACGTCTCTCGGCTATGCCGAATTGCGCACACGCGGATGATTATTTGCGCAGGGAATACAGCATCACATTCTGTTCCCCATTCCTGCTCTGCCTTAAGTGCCTGGCTGACAATTCATCGAGGCCCATCCTGTGTCGGTGACCGCGAATCTGCCGCTGCTCGCGCCAACTACGCCATTCCGCCCGCGTGCGGAATATACTACTACGAGGTCGAAATTCTCAACAAAGGGAACAAGGGGTGAGGTTCACAGCACTGTCTTATCTTCCTCCCACTAACGTCTGCTGGTAGACATATCAGCATCGGGTACGCCTAGGCCCTAGTAATGTTGGATATCGCTCATCTTTGTTCGGCGACATAGATTCGCGTCAGGAGAAGTGCGCTTGTCTCGACTGCCCGGGTGGGAAAAGCACTCGTGGGGCTACCATGCCGATGACGGATGGGCCTTCCCTGGGCAGAAAGATGGCAGCCCATACGGACCAACTTTTGACTGTGAGCCCTTCACTATCCTGCAATACTTTAGCTGATATTGGTGTGTCTATAGCGGGCGACGTGATTGGATGTGGGGTCGACTTCAGCCAAAACCGCGCATTTTATACTAAGAACGGTAATTTCCTCGGTACGCACGTTCCTACTTCGACCCGCTCAAGCTCATTAACCTCTCATTACCTGTTTCAGGCAACGTTTTTGACAATGTTGGGAAGGGTCAAGAGTTATATCCGGCGGTAGGGCTGCGCCACACAGGCGAAGCCATCCGAGCCAACTTCGGCGGCGAGCCCTTCCGCTTTGCGATTGCTGACCATGTGCGCGCGCAGCGTGACGCCGTGTGGGATGGCATCATGCGCACGCGCATCGACTGGGGCGCGCTCGGTCTCGGAGGGGAGGTGAAGGCCGAGGGGCGCGAAGACACGGAGGTGCTCAGGCTGAAGGGGCCGGACGGCCTGGGCGGCTCCACCGACGAAGAGGAGGCGCGCGTCCCGATGCAACAGCTCGTCCTCGCATACCTCTCGCACCATGGCTATGCGCGCACTGCGCGTGCATTCCGCGCCCAGTGCGCGCGCACCGCTGAAGAGGTGTTGCGACCACCTCTGCTTGTCAAGGAGGAGGACAATGATGCGAGGGGATTGGCCAAGGCTGAAGAGCAGGAGGAGCTAATGGATATGGACGATGACCCTCTGCCCACCTCCGCGGCCTACACGTTGGCTCCCACCGTGGCTTCTGCGCCTGCGCCTTCCTCCAGCGTGGAAGTGGACCTCTCCGATCCCGAAGCATATGACCTGCAGACACGACTCGCGATTGTCCACGCGGTACTCGCAGGTGACATCGACAACGCGCTCGCAGCCCTACGCGTGTACCACTCCGCCGCGCTTGCCGCGCAAGATGGCCTGCTCCTCTTCCGTCTGCGCTGCCAGAAGTTTGTCGAGCTCGTCTTGCAGGCGGGGGACGCGCTCAAGCGTGTGAAGGAGAAGGAGAAAGATCTTGAAGACGGCATGGCTGAGGATGCGCTCGATGGGACACCAGCGCCAGAGAAAGACAACGAAGAGATGGACATAGACGACCCAGCCCCTACTCCATCTCACGCGAAACCATCAGATTTTCCATCTCCACCGCCCGACACCCCTGCCGTGCTAGCGAAAGCTGCACTACATACCGCACTTTCTTACGGACAAGAGCTAGAGGCCGATTACAAGACTGACGTACGTCCTGGTGTGCGGGCACACTTACGTCGAACGTTTGGCGTCGTCGCATATCATGAACCTGCCCGTGCGGGGGGTGCGATCGGTGCGCTCGCTGGCCAGCAGGCACGGGCGAGTCTCGCGGCAGAGGTTAATCAAGCCATTCTGGGTCCGTCTTTGATCTTACGCTCCGTTTGTGTTCGTTGACTGATGTACACGGTAGAATCACAGGGCCGCCCCGCGCATCCTGCTCTCGAGACGCTGTTCCGCCAGACAAGCGCGACCATCACGCAACTGGGCCTGCTTGGTACCGGAGCAGCGGCGTTTGCGGATGTGCGACGGGAATTTTTGGAGGCTTAAGCCAGATGTTTTCTTGTTCGTTGTGTGCTTACCTGGTTTGTTGTGCTGTGAGGGGTCAGACCGTCAGTGGAACAGCTGGCTACCGTCGTCCTCTCGCATGTGTTGTATGTGCTATTGATCTGTCTAGCGTAAGTTATACTCGCCGTTGTACCATCAGGAAATCTGAATACACCCTGTTGTCCACTCACCTCAAACTACACCGGAGAAGGACGAGATTCACATGGCGTCTCTCGCCACTCATCGTGCATGGATCACATTTTGTCAGTCAACTTGTGCGCGATCATGCTAAATCCTGCAGGCCTGCCAATCGTGAAGATGAATGTGCTTGACTGGCCTGAAGGAGATTGCTGGTTAAAATCCAACCATTGGAGGAAATTATACGGTAAGTCTCTTCTGCCATGTATGTAGCGTCCAGCAGAATAAATGACATTATCTCGAGAAGCCTATGGGATTGATATCATTTAACCTCGCGTGCTCATGAGATACGGAGATCCACCAGACTCACCTTGCCCTTGCTTCGTGGCTCGTACCTAGGCGACGTTCTGTCGCGGTGTAAGTGACCAAGAAATTCCCTTCTTTTTACTTGCTGATTTTTGCATAATCCAGGCAGGTTCCCTGGCGCAAAATTCCAAGAACACTAGCGGCCCAGACGTGCCTCAAACTTACTGGCAGATCATTCTTACCAACACGGGAAGACAAGCTTCGCGAGCAATCAATGAAGAATTCAACGGTATATATTGATTAGTTCCCACTTTATTACCGCAGAACTGCCCGTCCGGTGATTGTTCCTACCATCTTGGTAAGAATAGGTCAAACGTGATCCAAGCAACTGGGAATTCGCTGTGAAGTGGGCCACTGGGAGGAGCCTGTATGGTAGCGAGCCTTGCATGCAACGCAAGTCCCTGATTTTTCAGTTTAACTGACAGCGTATCATCTTCATCAGCAAGTACGGAGGATGCCGCGTGGGTAGAAACTGTCCAGTTCTGTTTTTTCACATTCTAAAGTTCCTCGCCAGGGATTCGATGCTCAGTCGACGTTCTCAACCTTGCCATGCATCCGGATCCCCAGTGGAAAGTGCCAAAAAAAAGAGATCGACGCTGTCGCTGGTCAGGATTACTATGCCTGACGAGGATACGATCGCCTTCCCTTGGACGTTCCCCAACTCAACAGAGGAGTTTGTCGATCTCGGGCTCAACCAGCGCCCTGTCTTCGTGCGAGGCGTGCTTCGAGAAGTACTGCTACAAGGGAAAGGCCATGCTGTGATTCATGGTGTCTATTGAAGGTTGAAAAGAGGGCCTGCTCTTGGGACGGCGACCAACGTGCAAAGTTGGGTAATTATATCAGACACCATGCAGACTGCTTGACCTGTTCATTCGGTTTGTGCATGGGTAGGAACTTTGGTTGTATTTAGTGTATGGTGCACACATTGGACATTAATTACGGGTACGCTACCTTCACACACATATTTACATGTTTTCAGGATGTCCGCAGGAAGAAATTTGTGTGTCAGGAATGAGTACACGGTGTTAGATCTAGACAAGCGTATTATCGAGAAGATAGAAAAGTTAGTCCAAGAAAAATTGAGAAAAACCACAGCACCCAGGATTCCCGCGTGGTCCCCCACCGTGGTACTAACTGGGCGGCACTTCGGTTAACTGCGCAGATCAGACGGGATGCGGTGCTTTCGAAGTCCTATGGCCGTGGATGATTATTTTCCTTGGAGAAGGCTTATAAAGGATGGATGGAGAATCCCTTAAATCACTTAACCTCTCCGGTGAATGTGGTTATAATCTATGGAGGTCGTTTGGTTACGGTTCGTTTAAGGACAGATGCCGTGATGCCGACGCATGGCTCTCGCGTGGTTCATCCAGGAGACCTCAGTCACCTCCTACGGGCGCTAATATTTTTCCTTAGCACCTGCCATTCGTCCCGCACGTCGTGCTCCTCGTGCGTCGGCTCGAGCTCATCGTTGCTGACGACGAGCTCTACTACATGCATGCTCAAAAAATTCTCCTAAATATTTTCATTCTACTAATTACTATGTACATAGCAAGAAGTATTCATCATGAATATGTAAGATACTCTCGGGGTAGATGACCTGGTTCAAGAAGTTGCGCAGTTGCGAGTAAGTACCTGGCCATGGCGTCGACACCGACACCGGGCCTGTGCAGAAGCTCGGGCGGCTGCTGCCCGCAATATGGCGGCGACAAGCTCTCTTATCCACCTCACACCCTCTGGAAACCCTCCTACTGTTGAACGTCGATGGCATAGCTCGAGGCCTTCTTCGAGTGAGAGCGTCTCCTGGACCCATGCAGTCGCGTCTTCTGAGACCCTCACCCATCTCAAGTCCGCCTTCCGCGCCCACGCGTCCCGACTCCAGCTCGTAGAGGAGTGCATTGTCCATCCACTCTGAGATGACGACGTCCACTTGCTCAATCCCATCCGGAAGAGTGATGTCCTCAACCTTCGCTTGAACGACACTGTGCAGGTCCACTTAGTATGCATAACCGGACGGTAATCTCCACAACACGTACGTGATGGTATATTCAAGACCGTTGTTGTTCACGATCCACTCCGCTTTCTCCGCGATGTGAGATGCCTCGACAGAAATCGCACGCTTTCCTCCAGCTCGTGCGGCGAAGAGCGACAGTATTCCTGAGCCGCACTGTCAAGCATCTGCTCACGGAAGGATGGCTGCCCTTATTCGGCGAGATGATCATCAGCAGTGGGAGTCGGGACAGGCCTCGTACTGGACAGGTTCGTCGGCCAATACATTGGCTACGCCCTCGTCGCAGTTGTCGCCACAGGTAGACGTTCTTCCGTCGCAGGTGTTGGTGTATGTCAGTGTGACTGTTGTTGTTATCAGGCCTTTCGGGGGTTGTTGGCTCCGTGTTTGTCTCCCGTCTCTCGACGGCGCTGCACGCAGCGACCTCCGCACTGCCAACGGTCTTGTCCGACCTGCCAGCGGCAGACGAAGCGTACGAAAAGAGCCCGCACCCCAGCCCGCGCCTGGCCATGACCACCCTCCTGCTGATCAGCCTCCCCGTCGACGTCGCGTTCCTCGCGACGGTGTTCGCGTTCGGCTGGCTCCGGCTCTCCTTCCTCTTCATGGTGCTCCAGGTCGTGTTCTTCGGGTTCACGGTGCGTGGAGTTTCCCTCTTACCTTTCTCGTGTGTCATCGGGCCTGATGGTGGGTTTGTCGTATCGCTCTTCCTCGCGCGGGTGACGACGGATTTCCTGTGGACGCGCAACCTCGATCCGGACGTGTGGGTGCTGCCGTTGAACTCGGCGCTGGTGGACCTCGTTGGGCAGCTCTTGCTGGTGTGCTGCTACGAGATCGCGGCGCTGCTCGGCTCGCATGTGCGGAGCTAGCGCGAGCTGCTGCTGCGCAGGCTGTTCGCGAGGTCGCAATCCATTAATCACAGGGCGATGTATGTGGTAGTGTATCTAGAATGATCTAAGCGCGACGGTGTGTCTGTTTACACCTTGATATGAGTACATCGGCTGGCTTGCAGACCCTACTGAATGTCAGTTCATGCAGCATTTCCAGGGGGCATGCGCTGCGGCGTAGGGCACTGTTATGTCTCACAAAAAATCACCTTGAGATTTACAGGGAGGTTCATAATGTCTCCTCGCAAATCGACGACTGCGAGAGACGTGCAGTACCGCAACGCAGGATCTCTGCCAAAGAACGTTGACCTACGACTCTGTGAAGCGCGACATCTTGTCTGAATTCACTACCTCGCTTGCCGGGCACTCTCCTGGTCGTCACTCTCAGCGGAACGCAGGGAGACAGCTCACACAACTGTGACACTCTGGGTACCAAGCTCACAAGAATGGTGCACCATTCACGGGGCATTAATTTGTAAGATATAGCGATAATCTGAATGAATTCATACACCAGTAGCAAGCATATAACCCAAAAATCTTGTACCACCCGCTGTTGTTGCTGCTGTAGGAGGCTCGCGAGGCAAAAATGTCGAAGTTGACGCGGAGATGTCACTGGCCCCGCGCCGCGTCACAAACGCGACGTTTCCTCTCGCTCACTCGTCTCTCCATGGTGATTCTTGATGCCAGAATACACGGAAGTCCTTTAAAATATGCCAAATTTTGAGGGTCTTAATGGTCATGTACCATGGCGTAAGTCATGCTTCACTAAACAGGCCCGGTGTCGGTGTCGACACCATGGCCAGGTACTCGCAACCGCGCAACTTCTTGAACCAGGTTATCTACCGCTAGAGCATCTTACATATTCATGATGAATACTTCTTGCCATGTACATGATAATAAGTGGAGTGAAAATATTTAGGAGAATTTTTTGAGCATGCATGTAGTAGAGCTCGTCGTCAGCAACGATGAGCTCGAGCCGACGCACGAGGAGCACGACGTGCGGGACGAATGGCAGGTGCTAAGGAAAAATATTAGCGCCCGTAGGAGGTGACTGAGGTCTCCTGGATGAACCACGCGAGAGCCATGCGTCGGCATCACGGCATCTGTCCTTAAACGAACCGTAACCAAACGACCTCCATAGATTATAACCACATTCACCGGAGAGGTTAAGTGATTTAAGGGATTCTCCATCCATCCTTTATAAGCCTTCTCCAAGGAAAATAATCATCCACGGCCATAGGACTTCGAAAGCACCGCATCCCGTCTGATCTGCGCAGTTAACCGAAGTGCCGCCCAGTTAGTACCACGGTGGGGGACCACGCGGGAATCCTGGGTGCTGTGGTTTTTCTCAATTTTTCTTGGACTAACTTTTCTATCTTCTCGATAATACGCTTGTCTAGATCTAACACCGTGTACTCATTCCTGACACACAAATTTCTTCCTGCGGACATCCTGAAAACATGTAAATATGTGTGTGAAGGTAGCGTACCCGTAATTAATGTCCAATGTGTGCACCATACACTAAATACAACCAAAGTTCCTACCCATGCACAAACCGAATGAACAGGTCAAGCAGTCTGCATGGTGTCTGATATAATTACCCAACTTTGCACGTTGGTCGCCGTCCCAAGAGCAGGCCCTCTTTTCAACCTTCAATAGACACCATGAATCACAGCATGGCCTTTCCCTTGTAGCAGTACTTCTCGAAGCACGCCTCGCACGCGTGCGTGCGTTTGTAACCCCGGCGAGTCCGCACGCGCTCCATGACTGCACACTTGACGCACGTCCCCCACTCTGCGTCCACGTCGCTAAGGTCGGTGCTGTTCGCACCCGCGTAGCCGCGCGATGCGAGCTGATACCCACGCTCGAAGACTTCGCTTGTGTTCGCGACCGGGAGCTGCAGTGTCGCGGTCGTAATATTCGTGATTCCCGCGGGGTCATCGTTCGGGATGTACACCACCAGCCTGCGCGAACACGTTGCCAGTCAGTCAACATGAGCATTAATTACAAGAGTATCCTCACGGGAAAGCATGGTCGGGGTTCTTGGCCCGCCCGCAGCCGAAGAAGACAGGGCGCTGGTTGAGCCCGAGGTCGACAAACTCCTCGGTTGAGTTGGGGAACGGCCGAGGGAAAGCGATCGTATCCTCCGGAAGGATCTCGCCCTTCGCCTGTGTCGCAAGCAATGAGAGTCCGTTCGGCTTCAAGGAGTCTGTCTCTCCAGACTAATAGAAATGTCAGACGAGTGCATCAGCGAGCACATAGAAGGCCACGCACCGAGTCCGTGACTATGATCACATCCACCGCGCGCTTCTTCACGAGCAGCGGCAGCACTGGGTCGTTCTCACAGTCCAAGCTCCCATCAAACAAATTCAGGTTTGTCTCTCCCGAGTCCTGGTACTCCGAACTGATGCCGTAGAACGGGTTGGGCACGCCTGTCGCGTCCATCTCCTGTCCCGGCTGAGACTCATTAAATGCAGAGACAATTCGCTGCCACAGCGGCTCCAGTGCCTGGGGCGAAGTCCAGATAGGGTTGTTCGTGATGTTGTAGGGGTTGAAGTCGCACGCGGATGTACCGATCATCAGCCCCGCGTTGTCGAACCCGTTTGCGCACATCTTGGGTTGGCCCGCGGCGACGATTGACCCAAGGTATGGCAGGGAGACGAATGCGGCGAGCTGGGGCTCGTACGAGCCGAACCTGGGCACGATGTTAGCTATCTGCAGAGAGCAAACATGCGGAGGGGCTTACTCCAGCGGCGTGACCTCATAGACGACGCTCGTCAGCGGGACGGTACCCGTGGATCCGAATGGCTGGCCTTTGGCGTTCGGAGAGTTGACATTCTGAAGGATGATGGGGAATGGCATAGTGCGATTCTTCCAGACATCCCTGCGGATACCTAGTCAATCCCGACTACGAGATCAGAAAATGAAAACCTACAATTCTGTGGCAGACGAGTAAGTTGTCGCCGCGCCATGGTTTCCCGCCGTTGCGTTCGTCGTAAACGTGCCGGGAGATGTACCAGGCAGGAAGTGGTATGAGAGCTACGAAACACACGAATTCAGTACGAGGAAGGCAAAGTGCCCGCACATCGATAATCACCGCTCGCCCCCACATGTCGCAAAACGAGACAGGAAAGTCGCCCGCGGCTCGCTTGTCCACCAGATCGTACATGATATCACCAATGTAAGGCATCTCATACTCGCCAGAGGGACCGGGCGCATATATGCCCTGATCCAATTGCCAGCCTGGTATGCCCGTGGCGTTGTTCCCAAAGACGAGGTCGGGCAGCGGCGGGAACTCGTTGAACATCAGGCTCGTCGAGACGTACGACCCACTATGAGATTATAAGTGGCTGGAAACGCATAGAGAGGACCGTGCGCACCCCGAAAGAGCAGTCATGTACGTCGCGGACTGCAAGAGCCCGCCGAGCCCGCTGGCGACGCTGGTCGCGTTCCGCGCATCGAACGCGTGCAGCGACGCGGCGTTGAAGAGGGAGGCGCGATAGCCACCACCGGAGAGCGAGAGCGCAATCGTGGGCACTTGGTGGTCCGCGAGGTCGTCAAGTTCGCCATGATACACTGTGTGGTTGCCGGCGCCCAGCCAGGCCTTGAGACCTTCACGCGCGAGGCGTTTACGCTCCGCAACGTAGCGCACTTCGCCCTGTGTGGATGGGTGGGTGATGAGAACGAGTTATCGGAACGAGGGGGGGCTACGTACTGGATGTAGGGTCTGGTTGCGGGCCTGGGGAGTGCCTGCGTGGCGGATAAGGCTTTCCGAGGGACACTGGACGTAGCTCGGTGCATAGCTCGTTACATTTTGAGCGAGGACGACTGGCAATGCACATAGCAAGGCAACGCACGCGCCCTTGGATAGCATGGCGAGGAAAAGGAACGAGAAATGGACTCGGAGTCAATGGGTTTGGTCGACGGGTCATCCTGGCATTCATAGGGGAGTTAAGCGCGCGCTTGAGGCCCGGGGATGGTGGTGGTGATGATCGAACTGTTAGCAGGTTCGGCCTGCATCGCCGCATCGACTTGCGTTGAAACCCCGGTGTTGAGGACTGCAATGGTACCTTTGGTGCCCTGTTTCGTCATGCCCGACCGGGGAAATGCGCCTAAATTGCGCTGGATGAGATTTGCAAAGAGAATCCCCAGGAGGGAAGGACGAAGCAACTTGAAAAGTGTGGCACCTGGCGTATACCGAAGACTCAGAAGTGCATCTGTATGTTTTGACCTTCTGATCGGGGAAATGTTTCAGAATTTTAATCCTGTCCACAGCGGAAAAAGATGAGAGCCACGATGGTGGTTTCGTCCCCCAATCACAGCGCTGGTTAAACTCCGCGGCGTGCCGCACTTTTATTTTCCCGCAGGGCGTTACAGTCGCTTGCAAAAGTCGTGAGAATCCAGTGATTTTTTTTTTAATTTCGCGCGTCGCGAAGTTCGACCAAAGGCGTCACTGTAGCTCATTCATTACTCTAGCTATGTATGTAGTATGTATCGTGTACCAGCAATAAAAATAGCCCGCAGACACCTGTGCAGAAATCAGGACTAACTGTGAACTCGGAGCACCGCGGTGGCAAATTTTGTGTGTGATACACTGTCTCTCTGCTTCCTACTTCATGGCCAGGCACGGACGAAAGTCTGGTCATCTAACTGCTACATGGAAAAAACCTGGTCGACCTCCTGAGCAACCTGCGGAACTTGGACCAGATCCCAAACTTACACATCTGCTTCTCAAATTGCCTCCGCATCTTCCTCCCTCGCGTCCGCCAGTGCAATCTCTCATCGAGAACTATATCAGTCCATCGTCTTCAAGCAGTAACGAGGATGTTCTGTATGGAGCGCAGGTGACACAGGATGATAACGATGATGGCGTTGTTCATAATTCTGACACGGACGGAGATGACATCACTGTTACGGAACCAGCCTCTCAGTCAACTCAGGGAGATCATGGGAAGGTTATAACACCCCTACATGGTATGTCATCATTTATTCGTATTGTACAGGCCTTGATCTACATTCCACACACACAGCACAACCAGTAGAAGTAGAATACATGGTGCCGAAGCATGACGGAAAGGCTATGAAGCGCGTACCGTTGTCTTCGGCCGTAACCTGGGATATTGTCCGCGAGTGGCTGCGCATTGTGATGGGATATGACAATGTTGACGACATGGCGCTCTCGTATCGCCTCTCCAAGGATGCCAAGTCTGTCCGCAAGAGCCTCGAGGATGACAATGACTATCAGGGCATTGTCCAGTCCATGCAGAGTCATCGCCGGAATACCCGACCTCAGCAAGTAATTATATTGGACAACAGTGTATGTATCATCTTCTGATGCTTGCCAAGCTCTCACCTTCCAGATAGGTGAATGATTCAGAGCAGGAGTTGTCACAGCCCAAGGGTTCGCACAAGAAGGCACCTGGGATGAAAGCAGCCACAGTCGCACATGCTTATGCCACTGTAGAGCATCAAAGCCAAATTGATGAAGTGGTGGAGGAGTTGAAAAGGCAGAATCCGAAGTGTAGTGAGCACGCCATGTCGTGTTGGCTAGGGCATCCATCTGGAGAGCACGTCCAGCTCACGGAGATGTGTTTTGCAGCTTGGGCAACTGACATTGTGAGTGCTTCTGTCTTGGAAGTGCACTGTACTCATCTCTTTTCATTCAGGTCAAGCAACTGTCACTTCCAGAAATGGAACGCACAGTGACCTATACCCATCCATCGAACAATCGGATGTTTGATGTACCTCCCTTGTTTCATCATCAGCATGCCCCGTCGGTGTTGAAGGCCCCTTCCACATCTATGCCTGTTCCTCCAATCATTATCAACATGCCTGAGATGTCTGGTTCTCACAAACATCTTATGGTATCTCCATCATCATCTGATCCTGTCAATTCTGCTGATGCTCCTTGGCCATCGCTCACCGACTTTCTTCTGCATGCTGTAACTGTAGACTGTCACAGTCGGAACTATCCTGCATATGAGCCAGGTCTTTGTCAAGCTGACCTTCTGGGCCCGGATGACATTGAGAAGTGTACAGAGGAGGAGCTGAAGAAGCATTGTGATATTCCCATTGGTGCTGGTCGATTCTTGATACATGAGGCTAAACTGGTTTGCAAGCAGATTCAACAACAGGCACAGATACCACAGAAGTGTTTCCGATTTGATTAGAGTACAACTTTTGAATTAGTCTCTACTTTATTGTATATATCCAGTATCTTTGAAGAACCCATATGCATCATCAGGAGTAATATGATCAAGTCCTTCCATCAGAAATATCCATGAATGTGCAGGGCCATTGGTGCACCTCATGGCTGCATGTCCTTCAATGTAGTTTTGTCGTATCCATTCCTTCAGTTCATGGAACAGTTCTTCAATGGGCTGTAAGTCTGGAGAATATGGTGGTAGAAATATGTAGCGCATTCCACTACATCAGGAAAACCCAACTTTTACTTATGGGACTTATTCCGACTTTTTGTCCTTTTTTGCCTTATTTAAGGCCTATAAGTTCTCAAAAGTCAACTTTTAAGCCTCTAAGGAAATATGACTTATGGACTTTTTGTCCTTTTTTACCTTATTTAAGGCCCATAAGTGCATTTAAGTCACATAAGGACACCTTTAAGTAAAAGTTGGGTTTTCCTGATGTATAACCCACCACAGAAGTGAATATAATATGGTGGGAGCTATAAACAACTGACCGTTCTACAATCATGTCCAAAGTCTCTTCGGAATGATGGATGCTCGCATTGTTAAGGAGAATGACACTATTTGGTGCAGGGAAAGGATTCATTCGGTCAAGTAATGTACGAATGAAGTGTCGGAATGTGATTGCATTGAATGATCCTTCAACAATGTTGACATGTAGTACACTATCGAGACTCAATGCGGGCAGAACAGAATATCTACACATACAAATCATCAGCTCGTAAAATGTCCTTATCAGCATACACACCGAATAACCAAATACCACGTTCCAACGGCACTCTCTCAGAAGTCCATACACCACTATAGGACCAGCCGAAGTTCTGTGTCATGTTACGAGTGTCCACCGCAGCCTCATCGACTGACACCAACTGGGCTGCATCATATTGCTGCACCGTATCAATGAAAAGTGCACGCCTTTCGTGGTCACGTTCACGAGCAATCTGAGCAAGCTTAGATAGCACATGAATACATCCCGCATGTCAATAAGTGTCCAACTCACTCATTTATGTGTAATGCCATTCCGATGAAGATACCGGCAAAGAGCAGCCAATGATATGTCTACATTTTGCAGCTCCAATTCTTCCTTCAACTCATCAAGATAGACGTTTGGCTGAATTTCGCAAACCTCCAGAATGAGCTGCAGATCATTTTGAGATCAGTTCATGTCAATGTACAGCAAAACAACTCACCTCAACATCATCTCGGGTGAGTGCACGAGGCCGTCCGCTGCGAGTGGAAGTGTCATTGAAGGAGCCCGGTTCATGTTGTAGGGTGTGATAAACAGTCGACCGCGGGAGGGCTAGGAGGTACTCAATCTCTGAAGCAGCAAATCCAAGGTGAGCAAGATGCAAGACTCATTCGTGAAGGTCAGCAGAATATTGCATACCAGGCATGCTGATCGCACAAGGGAAAGATTAGTGCATCGAGAGCAGTAATTGGGCTGCCGCGGTGCTCCGAGTTCACGGTTAGTCCTGATTTCTGCACAGGTGTCTGCGGGCAATTTTTATCATTTGCATGCAACATATACTACATACACAAGTAGAGTACAGTCGTTTGCATATGAAACCGGAAACACAGCCATGAAATTTTTTATTTGTTTGGGCCAAATATTGCCTTAACGAGTATCACTGAATCCTCACCGTGACTGACCGTCACATACACTGTTTACTATGAGTCCCCAATTATTAGCCAGCAATTGCACAAGCTTATTGCTCACTGGTACCATCATGACAAGTTCCCTGTGTCCAACATGGTGCAGCTGTCTGGATATCACAAATCTACCATCTACAAAATTCTGCAACTCTACCTGGGGGTATTGCCAGGTCTCCAATCCACTTGCTCAACTGCAAGACCACCGAGCACTTGATGCAGGCTGTATTCGCTCTTCTCAAAACAAATCCAGCAATATATTTGGCCGAGGAGTGAATGTCGCAGCGTCCGGCGCCACTACACCAGGGAGCAAGAGAGTGTGACTGATGTCACCGACTCGGTCATACTAAATAAGGCAATATTTGGCCCAAACAAACAAAAGATTTCATCACCGTGTTTCCGGTTTCATATGCAAATGACTGTAACGAATGAGATACAGCGACACCTTTGGTCGAACTTCGCGACGCGCGAAATTAAAAAAAAAATCACGGGATTCTCACGACTTTTGCAAGCGACTGTAAAGTCGGCGTCGGACTGCACCTGGTTACACTCGGTCGCTCATTCCTCCTGGGGCGCGGAGCGTTTGTTTGTAGCGGTTGCTAGTACAGAAATGGTCAAACGCACACCACCTTCTGTGCAGATCAGCGGAAAACGATTCGCGCGTAGAACGTTTCTTACTTCGAAGATTTATTCAGGATTCCATAATAGCTCAGTCCGGGCATGGAACCTGCAAAGCGGTGTGAGTTCGGTGATGGAGGCTCAATGCCGAGGTCACTACAGTACCCTTGCACCGCATGCAACATGCATCTACCGGAAGAAGCTTGAATTCTTGGGGCGCGTTCAGTCGGTTGGTGCCCAGAAGCGATGCGTACTGCACACGACGCGCTGGTAAGTATAAAAACAGGCACTAGAACTATAGTCTGGACTCTGTCCTTATGATCAGCGTTTACGAATCCAGACGGACTTGCCTCTTCGCACATGGCCGGCTGTTGATACCCACCATGATCTATGTACACACCTCCTCCAGCATACGAGTACTTGAGCCTGTAATGCAGTCACATCCTGCTAGCGAATTAGCAGCTGGGCGGCTAGATCAGAGGAGGTGCAGATGATAAGATTGGATTGGCAAGCATTCCCATCGTCGTCGCTCCTGTCCAACGCATATCAGGTGCTCACTCTGGTTTGCGTCTCTCCGTCTGTCTTCCTGTTGTGACCATAGCACACTGTTCTTTGCCTCTCAAAATTCGCATGCCTACAATGATGAATGTCAACGAACCTAGCCATGGGGAACGCGGTTACATACCTATCGCCGACCATGGCCTGTGAGCGCGTCTCCAGCGTGGGTATACTTCTATGCTTACAGAGAACTCGTTCAGTATTGGTAACTTGAGGACTGCTGCCCTGGTATGTTAGCTGTTACGCTAGTTTTAGTTGATTTCTGAATTGTTTACAGGTCAGCATAGACGGTTCCAGTGAGTACCGCCGTAGTCACGATGTGGAGAAGCTCTATCCACATGAGAGGGATCGGACATATCAACCCTCGCCACAGTAAGGGAAGTGCTGAATAGATTCCCGCAGTTGAAAGCTACTGCATCCCGAATTTCGACTCCCCTTCTGTATTCGCTCGAATCCTCGACAAGGACAAGGTACAAAACATTCGACCTGACACAATTCGTACCGCTCATATTGTTGCAGGGCGGTCATTTCTCTATTACGCCTACTGTACCATTTACAACAAAGCAGAGCTATCTCCCGAGCTCTAATGTAAGCCGATCCCACTATATTTAACCACTTTGTTGATATTTTCTCAGGTGCTTCAAACCAAGTGCGAGATCAAATATTTTCTCACACTAAATGCTTACCATGAGTAGATTTCTCAATGAGCAAGGTGTTGCGACTGTAACAGGTATGTCTACAACGTTTATACCGTCAGTGATGTGTCGCTGACTTTTGCTAGATTTCCTCCCTCGCCAATCACGTGGTGCAACTACAAGGCCGCTCCTACCGTGGCTCATTCGGCGTGTAGAGGTACGAGCCAAGCATACACCAACGTTCGAGGTTCTCTCATCGGGTCATTCGCAGGTCATTCGCGGGACCTTCCCGCTCCGCATTGAATGCGCTCCCGCGTTCAACTATGCACGCTCCAAGCACGCGACCGAGCTCGTGCAAGACACCTCGGTAGTCTCACCCTCTTCAGATCACACAAAGGTGCTCTTCAAGTCCGAGGAGGGGCTCTCGCTCGACCTTCGCTACATCGCCGAGTCTGCGCTGGACCACATCGCGGTGCCTAATGTGCGCCTCGAGCTGCTCGACCTTACGAAGAAAGGCCATCTCGGGCTGAGTGCGAGCTGCGACTTGGTGCTGCGCGAAGGCCAGGTAGTGACGTTCGTGCTGCGCACACCTCCAGACTGCGAGCTGCCTGAGGTAGCACGTCCGAGTGAGGAGCGAGCACAGAGGATGGGAGTGCCGTACGAGAGTGAGCCCTAAAGTTCCCCGTTTTCCGCTCAAATTTTGCTTACAGTGTCACAACAATTTTTTGCAAACTGCAGAATTGCTTATGAGCGCTTCACATCTGCGCCTCCCAGAAGATCCTTTGTTGACAAAGGTATGCCGCTCTTCGTTCGAGCGCCACTTTTTTCCAACCCTTGCGGTTATCGATTGACACTTGACGCGATTAGCTACTGTTACATGATCTCCTCGAGGTGCGGTCGCTTCATAAGCGCGAATCATCATCAACGGGCTAACTCAGTATTTGAATCGAACCTCCTGTCATCATTCGCGCACGGTCTTCAAACTAGACCACCAATTTGTACTGGAATAGCTGGATCCGACGCTCGACCTACCAGGGATCGTGGAAGGAGGCGGTCAACCGCAGCGCACTCGCGCTAAAGCTGCTCATCTACGAGCCCACTGGTTCGTCCCTATTTTTTCTTAGATCATGTATCCTGGATGACAGTGCATAATCTTCTCAGGTGCTGTTGTTGCAAGCCCGACGTTCAGTCTCCCAGAGTACATCGGTGGAACGAGAAATTGGTGCGTCGTTCGTGAGCTATTCTTCGATACGAGTACGTAAATCTAATATTACTTTTTGACAGGGACTATCGGTGCGCTGTTTCCAGATTAAGACATATATCTAATGCTCATGCAATGTTCGCAGTGCCTCGTGGATCCGCGACGCGTCCTTCACGCTGTACGCGCTCATCCGACTCGGCTTCACGCACGAGGCGAACGGTACGATTCCCCCACCTCTTGGTTCAATGCCAATGTGCTTACCTGCGATCGCGTTTGCAGCGTACATGGACTTTATCTTTGATCGCGTCCGCGATAAGAACCCGGACGGCTCGTTGAACATCATGTGGGTAACAATGTTCGCCCGTCACTTCACTTCATTCACTCTGTTTGTTCTATCATCAGGTATACTATCCATGGTGAGGGAAGAATTCTGCCATTCACTCGTTGACTGATAAATTCCTCGCATCCACAGGAAATAAAGAGTTCCCGGAACTCGAGCTGACGCACCTTGACGGACATAAAGGCTCGAAGCCTGTGCGGTAAGTAACACATCCTTGCTGGCGTTTCTCTGCCTCTGTACTAACGTACTTCATACTCTCCAGGATTGGGAACGGCGCGATTGACCATGTCCAGCTGGTAAGTTTCCCGTCACTTTCGTTCAGTCTGGGTAAACTATACCTGTGCCTCCGAATTTTAGGACATTTACGGGGAGCTGTGAGCATGTGCGTAATTTTCGATATTCAGCTCGTCACGTTCTAAACATGCCGTCGGGCAGACAGTATTGACTGACTGTCTAACGGATGCGGCCGAACTTCCATTTGTAGGATGGATTGTATCTATCTGTCGCAAAAGGTATATACCTGCTGGCCATTGTGTTCTCTTATGTCTGAACTGCCTTTTTGTTACCAGTATGGAAGACCACTGGTACGTGACGATGTGATTAGTCTCGACAGTCACTGATTGCTGAGGGTACCAGTCGTATGATACATGGTGCGTATGCACGACCTGCTGTGAAGTCCGTTATTCATTGGGGGCATCGTTTGTAGGGTATCCGTCCGAGAAATGTACGTATTTTTATGCCTGGATATCACACCGACTGACGATTTCTCACCCAGCGTCGACTGTGAGCGCTGTCCGTTTCTCCAACTAGTAGGGTGTCTCAATGAACTCACCGCACAGTCGTCATCGCGAACATGAACAAGCCGGATTTGTACGTTTCTACCACGTGCACTCGCCTGCTGACCTTGCATCCAGAAATTAACTGTCTTTTTCTTCGTTCCCCGACAGGTCCATCTGGTCAGTGAGCAGTCGCGCGAATCGTAGCGTGGCTGTTAAAAATAATTATCTGAATCATGTCATCGACAATAGGGAAGTCCGCGATCGGCATCGCCACTTCACGGTGCGTCTGTTTCCGTGGACGTATAGACTTAATTGTCTCACGGACGTCTTACCCAGTATTCGAAGGTGGGTGCAATGATAATTGTCGCGGATATATTGATCGGAACGATGTGTAGGTCATGTTGTGGTGAGTCCATGTTCTCCATGCTCGATCTATGTATGATGCATATGCACCCGTCTGTACAGGGTTGCTATAGATCGCGGTACGTCCACTCTCCCCTCTCCCGGGCCCGCATCATGCACACGCCCGTCTCACAGGGCTCCGTCTGGCGGACAAACGCTCGCTTCCGTGCCCACGGCGCAATGAGTGGTATGTGGCGCGCGATACGTTGTACGAGGAGATCATGCAGAAGGCGTGGAATCCGGATAAGCAATTCTTCGGGCAGAGCTACGAGGACCCGGACATCCTCGACTCGTCGCTCATGATCATGCCGCTCGTCTTCTTCTCTACGCCGGTGCGTCATCGTGCGCTTCTTCTCGCTTGGGTTCCCATTGGCTGGGGCGCTGATGCCTCTGGCACATAGGCCGATCCGCGCTTCCTGAGCACCCTGAAGCAGATTCTAAGGAGCCCGGAGCAGGGTGGGCTGACGTCAAATGTACGTGATGTTTTCTACATGCTAATCTCGGAATGCACATGACGGCGACGTCGTCTTGCGTAGGGCCTGGTCTTCCGGTACGACGTGGCGAAGACGGATGATGGCGTCGGCGGAGAGGAGGGCACGTTCTGCCTATGCACGCTGTGGTGCGTTTCGATCACATAGTTTTGTATTGTCTCGCTCACGATGACCGCGGGTGCTCCCAGGTCCATCGAAGCGCTGGCTCGCGCGGGCGAGTTCGACAAGACGATGCTGACGAAGGCTGTGACGATGTTCGAGGTGCGTTGGTGTCGCATCCGTGCGTCTGACGGCGAGCCGGTGTGGATAATTGTCGCCCTGTTCAGGACTTTTTGCAATATATGAACCACGTCGGGCTGTGCACGGAGGAGATCTCCGACGCGGGCGAGGGGTGAGCGCGTTGGGCATCCTTCTCGTCGTAATAATATCTAATTGTCTCGCGCAGGCTGGGTAATGCGGTCCAAGGATTCACGTACGTCTAGTCATACTGTCGTGAGGCCCCTTACTGACCTTAAGACGCCACCGGACACAACAGCCACGTCACGCTCATATCTGCTGCATACAACCTCTCGCGCATGCAATTGAAAATGAAGAGCTGAGCGACGGCCATGGCGATGCGGGAAACGGAGAACTAAGATATGTCGTCATCTGTGTGTGCAAATTGCAATGGAAGGTACATATCGCGACGTACCACACTTGCCATGCACGAGATTGTCAGAGACGCAGGACTTCTGCATGAGGAATTACCCGGGGTTTCACGCTGAACTTTGTTGACGTTCAGTGCTCAGCTTGCAAGCACGACAGATAGTCCGAAGGTCACACGCGCTGGTTGACGCTAGATCGAACGCTCAGGTTCCACTTCAATGTCCTCTCTAAGCTTGGCTTTGACAAATCACCTGGGCGGGGCCCGATGTCCTGCTAAGCGCAGCGAGACGGCGAACTTCACGTCTCTACCCAAAAAGGCTGATAGAGTTTTGGAAGAAGCCAGCGGACAAATTGAGACGTAGGGGTCCACTTGTGGATTACACAGTTGCACTTGCGTCTTTACAAGGTAAGTCCCTGTAAGCCCATCGGCAGGTGGAAAGCGCACGTCGTCCCCGTGCATCATCAAGGGGTTGCGGGAACGAGGCTTTGGGAGCGAGTGTTGCCAACAGTGGTGGCGGGTCGAGATCGCAGTTCCCATTCCATCCCTTTACTTACATTCGACACTAGTCACCCAAGCCACCAGTCGCCAAGCAGAGTCGATAAGACCACACGCACCCTGCCGCGTCATGCCCGAACTCATCTGCTCGTTACCGATAGTAATTAAGAGGCCTGTGACGACATACTGTGAGAAGTACGGCGAATTCAGACGCAGAACATGCGAGAAGATTCAGTACTGAGAAATAGGCGAGCTTTCCACAGCGCTGGCTCATCTCGCACAGGGTTGCCATGCCTATTTCAAGAAGTACACGCTGGATTTACTCGCGCAGAGCCAGATGAAGCAATATGACCTTTGGGAAGCAGGACACAAATCAGTAGCGTCGAGAATTCCTCAATCATGAAATATCCGCACAGCAAAACACAGCCACGCCACCAGAGAGCTTTGATAAGTGAACCCGCGGGTCGATGGATTGCGATAAGAGTGGCCCCCTACTGTACAGGACTCGAAACAGCAGATCTGCGGTCTACATAACCTATGTGCTTGCGGGGCAGGACGCCTCGCGTATGGATGCGTACAACCGACGTCAATATCCTTTGGACACGGGGCAGAAGGTACATAAATATCACACTCCGGGCGGATCATGGTATCCAACATGGTCCCAAAACAAGTCAGCAAGCAAGCAAAAGAAGATACGGGTACAACCTAATGTCCAGCCGAGCGTATGAGTGACGAGAGAATGACACCGCATATTGAAGTCGAAGTCGGAAACGATGGTCATGGGTGATCTGGCGTCTGCAGGTGGGCGAAAACGTGTCTTCCCCCTTCAAGGCACGGACTTGGAGGGCGCGCAGATTACGGGAGAAACCGCAGCGCAACCGCGAGCCAGACTACACCTGCGAGGTTGAACTGATGAACGACGGATCGAATGTAAACTCCACGGACCGATTGTCACCCTCCCTGCGTTGCTGTCGTTTAATACTTGGTCGCTTCGTGAGGGCAACCTCGCCACTCGTGTCCTCCTTCTGCAGTTCAGTTGGACTCGCGCCGCGCTTGACCCTAATTGGGGACGAAGGTGGCATGACGAGCGTGGTCTCAACGGTACTTGGCATTACGTGCGACGAGAGATGCTGAAGTTCTTCGCCAAGCGGGAAGGAGGATCCCAAGTGTCCGAGTCTCACGCCATGCACAGGTTCAGAAACAGGCTCGTGCGAATCTTGCCCTACGTCAACCGGTCCGACTTCCTCAGCCTTCTTTCCTCGACCTGGCGGATCCGCGCCTGCTGCAATCCCAAAACCCCCATGCCCTCTTGCAGGAATCGCGGACTCCCCCGCCTTTCCCCCCTTTCCCCCCTTCTCCTCATCCACGATCATCAGCGCCCCCTCAATCACCGCACGATGGACGAAGACATATTGGCGCAAACTCTGGCACAGGCTCATGCGCTGCTCGCGCATATCTTCGACCACCCTCCGGATCGGCTCATTGTAGGTTGATAGCAGCGGCGGTGACGTGTCCTCGTGCAGTTTCCTCGGCTGCGCGTGATCAAATGCACGCCCGCGGTGAGGTGGTCGAGGCAGCAAGTGAGCGGCGGCATCATTCTGCTCTTGCACGTAGTGCTCAACAGCACCAGGTGCAGACCCAGCAGGTACTTGTTGTGATGGCACTTCGGTTCTTGGTGTATTAGAGGTATGCACTTCTGACCGCCAAGTATCGAGGCGACTCGATTGAGGATGTGGGTGCGGTTGCAGATTTGAATGCGGGTGCGAGTGCGAATGTTGTAGCTGCTGATGCGGATGTGGATGTTGTGGATGCGGACGCAGGAGAAGTACTGCACTCGACGGTGGGGGATTGGTACTGCTTGTCGGAACTAACGGCGACGGTGGGATCGAGCCACTGGACAGCTTCATTTCCACCACAGCAGAGTCGTCCCGGTCCGTGGCTTTCCGCGGGCTTGGGCTCGCGGTTGTACGCGGTGGTGTGTCCCCAGCCTTCGCCGACAGATTAAAAGAGCTTTCCGTGAAGCTGGTAGGAGGACTGACAGACGAGTGAGAAGGTGAATGGAACATTGACTTGGATCCTGACATCGAGGCTGACGCGGACCCTGATGAGGGACCAACATATGAGCCAGAGCTGCTCTCAGAGTCGTGGTCTTGCTTGGCAACTTGCGCGACTAAGTTGGACATCTCCGATCGCTGGTTAAGTGTTGCACGGCGCTGCAGGATATGGGGAGGTACCGTTCCGACAGCACGGGGTGACGTACGTCGCTGCAGTTGACCACGTTCCTTGGTAACGGATCCGTCTGCACTCGTGGATACCAACGGCTCCGCAAAGCCTGCGACTGGAACATGGACTTCGTTCTGGCCGACGGACATCGCCATTGTCAATCCTGGCCCGGTCTCTGCCCGAATAGCCGCATCAACCTCCGCAAAAGAGGGCGGACTTGGGCTCGCGTCCACGTCCATAGGTTCCGCACGGCTGCTCGAAAGACTCGTCGTGTCCGGACTCCCACGAGAGCCGGAGGCGCTGTTGTGACGGCCATTGTTGTCGCTGCTACCAGCATTCAGGTTGGAGGTGGACTGGGCTTCCCCACGCTTGCGCATCTCGCGACGCACACCGTCCAGGACAGCATCGACGGCGATGAATCCACCTGTCCGTCCCACACCGGCGGAACAGTGGAGGAGTACCGGTGGGTTCCCAAGCGCATGCCGCGCGATGCCCGACGTCGGTTCGATGTCGTTGGCCTCGTCTAACGCTTCTTCTATCTCTGTTGGCGGATTCGCGGCGCTTGCAGGACCTGCCTTCCCCCAGGGTCCTGAGTGTAAAGGGCCTTCACCCCAGCGTTTGTCGTTCGTGCCGCGTGTGCGCTCCACCGTCTCCTCGACTTCACGCATGAGTCCAAGCACACCGCGTGGATCTTGTGGGACATTGAAGTCGGGCCAATCCAGGTACTGCAATTGAGTGATTATGCGAGGGGGTGCAAGCGGGTATGCGGTATTGCGAAGCTCGAAGATGCGATGGATCGTGGATCTATGCTCGCCGGCACTTTCATCTTCTCCCTCTCTAGCTGCGTGCTTGTCTCTATCCTTGTCCTTGGCCTGGTTTTTATGTCTAGCAAAATTAGCGGTGTTACCGGCATCGGTGCTCTTGCTGCCCTTGCGCTTGCTCTTTCCCGAGTCCGTCTCCTTCCCCTTGGTTTTGGTCTTGCCGGGCTGGGGCTGCGCACCGAAAAACCCACCAGATATCTCGCTATCTCGGCGGCGTCGTTCATGCTCTGGCGTGTCGTCGGTGGAAATCATACGGAGACATAGCGGCCCATACGAGCCCTCGGTCCAGTACTTGCCGCACTTCGCAGTCGCAGCCTCGACCTCACGTGTGAGCATGACGATGACGTGCACATTCTGTTCCCAACAGAGCCTGTGATAGGATTAGCAATGCACCACGGAGAAAACCCGGAAATAAATAACTCACGTCCAGAAATCATCGAATGTCGCAGACAAGGGGCCTTGCGTTGCGATGTAACGCTTCGCCGTACCAAGGGGCTGCACGTAACTCGCATTCATGTAATCGTCGTCCTCAGGCTTCGCCTTCCGCAAGCGTACACGCGCATGTTCAAACGGCCAGATGTTGCGATAACTGCCAACAGGCCGTAAGCACACAAACAACTGGGACAGCACGCGGCCAAATGACTGACCGGTTCTTCGTCCCCTTCTCGAGACCGGCGGTGATGCTGTATGGGAAGTCCTGGTTCGCCCTTTCCTTCAGCACGGCCTGCGCACTCGACAGTCCCCTACTCTCTCCGGTGTGGTGCTCCATGACGCCCATGAGACGTTGCTGCTCGCCGAGCTCGATCCGGTAGAACTGCACTTCCAGTGCACGAGTGAGCTCGTCTGCGCTGGCCGGCGATTGCGAGCTCTCCAGCGAGCTTTCGTTCTCGCTGCGACTGCCGGGGGACGAGTCGAGCACCGGCAACATGTCCTGCATGCGCACGGGCTCTACCTCGCTGTCGCCGTCGCTCTCCTCATAGTCTCCGTTCCCTTCCCGCATGCGCCCGCTCCGCCTCGCGATCTCCCGCAGCCACTCAAACGGCAGCTCCCCGACGCGTCGCCGCACCTTCCTGGGCAACCGCAATGCGATCCCGGCGCTGCCCCCGTCGTTGGCGTGGGCGAGTTCCAAATTCTGACGGACCGCGTCAAAAAAAGGATTGGACATCGCCTGCATACCGGTCGCAGCGCGTCAACTCGGTCTGACGTGGCAGAGCGATGTGACTTACCGGTCGGACACCCACCAGCGGTGGGCTATGGCCGCTCGTGCTCGCGCTCGGCCGCGGAAGGCGCACGGTGAGTGCAGTGTGCGTCGGCAAGGGATAACTAAAGGGATCTGGTGCTCCCGGAGCAGTTAACGGCGTGACAGGTACGGGCTGGAATACGTCAGAAGGTGTCATGACAAAAATCGCACGGCGTACTTGGGATGTGACGGAGCGTTTTGCAGTAGAAGAACTTGTGAAGGCAGACATCGGGAGGTGCTTGGTGCGCAAGACTGGCGGCGCCAAAAGGCTCTTGTTGATTTCCGGAGGGACTTCATCTTCTTCCTCGGGTAGAGGCTTGCTATCCACGAGATCGGGACGCTCCCTCCAGACGGCATGCAACCCACCTCTCAGCCATGCGATGTCCTTCTCGAATCCCTCCGCCCGAAACTTGCGCAAGAGTCCGAAAAGTGTGGGGCGATCGGCAAGGGAGGGCACGTCTGCGTCGTAAACGAGAATGCGAGAGGCAGACGACCATGCTGAAAATTGGGTGCGGGCAGCGGCTGACTGGAGCATGGGCGCCAGCCGGGCGAGCGAGAAAAGTGGTCGCTTGAGAAGCGTGGTCGGCACCGAGAGCGAGAGCGATCCAGGAAGGCGAGCTGTCGCGTAGGCGTTGTGGGGACGGACATCGAGGATGAGGGCATCGGGATCGGCGAGGATAGTGTGGAGATCGGCAGGTAGGAGTGCGGAGAAGGCAGATGGGGAGATATCTGCGGAGGGCGCTGGCAGAGGCATGGCTCGGGAAGTGGGAACCGAAGACTGGTTGAGTGGGATGAGGGTTGGTGGATGTGCGAAGCGGGCATTGATTGCGGCGGCGAAGGAGTCCACCGGGGGCTCGGTCGACGGCGGATCAGTTGAAGAGGCCAGCGTGGGCAACGGCGGGATGGGCGACAGTGTGAGTGGTGTGAGGAGAGAGTGTGTCGGTATGTGGGCAGAAAAGCTGAGAAGCGGATCGAATCTACGCCAAGAACGCGCCAGAGCCCAGACCGTTGACGTCATGACCTTAGACTCCACGCGGACGTTCCCACCCCACACGGATTGTCAGGCTCCATCTTCTGCTCCCCTTCGCCTCCTCTCTCCTCGCGCTGTGCCCGTCGCATCTTCTCGACTGGTGGAGGATCCGCGCTCCTATACAGCCATCCTTCTTCCATCGCACAGCGCAGCAGCCTTGGGCCTGACAGGATCGCCCGGCGAAACGACAGCCCGGCTCGGCCAGGGCGGCACACAACGAAGATCAATATCTCTTCACGGCCTGTGTGAAAGGTATTGGTCAGTGATCATTCCGAAGATATGCATGCGGCATACAGTAGCGAAGACTACTGGTGGTTGTAGTTGCGCAAAGTTATCGGGAGATGACGAGAAGATGTGATTTGCTGGGCATTGTCGTAATAATTAAATGCGATCCTTGAGCATTGATCGAGAAGAATTGATGAATTTGAAAACACTTACAATGAGGAAGTGGTAGGAAGTGGTGTTGCCCGAGAAGTTGAATAGGTCCCGGCGCCAACAATCTAGGCTCGAAGCTCAGAAGAGCGACGAAGTTCTCCGAGGAAACTTTGCAGAAGTCGTACGCATGTAGCTAGTGTACACGCGTAATAACCTAGGCCGCAGTAGACTTGGCCGATTGATGCGAGCAACTTCTGCGGGTTGGAGTGGGAATCAAGTCTTTGCGGGGTGGGGACGTGTGTCAAGGCGGCGGACAAGGCGGCGGAAGGTGGGAGAACGGAGGAAAGATGGGGCGGGTGGTGATGGAGAGAACGCAGTCTTTATATACCGTGCAGGAACCGTATCTCAGAGTCCATGACGTGGTCGATACTGCATGACGTCACCAAGAAGGCGTTGAGGATGAGGGTATTCGCGAGTGCAGTTGAAAGACTTCCATATATGGAATTCTACTTACCCTTTCAGTCTACCGATCGGTACCCATATCTGGGAAATCCCGTCTTCTTCTTGCCCGCCACTGGATCTCGATCAGGGTATTTTGATCATGTTCAACAGAGCCCTTATGTTCATTCAATATATGACCGCAGTCTGCAACACTACTATACTAGCGGTAATTCGTCCTATTACAGGCACCAGCAGAAGTAATATTATTGCTGGCAATGTGTCGTGAATATGTATGTCGCCCGGAAATGAGGCATTTATCTGTCGGGACTTGGCCCTGTGTGTCACGGATTGTCAGGGTCTTGCCATGTGAGGTCTGTACATATTCACTTGTGGAACTCAAGTTGATAATAATGACCTGGCTATTTCACCCTCTCAATGCGGAGTGCTACTGGTATGCGGTGCTTCTTCTCGCTAGTACCTCTGTGACGGCTATCAGAAAAGTTACAGCGTGTTGCATAATTGCGTGAAATTTGGGATTTTGTGCGCTATTTGTCTTGCGCAAACAAAGCCATAAGGGGAAGGTCGGGGTTGCATCGGGGACTACGCCCAAAATTTGACCACTTACATCTTGGTTTACAGGACCTCACTTAAGAGAAGCAAAGCATACGGAAGCACTTTAGAACACGTACCCAGTACATTGGAAAACTTTGTGAGCCACCAAGTGGCACAAATGACGAATGCAAGGCAGAGTGTCGGAAGCCGTGATTTGTTTGCATCCACCCGACCTACCGGATATGGGTTTGTTTGCCCCGGCCAAATAAACCAGAGAAATCCGGGAGTTTCACGCAATTATGCAACACGCTGTAACGGATGGCTGTACCAGTTCTGCCTGATCATAAGCATTGCATGTGAGCAGAATATATTCTCGTTGTCCTCGACGCTCAGAGGCATATCAGACTGAGTCTTCCACTTGCAGCGAATGCTAACCTCACATTGGCGTCAGGAATCACCCCGGGAAAATCAAATGGAAGACTCGGATGGTAATTAATATTCTTGACGACTGTTGGAGCACGCATATGGACGATCATGATAGGCTCACCGGATAAGCAACAAGCAATAATAGTCTTTTGAAAAATCATTGGACTCGTGCATTACGCGGAAATGTTGAGACATCATTTGTTGCCGGTGCGAGTCCTTGGTCTCATGGATCAGCCTCTAGACGACAAAGGTGGTCTTTCCTTGTTAACGGGTGCTTACCGATTCTTGCATTAATACTAAAATCAGGTCACGGTGTGCTCCAAAGAAGGTCCTAGTCATGCATCCAAGTTGGCCAGTCGGAAGCTGTTGTTTTCTACCAAGTCTTCGTTGGAACTGCCGTGCTGAGCGCCCCGGAAAGCCTAGACTGTCAGAGAAATAGGAGAGATATGATTGGCCCACCTCGGGGTTGCCCGGGATGGCAACTACCCAGAAGAGGCGAGTGCAGCCTCGCTGACAAACAGCTGTACCCCCACCCAAACGCTCAGCTCAAGTACTCGTTCTTCCTCGACCACCTCGACTTCGCCCTCGACGACCATCGTCGCACTCATTCACCATGTCTATTGCCCTCACGCGCGCACAGCGAGTGCGCCCACCATTTCGCAGTTTCGCGTCAGGCAGCAGCACCCTGGTCTACCTCCCGAGCCATAGACATGCAATGATGTCTGCGCTGTCCCATGACCGTTCGCGGCCACCACCACCACCCAAATCGACGCTCGGAGACACTGTGCCGGCCGTGATACCCCAAGGGACACCAGCAGCAGCACCGTCAGCGAAGACGCTGTCGCCGAATGCCGAGTCGCCCCAAGTTGCCGCCCGCCCGCCACCACTACCCAAGGCCGAGCGTCCGAAGCCGACCATCCGGGCAACCAAGGCTGCCATCACCTTAGTGCGTTCATGGGGTCGTAAAGTGCACGGCTGCTCGCTGACTGTGTCAACTTGCTCTTCCAGACGCCCACTGCTGTGGTGCGGCTCCGTACACTGCTCCGAGGGCCGACGCCCCAGCTGATTAGGATTGGCGTGCGGAACAAGGGCTGCGCGGGTCTGTCGTATCACCTTGAGTACGTCGAGCGCCCGGGCAAGTTCGACGAGGTCGTAGAGCAGGACGGCGTGCAGGTGCTGATTGACAGCAAAGCGCTGTTCTCAATCATTGGCAGCGAGATGGATTGGAACGAGGATCCGTTGAGGTGCGTTACCCATCAGCTTGTTGTGTAGCGCTCGGTCACCGGCTCATGCATGACATTCGCACAGCGCGAAGTTCGCGTTCAAGAATCCGAACATCAAGGATGCGTGCGGGTGCGGGGAGTCTTTCACTGTTGGATCATGATACACCGTTGGGAGTAGTATCCGTGTTGTGCTCACTACCCCCCTCTGCCTTTACATTCACTACATACGTGTATCCATACTGCATCACTTAGAATGCTATTTACTATTATTCAGATAATATTCAGATGCTGATGCACGATGTCGAACATTAAATGTCGTGGAGAGACGCAAGGGCGAGTTGCTGGCGTTAGAGATCTAGTCCGACTGGTAGGAAATGTAGTCCGACTACTTTGGAAGTGTAAGCGAGTAAGTAAGCTGTTGTAACAATCGGCCTTGTACGTAGGCGTCTAGATTTCACGGTCTCAAATCTCTTCGTGGAGAGGGTGTTGATGTCCTTGTCAATCAGCTCTGGCAGCGGTCGCTCCAAACCATGCACGCCGTCGGTCCGCAGGCATGGTACGCAACCCGTTGAATCTCAGCGATCTCGTCCAGCAGAGCCCGGTCGTTCGGTTCGAGTTCAAGTTGCAAGGCTCCGCGTATATCTACGATGGTCAAAATGCATGAGTACACACGTGAAAGAGGGTTCGCGATGGGGATGGAAGGGTACGCACCGGCATGCGCGACGTCCAAGGGACCGGCGCGCGCGTCCGCGGCGGTACAACGCCTTCGCGGAGCGCTCTCGCCTGATGGCTTCGTCTGCGTCCTGCTCCGCGTGCTTGTATGCGCACAGCCTGAGGTACGCCGCGGCCCTGTTCAGCCAGTGCTCGGTGTACACGGGTTCCATCCACTCCATGTTCACGGGTATCACCGCGGTGTAGAGAGGTATGCCTCGCGGAGTTGACCAGTGCGGGAAGCTGCGTTGCCCTGTGCGCGCCGTATGGACGAGTGAGAGTCGTGAGGTGAGTGCTAGCGCATGGTGTGGATGTGGTTGTAGAGGGAGCCTGAGGGGGGAAATTGCTTGCCATTCATTCGGTCGTCGTCCTCCTCTATAAATTGTATTCCTGTTGCTCGCGCTCGATCCGCTGTGAGGGGGGATCTCGTCCCGCCATGCGGTCTTCAATCTTGGCCTCGAGGAAGGGGAAGTACGGCATGCCCATTGTATCTCGTTACAGCTTGGGGGGGTTGCAATTTCAAAACGAAATTTCGCACAGTTTACAGTCGTTTGCATATGAAACCGGAAACACGGCGATGAAATCTTTTATTTGTTCGGGACAAATATTGCCTTAACGAGTATCATTGAGTCCTCTCCGTGACTGACTGTCACGTACGCTGTTTACTATGAGTCCCTGATTATGAGCTAGCAATTGCACGAGCTTATTGCTTACTGGTACCATCATGACAAGTTCCCCTCAGTAAAAACGGGAAGTCAAAGTGTAGTCAGCCAAATTCGAAATTCTGGCAAATTTGACTATTTATGACTATTTGCATGATTTTCTTGTAGTACATGACCTCATATGGTTTAGATCATGTCTCTACAGCTATGTTCCAACCTCTGAGTGCAAAAGAACCAACATATGAGTACCGGAATGCCATGTATTATGAGACAATCAACTGTGGTGTCAGACTTTTGCAGACTAGGATTTGACTGCATTTGATGGCATAATTTCTTGGCAGGATCACTTTGGTGACTGAAATCGGACTTATCCTGACTTTTCTGTGACTACGGTGCCAAATTTTTGATACTCGCTGACTGCAGCCTGACAATACTTAGACTTCACTTGACTTCTGGTTTTTACAGAGAGTTCCCTGTGTCCGACATGGTGCAGGTGTCTGGATATCACAAATCTACCATCTACAAAATTCTGCCACTCTACCGGGGCCCGGGGGGTACTTATTCATCAGAAAAACCCCACTTTTCCTTAAAAGGACACTTAAATAACTTAAATAGACTTATGGTCCTTATTTAAGGACATAAGGACAAAAAGGGCCTAAGGCATATTCCCTGAGTGTCTGAAATTCGACTTATTTGAACACTTATGACCTTAAATAAGGGTTCTCAGACCTAAAAGTCTAAATAAGTCCATAAGAGAAAGTTGGGTTTTCCTGATGTTGCCAGGTCTCCGATCCACTTGCTCAACTGCAAGACCACCCCAAGCACTTGATGCAGGTTGTATTCACTCTCCTTGAAATTCAGCAATGTATTTGGCCAAGGAGTGAATGTCGCAGCGTGCGGTGCCACTGCATCAGGGAGCAAGAGCTAGTGTGACTGGTGTCACCGACTCGGTCATACTAAATAAGGTAATATTTGGCCTGAACAAATAAAAGATTTCATCGCTGTGTTTCCAGGGCCGTTTCATATGCAAACGTAGTCTTGGAACCAGCCGTTCTGACCTTCGACCCTTTTTTGGAATTGAGGTGGAAGGGTTGTCAGAACGTCTGGTGAAAATTGTATAGGCAGGGGTGGGTATGTAACGCTCTCCCCACTGTAGCTCCTGGGCGCACCTACGATAAATGTAGTGTACCCGGACATAACTGAGTTTGAATTGATATACTGCATTAAGACGAAGGACTTACTTGATATGGCAGTGGTGTAACACAACCAAACAAAGCTGTAAGTTGAGGAGCCAACTTGAGCATATTGTGGCTCAAATTGTGGCTCTTGTGGTCTTTCTCCATGCCTGTATACCACCTGGTAGGCAATTCCAGTGTACAGGCTTAGTGAAGATACTGCTTTCTTATTTTTCTTCCTGTAATTCACTCTCAAATTTGTGCAGCAACCAGTTTGCAAAATTTCCATGAATCTATTCAACTCCTTGCCTATATACCACTCATTGGACCTTTGGACTACATGTAACTTGCTTAATAAAATATGTGGAAGTGTGATGTACAGTATGCAGATTTTTGTCTGCCAGATTTACCTGCAGAATTGAATATTGATTCCTATACATGGACTTCAATCTCTGCATTTCTTGTGGGCATACAATGATTGTCTTGCCCACAAGGCAAGGAAGAAAATTTTCATGCACATCACCACTATAATGTTTAGTGTAGGAAGGGTCATGCACAGGGCACCATCAGAGACTGAGTTGAGTAACAGTTTTGACATATGGAGAATTTGCATATCCAGCTCATCAGGAAAACCCAACTTTTACTTATGAGACTTATTCCGACTTTTTGTCCTTTTTTGCCTTATTTAAGGCCCATAAGTTCCCAAAAGTCGACTTTTAAGTCTCTAAGGAAATATGACTTATGGACTTTTTGTCCTTTTTTACCTTATTTAAGGCCCATAAGTGCATTTAAGTCCCATAAGGACACCTTTAAGTAAAAGTTGGGTTTTCCTGATGCTGTGAATAATTAATTTTATGACTCAATTCCTATGTGATGTTCTCTGATGTTGTAGTGCAGACATACTGATAGATACTCTGCAGTATCACTGGACAGCCTAAGTTCATAATAGCATGCACTGTTTGGCAAATTTTCCTTTCTCTTTGAATTAATTTAAATTAATTTAATTAATTTCCAGAAGACCACTACATCTATGGCCTGAGTGCCAGCTCCTGCACAACATGTGTCACGCTTGTCGTCCCGCACGTACCTGTGCATCTCCTGACCTCCGTTGGAAAAATTTGTTCATGTATGCCACCATACATGTACCTTGGACCATATTCGAGGCATTGTGACCCGCGAATGCGCCGCGCTCAGTTTCGGATGTTTTGAGTTTTGGCTGAGGTCACGCCCATGTGACATACCCCCCCCCTGTATACAAATTTCACCAGACGTTCTCGGGAGCGACCCAACATCTTAAACACCCAATTTGGTAATCACCAGGTTGCTCATGTGAATGTCTGGTTACGAGACTAATGCAAACGACTGTAGGGCTCTGGTGTCTTGAATACACCTGGACCTCACATGTTACTAAGCTAATTAGCTTGCCATATGGGGTGGGTACGGCAAGCTAATTAGCTTGCTTCCCCTATTTTAGACATACTGCCAGTAACATACCAAATAGCTATGCTTTCCCCTACCGGCACAAGTCCTCCGGCTATTGCGGATGACCCGAGGCTCCTGATGATGCAATCTATAGATAGCGGGAGGTCTGGGCGGTCCATTCCGCCGGGCGTTGAGTATACCGTTGGCTATTCCCGCTCCCGCTGCCACGCGCGTGGCGTGCCGTCCCCGCCCTCATCGGGCACGATGCCGACACCGTTTTCCCCCTACTTCCCATAGTTACTGTTACTTTTCCTTCATTTTTCCTGCCGCCACGCGCGGTCCCCGCCCTCATCGGGCACGACACCGACACCGTTTCCCCCCTACTTCCCGTAGTTATTGTTACTTTTCCTTCGTTTTTTTTGCAGTCTAATGTAAATAATGCAGGCTATTAGTTTATTGTAATGCAGCATTTATCTTTCACATTAAGCCTGATGTTCAACAAGATCACGTGCATAGTTCTTACGCGCCTTCCGCGCCTACAGCCACACTCGGCGCCTCATCCACAACATTTCTGTCGTCATGATGGCGGGAGGCACGCGAGCCACCCACTGCCAGGGCATGTCTCGATCGGTGCATGTAGCATCTCTTGTAATCTCTGGTAGATCATCCTCTCGACATGCCAAGCACCACCGCGAAGCTGTTTATGGTGCGAAGGCTATTGCCCGGGAACAACAGCGAGCAGAGGAGCGGTATCGGTTGGCGGTCACAGGTAAGTAATATGGTGGATCTTGACCTGTGTCCAGCTCATATTATTCACAGGACTGGGTGCTCAGAGTCTTCAAGCACTCTCAGATATCAGAGAAGATGACATTCCCATGGGAGATGTGAGCGCTCCCGATAATCCATTCGCTAACACCGGGGAAGCAGAGGGAGCAGGAGCACCAAACACAGGACATGACCCTTCATCTGCGAGACCGCAGGACGGCATGGAGTGGGAAGATATACCCGAGGTCCTTCAAGGTGATGCGTCTTTCGTGCATGCTGTGCGGGACATCGTCGGCTCTGAGTATGTATTATGAATGGTAGTTATTCATCATCTAACATTCTGTACACAGGTGGAAGGCACGGTGGTATAAAGATGCGCGCACTTGGTGCCAGCGCATGCATAGGATGGATGAGAACTGGCAGCCCCTCATCCCCGACCTTATCGATGCTTATCTTACCTGGAAATACGCTCCTGAGCAGCCTCCCAATGTGCCTGCAACTACAGATGACCCTTCCCCCTATGACTTCATGATCAATGTGATGGATTTCTACTCTCTCGCTTCATCGGCCACCATCTCTCGTGCAGAGGACTCTAGGTCCATGGCGCATGCACTCGTTCTCAATGGCTACCTAGAGACATCACCTGTTTTCCCATCTATGGCAATCTCACTCAAGACATTGGAGCTCCTCCGGAGCTTGAGGCTCGTCAAGGCTTCATTCAGCATTGAAGCCTTCGGTAAGCTCCTGTGCCATTATTACAAGGCAAGTAATATTTGTGGATTTATCTTTATAATTCTTACCCCGCTGTGATAGGTTTCGTATCGCCGTCACTATCGCACCCTCCTTTCCGACGCTTTTGAAATCTATCTCGAAATTCTGCGTGCTGTTGACAAGCGCGTCTTTTTGGCACTCGGCCGAGACTCGTCCAACTGGCGGGTGCTCAATGCTTGCCCTGCTTGTACATATGAGGTGAGTAGTCAGGCTGCAGTCCGAGCATCATAGTACTCACAGTCCCACAGCTTGAAGGAGAGCCACCACGCCGGTGGAGCTGCATGTTCTGTATGGATGGGAACAATTTGCTGAAGTGGATCGCGCAGGTCGGGAACCACATTCGAGGTGATACCCGAGTCTTTGTCAATAGCGACTACTATCTGTCGCAGGAATTTGTCGACAAGTACGTGGACGAAGTGCCACCACGCCAGACCTCGAGCACCCCAAGCAACGGTGATGATCTGGAAGAACACGGCCAGGAGGACGACATCAATTGCGGAGATCCAGAGGGAGGGGACCCGACTGATGGGGCATTCAGCGACATTATCATTCCTTGCATGGAGAACTGGAAGGCGGCGGCGGCGGATGAAAAAAAACGCATGTGGGGTATTTTTGAAGAGACTGGGATCTTTGCGAGCGCATGTCCCCACGGGTTCATCCTGTGGCTAATCGACATGGTTCGTAGCGGTGAGCTGTAAGTGAATTACATCGGATGCCATAAAAATTCACTAACCTGTAAATTAGGGCAAAATATCCGCTTACTACCATTGCAAAGGCGCTGGAAGTACTCAGTGACAAGACACTGGCAGGTTACGACATCAGCTGCATCTTTGAGGATACAATACAGCGTAGCTCACTGGGACCTGAATGGCAATGGCGCCGGTGCCGTTGCTGCGTGAATGCATTCCACGGCTACTCCCACAACTATCTTTGTCAACTCACGAATCACCCGAACATCATCGAAGGTATGGGTCTCGAAGACCTTGAGACGATGGAAAGGATATTTAGCGCATCAAACAACCTTGCCGCCATCACACGCTATGCGTCGGGATTTCGCCAGCGCCTCTTCATCGATGCTTTCTTCCACCAGTGGGATATAGAGAAGTACGCCAATCTCAGCACTATGTTATTCAACAACTATGTCCAGGCTCTCAAGATCATCAAGGAGGATGGAGCCGCACTCGAAGAAGCCATAGCGGCTCTTCAGATCATGCATGAAGATCTCGCCAAGTGGTCGCATGAGGAGCGTGAATACTTCAAGAGCCTCGGTGAGGAACCCGAGTGGGATATCCACGCCATGGCCTACGTCAAAAGTCTCCAGGAGTTGCGCACCATCACGTAAGTTTGGATGCTCATATTCTTGTGCACGATCATTCTGATTGGATCTCATTGCAGAGCACACCTTGAGAACACGTCCACCCAGTTCCTCGCCACAACACCCAATGACTATATATTCATGGAGCCGACATCGGGGCGTGTGGCATATAATGTGGACGTATCCTGGACTCGCAAGCTTGAGACGAATAAACATTATCTCTCCAAACACCAAGCCAAGGTCCATCATGATGTCATCGTGATAGAAGTTAAGATGGGCATAGCACGTCGTTGGCAGCCAACTGATGATGAATACATCACCACCGTCAAGTACATTTCCACTCGCAAGTACCATCATGCTCTCGACAACCTGCAGCATCTCATTGTGCACCGTCTGTTTGAACTGCATAAGCTCAATCTCTCCCAGACCGGCAAGTAACAGATTTTATTCATGCATTGCTATGACTCATACACCCCCCCAGCATATCGGGTCCGTACTCACATCGCCAAATCGCTCCAGGTCCGTTGCAAGGCGATTCGCAATGCTGTCAAGGTGTACAATGCTGCTGCCAATGCCCTTGTCCCTCCACGTCCCACCCCCGACTGGACGAAGGTCTCCCATTACAGCTTCATCGACGAGTTCCATATTCTCAAGGATACCCGCAATGATGTCCGTCAGAAGGAGTGGACAAGGCCTGCTGTTCAGGAAGCAATGAAGCAGGCACGTCGAATTGCCCAAGCACATGTCGAGCTCGAGCGGTGCAATGTTGAGGTGCGCTGTCTTCATACATCCATCCGCAATGAGGAATTGCAATTTACTGCAGTCATCAACCAGCTGAAGGAGCAGCAAGCTTCGATCTGTGGAGCGGTAGAAGATTTTTGTGAACACCACTGCAATGTGAATGCTCAACACCTTATGCGACTTCAGCGGCTATACACATTGAATGGGTTCACTGGTGCCCCATCCCCTGGGCAGCGGAAGGGGTCTGCGATTATGGCCCCTCCTCTGGCTTCTTCGTCATTGGCCCCAGATTTGGACGATGATGTGGACCCTGAAGTGGAGGAGGAGGAGGAGGATGAGCTCCAGGGGGATATCGGCGGCATAGTTGATTATATGTGCAACCTCACAGTTTAGCATGTCATGTACTTCTTAGCAATATCAATTCTTACGGCAATGTGCTAGATGGACGAGCGGCAGAAGTGTTACAAATGTTGGAGTACAGTTCAACCAAATTCAAACCTCCGAGTCTCGCAAGCATTGGGGGTGTACAAAAATTGGTCTGCAGCAGGGGTGAACTAATAGAAATATATTGTGATACTTAGTGGAGCTTAGAAAATTATGCCCCGTCCGCTACAAACTGATCTCACAGTTTGAGTGCACGATCAGACTGAACATCTTGCAACTCGCGACTCGCGACTTGCCTGTGCAGCCACCATCCGGTTGTGCGGCACCACTTCAACCACTCTCTTGATCTTGCCCACATGTGAGGCCTCACTGCTACACTGCCACCAGATGGACCTTATTTTGTTGTCTATCGGCTTGGACTAACGACAGTATACAACGATCGGTGAGTCTAATATTGCGTTATCAAGGTATTGTTCTCGCAACTCACAATCTCTGACATTCGAGTCCTGAAGGCATTGTGCTAGGTGTCTATACAGAGCCCTTCCCAATTGTCTTGAAGCTACATAAGCTTGCCGAAGTCGAGGAAGCGGTCACCTTGCAGGCTGTCTTCGATGATGAGCACGCACACCTAGAGGGCCTCTTGGATACACTACAGAACTCGCGCGAGGTTAGGAACACTATGAAGAAATTTGTAGACTTGCACTACTACGCCGTGGTATGAGGTAAAAATACTGGTATCTATCTTAGATGGTGAGTTTCTCGGTCATGTCAATGGAATTAAACTCTGATCACCTCGCGATCACTTAGGGACGGCCATGATGAAGCAGAGGAGCAGATCCTGGGCTTCCATCGGCAGAAGCATAAATCGTTCTTGGTCCTCACTGATGCTCTCGTGTACTACATGTGCAAAGGACCTCGTCCAGAGCCAGTGAAGCTGGCATTATCGAGTCAGAGATCGACTGGGCAGAGTACAGCACAGGCGCCGATGCAAGGTGAGTCTGATCGCATTCCGTGCGACTTCGTGAAGCTGACAGAACTTAGTTGTGACACCTCGCTCTTCTGCAGCCGCTCAACCGTCGACGGGTCATTTGGGAGTCGACATACCCATATCCATGATGGCAGGTAAGCCAGTGGTATTTGATTGCGATGAAGTATATAACAACGCCACTGATATTTTGTGCGTCTACCAGGCTTAAGGCTGGGCAAGAATAACCAAGGCACCCCTGCTTTACCTTCGACCCCACCTCGCAGCCCATTGGTCACTGTCCCCTCCACTCCTGTAAGTCCTTCTCCGGCATTCCGGTACTGCTGTTATGCACTCTCCGATCTCTGTTGCTGTCTCAACATCCTATCATGGCACTTCAACTAGTTCTTCTTGCGTGTCTGTACCTGCGACCATCTGTTATAGGCATGAGCAATCGCTCACTGGAATAGTCGGAACCATTTACGAGAGGCGCGCTGACGTACCCCTCAACACCGAGCTTGGTTATCTCGCAGATCGATACCTTCACACCCACGGATATGGTGGCAATGTCGAGGCCATGCTGGCTATCAATCAGGCTTACCTGACCAGCCAATCGCTCGAGCAGTTCGTCAACTATCTGGTTGTGAGAGGTATGGTAGTTGATGAGGTAGAGTTCCTATGGGAGGCTGCAACTACTTATAATCCGCACTCTCGCATACATTCCCCTATCTCATGATGCTCTGTATGATATGTTGTGGCTATCTTGCCACAGATTTTGTACTTCATAATATTAACAGTGATTCTGACATGACCAATTATATCACATGAGTTTGTTGAAGAAGATAGTCCTGGGATTCCGAAGACGTGTTCTTAACAGGTGCCAACATCTCTATGTGTCAGACGCATTCTTCTCTTTCTCATGGTGCAGACGGCTCAAGATGACGGCCTTCAGCGCCTCTCTAACAAAAAGCGTAAAAAGGTCGCTCCAAAAAATACGACCAGAACGCGAACTCCATGGAGGTCCAGGACGAAGTGCAAGGCAGTGGTGCAGACACCTGCCCAGAAGGCATACCTGAAAGGGAAGAGGTATGAATGTAAGGAGACGTATGCAGAGGCGCTTCGCGAAGCCCGTGATGTGATATGGCAGCAAGCAGCGCGCCTGCAGGAGCACTTCAGTTCTCACAATATTGAGTACTACCACCAGGAGGTCATGCAGCACTCTCGCCTTGTCTCATTGAAGAGAAAAGTGAGCCGCTGGAATGTCTTCCAGCGCATGGAAGTTCAGCGCATGAATCAAGGTGAGTCCCACTACATTCGGTATAGTTGTGCATACTCACTTACTTACATGTCCTTCAGCCCTGCCAGCGGGTATGCCGCACAAGAAAGCTTCTGCATACATGGCGGAGATATCGGCAACATAGAATGTCATGAGCGAAGCTGACAAGGTAGCTGCGACAGAGGACCACATACAGGAAGTCGATGAGCTGTGACAGATGAGGGCGAAGGCCAAGCATAACGCCCCCATCAACGTGTTCTATGATGCTCGTTCTACTCTCAACAACATATCCCGTGAGGTAAGTACTTATGCTCCACTGATTGTACCGATTTTATATTAATTGACCTTCCACAGCTCGAAGGCTTAAGTCAACGTACCGGCACCGAGACTTTACTTTTTGCGGTTCGCTCAAGCACGGACCAGTATAACCAGCCCTTCGTCTATGCTAGCAACGATCGCCTTCCTGAGTACTTCTACCTGAAGACAAAAACTGACATCCTGACATTTGCCATCAAGATGGAATCCTATGGCATCTCCGGCGTGGAAGGTAAGCATCAACAGGATCGCACATCTTTTGAGGTCACTGCTGACTACTCATTGCAGGAGTTGTGATGAATCATGTCGAGGAGATACTTGACCTCAAGCTGAGGATAAGTGCATTGATCATTCAGAAGCTCCGTGAGTATTACATTACATTTATGTTCTGTATGAGACTGATGAAGATTACAGAGGATATCTCTCCGTTAAAAATTTCGAAAATGTACTACAAAGGTTTTGAAGAGAGGATGACGGCTCGCTATCGCATTACCGTCGTCAACTGGCCCCTCAAAGAGTTCAAGAGCCCTGGCGACATCTCCCACAAGGGTGACCTGCAGCTCCTGTATCGTGCATGGGAGAGCGGCACGACACACTTCAAGCTTCTCAACGATGAGGAACACAAGGAGTGGGAGGAGGAACGATTCCAAGGAAGAATGCGGGAGATGCGTGGGCCGACAGCTGAGGATGAGGGCGAGGAGGACGAGCTGAACAGTGTGTTACCCACATCCCCTGTGCAGTCACCTGTGCCCGAGTCCACCGCATCCAACAGCGAGCCCATCAACATTAATGCCATGGCTACGATGACCATCAATGAAGGGGCTGGGTCTGCGAATGACGATACCTCATCCCCTTCCTCTGCAGCATTGATCGTGGGTCAGGGCGCGTCCAGTCAGACGTCCTCCAGTGCAAAACGTCATGCACTGGCCAATGGTGCAGGAGCACACAAGAAGGCCAAGACTGTCCAGCCTCTCAGCAGCTTCATCAACATCGTCACAGGTGCTGACGGCAACCCCCTCACGGTTCAGAAGAAAACTTGCAAGGAGCGCTCGGACAAAGGCATGAAGAAGGGGCCAAGGAAGAAGCAAGCTGCCGGCAATGAGAACACGAACCCATCTTCAACCACCACCTCTGAACCTGCCCCACCCGTCTCTGTCCCTCCCACATTGGCCACCTCTCCTCATCGTCCCTCCACTCGTCGCCGTCGTGTTCCCCCTGCCTTGGCCTCTGCCTGCAATACTACCTCTGTGCCTGTCATTGCCCTGCCTACTGCCCCTGGCCCTACCGTTCCCATCCCTGCACCTGCTGCCACCACGCCCGGTACTCCTTCCACCTTTGCACCCGGCGGTGCTCCTTCTCCCTTCGTGCCTGGAGCTCCTTCCCCCTTCGTACCGGGCACTCCTTCCACCTTCGTGCCCGGTGATGCCCCTTCCATGTTCATGCCGAGCACTCCTTCCATCTTCACGCCCAGTGCTACTTCCATCTTCGCGCCCGGTGCTACTTCCATCTTCGCGCCCGGTGCTCCTGCCACCTTCGCGCCCGGTGCTCCTGCCACCTTCGCGCCCGGTGGTCCTACCACCTTCGCGCCCGGTGCTCCTGCCACCTTCGCACCCGGTGTCTCTACTCCTTTTGTCTTCATGCTGGCTGGCCCTGCTCCCTCGCTCTTTGCAACTGATGCATCTCCGTTGCTAAATATATAGCCCGTATCGCATAGAGTGTGTTAGAAACCGCTGTTCTCAGTATTGAACCTCACAATACAGAAGACTATTGATTTATTAATGCTGACTGTCTGAGCCATCTATACTACACTCTATTTACATTAGACTGCGAAAAAAACGAAGGAAAAGTAACAGTAACTACGGGAAGTAGGGGGAAAACGGTGTCGGCGTCGTGCCCGACGAGGGCGGGGACGGCGCGCCGCGCGCGTGGCGGCGGGAGCGGGAATAGCCGACGGTATACTCAACGCCCGGCGGGATGGACCGCCCAGACCTCCCGCTATCTATAGATTGCGTCATCGGGAGCCTCGGGTCATCCGCAATAGCCGGAGGACTTGTGCCGGTAGGGGAAAGCATAGCTATTTGGTATGTTACTGGCAGTATGTCTAAAATAGGGGAAGCAAGCTAATTAGCTTGCCGTACCCACCCCATATGGCAAGCTAATTAGCTTAGTAACATGTAAGGTCCAGGTGCTCGAATATATCTCGAATACAGGTTATGATCGGGTGCGATCGAAAACTTTCCTCTGGTATATCAGCTATCTTTGTTTAGGCGTGGAGCCCTCGCTGGTAGTCAAAGATCTCGTACGACGAATAGTAATCCCAGAGTGTCCCTTGGGGGGTGTATTAGGCGCGTCTCAACTGATTTTCTGAAGTGATAATGCCTCAGCAGAAGGTCAGTTCCAATATTTGTCCTGGCATTGTCCAACATGTCTGTCTAATGATTAGATGGCGCAGAATAAAAGAGGTGTAGTAGCTGGTCTTCGCATCAGTTGACTTCGTTCGGATGACGTAGACTGTCCTACAATTTCCCAAACGCACTGTTAAATTCGAATTCCTGAGTGAAACCCAGGCATACGAATCTTGTAATTGATAGCCCTTGCTCGTATGCTGATTAAACAGCTCAAAGAGTGCGATTATTTTTTGTGATTGAGCTATTCAAAGTGTCAGTCCGGGCGATATTAGTCCTTCAATACTTTCGGAGCTCATGCTAGAGGCAGGAAACCACTGAAATTTGACAAGGAACAAGGAACCATAGCAGCAAGGTAACAAAACGTACACCAAGAAATCAAGAAAACGCAACAAGGTGACTACAAGATACGACAGCAGAAAACACAGCAAGATGCAAACCGGTAAGTATTCTACAGCAAAAGCATCGCAAAAGCACGGTATACGACATATGACAGCGAAAGTACAACTATTAGAAGTGACTACCGTATGGTACATGTAATTGCAAGGTCGTAGACGTCTAGCATTCCAAGCTAAAGTCGTCCTCGACGTTGAGCTCGGGCTTGGGCTTCTTTGCAGGCATCCTTCTCTCCTGGACAATTCCCTTAACCGCCAACTTCAGATCGTCCTGCCACTGCAGCGTCGTGCGGGCGGGAAGGCGCGACATGAGCTCTTCGACGCTCAGCACGAGCGCCTTCAACTCGTCCACGTTCCGCCGCTGGTGCAAGTCGGAGGGAAAATCGAGCGCTTTGTGGAGTCGGATTGCATCCTTCAGCAATTCACTGCCCGCCCAGCATCAGCATTTTATTGACGTAGAAAATTATAATAGACAGAAGACATACCTCTGAATATTGACACTCTCCTGAGCTTTCTCCAACTCCATGTGCGCGACCTTACTGACTCGCCTCCTCGCCTGCTTCTTCGCGAAATACAAATGCTCGCGCATGCATTCAAGAGAGACAAGAAGATGCGGTAGAGGACCCAAGAACAGGAGTCGGTAGAAAGACTTCGGCGGCCATTCCAATTCCTTGGATTTATCTGCGAATGCAGATTGGATACGAAGCCTCATCGCTCCCAACGGGCTCATGGTGATCGCGCAACGTCGAACATACTGACGATAGATCGTAAGAATGGCCTGGGCAGCAGTGATCTCCCTTTCCGTCGATTCGGCAGAAGCTGCACTCCGCTCTGGTTGAGTAGCCAGCGCAACGCCTTCGAAGTCCACCGCCTGTTCAACGTCATCCTCTTTGCCATCGTCCGCTTCTTCCCCGCCATCTTCGGCGTTATCTGTGGGTTCTGCTGTAGCAAGGTGAGCAGGTACAAATTCAGCAGCGTTAGCCCGCAGTACCGCCGTTGTGGTCAGGAGAGACGGTATGTTTTCCATGACACTATAGACTACTTGGCGCATACCGGGCAGAGGCTTGCGCTGCGGCTTGTTTGCTGCAATCAAATGAATCATCTCGTCCAGGGGTGTTCCAATCGCAGAATGGCGTATTTCTCTGGCAAGCTTATCCCAAATATTTGCACGCACATATCTGCAAGAGAATTAGGGAACTTCCGAGAAGAAAGGAGATAATCACATACGCATCAAGCATGAAGCTGAACTGTCTGCCTGGCTTGCGGATGGAAGTTATGCATCTAACAATGTTTCGCCGTAGCTCTTCATTCCTGACGTTGTAGCCCACTATCAGAAGGTGTCATGAGTCAATCAACGAATATCGGTACGGGCTGATATTGACGCACGAAGACACAAGTTCTTGCAGCTATGTAGATACGGAGTAAGAGCACATCCAGGCAAATTATTGGGTAAAGCACTCACATGCGCAGTATGAATACTTGTCTCACGGCAAAGCCAAGCGACCCGAAATCCCGACTTTCAAAGAGCAAATGATCTTCCAAACGTCAACTTTGGCTGAGCTCACCGGGCACAGACAAGTGAGACATTACCTGCATTTGAGCCCGTGTAGATCTGCTCCAACAAGTCTGCCATTGGTTTGATATATAAGGACAGAAGATTGGTTTGTCTTTCGCCATGTCTCTTAAAGCCTCGGGCGAGGCTCATAAGCCAACTACGAGGAAGAGTGACCTCATGGAGAGTGCCAGTTTGCTGATAGCGAGTAGAAATAACCAGTAGACCACACAAATGGTCTAAGAAGTCACATAGTACGCTGATGTCCACTGGGACTCTCTTTTCAAGTATGTGACTACATCATATGCGTCAGCCTCATAGACACCTTCGCATTCCTAGTGACTCACTTCGCAAATAGAATGCCCATGGACAAAGACGCAGGATGTGTGTCGGCCAGGAAGCCTACAATTTCAGGTACCACATAATATTTCCCAGGATCTCGTAGGAGTATCCTTGGCTTGCGAACTGTGACACATCGGATCGTAGGGATTTCTCTGTGAGCAAACTGAGGATCAAATGAAAAGCTAAGGGACGATAGCCTCAACAACGATGTCATGAATGACTTCGAGAGCTCAAAATTGTAAACAAAGGGGTTGAGAGATTGAAGGAGGTCTCGAGTCCAGACTCCGACAATTTGAAGACCTTGCTCAAACTCTGGGATGGCTGCTACATCCAGTATATGTAATGAACCCATCTTGTAGTATGGAGGATTGAGACTTTCGTACAACTGACGGAGCCAGTGTCTGGAGAAATCTTAGTCACCATGGCAAATTCGCACATTTGGAGACGCACCGACGCTGCCTTACTTGTTGTCTTACATCCTCCACTGCAAATATAGTGTGATAGATGAGGATCTGTTGAAGGTGAATCCGAATTCGAAGATTGTATGTTTTCGCATCATATGACGCGGCACTAGTATGAACTTGTGGGCAATCATTTCTGTGGCACTGACCATAGACGACGTAAGACAGACAGGGCTGTAACGTCCGTGCTGTACGGCATGCTTCGTTTTCAACCAGGATTCGCCGAAGAAGACGCTCGACGCGGAGGACCTGACGGACCAAGGTTCTGAGCACCCATCGTGGAACCAACGCCCCTTCTTCGGTAACTTGCCATGTTGGAGTCGAACACATTTGGCACTGTGTACAGAGAAAGGTCTCTTTAGGCAGCAGAAAAAGTTCTTGTGTAGGGGAACGGAACCCAAACAAGCGTCTGATGACACCATTATTGTCAGGATCCACATCATTAGCGAATTTTTGCAGCAACTGAACATAAAAGAGGAAGCTGCGCAGTTGTTCAGCAATCTCGGGAAGTGACGCGGTTTGAAGTTTCAGAGAGGTTCCAAAGACACGATCGAAGCACAGAAGAGCAGCAGCTTCGTCGTGATGTACGTGGAGAAATTTCTCCCCCAGTTGTAAGAGCGTTTCAAACTCAGATGATACAATCGCTCGGAACATAAGCACCTACTACAGATCAGCCACGCATAAACTATCTTGGAGATATGTATATATTACGTACCTCATCACGCATGTTGCTGTCCAAGTCGGTGACGTCTAAACGTGCCAACAGCCGGAGTAGTTTTTGAAGGGTGTTGTTGGAAGTCGCCAGCTCGGAATTTGGTGTGACTCCAAAGCAAAGGCTGCTCCACATACCGTCAAGCAGACATTGAGATGCACGTCGAAGCGAATCTGGGTTTCCGTGGTCCTTGGAAAACGACTCGATTGCTTCAAGCGTACGACCTTCCGATAAGTGAAGTTCAGCAGCGTCTGCGAACCTGCCTAGTTCTTCGAGTAGGGTCGCGCGTGCTATATCGAGGCCATAATCATCCATGTATTCCAGTGCTTCATCGTCAGACTTGAAAAGGTCCCTAGCTTGTCTATGAAAGAGCAAGTCAACTGAGCTAATTCATTGCTATCTGAGAAGCGACTTACTTCAGTTTGCGCTCCCTCAGATAGATTGTCCGAGACACGTCGATGATGCTCTCCACGACGTCTTGATTCATTGCTTCTCGGTGGACACGGATGACCCCAACAGCTTCGTCGAACAAACCCGCTTTTCTATAAGACTTCGCAGAGAGCGTGAACTCTGATGCATTGAAGTAAGCATGAGCAGCTTTGCCATCGTCCCCACTGATAGAGTAGCATTCAGCAGCGATACGAAAATAAGATCTTTTTTCTAAAAAGGCCTCTTCGGCAGACCCCCAGAATGCCTCGGCCGCAGTGGTGAACGCCTTCGACTGGGTCATACCGTCTCCACGGGTACTGGCTGGGGTTGACCTAGCCTGCTCTCGGAGATAGTAAGCATGAGCAACAGCCTTCTCTCGCGGGAGAGATGCTCGTTCATAACAATGCATCGCCTGACTGTAACGCCTATCGTTGAAAAGTGCAAGAGCCGTCATTTTCCATTCTTCTGGCGTTGACGACATGGCAAGACGTGGAACATCGGTACCCGGAGAGCAGTTCTGAATCTGATCCCTCGCTGTCCAAAATACCTACAAGAAATAAGCATGGCCGCCTATACGAGTGCTTTGAGCTGGTCAACTGACCCGCATCGGTTCACATTTCCCGGAACCATCAGCGATCCAAAGATTCTTCCTTGCCCGAGTAATAGCCACGTAAAGAAATTTTAACTAGTAAGTGGTGAGTGCACATCAAAGATACGCGACTAAGGGGCTGACCTCGCGGCATATACCACTGTGACGGGCATCATCGAAGCGAGGGGCAGGCAGCTTTTCCCTGTGGTCCTGAGGCATGGCGTTCAATATTACACGCCATTGAGAAAGATCGACAGTGGAGTCTTGGAAGAAGTTGTACAGCAGAACCTGAGTAATGTGGGCGATCAGGTTACGTATATCAATAAGGGACCTTACATCGTTAAACTCTAATCCCTTGCTCTCATATAAAGTCCTATCGTATTCTGGCGTTAGCTCGACTTCATTCAACACGAAACCATACTCACATTATAAGGCCGATATCACCTACTTGTTCACGCAATTTTTCGCGAGCGCGGTCGTCGCGGACGAGAATACCTGAAAGCCAATGAGCATGTCTCGGTTAGAGAGACGAAAACTGTACCGACATTGCTGTGCACCAAATTCTATATGGCTGCCTCTATCGAAAAATGAGAATCGCGGCACAACGACCGAAGCCCAAAACAGACTTACGATTCACCAAACAGGAACTGCTCATAGCGGACGCTATCTTCATCCCAACCGCTGAAAAAAACAGGTTTCAGGCCATCAATGATACCCTTTTCGTCGGCGAGGGTATCAATTGCATGAGGCCAGAACCTGGTGATGAGTTCGATGACGGAATGGGCACAGTTCACGATCCCGGCATGGGACCTATAATTCACCGCCAACTGGAATGACTCAGGCTGAGTACGAGTCATAGCCTCAGTACCTCCGTTCGTCTGCAGGTTGGATGTGAGCGAGATGAAACGACTTAGACCACGAATACCACCTACTTCAATTCTGTACAGGAACGCCTTCAAGTCATTGAATCTGAATGCACTTCCGACTGAAATGGTCTGTGCGGTATCTCCAGCCCAGAAGAGACCGGTCTCTGGGTTTCTGCATATTGTTCTCAGGACTGTGTAAGAAACCAGTAGTCAGTGGCTGCTCACAGCATGAGTACAGTGAGTGCTACCTAGGGCGTCAATCAGGAGGTTGTCTTGAGCTTCGTCGATATAGCTGTACATTCATTAAAAGTAAATTCAATAAGTTAGCAAAATCAACTCAACACAAAGTCAACTTGTTTCCCCGGTACGCTTTCACGTAAGCCATTCAAGATGGCGTGAGTTCTATGGAGATAATTAGTGCTGGTATACTATGACGTGAGGCTGACCGCGTACCTGTCAGCTGCATCGTAGTCTCCACGTTCTCGCTTTCTCTTCAAATAAGCCTGGAAGAGCTTGTATATCAAGTCCCGCTGATTGGCGAAGGTAGCCTGTGTCCGATGGCTCAAACCACAGTATGCATCCTTCTCCAGGAACCCAGCCGTGCCTATAAGTGTCTGCTCCGAACCCTTGATAACACCTGGGAAAAATATTGAGATCGTCACTGCACTTGAACCTAGTGAACACCAATTACCCATAAATTCGCCAAATACCAGACTAGGATCTGTTTATCTGGTCAGAAGGAGAAAGAGGGAATACCGAGACGTACGTACCTAGACCCTTGGTTAGGGACTGGGGAAAGTGTGTCCAGTACGACTCCATGAATGTTCCAAAGGAAACAAATGCTGCACGGCACTGTTGCATGTAATCGTTAGACAGGCTTTCGTTGTTCTCCTCTTCAGGACTGTCCTCTTTCATTGCAGATAGATTACCATTTTTCAGCCCATAGGAGCCTGACAACTCGCCAAATTCGGCTTCCAGTAATCTGCAAAGCTGTAAAGATGAAATATCTCGTTAAAACCTTGGCAGCGCCCCTTACTAATAGCATGCCTGACCTGGTCAAATGTGATGAACATAGGAAAATGTTCATCCTGCAACTCCCCGAATCGCTTCGGCAAATCACCACGCCAGTCGATCTCCTCATCGAGATCCACGAGACCTTGTTCGTGTCGAGCTGTCTTCGACGCTACTGTCTTCTTTAGCTCCTCTGCGGATTGGTTGGCTGTGGCGAGCGACTCGTGCAGCTTCGAGAAGTATTCTTCAACCTTCTCTGCGAGTACGCGGGACTGAGTGACGAATAACTGCCGTGGTTTCGGCATTGTCTCTGCAAACGCCTGCCATGAACGCTCAATACCGAGCATTTTGAACAGCATCGTCGTTGTTTTCCTATGAAAATGCAGATTATTATCGGAATAATCCAGACGGCTTGTATAAAACTCTTACCCAGTGCCGCTCCTTCCAAGAACATAGCAAGAAGAGGGATGTTCAATTATTTTCTTCTCTTGTGACCTTCTCCGAGGGTGAGTGCGATGACGGTGTTGATGATGAATGCACGTACGATACGTCGAATACATGAGCTACGTCTTGCTCTGCCAGTATACCTGTCGCAGTTTGTTGTAAGAACGTCCACGAACGCGATGATATCGAAACTAACTGTTCAAGAGGGCCTACACATGAAACCGGTCAAAAAAAGCTGACTACCAGGCATGACGCTACACAGCTATAGCTTACCTGCGAGAAAGTGACATATTTTTCTAGACTGTAGGAACGGCGATCGGTGGATCGGTGGAATCAGCCAAGCATCGATCTACGGTTACTGACAACTTACACAAGCAAGTCATGAAGCTGTAACAGGTGATAAGCGTCGTACTACCCTTCCATAACGATTTGATGAGTACCTTCTCGAGATCATCCTTGTGTAAATCTGGCCAGCCTGATGATGGTGCCAGAGTGCGTCCCTCCGTGGGTGGGGGAAATGACGCTGGCATGATGACGTTGCCTCCAGATTGGCGTGGTTTGTTGCGGAAGACGCAGCTTATATGTCGCACATGGTCATTAATGACTCTCGACTAATATGGCTTGATCGAGGACTTACCGTAGTTTGTACTCCTTCCCCTTTCTTCCAAGTTGATAACCGACGCCATCCCAAAATCGTTTGTCCAATTGCGCATGGGTGTAGATACCAAAGATTTTGAGCACTTTGTTGCAAGAGTCACTTCTGGGGGATGCTCGTGAAGAATGATAACAGACCTTGCCGTTCCACCTGTGCAGTCTTTAAGGACAATAGCACTACTTCACAGAGGATCCACTCACATCACTTTCATACTCTGGCACGCAGTCAACTTGATACTGAGGTGCAGGTCACTGTCTTCGGTGTGCACTATAGTCGAGTCGGATGCAGCGAGCTTACCACAAGACGTGAATCCCGCGTCATCTTCGCCTCATAGATGGGAATGTCAGTCTCAGTGCCTGTCAGTCGTTTCTGATTATCGTCGGAGAAGTGACCATTTGATAGCTCTCTGATACCCAACGCACTTTAGCGGAGTAACGCACGTCTCAGTACAGAAACTCACTTGATTTTCTTGACTATGATCCCGAAGAGCTTAGTATCCCGCTTGCGGGTCTGACGTAAATCTGCATCAGCGCGCGTGGATATCAGAATGCGCCATTCTCCGAATCCGTCAGCGCTGTCAAAGTACAGTGCGGCTTTCATAGGCTGCACCATCGGATATGCGGCAGGTATCTCATTTCCCTTCATCTCTGCAGCTGTCGATGGTGCTTCCCCTACCTCAGTATTAGTGACAGATGCGTCTTGGAAGAGGGTCGTCGGTGGAATATATGCCTTTCGAATAGCCTCTCTAAGCGACGGGTAGGTGAACATCGAGATATAACACTGTGAGAATGGTGTTGATTATCACGAGAAGGAAGCATGCAATCAAATCAAAATCAAACCTGAAGAATCTCCCATTGCTCTTCAAGAATCTTGAATGCCAATTCCTGGGCTTCAACTTTGGTGGTTGGAATTTGAAGCCCCAGATTTTTGAAGATCTGCGGGTCGATGGCGGTACTACGCGCAGCCCGCCTTCGTTTCTTCTGTTGGCCTCTTTTCTTAACAATATATGCATCCTCTTCATCAGCTTCGTCGTCCTCCTCAGAAAAGGTTTGGCGGGCAAGCACATCAAGCACGGGCCCGGTAAGTTGAACAGACCGCCGGTATTCGTGCAGATTGCCTGGCTCCTCCGCTGTGGCTGAGTAGGGCAAAAAGTGGAAATATAACGAGAAGCGAGATAGCAGTGTTGCCGCAACAGAAGATGCGAACTTTTCTGGATCTCTAGGAAAGCTCCGATGGATCCACTCCGAAAAAATTCGTGTTGAAGTATCGCTCATGACTGTAGATAAGGGTAAGGCAAGTAGATGAAATATGCAAAGAATCTCATTCACCTGACAGAGCGAACTCAAGTAGGTGTGGAATCGCCATTAGATCTTCAATGAAATGCTCGATGCTCATTGCTGGATTCCCGAGGTTGCTATCGAGGACGCCAACAGCGACCTCAAGCGCCACCTCATTCTTCAGCAACGAAGCATCGAAAAGGCTCATGTCGAGCTTGACCCGAACCTTCCGCCCCTTGTCACGCTGAGCTTGCATGACTGGCGGAAGCACTTGGCTGTATCCAACAGGCAAGTACCCGAAAGGTGGAACTTGCGTGGGGCCTGAGGGAAGTGATACCGTGACAGGGAGCTGCACAAAAAATAGGGGTAAATCAAACACAAAGACAAAAATTTTAGAGACAACAGTTGGCAGCGAGTTCTCTAACCCAACGCTGCGTGGAGGCACTAGCTAGGTGGTCAAGTTGAACGCGTCGCGAGTGTGTGACCAATATTCGCGTGACCCGTTACCTTTCTGTCACGCAGAAGGTGTCACAGCTCCAGGCACGTGGAGAACCACCACCTCCAGGGCAAGCAGGCAACGCTTCCTCTCGACTTCCTCGAATTCCTACATTTCTTCGCTCAGGAGCACCGTTTCATTTCCAGAGACATTTCGTATTCGTTACGATCCCAAGTTCAGAATATGCCTCCTCCGCACTACGACTTTCTGATCAAGGTGAGCTCACTTAGTACTTGAGACCCCTGGATACTGACCCTGTAAGCACAGCTACTGCTGATTGGTGACTCAGGTAGCACTGCTAAAACTTCTGCAGAGAGCTGCACTAACTCTGGTGATACTCTACAGGTGTCGGGAAGTCATGTCTGCTGCTACGATTCTGCGACGACGCCTGGACGCCGTCCTTCATCACTACCATCGGCATCGACTTCAAGATCCGGACAATTGAGCTGGATGGGAAGCGCATTAAGCTCCAGATTGTGCGTGTTCCCTACCGCATGCAGATGTCCCCACAGTTACTGCACAGCCGCTGACACTGCCTGCAGTGGGATACCGCTGGCCAGGAGCGATTTAGGACAATCACGACGGCGTATTACCGCGGTGCTATGGGCATTCTGCTTGTGTACGACGTCACGGACGAGCGGTCATTCAACAGTGGGTCTCAATCGCAGACCGTGGTCGCCGGACCCTGACTATAATGCTGACCCACGCCTGCCAGACATCCGCACATGGCACGCGAACATCGAGCAGCACGCATCGGAGGGTGTGAACAAGATCCTCATCGGCAACAAGTCGGACTGGACAGACAAGCGTGCCGTGACAGAGGAGCAAGGCCGCGAGCTCGCGAACGAGCTTGGTATCAAGTTTATGGAGACGTCGGCGAAGATAAATGAGGGTGTCGAGGAGGCGTTCTTCACACTTGCAAGGTTGGCTCTGAGTTGCTCTTACGCTAGATGCATACCGTGACACCCGTTGGTCCAATAGGGATATCAAGACACGGCTGATCGACTCGCAAGCAGATGCTGCTGCAGCAGCTGGCGGTGCTTCGAGCGCAGAAGGTTCGGTTAAGGTCAATCAACCAACAAGTCAGACCTCAGGTGGATGCTGTTCATAGGATGCTTTAATAGAGACTTTTGTTTGTTGTGCATACCTTCATGTTGTTATGAATATTCTCCCGCTGGTTGGTTCTTTAATGACTGCCCAGTCAGATGTAACAGTGTAGATATATCGACACAAAATCTCTAACGGGTAGCTGGATAATGGTGTGCGATCTTACAGCACAGAAGAGTTCCAGTTTCCTCCCCACCATCTCTTGATTCGTTCACCACCCCACTCATCATACTCCGCCTTCGTCACGCCGACTCGCTTAAACTCTTCTGTCTTCGCGAAATCCGCCATGCCTCTCCACGCGTCAAGGAGGGGGTCGGCAGCGCGCACAATCTCCAGCGGCATTTCGGGCGGTAATGTTGGGCGCAGCGCTGCTTGCAGACGTGGTACGAGCCCTGAGAGCTGCGATGGTCCGCCGGTCACGAACACGTTCTGAGTGGAAGCCTAAACTGAGCGGCAGGAACAGCTATTACAACTAATACCCACCTTGACCAATCGGGCTTTCTCATGATCGGGGAAGCGGGCGAGGACGTTCTGTAACACTTCGCCGACACCAGCAGAATCCACGCCCGCCATACTGGGTGAGAACCAAGTTTCGCACACTCGCCACCTCTCGACGTTCAAATGGATCCGAGCGTTACCTGCACCAGAGTCAGACTGACAAGTCGTTTGGTGAACAAGACGGGACACACCCTCCACATCCCCTTCTTCGTACTGAGGCCTGAACGCGGACATGAGTGCCGAGCGCTGCGACGACAATGCTGCATGCGTGTGCTCAGAGGTGAATGTGGGATCAAAGTTAAGCAGCTTTTGCTCTACAGCTTGCAGATTTATGATATCTTCTTCCTCGTCTGACGACGCTCCTGCATTATTCTGCGAGTAAAAACGCTAGCGCATCAGTCGCGCCCTTGAGCAGACATGGAGGGCCTTACTATCTGGCGATATATCGCCCAATCTGAATCGTTCGCCCCGAACATGTCTTCTAAACCGTCTGTTAGAGACAAAAGATACGTGCTAACGATACCAGCAGCACACACCACCGCCATTCTTCCTCCGTTTCTTCGGCACACGATCGTCCGCGGCAAGATTTGCGATGTTCTTCATCCTTGCCTGCGCCGCTGCGCTCTTCCTGTCCGTCAACGCCATCCGCCGGCGATTCCTCTCCTTGATCTTATTCATGATGGTCTGAACCGAACGGCAATCCATGAGAAGGACTTCCCAACAAAATGGATGATTTCGTGCCTGATGCTCCTTCCGCAGCTTAGTCGCCCAACCGGCGAGATCGCGGTCGCGTTCTTCTTCCTCGCGCCGCTCTTCAGCCTCGCGCTCCTCCTTCTCACGCTCTTTCTCGCGTTTCGCACGTTCGCGCGCATCGTATCCTGCCTTCATCAGTCGCTGCTTCTTCTTTTCTTTCAAGCCATCCTCGTCTAGCTGTAGAACATGATACTGGGTCAACGCATACGCATCAGCAGAGTAAACTGTGGGCATACATCGGCGTCTGCAACATCGACAAGCGGGAAGGATGGCGGCTCTTCCTGTAGAACAGATTATTGAAGCACTGCTATCGGTACTTAATCTGATGAATACCTCAGCATCCTCGCCGACCGCTTCCTTCTTCTTCGCTCTTTTGAGGTCTCCTTCAAGCTTCTTGATAACACTATCCAGAGCGGTATCATTCTCGTAGCCCGCGTGTTCAAGAATGTCCTAGGATTTCCACATTATGTTATAAATACTGAGAAATAAACGGACAAGACGACGCACGCCCCAGTCTTTCTGGCTCTCCTCGTCGCGTCTCTCGCGGAGAGTGAGCAGGCGCTTTAGGTCAATTTCCTTTCGCTCGAGCTGTGAAAGGACTGCGATCAACACACTAACGCGGATTAGCACACTGTCTGGGAATTACTTTTTCCTGCCGCGCTTTGGCCGCAATCTCTTGTAGCTTGCGCCCTTGCTCTCTCTTCCGTTCCGCGACGCGCGCCAACTCTTCTTCAGTCTTCTCTTCCACTACGGGAAGTGTGAACGGAAATTGGATGATACGTTCGGACTCGCGCAGGTTCAGCGGATCGTTTAACCCGCGCAGGACAGCGGGGTAGTCCGTCGCGAATTCGCAGAAATTATGGAGCATCCACTGCCCTCATCTGTCAAAACGAATGTTCTCTACAGCCAAGGCGAACGTACCGTTGTTTGGTTGTTAGTAACACGAGTCTGAAACGTGGGGTACTTCAGCTGGATAAGCTTGAGCAGATAGTCCGTGGCCTGGGAGGCGCCCCATGGTATCCTTGACGAATAAATATAAGAAAGCCACATTCGAGAGATGATCCCCCGAATGACACTCACCGCTGGGCATGTTTCATGAGACTTGTTCCTCCCAGCACGGGTATGACCGAAGTAGATGCAGTATTGAATGAAACAACTATACCGTCAGACCTGAAAGGAACAGGAGCACTACAACTGTGATAGAAGGACATAACAGAGTCGACGCAATACGCCAGTGACGGTACAGAATACTGCTCAAACATCAGTTCCGACGTCGCTGAATACGGGTCAGCATATTTCGGACACCTTAGAAAATAGGGCAACGCACAGCTGCGTGAATACAATGGTGAGCACAAGCGCTCAGTCATCAGGACGGGGTGGTCGATGCTGCCTGCGTCGATGCCCAGCTGCACGAATGCATAGTCCAGTGCATTTTCCTGTCATACCGGGTGCAGCCAAACTCAGTTCACGGTGCAAGCAGCACAACAGCCAACTCACAAGCGCTTCGAAGTTAAGTAGAACATCGCCCTCCCATGGCATCTTGGCCTGCGCCTTGGCGGTGCTGTCCACATCTACGCCGTCCCCGAAGAGCATCATCGGCTTGTTCGTCCGGCGCTCCTTGAACTTAGCCACTACATTTGGCTGCGACCGCGGAATGTTTGAGGTGCAGAATCCGAAACGCAGGTTGCTCGAGCCATTGTCGATGATAAGCGGGGTGTGGTGTCCCCGATATTCGTCATATGAGTCCGATCTCTGTATGACTGGGATGGAAGGTACCGGGGTGCGAGTTATGTTGAGAGATTCGGGCATGGATGCTGGAAGATGGGGGAAGCAGCCAGCGGCGGAGAGTAGTCTGGATGCTGACAAGCGGCAGTAAGGTCCATTCTGCGATGCATCAATTCAAGTTCGCAAGCGCAGACGCCCTCGACGAACCTACATTTCCTTTCGTGGAAAACGATCAATCTCATCGCAGACGGTGGTGAGCACGGCTAAGCACAAAAAACATTGCAATTCGAGTCAACACAGTGGACAACAATGCCGAACAATAATGTAGAGCGTATCGGTAGCAGTATTACACGTTAATATAGAGACAAAATGCAAATGCAAAGCAAGATACAAACTGTTCAAACCGTACAAGAAAGTCTCGGATGAATGCGACTATTCCACTGTCACCGGCGCATTCTAGTGCTGCGAGAAGACGTAGTCCGTGCATGTTCAAAGTCTTGTTTGAAGTTCGCATACCACTCGCGGTCCACGCGATGCAAATAAAACGATCCGCCACCACTCCCCCACGAAACGCTTCCCGGATAGTACTTCCGTTCTGACACACGGAATATGGCACTGATGTCATCCAACTGTGTAATAGACGATTAGAGAACCAAAAATGCTATTATAAGAGAAAACTCACGTTCCGTTCCGTCCGTGTCAGACGCGTCGATGATACAAATGGCTTTAGGGACACCACAATGGCACCCTCCTTCAAATCCAAGAATTTCGGACGTAGGGCCTCATTCACTGTTCCGACATTTAGACAGGGCACAGGAACAAGATCGACCAAAGGATACTCACAGGACTCTAAGAATACTTTGTTATTGACCAAGACGACATCGGCCTTTGGCACAAGCTCATCCACTCGAGCGCTTGTTAACATGTCGCCCTCCTCGAGCTCCACGTCCCCCATGCGCACACCCCACATGCGGCATCGCTTCTGAAATTGTTCAAGCTGGCTCCGCGCAATCTTCGCAGGGGTAGGCATAACTTCGATCCCAAAGCTCCTGCACCCTGTCTGCAAGCTCGCTTGCAGCACGACGTTGCCCACGCCGGACCCCAGGTCCAGGAACAGTGAGTCCGAATTGAGGCCCGTAGCTTGGACGATCTGCGAGACGAACGACGGCATCAGCTCGCCGTACACCTCCGACGAGAATGCCTCGTAGCGGTTCAGCATCGCCGAGTGAGGGCCCACGGCCCTCTGGTACGTCTCATCAATAATACGCGTAATGACATTCTTCGGGATATGCGTCCAACCTTTGACTGCCCGGCGGATACAATTGCCTTGCGTCAGTTCGAACGGGTCCTCGGGCACGGGGGGATATTTCAGGAGCCGCAGGAGTGTATTGATGGCTGCCATGACACTAAGGAACAGCGGCCCGTCGCGCTTGTGCACCGCACGTCGAAGCAGTCGAAGGTAGTTGACCGTGGGAGTCGCAGAAGCCGAGCCCTGCGACGCGTACGGGGAGAGCTCCGAGATGGATGATAGCATAGAGATGCAGGGTAGTGAGGATGATGTGGACACAGAGGATTCAGTGAGGGATAATAATGACGACGCAGGAGATGCCAGATTGCCAGACTCTGATGGTGGGGGAGAGGCCTCAATGCTGTCATCGTCGGCCAGATTAGTGGTGGGAAGACTGCCAAATAACGCCTGCTGGGCTGGAGTAAGATAGTCTGCGAATGGCCGTCAGTGCTGACCACAAAGAAGGGCGGATCGCGTACTCTCGAGTATCGTATGCAGGGTATTCTCTAGACACATTATTGGATTGTAATGGTCCTTGTCCTTGGGTACCAGCAGCACAAATCTCGTTTTCCTATGAGTCGTCGCAAAAATCGAATATCGCTAACGGCTCTCACCTCTCGCATGCCCCGGTATTAGGGTACTCTAGTTCCGTAACAGGATAATCCGTGGGGTGAGGCTCAAATCTCTTGTCTTCCGGGTCATTTGGGTTCGTAAAATCTGGAGAACGATGAATGACTCGCAAAAATGAAGGGGAAAACGTAAACATACATCCTTTATATGTCTTCATCAAGTTCTGCACCACACTCTCGCAGCTCAGAAATCCCGCACCGGGTCTCCCGCCCTCTTCGATCGAGCAGTCCCGCGGAGGAGGGTCCGCAAGGGGAAATTCTGAGACTGAGCGCGACCTGCTGCCACGCTCTAGTGACGTATCTCGTGTAGGAGGATACGACGCGCGTGATACAGAAGACTGTCGACTGTTCGCGGGCGTCGAGCTCGGCGCGCGCGACCGCGCGTCGCCGCTTGGCAGAGAAACTCGTGGTTTCTTTGTTTTTTCTGGTCCTCCGTCGTTCTCCTCTATTCTTCGCCGTTTTACAGAGTCTGAAATGGATGAGTAGCCTGGAGGAGTCGCCGAGCGAGCTTTGAGCTTAAGGGTGCCGTCAGGGGGTTTTGGCACGACGGCAACACGCGTGGTGACCACGCTCGGAGTCGCGTTCGACGCGACATTCTTTGAAGATTTTGACTTGGAGAAAAAAGACAAGTCTGACGACGACGGGCGAGCCGCCGTGGTCGTATACATCGTGGTCATCGACAAAGAGAGTATAAAAGTCGCGGTCGTCTGTGGCGGTGGCCCGTCACTGCCGCGACGTCACGCGTCAGCGAGAAAAACTTCCCGTTTGGGATGGTCTTCGGCCACAACTTACAAACTCAATTGTAGTGATGGCTATTGAAGAAATTGAAGAATACACCACCGTGAAGGTCAACATGATAAAGAAATCTCGTAAGGAGAAGGATGCACTACAGAAGACTCACAAGGACGAAGGACTAGGTGGTCTGTATGTTGGGTCCATTCCACATTATTTGCGGTTTTCACTGGTTGCACAGACACGGACGTCGACGAAGATCAGCAGAGGAAGAAGAAAAAGAAAACACGAGAGACCGAGTACGTCGGTGATGCTGAGGGTGGTAGCTCTTCGATTGCGGACATCCCAGGTGACTCGTTTGTATGATGTTGCCGTCATGCCTGTATTGAACCACAAAAGTCGTAGAGGATGAGAAGACTTCCAAAAAGAAGCGAAAAAGACGTCATGATGAATCCAACTCTACCGACGCGAGCACGAGCAAAAAGGAGAAGAAGAAGCGAAAGAAGGATACAGACGTTGAGGGAGTCCCGGAAACGGCTGAGAAACACCCATCCGACGAGCCTGCACCCTTGAAGAAAGACAAGAAGAAAAGAAAGAAGGATGCCACTGCAGACGAAGCTACCCCAGAACTTCCAACGAAGACTACAGTGCTAACAGCGGACAGCCCTTCCCCTTCGGAGACAAGGGCCTTCCTTACAAAATACGACGTCACCATCCATGCCCCAGAAAGTGCAGGCAAAGTCACGCCTGCCATCTCTTTCAACCAGCTCAATATACCGTCTGGACTGATGCCTGCTTTTGATGGGTTTAAAGAACCGACACCTATCCAAGCATGTTCATGGCCACCGGCCTTGGCGGGCCAGGATGTGGTAGGGATCGCCGAGACTGGCAGGTACGTTCCTCTTAATCTATAATGCAGAATGGATGTGTTGATGGGTTCGCAGCGGAAAGACTCTCGCGTTCGGTCTACCCGCTCTCTCTCGATTGATCACAAACTCCTCTGATTCTGATCCCAAGAAGTCCAAGAAAACAACAGTGACTGTGCTGATCATGGCGCCTACTCGCGAGCTTGCAATTCAAACTCACGAGACACTATCGGCGCTCGGTGAACCGTTTGGGATCGCGAGCGTCGCCGTTTTCGGTGGCGTAGATAAGGCACCACAAGTGAAAACTCTTAAAAATGCCAACAAGGACGGCAAGATGACCAGAATCATTGTTGGGACTCCCGGCCGTATATTGGATCTTGTGAATGATGGTGCATGCGATCTAAGCCGGTATGATGCCGCCCGTATTCGCTAATGGGGATATTTAGCTAACTGTGGGTGCTTGGTAGAGTGTCATATCTAGTGCTAGATGAGGCTGATCGGATGCTGGACAAGGGGTTTGAGAATGACATTCGTAGCATTATTGGGTATACGAAGCAGGGCGCAGAACGCCAGACGCTCATGTGTAAGTCTGATACTGCTGGATTTACCGCACATACCCATGTCTTGTATGCTTCCCAGTCAGCGCAACATGGCCTGAGGCTGTACGAAGACTGGCTGCAACTTTCCAACGAGATCCCGTACGAGTCACTGTAGGCAGCGACGAGCTCACGGCGAACAGCCGAGTTGAACAAGGTAAGGAAGCGGCTGTCAACTTTGATCTCGATGCTAACCGAGAATCCGTTCTGCGCCCAGTTGTGGAAGTATTCGACGATGCACGTTCCAAAGAGTAAGGTGACATGTCATCTCGAGTATCTCTTTCTCTTGACATGTCATTTCCAGCTCCCGACTTCAAGGTCATCTCCGCACCTTGTCACACAAGAAGTCAAGCAAAACCGGCGCACCGGAGGATGCACGGGTCCTCGTCTTCGTCCTGTATAAAAAGGAAGCATCGCGCGTAGAGGGCATGCTGCGCAGCAAAGGGCACACGGTCGGCGGCCTACACGGCGACATGTCTCAAGCAGCCCGCATGGAGGCACTCCACAACTTCAAGACTGGTATCACCAACCTTCTTGTCGCTACGGATGTGGCTGCGCGCGGCCTGGACATTCCGAACGTCGCTGCAGTGATTAATTACACATTTCCGCTGACGATTGAGGACTACATCCATCGCATTGGGCGTACTGGTAAATGCTTCGCTTCAAATAGCATTATATTTACTTATGTTCTGTAGGTCGTGGCGGGAAGAGCGGCAAATCGATCACGTTCTTTACTGGCGATAAACACGAACGAGCCCTCGCCGGAGAACTCGCGCGCGTTCTTCATGAAAGTGGGTTTGAGGCAGAGGGGTTGAAGAAGTTCCCCATGACCATCAAGAAAAAGACTCACGGCGTGTATGGCGCATTTTTCAGGGACGATATTCCTGTTCCCACTGGCCCAACCAAGATTACGTTCGATTGAAGAAGTTCCTTCATCATCTGGGATCGTGGCGAATCAACCAAAAGCATCCTTTCCCCCAACATTAGACATGGTCACAATAGATGCCATGAATCTGTATTGTTCTTAAATATACATGTTATCGGCCACATCCACGGAACACGACTTGCGATACAATACAAGTGCCCATATCGAAACAAGACACGGCCTATACTACAAGATCTTCTTCTCTCAACCACGGCACCGCTATTCAAGCTGCTGCGAAACTGATGGTCTCGAGCCGTCCCCGTCCTGCACACTCCTTCTGAAGCAGCTCATTCAGTACCCGGAATTGACCAGGGTCAATGAGGAGAATCTGCAGTAGTCTTAGTGGGGTGGTCATAGATTGGACTAACACTGCATACCGTCTGCCAGTCTTCTGAACCCTTCTCATCGCGCTCTACTTGATCCGCACTTTCCAGAACGCGCGTGCGCAGACGTTCTGCATCCGCAGTTGGCAAATTAAGAGATACACGCATTCGGGCGCGCTGAATGGGGAGCTTAGACTCTGTTTGCAGGAGCTTGATACATTCAGAGACCTGAACAATACATTTCAGAATAATCTGTGGCAAACAACATCTGAGTGTCGACTAACCAGGCTCTTTGCATTCTTGCCTTGGCGGATGCTGAAGCCCGCTTCGTCCATTGCCTTCTCGATGATGCCTACAGGGTATCTTTTTTGGGTGGCAGGGTCGACGCACTTCTCCGCGACGAGGGTGGCAATTTCTTTGCGGATGGAGGTAAGATCATGCTCGCGCTCCTTCTCTCCAACCTGCAGTTCGCCCTTCTTCAGAATCTGGTATTCATTGGATTTATGAGAATCAGTAAGCAGACAAGCGGGTAGTTTGGACTGTGACCCACTTCTTTGACTATCGTGTTTGTGTCGGTGGTTCCAAACGCTTTCTGCAGGTCTTGACTCTTTGCGAGCTCTCCCTTGGACACGTTAATGAATACGTTGGAAATCTGCATAACGTCGTCTATGTCTGTCTCCACACCGCTGCGCCATTCTTGGACCTTGTTCTTGTAGCACGCGATCTATACATGCGTGCAATTAAAGCAGTGAGAATATAAAAGAGGGCGAGGAAAAATGTGACTCACCTCGAATCGCTTTCCCCCCTTCTTCAGACGGACAATAGACACGTTTGTCAATCTATTTATGATACAGAGCACTTGTTAGCTGCCCGGATTGCAAGAAGCAGAATGCGAACAAGTATCACACTTAATCTGATTTGACGGCTGCTGAATAGGCATCGTGAACGGAGTTGACGGGTTGCTGGTATAGTGGATATACGCGTGTGTGACAGTCAGGATCCAATTGCAGTCAGCACGGATGAGGAGTGCGTCTCTATTTGGCAGCGCAGTGCAGCCGAGTCGAAATTCGGCTGACGTAAGTGGCTCGGCAAGCGCAGTGCTCGAGAACGAACAAGCTCCTGTTTCCGCAGGCAACTCCTTGCCATTGCCCTCAGCGACAGCAGTTGGCGTTGTGATCGCACGTACCTCCATCGAGTAACTTTCCGAAACTTTCCGATTTTTTGTCACCGAGGTTAGCTGGACATGAAGGGGATAACAAAAGCATTTGCGCGGTGAGTTCTTACGAAGTACTCATTATCGATTAGACAGCATTGCGAGGCGGGACACTGATGTTGGGCATATTGCAGTACGCCGCACATGCTGACTACCAAGGTCGGCATGTCCAAGAGTGCGTTGCTTGTGACTGTATCCCATCCGCATAGATATACTTAACTTGCTGTGAAACCGCCGCCGTGTGTGAATAGAGTCTTCCGATCCGGAGTTTGACGATTACGCGCGCCGCTTCGCCACCATTGAGACAGGCACCGACAAACTTCTCAAGGATGCCAAAGCATTCAATGAGGCTGTATCCGAGCTCTTTACGCATGGCGTTAACTTCTCGCAACACTTCGCTACGGTATTCCATCCAATCGTGGGCGAGTACGACCTCCTCGGCAAACATCCTAATGCAGAGAACACTATTGGGAATGTGGACGGATACGAGACGGCGTTCCAAGAGCTGAAGACTGCGATTGTGCCCGAGCTGGAGCTCATTGAGAGCAGAATTCTTGGACCTGTCAAGGAATTGCAAGGCGTCATGAAGATGATCAGGAAGAGCGTTACAAAGCGTGAACACAAGGTATGTTTTGTGCTGTAGTTACAAGCAACAGACTCCATTGCTGGACAGCAATACTTGGGTGCCGCAACTGTTGCTGACTTAGTCGTTCGCCTTGCACAGCTTATGGACTACGATCGATTCAACAATTCCTTGACCAAGCTTCGAGACAAGAAGGAGAAGAGTCTTAACGACGAGAAGCATATTTTCAAGGTACGTCTGTTACTAGTCATCAGTACTACCTTCGTCTGCTATTTGCCGTCGATCTTACTGGTTTGGGGTAATGTATTTACGGTGTGTATTACAGCTTGAGCAAGACTTTGAGCTTGCATCCAATGAGTATGATTACATCAACACGGCGATGAAGAACGACCTCCCTCGCTTCCTTGTCCTGGCCACGCAGTTCATTGAACCCCTGTTCCACTCTTTCTTCTACATGCAGTGCGTAATTCTCCCTTGTACATTATGGCTGCGTCATGCACTGTGTACCGATTGATACCGTTGCCGCTTTCGTGTGTCAGTGCAGACGCTCGTTATCTCATTTCCTCATTGCTAAAATCCATTACTAAAAAACTTATTATGTATGGGATCGCAGGTTGAATATCTTCTACCTCCTGCTCGAGAAGTTGAGCGGATTTGCAGAGGGCAAATACGACGTTTCGATCAGTGGTGCTGAAATTGCAACTGAGTACGAGCAGAAGCGTACGGACGCAATGGAGAACATCGAGGCGCTCAACGTCACACAGCGCCTGATATCGACATGTAAGCCTAACCTGAGGTGGTTTACCATTCGCTTTTCAATGATAATTGACTATTGTGGCCTACAGCCAAACTCGTCCAAACTCGCCGCTTAGCATCGAGCGGCTCACCAACCAGTGTACGCCCCAACTCCATGCGCTCGACCTCTAGCACGGGCTCTGCAGCCTCTCGTTTGCCCCCTCCCGTTCGCTCCACATCCTCGGCTTTCACGAAGAAGGCGCCACCGCCCCCTTCGCCGAGCCTGACCTCCGTTCCTCCGCCGCCCTATTCACCCCCGGGGAGCGGTGGGTTAGCGAAGAAGGCTCCCCCTCCCCCTCCCCCACTCAAGCCGAAGCCGAAACCAGCTGCTTCGTATGTGGTGGCGGTGTACGACTTCAGTCCACAGGCGGGCGGCGATTTGGGGTTTAACGCGGGGGACCGTATTGAAGTGGTCGAGCGCACTGAGAGTGCGGAGGATTGGTGGACAGGCCGAATTGGTGACAGACATGGTGTATTCCCAGGTTTGTTTTCCATTGGAAAATCGTATACCTACGACTGATGTAATATTATCCAGGAAACTATGTTCAGGACGCTTAGAACAAGATCGTCGACTATTGGAGGGGAATGCATCCTAGCATCTGCTTAAATTTCGCGTATGCTTTCCGGATGTAGAATAATCGAAGCAGGAGAAGCTAATTCCTGAATGATGTGGCAGCACACCGTTTGTATTACCACTAGGTTATGTTGTCATGTTATTCTGCCTTCCATTCGTCTTTTCTCTCGAACACCATGCATCTCCATGAGCACAGGTCGACTTGAGACTACATCACTTTTTCACCGCTTGGGTAAAGTGAGTCACTCACTCTGCAGTCAGCCGCTTCGCACTGGAGGGTGAGGTAGATGTTCCAAGTCTATTCGCATCCAGTTTTTGTTCAATCTTGGACAGCCTCTTGGTCAGATCGAGGTGCAACTTGAAGCGGATCTCGTGTCCCATGCCGAGTGGCATGCCTCAGGTCGTAAGATCCTGGAGATTCATCTGTCGGCCCCAGAAAGCGTGCCACAAGCTTTCAGTGAGTTCCTTCCCTTATCATCTGACATTTCAACCCTAAGGTGTCTGTAGAGACTATGCGAGAGTGCCAATGACCACTTTGCCACCTTCTGCCACCTTTGCGAGAAAGAAATGGATTCGCGCCCTTCACCATCCGATTTCTGCAAACCCAGCATCTGGCCCGCCGTGCAAGGGGAGCATCGTGACCTACTGTCTCCGTCCCACCGAGAGGAAGGATTTTACACTCGCTACTCTGCATGATGTCTTCCGGACGTTCCGGGTTCGGGCGAATTCTTCCCTCCCTGAGCAATCTCTTGCTGCAGATGCGGCTCTTCGTATCGTGCAGAGTGATGGAGGGATTTTTCGAAGATGAGTTAGAGCGGTCGAGGGAATTCGACGAGTGTGTCCAGGAGGTCTTCCCATCGTGGGAGTCATTTTATCCGCCTAACCCTCCTCTGAACTCCATAGTGCAATTATTGGTCGACTTCTGATGCTTGACAGGGAGGCGGCGATGTCTACCTCCAAATTGCACGCGACTTTCAACTTGTTATCAATGGCCTTCGCGGCGACTGCAGTCGGGCAGCGGCGACCTTTTTACAGCATGGTGCCCTAATGCTCCTTCTCTGTTTGCTGGGTATGTGTATGTCTGCCGTATGATATGTTCCTTGACACTTTCTCAATGGACCCTTACTTTTGTTGTTGGTGGCTTCTACGATGGAAGTTGAGTGATCATGGAACCTTCGGCTTTATGTTGGAGGATGGAACAGACCAGCGCCAGCAAGAGCTTGCTCAGCTGCTCTATGCATTAGACCAGGGCATAGGTGAACTCCGGAGGTATATATCTCATGTTTATGTTTGGTGGACAGGATCTCACCTCAGTCTCTTTCCTAGGGTGTTGCACATTTCCCCGCCGGATCAGTTTATTGGTGGTGTTCCTCGGCTATATTCTTCCTGTATGTTGTTCGCACAGTCAGCAACAAATGCGATAGCGTGTCTCACATTTCACCACCCTCTCCCCTGCGAAAACCTGCCCCTCTATGCTACCTTGTCGCCTTTGCCTCCGACTTCACCTTCGTCCCCCACCTCGCTCTTGCCTGCGCGTACTCCTGCTCAATTATCCTTGATAGTCAAGCTAGTCAAGGAATGCTATGGAGAAGATGTACACTGGATCTTAGCTTGCTATGGCTTCGCGCCGGCCCTCCATGGGTACTCATGGCTGAAAGGTGCTCCGACTGCGTATGTTATAGAGCATCTCAGGCCTAACTGGATGTCATTGTTTGACTTCGGGCGGAGCGCTGATGCGGCGGCTTTCAAGGATACTCTCTGGGCCACTCTCCAGAAGGTGGTCGCAGTGATGGGAGTACTGAAAATGTTGTACATGGTGACCTACGATCCAACAACATTATGCTGCAGGCGGCAAAGTTGGAGATGGTCGACTTCGATTGGGCTGGGAAGGCTGCACAGGTGTTTTATCCCGTGCGGCGTCATGATCAGATCAACTCGTCTGTGCCTGCTGGGTGCTCGCCAGCGATTGAGGCCGGGCATGATCGTCAGACGGATAATTCATGGTGGCAGTCCTTCGCAGCTTGATCGGGCCAAGTACACATGTCATTGCCTATGGCGGCCTGTATGCAGCCTCTCGAACGAGATACTTTTATATATACTGCAAAGAGGCGGGATTTACCATATACGGATACCGACTCTTGGTCCGATCGACTGACCGAAAGGGAAGGTGGTTCTCCAAATATAGAAGCTTTGCATCTATTCAGCATCTATTCTACTCACACTGCTCTCTTCGTGACGTCACGCAACCTAAACTGCGTACGTCGCCTCATTAGTACAGTGTATGCTGCAGCATACGAAGCCGTCATTATTTGAAAGGCGTCAATTTCCCAGCTCCTTCTCTTGGCTCCGACTGTTGATCACTTTCTTCCGTTTTTCCCGAGGTATAGATCTAATCCGTCAAGCTGTCCTATATCAACACAGCTTACGACTTCCTCTTTCACGCGTTGTGTGGATTATATTCGCTCTGCACTTGCAGAACAGGATCCCCGTAGTACTATGACCAGAACACCATAAGTGACAGTAGTACCACCTCGATGCCTAAAGCGTGCTATGATATAACACACAGAGTTTAAAATATTCGCCAGGCGAGCGCAACAGTGAAGGCATTACCTCGGATTCTCTGGACAGCCCGAGCCTCGAATCTGTGGGAAATCCTCTGGGAGACCACTCTAGGATGTCATTCAGTCATTCGCAAAAACTACTGTATAGGCCCCAGCAAAAAATCAGGCCGTAAGTCGGATATCAAACAAAAAGACAAACAAATTTTGAATTTGAAGGCCCACGCCGGCCTCGCTAGCAAGGGCCGTACATCTCCGCCCATTGAAGTGGCATTCGTTCTAATGTCCGTCCAAGATGCCTTTGGTGTCTTTTTGTTCTCGCAAACGATTATAAAATCGGAGAGGAGCATATGGCCCTTCTCGCAGACGAAGACTAGCCGAAGAATAGTACTTAATTATAGCATAGGGATACGTGGTGGCCAAGTTGATAGCCTAGGTCTGAACGTTAACTGTACAACCTCAAACAGTTTTCTGGCCATCTTATGTCACCCGTATTATTTTATTTAGCATGCCAGCAGAATGTCTCCTGCAGGCTGCAGCAAGTAGTACAGTGAAGCATCACGGTGGCTATTCATCTCGTCAGTCTCCAGCAATTGCAGGCGAAATGAGAAACGACTGTATCGGCGAGTGGTGTAGGTGGCACTTTGTCGGAGCCGGCGCTGATGCGCGTCAGCGTGACTGGTGCGTGACCGAGTGTCAGCTTGGTGACGAGAGGGAGAAAGGCCGTGCAGAAGCGCGACATACAGATACTACCCAACCCCGGCTCCCTCCATCTCCTTTGTTTAATATTTCTGACGGTGGCACGCTCACTTCGCCTCGTACACAATTATTCTCACCGAGGACAACCGCCACAGCCGCAGCACACCGCGAGCAATATAAGCTGCGAGCACTGCATCGCTTCTGGGTGATCCACGCCTCATCCGCCACCTCACCTGCACCCTTCCGCCATGAACAACATGATGGGTCTTTTCAATCAAGCAACATCTAAGGTACGGCCACGCGTAAGCTCGTCCGCAGAGGACAAAATGCCTGAAGATACGGAACCGGACGATACATCGATCTTGTCTGTCTCCCTCCTCTATGCACTGCTACACTGAACCCGATACTGAAGAGGATGCTTACTGCAGGGACGAAAATGAAGGGTCTATTATTCTGTCCATGATTGCACAGCTAAGGTGAGTTCTTAGATGGATGTTGATTGAATGCGCTCGCTGGGATCGGGAGCTGGGCCACCGTGGAACGTGGCCCGCGTTGTGGACGCTACAAATTGTAGCATGTCCCTGACTACAACGAATGCAGAGTGCATCTGGCTGCGCATATTCTGGAATGATATTGACGCTAACTTTCTGTAGGGTCGGAATGGACCTTCACAGGGTCTCCTTCCCCACCTTCGTGCTCGAACCCCGCAGTATGCTCGAGCGCATCACCGACTTCATGTCGCATCCGGACCTCATCTTTGGGCAAGTGCTCACGGGTACGCTCTCGCTGTGGCCCTGATCTCACTTCTCTGCGTGCGCTTCCAGGGCTGAGAACTGCGAGGATCCTGAGGAGCGCTTCATCCGTGTACTGCAGTACTATCTCGCTGGCTGGCACATCAAACCCAAGGGCGTGAAGAAGCCGTAAGTGCACTACAATACTGTGTCTTCGCGCCAGTGCTGAGATTTTCGCCGTAGATACAATCCTGTGCTGGGCGAGTTTTTCCGCTGTAGATACGACTACCCAGACGGCACGCAGGGGTTCTACATTGCCGAACAAGGTATGACGGTGGGGCGGGGACGCGAGCATCCGCTGACGCGCACTCGCAGTGTCACATCATCCGCCCGCGTCGGCGTTCTATTACATCTCCCCGCAGAACAAGGTCGCCATCGTTGGCGAGCTTCGCCCCAAGGCCAAGTTCCTCGGCAACAGCGTCTCCACACAGATGGAGGGCGAGAACCGCGTATACCTCCTCGGCCGGCCCGATGATGGCGGTACGTAGTCCACATTCTTGACGCGCGTCTGCGGCTTATCGACGCGCAGAATACGTGATCTCGATGCCGAACATGTACGCGCGAGGCATCCTTTGGGGTAAGATGGTGCTTGAGCTCGGGGACACGTGCACCGCGCGCAATGACCGGAATGCGTTCTATGCGGACCTTACGTTCAAGACCAAGGGCTACTTTTCCGGCACGTACAACGCGATTGCGGGCCGGATACGACGGGGCAGCACAGACAACGGTGAGCTATCCGGGAAGTGGAGCAGCGTCATGGAGTACAAGAACATTAAGGTACGTAAAGTGGTACAAGATGTATTTTCTCACTAGAGCTGTGTGATAGTCAGGCGTCAAGCGGGTGCTGTTTGATGCCAGCAAGGATGGGTTGAAGATCGCACCGAAGTGTGTGGCTCCTGAGGAGGAGCAAGAGCCGAACGAATCACGGCGGTGAGTATCCTATCCTCTTTATCCGCGTCGTCCTCATAGCATCCACAGTCTATGGACAAAGCTGACACGGGCTATTGTCTCGAAGGACATGGACGCGGCGTCGAAGGAGAAGATAGCAGTTGAGGAGTCGCAACGCGAGCTCCGCCGCAGACGAGATGAGAGCGGAGAAGAGTACATCCCGCGCTTCTTCATGCAGAAGGATGGGAGGTGGGTACCTAAAATCCGGTAAGTGGCGACCTGCTTTCTGGTCCTCGTGTGCTCACTACTTACCGCTACTTATGCAGGGTGCCAGACGATCCTCAGGAAGCCGTGGAGTTCGTCAAGGCTTGGATCTGGTCGCCGCCACTGTAGAGGATTTCCGTTTTACTCGCTTTCTTTTGCTCCCGCACATTTTCAATCTATGTTTCAGATTAATGCATTTATATCGGCCAGAATTGTACAACAAATATGGTATCGAGCGGTGTGAATGAATCAGACGACGCAATGTAACCAATCCGGGGATGAAGGGAATCATAAGATGTACTTGGCTGCAGATGTGGAAGAGATGAGGCGGCGAACGTGCATATGATAGCGAGGAAATGAAACTTAGCCACAAAGTCAATGGTATAACCGGGTCAGATGCTAGTGAGTGTTAGATGCGAGAGTTCATTCCCACCACCCATCGTTGCCGAGAGTAGGTGCGGCAGAGACGTTGCTGGGTGTTGGTGATGGTATTTCAGAACGATAAAACGGCGAGAGGCGCTGAGCTTTGGGCGTCACCGGCAGTCGAATTGGGACCTGGTTTTTGGGCGCGTGCATTGAGTCCCATATTGAACTCTGCCTCGGCGTCGTGGCTCTTGCGGTAGGCCCACCAGGTGCAGTGAAAGATGCTGGGGGCGTACCTGCCCGACTGTAGACAGTGCTGGCACGAGACTCCGGACGTGCTACCGGGTGGGCATGTCCGTTTTGTTGGTAACGCGCAGGAGGTGCCGAAGTTACAGCTTTCTTCGCTTGGTCAACTTCGGCTTGCAAACGCGCAACCTGTCCTTCAAGCGCTGCAATCTGATCGCGCAGCTTGCTCTGCCGGTCCTAGACGCACTGTTAGCGCGAAAGACGGACGTATTTGGGCGAAACTTACCTTGTCGAGGCGTTCCTCCGCGTCTCGCTCTTCAAGCTGCATCTTCGCCATGGAATAATCGCCGTCTAGCTGCGAGTGCGCCTGCTGCACTTCGTCCAACTTGGACCGAGTGGCCTCGAGATCGCTCTCGTATTCCTTGGTGAGTCTCTCCCATTCCACTGCCCGTTGCTGAGCCTGTGCGAGACTTTGACGAGAAGCCTGAGCCATCTTCTCGCTGCTCACCATCTTGTTCTCGTACTCCTTCAGGCGTCTCTGCAATGCCGAGTGTTCGCCTTCCAGAACTTTGCTCCGATCGCGGATGTACTTTAATTCCTTCAGCTCTTCATTGTCTGCCTGGCCCATCAACGTTGAGAGCATGTGGATCTGCTCTGTAGCATGACGGAGATCGTCCCAATGGCTCTGCTGCAAAGCGAGATCTTCGTATTGCCGGCGCTGATTGGCAAGTTCTTCGACCAGACTTTCCTTCTCGCGAGACACGACGACAACACGCAAATCAAGCGCCTCGGCCTGCATAAGATATGTTAGCAAATTGATGCACTACCAGGACGAACAACCACAGAATATCGCACCTGAGATTTGAACTGCTGGTTCTCTAAGGCGAGCTCGTGATTACCCTTCTCAACTTGGGCAATACGGTCATGCTGAATTTGTGCCTGCACGTCGGCAGCCTTGAGCCGGTCGAGAGCATTCGCAAGCGCCTCCTCCAACTCAGCGTTCTTCAATTCCGTGGTAACGACTTCGGCATTCTTATTCGTGAGCGAATTCTGCAACTCTTCTACCTTCGAGATCAGATGCTCTCTTTCGGCCTCAGAAGTCTTGAAACGATCCATGATGATGTCCTTCTCGACACGAACTTGACCATGAGCAGCACGGGCCTTCGCCAACTGCACCTGGAGCTCAGCGGCGGTCACCATCAACCTGCGGATTTCTTCAGCATCCTTCTGTGATGTGTCCCGGGCAGCGAAGTCCGCGTGCGCATTCTGCAGGATGCTCGTAGCCTCCACCATAGCCTCTGGCAACGTGTTAATATGCTTGATGATGTCCTGGCAGAAATCAGAAAACTCCTGATTTTGAGAGGCGAGCTTCTGCTGTTCCCTCGTGACGTTGCCCAATGCGGCTTGAATGTCTTGGATGTTCTTCGCTATAGGCTTAACCTGGTCACTATCCTCTGTTTGTTTCTTGACTTCGGCTTGAGCGACGTTGAGTGCTTCAGTCGCAGCGACCAAACGTTGAGGGAGATCAGACAGGACACCGAGGATGTCCTCCTTAACGGAAGCCAGTGCCGGCTCAGATGAAGTTCCCTGCTTGTCGACCAGAGCATTCACAGCACTCTGGATCTCTTGCACAGGTGCGAGGAGATCGCAGATGCTGTCCACTACCTTCTCGGAGAGAACATCAACATTAAATGCCTTGTCTCTCATAGCAAGGCGGGAGTCGAGACGTTCCACCACCAGATCGGAGACCTGCTCTTTGATCTCATGCGCGTCCAGAGGCGCGACGATCTTCCGCACCTCTGTAGTGAGCCGACCTACGATAGTCTCCGTGTCAAACGGCGGAGTTTGTGCATGCAAGGAAGACAGGATGGGGATGAGACTGTCAACGATGAGGCCTGCTGTCTCGCGCTTGTCCGATGCAAGGTCGATGAGTTGAGATATATGGGGCTTGACGGCTTGAGTGAGCTGTGCGGTAAGGCCCTCGTAGTCGATAGGTTCGGGGCGAAGCGCTGCAAGCTGCGGCACCAACAAGTTCATGAGCTCATGAACGATGGACTCCATCTCTACTTGCGGAGAAGACCTCGAGATATCCATCGTCTGCATTCGGACGGCGAGCTGTGATGTTGCTGAGACAACTGCGTTCACCGTCCGATGACTCAGTTCCTCGACTCTCTGGATCATAGTCGGCTCTTGTGCATGAGTCCTGAGGATTTCGAAGAGGTCTCTTTGCATCAACGCACGCGTCTCTGCATGGCTCTGCTCAATGATGCCCTTGAGAACCTCAAAGTCCAGCTCGCCGCGCGCATCCATCTCACTGTCTGCAAGGCCGCGGGTCGCAGACTCTTGTAATTGCGTGCGAAACAAGGACACCACTTCGGAGATCATGTTCTCCGTAGATGGGTTCAAAGACGATCCACTGGACGCTTGCTTGACGTCCATTAACGTTCGCTTGATGAACTCGAGCTTCTCGTCGAGGAGCTCCTCCAGCCTCTGTTCGTACTGATGCATCTCCAAGCGTCTTGTCAGATTGACAGGGGGGATGGAAATATCCGAGAGAGATGAATCCTCGCGGTGCCTTGGGGGTAATGATGATCGTCGTCGATCCGCACTGAAGACATCTACAATTGAAAGCGGCGAGTCCCGCAGTCCGGGATCTGTGAATAGACGGCTCTTCGATACTCTGCGCGAGATAGTAGGAACATTCAGGTCATCCAGCGATTGATGAGGGCTATGCTCGAAGATATCCCGCGAGCTAAGTCTCGATCGGACACCGCGACGTGTGCGCTCCTCACCGTCACCGTTGGCGAGCGACCTGAATAGCCCGGCGGGAACGGTATTCGTGGACACCGGGTGCTTGAAGTCCAACGGGATCGGCGCTCGCTTGGGTTTGGACGTGGGGGGGAAAGGCAGCTCAAGTGCCGATTCAGGTTCCGCAGGTTCCGTTGGGCTCTGTTCCAGAGGCTTGTTCTCGTCATCCCCTTCATCCTCGTCATCATGTTCATCTGAGACAGGTGACTGGGACAAGACATTGGCCTGCTGCGAGATTGATGGTAATGTCGAGAATCCAGAGAAGTTGAACGGCTTCGCGCCAGCATTTAAGGACATCTCCCTGCTGATTAGACCCTGCGGCGGACTCGAGGGCGCAGAATGCCTCATTACTTTCGTGTTATCCGCAGAAGGAGGGAACTTGAAGGATGACATTGTGTTCACGCCGTCCTCATCCTCAGAGACATAGCTACCACTTGACACACGACGCTGCCGCTTCTCCCTGCCCTGTTGAGCTCTAGGCACCACATCTGGGGGCACCGGTAATGGTCGAGAAGCCTCGGCACCGAACGCTAACTGCGGCACTCCGGGTGGCGGGCGGAACGTGAATGAAGGCTTGAATTCCTGAGCGGCAGCATTCAGAGGTTTGCCAAACGATGCTGTCCGTTCATGATCAAATGTCGACGGCAAAACAGGTGCCGATACAGGCGCCTGGTTCGACGAAGTTGTCTGCCCACTTGAGTTAGCACCAAAGACGAATGGTTTCGCAAACGGATTGAGGGAATCTCGGCGTGGTAGAGGTGCTGTCTGAGACTGTGGTGGGCGGGACTGAATACCTCCAGGCTGGAAGTACGACACAGATGTTTCCCGAGAGTGTGCCAATGCAGGGTCGTGGTATGAGTATGGTGCAGATCCTGGTCGGGAGTTTGGCAAAGGAGGGAGCGGTCGAATCTTCCCGCTGAGATTTGAGCCCGGTCTCGAGTGATATCCCTCTTTCCCAAGGCCCAGGTATGCTTCCTGCACCTCTGCATGGTCTTCCTCGCTAGGATTGGAGACAATGTCATCATCCTTCACTGCCTGTGTCACAGGTGGGATCGGGAACTTCGGTATCCTCCTCGGAACCTCAGGATCTTCCTGCTTCATGCGGCGAAGCATGCGCCGCTCAACACGATGCTGACGCGCCCGTTCTTCGTCGGACGGGTTAGACCACTCGCCTATGCTCTGCACAACCACACGCTTCATTCAGTCCTGACGGAAACAAGATAACGCGTCTACACACCTCGTCCTCAGACGTCTCGGCACCCGTGCGTAGGTCCTCCGATCCCGTCCATTCACCCACTGCGTCCTGATCCGGGTCCTGGTCCAAATCTTCCGCCTCAACTGCTGAGGGGCTCAGGGACGGTACGACATCCAATGCGACGCCGGCTGCCTGAGTGAAACCGCCTGCCATCCCACCTACGGAGCGTAAGGAGAGAGCAGCGGAAAGACGAGACACATGTCGGGAATGTATACGACTTTGCGCCACAGTGCTTACGCCATCCTGATCGAGATCCTCGTATTCTTCTTTAGCAGCTTCCGTCGCGTCGTATACCTCCTCCTCCTCCTCCTCCTCCTCCTCCTCCTCCTCCGCCTCCGCCACACTGGGGCTATCAGCTCCGCGAAGCCCCTCTCTAGCTGGAACATCTTCCATGGGCTCTTCCTCTTCCTCGGTAACATCTAAACCAAAGCCGCGGAAGAAATCGGGGCGGCTCTCAGGCCTCGACGAAGCCTGAGGAGGGGCAAGAGTTGAGAAATTAGCTGGGACCCGTCCTTGTGGTGCATGAATATTGTCTAGTGAGGGTATAGGTGCGGGGGATAAACGATTAATGAGCATTTGATCAGAGCCGAGGGTCGCGGTCGGTCCGAAGGGATTGAATGCACCAGCGGGATTGTATACCGGCGAATGAGATTGAAATGAAGGTGGCTGCGCAAGCGACATGCTATGCCCGTGACGATTTTGAAGCCGTGGCGGTAGCTGGCTGGGAGATGGAGACGAATTCAGATGCGGCGACGAGGATAGTGAATTCGACCCCGACGCATTCTGAGACTGCTGCAGCTTGTTGAGCTTGAAGTACAGAAGCGCTGGGTCAGCAGGAGATGAAATCTGAAGCAGCCAATCAGTCACGATATGCGCGTCTTCCTGAAACATATGACGCACCGAGGCAGCACGGGCATGAGGGGCGTGAATATTTGGGATACTGCCTGACCCCCTTTCAACCCCCAACTTCTCCAGCCTTTCCTCAATCAATGTTCGCCTCATGTCGTCCCAAGCCGACTACGCGTGATTAGAGCCCCGATCACGATTGAGGATAGAAAACTTACCTTGCCAGGCAAAAACACGTCCACGGTATTCGGCAAAGTGAGCCGCCATTCGTCTGGCGGATACTGCTCAGCAGATGCCAACTCCGGAGGTTGCACGTCCGGTTGCTCTGGCACTGGGAAGAGCGGCGTCCTGGCCCAGGAAGGACGCGCTTCTTCGGGGACTGACTCGCGCGGGAAGTTGACAATCACTTTCTTCGGCCTTACCACTGGCGCCGGAGGTGGTATCACCGCGGCGGGAGCAGGCAGCGGACTCACCTTGCGCTGCGGGCCCCCCAGTACAGCTTTCGGCGGTCCTCCAACACTTACGCTCAACGATCGTTTGTTCCTTGGCATGAAAGGTTGACCGCCGAATGGCTGCATCGGCCCAAAATGAAAGCCATTCTGCCCCAGAGGCGTAACAGGAATGCCGGGTGGCAGAATGCCTGCCGCTGCGAGCTGGGCGACGCTGGGATGGCTTCTATGCAACGTTGGTCGACCCGGTGCACCCGGGGGCTGGGGGAAGAATGCTGGCTGCATAGGTGTCTGCAACGGTGGCATGCCCTGCATGGTTTGCATGGCTTGCATGGGATTCGGTACGTTCATCCCATATGGTGGGTGTATTCCTTGATGAATAGCTGTAGGAAGACCGGGTGAATATGTAGGTGCGGTGTCGGCGAACCCATGACTAATTGGTGGGGGGATAAAAAGGCGGGAAAGCGGTTGGTGAGGCTGCGCCGTCATTGAGAAAGCTGGGCCGCTGTCGACGACCGCGTCGAAGGGGTATAGTCCGTAGGGCAAGCCGACAGCGTTTGAATGAAGGGTACAGGCAAAGCAAAATCCCACACCACGTGGTCACCACATGGCCTTGTAGCGAAACACACCGTGACCGTGACCATGATATGTCCTTGAGACAACTCCATCGACACGCCCCTGCTAAGAATCTGATACCAGTGAGATGCACTGCGTGCCGTTGTTGTAAAATATCCAATCGTTTCCCAGTCTGTTTCGGTGCGGTGATTAATTATTATTTTATTATTTACCTCGAAGTACGCGAAATCCATTCCTTCCATGGATAACGACACAAGACAATTTCTAGCTTATCATTCAAAAAGCCCTACCGATTTCATCGTGCTGATTTAAGTACGTATCTTACGGCACGACTATCGCGGCGATATGCAGGTAGACACCTTCTACCTTTTTTCCTTGAGTTTTCCATGACTTGCAGACTCGGACCAACTGGAAATCACTCATGGCAAGCAGGGCAATACCCTGGTAACAATTTATCCGTGGTCTCTCTGAACCTCTCAGCGATACTTACACTCTTGACATTGTAACGACCTCTGGACAAGTTTTGCGCAATCCAAGGGCCGGTATTGCATCATGAAGTATGCCACTATCTGAAGTACATTTCTGTGGTCAGTTCAACTGCATAATCGATGGACCAAATTCTGCGCATATTGTGAGTTCTGTACCATGTCTATTTACCTGGTTCAGTTCCTTATCCAAGTCGTGTGACTCGTGTCAAACCAAATTCCGATCATACCAGGGAAGTAATTTAACATCTTCAGCTGTGTCTTCACATTGTCTGCGGTTACGGAATAATAGGAATCCCTCGCTTCAATTTCAGCTACAGTTCGGGTTCCGTTCCGAAGATGTCTTTTGTGGTCTGATAAGTAAATCCACCGAGTTGCGTGTTTTGATCGAAGCTGCCTATACTGTATCTAATGCTTATATTCCACGCCGCACATTCTTGTGTCTTACCGTTAGACGTACGAGGGACGGAGCACCCGTCAAGTTCTACTTACCCCGCGCCTTCCAGGAAGAGCTGTGGCGGATAAACTGGGCGGCGTCGCTGCCGCTCAGCGGTCAGTGGTGCAGACCCGTCACTAACATATATGGCAGAGCATAGGCCCGAATATACCTACAATAACTCTGCCGATGTAAGCTCGCCATACATCTCCTTCTGCTGCCTGTCATTCGGATGCAAAAAACGACACATTCCCTGCTCTTTCGACATTTGCTTGTCTTTTACAACGCTGGAATACATCTGACGTTGACTACCTCATTTTCACTTCTGCGACCACGCAAGTTACATGCTTCATTCGTAGTGTACTGCAACATTGAATGAATGTGACTTCCATGCAAACTGGACTTGATACTCATGATCAGCGATGCTCCGTTCATGGTGTGCAACATTGAATGAACATGACTTCCCCAATCAACAAGTTTGCTTAGCAATTCGTGCCTCCAGTGTACCAGTGCCAGCGAAGCTCCGACCGCAATTCGAAAGCGAACGGAGTTACCGTACCACATCACCTCTATTGACCCAAGCATATGTACCTATATGTACGACAACGATAGATGCAAACATACAATACAACTATTAACAAGTGTTACAGTACCAACCAATCAATCTAGGCAGAGCGAGTACGCAAGCAAAGGTATACACAAGAACGTCTGGCCTGCGCGCAGACCAATAATACGGAATAGAAAGGCGGGTAACGACGGGTCAGGTATACGGACGATAACGAAAGCAGCAGAGACAACAACACAGAGACATACATGGACAGCCGGCACGCGGCACGGGCTCAGAATGTAGAGAGGCAAATGGGGCCGGCTGGCGAGCGCGGCTCGACTTCGCGAGGGGCACGCAGCTGGAAGTCTACAGGAACCATAAGATTGGCGTGCTCAGAAACGCGAAGGGTAATACAACGCACCTCCATTGCGAATGATGGGGTTAGCGCGGCGGCGGCGGATCTCATCCTCCTCCCGCTCAAGCTCAATCTCATATGGCGCCTTTCCACCGGGCAGCCTATCAGACACGAGCGCCACGATAGGCTTCGGCTCCCACCGTCCTCCGCCGTTCGCCTTGCACACGACGCTCGAATGTTTGAGTGGGTACGACTCGAGCTCGCCTAAACTAAGCTCCGCGTCTTCGATGAGCGCTCCCACGACACTGGGCGGCGATGATGAAGGCGTACTCGGGCGTAAGGGCGAATGAAGTATGCGCGGCGACGCGTGTATCCGGCGCATCGACGGGCGGAGCGTCGACATCTCGGGTGACGAGGATACTGAGGATGAAATGGAGGAAGTATCGGAATCGGACTCGCGCACAAGCGCGAGCGGGCGGGTCTTGATCACGGAAGGTCGCGGACTGGGGCAACCGTGGATCTGATACCAACAGTCGTCGCAGACGCGCCAGGAACGCACTGGGGACGTCGGAGAATCGAACACCGCAATGGGGATATCGCGGGGTGGGTTCAGAAAACCTAGATTCGCTGTGTCAAGAAGCGCTGTGAAGCGCGTGGAGCATTTCACGCAGAACACACCGCCACATTTGCGACAATGCTAGAGGCACCAAGAGGTACATTTGCATCAGCCCGGCGAGATCCCACACAGTGATGCTGATGGAACGTACATGCTTTCGCTCCCACATTGAGAACTTCTTGTGGCACCGAAAGATATCACAATGAGATGCCTGCGCGTCAGGCTGTGCAACCGTGACATGAACACGATCATGACGGACATGATGAGCCATGTGATATCACTCAAGGGGAATCAAACTCACCTTCCACAAGTGTTTCGGGATTAAGACTGCCAAATGCTCGTGCTGTCTTGTACGAGGAAACTGGCAGTCTAACGGGCGAAGTGATCGGTCTGAGACCGACAACTCGACTGAAGAACTCATTGAAGAGCTTCCAGACGACGAACAACTGCCTGCGAAAGTCAGAGGGAAATCCGTTAGAAACAGTTTACATGACACATAGAACAGATAGAGATGGTCGCTATACAGTCTGAGAAACGGAGACTCACCCTGTGACGAAACAATACTGGCCGTTTCGTCCTTCGCATCAGTCGAGTGGCGATACAAGCTGAGACGGGATAGAAGGGTGGAAGAGAGAGACATTTCCCGGCTTGTGGCGGAAGGGATGGCGCGACGAGGAGGAGGGGAGGCAGGAGACGGAAGTATCGCGAACTAACGTTTGCCTCCGTCTCCGTTATATGGTTTCAGAACCGCACGGGAAGCTTCCGGCCGGTGATGCCTGATAAAGACTTAAATTAACCTTTCCGCGCTCGTTGTCCATTCCACTGGCCCGATACCCCTCCTGCCATATGCGACAACGGCCCCTCGGGAAATCCATCTCGGTTGATGGACCTAATTTTCAATAGAATCCCAATTTCTCAGGCTTATCTGTAACGTATATTCATCTCGCTCAGTAATTGCTCCACAAGCACATGGAAATGAGCTCCCTGAGATGGGCACATTTTCCTGTCAATATTTGGTCTACGACGACACAGCTTCCTTATGTAGACCTGCGCACAGCAGAGCTCGGACCAAATAATTCCAGTCTCCGCTACTACGGTGTGTTTCAGCTATTCCCTGTAGGGCTATGGCAAAAGTTATCAAACACATTTCGATCAAACTCCGAAAGAATTGGCGTTGGTATCCAGCCAATCAGCGGTGGACCTCTTCTCGGTAGAACTCCAACCCTAACCAGCACGGGCCACATTGGCCGAAAATGCGAGTGTCCAAAATTTGAGCCGATGACAGGCTCAGATTTCTGCCTGCGACCCTGCAGCACCTCGCCGCACGTCACAGCCAGATGCGATTCCTGCCTCCAACGAAGACGCGGCTCTGCATCAAGCTTTCGTCTTCCAACCAGACTTCGTGCTCTCGCAGTGGTGGTAAGATTTCCTCTTCATCTCGTTCGAAAGAGAAACAGACCTTACTTGACTTGAAGCATTTTATAATAAGCCGGAAGGACAGGGAGCAAGCTTGAGAGGAGTTCGAACCTGCTTGTGACACGCTGGCTGCTAGACTGGTTTGACCCTGGTCGCGTAACCACGCACAACATAACTATCATGGAAGAATATTCACCCAATCCGGCTGTTTGACAGCTCCCCCGAAACCTTCCGATAGGGCTCTCAATAGCACATATTCAATATGTGCTCACATGGGTCCATGCAGCCAACTGGTCTTCAGACATGTTGTGCGTGCGCGTGAACTTCAATGCTAGAATGGATGGCCTCTGGTTGAAGAATGCTCGCACGCACGTACACCCAAACACCTCAAAGGTCACAAGCTATAGGAAACCTCCAAATGTGCGTACGTACATAGATAGCACAGTTGAGGTAATTTGAGGCGGACGCGCAGGTGCAGAGGCACCGTGGTACGGAACATGGAGCTCATCGACCTCCCAGCATTGATCACCGGGAGCCGGACGTCGGTAAACTGCACCAACGGTAACTAGAGTTATTATGCCCACCAATGAGAACACAGCGGTCGACCGCGCCGGTGACCAGCCCTGACCTCGTATACAAACTTGTACTAGCCTAGACGCATCGACGCGGCGACACCACAGGATAAGCAGCTTGGACGAGCAGCCCCAGCTTGTCGCGTTGAGCTCGGGCAATCTGCCACCTTTGTGGTGTAAATTGCAGAGCGCCCGCCACCCTAACAAACGCTAGCCACAACCAGCAGGCAAGACTCCGTAACGCACTTAGACCACAGTGGTGCTGGTGAGCGACAGGCCAGCTCGGGCGGGACCGGTCGGACGTTCGCACCTGCACCCACGATACGCGACGTAGCGTGGCGCATACGGTGCCAAGTGCTACCGCTCGCCAGGAGAAACTTCGCTCTATGTATGCCGTCACAGTCAGCTCATCAGCGCCGCGCAGAAAAGGAAACCTCACGTACGCTTCCCCCGAGCAGAGCGGCCCTCTGTAAGCCACTTCACATCGCCAGCCAGACGCGCTCCACAACTGCGAGCAACATCCCACGCTCGACCTCGCCCATCACCGAGCCGCGCCAGGGGGCCTTCGCGCTCCCGTCTGAAGCAGCAGGCCCACGGTCACCCTCCTCCGCATCGGGGCGCTGCGCCTGCGGACGTGTGCCCCGCAGCAAGGCCGACAAGCCCGCGTATACGGCTTCTTCCAGAAGCCCATGCGATCCGTCCGACTCGTCCGGGAGATCCACAGGCGCGGGTGATCGAATATGAGGCGTGGTGGCGAACATGAGGTGCAGGACGTTGCATAGATACCACAGGGTGTCCTTTCTGATCAGCCTCTCGATGCGCTCTGTGAGACGAGGGCGGGCCCAAGCTGTGCTTGCTGCACCTTGAACGCCGTCAGGACTGGCATACGACTCCGGGTACAGGCTCTGTAGCTCGCGGAGTGCTTCCAGGACGAGGAGGTGCTTGAGATTGTGGATGCTGGGCGCGGACAGCATTGTAGTGGTCATGAGCTCGTCCAATGTGATTATCGTGGCCTTCAGAAGAGCAAGGGTCTCTGCGCGAATATCAATCACTTCATGCCGATTGTGTGCTTGGGAACGCTTCTGCTTGTTTCTCTCCGGCGACAGTAAGGTGGACAGATGGAACCTAGACAGGGGAGCAAAGGAACGAACGAGAGGAACCAAGATCGCAGTAGTCAACCGCCCAAGAACATCATCAAGTACAGCAAGGTTCTCTGATGATTTAGTCTTCTGTTTGCGGCCGCCTCTGTCCGGCAGGGGCAAGACAGCTGTGAGTAGGCGAGGAACGAGTGTTGTCAAAGCTTCAAGGCTGCCGACAGACGAGGAGATTATGTGATTTGGAGGGACAACAGAGACGAAAAGTGCGCCCAGAGCGTCGATAGCGCGAGCCACCATCGCTGTGAGAGATGCAGCGGGAAGCACAGCTTTGTTAGCAGCATGTACCGCTAACCATAGGTCCAGTGTTTCCAAAGCCGACAGCAAGCTTTTTGTCGAAGGACCAGGAGGTACACTAACAGCTGGGCTCTGTATCAGACAAGCGAAATCATAGAGCAAATCCAAAAGGATTCAATGAGCGTAAAGAAACGGGTCACAAAAGTCGGATGGTGGAAGGAGTAAAAATTGTAGACGAAAAGTGAAGGCGTTTCGTTCTGCGGATAGAGTTCCGATAAAAACATACCATTGCCAGCACCATTCAGTACCGTTTGTAAGGTAAATTTCAACGGCTTTGCTTTCAGCGATGACACCGGAGATACGTGCGCAGGCACCTTCTTTTTCTGCTTCTTCTTGTTCCCAGCTGATGCTGGTGGTTCTACAGGCGCTTCTGATGATTGTCGGGGCTGGGCTTCACGGAGAGAGACTAGTTCTGCAAAGTACTCCGTTGCTGCTCTTTCCAATATGTACGAGTGATTACTTACCAATATGCTCACAGTCATACTTGATCTGCAATTCTTTTAGGCTTTCCTCAAGCTGCAGAGCGCGTTCTCGCCATATGTCTTGTTCAGACGAGCGCAACTGGTCTTCTGGAAACTTGGTGCGCAGGTCAAGAACATATGCTGTTGAATAATTATTCTTCAAACGTGTGCAATCATCTCCACTAGCGCACTGGCACTCACCATGGTAAGGCTGTTCCGGTGGTTTGAATCGGAGAGCAGCGAGAGCCTAAGGAAGAAGAAGACGGTCTCAGCAACGCATGGCCGTCGCATAATCAACTGTCAGTACTATTGTTATCCTCAAACTTTCCGCAGGCGTAGGTTGAGACCGTGACATCTTGGTCAGACTGGCGGAATTTGACAAGTGTGACGCAAACGCGTCTGTCACGACAGGGTCACAGTTCGTCACGAAGATGTAACGACGCGACCGTGACGACGACGACGACTCACTCGCTCTGATATTCATCATATTCAGCAAAGAAGCTCGACAGGAAACGTTTCGTATCATCTCTAACATCCAGGGAAAAATCACCGTGAGCTCGATAGATCATTGTCATAACACTGCAGCCGAAGGGGATCCAATCCACCCAGGCGCGTACGATGATGAGATAAATGGTGAGTGTGTAACCAAGGTGGCGCTACAGGCATATTCTACGTGCTAAAAGTTCATTCAGGTACTACTTACGTTATGTGATCACAGACAACAACATTAACTGACACCATAATATAGCAAGAAACGTTGCGTCAAGACCATCATCATGACGGAACGCAGTGAGCGCTCGTAACGTTGGAGTTCATAAAACTTAAATATGATGTCGTGTGAGTATCGATGCACAGCACGTAAAGGAGATTACGCACCATCGTCGCTGCCCACAGACTGTGGCACTGTCCTGTTGCCAAGCTGCTCAAGGGATCGGGGGAGCAGTCTGTCCTCATTCATTCTCGCAAGGGATTCCTGTGGTAAGGCGGCCCCGAATTGTGCGGGCGAAGATGAATCCCACAATCGCCTGCTCACCAGCCCTTTTGTGTCCTCCCGGGGCTTCGAGCGGCGAACGGGTGTGTCGTCGTATGAATAAATATTGCGGTACGGACTGATCGCTGGGCCACCGCTGTCATCAAAGGCACCGAACTGCAGCCCACTGCCGCTTGGCCGTCCAGCACGTATAGGTGTCCGGATCTGCCCACCGGAGCGACTTGGCCAAAGGAGGTTCCTTGGGGTGGTCACCGGCGCTCCAAACTTGATGCCGCGCGATGGTGTAGTGAACGGATCGAAAGGCGATTCGCGTGGATGTAGTTGATCGAAAGGACCAGGACTCGAATATACTCTCACGCTTTGGCTAGAGGAGAGGGGTGTGGAAGGGCTAACTCTGCTTGAGTCCCCCCAGGTCGAACGAGATGAAAACAATGTCAAGTCACGACCACGTATGGGTGTTCTGGGGGCTCTCGACATAGTCCAAGGGGTCGATGGCGATTCTTGCAGTGATCCCTGGTAGAAGAGCGGATCGTATCCCCTCACTGTTGACAATCCCTCGTCTGTAGGCACGAACGTAGGCTCCGATGCAGGATCGGATGCCAGTTGGCCAAGTCCAAGGCAATCGGCACAGTACCAGGTGTCTTCTAGTTCTGCAGGATCACGGATGTCGACGCACTCGAGATGGAACCACCGGTCGCAGTCATCACATTGGACCGCTGGACCCCCATCGCGTCGGCCCTCACATATACAACAGTTTTGGCTAGCTCGTTGTCTGAGATGCATTGCAAACTCTCGCGCAGATCGCCGAGACTTAAGGGCTACTCTGGCATCAGCAGGATCGAAGTTCCCCTCCCAGTCATCGTTGACATCGGGTCTTCCCCTCGGAATGAAACTGGGACGGACCATCTTGCCCCACACCGTACGCATGGGCGGCGCCTCCTTGTCCGGTTCTGAATTAAGGTCTTCGTCGCCGGAGTCTTGATCACTGTCCAAGTAGCGGTCAATCCATTTGAAGCGTTCCTCTTGTTCCAACCGCGCCGTTTCAGCCCTTTCTTGTACGCGCATGCACCATGGGAAAGATGAATCAGGCCAGTCAGGCTTCAAAACTTCGCCCTGGTCTGGCACCGACTCAGTGACGTGCCCACGCTTCTTCGCGCTCGCAACGCCACCCCTTCTCCTGCGTCGACTGCCACGCTTCTTCGCCGGAGTTTCATACTGCGAAGGCATGTCTTCGGGTAGGACGTTCAGCAAAAGTCTTCCTTTACCCTCTATTTCAACTGGGTGCAGCTTTTTTGGCGGTTCGGAAATCTCAGGGTGATCTTGGAAGGCAGCCAACCGCTTCCGCTTCAGGATCTCCTTCTCGCTTGGCACCCAATCGCTTTCAGGGTCTGAAGGCACGTTGGAAGGGCCGGGCTGGCCAGGAGTCGCTTGTTGGAGCCACTGCACCGCACGTTGAGACAGGGGATTTTTGCCTTTCTTATCGGGCGTCTGAGGCTCGCCGTACGCAGGAGTGTATCCATAACCAGGGTATCCTCCTGCGAGCAGACTCTGCTCAAAGCTCTCTTCCGACGTTTCCTGGAACAACTTGAGTCTTCGGCCTTTGACAGGACTCTCGGTCACTCCCAGACCGGACGGTAGACCTTCTTGTTCCACCTCGGTCACGTCGTGGTCCGCTGAGGCATCGTTAGAACTGATGCGCCTCTCGCGCACGAGATAGTTAGGGCGCCTCGCTTCTGATTCGGATTGGCGAGCGGCCTGTTCTGCAACCATTTGCAAGCGGATGCGATGAATCTCCCCGCCAGCTGGACGTTTGGGCACGGGAGCCGACAGAGGTGGGGGAGTACTAGATATTCCTCCCTCATGGGGGAACATGTCGTCTACATGCATGGGTACCGAGGATGTTCTCTTAATAGCAGGGCCCACAGATACGTCGTGGGGAGTCCTGCTCCTTGTGTCAGCGCGGTCTGCCAGTGAAAGGCGCTCCATGAACGGAGAGGAGAGACCTGAAGAGGGGGTGATATCGCGAGATGACGGGAAGGGGGAAAGTGTGGGTGATTGAGTGAGTAATATAGTGCCCGCGCCAGATTTAGGCCTGGAAATTCACAAGTTTAGGAAGGTTAGGATAATTGCAGTTTCACATCGCTCACTCATTCTGGCTACGAAGGGGCGGCGTGTGTGGGGTAGGAATGACGGAAACATTTGCGCTATTGAAAATCGTCAGCATCCCATAATATAACGTGGTTATGTGCTCACAACACAGAAGCCAGATCCTGATGTCCCAGAGGTAACCTCCGTCGTGCCTCAGGACTGGCACAGGACAAATAATGAGCTCATTATCAGAGACGAGACGGAGGTGCACACCTCGGCTCAGGAGTAATAAACGAGGCTGCCGCGGCAACAGGCCGTTTGTCCCTATGATCGCCCTCAGATAACGCTCGTAACGATTGCTGAAACACCTTACCTGGACGCCATCCGAGTCATGGATGGCACCGCGGTACGCAGCCTTCAAATGTTTGATTAGGCAGGCTGTAAATATATAATCAAAAATGCTGCGCACCCATACGACAGTGGCGATTCTGGTGGATGACCCTTTGCAGTGGAATATGCACCACGGCTTCCAGGGCTGCACACAAGTCAGCGTCCGAACTCATTAAGGCGTGGGCTGGGGAAGTAGCTCGGAGGCCGACGAGGAAAGCACTTTCGTCTCGGTGTTGCTCATAGAAGTAGCAGCGAGACCATAATCACTTTCCGGGGTCGGTCCCCAGTGCGTACAGAAAGCCACTTTGTGCGAGTTCGGCCATATATTTAAACTTACCTTTGAGGGGTCGGAAGATGGGCCGGGTCGCGCACTCCGAACGGTGGCAGGAGACCTCCTCGTGAAGGAGATCTGCAAGAATACCGTGACTTGTTCGGACGGTGAACTCTCAGATTCGATTAAGAACGGACCTTGCTCGCGGCGTTGTCTCAGCCCTGGGGCTCGACTCGACTCGTCCACTCTCTACTACTTCTCCTGCCGCTGCACCTGTCCTTATTTTTGGGGCATGCGATGGAGACGCGATTGGCGTAGAGGATATATGTGCAGACGACATGTTGATGGCTAAGCAGATTGAAGTGTATAGATCAAAGAACGATGCTTTCAAGCCGGAGCGATAACGTTTCGAAAAGCAGCAGATAGGTTATCTCAAAGCACATGCAGGGGTGAAGAAACGAAAGGGCGTGCCCAAACGCTAAGCCAGTGCAGCCAAATAGTAGCTGGAGAGAGGTATCGCGGAATGCGCGGGTAAACTGGAATACGGTGGAAATGAACAGGGTCATGGCTTACGTAAACACCCATTATTAGTATGATCGTTCAACTGTTGTCAAGATCATCATCATATTTGTCTCCGAGTCATAGCTGCAGTTCACCACCGAAGTGCAACATTAATTACCAACCAGGCCTCGGTAAGTTTCTAGAAAGAGATATATCATATTGTTCGAAGTGGTTCTCCCTCGCAAATTACAATTTTAGCTCGAACTTTTTGCCATCCACCTGTGTGCTCTCATAAGCTCAGATGGCAATTCGTGCTCTCGAATTTTATTCAGGCTTGGGTGCGATCATTCAAGAACGTTTCCATTGCAACGACTGATTTTTCCTAGGTGGGCTACACCGTGCATTGTCGAGAAGCAACGTCGATGGCACAGTCGCAGGTGCCTTCGACTGGGATCAGAATGCATGCCGAGTTTATCGGGCGAACTACGGTACAAATGTTATCCACAAGGTCGTGCATTTTCTCCTGGCTCTGGGAACGACTGAGCAAAATTTGCACGTCACCGACCATATTTTCTGTAGCAGGTCGACATCTCGACGCTTACGGCCTCGGAGCTGAGGTCATACAAGACAGAACTTTGGCTTTTATCTCCATCATGTCAGCCGTATACCGTGCTAAATCCCCTAGCCAAGGGCGCAGCAGATCCGAGAGCCAAATCCTTCATCCACCTTGTTGAAGACGTTTTACCAGAGTTAGCCTCATACGGTGCACACCCACATTATCTGTTGGTGGAAAACGTCGCTGGTTTCGAGGTGATTTTACACCATGCTTCTCCGAACTGTATACTAATGTTTTCGGTGGAGACTTCAAGTACCAGGCAGAGACTGCTGACGACTCTGCATTCCCTGAATTACGCAGTACTAGAGCTTCTCCTCACGCCTCTCCAGTTTGGCATTCCAAATTCCCGTCTCCGATATTATCTGCTTGCCAAAGCAAATTTTTTGACTTTTGCACACGTCCAGGGATGCGAACCAAAAACATGGCGACATATCCCTGGGCACGGCCACGACTGGATCGACCCAAGGCTACAAACAGAGGGAATCCAGGAGACTTACTTCAAAGTAGCCAAAATCAGGAAGTTCCTAGACACGGATGCCCCAAAAGGATACATGCATCCTTGCGCCGTTCCAGGTCATGTGCTGGAGAAATGGGGTAGGCTCTTTGATATTGTCCTCCCCTCTTCCTGCAGGAGCTGCTGCTTCACTCGAGGTCAGCGTTGAGCTACATGGACTCAAAGATCAATAGACCAAATCCAGCAGGTTATGCGAAAATGGCAGAGCGTTCTGGCTCTGTCCTGCAGATGAATGAAAAACTAGACGTACGTGCCTTCAATGCGCTTACTGAGTTACTCTGCAATCCGCTCACGGGTGTTAGACCACGAACGTATTCGACCGCTTCCTCGAGGCTCAGTCTCGTGGAGAGAAGGATGCCGTACGGATCCTCGATCCGCTGGAGCTGCGCTATTTCTCGCCCCGAGAGCTTTTGCGGATATTCTGTTTCTCACCTCCCGCTCAGGAGGAGCTGCAGTCAGATTTCATATGGCCTGATGATACGTCCGTAAAGACCCAGTATAGGCTGATTGGCAACAGTGTCAATGTGTTCGTAGTGACCGAGCTCATCAACTATTTGTTTGAGTGATACTCTCCTTAATTCCCACGTGGTCCAGCAATGGGTTTGACTTCGAATCGCCTAAAAACGTGAATCCCGAATTTCCTGTAGCACCTTCCATATATCTACACGCCAGAAGCCTAGCACAAGGGCATACACGCGTCGGACAAGTAGACAGACAAGTTTTGGTGAGGGGGAGATCCGGCCTTAAGTTGGAAGACATGCCGACTGAGTCAGCCGGCATTCCCCGACGAGGTATGACCTGTCGCTCGCTGCTCCGGCTTGTTTTCGTCTCCCTTCCACTCGACTAGCTGTCCGCATTCCCAAGTCGCCGCTGTCGTCCTGTATTCCACGATTTCGTCCTACTCTTTCTCCCCGCTTGACATCTTCTGTGAAAGCAGAGGATTAATGCTTCGTCCGCCAATTGGTATATCGAGACACAAACATCTACTCCAGCCCAATACGTTTAGAACTGTGCGCAAATTTTCTCATTGTCCTTACGAATCTCATGAACGAGCCCGCGTATAGCGTTAAATACTGCCCAACATGTCTGCTGGTATCGTGAACGTTCGTCGTGATGTTGACGACAAGTTCTACCGCTACCGGTGCGCAGACTCCTTTCTGCCTCGTGTTACCTTGCCTGACCTTTCTCCTTCCGCAGCATGCCCCTTCTGTTGACTAAGATAGAAGGCAAGGGTAATGGCATCAAGACTGTCGTACCAAACATGTCTGACGTCGCCCGCGCGCTAAGCCGACCGCCCACGTACCCCACCAAGTTCTTCGGCTGCGAACTTGGCGCGCAGACGTCGTTCGACGAGAAGAACGATCGCTACATTGTTAACGGCGCGCATGACGCAACCAAGCTGCGCGAGCTCCTGGACGTGTTCATCGACAAGTTCGTGCTGTGCAAGTCGTGCAAGAACCCCGAGACGGATCTCATCATCACCAAGAACGACGAGATCATCCGTAACTGCAAGGCGTGTGGCGAGCGCACTGGCGTCGACATGCGCCACAAGCTGACGACGTTCATTCTCAAAAACCCGCCCAAGGCCAGCTCGAAGAAGAACAAGGGAACGAAAAAGGCCAGCGGCGATGGCAGCCCGAGCCCTAGCGCTAACGGCAACGGCCATGAGAACGGCGATGCTGCGGACGAGGCGGCCGGTAGTGACGATGAACTCACGAAGCGCATCAAGGCAGAAGCCGCTGAACTTAACGACAATGCTGCCATCACCAAGGACGATTGGTCTGTGGATACTTCGACCCATGCTGTGAAGGCTCGCGTTAAGGCGGTGGAGAGCAGCATGGCCGCCATCGCGCTTGGTGGTGACGACGACAGCGACGAGGATGTGGACAGCCCTTACTCCCAGCTCGGTCGTTGGATTGAGGAGAACCGTGACAGCGGTCCTGTCGAGATTTACAAAATGGCAGAAGAGTTTGGCATTGCGAAGAAGCACAAGACTGTGCAGATCATTGCCCAGGCACTCTTCACTGCCAACATTGTCGCTGAAATCCCTAAGTACTCACTGCTCTTTGCGAAGGTGTGTGATTTGGTTGTGCCAGTTTTCTTTTTGCTGAGATTCTGGTCAGATGGTGACGTCTGAGAAGCACCAGAAGTCACTGCTTGGTGGCATCGAGCGTCTCGTCGGCACTACCTACCCCACCCTCATTCCTGCCGTCCCCAAGATCCTGATGGAGTTCTACCAGGCCGACATCATCGAGGAGGACCTTGTCAAGCAGTGGGGTACGCATGTCAGCAAGAAGTATGTTGACAAGGAGACCAGCAAGAAAGTCCGTAAGGCCAGCGAGCCCTTCCTCAAGGTTTGTCCTTTGTTTTACTGCTACCTTGTCCTCTTACTTATTTTTCTTTGCAGTGGCTTGAGGAGGCGGACGACAGCGATGAGGACGAGGGCGATGACTGAGGATCGAGTTGTTCGTTGCTGTTTAGATATTCTTCGCTATGTTGCATGCATGTCATGAGTTTGTTCTGCGCTCGTCCTGTTGTATGTGTGGACCGTCATTGCATCCCTGCAATGATGTGAATACATAGTCCGTTTTGTATTTACATCTACCTATACTCATCTATATGTTGTCCTGCCGAACTTCAATTTTGCGTGAAGACTCCCGGTCACATGCTTGCAACATTATCTGCAAGCTCAGCTTCGCAGTTGGTAACTTGGCACCGCTGTCGCTTCCACCGAGTCTGCTTGCCATACTGACCGCCATGCGACCCTTGGTCTCCTACGACGACATCACAGCTCCGCAAGCTGAGCCGGCAGAGCTGCCGGGTCCTCATTCTCCCCCCACAAATCCTCCGCCGTCGAAAAAGCGGAAGACAAACCAGAAACTACCCAACAGGCGTCCCCAGCAGCAGTACGCACATTGGGATGACCCAGGTGCACAGGCCCCGCCAGTGAGGTATGACGATGGCGCGGCGGGGCCGAGCACAAGCGGGACGGGCGAGGGTGAGTATACTGAAGAGGAAGAGGAGGAAGAGAAGAGCCGGGAGCTCACCCATGACGAGATCTGGGACGACTCTGCGCTCGTGGATGCTTGGGACAGCGCATTGGCCGAGTATGAGGTATGCTCTACGTGATGCGCCTGTGCTGCTGGTTATGCTGAACGTGGTTTTCGAGGCGTACCATGGTCCCGGGAAGAAGTGGAAGGAAGAACCGGTCAAGAGATCTCCTCTGTACGTTCCCCGTCAATTCCTATACGTCCATCTCGCTGAAACGTTCTATTATCAGATGGTACAACGTCCCACCCTCGGACTCGAAGCTTAAAAAGATAGCAGCGCACAGCGCGCCAGCAGAAGGGGCGCCGAACGGCACTCATGAGGAGCACGCAAATGGCGAAGCCGATTCGACGCCTCTGAACTTTGACACGTATGTCCCAACCTACGATCCATCGCTCACGCAAGCCGTGCCACCGCACCCGCCTGCAGTCCCAGGTTCAGATTACGCACAGTACTATTTACCTAACCCACCTGGGCCAATGGTCAGCCAGGACGAGGCGTTCTCGCGCGCGCTAGCGGCAATGTACTGGGGCGGATACTGGACTGCGGTTTACCACGTACGTCTTTACCTGTCCTAATCATCGCGTGGGCTAATTCAACCACCTTCAGTACCAGCGTAACGTGGCAACAGGTGAGATAGCTGACGGAGAAGAAGGGGGAGCGGAGGCACAGGATGCAGATGTAGATGCAGGTCGGTACGACGAGGACGAGGATATGGTATCTGCTCAGCGGTGACCGACGATTTTCGATGCTATATCTCAATTTGTGGGTATCCCTCCCGAATGACAGCCGATTTGCCATGTTGACGCGTTGGGCCCTCCTAGTCATATCCACGGACCACGGTGAGTGGGACCCTCATTCATTATGGTGTTAGCTGTGTCGTTCGGACGTATGCCCTTGCAATGATTTCTTCCTGTTCTCGCCGGAATTTGTGGTCTATTGCTATTGCTTGCTGTAATCCGTGTCTGCAAACAGCAAAAGATATACCTCACGTCTTTGGTTCATACTGTGCAATCGATTCGACCGAATGAAATCTGCGTTTGTCGTGCACTGCAGGTGAACCAATTCTATGTTCTGTCAGAAGGCATGAAGAGGATGAGCGGACCCTTCGACACCTCAGTGAGGGATCAACGCTTCCCAGTGTAAAAAATGCTACCTAATCCTCGCCCATCTTAGATATGATTCGGATAAAATACAGGTGAACTATAGAGCGATCTCAACATCTAGCCTAGCTAGATACGAATATACGTCGGGCGACATGCGATATTTCAGGATACCAGCAAAAATCATTAGGGATCGCGACTTCTTGCGGAGACCAGCGAGGGTCTGCAGTAAAGCATCAGCATCCATGAATCGATGTGCAATGCGTACAGTCGACTTACCATTTGGCGGGTGACGTCCGCGACCGCGGACGACTTGACTTTTTGGTGGACACTAGCCAGCGTGTCCATGATGAGCGTGAGGAACGTCTGCAGGTTGCGCTGTAGCGCATCTGGGAAGTCGCGGAACTCCTCTGCTCTGCGCGTGATCTTCGCGACATCACCATCCATAGGGATGAGATCTGTCGATTCCATGATCTAGGCTCACAATATTCAGACAATGTCAACACCGTCCGTATCGCGGGGGCTCACCTCGAGTGCGAGCTCCGCCCTGCCCGCATCCTTCGCGTCCATCGCCTCGCGCACTCGCAGCAGACGAATGACCGCCTCGCGCTCCTTGCCGACTGCCCTGTTCGTGCGCTCATAGTGGCGCAATATTTCTGCGGCAGTGCGCTCGATGGCGCGCGCCTTCTCGTCGCCGCTTGGCTGCGCGATCGTGTTCCCTAGCGCCTGCGCGAGGCACACTATGACGGTCCTGTAGTCGCCTGCGAGGTTGTATAACTTAATGGCCTCAGGCACACGGTCGTTCTGCTCAGAGTTCTTCGCGGCGCGGATGAGGATTTGCTCGTTGTACTCGCGCGTGTCGTCCAGTTTCAGCAACGGTGCACCTTGCTCTATGATACCGCTCTACATCACGAATCATCGGGCAAATCGGTAGAATGAATGTCAGTGTAGGATACGGCAGAGCAACGACGCGAGACGCACGAAACGCGTGCCGTCTGGGCGGAACCCGCCGACGAGCTCTTCCCAAGCGGCGCCAGTGTTTGAGAGGACGATGATTCGTCGCACGAGCTCCCATGCGCTCTCTACTTGTTCCTTGCCCACGCCAGCGCCCTGATCCGCGCTGAGGGGAACACAGCACACGTACTGCAGCGCCTCTTTCGCATCCATTTTGACGAACTGCCGCACGTAGCGCCATATGAGCGTTGAAAGGCTCAAAGCAGGCGGAGAGAGGGGAGACAAAGAGACTGGCGAGCGCGTTAGTTCAAGTGCATACAAGGTAGATGGAACCGCTTACGGGGAGTCACGTCTGATGTTTCTGCGCGCGAAGGAACACGCAGGAGACCATGATACGCAAGTGCGATGGCTAGATGCACAGCTTCAATCTCTGTTTCTTGGTGGTCCCATAATGCCGCCACAGCCTATTGAGAGTGGTCAGCGGCGCATCACAGGTACGAAAAGATGCTTACCCGTTCAAACTGACCACACATTAGGAGAACACCAGCCCATACACCTCGCCTTGCACCCTTCTGCCCGGTGACGCCGTCAAAGTGCCGCTCGCCATAGCTGAGGAGCACCTCAGCCAGGCCACGCAGGCCGCCAGTCTCATCCTCTTCTACCTACAGGAGCCTCTCAGCACTTTAACGGAGTGGTGAATGAGATAGAATACGAACCATAGCGAGCTGGAACCACAGCCAGTCCTCCGTGGTGACCGTCACATTCTGCACGCTGCGTCGCGCGGGGTCGATCTTGCCCATGAGCTTATACAGCGCGAGCTTGAATGGATCCGCCGTCGAAGAGTGTAGCATGTGCGCATTGTAGACCGCGTGCAGCTGGTCCCGGTGTGGCTTCGGCAGCCGCCTGTCGGGCGACCCGAGCCATGACCTAAAGTGTCCCAGGAAGCTCGACTCATGGTGTTCGATAGCTTGGTGCCAGCGCGCTGCCTCTTCAAGTGCTTCCCGAGTATGTCCTGTGCGAACGAGGTAGAACAGCTTCGCCCATATAGGCTGGCCCGCAACCAGCTGCGAACACTGTTATTACGGTTAATTATGTCACAGAATGGATATTCACCTCAATTCGATCCTCCCATTCCCCATTCCTATAATGCCGTACGAGCAGGAATGCGCGGATCTTGTTCGACACGCTGGGATCGCCGCCTAACCGTGCCTCCAACGGACGCGCCTGGAGCGTGCGTTCGAGGACGTCCCAATACTGCTCCTCGAGGGCTTCCCGAGCGCCACGCGCGATCTGCCTGCGCAGCTCCACCGCCTCGCGTGTCTCGGGCTCACCCAAGTACACGCGTGCATACTTGCGCTCGAACAAGGGCGCGTTGAGAATGTGAGCGCCTGCGTGCTCCACTGGGGGTAAAGCGGGAGGCTCCGCGGTGATTTTGGATAGGATGTGGAAGTTCTGCGTCAGGTGCTGTGTGGCGGATAAGGTTAGCAGGCACAATAGGTGAAGGGACGACTTACGTCGGGGTTGAAGGAGCGAGAGGCTTGGATGAGTGCATGGATGATTGGGTAGGATATACCGCGCAATCTTGCTGCGTTTAGCTCTGAGATAACACGGTCGTACGCCATCATCCTACTTTGCATATGCAAGTTCAGGCCCGGACCAATGCTCGTCTACGCCAACAATTTGAGATGCGATGCAGAATGAAAATAGCAGCAAACTCACTGACAACGCGCCCTTTCCATGCACGCTCTTCTTCAACTCCCCGAGTGCCGCACTATCCCCTCCAACGCGTCCACCCAGCTGCTCAAACACGCGCTTCTTCCGCGCGTCCCAGTCACGCCGCCCGCGGTCTTCCAACACACGGTAGAACTCCTCCTGTGTCTCTTTCCGTCCCTCTTCGATAGTGGAGATGAGGTTCTGCTCGTGCGCGTGACGGAGGTAGCCCGCCACATCAGTGTCCTGCAGCGCCTGGAGTGGCGAGAAGGTAGTAGAGGTATTCAGGTGTGCGATGGAGCTCGCAAGCGCAGGGGCGTCGACATGGGCTTGTGCGAGGAGGTAATTGCTAACATTCCTGTGAGTTTTCTATGCGCAAAGCGAAGCTGTAGTAGGGAGCTTACGCGCGATCATTGTCGGTGGATGTGCCTGGTTGGCGGGCAACGAGGCGTCGTGACTGCGCCTCGATTTGGTCAAGCGAAAGGTTTACTGATGGAAGATCTGGACGAGCAAGGTGAGAAGTAAGAGCCTTGGACGCCGTTAGAAGCGAGGATAGGTCGGAGGCCATTGAGTTCGTCTTGCGCCTCGTGAGGTTCGCGTCACCGAGTCCCTTCACCGCTCGTCAACGACTGAAAAGTAGTCTCTAGGCTTCGGAGAAAGCAAGAGAAATAATGCACGATGAGGGTGAGGGGCGAAGTGGTGGAGGTCACGGTAGGTGGACAGAGACGTCTAGCGCGCGTCGCGATTCGCGAGCCGCGTGGTTTGAATTTTGAGCATTAAATAATATTGTCCTCGCGATCTCGTCTCGTCCTCTTTTACTTTAAAACACATCCTTTTCCCCGACAGAGAGGAGACGGATAACAGCTCAGCATCAATTCTTGCCAGTGATATAACAGTCAACATTCAAACATGCTGAACGATACTGTATTCCCATCTTTTCTGCTCCGCGCAGCCACGGAACAGACGGGTATCTGGAGGCTCTCTCAAAGAATTCCCTGGGATGTTCAAAACGTTGGATGATGCGATCTGCTACTTCAGGATCACTGTAATCTCGGTCTCTCGCGACCGGTGTCGACTTTGCAGTTATTATCCGCATTGGTTCATTTTTTCGAGTGATGTGGAATGCAATTTAGGCCAGGAGACATCTCAAAAATTTCTGTTAATCCTGTATACTCGTTTGCAGCAAAATGAGATACAGATCATTGCAATTGGTGGTTGCGGCCCCTGCACGCTACTCAACGCCCAAAAGACGCCAGACATCCCAATTGAGGAAGGCAGCCTTCCGCATTAGGCAGGTCTTTTCGAAGACGCGGACTTTCATTTAGCGCAGACGTGCGCCACATCTAGCTTATAAGGCCGCTGTGTCTTGGTTCTCTTCCCCACCCTTTTCGTGCGCACTCTGCCACTCCCTTGATCGACGCATCACCGACATGCGGTCGAGAACATCTCCTCCGGCCATGCCTCCTCCGGCCACAGTGCCTTCTCACTGCTCTGCTACGTGTCACCTAGGCCGCGCGCATGCAAGTCATACGTATCGGCACCAACTTCCGTGTTGGTCCTTCACTCAGCCGCTTCTGAGTCAGTCATTCGGATTAACGACGATTGTTGGCGAACGTGTCTCTCAGGTTCGTCCCTGTCAGTGTGTTTTCTACACTTGTCTGACCTTCTCGCCGTCTCTCTCGTAGTGGTGTAGCTCGCGTGCAAGATCAAACGGTGGAGACCGGAATTTTGATGCTGTAGCTTCTTCCTCAGCAAACATCTGCTGACCTATTTCAGCACTCTGGACCCCGTTTGATTTCAGGGATTGACCGGGAGACAGCATCGTTGTCTGCAGAACATCGAAGCAATGCACGAGGCACTGGAAGGAGTCGAAAAATCTAGAGCCAGACCATCACTATGGCGTCACATTCTATGGCGACGTGTATGCACGTCTTGCGCTGACAGTCAAGCGTGCGCCAGGCCTTGACGCTGAGTTTATGCTTTCTCATGGCTGTATGCGCCTTTCACCGGAGTCGTTGCTACGTTCTTCGGCTGATCAGGCCTCAGGCCGGGGTCCAACACTCAAGCATGGGTCCATCGGCGGGATAACGTTTGAAATTCATGAATGTGCTGAATAGCTCTACTCCACTGGCATACCAACCTCTGTGCCCTGGAAAAAAGGATAAACCAAGAACTCCCTCATGCTAGTCAAGAAGATGCCCAAGACGCACATGTGATATCGAGGCGGAAGCAAGTCTCTCGGCCTGGTATGCTACTATTCTGTTATCATCTGGCAAACTACTTCGAGGATCGTAGGCGTATCACTTACACGCTGGACAAAGACATCGTCTGCAAAACCTGTCCACGTTATGGCCATGGAGAAACCGATGACAATACCGGCTGGAAAACTGCAATGAGCGAGGACAACTGATCAAAGAGGAAAAACCTTAACTGAAGCAACCAAGCCTATCTAACTGGCTTTCCTCCCTCTGGTCACAGTGATGATATGGCAGGTGGCTCTCATTCAAGTTTGTTTCTTAGGCAAGAACACCGACGTAATAGAGTTCTGCCTCTCCGACCATTGGGAAACACGCCTTCCTCGGGGTGAGAAGACATACTGAAGTCGATTAAAAGATGTTTGGCAAGATGAGCTTGAGGAAGAGAGTGGATCGCACACAAAAGGGTGCAGCCTGCGGATACGAGAAGCGGCCATCTGTCACGATGTGCGCAACTATATTTGTCCAGTCGTACGCACTACATTCTTTCATGTCCACGAATCCAGCAGCATACAAAACTGATGTGTGACGCATAGACCGTGCAGAAAGCCTCATGTTCATGGCAACTCAGTCAGTGGAATCATTAAGGTCTTAATGGACCGCTTTCCGAAAATTCAGAACGATCCCAACAAACGCGTGTATGGATTGCAGAATGACCTGGAGTCGGTAGGCAAAAATCATTGGCGTAAAAACCGGCGAGAATTTCCAATCCATTACTGATACGATGATGACACTGAGATTGATATACTAAACACGACGCAGACGCAAAAACGACAAAATAACCAAGCATATAGCAAGAACTGCCCGGACCGGATTATCCTTCAATGAACTGTAGGAATCGCCTCTCAGTCATAAAGTAAAGAAGACATCGAAATAGACCTACTTCAATAGACTCAGCCTCAGATATGTTTGACTTGCCACCAAGCTTCCTCGCCTGTGGCTTGCTAATGAGACTGATATCTCGGCCAAGCTTCTTGACACGCGCCCAGAACGCTTTGTTTCCAGGTTGTTCGTCTACGCATAACTTGCGCAGATCGGGCAAGAAACTGAATATCATCAAGATGAATTAAGCACGATATGAACAACTCAGACGACGTACCCATTCCAGGCATCAATCTCGTCCTCCTTGAACGGGTCAATCCAGTGAGTTTTGCGTTTCACTGCAATAATAAAGACCACAGGCGCACCTCGCACGACACCTTCCTCAGCTCCTGCATGCACTCCAGAAGCTCGTCCATCCGGTGAGACTCAGACGGACGAACGGTGATCTCCTTGATCACGGCAGCTAAGTCTTCCACAGACTTCGTGACTATATCGCCCCGGGCAAGGTTATCATGGAAGTCTTTCAGTGGATGCCTCGACCCCACGACACGCCCCGGCCTCAAACCGGCCTCAAATCCAGTCTCAGAGCGCGCAGGAGTGGGAAGCACACCACCTGCGTCGTTAAGCAACAGGTCTTGGTCGTCTTCGCTCTCCGACTCTGTCTCGCTATCGTCATCAACCCTCTTCGGCTTCTTCTCCTCAGCCCTCTCCCTTGGCTGAGACGTAGCGGCAAGTTGGGAAGAGACGAGTGCCTGGGATTTGGTACGCCGAGGCATCCTATCGAGGAGGAGCATATCTTCGTCTTCGTCTCGTGCGCGGACATGTCCGTCCTTGCGAGTCTTTGCTATCTTTTTCGGGACTATTGATGGAAAATATCATTAACTGGTTGGAAACGAACACGACTCATGGATATACTCACCCTCCTTGACCTTGAACTTCTGATTGCATTCCTCTATAGCATCATGTGCCCGTTTCAGGACACGACGCGGTGGTTCGAAATACTTCAGTAGCTCGGGATGTGGCGGGGGTAAGGGATACATCCCGAGATCAGAGACAATGGCGCTATGAAACAGTGCTTGTTTCGTGCGGTGCACGGCGGGATTGTACGACAGCCGATTGTCATACCATGGCTGACGCACCCTATGACAATGAATGTTGATGAATCACGCATAGCCTGTGAACGACTGACTTACCCATCTTCATCCTTCTCACCTGCGTCCGAGAGGTCCATGGCATCCACAAATTGCTCCATTGCATCCACTTGTTCTTCTGTCGGTAGATATGGATGTTTGGCGAGTGTTTCGCCCTTCTTGGAAATGAGAGTGTCCAGAGAGGCGAATGGAAAGTTGCGCACATCGTCTGCAAAGGGCATCTGAACTTCATGTCAACTCGAGCTCGCATGGCATAATCCAATATCCTTCTTACTTGCACCCATAGCAGGCAATCTGCATTCTGGAACATTGACGGAGCCAACACACCCATCTTCGGATCCGCCCCATCACGGCCGACCCACCGTGCAATGGCTAGGGCGCCCTTCTCGTACATAGCTTGGACGAATGAGCTTAGCGCGACCTGTTGCATGGGTGAAGTGGGGTCCGCCCATACATATGACACTTCCCCCATGCAGTAGTCCCGTCGGAAGAAACGTTCCTTGAAGAATCCACAGATATCGATGCCCTTTCGAGTGACCAGCCGAGGAAACTGTCCGTCGGGACATGGTGCATATGATGCGCCATACTTGAACCCTCGAACTAGTTGCTCCTTCTCCACCTTCAACTTATTGTCCTGTTTCTGGTCTTCCTCGCGTTGTTCGCTTTCAACGTTCTCCTCGTCGGTATCTTCTCCTTCTCGTTGAACGAAATATTCTGTACGCATCTGCAACTGCGCAAAGACCGCCTTCGGTGCCTTGTTGTCTGCTTCCTCCTCTTCGTCCTCAAGACGGTCACGTCGGGTGAACTTCTTCCAGCTCTTTGGGCGAGAAAGCGCTGTGCATTTACTGGTCTTTACATGTATCTCAATTGCATCTTCTGGGCGCGCGTCCACGTCGCCAAGTCGTAAGACCGTGCCTAACAGCGCAGATTTAACTTGCTTGATGTCGGGCCGTGCAAGCTCACGAAGCGCAAAATCGCAATTGCCCACTATGCCATTGTTGAGAGACGAGACAAAGGTGTGGAAGAACGATTCATTTTGGTGCTGTTTGTGCACTCAATAACCAACGAAAAAAATATACATGATCGTGAAGACAAACCTTGATTTCTGATTTATCTTCCTCGTGGAAGGGGAAATTTTCATCATCGAAGTCAACTCCGCTGTGCAGGCGTAAGAGCTAGAGACACGTAGCTGGAACGAATGAGACTTACACAACGGTAAACCGGATGTCAAGGGAGTTCATCTTCTTGGCAGTGGTTTCCCAATCCTCGATTTCTATGGGGTTCTCTCCATCCGTAAGGAGCACTATTTTCCGCGTCCATGTTTTCTTGGAAGAGAGATACTGGTTCTGTGTCTCGATTCCAACTATCAGTGCATCGATAGCTATGGCACAAATTTATCAGTGATTGTCCAGAAAAGGTGAAAAGTAAACACAGAAGTCAGGGCCACAGTCACAGCCAGCAACTTCACCAACGTAATGGGTGGACCCTGATACAGAAAGCTAAATGAATGAGATTGAGATGCTCACGATCCCCGATGACTTCAGACGGTCTGAGGGCCGCAAGTTTCGCGAGAGTGCCCGCATTGGGCTGCGCGATAGGTATATACTCAGAGACATTCTCGTATCCACCGTTCTTCTCATTGATCATGTTGTCGGTTTCTATGTCGTGGTGTAAGCGACAGGCAAGTCAAATTTCACCAAAGGCTCACCTTCGGAACCGAAAAGAATCACACCGCATTGGTCTGTCTTCCTACTGTTGAATATCTGTTATGAGTGTTCAGTAGATGCACCACGCTCAACATAAAAGTATGCACCATTTCCTGTATCTTGAGCATTACGAACTGAAGGGACCACTCTAGGTTGGTCATCTCGATTATGTCTGGTTCGTCATTCCGTTCGTTAGGTATTTCAACTTGCCGCATCTTCCCCATAGATGAGGAGATGTCGACAAGAAACATTGTGACTGTGTACTGCATAGGAAGTCAGTTACACGAAGTATGTGTGAGCCTACAGACTTACTCCTGCTCGCTCTGCCGGCATGATTGATATTGGGTGGATAGTACTTAACAGTGGCGGTGACGGTCGCGCGACGCGTTCAATCACGTGTGAGCGGAGATTGTCGGTATAAGAATTATTCCCCAGCTGAGTGTGGCGGGGATTGAACTTTTCACATTGGCTGCGGCTGAGTCAGCGCTACTCTTCCAAGTTACCCTCTGCCGCCGCCGAAGTTCACGAGATCTGCGCGAGTTCGTCGCAATTTCAATCGACGCGCCAAAATGGCTGCTGCAAACATCGCCCTTTCCACTCAATCTCAGCCGTTTCTCGCCAACAGACAGCCTGCTTTTCCGAATGTGTCTCGCGAGCGGTTCCAAGCTCTAGTCCAGGTATGTTGGTCGTTCGTTACTGCTTGATCGCGAGGCGTAACCATTTCTAGCGGGCGCAAGCACTTCGCGCAAGTGGACATACGCCGGAAACATCTCCCGAGCTCGACAAGATCTACAAGTTTATGCATGCTTTTCAGCAGCAGCAGCAATCACTCCGTATGTCCTCTACTTTCGCGCGCGGCCATAGCTGACACCTTGTAGGACAAGACAACGCTGGAGAGCACTCTCAGCTCGGTCCCAATGGCCATTCCTCACCGACGTCCCTTCCCCTTCCAAACGGCACCCCCCTTCCCAACGGGAACGCTCTCACGACGGGTGCTATCCCCAGCCAACCGTTCCCAGCGGCGCCTCAGTCACCGGTCTCGTTCACGCCGGAACAGATAGGTGCTCTGCGTGCACAGATCCACGCGTTCAAGCTCCTTTCGCGAGGATTGCCGATACCCGAAGCGATCCAGCAGGCAATGCGGGTGCCGAACGAAGCGATTCCAGAGCTCGAGAAGCTGCTGCATGGGCAAGACGTGAACGCGATGGTGGTCGACAGTGCGGTCAAGATCCACAGGGGCAACGGCAGCGTTGCGCCCGAGCAGTCTGCAGCGGTCGAGGGGAGCGCAGCGGCGGCAGCGCCGGACGGGGTGAAGGAGGAGGGCGAGGAGGTGGAGATGGAGATGGAGGTCGACGCGGCGGACCTGCCGAAGGGACCGTTCCCGGAGGACGACAGGAAGTCGGGGATGTACCCGTACAACGCGTACACGCACCCGTTCACGCTCTTGCGGCGGAGTGCGGGGATGAGCGAGGCGGCGTTTGCGACGCGGCTGCAGCGACTGCTAGTACCGTCGGTCATGCCGGCGGGGCTGGACCCACAGCAGGCGATCGCAGAACGCAACCGGTTTGTCGACGCGCGGATCGAGCAGCGGATGCGGGAACTGGAGGAGATGCCGGCGACGATGGGGGACGGCGGGCTAGAGAGCATGCTGGATGATGCGGCAATGGCGGACAAGGAAAACGCATCGATGGAGCTCGTCCCCGCGGATGCACACGGGAAGCTGCGTGCGCTGATCGAGCTCAAGTCGCTCAGAGTGCTGGACAAGCAGCGGTCGCTACGGGCGCTCGTCGCGGAGCGGCTCACGCATGGTTCGCTACTACCGCTCAACAGAGCAGACTTCCGCCGGACGCGCAAGCCAACGATTCGGGACGCACGGATGACGGAACAGCTAGAGCGTAAACAGCGGGTGGACCGTGAGCGCCGGGCGAAGCAGAAGCACGTCGAGCAGCTTGGCGTGATTTGTGCGCACGGGCGCGAAATTATAGCTGTCGGGCGTGCGGCGCAGGACCGCGTTACTCGACTTGGGCGCTCAGTGTTGTCGTTCCATATCCACACTGAGAAGGAGGAGCAGAAGCGTATCGAGCGTATCTCGAAGGAGCGTCTCAAGGCGCTCAAGGCGGACGACGAGGAAGCATACATGAAGCTCATCGACACCGCGAAGGACACTCGTATCACGCACCTACTCAGGCAGACAGATTCGTATCTCGATTCACTCGCGCAGGCCGTTATGGAGCAACAGCGTGGTGGCGAAAGTCTTGGAGATTTTGAGGTTGAAGAAGGACCAACGAGCGAGGCGACGTTCGGTGCTAAGAAGTTCGAGGACGAGAACGAGAATGAGGACAAGAGCAAGATGGATTACTATGCTGTTGCACACAGAACCAAGGAGAAGGTCTCCAGGCAGCCAAGTCTATTGATTGGTGGTACATTGAAGGACTACCAACTCAAGGGCTTGCAGTGGATGGTGAGCTTGTACAATAACAGGTTGAATGGTATCCTCGCAGACGAAATGGTGAGTGCCTTCAAAATGTGCGCGTGCTCAGTTGCATATTAAGCTTGTTGTGCAGGGCCTCGGGAAGACTATCCAGACTATCTCGCTCATTACCTTCCTGATCGAGTCCAAGAGGCAGCGTGGACCATATCTTGTCATAGTTCCCCTGTCCACCATGACCAATTGGTCCGCTGAATTTGCCAAGTGGGCCCCGGATGTGAGGATAATTGCTTACAAGGGTAATCCCACCCAGCGCAAGGTCTTGCAAGGCGACATTCGCACGGGCAACTTCCAAGTTCTCCTCACCACCTACGAATATATTATCAAGGACCGTGTCCACCTCAGCCGCATCAAATGGGTACACATGATCATTGGTCTGTATAGCACTTTATATTTCCTGCTTATTATCTGGCTCACTGGGTTTTCCGCGCAGATGAGGGTCACCGTATGAAGAACACGCAGAGCAAGCTTACGCAGACTCTCACACAGTATTACCACTCGCGTTACCGGTTGATTTTGACGGGAACTCCATTGCAGAACAATCTGCCCGAGTTGTGGGCATTGCTTAACTTTGTCTTGCCTAAAGTTTTCAACTCCGTGAAGTCCTTTGATGAATGGTTCAATACGCCTTTCGCGAACTCTGGTACTGGTGACAAAATTGAGTTGAATGAAGAAGAGGCCCTCCTTATCATCCGCCGTCTGCACAAGGTGCTGCGTCCGTTCCTCCTGCGCCGTCTCAAGAAGGACGTCGAGTCCGAGCTTCCCGACAAGGTGGAGAAGGTCATCAAAGTCCGCATGAGTGCTTTGCAGTCTCAACTGTACAAGCAAATGAAGAAGTATAAGATGATTGCCGATGGGAAGGATTCCAAAGGGTAAGTGAGCCTGTCTGGTTTATTATGACTGGTTTCCTCATTTATGGTTTACTTGACAGAAAATCGGCCGGTGTCAAGGGCCTCAGTAATGAGCTCATGCAACTACGCAAAATTTGCCAGCATCCCTTCTTGTTTGAAAGCGTTGAAGACAAGATCAATCCATCGGGACTTGTTGACGAGAAGCTCGTTCGCACATCCGGCAAGATTGAGCTGTTGTCTCGTATTTTACCCAAATTTTTCGCAACCGACCACAGAGTGAGCCAAATAAATATAGGGTCTGCTCTCAGAACTGAATCAGACTGCACCCGCAGGTCCTCATTTTCTTCCAGATGACAAAGGTCATGGATATCATGGAAGACTTCTTGAAGATGATGGGCTTCAAGTACCTCCGTTTGGACGGTGGAACGAAGACGGAGGATCGTGCCGGTCATGTCGCCCTATTCAATGCCAAAGATTCAGATTACAAGGTGTTCATTCTTTCAACTAGGGCAGGTGGTCTTGGTTTGAACTTGCAGACTGCAGACACCGTGATCATGTACGTATATGTCTCCACATTGTTGTTGGTGCATTACTGACAGCATGTCCCCGTTCTTCAGCTTCGATAGTGACTGGTCAGTCTCCATACAGTATTGATTTGATCAGTTGCTGACGCAGCTTCACAGGAATCCACATGCCGATCTCCAGGCGCAAGATCGTGCTCACCGAATTGGCCAAACGAAAGTCGTCCGCATCCTGCGTTTCGTCACGGAGAAGAGCGTAGAGGAGGCAATGTTCGCCCGTGCTCGCTTCAAGCTCGATATCGACGACAAGGTCATTCAGGCTGGTCGTTTCGATAACAAATCCACTCAAGAGGAACAAGAGGAGTTTTTGGTACGTCCTGCGTCTTTTCGTTCCTGCTCGTCGTTTGGCACTCACGTCTACTTCGCAGCGATCGATCTTAGAAGCAGACCAAGAGGAAGAGAACGAGGAAGCCGGTGACATGAACGACGAAGAGCTTAACGAGCTCATCTCACGCGGTGACGACGAGGAGCGCATCTTTCGCGACATCGATATACAGCGTGAGCGTGAGGCATTGGAGCGTTGGAAGGCTGCTGGCCACCGCGGCAAGCCCCCTCCACCATTGATGCAGCTAGAAGAGCTCCCCGACTGTTATCGAACAGAGGAGCCGTTCGAAGATAAGACCGAGTACGAAGAGGAGGGCCGTGGACACCGTCGCAGGGTCGCCATCAACTACAACGATGGGCTTAGCGATGATCAGTGGGCGATGGTGGGTACTGCCCGTCATGAAGGCGTAAATGCCTTGCTAACAATATTACTATGTTAGGCACTGGAAGAGGGCGAAGACATCCAGGAGTTGTCGGAACGTGCACGCGAGAAGAAGGACCGACGTACAGCAAACAGGCTGCTGAAGGAGATTGATGCCAGTCCTGTACCTGATTTGGATGCTCCACGCGGTCGCAAGGGTAAGAAAGGCAAGGGCAAGGCCGTCGATCAGGACGCCACTCCTGCCAACGGCAAGAGGAAACGCGGCATGAAGTCCATGTCTATAACCCCTTCTAATGACGACGATGACGAAGAGCGTGATACCGTACGTGCTTGTCTTCTGGTACTGCGTTCCTTACTCATGATATGCCGTTAGAAACGTCGGAAGACAAAGGCGAACGAAGTACCTCCTGCAGTCCGCGATAAGATGAAGAAGGCGTTCAACGAATGCTATAAAGTCATGCTCAATTGTGAAGATGAGAGTGGTCGCAAGCGTTGCGAGCTGTTCAAGGAGGTGCCAGACAAGAGGGTACTGCGTCTTCACCCTATAGTCCGTGATCTCATTTCTGACCCAACACTATGTAGGAATATCCCGATTACTACCAGCTCATCAAGCGGCCCATTGCAATGTCGACTCTCCGCAAACGCATGAATAGCAATTATTACAAGAATGTTCTAGACTTCCGAGAAGACTGGAGACTGATGTTCAACAATGCTCGGACTTACAACCAGGAGGGTTCCTGGGTATATGTAGACGCGGAAGAGATGGAGAAGCTGTTCAACGGAGTGTTCAACCGGGTCATTGCTGGGACTCAATTGCCAGGTGCACCCCCAGTCCCTGAAAATGCATTAGCCTCTGGAGCGTACGATTCTGCGCTGACCCCGATGGATGAAGACGAACGGCTTCCGGTTAGAGGGAAAAACGGGCGGAAGCAGATCCTCAGCGATGACGAATACCTGACGCCGACCGATGACGAGTGATAGATTCAGGACCGTCCTCTTTTTCTCTGGATATCGTATTCCTTGTGTATGTACTGCTCTCCCTGTATTCTCTAGCATATGTCGAGTCACTGGTCAATGGGACGTTCTTGCTGTGTCGTTTTGCAACTGTAATTGCATTTTATCATTTTACGGGATCATTTCCTGCCCCACCAACCTCCAAGCAAGGTACTCAAACCGCCGCGAGGGAGTGCGGACGGCTCCGGTGTTGCAGGTCGCTCGATTTCCTCGAGCTTGGCCTTGGGCATTGCTTTCTGCGGCACCGGCGCTGAAATCTTGGGTTGCGCTTGTGGGACGACCTTCACCTCAACAGGCCTCTTTCCCGCACGCTCCTGCAACCGGGCCATATCAAGCTGCACATAATTCAGCGCGATATCGAAGAATAACGGCTTCTTGTAGGTCTTGTTGTCTGCGCCGACTTGGCCGCCGTTGTACGCGAACCAGTCTGTCTTGAAGCCGAGACCATCGGTAGCCACCTCCTCTTCTAGATCATCGACGTCAGAGGTGGTAAGTGGGTAGAAGGAAGAAGTGCCCGCGGAAATGAGGTCACTGTCTGCGATGAGGGAGAGGACGGAACGGGCCTCTCGCAGCTGGATGGTGGCGTGCTGCGTGAGCGTTAGGGCCTCTGCATATCTCTTGAGCGGGGAATAACAGCGCGCTGCATAGCGGCACCTGCAGGGCGAACAGGTAAGTCCTAGATGGGGCGTGGACGATAGATGAAGCTAACCTGCGAGCTTTCGTGAACAATAATCTTGCGTCAGCAGCTGAGGCGAGGTCGGGGCTTTCGTCGACAACAGTGAGTGTGCGCATCTGCGTCAGACTCTGTATTACGCTATCCAATAGCTTGACGACCGCGGGGAAAAGTCGCGCATCCACCTGCTCCTTCCCAGGCTTGGAAGGACTGGCGCTGCTCTTCTTGGCCGGATTCGCGTGGTGCGAGGCTTGCGACTGGTGCAAGAGGGTCGAAATCAAGAGTAGGTCTCGCTGAATCCGGCGAGAAAGTAATTGAAAGACGATATATGCATGCATAAACTGGATGTCGCGCGTTCCAGCCGCCAAGATTCCAGCATTTGCACCACTCAACTGGAATATCTGTCAGATATAGAGGACACAAACACCGTTGACCATACCTGTTGAACCTCAACCAGTCTACGGGCTACTTCCTCTGCATCGCTCAGGGCTAGGAGAACGGCATCGTATGCCGCAACTCCTCGCTTCGACCGCGTGCCCTTGCCGACCTTGCCTTTCTTCTTACTACGTTCTGCAGGGACTTGCTCGGCCGCTTTTTCCTCTGACTTCTCAGCCTCTGTCAGCCTCCGTTCCGCTTCTTGCACCTTTAGCAACACGTCCACGAGCTCCGGGTTGCGCACGGGTACAGGTTCACTCTCCCACATCAACGTGCCTAACTTCTTGCGCTCTTGTTCCGCACCTCCCTCACCTTTACCGAGACTGGCGACGAGCGCGTCGCAGTCTTCGACAATCGTGTTCCTGTGAGCGGGTGCGAGCTCCGCGACGATCGCATCGATGTCGTACGCCTTCTCGCGCCGGAGTTCATGTGCACAGTGCCTGATCTCCGGGCCAATCTCGTCCGCGAACGCAACGGCTAGCGCCTGGTCCCGGCTCGTCGCCGCCTTGGAGGCGAGCTCATCCAGAAGGTTGCGCGCGACGCTGAGCTGCGGCAGAGCGTCGTCGAAGTCGAAGCGGTGACGCAGGAAGCGGCCGTTCAGGATGAGTGTGTAGACAGTCGCCTGGACGAGGTCTTCTGCGGAGAGCCGCGACGCAGCATACAGCGCCTCACAATGGGAAAGCAGCTGGGTGGACCAGTTCATGGCGCGGCGGAGGCGACTGGTTGCATGGCGGTGGTGATTCGGCGTGCTTCCTGGAGTCTTGGTGGAGGCAGCCTTAGTTGCAGCTTGTACGGACTCCATCTCCAGCTCTTGAGAGTAGACCCATGCGCGCTCTGCCTCGAAGAGCAGCAATTGCAAGCTTCTCATACGTCAGCATATAAAGATGCAGTTTAATGATATTACTGACTGTCCCTCTTTGAGAGTCTCCAGTTTCAGCGGAGGCAGTTTCTTGAACTCGCGTCCTCTCCCATGGGTTATCTTCAGTGATGACCGTAGGCGATGGGTCCTGTTAGCACAGTGCTTCCTGTAAGAAAGTTTAGCTGAAAATGACATCCTGAGAGTGGAGAAATCATACCTGTAGCGTTCATAGTCGTTGTACCTCAGTCCGTACGCGTTCCGTTGCTCATTTGCAAGTAAAAGTGCTGTTTTCCCGTATATTTCTCGGTCTGTACTTCATCTGGAACTCTAACATACCTTGAAAGCTGATCTTTCCATCCATGAACGACTAAGCAAGAATTGTAGAAACTTATGGAAGGTTTACGAATGCACGAGATGGTAGTAGAAGGTATTGGCAAGATTGAAGATTCAGGCTGTCGTGTCGCGTCCGATCCGTGATGAGTGAGTGCACGGAGTGCAGACATACAAGAACCTCTTCCTCGTCTCCAGATTCCTGCCTCCTTCTTAGACTCTAAAATATATGGTAATGGCGACGGAGACTCTCGAACCAACATTGCAGAATGTCTTGGACCAGAGATCTCTGAAATGGATCTTTTGCGGCATGTCTCATCGCTGTTACATTTTTGTGCCATGCTCATGCGTTTACACCACGACCAGGTGGGAAGGGCGGTGTCGGTGAGTACAGTATTTTAGCCGTGTTGGAGGTGTCTGAATGTTGCTATATCTCCACAGGAAAGACTACGACATCGTGCTCTCTGGCAATCCAGCTCGCAACATGTCGCGAGTCTGTGCTGCTGATCGTGCGTCCTGTATTTTATCGTGCTGTGACCAACTGTTGAATTCTCGCGCGGTCGGCCAACATACATCCAGAGTACCGATCCTGCGCATAATCTTTCTGATGCTTTTGGCCAGAAGTTCTCGAAGGAGGCGACCAAGGTCAATGGCTTCGATAACCTCTATGCCATGGAGATCGACCCTACAAGTTCGATTCAGGAGATGGTCGAGCAGTGTATGTTCCTCTCGGAGTCGCGTTCTTCGGCTATCTGACGCGTCAGTGTAGCGGATTCGAACGGCATGATGGGGAGCATGATGCAGGACCTTGCGTTCGCGATTCCCGGAGTGGACGAGGCAATGAGCTTCGCCGAGATCATGAAGTACGTTGATTACCCCTCTGCGCAATTTTGCCCCTCAATGCCGTCGCGCTGTATCACTACAGACATGTGAAGTCGATGGAGTACTCTGTGATTGTATTCGACACGGCACCAACAGGACATACCCTCCGCTTCCTGTCTTTTCCCACTGTACTAGAGAAGGCCTTGGGCAAGTTGAGCGCGCTCAGTGGACGCATCGGGCCCATGATCAACCAGGCGGGTCCATTTTGAGAATTACTTGCACCAGCGCGGTGATATTGACCCAGCAAACATAAATGCAGATGACGAGCTTGATGGGCGGTCAAGCGGATGCCCCAGAAGAGATGTTCGCAAAGCTTGAATCCATGCGTGCCATTATCACAGAAGTGAATACACAATTCAAGGATCCTGTAGGTTCTTTTCGTAAACATCTGGCCAGAGTAGAGCTCACTTCTGCACACAGGAGAAGACCACGTTCGTCTGTGTATGCATCTCCGAGTTCCTCTCGCTATACGAGACGGAGCGCCTCGTGCAGGAGTTGACGGCGTATGAGATTGACACGCACAACATAGTGGTCAATCAGCTTCTCTTCCCCAAGCAGAGTAAGACGTCCTACTGCTTGTAGTCTCCTACGTCCTGACCCCAATTCATCTAGGCTCGAACTGCGAACACTGCCGCGTACGGCATGCCATGCAGCAGAAGTACCTCGGCGAGGCGCACGAGCTCTACGACGAGTTCTTCCACATCGTGCTGCTGCCGCTGCTCACAGAGGAGGTGCGCGGCCCGCTGAAGCTGCAAGAATTCAGCAAGATGCTCGTGACGCCGTACTCTCCGGAGCCTTAGCCGCTGCGTTACTGGAGACTTAGTTGGGGAAACACTGGTCTACTTCTGTTGTTCATGTCATGCTATTGAGACTTTCTTCATGTCATCACGTGTAAGGGTGACTGTTCTGTCAACGAGAATTTCTGACCGGTATGCTCCGTCGAGTTGGTCGATCCTCGGACTTACAGTTATCGTTCACCGTTCGACGTCACATCGAGGGTCCAATCTGCAGGGCGTTCGCGGATCTGAGCGACGACCAAGGGTTTACCCTTACGATCGCGCGGGCAGCATTACACTTGCACGATGATTCACTTCGCCGTACCTGAGTTTCTAGACCAACGAGCATGACGTAAGATGATGCGCTCCGTCTGCAGCATTTTCCGTGGCACTACGCCGCAAACACGGCCTGAAACCTGAACATGCGTGTGAATCGAAAAGAGGGCGTCATATTGTTAGTAGTATAACATACAGTACACGAGGGCGTTATAAAGCAACGATGCGACCATATCACGGGTACGACGGGACACGATATGCGAGTGCGAGTAGCAACGAACGGATCGATGATACAAGAAGGAACGAGGAGATACATAGACGGGCGGGCCACTAACAGACGGTTGCAAACGCACATCAGACGACAGCGCACCGACAAACGACCACGGCAGAGACAGATACTACATACAACATCATACCAGACCGAGCGCAGTGGTCACCGGCGGGGCGGATGGGCGCGATACGTATACGAGTATTGTAGCTACGCGCCGAGCGTCCTCGTCCGGTTTCCACCCAACACCGACACCAATTACCGACCCCAACATGGAGATTGATGCCGACAAACTCCCCATCTATGCAAATGCACGCCGGCCTCCTATGGCCAGTTCAAAATTATATCGATACAGAGTTCCGCCGGTTGGGCGAGGTGCCACTGGTGGCTGGCGCTAGCAGGCAGGTGTCAGAATAACCGGAATCTATTGCTGCATTTGCTGCTGCTGGCGCTTGGCAGCAAGGGCCTCGATAATGCAGTGTACGCCCTGCGGCTCGAGCACGACCTTGGTGCCGTCGCACCGTGCCTTCTTCGTAAACTCGCTACATAGTTGGTTGATATCAAGATCCTACCGGAACGGATATTATAAATGAGCTGTCATTCTGAATAAGCAAGCGACGCGACAGACCTTAAATTGGGGATTCGAGGTGATACTCCGCCACGCAGCGAGCACCTCGACGTTATTCTCGCTCTCTTCCGTAGTCGGGAAACTCGAGCCTTTGCACATAATCATCTGGCCATTGCCCTCCTCGCTATTCGCTTTACGGAGGAATGGCGCCACAGGCATCTCGCAGGCAAACTGCGAGTCGCCCTGGTCCGAGATGAACTTCTGGAGATCCTCTTTCGTGCGCGGACAATTTCCGTCATGGTCTGCTGTCGGTGACGTCGGGTTCCCAGGCGTCGACAAGGACGTCGACTTTATCGAGCCGTCGGACGACGACGGTGACGATGACGACGTGGAACGCGCAGCGTGCGAAACGGGAGATAACGAACTTGGCGGACTTGCCAGAAGCGCATTAAAGTCGACGCCGTTCTGATTAGTCCCGATATAGTTCCCACCAAACAACTGGTCCAGGCCGTTCGGGTCTGGCGGTGTCCAGTGGTCGAACGAAGACATACTGCTGAAATGATTCGAGCCACCGTTGCCGTTGCTGTTACCGTTACCGATCATCCGCTGAGGCGAGTCGTACGGAGAAGGCTCTGCGAACGACATGTACATGGGGTTCGCTGCAATCGTCTTGTACGGGACGGGCTGCCCAAAGGCGTAGTCCACGTTCATCGCGCCGTCCGTGGTTGTAGGCTCGTCGTTCATGTTCAACATGTTCGGGTCGAATGAGATTAACGACCCGAAATTGAACGGAGGCTGAGGAGGGTGTAGAGGAGGGGACGCCACCTTGCTCGGGCCCGCACCGGGGGTCGAGAAGTTGAATGAAGTTGGACCGTTGCTGAAAGACTGAGAATTACTGGCACTAGTATCCCGTGGCACCTGGAACGTGAACGCAGCCTGCTTCAAGGCCATATTCTCGTTCTGTAACCGTGACAGCAGGTCACGCAGGTTCTCGTTCTCGGACTCTGTTACCTGGTTCTTGGCTTCCAGTGCAGCGACCTTGTCTTCCAACTGAATAATAGATTGTCAAACACCAGAGAAGAACGGCGTCACGGCGAAACTCACATCTTTAACATGCTTCTCTTTGCGTTCGCGGAACGCACGCTGTGCGGCACGGTTCTGCTCCTTACGCTTGAGAAGTCGGGTCTCATCCTACATCGATCACAACGATATGTTACAAGGCACAGGCCCTCGATCCAGAGAAGACAAACCTGATTTGGGTTGCCCGTCGATTTGCGGCGGGAACTAGAGATGCCCTTTTTGCTGGTGTTGCTGGAAGTAGACAGATCTGCGGTAGGTGACGTTAGGCCACAAGGCCCGTCCGCAGTGTGCGATGACGTACTGTTAGTGTGCTGGCTCTTATGTGTGGGCTCGTCAACCATGCTGTCGTTGCTCGCCTTGCGCTTCAGGCCGGCATCGTCGAGCTCGCCGGTCGGGGACGTCGAATGGGTGTATACCCCTGATTGCCGGCGCGACGGGCTGCTATCATTCGGGAGGCTCGGCGGGCTGGGGCTGCTATCGCTCGAGGTCGGAGTGGAGTTGGACGGGAAGCGGGTGAGATTCTGGGGGTCGATAACCTCAGGCACAGAGACAGGTATGGGCGCCGTCGGGTCAAAATGCTGCACGGGGTTCGAGATGGTTGTGGGGAACTGTTTCTCGAGAAAAGCGAGGAAGTCATCATCAGGGAGTGAGGAGAAGCTATCTGGTTGTTGCGAGATGTCCCAGAAGGACTGGATGCCGCCGAATGAATCCATGGGATGAATCTCTCGTTGGAATGGAGACTGTGCGGTGATAGATCAAGCTAGCCGTATGGCGGACACGCACTCAGACAGAGGCGAGAGCGAGAAGGTCAGTTAGAAAGACAGAAAGATGCGAGCAGGTCCGGGGACGACGAGGAGGAGGAAGATGAAGGACGGTGGAGAGAGGGTCTCGGACGGCGACGGTGGGATGGTCGAGAGCAAGTGAAGCCGACGGAAAATGCCGATCTTGCTTGCGTCCGGCGGCCGCTGGCTTGGATCTCGCTGACCAAGCACCCTTCCCGACACTTCCACATTCTTTCCTCCTCTTTTTGTCCTTTTCTTCCTCTCATTCCGGCCCTCTTTCCGCACCGCTCGCCACCTCTCTCACACCTGTATTCTCTTCTTACTTCTCATGTTTTTGCCCATTCATTGCAGAGGTTATCTGACACGTGCATGCGCAAGCGCGTCGGGCGGTGAGCAATGCACACCGACCGCACCGGAGAGGAGCGCCCTCGGGCGGCATATGTGCTACGCCCCTGCGCATTGTACGCTGCGTTGGGGCCGAATATCGCCGACAACGCTTCCCGAGTCTATTAGCCCAATCACTGTGATCAAGAAACGGAACATCTGTCGGTAGGCTTGCGCGTCCTTTGTCTCGCTTGCCGCGCGAGTTCGGCTGTTATAAGCTCACGATGGTGAGCACATGCCGATGTTCGTCCTCTTTCGAATTTGTATTTTTACAAGTCCAGAATGCACGTAGACGAGTGCAATGATACCGACGCGTGCGTGGCACCCCGCGGGCTTATACGGGAGCAAGGAACGCTAGGGGTAAGTTAGCGGAAGCAACGTTTCACATGGTGTAATAGGCACATGGGAAGCGCGCCATCCGGCAAGGGGCCGCGTCATCTGCGTCTGCAGCTGCAGGCTCCGAATCGAGTCATATACAGTCGCAGCCGCCGTTGCAGATCGCGCAGCCTCGCAAATTAGGTACAGCCGTAGCGCCGGGAGCAGCAGAGCCCGCTCGAGTGCGAAAGCCTCTCCTCCCAGTGCCACCAGCATCGTATTTAGGAGCTCCGGGCAGCGGAACCTGGCCCTTGGCCAGAGGAGCACCTACGTATGACGCAAGACCTTGTAGATTCCGGCGGTTCGGTGTCCTACACAGACGTATCATCGCGTCCAGATCAGGTCTGTGTGCCTCTGGCCTTTGTCCCGGAAAGCTGCTTTTCGATTTAGAATGAGTGCAACGTGGAGCAAAATCTCTTGCATAAATTCATACGCATAGCGACAAGAACGTGATCGCTTTGTCATGGACTGGAAGTCGGGGGACTTTGATGTTATCAGGAGGAACTTTGATGATTGACCGCGACTCATCGATGAACAGAAGTCGATTGCAGATGCTTGCAGAGATATTCCCCGACACAAGCAAGCTCGATAGCTGTGGCAGAATTTTAGAATGCGCGTGCACCTACGCATGCAACGACACCCAATTGAGGTCTTTTCACAGCCCGCACTCGTCGGAACTACTGGCACTGGATGAAGTCGAATATTTGTGCGACGCGATCTAGATTAGAAAAATACGAAACGCTGGTCCTCGCAGAGTCCGATCCCCACTTCTTACCAAATTGCAAAATGTCAGTCTGCATGGCCTTCCCTGTCCATGCGGGGATCCGGTCTGTCGTCAACATGTCCCCGCAAAATGATATCCCGACAAAAATCGGATCACTGAGCGGCGCGCTCAGAGCACGTGCTCTGCTTCTGTCTGACAAATACTGAGAGCGAAAACATTTCTGTGAAAACATCCACCGAGCATCCCCGCTCATAACAAACGTTCTTCAAATTGCAGAGCGCCTCGGGAGGCACACCCAATCCCGTTCCGCTCGGGCCCGGTTTGTGCTAGTCTGAATATGTCTCACTCACCGGTGGGTTTGTGGTATCCTATATGGCTTGCCGTCTCCCTACGGCTGAGATCCGAGTCGATGCGCCCCCATGCTAACTTGCTAGGTGTTGACAGCGCGGAGTTGCATGCGGACATTGCGCCTCCCGAGCCCTTCCGAATCCACAGCGGACGCTCGGTCACGAGGATCCTTACAGGAAGAGTCTAGTAGAGCGCGGTGAGCGTGTTGCTGATGATTAATGTGTCGGCGGGTACCGTGATTGCTCCTAGTGCAGGTGAGCTGCAGATAGCGGTGACTCTGGGTGCATTGCCAGGCACAGTGCGAGCTGCATCCTGCGGACATGACAAAAAATGTTTTTGAGCACTCTGCTCTTGTTTGCGACAATTATCGGAGTGGAAGGCGCTACTTACCATCTACATCAGGTCTTCATTTTTTGAGCGGCCTGCGACAAGCAGAACCAAACGACTCTCCAGGCTTGGGGTGCCGCAGTGGTGGACATAGCTCGCAGTGCAGTAGCGCTGTTCTTCAACGGTGCGTTCGCCAAACAAAAATATCGGTAGATGGCTCTGTCTGCGATGACAATTCACTTTGAACAGTACTTCACGAGTTGGCAATCAGTGCTTCGTCTCAGCAGCTAGTCCATGATGTACGACACTTCTTTACAAATCGTTCTCGCGCTGCAATTCATTATATGTGAGCCGTCGCACTCATTAAGACGAAGTCAGGACTCACCCTTAGCAGGATATTCTTCGGTACGACCCAAAGGCAAGGTTGCAGCGGATTTGAGGCACTGCCCAGTGGTCGTCGCAGGCTCGCGGAAAATCAACCAAGTTTATTTCCGCGTATTCTTCCTCTGACACGCGACGTCGCACAGACAATGCTTTACTTTCTGTCTCTGTCAGAGATCCGTGGAATTGTTCACTGTGATTTTCGGAGCGCGAAAACCATGCGACTTGACTGAGAGCGGTGATATCCTGTGGAGCATTTTCGTCCGAGTGTGTCGTAGATCAATCCATGACCTCGACCCAGAATTCTCGCTCGGTCTGACCACCTTATATTTTACTTGTAAACATACGCGCAGTGAACACATCGTCAGTGAGTGCTTCTGTGATTAGGAATACAACTCACCAGGCCCATCTTGCCTTCCAGACCCTGGAACGAGCCTCTAGTTCGACTGAAAACGTCCAGCGCAATGAAATGAACACTGGACAGATGGAGCTTCGAAGGCCGGGAGCCTGGGTGAACCCGAAAGCTCCCCCACACCATCGCCCCGCAGTTTCATGGTCTCAAAATTTTCCTCACTGGATCGGTTGTCAGCCAATAGCGACGCATGCAATTGTGAGCGGAAGGCAGTGGAGCTTTTGGAATTCTCAAAGAGCACATCTCTCCTCCCCATGAGAACAAGACAACCCTCCGTCGCAACGCGAGCTCGTCAAATTCGAACCACTACCGAAAACAAAGACGAAGGCACTCTCGGAGGACGCGCACACGACAACGACGTGCCACCAAAGACGCATCGCCTTCACAACGACATCCCCACTCCACCATCACAAAACAGTATCCCGGCGTCCCGCCCCCAACAAAGAAAACCTGAGGCTCAGCACCCCGCGTTTCGCGGGGTATTGCCAACGATGGCACATCACTTTAGTGCCGCCTCTGGCGGAGCTCATGCGCGCTGTGGATCAGATCCATCCTGAGTTTCATCGCATCGGTGACCCTCGGTGACGGCAGCGTAAGCGTTGTCTACAAAAACAGAGCGCGGGATTCGTTGTGATTACCCACGACGAAGGCAATGGACGACGAGCTGTTGTCAATATCAAACGAGCCTATCTGGGTCTGGGACGTGAAACGACGCCTCGCCTGCGTCAGAAAGTTGGTTTGCGTCAGAAATGCAGTTATCGCAGAACACGCGGCAATACCATATGAGGGCTCGCAAGACACGGCCGCCGATACCTCCCATTCCTGAAAAAACCAGCATCTCGCGGCCAACAATCCACCATCATTGACTCACAGCAACATGAGGCAAGTTTCTGTCCATCTCCGGAAACCGGAATATAGCAAAGTCTCCGTCAGTGGACTGGATTAAGAGCGTCAATCAGCGCATGGGACACATAGCCGACAATGGGCGCACACGGACCCACAATGGATAGATCGCTCGATAACAAAGGGCACGTTCTGCGGGCGAAACCACTACGGAGCGCATCAGCAGGGTGACCGGATATACGCTGCATTCGCGCGCGGATCGCCTTCACATGCCCACTCCACCATCACAAAACAGCATCCCGGTGTCCCACCTCTGACCACCCCGACACGCACAGCCTGAGGCTCTGCACGCGTACTCCGCGGAACGTGGGGTGTTACTAACGACGGCACATCACTTTAGTGCCGCCTCGAGCTGAGCTCAAGCCCGCGGTGGACCAGATCCATCCTAAGTTTCACCGCATCGGTGATCCAGCGATGCTGAGGACCCGCGCGCCCACCCGAGTCCGCGCCCGATCTGAATCGCCCGCGGACGAGGCGACAAGGCGCCGCGGCGGTGACCACACGTATATCTTGGATAGCGTGGTCTTATACGGCAGTCGCTGTTGTTTCGAGGAGTGGACCGGCACGCACCTGATCATACTTTTAGCAAGTAGAACAGACTGGCTGGACCATGATCGGCGTGCACTCCTTGGGACGGGTGGCGGGATCCCAGGGGCTACGCGAAGAAGCTTGAATATTGAGGATGGTATCGCAAGGTCGCCGAAATGGCAAGTACTTGATGGCGTATCGCAAGGCAGGGTGACAAAAACTAAGGAGGGTGAAGAGAAATTGATAGTGTGTGTGCTGATTATAGTATGCGTATACACATAGAAGAAGGTGATACATGAATAGATGGCGTCCAGGATACGACAAAGGCATGTGATGCGGGAGCGTGAGGATGAGGATAAATACGCTTGATGCAGGGGTAGGAGGGGAAAGGTACGAAGTTAGCGAGACAAGGTGGACCGAGAGAGATGAGGTAAACGAGAGGAAGATGCATCTGGGGAATATATCGCGCAAAACAGACTAAATTGAAAACCGAAGAAATTAGAGAGACTCCGAATGTCACTAAAATTGGATAAGTATGAAACGATCCAGACAGCCAGCACGACACCGGAAGACTCACATAGTACTCTATCTCAAGCTGCGTGGATAGAGAAAACCAGTTAGACAAACTTCAGATGGTAGTAAGGACGAGGAAGGGTACGCACGAACAAAAACGCGACCTTGCGCGGCCAGCGTATATGGAGGCCGACGGGGTTGTACAACCGCGTATTGAGATCCTGAATTAAACTCTGCAGTCGTTGCATTTCCTGCAAAGAGGCAGTTGCACATCAGCAATAGTCCACCAGCACGAGACAGTATGAGTGATACGGCTAGAAAGCCCCACAGCGGGGGCAGACGTATGCGACTGGAGCGCGATAAATCACTCGGCAAGTCTGGAAGAACAAATACAAGATAGTAAAGGCGCGAGTAAAAGGGCAGACATCAATACAGAGAGAGCCACGTGGGCAATGGCACACCAAACCAGCAAGAGAGTAAGCAAATAGAACACGGCACAAAGATGGTCGCATCACAAAAATACACCATAGACGCACCTTGTCATAATGGGACATGAAAACAAGCCTGGATAGCTGTAGCGAGAAAAAAGCCAACGCGTTGTCGATGGCAGCGTGCCGCAGGCTGTGAGCCTCGATCAGCCGCTCGTTAATCGCGTTGACTGTCTCAAGGAACTGTGTTGGGGTTAACTACGGAGGAATGGTCAGATGTTATTCCGCGCATATATACAGACAAATGTAAACGACTGAGATTGGACGAGATGCAAAGACAACTTATTGGAGAGAAACCTGGGTATGAAGTGCAAAACAATTGCAACAGGGAACACGGAACCGGAACTTCTGAAAAGACAGAGAGGCACACGCACCCTGCCCTCTAATTCCAGCGGATACGTTGGTGCGAATTGGATGAGCTCGCCACCGGTGTAGTCACGCTCGATGCGGACGACCTCTCGCGGGTGGTGCATACCTATCTGACCCATGGGTGGAGTGCCGTACGCTGCTTCTGGTGGCGGTGGCCCAAAATAATACGAGGAGAAGGGGACCACGGGGCGACTGCGACTGTACCACAAGTCAGCTCCCAGGCAGAATGAACGGCGAGCGCTCCGCGAGAAGCACGTAATGAAATGGGACGCACATCGGCTTGCCAGTGAAGTCGTGCACCACGCGCGTGTTCGCAGACGAGAATCCGTCGCGCTGCGCGCCGGACGAGGGCGGGTTGATGTGCTCCCACGGTGGAGGAGACGGTGGGTGTGTATTGAACGCGAGCGGGTGTTCAGGAGCATCCCCAGCTGTGTCTGCGACGTCCTCTGGCACGGCGGGCGAGCCGAACGCAGCGTTCAGTGCTGCGCTGACGGAGGGCACGTCTTTTGACTCGGTGTCCTTCGACGAGTCTGAGGGGCTTTCGTCGCGGTGGCTATCCCACGAACTGTACGAGACCGCTATGCCATCCTCGGTCGGCGAGACGGGCTCGTCGTGTATGCGAAGTGCTGTGTCTGCCCCTGCTCTCCCCGCGTCTGCCCCTGCTCCCTGAGACCGGTCTGGTATATGCGCCTGCTCTGGAAAGGTTCCCTTGAGGCCATCCACCTGCATGATCCCCGTCATTGGTTCGGTGCGTATGTCAGCGCCCGAGTGTGGTTGTCCTTGGGATAGTGGTCGTGATCGGGCAGCGAGTGAACTTTCTGCCAGGTCAGCTTCGCGGGCGGCTGCGGTGTTCGAGGTCGACGGCGAAGGTGAGTGTGTTGGATGCATGTGAGGACTAGGTCAAGATATGAAGTGGTCGGGGCGAGGTGGGGGTGCGAAGAGGGCGCGTCGGACGACGGGAAGGCTCAGAGCATGCACGCATCAGCACGATTGCCCTGCGGAGTTGTGGTGAACAATTTGTTTGGCGCTGCGCGAACACTTTCATCTCTTTCTCTCCCACCATGCACATCCATCGCTGACAGTTATTATAATGGTCTCATATCGATTGGACATCATCATTTCCGACAGCTGCGGTGGTGACAAGGAATTATCTCGTGGCCGTGTGGAGTACCAACTTAAGTTCGCTGGGAACGCGACTTCATGTATGTATTGCGCCGCAGCATTTGACTCGCAACTGATCTACGACCATTTCCCAGGTGGCAGTGCATTGGGATGTAGTCAATGTCCAAATCCCGTTGAGATTGGCTAGGTATTGACATCGTTCGTTTCTAAATACAGTCAGGGTCGAATTTAAACATAGCCTGGGTGTTTTGGGAATACGACCACTAGGCGAGTCCCTTTCACATATTCTCCAGCATCTTAGGGTTCTCAAAGCATCCAAGTCGTCGTCGTCGTCGAACGCCTTACCATGGAATCAAACAGTACGTCTCCCTGGCACTAGTCTCCCGAAGGCAGATGGCAGATACTCTGCTTCAACCTCGTACCTCGGATATCCGTGTCCGACTGGCGCCAGATGTGAGACCAGAATACGATGCTGCACTGACTGACTGAATCCTGACCCCTTCCCGCGCCACCAAGCCACGATGACATGAGATCCGGGGACGCGCTCCGTCACTACTTCACTCAGCTTCCGCTCAGGGGACGAAAAGCGGATCGACAAGCATCAACCCTAGCAATCGCGATCCCGACCGCCGCAGCAGCCCGGCCCCAACCCGAATCCACTGAGGTCACAGGTCGCGGCCGACGGATGCACTTGCCCATCTCGGACAACGCAGAGCCCCGCGGAGGAACAACCGCACCTCAGCATCGGGCTACGACGTAGCCTAAATCTGAATCCGGAGGCGTTCAAGCGCGGCCCTAGCCCCTCTGCGGGAAGTCACTTCATCGGGTGACGCTAACTTGCTACGGGATACTAGTGAGATCGGTTTGCTCCTACCAGGATCGTCTGCGGAAACAAACGTGCGGATTGCTCATCGGGATGGCGCGGGAAGGCGTGGCCAGAGGTTGAGTACTGAGTGGGTAAGACCGATCTGTACGTGCTCACAGCCGTGTTTCCGAAACACGGTATGCAAGCTCGTCATTCACATCATCCAGTGCGCAGTGTACGGTGAGCATAATTTGCCTATATTCAACATGTTACTTTTGTGTAGTAAGACATATATATGCATGCACATGCAGACCACACCTATAGCATACTAATTACACAATACACAACGATGCCAACGAGCAGCCGGAGTCAGTCAGATAGAGCGAGAATGCTATAAAACAAGAGAAGAATGCTACAGCGGGGAACCCAGGTATGATGTCGCAATGTATATGTGGGCGTGTGGACGAGCAGGCGTGCAAGATCATAATCGTAGCGGAAAGCGAGCAAGAATAGACAGCAGCGGGACGAAGATGACAGCAAGAGAGGGTACCGGCGGACGGGGCAGGAATCATGGTACGGGCCCCACACGCCCATTGCTCGACGCCGGCGACGGAGTGGCCTTCGTTGAGGGCGACCCGCCAGCAGACGCAGGCGCGGACGTGCCGTGCGGCACGATGTCACGCTTCGCACCCCGTGGCGGTGATGCTGAGCGCGAGTGCATGCGCTCGTCCCCATCCGCGTCCCTGTCCCGCTGGGGGCTGACCACTGGCGGCGCCGGCGGGTGTGCGAGCGGTGGCAGGGTCATCGGTGGAGCGTGCGAGAGACCCGCACCGATCGGACGCGGGTGCGGTGGGAGCATCATAGGGAGCGACGGTGGAAGGGACGGCGAGGGCGGGTACGAGGGGCGGTCGAGCGTCTGTCGCGTCTCCGGCGAGTGCGACGACGGCTGTTGATGGAACGGGATCGGCGAGGGGCGCATCGAGGGCGTCGGCGTCGGGCGTCCGCCAGAGTTGCCGTTCGAGTTGGACGAGATGGAGTGCGAAGTCGGCCGCCCGCTAATGCTGCCCACGCGTGAACGTTTGTCTGCGTGCTCGTCGGTTGGCGCAGGACTGAGGGGACGCTTGGTGCCGACTGGGGGAGAGCGTGAGGAGATCGACGTCCTTGGCGACGCGCCAGGTGCACGACCGGGGCCGAACGCGCGTGGATACTGAGAGAGGCCCATCAGCGCATCCGCTACACCCTCGTCGTAATCCTCGTCCACAACACGTGCCGGAGGGAGGTGCGCAGAGCCTGTGGGTGACGGCTGCACGGATCTGCCCGATCCGGAGCTCGCGGGCTCGGGACTGCCAACGGTCTTGCGGTACTTGAACGACAGCGGGCCCGCGGGGTTGTCCCTCCGCTGCGGCTCCTCCTTAACGCGTTTCGTATTCACGCGACGTTTGCGCTCCTTCTTTGGCGGGGCTTCAGCCGCGGGCGCGGAGGTGGAGCCTGCGGACGATTCGGCGTCCCTCTCCTTCCCGGTGCGCCGTCTACGCTCCTTGGGCTCGGCGGGGCCGACGCTGACAGTCTGCAGGGGAATCCGCGGGCTCTCAGAGGCGTAGTGCCCTGGCGGCGGAAGACCGCGTGCGCGCACATCGGGCGAGGGCACGTACCGCGGGTCCCGCGGGTCGAGCACATCCATCGACTCTCTTTCTCTGTCGCGCTCACGCTCCCTGCCCCTCTCACGCTCGTACTGGTTCGGTGCCTCGCGTGCGTCGAACCGCGGATCGTACCTCCGCATGGGCTCCTGCATATCCATCGGCGGGCGGAGCGGCGAGCGAGGCACGCCCGGGCCCGACGTCGGCGGCTTCTCCCAGAACGGTCTGTACGTGGGATGCACGGCACGCGGAGATACGTCCGGACTGCGCTCGCGCGGGCCTCGGGGGCTAGGACCGCGGGGCGAATGCGGGCGGGACGCGTAGTACGCTGGTGAGGTGTGCACGGGGTACTCGCTCGGGGGGCGTCCACGGCGCTCGCGCTCCCACTCCGCGTGGTCGATAGGGATGGGGACAATGCGACGGTCCCAGGCTGATTCGCGCTCGTCGCGGGAATACGGTAGAGGGGGGGTGCGACGGGAGACGGGACCGGGCGTCTGACCAGGACCGACGACACGCTCGAAGGGTGGGAGGTGCTGTGGAGAGCGTGCGCGAAGGTGTGCGTGTGGCGGAGGGGAGGCGGAGGTTGAAGGCATCCGCAGCGGGCGCGCGTGCTCATGGTGGGGCTGACGCATCCCGTCAACGGGAGACTGCGAAAGCACGGGGTGGTGCAAAAGGAGGCTCTGCCCTGCTGGACCGCGCGGGCCGCTGTCGCGTGAGGACGGGGGGTACGAGGCGGAGTGCTCGCGAGAGTGGTGCGAGATACGATCAACGTCCATGGGCGCAAGCGGCGTGTGAGATGGTACGCGATTGTCATCGAGTACTACGGGCGGGGGCGGGCCGCCGCGGAAGGGACCTGGTGAGGAACGGCTCGAATTCAGCTGGGGCGGCATGGGCAGGGGGAGGTCGCTCGGTGGGCCGCGCGAGTCAGTACGGAAAATGGGGCGTGAGCCTCCAGGTTGTAGCAGCATTGGGAAGGCGCCAGGCGGCATCATCGGATTGGCGTAGGCCGTAGGGTGCACGTCCTGAGGGCCAGGTGCAGCAGGCAGTGTACCACCTGTTGCCTGTGCAGTCTTCAATAACTGGAGGCGCTGCGCAATCGCGGTGTTGCTGGGGTCGAGCTCTGCAGCACGCGCATAAGCATCAATAGCATCCGAGATCTGGTTGTTGCAGCTCTCGTAGAGACTGCCGAGGTCGAACCACACTTCTGAAATGTACGGGTTAATGCGGATGGCCCGCGAGTAGGCGTCCAGCGCATCGCGATACTGGTTAATTTGGAAATAGAGCACGCCAATGGAGCACCAGAACGTGGGATTGCGGCCGTCGCGATACACCGCCTGTTGGTATGCTTCGTACGCCTTGTTGTATTTCTGCCCGGCCATGTACGCGCGTCCCAGGAGGTACCAGCTCTGCGCGTCCGCCGGTTCTACCCACCGGTAAATAAATAAATAAAAATAAAAATGACGTAAAACATACCTGCTTCGAGACTCTTCGTTAAATACTGGATTGCAAGGTCCTGGTTCTGGAAGGAGGAGCCATCCTGATGGTACAACCAGCCTAACTGCTGCAACACCTTGGCATGCCCAGGGTTGTCAACGACGACCCGCTCATATGCGTCGCGTGCCCTCAAGTGCTGTAGACGCGCAGTCGGTGTCAGTTATGCATGGGAACAAGTGCGGAGAGAAGGCACGCACGTCGCGCTGCTGCTCGAAGACGTGGCCGATTTGGAACCAGATATCGGCATGGGCGAGGGGATTCGGCGGATTGCGGAGGATGCGGTCGAAGCAGTCAAGACTCTCAGTGTACTTGCCCTGCTGCTTGTAAATAATGCCGAGCCGGAAGAGAATCTCATTCGCCTTATCAAAGTCTAGGATAGAAACCGAACACCACAGGGTTCGCATTCGCGAGTGAGCAATGGAAGAAAGCGTGTGAGAGGAAGCGCAGACCTTTGTCCATACGAAGCACAGACGCGAAGGCCTCTTCCGCATGATCGAGCGAACCATATCGGTCATAGAGGATGCCAATACCGTACCAAAGTTTCGGATCTTCCTGGACACGCACACAAAGACGTCAAAAGAAGGCATTTGTAAAGACATTAAGCGACCCACTTTGGGATTGGGGAGGAGGTAGAGGGCTTGCTGGTATGCGTTATAGGCCTTCTGCAGATCGTCCTGCATCAGGTAGCAGTGCCCTATAGTGTAAGCGGGTCAGCAGGGGGGAGGCGGAATGAGTCACGTGTGAAACTGACCGAGGGCGCTCCACACTTCGCCGTTGTCTCGTTGCATATCGATGACACGCTGGAAGTACTCGACGGCCTGTGAGATTCCGAATCAGTCACTTCTGTCATTGATCTGCGTGCACATGACGTAAATGCCAAACACAGCCAAATAAAATCGCCGAGCTTATCGGGAACGCGCGCAGGCAACACCAGTCTCCGGAAAATGGACTGGAATTCGCACCTTTGGGTAATTTTCTTTGATCCGCGCGATGCCGGCGACTTGGGTCAGGCCAGGAAGAGACATGGGGTTGTGGCGCAGCGCATTCTCGTACGCGGACAGTGCATGTTCCAGATTACCCATCTGCTCGGCGACCCGACCTGTGATCCGACGGGTAAGTCTTGAGAGACACGCAGGACTAGCGCGGAAAAATAATTCCACGCGCACCAATGAGCAGCCACGTCTGTTCGTTCGCGTGCGCGAGCTTCTGGATGGACGCTGGGACAACAACGCCGTTTGGCGCTACTGCCGACATGACGGGGGACGCGAGAAGCAGTTGTGGGGCCGGGGGTACGTGGCTGGACACAGGTATGCCAACCGGTGTAGCTGGGATCCCGTTCCCGTTGATATGTGGGGGGTTGCCGTGGTGGTGATGCGCGGGTGGAGGAACAGAGTGGGCATGGGCGTGAGGAGCATGGGGGTCATGAAGGCGGACATCACGGTCGGACTGGCGGGGAGTATGCCGGAGAGACATGGCGGGAAGGGTGCTCACTGGGTCGGGGGACGAGCGGGATGTGTCGGACGACGAGGAGGGGGAGAGCAAGGAACAAGGAGAGGAGACGTGAGGCGAAGGGAAAAGGGAAAGACTTCCGAAGGTGGGGGTATATATGGCGCGGCGGACGCGAGATCAGGGCGCAGGAGATGCGAGATCTCACAGATGGATCTCTGTGTAGGCGCACGGAAGGCAGCGCGTGTGTTCCTTTCCCTTTCCGGAATCACGCGCATCCGCCAATGTTCGGCAACCTTCAATCAAATAAACACCGAGATCCAGATCGGGGAGGTATGTCTATCCTGCTTAGGTCATCATCCTCGATGTTCCTCCCCTCTCTTCGGTCCGACTGCGCCAAACAAGCGTCCCCTGGTCTCAGCCACCGACACCTCGCGCTCGCATCCTTCTCGGATATCCTCGCTCGCCCCTCACAGCCTTCGCATCACTCCCCATCTTGTGTCAGTCGATAGCCGCGGACACGGACACGTAGGGGCACGTCTATATCTTAGCGCAAGGGAAACGACAACACCCGACACCCGACAAACTAATTGACAGCCCAGAGGAGGGGATCGACTTTGCAGATTGCCGCCCCCGCCAAGATCACCCTGCACCCATATAATATATCCCAGCCTATCTCCTCCTCGGGCGGCCCCGCGTAGTATCACCTCCAGCGGTCACCGCCTTTCAAATTTCCTATCACGTGCGCGTCTGAACAGAAATGGCCGGCTTCCTTCAGCTTCTTCTCGGATGCAAACCGTGCCAGCGAGACACCTGCCTAGCTGCCTGCCTGCCGCCGATTCCCAGTAATTTCCCCACCCAACAGCCACCACCACCTTCCGCCCGAGGCTCTGATGAATCATGCCATGACACGTCTGACGCCACCATCGCCATCGCCATCGCGGCACCACCTCCCAGGCCCCATCCAGAGTCCCAATCCATTTCGGCAGGGGCGGCCCAGAACCCGCAAGATCCCATCTCCGATCGATGTCCATAGCATGTGCTGCAGCAGCGCGAAGGGGAAGGCGGAAGAACCAAAAACAGGTTCGCCCGTTTGGCATTTTGACGTCGCGCTACCGCTGCGAACGGCGAGGCAAGGCAGAAAAAGGGAACAAGCTGACAACGAAGACAGCTGCCCCTGGCTCTGCTGAGGTCATACAAGCTCTAAACACGCGTCAGAGGCAATCAGGCAGCTGCAAATTCACACTTCCACTTGTGGCTGGGCGGCAGCAGAGCGGGACCGCGGGGAAGCTGTACTGCAGCGACGTTCGGACGACGTAGCGGTGCTAGTGCGCCATTGCCCGGGTGCATGACAAGCGATGAGGCTGGATTTACTACAGCGAAACCGCGCGCAGCCGATCGCACCGCGGTCATAGATTTTAGGAGGAGGTGGTGGTATATTCCGGACAAGGTCCCAATCAGGAACGTCGGATTGGGTCAGCAGCAATCCGACAAAATATTACAGACCACACCTTGGCGCCAAACGAGTGAGGCCTATCATAGAGCGCGCGCTCATCTATCTCGTCTGGATCTCTACCATGACGATCTTTTTCAGATCGCGTGCTTTGGGTTTGGGTTTGCGAAATTGCGACCGGACCAATTTTTCTGATAGGTCTGTGACGGTGCGGGGCTCCGTGACGGCGGTCACGTTAGGTTATTCCGATCACACCCGGCGATTTGAAGCTGTCGTCGCGAAGTCCTGCGGAACCATGGCCGTAACTTCGCCTGCGCGTGCGCTAGCCGCAAAATTGCCGTCAACGTCAATTCATGTCACCGTTCTGTATTCGGAATATATCGTCGTAACTCTCGACATCTGGCGTATTCGTCCAAGTCGAGTATTTGTCTCGATCACGTCCGCCGTACCCGCGTCAGCAGCCACCACCACATTGATGCCTATCCCCAACTCCCGCCGTCGGGAATATCACCCAAATTGTGTGCATGCATGCTTCGGGCATTAAAGTCGCTCGTTCGATTGTCAATGTGGCAGGGACGTGGAGGCTAGCGCTCATAAGGACGGGTTTGCAACCACACCCACGCCTCCGAGAAGCGTGCATGCGTAGGACGTGTGGTCGACTGCAAGGGAGTGGAACGTGGGGCGGAACATTAACGGCAGGATTAAGTGTTTCGTTTGATCGGCAGCGGTAGAGGGGCCTTTAGAGCTTACAAGGCTAGCGCGGGAGGAACGAGAGCCCAGGTTGCCGAGATTCTCCCTGGCGCAGGGCTGGAGAACACTCGAAGCTGCGGAGGACACACGAACTCTATATGAGTGGTTCTCAAACTCTGTCAGCCAGGCTGGGAGCCCCATGTTGGGCAAGCGCTCTGCATGCAGTGGCGACCACACCAATTCAATACCGAGAAGAGAAGAGGAGACGGATATGAGCAGCGGAGTCGAAGCACGCATGCATAGCGTAACGCAATTCCGTGCTCCGGACGTGTCCAGACAAATGCCGAGAAGGTGTTGGCGTAGGTAGAGCGTGCAGATACACGCATGTGGGAGCGTCCTCCACGCTGAGAGCGCTGTGACTGTCAGGTCCTGGCAACATATTCAATAAGACAACGTCTGGGCGGTGCAATTCGCTATATCAGGCTGCTCTGCACCAGACGAACGAGGCCTGAGTCAGGAAGGCCCACGCTTGTGCATATAGCGTGCATATTAGCCGCATATGTTGACAAACGCACCATCAATCGGTGTCGTCTTGTATACGCTCATGCCATCACTAGGATCACCAGCTATCAGGGTGCGAACGCAGATACAATCGCGGACGCTGCGGACTGGGCTATGTTGTGCGGAGAATACAACTTGTTCCGAGGATGGGCGCCGACGTCGTACCAGTGAGTTCATCACCGAAATAAAGTGGTCCGAGCCGACTAAACCGCTCACGTCCTTGTTATCTGGGATGAGCCATCCCAGTACCTGTGCCAAAGTTCATTATAGCTTAGCCGTCTTCTGGCGCTGGAGGTCACTTGTGAACAGGGTATCCTTGGCAGTGCCGGCAGAACTTTGACAGATGGAAAAAATGACCAGGCAGATACTAGTAGATGAAGAGAGTTTGATTCAGACGTGCTGGAGACAAGTACGATACGTAGTGCAGTCATTTTCCAAAGACGTAGCTACGATGCAATAGATGAACTGAATCGAGACGCCAGTCATCCGAGGAATGCCGGCGAGTTGCCGGCGGCAGCCACGTGGCGAAACCACGACGTTCAGCTCACGTGTGACCCGCTGCCCGCCAACTGACAACTTGCTCTCAACAATCGCGACAAGATGACTCGTGAGTATGCGGCTGCCCTTCTTGTCGACTTCAGGCTCGATTCACGAGGAGATCTGCACTCGCGTACGGCCGTGCGATGATATCCAGGGGGTAATCAGCGAGAAACGGACCGTGTAAAGGCACAGAAGAAGGCCACCGCAAACAAAGGCAAGCCGAAGGAAAGCGCTTCGTCGCTGCAACAGCGCCGCGAGAAGTGAGTGCGGCCTGGCATGCGCATTTCTCCGCTGCGCCGTGCTGACTGCATACCCGCACAGGGATGCTGAGATCCTCCGGCTGAAGCAGAAGGTAAGCTTGCGGCACCCTGCAACGTTCATGTCTGATTGGGTTTGTGCCAGAAAAAGGAGGAGGAGAAGGCTGCAACTACTTCTAGTGGTGGCGATGGGGCGAAGAAATAACCCTGGTGACGGGAGGGTTCCCATTCGTGCGATCGTGATCACGGGTAGACAGGTAGTGCGCGGATAGAGGTGAACAGTACTTGGACAGTTGGTGGATGTCATGAGTATCGTCATCGGTGCGAGATCTTGTACAGATTCCTTTCAATGGTTTTCTACATCTACTGGCATTCGAAATGTGATGGAATTCGCCGTGGGCATGGACCTGGCTCTGATTGTGACCGTCCGTAGCGTGGGTGTAGGCTGGTGCGATTCCGTTGGACTCCCGATCATATCTTTCATTACAAAGGGCGATACACCAACCAATTTCAGTGGATGTGGCGGCGGTACGAGAAACTCCTTCTAAAAAAATAGCTATCAGTCAAATCACAGAAGAGAAATCCGATTCGAAGACAAGAACGAAGAAGCCAACTATGAATACGTGCGAATACGGCAGAATGGCTCCCTTCACCGGGTCAGTGGAAGCTCGTCTGCCTCTCACAGCGCGGCCACAGCCTTGCATGCTAGTGTAATACTTTTGGCAGATCTTCGTCCTGCGAAGCATACTTAAGGTGAACTTCTCGATAGGAAATACTCCGAATAGTCAAACTGAACCAGGGTCCCGAGGTAAAATGCTTGTAATGGGTAAAGCGATCCCATCACCCGGATTTCTCACAAAACTAAGTGCACCGTACAGCGGTTGCTTTAGGAGGGTCGTAATGTGTGAATAGATCTAGAGCGGCAGGAGCACATCGCGTTGCCGCTAAAGTCTGCCTATTGCCACTATGGACACCGCTGTCCGGCGTGGCGCAGCAGCATCCTAGATACGCAATCCAGACGAAGCGATCAGGCTGTTCTGTTAACGTCAGTTCGGTCAGTGCACGTCAGGCATATGTTTTTCCGTGATCCCCACAAGGACGCGGAGAGGAGAGCGCACAACCTTCATCAATCAGAGCGGATGGCTTCATCTGGAGACTGCTTGAAATTCATGTCACCCGACCTGGCTGCGCATGCAGCGCTCCCAGTACGGCGTCTTCATCCTGCAATTGTATCAGATTCAGATCAGAAGCTGGACATGCGGCATGTGGACAGACACTAAATGCGCATCTTTGTATCCGCGATTACCAATGGGATGGATCGGCGAGGCGTGCAAACCTTCGTGACATGTCGGTATGTCTGAGGGCTGCCCTTGGAGATGAGCGTATCGGGTTTAGCGTTGGTTCGATATGAGGGGGACAGCAAAATCAATGATCCGTGTAATCTCGCGCCTTCCCAAAACCCTGCTGCGTTTGGCATGAATGTGCTCGTCTCTCTGAGCAGGTGTGTCCGGACACGCGGAAACCTCCCGGAGAAGGTTATTGGTTACCAGACCTGTACAACGATGCATGAGAATTAGACTCATCTTGAGTTGATATGCCGGTGCGGCGTGCATTGATCCTTCATGAACTAGGTATTTGTTGAGTTGTCGAGCATATGATTCAACTGATGATCATGATTCAAATACTGAGCCATGACTGTCATAGACAACTCATTTGCCTTTGCATGAAACTCAAGTTCAGTCGAGGGCGGTCACGATGTCGTCAATTTCAGGCTGGATCATGCACTAGCAGGGAGTTGTGACGTACATTTATTCGTTGCCATTCGTTATCCTTCTCGGAAGACGCCAGAGCTGATCTGTTGATATGATCTCAGCAATCTGTGTCTGAGCCCGACTGATCAGATGGCTGTGGGAGAACGTCCGCGGGGCTATTCATTTCTTGCTTGGAGATCAGCTACAAGTTATCTTGGTGAGATCATGCCTAGAATAACTTTTTCAGGCACTATCGCTTTCCAAGTCTAGATACTTATATGTTGTCAGTTAGTGTGGATCTAGAAACCAACGCGTTTGGTAAATTTGGCCACCACTGTCGACTGGAATGGACACGAGGGCCATCGAAGCGTTCATCTCCGGAGCGTTGGTCAATTGCAGGGCGGGGCCTCATGCAGAATCGGATTCACCGATTGATCGGGCTAAAAATCGACCTCTGCAGGTCAGCACTACACGATGTAAGCGGGGGCTGGCTGATCGGCACTGAGCAGCCCGTGTCCGAGCATTTGAAACAGCTGGCCACCCACCACGACGTGACTTCATACTCCTAGGTCTTGGCGAGCCTATAATGCAATGACCCTCAATATTCAATGTGTGTAGGTTTGACAGACAGGCGATACGCGAAGTCACCTGGTGTGGCCTTATGCCTGCATAGATGTGACAGTATCCTTCTATAGAAAGTGGAGCTCTGGAGGCCGCAGTTCATTCTTCGAAGTGGTGTATTTTGATTGTGCATGCGAGAACGTGTGGCCGGGGCTGTAAGGACTAGCAGATCTCTCCCACGATCACCAGCAAACATACCTCTAAATGCCAGGCTTCTCATGGTGCATAGCTCCGTGGCTTTTACTTCGGGCACGGCGCTGATCCCCCTGTCGGCATGGAATTCGAGATCTTCCGCACCGAGCTAGGCGACATGGGGATGCCTCGCGAGCGATGTCGACCACAAAAGGGGCATCTTCTGCTTGCGCCATACATCGTATGGCGCACGCGTTTCACGACACTCTAATGCGATGCTGGGTTCAACGGAGGGACAATCTGAGCACTCTTGCATGGCCGCACAGCAACGTGCACTGCCATTGAATTGTGGTCGCCGGCCGTAGAATGGACGGCCGTCCGGAGTGCTAGCCACAGGCTGTTGCTCCTTCGTGGCTATCTGTCACGGTCGTAAGAGCTGCCACATCCGGCGCTGTGGACACAATGCAATCAGTGGCGGAAATTAATGGCCAGCATGAAGAAGTGCAACCACAAAGTGGACGACAGTACTGTTCAACAAAATGGGACATACACGTACTGTGAGTAGTTTGATTGATTCTGCACGCATTTTAGCATACACAGCTTCCAGTGTAGACATTCCAAGGATTTGCAAATTTTACCTTGATCCATGCATTTTCCTGGATTAGACCGTGACAGTTCAGTATTTTCTGAAATGCACTCACAATCTGAATTAAAATAAAGACACAAATGAAACTTGAACATCTTAGCGGCGTCAGGACACAACAGTCCATCAATGCTTGCAAGTTGTCGATGTGCTTACTATTGTGAGGTTGATCACTACTACTCACTCGGCTGTTAGGCCATGGGTCACAAGCGCATGAGGGGCTCATGCGGTTGGGGCCATATATTTATACTACACAGTAATTCTAGGAGATTCCAGTATGTTCTCCGACATACCTATGTGCTGACTAATATATGTTTCCTGATTGGGAAACCACCAGCCCTAACACTCCCCCTCAATCTGGAAACACTTTACTGTGCTCCCCCTCAATCCTGGCATCTCTTATGCATCCAATATATTTTTCCTTTTGACCCTGAATACCCCAAATGTTGTGGGAGCCCTATGCTCGTGACAAGAGAGCCAATGCTACCATCTCGCCAGATCCTTCGACCACGACAACAGAGCCGATGCTCCAGTATTCCCACAGATCCTTCCAATTCGGGAACTCTGTCCCTCGTCCGCGACACACGCGTAACGTTCGGCTCGCCATTTGCACACTGTCTTCAGTTGCACCTGGCTCCAAGGGTTCTCTGCACATATGCTAAATGCCAGTATACCCTGCCGCCATGCTTCACCAACTCCGGCAGTGGCGACCCTGCCTAGTTGCGAAGACTTTCGACTTGACCTGCTCGCGGGGTCCTACCCGTATCATGGTACTCCTACGCGCCTACGGCCTCGGCGACCTTTCGCAGTACACTCTGTTACCAGATCGGGCCGTATACAAACTATCCCCCACGGCGTGAATAGTAGGTATGCGCTTGTATTGTGAGGTTGATCACTACTACTCACTCGGCTGTTAGGCCATGGGTCACAAGCGCATGAGGGGCTCATGCGGTTGGGGCCATATATTTATACTACACAGTAATTCTAGGAGATTCCAGTATGTTCTCCGACATACCTATGTGCTGACTAATATATGTTTCCTGATTGGGAAACCACCAGCCCTAACACTTACACTCAGGTATGTGTACGTTGACACGTTGGCACGCGGCCGGTGGCCGATGAACTTGTCCGATCATGTGACCGCGACAGACACGGTCACGGTCAATACGCGCGCGTCTGGTCACTCTGGCGCGCCTCCCGCGCACTAGGTGGCACTGCACGCTATGGTCCAGGGCATGAGTACATTAGGAGGCCTATCGGGATCTGCGATAATGCGATACTCGTGGACGGTGGGCCCATCTGCGCTCGAGATAACTTGTGGTCCGATGGATAGCTCCATGTACAAGGTTCTCTTCTAGGACTGCCCCACTCAACTTCTTCGACATCACACACAGATGGTCGGAAGATATCACAGCCGCAATCTCTCGCATATTATTACATCGTAGAATCAGTCAAATACCCACACAGCCTTGAGAAGAAGACAGAAGGGAACACTCTCGGGCCGTGTTCGACAAATAGGAGCACCATCCAACATGTCAACCTTGCGAACTTCCATCACCACATACCTGATGATTAATATGAATAGCAGAGGCAGAGAACTTTGAGTGAACAAAATTGCACGCAGCGAGCGCCCGGCACTGTTATCGATCGTTCATGATGCGACAACAATATTATTATTAATGGCTTGATATCGAGTCGAGCTCGGGTGGCACTCTCCGGGTTGGTGGCGATCACTGCATGAACAACGGTGAGGGACTTGGCAACAGTGCGTTGAATACTCACCAGGCTGCAAGTGATTCTTGATCGCTGGCCGTTGGTGCTGCGGGTTTTCCGCTTCAGGCCCATGGCGCACGATGAACCTGTCCAGGCTAGCCGGAAAGAAGACTCTGTGGAGAGTGAGATTGGATACAATTCATATCCCTGATTTTGAATATGCTTACCTTCTTCCGTAACTTTGCTTCCCAGGAGTCCGTTGCTTCTCTCGGACCACACTGCTATCAGCACCATAGCTGAATAATGTTGACTGACTATGAAGGTGTGGACGTGCGGTAAGTATTGGTGCGTCCTCGGCAGACCCTGAGCACGGGTCGAACATGCCGCTCATGATACTGATTGCAGCGATTAAAAAAACTTCTGGTAGCACGCTATCAGCAATATTTCATATTCGACAACAAATCTCACCATCTATTGAAAATGCATGGAATCGGATCCACCTACGGCGACCAATATTCGCATCGCTGTCGTGCCACATCACTACGAACTACGTGAAATGCAGTCACGATCTCTCACACTCTGCCTGTAGGATTCACTGAAGGCGCGCATAAACGGGGGGCCGTGTGTGGAGTTCGATAGACATGCACGGATCGGAACCCTCAACTACTTCACGAACCTGCAGGTCCCGTGTCGTAGCGAGCTCGAGGATCACGGAGGTTAGAGCACACGCCAAGGCGTAATGCATATCCCATTGTAAACGTCGACAGGAACATCTCAGATCGCACTGTCTAGCTTGGGCCGCTTTGCCAGCACACTGTCTACTATGCCAAATTCGAGCGCCTCATTCGCTAGCGGATACGTATTTATCAGTATAGGGCTAATCGCTCTGACACAGCAAAGACGCACCCGTCATGAAGTAATCACGCTCTAGTGCTTTTCCTGTTTGTGGACGAAGATTGGGTCAACTATAGGCCTACTATGACAATAGAGGTATTACCGAAACGAGCCATCCCATCCTGTACGTCCTCACCGTCCTTCCCGCAGTGTCGCTGATAGATGCTGGTCAAGAGCTCGCGCACGCGCAGTATCTCCTTGGCGTGGATGGCAATGTCTGATGCCTGACCGGACGCTCCGCCAGACGGTTCTGTGGAGGTTGTCAACATCTCAACTCCAGGACGACCGCAGCGAGAAGTGCGCACGGTGAATCATTATCGTAGCGTGCGGTAGGGCATGCCTCTTACCCTTCTCACCCGCAGCCAATAGGAGAGAGCCCATCGAGCAAGCCTGACCTACGCAGTACGTATGTATGGGCGAGGAAACGTACTACGCTCAGTTCATGTCAATAAACGGACAGAAAAGGAGGCGGATGTCATCAAAATGTACCTGCATCTATATCTGCATGAATCAGCGGCGAAGACTCGCACTGCACGAAGACTGGGGTACATACTGTGTCATAAATGGCCAACCCTGCAGTGACACTGCCGCCTGGAGAATTGATGTACAAGTGGATAGGCTTTGAGGTCTCTTCTGCCTCAAGAAAGAGTAATTGTGCCACAATGAGTGCAGAATCAGTGTCCCGTATCTTCTTTCAGAGTCAGGAGATTAGATATGAGGAAAGTATGGTGAACCGTACCGGTCCATAAAGCATAATGACTCTTTCTCTCAGCAACCTCGAGAAGATGTCATAACTTCTCTCCCCTCTCCCCTGGTAAATGTATGCATGATCCAGGTTAATCTTGAATCCATATTGTGGTAAACTCACGGTTTTCTCAATGACAATCGGCACAAGTGACGAGGACGGCGGAGCAGTCCAATTCGCCGCCAAAGGATGAAACTTACGGGACGATGTGATTATTCTCTGAGAGCCTGGGCGATATGTAGACGCCAGAGACCGTAATATACGACCTGGAGATGCCATTTTGCGCGGGCAAGAGGAAATAAAAGACATCCTCGCCGTTGAGCTCTTCAAGTTGCTTGGCCACGTCCACGTGATCTTCAACCGCGTTTCATCCCGCCACACCCTGGATTCGATTCGCCTTCAAGTTGTCTGCGCTTTCACCAGCTGTGTCCTCCGAACATCGATTTTCTCACTGGCGTGGACTCTTCGGCATACGAATATCTGAAATACCAGGCTTTCACGACATTGCTGACAAAGTTACCTGCATTCGATGGCATCACGTATGAGGATGGGCCGGTCGACGGAGACTCCAATGGATTTCGAGTTTACCAGTCGGCCGAGCAGCAATGTGAGGCCTGTATGGGCAACGGGGGGTGATGATCCAAGTACTCCACGAAAAAGTACGTCGTTCATAAATATCAACAACGCCGTCGGTTTGGAGTAGTTAGTCGAGTGCGAATTCCCGGCCTTTCGTGTGGTGTGTTCTCTAGATCTACTTCTGCTTTGCAGCCTTGTATCATGGTAGAGAATTTCTTTGCTCGAAGCTCATGCATATTCCCTTGTGTGCATGGGTATACGGAGATGCGTGTGTTTCCTCGCGTAGGCTGTTGATCTATTCGAGCACTCGTGATCCTGTTCAGTTTGCTGAATATGTCGTCTGTTCAGGATCTTTGCAAGATACAAATTCACCAACACCATCATTTCCCGCTCCTTCTCATACGCCAGCATTTGCCGCCTTCGGCCAGAATTCTAATATACCATTTCTCTTCCAAGAGCCGCCTCCTCATTCAGCGTATAAGCCGGCATGGGTACCTCCGACAGATTTCTCTCCTCAGAAGGCCTTCCCTCAGCCAGAGTTGAAGGATGTTGACATGTCGGAGTTAAGTCCACTCCAACCGACGGCACCATTAGCAGAGAAGGATAGCGAGGGGGAACGGGCAGTTGCGCTCGGTGCGGTACGTCGAGTGTACAGGTCACGGCAGAGGGCGAGAGAACGGAGCATGCTGAGGAAAGGGAGGAGCAGAGAAGTTCACGAAGACGAGAGCGAGAGCGGGGATGAAAGCGACGATGAAGATAGGCGCATTCCCCCCGCGCAGAACATGTCAAATCATTACACCCTCAACATGTCAGGATCAGCAGCTTCGCGATCAGACTTGCCATATGTCTTGCTTGGATATCTGCAGTTCTTCTTCAACTTGTCGCTCATTCTCGTCTTTCTCTACCTCCTGGTCCAATTTATTCTCACTGTCCAGCGTGATGTTGAGCAACGAATCTCTGAATATTCCATGGGTATGGCAATATTTTTTAGGTTGTACGTCTTCCACGTGCTCACCACCTTCAAATGTAGATGTTGTCCAAGAAATTGGGCAATGTGCGATGCATTACAAGGCAAACCTTTGCGCATCCAATTCGATCCCTGCGATGGCGCACCAGTGTGCAACTTGGGAGACGTGCATGAACCGTGATCCATCCAAGGTGGGTCGCGCGAAGGTCGGTGCAGAGCTCATCGCGGAAGTCGTCAATTCGTTTGTGGAGCCTATCAGCTGGAAGACTCTGGTACGCTTCCTCGATCTATTTGCGTTGGGGACCTCAAGCACGAACTGACGGAAATTCGTTTACGTTCTATGTCTGCAGATTTTTGCACTGACTTCGCTGTCATTCCTTACCGTCTTCATCAACATGCTCCTCTCGCTCTATCGCTCACGCCACCATTTTGGCTCCACAACTTCGAACGCGCCCCAAGCACCTATCATTCCGTCATTTCCCATACCCCCGGCCACGCCATATTCGCATCCCCACAACTATCTGACACCGGCTCCCGAGTGGAACAAATCTTGGTCTGGCAGCGAGACCGCTCAGACGCCGAGCCGAAGGCGCCGACTTGAAAGTGGACTGGCAGCAAAGGTGCAGTAGATGATTGGAACATTGGATATGTCGTGCATCTGTATTTCACATGTTTTCCACGTTACTCACACATGATCGAGGGCGCCTCCAACGAATATAAGCTATTGTGTGTATCTATTTGTTCTTACTATTGGTTACTCTCACTTACTTGCTGTCAGATTATGCAGCATGATGCAGCTTTTTATGGGTATCGGATATCTGTGAATATCAGATGGACCCGCCAAAGTCAATTGAACGAGATTGCGATTCTATGGTACGGTCACACCAATGTCATTGGATTGAGAGCTTCGTTGAAGACCCGGTGGCAACCGGCATTTACGTTGGGAAAGAGACGCTGACATCGATTTGTCAATGGCCGGCCTTATCAAGGATATCCTTGCCACACGCGACTTGTTGTGTTCCTCATCACGAAGCCTTTGCATCTCGGAGCCAATGCTGACACAAGTGATCATGTGAGTACACACCGCCCTTCACCCACCTTGTCACGTTGGGAATTGCACGCTCCGTGCATCATTACATCTTTCCATCTGCTTTGTTTCTAGGTCCGAAGTTTAAGCCTTCGGAAGACTCTGCTTCGGTGTCAAATGGAAGAAATCACTTGCTGCTTGCGAGGAAAAGATGCTCATGAGGTAAGTGTTTTCCAATCCACATGTCCATCGATCCCGGACTCTACCGATCTTTTCACTGCATGCGCTTGAATAGCAATCTGAGATATTTCTTGGCCGGTCAGATAACTACAGACATCGATTCGGTTCCGGTTTGTGACTTTATATGCCAGCGTATGACAGCGCACCGCCTTGTCTTTCTTAGGGGGCACACTTTTGTCGTCCTTCACAGCGCTCACGTTCGTTACACAACACGTCAGTGATTCGTCTTGGCTATCTCGGAATGATCTGCGGGGACAGTTCACAGAAGTTAACGTGAACCCTACCCGTGGAACGTCCGGTTGGTGCACGAGACTTCCTTGTTCAGCTGCCGACAGCAGAAATACCATGTCTGTCGTCCAGGGACAAGCCTCGTGCCAGGCTACTTGTGGTAAGTAGTCCAGATTTCCCGAACACAAGGACCTAGTTTCCTCCTATCTGGGATGCATCTGAGGGCATGTAGAAGACTACATTGCGGGACACGTTGAGACGCCTCGAAACTACTTCTGCCGCTTTGGTGGTGCCTACCCGCGGGGTGGACTGCAGACTCTGGACTTGATCCTCGTGTCATCAGGAAGTCCGCGAATTCGATTAGACTCGCCGTCTCACGGGTGCCCGCGGGGGCTTGCTCGCGATTTCATCTCGGGCGGTTGAACCTCGCGTTCCGTGGCACGGGAATTGGCTGTGCTGCGGATTGCGCATAAACTCCATCATGCCTTTTGCATGCCTTTGTGTTGGCTCCAAGGATGTGAGTGAGATCGATCTGCGGTAACTTACCGTGTTTGCGATGACCTACTTACTGATTCCAGGAGCCTTATGAACGTTCACAGGTTTGATCAACTCCAGCAGAGTCTACCCGGGGCTATAACCCCGCGGGCTCCCTTAGCGGAGCGCTCTGGATAGTCCATATCAACGAGAAGGAACATGCTAAGTGACAGGTGGTCAAGCGACTCTCCTAGTCTCCACACCACGCAGCTGAGTAGTTCAATCTGATGCCGTGGCAAGACTCCCACAGGCAATGGCCCCATGCTGCTACGAACGATTGCGGCTTTTTTGCAGGGGAGGCACATGTCAAAGAACAAGGACTGATATGGCTCCTTCTCCCAATTCCCACATCGTATGGTGAGCATGTGCTCAAGTCTACATGGATCTGCTTCGGACGCAGAGCTTGATCACCGCGAACGCGGCGAGCAGCGCTCTTCGAATCCCGTCTCGCTCCGCATGTTCGTTCTCACAGAGCTTGCATGCACGTTTCTCATGTCCAATCGCGTCCGACGCTAGAGGATTGGGCCTGAGCCAGGTATGGGATAGTCGATCTGTGCACTTCTCGCATTACCTCTCACCTGTTTCTAAGATGGCGGGCATGGCACGTAACTCAGTGTGCATCCGAGCTTGTGGAAACCCAATCACTGGGAACCTGGGACCTGGGTGCTTCGCGGTCCAATTGTACTCCTCTTCTGTCGGGCCTATGCACTTCGCACATGCAAGATGCGCCCATCTACGGGCGAACCCCGGTAAGTAATTCCAAGAGCGCTCTGAGCAGGATCCGGAACGTCGACAGGAAGGCTATCCGCTTCGCCATGGCTCCGAGTTCGTCGCTGGTGCCGAGTGGGACCGAATGGTGCGCCGATGACAGTTCGCTGCATGGGCACAGTGTTCGGCATCTGGTAAACTTCTCGTACCGCAGCAGTTTCTGATGCATTATCGCATATAAGTGAAACCCAATGGCTAGGGAAACATATCTCCGTTCGATGATCCGACGCTGGGACGAACGCCAAGGAAGGCTTCGACCAGCGCGCTGTGCAGGCTTGCATGTGATCTTATCCGCCAACCTTGTGTTGAAGAATCCTCCCCGATAGCGGTTGGGCCACCGAGAAGGTGGACGTATATCATGGCAGCGCCTACTGTCTGGACCTCGCTCGATGCCGTTACCGAGAGTTTTGGTCATCTCTCTGAGCGCCCATTCGTGCTTTCGAGAGATGCAGATCAATCTCGTCGCAGATTTTGGATTGGTCCTCGCCATCGGCCTACTTGTCGCAGTCAAGTTCCAGAGGTCCGGGGCATGCGTGTTAGGTTAGCACGGCCTTGCAGACGTCATCCTTGCACCAGACGCCACACCTAGGTGGGTGCCTCATACAAATATGCCATGACCACGCAGTGTCTAGTTCTCCTGAGGCTCACGACCTGTCCGAGTTCCGTTGCCTCCATGCGGTCTTCCATTCAGACTGCAAATTTTCAAATCTTTTCTCGTTCCCCAGCATTGGATGCTTCAAGGACTGCGCACGCGACCATGTCTTGTGCTCTCCTTGTTTCTGCCTGCGGCCCGTCCGCGGACGGAAAAGACAAGTTTGCCGCTTAGGGTGGCATCCTTTTGTGCCTTCGGTATATCAGCAGGTACATCCTCGGTGAACGTTATATTGTCGTCGTGTGTTCCGGCTTGTGTCGCCCTGGGGACATTTGTTGCATGCATACGACCATTCGATGACGCCATCCCCTGCATGGTGTTTCCTTCTCGTGCTCCGTGCTTGCAATTGGGACCATCTACATGGGCTTGTATTGCGCCTTTTGTTCCTCCGTAGAACAAGCCTCGAGGTACTGCACTCTTTTTGACAGGCGAGGGAAATATATAGAAATTCACGGTAATTCAACTACCATTTGTTGCTCTCAACGTTGGTTTTACAACCTGCGCCAAACTATGCTGGGGTAACACCTGACCCACTCTTCAGTTCCATCCGTGAGTACGACTGGGGCAGAAGATGTAGTCAACGCTTTGGTCAAAGCTTTCCCGTACCGGGACACAGCCGCCGACCAGCCACATGGGCTCAAAGGGGCAGGGAAGTTGCTCTAATTAGCGCTTTTTTGTGCGCTTGTTCTCTTTGTTTATTTCTCCACTACGACCTTGCGGCATTAATATTCGTGTTGAGAAGCATACCACATCGTCAAATGGAACAATATTATTGTTGTTGCTGTTTCTGCCGACATGACTTCAGTCTTCATATTTTGCACTGCGCGTAAAGTACACGTGGGAGGCTCGGCTTACGACCGTGAACCCTCATCATCAGCTGTCCAATTCGTCTTCTTTGGAGCAATCCAGGACGGTGAGTTGTCTCTTGTTGTTTTCTGTTGTCAGCCCGCACCTAATCTCACGTCTCGTGCGCAGCGGCGCCTTGGAGACCTCGTCGTGCCTCTATGCGTTCTGGGCCAAGCGCGGTGACCAACGTCACCCATGCCCAGACTTCGCTTCCCGACACATATACCCTGCCAACAGGAATGCAGCGCGCGTTGCTTCCTGCACCATCCAGTTTGTTGTATGTGGGGCTCGCATTGGCCACCACGTGTCTTTGTCTCCCCTCTTCCATCTGCGCGCACAATACAACCGTGCCTCCATCTCAACCAGGTGTAACTAACCTGGTCCGTATAACATCCACCCTCACAGAAGTCAGTTTGGTTACTCTCAATTCTCAACTCACTGTACTGCCTCATCTAAGACACTGATACCGCATACTCAGACTCTCTGCATACCGTTTAAGAAACGCCATGCGCTCTGATCACCGCTCCCACAGGCGAATAGCTCGTTATAAAGCAGAACTGTCTACGCGGCCAAAGCGCGCGAACAGTGATGCCACAACGAGCAGCACCGGTTCGGGTTCGGACATGTCTGCGTTTGGCGACATGGATGTCGAGCCACCGGTGATAGAGTATCAGCCTGACGACCTCGATGAACCCTTGTCGTGGGCGTTCCAGGTGCGCATTGAAGGTTGAATGCCGCGTCTCTCTGCGTGTTGTTGACGCATGCACTCAGGATGGTGATCCAGTGTGGGTCAAGACCGAGGAAGGGGAGTGGCTCCAGGGAACCGTTAATGGCAAGAGCACCCGTAGAGGGGCCACTCGGCAGGTAAGCGTATTCATTACTCCCTTGGCCGAAGGTAAGTCACTTACGTTGCGTGCAGAAGGAGGGCGTGTTCTTTCCCGTGTCCTTCCGCATAAGCTCGCGGAAGTACTTCGCGCCTTTGAATGGCGACGTCAAGCCTGATACCCCGGAAGTGAGGCGACTGTTACTGGAGGGCGGCTGGCTATAGTGTTAGCTGACTGCTGCTACATCGGGGGAATGGGACACATTGCGTCCTGGACTGCAAAGTGTTTTGCATTGTGGAAAAACAGCCTGTACAATTGTATACTGCAGAAAGGGGACCTGAAGCATTTATCACTCTTAGAACCAGAGTTTGTAGAGTTTTCCATGATATGAAAGCATTTTGAAGCTACAGAGCTGTTACAAAGCTGCAGTCTCCTGTTGTTACAATCTACCGGTGACTCACCGCTGCAATGACAGTACGGTGTACGATGCACCGATCAGTTCTTTTTGATCAAGAGCGTTCAGCATCGTCGAGTTCATCCAAGGTAGCCCACCGAGCATTCAGAGCCACCCACCTTCCTTCAGTAGCTCTCGCACACGCGCCGTGTCGGGTTTCATCTCACCGTTCATAGGGGCAAAATATCGTCGGAAGGTGGCACGATGGCGGTACTCGACGGAATAGTAAACACACTCCTTGTCCTGTCCCTTCTGATGAGCACACAGGCACGGACTCAAGACAAAGGAAAATGCTTACACCACTGTGCGTCCTGCGTATGTGTGGCGGCTGCCTTGTGACTTGGCCCGGGAGCCACGAACCATGGGGAGCGCGGACCCATACGTAATCGCCGGGCTACCAGAGGACAAAGAACACGGAGAGATGTCAGCGCACATCTGACATAAAAAGCTGCGCCGCACCTCGAACGGGTGCTCCCACATCTCCTCCAGGCTGTCCGTATTCTCGAGGAATCTGCTCCCAGTCGGCGTGTCGGTGTCCTCCTCATCGGAGTCGTCCGCATCGGCGGGCTCGTCCATCGGGGGCAGCATCACCCACTCGACGGGCACTGCGCACGTGCTCCAGCCGGTGTTGACGAGTGTGAACGCGCCGCTGTCCCGCAGGACGTTCTCGACGGCGCTCTGCTGCGCGGTATGTAGTGGCACGTACACCTTCACTGGCATGGGGGTTCTGTGGCCACCACTTCGCGCTTTTCGAGTGCGGTCGCCTGTTACTGCCGCACACGGTTTGGATGGGAGAGGCGATTGGGGCATGGTGATTTGCGGGTAGGGAGAGAGGGGTGGCCACTGAGGTTGAGGTTGAGGGAGATGTGAAGCATCTTCTTTTGGATCCCGTATTTATGCGGCACCGAGGGACAATGGAAAGGCTTGATTTGGTCTGCTCCTTCGTCAATGTTCAACAAATTTGTTTTGGTTTGTTGGACCTCGAGGGCGTTATACGCGATGGAAGCTTGAGCATATCCCTGCCGGTGCAGAGCAACCCCAGGTTGAGACCACCAGCAAAACAGTCAGACAGATGACCCAGGTACCCTCAGAGAGTGGTGAAAGCGCGCCAGCTCTCTCTGTCCAAGGCTCTGCACATACCCCAGAAGCGACACTCGGAGTAACTATCAGGGAAAAGGCAACCCAAGAAAAAGGTTTAACAAAGAGCCACACCGAGCGGTCTCAACAGGTGTTCGTGTCGTCTCTCCACGCAGTCTATACAACGTCTGAAGGGTCATTCTGGTAGTCGAGGGAGTACGCCATGCCTCTTTCCAAAAATTCCCGCAATTTAGCAGTAAGAAGCCACGTCGTCAGGTAGTACCAACTGAACTGGAATGGGCCCCAGGGTAATTGAACACCGTATGGACTCGGAGAACCGCGCTTCAAAGCTCGCAACGTACGTGCATTTGCAAGCACACACGATGTCTGCTTTTGCCATACTGTGTATGAATGATCAAACGTACCTGGAAAGTCGTCCTGGAGAAGGTAATGCCTGGCCCTGGCAAATGCTATGGGGCAGATGAGGGCGCTCGCCAAGACTGCTGTGCTAGACGTCTGTGGTCAAGGTGCTACGTGCTAGAGATGAGTGGTAATATTAGGCTCGATTCCAGCCTCACTATGCAAGACCTTGAAACGTCAATATTGGTGCTCCATGCTTTCATAATCAAAGTAGTCCAATGTTTGCTACATTGCGGTTGATCGACGGCCTGTTGTTTTTGTTTCTCCAAACCTCTCCCCAAGTCGCTATAATCCTTCAAGAATCCATTAATGAATGCTCACATTGATTATTGGAAAACGACGTAGGCGACTGAGTAGGTTTTCGTTTGCGGATTCAACCACTGGCACTGAAACGAGTTTACAGTCCAGCAGTAATATCTGTCTGAAGTGAGCCTAGAATTCAGGTGCGATTCTCACTCACAATCTCCTGTCGTTTCTCATCTCCAACTCAGTCACATCAATGTCGAATATATCCCAGCAGAACTTGCGGTAGCACGTGGAAGTGGACGCTCACTGGTACCGCCGAAAGGGGAAACATGGCCCGAGCACAATCCGGCCGGGCAGGCGTGTTTCACTGCATCGCTTGATCATTGTCTAGCGTGTTCAATCCCTCTAGACTCGGCAGGAAATTTCCTCATCCTGAGCGGTGCGCTCGCGGGCTTGTTGTAATCCAGATGCTGGGGCTTTGTGTAAGTGGGCGGCCCCCGAAGCGCGCATTCCTATGCGCATTGCTCGTCTCTGCCGATGAGACCTTTCAGCCGACTGCGAAACGATAGGTCCTCGACAATACGTTTGCATGCTCGGGAGGATGTACTCATATATACAGTTGTATGGGATACAGACATCTCAAACCGGACATTCTCCGAGTCAGGCGCCGTCCATGCAACATGTCTTCTGGCTTCACAAGGCTGTAAGCACCCTGGATGATACAGATAAAGATGGAACTTCTATTGAATACACACAGAGAGAGATGACCGCTGGAGTAAGTTCTTCGATGCACCATTCCGCAGGGAGAACACTGCAGAGAAGGGTCAAGGCACATCATACGGCACTGTCCGAGGTCCAGTAATGATGCACTAGGAATTCTTCTTAGCGCCCATAGCTGTAACAAAACCGGACGCGGTGCAAGCGCCGGTTCCCCCGACGGTTTTGCACCGCTCCTGGAGGCTAATAGCAAGAGGGCAGGGCTTTGCGATTTCTTCCCCATCCTCTGGTCTCCCTTTGTGCGTATTTTTGCAATTTCTCCGTTCTTGCTTCATCACCTCCTTTCAGATTCGAGTCACGACGGTGAGTAGCGTGTCGGGTAAACACCCTGTGGCGTGCTCACTCCTAGGTGCTCTCCCAGCCCCTTTTTCTGAATTTCTTCGTCTTCTTCCAACACAACAATGTGGTCGCTGCAGAAAATATGTCTTCTTGCGCTCTGCCCGTCGCACCTCGCGTTCGCGGTACGTATAAACATGCAGAAACGCGACTCCGAGCCTCCTGCGCCCGCGACCATCCCAATTCAGCTGTCATACGATAACCTTGGGAGATACAATGTCCCTGTCGGAATGGTGAGCGATTCACGACACGACAGCGTCTATCCTGGCAGGATCTATCAACTGAGGTGATCGCAGTCTACTGGTCCTGGGGCTCAGAACTTCAGCTTCACTCTCACGACTAGCACCGGGCTCACTGCAGTTGCGGGAAATAATTGCAGCTCCTGCAGTAACACCAATTTGTGAGTATGTTTTGTTAGTTGCAAGATCGATTGTTGCTATAAGACGTGCAATAGGTACAACATGTCTAAGTCGACAACCGCTCAATCTATGAGTGGTTCAGACGGAGCGAGCTTGGCAGACGCTTCGTACAGCGGGAAAGTCATCAAGGAAACTTGTACCATGGCAACTACAAATGGATCTGACTGGAACTACAAAAATCAAACCAGTCAGTCTCGTCTTTGATTCAGCCGTCGTTTATCTGACTTTGTCGTTAGTCGTAGTCGCGGATTCGTCAAATACTGGCACCATCTTCAACAATGGCGTGTCCGGAGTGCTTGGTCTGGGCACAAACCGGAATGTTGCCGCAGCAAGTACACCAGGGAGCACCTTCAATGCAGGTTTCGATGATACCATTTTCGGGCAATGGCTGGATCGCAATCCCTCACAACCTGCTTTCCGCTATGGCATGCAGATCAGCTCACCTATCATCACGCCCAAGAACACATCGTCGACTAACCAGCCTACTGTTACGCCCAAGAGCAACGCTGGTACACTGCACTGGCTTTCCCCCGATTCGTCCGCGTACAATCCGAACCATATGGCATCCATGGCAGTACAGCCCAACACCGCGGCGAATTACTCGACATCCAGTGGTCAACCCGATTTCACGGTCGAGCTAGACGGTTGGCAGTTCAAGAGCGGGAACTCGGCATCTCAGAACAACCAGCCTATGGTCGCTACGGTTGACCCCTATTACACAGACATGTACTTCCCACTCGAACAAGCGCAGCTTATCAGTAGGTCCAGATTTTCTGGTAGATAGCTTCGTCGCTTACCGTTGTACAGATGGCATCATCTCGGGATCGGTGTACGAGCCCAGTCTGTCTTCTCTGGGGTCTGAGTCCGGTGCTTGGATGGTCCCCTGCGATGCGAAGTACACTTTCACTGTATCCATCGGCTCCCAGAGCTTTACGCTTGACCAATCGACGCTCATGACAAACTCGGACGCCGTCTGCACGAGCGGGATCGAAGGTTGGACTGACAGCAGCATCACCCAGTACATCCTCGGTGCCCGTTTCCTCAGCCAGTTCTACGTGTGCGTAGGCCGTACATTCTTGCTGTATATGGTCGCTCACACCTCCCTATAGGATCTTCGAGATCAATCGCAACGGCACCGACACTGTCACCCTGGCCGCGCGGAGCTCCACCTCCCACTCAACAAACGTGGGCGCGATCGTCGGTGGAACGATCGGCGGTGTCGCGGGCGTGCTACTCATCGTGCTCGGCGCGCTCTTCTACTTCCGCCGCCACCGGTACCGCTTCTCGGAGAAGATGGACATCATAGGCGAGCCCATTAGCGCCGTCGTCGAGCCATACATAGTCGGGGGTATCCCGGAGGCACAGCAGGAACAGCACGCGCAGTTCGTCTCTCCACCCGACTCGCCCGGGGTCGTGTCGCCCTTGTTGAGCAGCCACCTCTATCACACGGAGGCGCTTCCTCCCCCTGCGTACGAGGCAACTGAGAGGAGCAGTGTGGGGGATAGAATGTCCACTGCTCGCGATGCGAAGGGCGAGTACGTCCGGCCCGAGCCCGTGTCGGAGGGATCGTCGTCGTCTGCGTACACATCGTCTACTGCCCCACTCCAAATCGCGTCCCTTCCCGACCAGGCGTAAGACGCGTCTTTTTTCACATTATGCATTTTCATTCGTTGTTGCGTATCTATTGGTCCTCACTATCTTTGCCATGAATACTCTCGTGACATCATTCGTATTCGTAAATTTACCGTCCGGCGTAGTAGCTAGATCATGGATGCTAATTGTACAGTGAATAGTCGTACGTGGTACTGGGCTTCTTTATAATCCGTTCACGAGTTACATGTAGCTCCAATACCCTTCGTTGTGAATCACTGAATCAAGTAAAATTCCAGCCTCAACATCCTGCAAATCGAATAATCGTTCCTTAGCGACATCCAGAAACATCGCAAAAGCTCCACGGAAGTCCCATAGCGTTGGAGGTGTGGAGTACGAGACTATCACCGGCGTACAAATCCCACAATTATTGATGGCGAAAAGGTACAATAATAATTCAGTCCACTGCCTCAGCCAAAACACGATCAATCGCTCGGCGAACGCAAGTCGCATCGAACTGCGGCACGCCTGTCGTCCCATCGGCTGGTGCGTCAACTTCTACGCATTTGACACCCAGGCGCTGCGCGAGGCATATGAAACTACATTGACGAGCATAGAGCTGCAAACCCACCGTGATCTCCAGCACGTCCACTGCGATGGCTGCGCCCCTCAGGTAGAGGAGGTGCGTGATGAACGCCGACGCAGGGTACGTGGTGTCGGCGTTGCCAAGGCCTCCGTATGAGTGTTTGTGATACGGAGTATTCAGTGTGCGGACGATTGTGCTGGTGATATTGTGAGCCAAACTACAGAACCCCCACGCGAGAAACTTACTTTATGTAATCAACTGCTGTGTATCCGTGCGTCTCTCTGTCGTTTCGTGAATTTACTACAGATGCACGTGGGTCTAAGTTGTCAGCACAGTGTGGCGGGTGGAAGTTGTGATCTTACACAGGAGAATCTTCGCGCGCAGAGAACGCGAGCGTGCAATCGCATTCGCGACACCTTTGAGCGCCAGGCACGGTATAATGCTGGACTTCTCATTTTAACCTAACCATGATGCGCGAGTCGAGGTACATGCGTCCTACCTCGTCCATAGCGACCCGCACGAGTACACAAGGACATCTGTCAAGGACAGATTCGTGATGTAGTCAGAGTTCGGTGAGGGGTGGATCTCGTTGCCGTAGGCGTTGATATAGTACAGCCCTATTGCGCGCATCAGCGCATCCCCGCACGAACCTGTGAAACCTGACACACTCACGCGAAATCCGTGCGTCAAGCGGCTCGTACGCGCCCTTGGCCCTGGACTGGAACATCACATTCTGTGGCGGTGAAATCATCCCGTCCAGCGCGTCCATCGAGGAGACCGCATCCGGATCCACGTCGAAATCGTCCGGGGCGACGCTGATGGTAGGCGCGCCGTGCACGGGGTGAGAGATCTCGCACTGGCCGACGAGCCTCCTACCGTTCTCCTTGTAAGTCGCGCGTCATGTGAGTCATGCGGCGGGCAGCCTAGGAGACAGAAGCTGACTAGTTCTGCTGCGATCGTCACTGTGTGGTTGGTCACGATCACGGGGAGGATGTTGGCCTGCAGAGAGGGAGCGGCGAGTCAGTGCACGGACGAGGCAAACGCAGGTCAGCAAACCTGGCTATTTGTGATTGATGAAAAGAGAAAAATGGCCGAGGGCAATGATCGGAAGAATTCCTGTGCGGCAGAAAGGAAGTAGTTGCCAATGCTGCGTGAAGACCGATTAGCACCGTCAAACGATCCGCACACACGACCACCGCTCCAAGCAGAAGGCGCACAGTAGACAGCGCAGATCTTGTCGGAGTCCAAGAAATGTTTATGAACCTACCCACGCCCACCCCCGTTTTTGGGTACAAAGCGCAGAATTTGCGTACTCCGTTGCATAACGGAAAATCAGGAAAGCACCAAGGATTCGGACGCACAACGTTGACTTGTGCCCAACGGAAGCTCAACAGGGAAATATGACTCGCCTTCCATTCACAAACGAGAAGTTCTTGTGCGCGCGTTTCAATACCTCGTTTTCGAAATGTACAAGGAACCCTGCGACGCGTTTATCATCACATTTAACCTGTAGATATGTTCTAGCTCACCTCTGATAAGTTCCTTGCGGTCATTTGGTATACCCGACCAAAGATGACTCCTACCTTCGACGATATCTCTCCACTCATCCCGTGCTTCGCGCTCAGTTCGATCAGCTGGAAGCCGGTACGCGAGCAAGGTGCGTATTGAATCCAGGGGTGAAGAGGGTGGTGCAGACGGTATCAGGCGAACTAGCCGCGACCGTATATCACCTAGCCACGACAATTCAGAGAGGCTCTCCTCCCCGAGACGTTCACCACTCACCGATCGACGGCCCACCCAAGACACGTATGATCTCGCTGGACGAGCCCCCATCGTCCGACACGGGCAGCACGTAAGACGCGTTCCCGAACGCGGCGCATATCGAGTTGCAGCCCGTCCCCCCGGAAATGACCAGGAAGGATTGCGAGCCGTTCTGCGGCACGTCTACCTGCGCGGCGGTCTTGCTCGAGCTGCCGTTGCTAGCCTTCCGTTCTGGCTGCGTCGGCAGGTCGAAGACTGACGATCCTGGGCTGTCTGCGCCCGAGACGTATGTCCTGGGTGCCAGATTGAAGTAAGACATGTGATGGACGTCGGGAAGAGAACTACTGCGCCCGCTGCCTTCTCATGACACCACTACCCTCTTCTCCTCTTCCTTCGTGCTGCTTTCGCTCTTCTGCAGTCACGGATAGGCTGCGTGCTTGCGAGCATTAAGACATAATTGAAGAGCTATTCGCGTGTAACACGTTGTAGCCATGTCAGACTTCCCTGCTCTTCCTGGATTCTACAAACTGCTCTTCTTGCATATAGAGCCAGGTGCGGGTTTACTTCTATGCGTTCAAATTCAAACCATTTCAATATAATGTTTCCGATTTCCAGCCTCGACCATCTTGCCTGCCATACTGGCATGGTTCTTCCCCGGAGCGACGTGGTTCCACCACCAGCTTGTTCCGGACGTTAACCTTCCGCTGGCGGCGCTCACGGATACACGGACGATTATGGCCATCCGGCAGCTGGGCAACTGTGCATCCACACCAATATTCTGCTACAGTTCCTCGTATCTGAAGGTCAATTTGTAGGTTACCTGTTACTGGGTCTGATCTCAACGTTCGTGTTCCGAGCTGTGCGAGATGCGCTGCCGGACAACCCAGTCGCGCAGGAGCGCATCCTAGGCGCGAGCTTCACCGCTCTAGCACTCGCAGACGTGCGTGTCTTCCAGCTGATTTCTTTGCATGCGCTAATGCTGGGTTGCAGGTAACGCAGTGCGTAATATGTCCTGTGTATATTTATCCCGCTAACCAAGTATGCGAAGCATCATTTGGTCGTTTGTAGGGCTTCCGAAAGAGCTGCAGTATGACTTTGGCAGCTGGAATTCCATGACGCACGGGAATATCACGTTCGTGATCGTTCTCCTCAGCTGCAGGTATGATGAACATTATGCTGCCATATACCATGGTTAACTATTCTCCTAGGCTGGCATGGTTTTTGGGTATCGGACGAACGAGATACTACTACGGCCAGCAGCTGAAAGCCAAGGCGCAGTGATAATCAGCTTAGCAGCCCCTCACTACGTCTTGATGACACTGTTGCTATACTTCTTGCGTTGCCCCCTGGTGATTGCGGTCATTCCTGTCCTGATCAAACAGTGCCTTCTGTGGAAAGTATTTGCTCTGATTGGCCCTGCATGATAATTGGCCCACCTTTCTGGCGTTGAGTGAGAACAGAAATGATGTGAGAGTGCGATTGGCCGCGGCCGCTGGGTTGATTCAACTTGATTGGTGGCGGGTGTGATTAACGCATGTCTGCTTGCAACATGACGTCTAAAACCATCATTGGATACTAGATAGACTCTTGCTTCAATTTGCTTTGTCGCTTTTCGTCGCTTTCGCCCTCTCCTCGCTCTGCTGTCTTTTTCTCCAGCTTTTTTGCATAGAACGTTCGGGTTTCCCGCAGGTCGGTTACCGTTGCATTCACCAACCCTCAGAAATTCCAAGTCTGTTGGTATGCAGTACTAGTGGTCGCCGCCGCCGCCGAGGCCGCCATTTTGCACCGTTAACATGTATTTCTACTGTTGGATACCCGCGCTAGTTATTGCTCTGTTCCTGAACCTCGACGTCGTTTCAGGTATGTTCTCTGACCGTTTGCGCGTGCAATGGGCTATATACGCATTGCAACGCAGCTTCAAGCTCCCCCGCGCGACCATTGAAGCGTGTTGAGCACCCATCGATACTCGCTATAGAGATACTACCCCGGAAGCCATCGTCTCGTCACGGTGGCAGACGCGCCCTTCCGCTCGACTCGTCTGTTCTTACACACTCTGATACCTTTCGGCTGAAGCTTTCCGCGTTCGGCGACGTATACCATCTGCATCTACGACCTAATGAGCACCTAATCCACCCCGCTGCTCGTATTAGTCATTATCACACTTCACCTGACGGACAGAATGTCCGGATACACACTGAGCCATTACTGCGGGGCTCCGTGAAGGCCTACTGGGGGGAGGTCGTACCCGCGGACGCCTCCCCAGACCGACTGCGCGAAGATGCTGCTGGAGTTATCGCGCGACCGTGGACGGACCCTGCACTCGGCTGGGCGCGGATCGTTGTGCACCACCAAGGCGACGCCGCGAAGGGGATTGCACCACTGTTGGAGGGCGGGTTCTCGGTGAATGGTGTGGTGCACCATGTCATGACGAAGGACAACTATCTCCGCAACAAGCTCGAGCTCGATCCCCACATCTCGCTCTCGGACGCTGACGCGGACTCTACCCTTGTCGTCTGGCGCGATTCAGATATGATGGGCCCGCACGAATATGCGGAGGGGAACGTGCACACGTGTGGGCACGATAATCTGTCATATAACACTGACCCTTCGCTCAATTCGGTGCTTCGCAAGCCCTCTCCTTCGCCCTTGAATCCGTGGTATGATCCTCTCGGATTGCTGAACACTCGCAATGCCTCAGATAGCGGCCCGACCAAACGTGATGATGTCGCGGGAGGCAGCATGTCTTCGAAGTGCGCTTGTGTGGTTGTAGCTGTCCCCGAACATGTATTGACGTTCAGAATAGTTTCTCGGGCAACATTGGCTCAACCTTTGGCTGTCCTACAACCGAGATGATAGTTTACATGGGCGTTGCTGCGGATTGTGAATATACCAGCCATTATGGATCCAAGGAGAATGCGACACAGCAGATCCTTACCAACTGGAATTCAGCCAGCGCTTTGTACAAGGTCAGTGTAATATAATCTGAGCAACGCAGCCGCATTCATGCCATTTAGTCAACATTCAACGTCACTCTCGGGATTATCGAGCTGCAGGTCCAAGACTCAAGGTGATCCAACTGCATTTCTTGAAAAATAGCTCACTGGGCCGACTAGCTGTCCAAATGCCACCGATCCTGCGGTCCCGTGGAACGTTGCCTGCTCGTCAAGCATCTCACTCAATGAGCGCCTGTCGCTCTTCTCCGGTTGGCGCGGGCAAAAAGGAAATGATGGCGCAGGACTGTGGCATCTCATGAGTGGATGTCCGAGCGGTACAGAAGTGGGCGTTGCGTGGCTCGCGACACTGTGAGTATTCAAGACCGTACGGTGAGCTTGATTCTGAGATGGATACATAGATGCCAGCAGTCATCTTCAGGGAGTGCTCCCTCGATTGTGTCGGGCACCGCAGTGACAACTGCTGGGCGCACTGAGTGGCAAGTAGCATCACACGAAATCGGCCATAATTTTGGCGCCATTGTGAGTATGCGTCTCATAGCACGGTGGCTCACTTAATTGATATGCGTGCTGCCCAGCACGATGTACGTTCTTCCGAAGAATGAGTAGCAATTATAGCTCAATGATCACCATTCGCGTTCTAGTGCACCAATAGTTGCGGCCTAGCAAATTCAACTGTTTGCTGTCCCTTATCTGCAACGACATGCAATGCGAACTCGCAATTCGTCATGAACCCTGTGACGGAGAGCAGTGAAATGGCCTTCTCGCAGTGCACAGTCGGCAACATTTGTACGTTCATTTCAGAACCTCTGCACAACCTTTCTGAAGTACATAACAGGTTCGTTGATGATGGGAAATATCGGCGCGGAGGAGATGACGAACACCACCTGTCTGGTCGATCCCAACCGGTCCCAACAACTCATCACGATGAACATGTGCGGGAACGGCATCGTCGAGGAGGGCGAAGAGTGCGATCCGGGAAGAGGCTCGAACTCGACATGTTGCGATGTCAGCACCTGTAAGTTCACTGCGGGGGCGGTATGTGATCCGGACAGTAGCCCGTGCTGCACCGCGCAGTGTTCCTTCTCCCCGGCAACGCAGGTATGCGGAGCGGCTCTGGATCCTACGTGTGACACGACGGAGATGTGCACTGGGAACTCGTCAGCGTGCCCTGCGGACTTGACGGCACCGAATGGTTAGTCACACTCGCTTTTGTTTCTTCTCTGCATGAGCTTTGCTGAATACTGTATTAGGCAAGAGCTGTGGTTCGAACGGTCTTGCCTGTGCAAGTGGACAATGCACGTCGCTGAATGGTGAGCGTCACCCATTCTGTCGTTAAGGTTGAGGCTCATTCTCGTCACTCCAGTGCAATGCCAGATGGTCGGCGCGTCGATGAACTTGACAACAGCGTGTCCTAATAAAGACAGCAAGTCTTGTCAAGTATCCTGTATCAACCCAGCAGATCCAGGCCAGTGCATTATCCTGCAGTCAGATCTCATCGATGGCTCTCCATGCGGTAGACTTTTTCGAGTCGGTCTATCATTTCGTGGACATTGCTCATTTATGTCCTCTAGGATATGGAGGCACTTGCAACAGCGGCATTTGCCAGCCTGGCAGTGCAATTGACACTTTTGACGTATGAACACGAACATGTTCTGCTTGGGCACTATCGCTCACGACCTTGTGCAATAGGCCTGGTATAGGCAGAACCTGGACATCTCCGTCCCTGTCACAATCGCGCTCGCCGTAGTCCTCCTACTCGTAATTTATGCGATCTACCGCTGTGAGTGCATATTAATTATTTATAGATCTGAGCTAAATCAACCGGCATGTCGACTCTCAGGTTGTACGGCTGAGCGTCGCAAGAAGGTACAGAAAGGAAGTGACAAAAGGGCGCTGCACTCTTCCGAGCCGGCACTAGCAAGAACACGAGCATATAGGATTGGCGACGGGCCTTCGGGAGCGCATGCGGCACGATCTGTTGGGCCTGTACTGAGGTCATCCCCCGAGGGTCGTTGGACGCCACAGGTGTTCCCTAAAACTGTGCAAGCTGCTCGAACTGGCGCTTCTAATTAGGTGACGATTCTTCATCGCCGTGGGGGGTGCTGCCTCTGCTCGAAGTTCTCGCACCAATTTCACAATATAATTCATGCTCATCTCGAAGGCATGCTCCTTTTTTGCAATTACAATGCAGAGGGCGGATGAACACCGATAGGACCTATACAGGCAATATACCTACGGCGGGGTTCTGTATATACGTGGCTGAGGAGCCTACGATGTACAGTACAGAAAACAACGTTGCTGATTGAAGCCCCTGCGGTGTAACTTTGTAAGCATTCACACAATCGGGAGATAGCTGGAAGGAAGTGGAGAGGAAGGATAACTTGTGTACAGTGATACCGCAGGATCAAGCTGCATGGAGGAGACTCATTTCTATCGAGGTTCTGTTTTCCACAAAAATAGCAGGTCCGAATCGTCCAATTGCGAACAGTGTACAAACCAACGCATAAGCACAAAATCTTCGGGGTACTGATCCCCGCAGTAGCGTCCCAGATCTCCCTTTCGTTATCGCGGGCTATTGCCTGAGGAGGAATGAAGTCGGAGACACGACATCCATGGAGAGAAAGTCCGGACCTTGCACCCCAGTCTTGACGGCCGCATTGTTAAGGGATTCCATCGCAACAATAGAGCTTTGAGTCCCAGCACCAAGGGTTTTCAAACACATCGGTGTCGTCGTACGCTTGGGAGAACACCGTAATCGACTGGCAGCACACAAACTCTGGCGCTAGGATGAGAGAAGAGACATGGTGCCGAATGCCATAGGTATGGCGCCCTTGAAGTCACTCTTGGCACGGATTGCGCCTTTTGGCGACTTCATCAGCGTCCAGGGTGGCGGATGCGGCCTCAGAGCTATACGGCGGCACAGGCTCTCCAGGCGTCATTGATTTGGCCTCTTCATGAAGAACAGACATGGCCACAGCAACCGCACATGTACAGTATTTCGCAAACTCACCAGAGACCGGCGTAGTCCTATGTTGGGCATCGAGAAGAGGTGCTTGAGTCATCTGAGTCTGCATCTTGAGTGCCTGGCACTCTTGGTAGAAAGCTGAAAAGCCTGATTTGTCCGATAGCCCGAGTGGCAGTAGAGCGGTAGCAGTAGCACGGCATCTAGATACGGGGTTAATGGTGCAGCTGACCTAGCCCTGGCCTCTTATCCGACTTCACATTTCGACAAATATTCACGGCGCTGACCTGCCATGTTCATGACCGACTCATGGATGGCGGACCGTCGAAGACTGAGGCAGCAACCGCCCCCCAACAACCCTATTCTCAACCAAATATCTCCGAGCTTTCGTCCACGCTACTAGGTGCGTGCAATCACTGATCTCATTCCTTATCTCCACTTTACACACGGTTGTTTCAATATTAAATTGCCACGTTCAGGAGACAACACGAGACACGCACAGAACGGACATACAGTCAACTGTAAGTCAGACGAAGGCCAGCATGAGGTGACGGACGGCGAGCGTCAGCCTCCAAGGCTTGTACTTCACACCGAAGACGACGTCCCCGGCGATCAGAGCCCCAGCACCCGCGAACCCAGGATGCGCCCGCGTATGACCCTCGACCTCGAGTCCGATGACATGGATATATTCTACGACAGCAAGCTGTCTATTGAAGACTCTTCTCCAAAGCCATGCATCACGCCCGGGAACGCGCTTCACCTCATCGACGACGACCCTTCGCCGCGCTCGCAGACTCCCTCCTCCGTCATTATCATTCCCTCAGACGAACCCGCGCATGACCACGATTCCAACGCGGATGGCTACAGGAGCCCATCTGAGCCCCCACCTGTGCGCCCGGTCCCTCGCGTCCGCTTTCGGTCGCGCGTGCGCATCACTTCGGGAGTGCACCGGCATCGGAACAGTATGAGTGCTGTGAACGGTACCTCTACACCCTCGTCTGCCTCAGACTCCCCGTCCTCGTCGATATCTGCGCCACTGCGATATCAGGCGGACGAGAATACTGGGTGGGGCCCGCTTGGGAAGCGCCTCAGTGCGTATGCCAGTGCGGGAGGCTGGCAGAGGCGCGGTATCCCCTCGGCGCATGGAACGCCGAACGGACATTCGCATGGGACACAGACGCGCGTAGGTGTAGGTGCGGGACGTGTAAATGAGCGGACTCCTCTAGTACATTCACGGCGGCGCCCACCATATGACGACGACGATGTTAGGGAAGATGAAGAGGAGGACTCGCAAGAGAGGGAATCACGCGTCAAAAGGGAGCAGGACTCAGAGTTCGGGACATGGCCGATGAGGATACTCAATCCGCATGTGAGTATTGTGCAGTCTCCGTTTCTGCGTTTGCACTTATGTCCATGTCGCGCGTGCAGTGGTGGTGGTGGCATCTTGAACCCGTCGTGTGTTGCTTCTACTGCTCTGAAGACTCCGAGTATGAGGAGTAACGATACCTGCGACGATCTGCATACCTATCTCTCGTGTCAGTGCTGTCTGTCATCGCTTTGCTTGGTTGCGCCATGTATCTCCCATCTCTACTTCTATAGGTGCACGGGTACACATAGGATATTTGATACATAATCTGTGAGATAAATACCCCTCCTCGAGCCCTGGTTGAGCAGGTTAGATCGTCTGTCCTTGTTTCGTGTTTTAGTCGGACTCTGGTGGCTTGACCATGGTTGGCGGAAGCGTCGTGATGGGCGGGAGGAGCGCCGCAGCTGTTCTGCGCGCATTCTGGATGAGCAGCTGGTCGAGGATGACGATCGCCGCCATGGACTCGACGATGGGCACTGCACGAGGCACTACACACGGGTCATGCCGGCCCCTCGCTTCCAGCGTGCCTAGAGTGCCATCATACTGTGCCGTCTGCTGTGCCTGCGAGATCGTCGCGGGAGGCTTAAACCCCACCCTAGCGTGCCCGAGCGAGTTAGCCCCCACGCATCTGCACGAGCCACACAGTACCCACCTGAAGTAGATATCCTCCCCGTTCGAAATCCCGCCCTGGATGCCGCCGCTCCAGTTCGTCTTCGTTCCCAGAGAGCCGTCTGCTCGCCGTTCGAACGGGTCGTTGTGCCTGCTCCCTGGTACCTCCGTTCCGCGGAAGCCGGAGCCGATCTCGAATGCCTTCGTAGCGGGGATGGACAGCATCGCGTGCGCCAGCGTCGCCTCCAGCTTGTTGAACACGGGTTCGCCCAGCCCCGAGGGCACCCTCCGGATTACGCACGTCACCGTCCCGCCGATCGAGTCGAGCGCGTCCTTTGCGCGGATGATACGCTGTGGGGCAGGGGGAGTCAGCAGAGTACGAGAGGGAGAGCAATGTTAGTACCTGTGTCATGCGCTCTGCGGTCTGGGGATGCGGACAGCGCGTCGGATGCGCGTCGACCTGTGCTCGCGTCACAGTGCTCAAGAGCTGGCGGAACTCGGGACTCAGCGCCTCTGCTGTCGTGTCGTCATCTTCATTCGAGGGAGAAACTGCCGCGGAAGGAATATGGATTTTCCCAACGGATGAGACGAACGCGACGATCTCGACGCCGTACGCGACTTTGAGGTACTTCTCAGCGATTGCGCCCGCAGCGACGCGACCTGGAAGAGCAGTTGTTGGACACAATGATTGAGAGGGAAGTTAACGAGTTTACCGATGGTCTCTCTCGCGCTGCTTCTGCCTCCGCCGCTGCTCGCCTTCACGCCGTACTTCTCGAGGTACGTCCAGTCTGCGTGGCTCGGACGAGGGTACAGATCTGTCTGTATGGGTGTATTTTGTCACCGTCACTGCGACCTTAGAGAGCCTATAGCGCTCACCTCAGAATAATCTTTCGGCCTCTGGTCCTCGTTCCGAACAAGCAGCCCGATGGGCGTTCCTAGCGTAATGCCGTGCTCGATCCCCGACTGCAGCTGCACCAAATCCTTCTCATCCCGCTACTATAGGTGTGAATATCTCGAGCAATACGCCAGACGTACAATTACTTACGGGAGTGGTGAGGTTGCTCTGACCTGGCCTTCTCCGACTCAGCTGTACCTGCACATCCTTGGCTTCTAGGGGTAGACCCTGACGTAGAGATGAGTCACCGCACTAGAAATGGAATGAGAAGCTAGACGTACAGGTGGACAGCCGTCAATGATTGCTCCGACGGATGCACAGTGAGACTCTCCGTAGGTGGTCACTCGGAAGAGAGTGCCAAAGGTGGACATGGTTTCTGAATTATGTGTCCTGCGATGGCATGCCCTGTAGAGGACGCAATGCACAACAGGCAGAGGTACGCACTAGTATTATGAGGACTTGGCTGAGATCGAGGAAGATGTGTAGGGAAAGGGGTGTGACTACTAAGAATAGTTGTGCACCGGTTCCTATCGATCCTACGATGCTGTGAGAAGTATTCACGCCGGCGCAAGAACACTCACAGCTTCGAATACTTCCGGATGTCTTGGAGCGCAGAGCAGCAATGACAGATCGGAGCGCACAAATGCAATCCTGCACCGGAAAAGATCAATGCAAGGCCTCTGGTTTCTACCCTACCAAAGGAGTTTGCTTGCCAACGCGCTCTCCGGTGTTAGATTTTCGAGTGAGACTGTGACTAGCCTGGGAGCGGAATTGCCCGTGGACAAGGTTGCAGACAAGCCGTGGGGATCACGGAATGACTCGATAAGATTAGATCACGCCGATCTCGCGCTTCTTTACCAGGCCCTCGGGATTTTAGCTATATGAATAAGTAGTTGCGCTTAAGTTCTATCCACTAAGTTCAAGTTCGCTTTTCAACATACTGTAGCGAAACGACCTTAGGTTCAGTCACGGGTCACAGCCCTTGTGAACTGAACCTATTTGGGCGCTTGCGGGTCACAGATAATTATGAACTGGCGGCTCAACAGAATGGTCACGAGCGCTAAATATTCGTTTGCGGGCGCTTATCTGTAGCGTGCCGTTCTGAGTGACTCTGACACGGCTGACCCGAATGTGTGAGCCTTTACATGCAATATAGTGCATGCTCAGAATCACTGTGGCTTGTACTACTGTACAGTCTGGTTGTATAATGAGCCATCAAGCTTGAGGGAAATCCGACTTCCAACCTCTACGGGCGCCTGCGGCGCCAGTGAACTGAACTAGTGTCCCATGTCACACTGACTTGTGAACTGTGAACTAAGTCAAGCCAGCATGTCACGGGTCACACCCCGTGAACCTAAGGTCGTTTCGCTACAGTACTACATACATCATTCATAGGTCATTAATATGTCAACCAAGACCCTGGTCTGAGCTCCTGCTGACGGGCATGTCTCGGAACGACCGACAGCACAAGCTTCCTCGTGAGTCCGTCATGATGCCCTTCCAGGACCAGCGTCTGCAAAGGACACAGTATGACATCCTTGGTGGCTGCACTTGAGCCAAGAGCTATGAAGAGCGTCATGATGCTATCATGCCATCGACCTTTGACTTCGAGGTGTTCCAACGGAGGAACTCGCGCAAAACAAAAGCGTTTAAATCAATCCGGTCCTTCAAGCGGCTTTCAATGGGCTCATCGAAGACGGTCAATTTAAGAACAAGGATGAAGAAAAGGCCTTCGAGCATTGGACCAGACTAGACTAAGGACAGGATAGATCCATCGCCCATTTGAGTGGGGACAAGCGAGTTGTGGTAGCGACACACTTTGAGCCGTACGAGGAAAATAATGAGTTGTCCCAGATGCTGCATGAGTTACTACTTCGACGTTTCAAGATGGGGACAGGCCTCCAACGCATGGAGAAAGTCACTGAACCGCGGATAATCCAGCAAATACTTCAATTCCAGTCGATGAGACCTTTAATCGTCCCCAATATCCGTGAAAAAAATACACTCCGCTGCTGAGAGCGAATGAATATCAGGAAAAAAAACCTGCGAAAAGCGTCACAAGAAGTATTGCAAACACTAGTCTGTGATTTAGAATGACGCTGAAAGCTCGACCGTAAAATTCCAAGTCCAAAACTGATGGCGCACCCTGTCACGGTGTGAGAAGAATTGTCTTAGGAATTGCACGAGCTGTACGAAGTGACAGACTACCTGTGTCCTTTTCGTCGCCGAAAGTACTTGGAAAACTCGAGTGTGAGGACAAGCGCCGATTGAGTCATTCCGAGATAGTCGGCTTTCTGGTGCCATCACGTGCTCGCCGACTTTTTAAATACACCCCAAGTTCCTCCCTGCCTGTTTTTCCATCTATTCGTCCAGCTTGGGGTTGCTTGCGGGCATTCTAAAATAACGGACTAGAATAGACACAACAAACAGCGATGAACGTCTTTTCTGAAGACATTGCTGAAGAGATCCGCACAAATCTTCCCGGAACGGAGGAGATAATTGTCCAATACATCTCTGGCTACCTCCTCGATCTCGACGATGCCGCAGAAGATGAGGATGTGCTCAACATTACTCGGAATATCCTTGAGTCGGCTGTTCCTTCGTCCTTTCGCAAAGCACGGGTGCCCGCGCTGGACAAGTTGATGCAGACTCTGGCGAAGATGCTGGCTGAGCCGCTCAGCAAGAGAGATGAGAGGAACAAGGCTGGAAAGGACACGAAACTGGTACGGCTGGATAGAATAATGGACTTAAGCAAGACGGCCGTGATGAGCAACACTATTGCTTTTGCGGAAGGAGTGGATTTGGAGAGCATCAACAAGGGGAAGTAAGCAATATTGGGTTCACGGATTTAAGAATTGGAATTAAACGAGTATTTTCAGGGCCTCTCGAGTGGATGTAAAGAAGCTGGAGAAGCAAGAGGCCAAGCTAAAGGTTGGTTCGTCTTAGCACTGAGACTTTCATCGTACTGACAGTGTTCGGATTAAACAGGCCAAGATAGAGAAACGTTCCAAGAGAAATCTCTATGAAGGTTCAAAACTTCTGGACCAGCACAGGAAACAGGTTTTTTTTCATCATTATTTTACCAGTCTTGCATCTAATATCCTCTACATAGCAAACCTACGAAGAAATGTTCATGAAGATCAATCCCCTTGACGCAGCCACGGCGTCCAAGAACAAGTCGAAGGACATCCACCTGCCATCTATTGACGTCAATTTCGGGTCCAACCGTATTCTGTGCGTCCGCATTGTTGTCTGGCAGCATATTTGTCGTTGACGTGTACAATATAGGTCGGGCGCGTCGCTCACCCTTGCACATGGACGCAGGTATGGCCTTATTGGTCGCAATGGTGTCGGAAAGTCGACATTGCTGCGGCACATCGCGATACGCGAGGTACCTATCCCGCCCCACATCACAATATTGTTCGTTGAGCAGGAGGTCGGTGTCAATCTCACCTGGATCTCACTCTGGATTTTATATGCGTTGTTGCCAGATTATTGGCGATGACACTACTGCGCTGGACTCTGTCTTGAAGGCTGATGTCTGGCGAGACACCCTCTTGCGCGAGGAAGCCGTGTTGAACGCTAAGTTAGCAGAGCTCGACGGTGAGGGCGACGACAAGCGGTTTGAAGACGCGCGGGAAGAGGCCCAGACGCGTCTCGCCGAGGTACATGCGCGCCTTGCAGAGATGGAGGCCGAAAGCGGACCTGCAAGGGCAGCTGCGTTGCTTGCTGGTAAGCGTCGTGGTCAGAATTATTCTGTGCGCAGATGCCCATTTCTTGTGTAGGTCTGGGTTTCAGTGAAGCCGATCAGTCGAGACCGACCAAATCGTTCAGTGGTGGTTGGAGGATGAGGTTAGCTTTGGCTAGGGCACTGTTCGTCAAGGTTAGTATTTGTTTTGCTCGGTGTTTGGCCCACTGTACTCATTGAATTACAGCCTGCACTGTTACTGTTGGATGAGCCTTCAAATCACAGTGAGCTGTTCACTTTCCCTGACATGGGTCTTGATGCTGAGTTCTTCCGTAGTCGACTTGAATGCTCTCGCATGGCTCGAGGACTACTTGCAAACATGGACGGGGACACTGCTTGTCGTGTAAGTGGTCATTGAGATCCGTCCGTGCGCTGTTACTCACGGTTTTTTCTAATAGCTCACACGACCGTGCGTTCCTGTGAGTCAGGTAATGCTGGGTCATGTCAGTGATCTCACCGCTTGCTTAGGGACGCCGTCGCGACGGATATTGTCCACCAACATTCTGGACGTCTCGACTACTACAAAGGGTAAGGTAGCTGTGATTTTTCTTGATACTGTTGGTTATTCATGCACTGTTGCAGCAACTTCACGCAATTCTACTCAACGAAGTCGGAGCGCGATCGCAACTTGCAGAAGGAGTACGAGACACAGATGGAGTACCGCAAGCATCTGCAGGCATTCATTGACCGGTGGCGATACAACGCGAACCGGGCTGCGCAGGCGCAGTCGAAGATTAAAATCCTCGAGAAAGTGTGTAGCTACCGTGTTTTCTCTGAGTCAGCCTGTTGATTCCTGTGCGTACTGCAGCTGCCTGAGTTGCATCCGCCAGAGGTAGAAGAGACCGAAACGTTCAAGTTCCCTGAGATAGAGAAGATCTCGCCGCCAATTCTTCTCTTGAACGAGGTCACGTTTGGATACACGCCAGATAAAATCATCCTCAGGAACATCAACATCAACGTTGATCTTGAATCGCGGATAGCGATAGTGGGCCCCAACGGCGCCGGAAAATCTACATTGTGAGTGTTCACTCTTACAGCGGTTGTCGGACGACTGAAAAGCGCTTTAGGATCAAGCTGTTGACGGGAGAGTTGAAGCCGCTTTCTGGACATGTAAGCCAGAACGGCCGGCTGAGAGTGTACGCGTTTCAGTATTTATTTTACGTCCATAGATGATCTGATCCATATCCACAGCGGCTACTTCGCCCAGCATCATGTCGACACCTTGATACCCACCATGACCCCCGTTCAGTTCCTTGCGTCAAAGTTTCCGGGGAAGACGGAGCAGGAATATCGCTCGCACTTGGGAAACTTTCAAATTAGCGGTATGACTGGGTGCGCACTTGACTGATCGCGACTCGGCAAACCGCATTCCTTGACATGAATCATGGTATTAGACTGCAACTCATTGGTACGCTGAGTGGAGGTCAGAAATCGCGCGTGGCTTTCGCTGTACTATCATTGCAGAGAGCACATGTGTTGTTACTGGATGAGGCGAGTAAATCGCGTCTGCGCTGGTTCATCTGTGTTTATACCTGCTCTTCTAACAGCCTACTAACCACTTGGATATCGAGGTAGGCTGTTGATGCCATCTTAGCCCTAGTGTTCTTCAGTACCAACTATTTCCTTGAAAGGGCCTTGACGCGCTGATGGCCGCACTGTCCTCGTGGAACGGTGGAGTTATCATCATCTCTCACGACGAACGCTTTATCACTACTGTAGCCAGGGAGGTCGGTGTTTTCTGTCTTATGCACTATATTCCCTGGTTGATTAACATCTCTTACAGTTGTGGGTGTGCGGCGATGGATCTGTGTCTAAGTTCAAGGGCGATGTGCAGGCATACAAAGTACGTTCAGACCTTTACGCTGGAGCAGTGTAGGTTTTAACGCATCCCGATGTTCCTATCAGAGCCTCATCGTCAGCGGCATCAAGGCGCGTCCGTGAATCGGTCGTTTATACCTGTGTGCCGTTACGCTCTTTGCTTTCGCGTAGATGTCTGCCATATCGCCCATTACACTCGAAGCTTATTGTAAATTTCGTCACGGAACAGAGGTCTTGTTCTTCCTGTATCACTTAGACCGTTTTCTGTTGGGTATATCATGAATCGGAACAGAAGTACGCGAATATGGCACTGGCAGTGAGACGGAGAAATGGATGCGGCGACGCGTGACGCGGCGCGACTTGTGATCATGTGATCAACGCGCGACCGTCACGTCGCGTCGTTTTCAACTCGTACGAGTCGGACCAAACTGCAAAACCTTCACCACAACGCCGACCACTCAACACTACTCTTTCAGCATCGAGGTGATTCTTTGTTAAATACTCGAACCACAGGTGTGTAGCTATCTGCATCTCTACATGTGTACGCATTTTGTCGAGTGAGCGGCTGTCCGGCACGGCGGCGGTAGAGGCCGTGCAGTGGTTCTTTCTCTCGCCCTTCAGATCATCTGGGTGGTTGCTCTTCAAGAACAGATAGGCCTGCTATTGTTGACGTTGTAATTCACATGTTTCTGTTTGAACAGGACCAGATATCTCACACGGTGGCCACATTCTCGATTTCACCATGAGTTCCTCGGAGGAGAACTTTGATCTCGACAATATCTCTGATTCCGGTTCGGACACGGAGGGGTATGAACCAGCGCCGAAGAAAATTACAAAGGCAGCCCCCAAGACGAAGGCAGCTCCCAAGGCGACGTCGGCTCCCAAGGCGAAGGCGGCTCCTAAGGCCCCCACGAAACCAAGAGCACCGAAGAAGGTGTTAGTCGACAAGAATGATAATGCAGATTCCGATGGAGATCAAGACAGTGACGACGGCCGCGACAATCGCGCCGGTCCAAGTGCTGCGTCGGTTGAGCCTACTGCCGCCAATGGGAAGAAGAAGACCGCGTCGGAGATGTACACCAAGGTCGGAGAAGCGATCAGTTTCTGTGTTCCGGGAAAGCTGATACGTTCGTAGCTTTCCCAATTGGAGCACATCCTGAAGCGACCGGATTCGTATATTGGCAGCGTCGAGACTATCACACAAGCAATGTGGGCTTGGGACTCGGAGAGGAAGCTCATGGTGCATAGGGACATTAAGTATGTTCCTGGTTTCTTCAAGATTGTTGACGAAATCCTCGTAAACGCTGCCGATAACAAGGTACGGGTCTGTTTCGTTCCATTGGCGACTCGCTAACACCGTGATAGATCAACGATACAAGCATGGATGCCATCAAGGTAACTATCGACGCGGAAAACAACGTCATCTCGGTATACAACAACGGACGCGGTATCCCAATTGTGATGCACGAGAAGGAGAAGATGTACATCCCGGAGCTTATTTTCGGCCATTTGCTATCGTCATCGAACTACGATGACGACGAGAGGAAGCTCACGGGTGGGCGTAACGGATACGGTGCCAAGCTCGCCAACATATACTCCGTGGAGTTCACGGTCGAGACTGCCGACAAGAAGACGAGCCAGAAATACGTGCAGACGTGGACAGACAACATGACCAAGATGAGCAAGGCGAAAATTACGAAGAACTCACGCAATGAGGAATACACGCGTGTCACGTTCAAGCCGGACTTGAGGCGTTTCGGGATGGACACGATCGACGAGGATACAGTTGCGTTGCTGAAGAAGCGCGTGCATGATCTCGCGGGCACCGTCAAGGACATCAAGGTGTTCCTGAATGATGAGCGGCTGAAGATCAAGAATTTCAAGCAGTATGTCGAGCTCTACCTCAATTCGGCGTTGGAGCAAGCCGCCGACGCTTCGGGCGGGGCGGTGCAGGCGAAGCCCACACTCATCTACGAGCAACCCGACCCTCGGTGGGAGGTCGCGTTTGCGGTCTCGGAGGGCACATTCCAACAGGTCTCGTTTGCGAACTCTATTTCGACTGTGAAGGGTGGCACGCATGTCACGCTCATCGCCGACCAGATTGCCAAGTCTCTCATCAGCTCTATCACGAAAAAGAACAAGGCGGCGACAGTCAAGCCCGCACAGATCAAGAACCACATGTGGATCTTCGTGAATGCGCTGATTGAGAACCCGACATTCGACAGTCAGACAAAGGAGACGTTGACGCTCCCCGCCAGTAAATTTGGCACAAAGCCTGCCCTTTCTGAAGACTTTATGAAGAAAAGTTTGTGATCATACATTTGTTTCGTAATCTTGTTTCTCATCTCTGCACAGTCCAAAAGTCTTCCATCGTCGATCATGTGCTCAATTGGGCGAAGTTCAAGGCCGACCAACAAATGAAGAAGACTGACGGTAGCCGACGCAACAGGTGATATTTTACGATTATTTGTTGATTGTGTCAAAGCTTAGCGTGTGCCCTACAGGCTGTCCGGCCTTCCAAAGCTCTGTGATGCTAACAACGCTGGGACGAAGAAAGCCGGTGATTGTACACTCATCCTTACGGAGGGAGACTCTGCCAAGTCACTCGCGGTCGCTGGCCTGGCTGTTGTTGGCCGTGATAATTACGGTGTCTTTCCACTGCGTGGTAAGATGCTCAATGTGCGAGACGCGAAGCATGACCAGATCATGAAGAACGAGGAGATTCAAAATATCAAGAAGATCTTGGGTCTGCAACATAACAAGGACTACAAAGATGTGAACAGTTTGCGGTATGGACACCTCATGATTATGACGGATCAGGTATGTAGAGGTCGGATTTGCTCGTATGACGGTGCCGCTGAACGTTGTCTATAGGATCACGATGGCTCACACATCAAGGGCTTGCTCATTAATTATCTAGATCATTTTTATCCGTCCTTGCTTAAGATTCCCAGCTTCTTGGTAGAGTTCATCACCCCCATCATCCGAGTACGTTGCGTCCGAAGCTCCATCTCACTTCAAGACTGACAGACATCTCTAGGTGAAGAAGGGTAACCAGAAGATTGACTTCTACACACTTCCGGAGTACGAGCAATGGCTAGAGGAAACGCCGGGGGCTCTTAGATGGATTCCCAAGTACTTCAAGGTTAGTGTTTCGATATTAGCCATTGCCGTCTAAACACAACGTCTTTTCTGCAGGGTCTGGGAACGAGCACTGACGCAGATGGACGCGAGTACTTCCGCAAGATGGGCAAACACATGATTCCTTTCGGTACCACTGAAGAGGGCGATCGCGAGCTCATTGAGCTGGCGTTCAGCAAGAAGAAGGCAGATGATCGCAAGGAATGGCTTCGTCAGTTTAAGGTATGCCGTCAGTCGTGGGCAGTGTCCTTCCCGTTAGCTCAGCGATCGTGCAGCCCGGTACTTATATCGACCACACCATGGGCGAAATCCCGTACTCAGACTTCATCAACAAGGAACTGATTCTCTTCTCGATGGCGGACAATATTCGTTCCATTCCGTCCGTCGCGGATGGACTAAAGCCGGGTCAGAGAAAAGTTGTATGGGCTTGTTTCAAGCGCAAGCTCAAGGAGGAAATCAAGGTTGGTTCTGTGTCGTCGAGCAAACCAGTCCATTACTTACTCTGAAACCACAGGTTGCCCAACTTACAGGATACATATCCGAGCATTCAGCATACCATCACGGAGAACAGAGTTTGGTGATGACGATCGTTAACCTGGCGCAGAACTTTGTCGGTAGCAACAATATGAACTTGCTCATGCCGAATGGACAATTCGGTACGCGGGACCAGGGGGGGAAGGACCACGCGTCCGCGAGGTATATCTTCACAGAGTTGTCCCCGATTACTCGGGCGGTTCTGCACTCCGCGGATGATCCCCTCATGGCCTACCTCACGGATGACGGCAAGTCGATCGAACCGGAGTGGTATCTCCCTGTGGTTCCCCTGGTGCTGATGAACGGAGCCGAGGGCATCGGAACTGGTAAGACTGGCTAAAATATTTACGCCATTCGTCATGCTGACGCTGCGAGTTAGGCTGGAGCACGACCATCCCCAGCTACAATCCGGAAGATATCGTCGCAAACATCCGCCGCTTGATGAACGGTGAGGAGCAGATACCTATGCTACCTTGGTGGCGGGGTTTCCAGGGCACTATCAAGAAGGTCGGCGAACACAAGTACGACGTGCTCGGTAACGTCAACAAAATCGACGACTCGACCATTGAAGTCACGGAATTGCCAATCCACAAGTGGACGCAGTCCTACAAAGCAGAGCTGGAAGCTATGTGTGGCGAGAAGGGGGACGGTGTGATCAAAGTCTGTCTGCTGGGCATTGATCGTCTGTCTTCCTGGTCTAATACTTATTTCTATCAGGACTACAAAGAATACCATGGAAACGTGAACGTCCACTTTGTCATCAGCATGGATCCTAAAAACGTGGAGAAGGCGGAAGCGCAAGGTTTGCACGAGTTCTTCAAACTTACCACTAAGATCAACACCAGCAACATGATTTGCTTCGATTTCGACGGAAAGATTAGGAAATACGGCTCTCCGGAGGAGATCATCGAAGAGTTTTATCCCAAGCGCCTGGCTTATTATCAGAAGCGGAAGGTGACTGACCATTTTCAATTGACATACTGAGGATCCCTCAAAGTGACATCTGTTTTCAGGACTTCCTGGCGAACGAATTGCAGACCCAGCTCGAGCGTCTCAATAACCAGGCCCGTTTCGTGCAGATGATAGTAGACAAGGAGTTGGTCGTCTCGAATCGCAAGAAGGCAGACATCGTCACTGAGCTGCGCAAGAAGCAGTTCCGTCCGTTCCCCAAAGTCGCCAAGGCGAAGGCTGCTGGAGAAGACGAGGAAGCTTTGGAGGACGAAGACGACGACACTGCGGGAACTGCTAACACCAGTGATTACGACTACCTGCTCGGGATGCCGATCTACAGTTTAACCAGGGAAAAGGTTGGGATTTGATCTGGTGCTTGCGGGTTCAAAACTCAAGTGTGATTTATTGTATAGATCGAGAAGCTGCGTCAACAGGGCAAGGACAAGGAGACTGAGCTTTTGACTTTACTGGAGCTCACGCCTGTACAAATCTGGCAGACTGATCTGGACAAGTTCCTTGCTGAGTGGAAGGTGAGAGGAGCACCAGCATCTTGCTGTTGCTCATGACTGAAGCCTCTATCCAGCTCACATGCGACGCATGGGAGGCAGATGCGTCCGCTGCCGTCATCGGCAAGGGCAAAGGCAAACGCAAGCAGGCCACTCTCAAGGCGTTCAAGAAGAAAGTGGGCGATGACGATGAATTCGACGATGACTTCAAGCCCACGAAGGCCGCCGCTAAGTCTAAGAAGGTCGCAGAACCTAAGACTGCAAAGAAACCTGCGCAGGCCGGTCCGTCTGGCGCGAAGATCGAAGTGGAGGACGATGACGATCTGCCACCACTTCCGAAGAAAGCTGCGAACAAAGCACCGACGAAGACTAAGGTCGAATCCGACATCGAGATGTCGGAGGAACCGGCTGCTGCGCCAAAGAAGCGAGCAGCTAAGGAGGACTCAGATTCTGATATCGAGATCGTGCCAATGGGCAAAGGCAAGGGGAGAGCTGCTCCTGCTAAGCGCAAAAGGTTGGGTTCATCTCTCTGTCCACGTGTCTCTCGCTGACGGACTCAAGTTCGTCTAGTCCCGAAATCGATGAGGATGATTCAGACGACGACATCGCAATGAAGCCGGCCAAGAAGAAGAAATCTGACTCCGCTCAGGCTGCGATGACAGACTTCTTTGACAAGGTACCTGCAGCAGCGGCTAAGAAACCTACCGCACGCAAACCTTCGTCAAGTGCACCGGCTGGCGCGACGAAGGGCCGTGCTGCATCGGGTACAAAGAAGGCTACGAAGAAGGTAATCGAGAGCGACGGAGAGGATGTGGTGATGGACGATGAGGAACCGCTGGCCCGACCTCCACCAGCTAAATCGATGGCGCGCAAAGCCTCCAGCGCTGCTAGTGCGAACAAAGCCGTGGAGAGCGATGACGACATCATCACCATCGACGAAGACGAGCCTCCTGTCAAGAAATCCGCTGCTCGCAAGCCGCCATCCATCAAGCAGGCTGGTAAGGCGAAAGCTGTGCCTGTCAAGAAGGCGAAACGGATTGCCGACAGTGAAGACGAGGATGCATTCATGAACGAGGACGATGTGGTGGAGGTGGTGCCCAAGCGGACTGAAGCACCAAAACGCGCGGCGCGGGCTGCGACGAAGAGTAGTTATGTGGAGATTGCTTCGTCTGATGGTGAAGAGGTGCAGGATGGTTCCGAGTTTGAAGACTTTGACTGAAATTGCGTCATTGCCGATCTTTCTTTCTGCCTCTGACGGTGATGCTCTTTATCGCATTTGTTGTTACACTTATTCTCAGCATTGATGTCAATCCTTCATGAACACTAACTGTATCTCGTTCTACAATGCAATGACTCGAACATATGCAATGTCATATCGAACTTGAGGACTTGCCATTTGGGGTATAGATCTCCCTATAGTACTGCCAAGAACCGTTGCATGCTACGCCCCAGCACATGATTGAAATAAACCGACCCAGTATCACCCGGGGCGGGGGTCGGGAGGCGGAAAACCAGAAGGTAGAGATTGAAAAAGACCGACTCGTGTCACCGTCATCGCGGACATGAGAACAACAGTATTTGAACGGAAGTCCGAAGCACCACGATGTGTCAAGATTATTAGAGTACAGGATGACAACGATGCTACAGCACAGTCAAGAGAGGGTATATGCAACGAAACCGAAGGAGCGGCGGGTATGGCAGTATGCATGCGCAAGGGGTATCTAGAGTACTTTAGAATTAATGGCAGAACGACCAGAGCCGCCCTGTTCAACGAGTGAATAACTCATGTCGCCTAGGGTACAGCACGGGGAGATGTGTAACTTTTTCGTCATGGTTATTGGTATTTATCCTTGTATATCCAGGCGAGGCCAATGTCACTCGCGCCTTGCGCGACCTGCAAAAGAACACAGACGGGGTCACAAGTGATAAAAAATTTGAGGTTGTGCAGTGTATACTTACAGCTGCCCGGTACCATTGTGCTGCCTCTCGCATATCCTTCTTACACCCCTTCCCATTGGCGAGACAAAAAGCGAGTTCCTGCTGAGCATCCGGATCTCCCATGCGCGCCGCCAAGCGGAAATAGCTCTGATGCATGGGTGAGCATACAAACTGAGCAACGTGGACGGAATTGGAGACACACCACCCCCATCTTCTTATCCTTCTCCACGCCCCACCCTCGATAAAAGCTTTGACCCACTTCATAAACCGCGATAACTAACTCAGACTAGAGCGAATAATCAGCACTGAACAAGAAGGACCACAACCGAGCGCACCTTCACAGCACCGATGTTGATGCCCTGCCTAGACCCCTCCAAATCGACCATGGCCGCCTCTGCTGCGCGTCGCAGCCAGCGGAACCCTGCGCGCTCGCTCTTCTCGCAGCCCCAGCCATGCCGCTGCGCGAGCCCCCACATGAGCATCCCTACGTTGCATCCGCCGCCCGCCGTCGCGCTCTTCTCAAAACACGCGGCGGACTCTACTAACCGGTTCTCTTCGTGGTGCTTGATACCCAGCTGCAGGTATTCCTGCGCTGTCGTAGGCTTCGGCGGAGGCGCGGCGGGCGGAGGCGCGAGCACAGCGACAACGGGTGGACGTTGCGGTTGTGCGGACGCAACAGACAGTTGATGTGATTGTGCGGGCGCGTACGGTGTCGGGCCGAGCGTTGAGGACGCACCGGATGCCGGAGGATGTCCTACGGCGTCCAATGGGTAGTAGGAGTACGAGGAATACACGCTTGTGGGGGAAGCCGAGCGTGCAGGCGCGCCAGGGACGTCCGTAGCCTGCTTGAGCCCGTGAGGGGCGGAAGGCGATGGATGTTGGTGTCTCATGAGCACCTCCCGCTTGCGCTCTTCTGACCTGTCTACAAGGGGAAGGCCTGGCCTGGAGAAATTGATGTTGCCCGAAGACTGTACACGCGAGGGCGCGCGCCCCGCACGCGTCCCATTGCACACCGTCGCATATGCCACCTCATTGTCCTCGTTTGGAGATACGACGACGGTCGGGACTGGTTGCGGCTGCGATGGCGCGCCTTGCTTGATGTCGGACGAGCGCCAGGAGTCGCGGTAGCGAGCAGTGATGTCGTCCAAGTCGAAGCTAGACGCGACGGACTCGTGCGGCGCCCGACGTTCTGGGAACGCCTCGTCGCGTGCGCTCCACGAAGCCATCGACCGCGCATCGCTAGCGATTGTCTCATAGTCGTTGAACGTCGTCGTCGACGTTCGAAAGCGGGTGTGCAGCAGTGGCGATTGCTGTGCGCTTCCTGGCACGCCGTCTATCCTTGGGGGCGTCGAGGGTGCCGATACAGTCAGATTTGCGTGTGCTTTAGCTTTTGCTCTGCGAGAAGATGCGCGGCGAACGAGGGAATCAAGAGGAGAGGCGTGTCGGATTGGTGTGCGCTCCATATGCTGAGACTCGGATTGTGGTAAACTGTAAGTGTCAACGCCAGACAAAGTCTGCATACATGCAGACGGCCAGGACCTGCAAGGTTAATCAGGAAACTTTCATTGTACCAGACAGAGGTGATAGTCGAGAGACAAGGTTACAACTGCGGGGACCGGCCGTCGTCGTCGCAGCGACGCAGTCGGTTGCGACGGATGCAGATGCGGTGACACAGGGTGACATGCCTCTCCAGTCTGAAATATATGCACCTGCACCTCGAGTCACACAGCTAGCCAAGTTTCTTCGTTAGTTTCCTTTTCTCGTTCCTACTGCCAGTTAATTCACTACAATCTCGAGAGTTGATGTTCTGACACCGAGTTTGACAAAACCGTCAATCGGCTGCCAGGTAGACCTTGCAAGCCAAAAATTAGACAAACGTTTCAGATAAAACGTCACCTACGCGGACAAAAAAGGCTCAGAATGTAGGGGAAATTAAAACGAGGGTGCAGACACGTGAGGAGGGCAATAGATGAAGCTAGCTGAAGGTTGAATATTTGAATTTCCACACTTCCTTGTCTTTGTCCACCACTTGTCGAGTCCCCGGTTATGATGCGGATCTTTCGATTTCTCAGTTCTACATCGCGAGGCTCATTGAACGCGCGCCCCATTGTGTAGTCATGAATTTGCAGGTTCAGGGCCGAGACCGCGTTCATTCGAGTTCCGGTAGTAAGAGTTATTCTTCTCTCGTCGCGCACCCGGGCCGTTGTTCATCCATCTTTGTGTTCTCGTCCATACGTTGAAGCAGTCCACGAACTCGGCATTCCATAAAACGTGTCATGCCCGCGGAGTAGACTGGTATTCTATATTTCTTGACCACGAACAAGCGATCCTATCGGCATCTTCTGTATCTCCAGAAAGTCTAGCCGAATAGGCTATGAAGAGAGAACAGGAGATATTTGCTCAAGCAACGATCCGTTATATGGCCCACCTGGTTTTTGGCTGTCGTGCCTGCCCGTCCCTTTGGACAAGCATCCACCTCGCGTGGGATCCACCTCGTGTGCGCCACTTCTTCGAGCTATCAGCGGACATGCTGGTGGACGTGTACTCCATGTTGGAAATCGACGTCGAGGATGTCGTTCAGGTGATCTCCTCATACGCAGACTGTATCCGCGGTTTTGAGTACGGAGATGAGGACATGGAAAACGTTCACGAGATGATAACCTCGCTTGGTTTCATGCTCCCAAACCTGCAGATGCTCGACTTGAATTCGTTCATGAGCACGGACGAGCCTTTTCGTTGTTGTTTTCCCTTCTCCACCCACTCAAAACAACAGGATTTTCCTTCGCTTTATATCGACTATATTTGCAAATCTGGTCCGACACTCCAGTTTAGAAGTGAACTAAGTGTCCTCTAATGTCCGGAAATGCAAGAAATCCTGAAGGGATTGGAGTCCTGCCCAAGCCTTGAGAAGTTAACTTTCCATAGGTCCTTACCATACCCAGAAATCAGATCTCGTCTGATTTGCGCATTTGCGTTACCAAGGCTCAAATTTATAGTCCTGAACGACAATACGGACTGCATAGGGTGGTTCTGCTCTCATCTTGCTCTCCCTGTGACTGCCAGCGTTTCATTGCGCTGTCAGCTGTTCACCACCGTCGAGCGGTTCATGTCCCCTCACATTTTTCCATTTTACGATCGCTCAACACTGCCAGTCTATTCGCGAATCCAATGCATCATGTTCGCTGCATCAGACCAATATAACAACGTACACCTCCACGCTTATCCTAACTCAGAATTGCAGGGCGACCCTTTGGTGCGCATACAGATACCTCCCAGACCCGCAAGGGCATCAGTCACCGCCTCGCCAATATTCTGGACCAATATGGTGACGAGGGTGTTTTTTCTGCATCGCCGGTTGTCAGATTTGCCGTCGTCGGGAAATCGCACGAAGGAGACAAAATCCGCAGATACAATGAGAACGTTATCCTGAAGACTTATCTCTGGCGCTGGGCTCTCCTTCGCCTTCCTCTCCTTGAGTACCTCGAAGTGACAGGCGAAGAGGACGTCGAGCTGCTCTGAGCGAGTTCCCGATACCAGGTCTAGAGGTAGTGCTCTGCTCTCACCTGAAGACGTTGAGCGTGGAGGGGTATCACGGCGAGAAGACGAGGAAGACTCTACAAGCGGCGCTGGAATTCCGTGCGGTGCATGGCGGCCGTCTGAGGACGTTGGCCCTTTCGTTGTATACTTGGGAACTTGAATTGAACGGGCCGCCAAGGTATCTGGAGACACTCAGTACCTTGGTTGACGAGTTGGTTATTCATTCTCCTCTGGTGCCGAATGACTCGGGTTGAGTACTCTAAATGTTTCCAGGTTCATATGATATCTCAGTGAGATACATACATGTTATCGCAGAGGGCTCCGATTTCATAGAGTAAGAACCCATAGCTCGCTGAGTGTGAACGAATCACGCAGTTAACGGACGACGCCTGTGCACGATATATTTATTACTCACTGCCCGTGTTTCGCAAGAAAGCGGGATGTTCCATTGAGGGTGCTGTACATGTAGTCACTAATACCGCCTTTCAAGAACATGTTCGGAAGCAGATCTTCCATCTCACTCATCTTATCTTATCGGCATTCTGTCGATCATCGTGCGCTGTCGCCCAGTTACACATCTTAGACAAAGAACTCAGGGAAAGTCCTAGTAAGCCGCCATCTACTAGAATGGTAGCATTCCGAGTTAAAGTGTGACGATATACGGTGAGCACTTTAAACAGATCAAAGATCTTCACTGGCCAAAGAATGCAGAGCGTGTATTTCTTCGAGTTCGCGGTTGTTCAGAAAACTGACGAACATTTCTTGGACAAGGGCCTCGCTGTCAGCTGATGGAAAATCCCAGAACCATGCACGAGATCATAAGCTAACCATGTTACGACGCGCAGCGCACAGACACGTGGGGAAGACAATGGACAAGTGAGAGTCACGCCCTCGCCCCTCCTTGCCTTTGTCCCTCGTTGACTCCCCTGCTACGGTGAGTGTCTTGCTACTGTTGAGTTCAACGCCGCTTTTCTCACCATACGCGCAAGTGTGCACTATAGTTGCGAATACTTTCTTTGAGGATTGAGAACGCATTCAGTCAATCTTGGGTGGTTAGTCTTGCGAGTTTCTCTGGCATATCGCTGCCGATCCCAGTAACCACTGACGTGCTCACAAATGCTGAATTAGTCTACCCACCTGTTATCTCCTGGAACGAATCATGGCCGCGGGACAACCGGAAATGGATTGGTACACCGCTTTCATTGAACAGGAACAAGCAAGCCGAGCAGGGTCTCTTGTATCCTCAGAAGGGATAATAGAACGGGCGATGAAAAGAGAACGGGCGATTGCTAACGCCGCGACCCGCTATATAGCCCACCCCCGGGCGATTCTCAACTCGCAGGTGCCCGTCAATGCCCTCCCTAATGAATTGCTTGCAGAAATCTTCGTGGATGTTCAGCGCGAGGACTTGTCGTTGTCGTGCCTGCAGATGACCGGTGTTTGTCGGCATTGGCGAGCACTGGCTACTGCTACGGCCGCCCTTTGGACGAACATCGACCTCTCATGGCATCCGGCTTGTGTGCGTCATTTCTTCGAGCTGTCAGCGGACATGCCGGTGGACGTGTACTCCATGTCGGAACTCGAAGTCGATGATGTAGTCGAGATGATTTCGCCATACACACACCGTATCCGCGGTTTTGTGTATGGACTCGGAGACGAAGAGGCGGACAACGTTTCCGAGATGATAACCTCGCTTGGTTCCGTGCTCCCCAACCTGCAGACTCTTGAGTTGGATTCGCCTGATGACTCGCTCGAGCCTTTTGGTGGTCATTTTCCCCTTCTCCGTTCCCTCAAAACAACAGGATTTTCCTTCTGGTTTATATCGGGGATGCTCGTAAATCTCGTCGAGTTGGAGATAAATGAGGTGCCGACCCGTCCGGAAATGATGAAATTGCTACAGGGACTAGCGGCTTGTCCCTGCCTCGAGCGTTTGAGCTTGAGTAGTTCCTTACCGCAGCAGGATATGAATGCTCAAGCTTCTCTCGTTGGCCCAGTTTCGTTACCCAGGCTCAAGTTGTTTGACATCTTCGACGACGTGATGTACATCGCGCGATTCTGTGCATATCTCGCGCTTCCTGCTGGTACCTGCGTTTCACTGCACTGTCGTGCATTCCGGTACTTGGCTACCACTAACCGTCTTGAGCTTGAGCCCCACCATATCGTTGTACCCCGTTATGATCATTCCAAATGGCCGGTTTATTCCAAAGTTCAGTCCATCAGGCTCTCTGCAACTTCTAAAGACGATTGGACACAGCTTCATGCTTACCCTGATCCCGACTTGAGGGGCTACCCTTCGATACTCATGCATTTTCCTCACGAGACTCACAAGACCATGGCACATTGCTTCGTTGATGTCTTGAATCAATGCGGGGATGTCTTCTCTGCGTCGCCTGTTGTCAGATTCGTCGTCGTAGGTGAACCGGATGACCGCACGTGGTGCTACGGAGACGAGCCTGAGGTTCTTCTGTCCGCCAACGTCTGGCGCATGGCGCTTCTCTGCCTTCCGCGTCTCGAGCACCTCGAAGTACGAGGTAGGGACGACGTCGAGCTACTCTTCGAGGCCCTTGGCCCGTTTCCAACAGCAGATGCGGAGATAATCTGCCCGCACCTCAAGACGTTGAGCGTGGGGGTTTGTAGTAGACAAAGGGCGAGGAAGATGCTCCAGGATGCTTTGGGTTTCCGTGCGTCTCGTGGCAGCCGGCTGGGGACGCTTACTCTTCCGTTGCATACCGGGGCGTGGAATGGGCGGTCGAGGTATCTGGAGGCATTCAGCCCTTTGGTTGACAACTTAAATGTTCGTCCTAGGGAGTAGAATGCCTCTGGGAAGTAGGATCGTGGGCGTGAATGGGTAACTAGCACGTTTCCGTATGCATATGTAGTATCTAGACTGGACAGGACGTCTACTATGAATTGGAACGATAGGTACCACGGGAACGTCGAAGCTGCAATGAAGACCCAATGAAGATGCAGTGTCGCTTCTGACAAGCCCGATTTTGCAGAGAATTTCGATAACATCGAGCAAGGGTGAGGCCTTGAGGAAGCAGTGCAGGAACTATGCGTAAACGACAGCAGTCATTGGGCGACATATCTGCAAAGCAGAGACTTAGAGGACTCACTGAGCCGCAGATAAAGCACAAAAATGTCCATGTAATCCCGGACGTCCTTGCAGAGTATGCTGTTTGAACTAGCACAGCTAATCTCCTTGCCAATCGGTAAAAATGATAACACCACAGATATCCATGTCATACCTCAAGGCATGCAATCATGCATACAGGCTATCATCACTATCCAACGAGCCCAATCCAATGCCCAACCCCGCCCGCGCCTCTGCCGTAGAAATCAACCTCCATGGCACAAGAATCTGCCCAACATAACGCCCGTTCGCACTCTCATCCGTGCGATCATTGCCAATGCGATACTCCTCAGCGTTCACGAGGAGGATGTTGAGCTGCTTGTCCGTTCCGACAAATGTCCCGAGGAAGATGCGGCCGTCGAGGATCCGAATGCGAAGGGCCTGGCGTAGAAGAGATTTAAGTTGTTTTATTGAGGGTGGGGTAGCCGAAGACATCCTCAAGTTTGGCCGTGAACTTGAGGCTACAACGCAGTGAGGACGTAGGCTCATAGATACAGCCTCTAGTTACCTGCAGGAAGACAGTCGTTCCTTTGTAATAGAGGCTGAGATCATTACCGATGACCCGCTGAGAAGTCCCCCGTGGGAAACCGGACTTTGAACGATGCCGACGGCAATTCGACGCACGAATCTTTAGCGCTCAAGTCGCGTGCAGCCACAGGCGCGTCTTACCTGTGTACAAGCTTCGCGTGCTGTAAAAAGTTCTCATGGCGACGGTGCTTCGTCAACGAAGAACCAGCAGACAAGACTCTTGACAGCTTGCTGCGACAGCAGGCTACGAACGCGTTTTGACCGGAGCATTTGAGGGCTCATGATGGCGAGACGAATGTCCTCTCCGCTGACAAGCTCGGCCAGAAGATCGCGATTGTTGTGGTATGCTTCTCTCATAGTGTCTTCGTTGATAGCCAGTGCACGAATTCCGCGGCTATTGGCCACAGTTTCCTATACTCAAGGTCAGAATGAAACTACTGTTGGTGTGCTTGTCAGCACGACAGTACCTGCTGCAATGCTAGCAATTTAGTAGGCACAATCATGAGAGCTATTCCTATCTTCATCTGGGCTTGTGCAGCCAGTAGCGGAGCATGCATAACCGTCGTCTTCCCCTGGCCCGGCATGATGACGAGGAACAGATCCTTGCCGCGGATGAGGTCCATGCCATGGCATAGCTGAAAATCGCGAACCGAGGGAACTCCGCACTTCTGAATGATCAGTGACTCGAGCCATTCTGAAGAGCCTTCTGCAGGTATGATGGACATAGAGAACGGTGTGGATTACAGCTACGTAGCATACATACAGAGTTGACGCGACTGACATCTCTGCCACCGACGCGTTTTGGGAATTATAGTTTAGTGCCGATGACGCAGCCGTCCCTTCCGCTGTCTGGCATGTAGCTCAAAAACTCCCACGGGGGACTTCTCAGTGGGCTCCCGGATAATGATCCTACACCGCAAAACCAAGCTGATGTTGGCGCGACAGGCGGTCTATGGAGCAGACAATGCTCAAGTCAGATTGTTCAATCGAGGTGGTTGGGTAGCTCAATAGGATATTCAGAGGCTCGAGGCTGCTTTGATGTCGCACAAAAGTGTTGTACTGAGATTTTGAGTCAAGATTGGGTTGCCCCTGAGCCGTGACCCTTGTCTGACCTCGGTGCCGATGTCATTGCACTGTTCGGCTCTTATGTTGATAAACTCTTGCCTCTCAAGTCTCCAGCAGGCTTAACAGCACAGTCGGCATGATCATTTTGCTCAATAAATCTATGTTCTGTCTTAACATGTCAATCCTATATTATGCCCAATGTCCTTCAGTAATTATGACTGTCCATCTGCAAAGGTGACTTTTCTCCTGTAGCACCCATTTTCTACACAGCACACAGTAGACGGATCAAGTCCATGTAGTGCCATGTAGCATGCTGTAGCCATCACGGTGCTATGTAGCACCGCATAGGCAGGCCTACCGGCTGAGTGGAGGATCCGTCTCGGCAATGAAGCACCCGAATTCTGATTGGCTGGACAAGGATTGAGTGTCGATGCTTAGGGTGCTCGTGTACACTTTCAACTTAGGACGCAAGGTGTCAAGTCTCATGGTAAACAACCATACTGCTTTGCGCGAAGCATACAAAACATATGTGTATCTATGTAAGGATTGAGGTAAAATGACGTACACAGCTCCGTGACATTCTGAGTTGTCCAACGAGAATCCATCTCGCGACCGAAATTTGGTACGAGATGACAATTTCGAACAATGCGGTCGATGGAGATGATCTCCCCATACGGCTGATGCATGCGAGTTGACGGGCTGACAACAAACAACTCAGAATCAGGATCCATACGGCGGAGCGGTGTGAACCACTCGATGTATGCAAGTGGATGCTGTGCAAGCACAGGATAATGTTCAGGCAGTGCAAAGAGCACACGGATGTGTGCCACGCGGAGACCTTCCCATATGTCAGAACATCACAGACTCCAGGGCGGGGAATAACAAACCTTCTAATGGAGTTCCGGCCGTCACTGGATTGAACTCCCCAGTGCGAACAAGAGCGAAGTCAAGACGCGCATGCTGTGCAGTGCGTCGACCTTGAGCAGGAACTGGTGGAGATGCACGGACTACATTTTTGCAGTGACTAGGATTTGCTGCAGGGATTTGTGGTAGAGTGACAGATAGGCGAGCATAGAGGTTGAAAGAGTCGAAGAGATGGGGCTTGAAAGAACTGCCGTGGTCACGGAGGTAGATACCCAAGCAGTCTACAAAATGGGATGCATGGTGGTACAAGATGATATCGCTCGCTATAACACCTCGGAGAGCATGAGGGTGGTGCTTGGCAATCTTGTACTGAACCTGTAATGAAGTGCTCACATCGCGTGACATTTGGGTGGCTTCAATGGCTTCGGGATCTTTGCCATCTTCTGGGGCCAAGGACACCACGGGAGCAACCTGACCGTGATATCCACCGTTCTTGCACCAATTCAGATAGAGTGCGAAACGGTCGACTGCTTCCTGCTGTCGAAGCCAGATGACCATCTGATATAGATAGTCTTTGCGGTTGCTGGCCCGGTATGCATCCTTCGCATAGTCGATGTGAAGGCACTCCGGAGATTCAGTGTTGAACTCGTCCGCACTCCCAAACAGTTTGATCATTGCGACATAGTGTTTCATCGCATGGATCTTCGGTATGTTAAAATGGTCCTGGTTCCGAGCTCCAAGCTCTATGAAAATGTCCTTGTGAGCATGGAAGCCATCAAGAGCTTCTTGCAGGGCTGCCAATGTCTGAGTCGTGTGCGACTGGAGCGAGGCATAGTAAATGAAGTCGATCGTTGCCCAGACAGCTCGGATGATGCGTGGGTCTGCGCAACCCATGACTAAACCCAGAAAGACTTTTTCCATCTCCTTGTGCTCCACTCCTGTCCACTGCGAGACTCCCGATATGCCGTGATCAAAGTGACGAAGACCAGATATTTCACTCATAGAGCGGAAACGTGCATCGACTTCATCGGTACCCACAACCGCAGTACACCACTTCACCAGGTGGTCCTTGAACACACCTTTGTGTAGCTGGTGCAGCAAATCCGGAGTGAACCATTGGAAAATGTCCGAATATGGCAGATCTTGCCAGAAAGGTGGGTACACCGGCCGCAAACCAAGATCTTTGAATCAATGCTTTTGTTCGGGGCTTGGGTGATTCGCATCTAGCTGCGCAAGGAGCAACAAAGTCTCGGAGACTTCTCGTTGGGGATGAGTGTCATGTCCTCCCCGTTGCTCTGGGACAACCTTGCACATCGGACATCTATTTTCCATACAGCATGCGACCAGGCATTGTTCAGGATAATCCGCGACATACGAGGCAACAATGGGCCAAACAGACCGTAGTAATCCATCCGCACATGTCATCGTGACGCCAGTGTGTTCTGCTTCAGCCACTGATGCAAGCATAGCGCGCATGCAGTGGTGAAAGAGTCAGTACTTCACAATGGACCTAGTTTTATCACTGAAACAGTCTAGCTTGCCGACAGGAAGATATCCAATCAAGACCGTGGCATGAGAGGAGGCCTTGCGACGCACGTCCTTGGCGATGTTGCCGATGGTAAGATATACCGGCCAGGCACTTTTGTCTCCACGGAACTGTGATAACCTTGTCTTGTCGGACAACAGTATGACCGGTGCAATTGTGGCACCGGGAGGAAGGCGTTCCTGTGACCTGTCAGTGAGTTATGCAAAGACGTGTAGAAAAGGACTTCTTACCTGCAGGTTTGACCACCACTCCGCTGTCCACATCTCACTTGTGATCTGAACTTCACCATTTTCATCGGCAAACTGACGCTCCGGTGCGTACTTCATGACGTCTTCAAAAACAGGATTGTTGAAGAGCTCGCGGATGCACTCAAGTGGATCGCGGAACCACAGCTCTAGGTTTTCTGTCAGGACATTTCCGTCTTGATCAGGGAGATCCCCAGTGAGTTCAATATCCTCACACCTCCAGTCAACTCCGCTGGGTAGCGAGTCAACTGCGCTTAGCAAAGCATCTTTGTTATGATAGGAGGGATGGACGCGACTGCTGATCTGTGCTCATTTTGGTAAGTTCAACATCCACTTTGTCCCGTGGACAGATGGTTACATACGATAGGAAGCTTCAAGAAGTTCTCTGCCTGTGTATGTCCCACATTCTGGATGAGCCACTTCGCCAATTCCCACTCCTCATTGTTTTCGAATGGTCCGTATATTTCAGATCCTTGCAAAATCTGCTCATCGTGAATGCTCGTGAACAGTGTCTTCGACTCACCCAAAGACTGCCCTGCACCGGAGAAGACTTGAGCATAACGAGCCTGTGGATAGCTGGAGTCCTCGTCCAGAATCTCCTCCACCGACGGCCTGTGAGGTAGTGATGCATCTACATCTGCCTCCAACGGTACCTCAGGCTCAACATCGGCTTCAGCTACAGGAGCATAATCCTCTGCACCTGCATCGTGGTCCATATCGAGCATGTTGGACAATATGGTGAGCCCTTCTTCAGAAGCTGCAGAGGGGAGATGGTTTTCAGGAGTAGAAACAGTGTCTGCATTACTGTCAACACTCGACTGTTGATTCAGGTGTAAATTGGTCCACCATGAATTACGCCGCCATAAACATGCCGTTGCTTGGGCCTGGTGACACCGAACAGCAGTCCCAGTTTTAAAGGATGCTCTGCAGAACTGACAGATTGCCATAGGTCAAAGGAGTGTTGCAAAAGTGTCTGCAGATTTCCAGGACACCGCGGAGTTCTTCGCAACCGGCGAGCGCCGGTGTTTGCAAGTGATTGGAACCACTGGGCATTTTTCTAAAATTTCCGCACGCCCTTTTACTTCCTCTGTCTTACTCTCCATCATTGCAGCGAGGGAGGCCCACCATGGCTGATCCTCCCGACGATGTTTCTCAATTCCAGTCTCAAGAGCCTCCTGGTCCATCAGGCCGTGGGCACCGCCAGCCTCGCTCCACTACACGCCTTGAAGGTCACCGTATGTCTGCGCATTTTCTTCCTTCACTCAGATATGCTCACTGTATTATTTTGCAGTTGATTCTATTGCAAAATCGCAAGCACGACGTCAGCTATATGAAGCTCGCAAGCTGGCTCAGAAAAGCATGGATGTACCAGTCCAGTCGCTGCCGCAGAGTTACACTGGCATGCTTCCGATCTCTCTGTCTACTTTGATGGCCACAGAGGCCTCTCACGAGCAGGCCTTCATGCAGCAGATGTGGCAGCCACCCGATACCTCTACAGTTCAAGAGCCGCACAATATGTTTATGTCCAGCACGATGCCCGAAATTGCTCATCGCAATTTAGATAATTTTAATTTCGAGTCCCTTACATTTGATACTCTTGCCCAAGCTCATTCGTACACATATAACCCGTCAATCCCTTCCATTCACACTGCCCCTAATCAATTACTCCTTCAGCATGATGCATCAACAGCAATCACGTTGGATCAGAGTTTCGAACGCCAGGAACTAGCTCTGCACGTGCCCGGTTCCTCAAGGCCTTCTCCCGATGGTAATACCTGACTCAATCTCATTACCACTAGTGTGTCACTCAGCTCAATCATGCAGAACCCGGTGATGAATGTGCCATGACTACTCAATCTGATAGCCAACTTGTTGACCAGCCCCTTCCGCGTGGGATGCAGATGGTGCATGAGCCTCTTCGTTTCTTGTCCGTTGACTACTAGCTGATGTACAAAATACGAACTATTCTCTAGATCAGTTCGACCCCTGTATCCCTCCCAGTGCATCGTGTCAGTAAACACGGTCTTGTCCACCGCATTCCTGCACGCACGGCAAGTACTCCAAAACCCACTCAGACCCTCGTTCCTACTGCACGCAAGCCTCATTTAGTACGACGAGTCACGGGCTCCAGAGTTCAGCGACCCGCATTGGGTAACTCCGCAGCAATCAATACTTTGCAGCATATGGGCACTGTTACTGCACATACGCAGGACAGTCCCAGTCTCACGGCAAGTAAACATACAACATACCTCGCTGTTCTCATTGCTTATAGAATGTTAGACTGGCGCTGGGCAAAATGTGATGAGTACCCCGACCTCATCTAATGACGAATGTATCGAGGCGCTCGAGGACGATGACACTTCTGCTGAGGACGCAGAGGATCTCCCTCCCACGAAGAAGCCCAAAAAAACTCTGCGCGACCGCAGTGCACGTGGACTCACAGCGGAGCGCCATGCGATTATTGTCGTGGTGTACCAGCACTTCAAGCTCATGCTGTGCACAGAGGGTGCATATCCGGTGTCGGCAGATGAGGACAGGATGATAGCAGAAGCTTGGACTATAGCTTGTGGCGAGAAGGAAACCCCGGATGACCTGGTCCCCACCGAGCAGGAGCGCTTGTTGGTGAGTGCAGTAGTATGACAGTGCTTACTCTCATGTGTACTGAAGGCTACTTCGAAGGTGCGAACGCGTGCCACGCAAGTACGCAGTGCTCTCAAGAGTCTTGCACGGCAACTGCTGGAGAAGCACTACGGTTTCAAGCAGGGCCTTACTGCTGAAATCAAGGAGTACAACCGTGCCCTTGTGGCATTATTGAAGCCAAAGGTTGCATTCGCACATATAGTACGTTCACTCCTCACTCAGTATGCAAGCACTAATACCGACCTATATGTAATTCGGCAGGATCCACACAATCCGACGACGATGTGTCGTCACCCAATCATCGCGGAAATCATCACAAGGATGTGGTTCAAAGATGCCGAAGATGATGGTGTGCATCATCCCGAGTACTTCGAGAATGGCCTAGTGATGCTACTCGCCCTCGTCCTAACAGAGGTGAGTATCTTCATCCCTCTAACAAGCCTCTTACTCATATTATGATGGCCTCAGATTGAATGTGCCATTGATGAATGGGCTACGGGGATCCATCGTGCTGTCGAACTTCGCGCTCCGAAGTACAAGCAGAATTACGAAAGGCACCTCCAAGAGCTTCGCAAGTGGGAGAGGTACTCGAGTACGCGGTCGAAAGCCCCGCAGTGCATGCAAGATGACTTACTGAAGACACTCAGGTGCGTTATTGATCTTCTGTCCTCATGGACATTGTTGCTCAGTTCACATTTGCAGAGCGAATGCAGGTGTTTCGGATCAATCAAATAATTCCGCAGCTGAGGAGGATCTGTCTGACGATGACTTTGCTACGTACGAGATATGATCGCCCTCTGATGCTGGTCAATGTTTGTATTCCTGCGCTACTTAGCTACAGATTACTATATATGACATTGAATGGTGACATCATCTCGTATGTTTCGAATCTGCGATGTGTGCGGGCACGAGTTGTCGACCAGCTGACATCAGACCGAAATAAGTTGCAGCTGCTGACGTATCATTTGTGATCCTAAAGATAGATTTTCGACGGATCTACAGGTGGCTACGCGGCCCTATGAGCCTATTGTCCAACATCGCTACCAGTCTACACTGACCTACAGTAGGGAGACCAGTTCTACAGAGCTGCATATACAGGGGACTTGGCAACCGGACTCGTAGTTCCTAGCCGAGCTACATAGTCCTACGTAGACTTCTTGCAACTTCCAGATGTCCCCGGGTCGCTGAGCGGCTATCATCATTAGGCAACTCGCCTCTTTGCCTCTTCCTTGGTCTGCGCTCAATATCCATGTCAGTGTCAGATGTCTCGCTCTCATCCACATCCTCTGGTTCCACCTCCATGTCAGTTGTCAGACTGGGTCCCACATTTTGGACTTGTACTGATTGCGCTGTCTTCACTGCCTTGTTTCTTGCTCATGTTGCAGCTGCTTTTGCCCTGGTTTCGGATCGCTTCTTGTCTCTGTCCACCCGGAGAACTGTTGCCAGCTCAGCATGCCATTTCACACGGTCATCAACAAGTGCCTGTGGAGCAGTCAATGTCCGGGGGAGGCAGCGCTGCAGGAGATGACTATTGTGTAGTGCATGGGTATTGATGACGAAGTGATTGTCATCATTGTGAAATATTGTGCATGCAACTCGTCCAGTGAGCTCTCTTTCCTGAAGGATGGGACGTGATGCAGTTATTTGACAGGCACATGTACAACAATCATGTTGCACATTCAGTATAAACTGAATGGCCTACGCTGTTCTATTAGAGTGACTCCCTTGATACAACTGCATATAACTCACTTTGGATGGAACAACATGATATGTTTTATGAGTAGGTGAAGGTCGCCGCAAAATTGGCATACCTAGAGTGGAATGCAGTGAGTTACCTACAAGGAAGGTATCCAATATGACTATGGAAGATGCTAATGCATCTGAGACAGCATTGACAGTTAGAATCTCTGCTATATGTCCAATTATATTTGCTTGATTTTCCTGACATAAAGCAGTTAGTTAGGTATATTGAGCTGGACTGACTGAACAATGTACTTCTGATATTACAACCACCCATGCACCAACCTTACAAACATCCCCAGATTGAGCAACAACATGTATGGCATCACTCCATATGGAATTTGGGGTTAGGCCTAGTTCTGCATAGTTGTCTGCCATAAAAGCAAGAGTTTCTGAGATATGACAAGTCTTGCGCTTTTGCTGTGGATATATTTTGACCAATCCTGCAATAAAGGGCTTGTCGGGTGTCCAACCCAAATGATGCTGGATGATTGTTTGTCGTTTGAGCAATGATCGTACATCCTTGCCAGCTTGAACATGTAGATGATCTTGCAGCCAATATCCGCCACTGAGAATATGCTTAACACGATCTATATCAGCCAGTTTGTGAGCAATATCACGACTTGGGGCCTGGTGATTGCTCAAGACTGAGCACATGCGGAAGATCGCATTGAAACATTCAAAGATTTCTGTTGAAAATCGCACTGCAGGACCAAATCGCTGTATGTCGGCCAGAATGTGTTTTAGAACATGAAGCTTGCCTTTCACAAGGATTCGGGCAGGATCAAGATCATCAAATGCATCCAATGCATTATCAATCAAGATTTTTAGATCATCCTATAAAATGTAGAATATTTAGTATTGAATAATATGATCAAACAGATAATATTCACCAGATATTGTGCCATATTATCGATCTCTGGTATCCATAATACTGCACCAAGCTCACCCATTGCCTTCATAACCTTGAATTGTGAAGGGGATGCAATATCATGCACATGAAATGTTGCAGTCTGCATAATTGTCTTGAAGTGCTTGCCAATAAGACCATTGCGATACTGTATGATATAAGAGGCACGTATTGGTGGAATATTGAGTCCTTGAATATCTGTTGCCTGAAGTCGGAGTGTAAACAGATCCTGATTGGCTTCTGTCCATGATGTGTGAAGAGAATGCCAATAATACTTCACAAGGCCCAGTAATATGGTGTGAAGAAGCTCTACTGGAGTATCCTGGGTTGGATCAAGAGCTAAAATATATGTTAGTCTAATTACTAAACAGCTAACTTTGTGAAACTTACTTGAAATTGTTAGAAGAATATTAAATGGTTGAGCAGTCTCTGTTTTAAGCCATTCCGCAAGCTGATCAGCAATTGATTCAGATGAACGACCTGGTTCTGATGCTTTAATCTCGTGGGCCTTTTGAATAAGTTGTTCAATCCAATGTTGTGCAATCTTGTCTTTCACCCCTGATGCAGTTTGATGATCTGCAACCTTCTGTGCAACTCCAAAGGCGGCAAGTCTAAGTTGCTCAAGTATTGCTTCTTTGGTCTGTGTTGCATTTCGCAGTTCACCAGGCTACAAAGTTAAAACATTAGCCACATATATATCTCATTCAAATGATGCTTACTTCATGTAATGCATGATACCCTTCATCTGATTCTTGAACCTCATATGGACCTCCTACCTTACATCGTCGGCATTTGCAGTTAGCATTCATACCAATATGAGATGCTTCTTCGGCCTGCTGGGGATTATCTGCAGGCAAATCAGGCACAATTAACCTGACTCGTGTATGGCGATTGGTTGCAGCATTAAAACATCGAATTGGCTTTTTGTGTGTTTCTCTATAAGGCGACATATTAGTTTATAACTATTGCAAGTATAAATAAACATACTGTATAAGTGGCATGATTGCTTCAAATTGCTCTGGTGCAGAAGCATGCGGTGATGTAGATACAAACTTGACAAAATATTCCTGCTGAAGCAGTCGACCCGGCAAGTTTGAATTGACCATATAAACATTGACATGTTTTTGGTATTGTTTGGAGCGAGCACCTGAAACATCGTCTGCCCACAATGGAATAAAAATGGTTACCAAGTCCTCATCATCTGCAAGTTTACGGAGAGGATTGGGCATATTGCTTGCATACTGCTTGAATGGCTCTATAAAATATGTAACTTAGTAGTGCTAATAGACTAATATTAAGAGAAACTGACCCTCAAATACAATGGAAGCTTTTTCAAGAAGATCATAATAATTGTAGCAAAATTGTGAGAGTTGAATACTAACAAGCTCTGATGCTTCTTCAACATGCAGCTTCTAAATATGGCAAAAAAAATTGGTTAGTTACAGTTATTACAAATTATATTAACTCACATTATTATTCATTCTCTGTACTAAACGACAATCTCCATAAAGCTCTCCATGTCGTCGCATCCAGATAATAGGAATCACAAGCTGACCATTTTGAAGTTCATTAAGTTCATTAACATAGAACTGCTTGGACCCTGATGCCGAACGTGCAGCAGGAGTAAGTAGATCAAGAGGAACTTCTTTCCAACGTTCTGCCTGCCATGTTTCTGAAATTGGACCATCTGTAACCTCTGGCCAAATATTAATATATGGTGCCACTTGTGGATTTGCGAAGTCCTGCATGCCATCAATAAATGTGAGAGAATATTTAAGAGAAGTGTGACTTACCATGTGTATTATGTCACGAGGATCATTCACATAAAAGTGATTGCCAAGAGATGACTTTTGTGGAGAGGTGGTAACCCCACATAAAGTGCGTAGTTGATTTTGCATCTGACGAAAATCTTTGAAGGAAGGAACATTCTTAGCTCCAACTTCTCTCATAATCCATAAAATCATCTTGAGCTGACTGCTAGACAAACGTAGTCTCGGCAAATTGTCTAAAACATCGAGTAAAAACATCTATCATTCAAGTCAAAATGTTAAAATTACTACAAGGATTAAAATAAATATACACACAGTTTTGTTTCCATATGGAGCAAAGTCGTGATCTACAGGCACTCCTGTAAAGTGTTCGTGCATGTCATCTTCATCTCCTTCTTCACCATTCAGGCCTTATAATGCAAAGAATTAAGTAATGTCTCAATGCAAACCTGACTGTTCAACTTACCCAAGTTTTGAAATTCCTGAACTACATTTGAGACTGTTGCATCCTCCCCAATGCTATCAAATTCCTCCTCTTGCACCTGTAATGCAAGCTGCTCGTATTCCTGGCGTAATAATTCCTGATGTCTGGAATGAGCATTCATCTCAACTCCAGGATAGAATCTGGCCAGCTCTTCATCAGTGAAGATGGGCTCGCTGTCCAAAGAAATCCCATTGATATCTTCATGTTCATGAGATATGGTCATAGCAATGGATCCAGGTGATGTTTTTAGATATGATGCTGCATCTTGAAGTCTCGATGTTCCTGCCTGTAAGTATGGATGTTCGAGATCCCGTTGATCACGTTCAGCTCGTGCTTGCCTCTCATTCTGATGTGCCACATTGCCTGCATGAGAGGGTGAAGCCAGATGTCCTCTGAGAGACTTCCGACCTATCCAGTTTCCAAAACCGGAGGGATCACTCTCCTTGCAAATTCGACAGCGGACCTTTTTCGTTGCAGGGTCCTCATCAATATCTGTAAACTCATGAGAATGTGAATACATGTACTAAGTGATTGCACTCACAGTCAGGCAAATCCTGTGCTTTTCGTCCACGCATAGCAGAGTTCAGATGAAGTGCTGGAGATGGAAAGAATGTATATGTTCAGTGTCGATGTTGTTGAACTACCTGAATGTGGCGGTGTCACGACATTGTCACACTCTTGTTGTGACTGCACGTGCTTGGCGCTTAGTTCTGTGACTTTCAACAGCACCATGGCCACTTCAATATTTAAGGGCTCAATGCGGGATCCCTTTCCTCACTCGAACTTCTGTCTGTCCTTGCATCTTATGGCAAATATCCCCATTGATCCTGTCCTCTTGCGCGAGGAAGCTTCTGTGAATCCACCTTCTGTTCTCGACCTTATCACCGAGATCCAGGCAAACAACTCAACCGCACCGGCCACCCCACCCAGTCATGCATCATCTCCCGACCCAGAAGAGGAAGATCAAGCACAAGAACATCTCTCCAAAGACCAGCCACATGGTACGCGTCGGACTCGTGAGGAATATGAGGGTGAAAACACACGTTACGGTGAACGTCTCGATGCTGTTGAATTTGGGCAGCGTTTGAAGCGACTGTGAAACCTCACTCCTCACTCGGAGTCAGAGCTTGCACGTTTTGCAGAGGTATCATCACATTCTTCTCCTTCGCATAAGCCATTATAATGTGATTCCTGCCAGTCTCCACACCTCCTCCAACACACAATGTATACCTACGGTTTGCTGCTGGAATGCCGTGACTACCTTCAGAAACTGTCTCGGGACAGTGAGTACAAGATCCCCGATACATTGCGGGTGAGTCACCTATATTCAATGGCCGAGAGACTTTCGTCATTCATTTGCTGTTTGCTCATAGGCCACTTTGATGGACTACGCGCACACATACATCCTCTCTCCAACCATTGAGTCCTATCGCAAGGCTTCAAATCCTGGCAACATCTTAGTGAGTTGTCATTAATTTTGCCATGTTGCGATCTCACTGCTGTCCACAGGCTGCGATGCGGCACCTCAATATTGCACAAATTCCTCCTGAACAGGAGACCGGTCGGTGTGCCGTTATTCATACAGTCGTCGCGAAGGGTCTCACGGAGTGGCGGAACCACGTGAAAACTCAGGTGCGTCATTGTTGTCGCCTTCAACGGTGTCGGCCACCACATGGTGCACTGATTGAATTCTAGATTTCCATCTCCATCGACGCCAAATCCACCATTCGTAACCTTGCCGCGCTTGCCCATGCATGCATCAAGACTTGCAGCGTGCATCCGACCGTTGCGATGTACATCCGCCTCGCGTATATCGTGAGTCACAATAAATTTATACCTCCGCTCTCATTTACTCTTGTAATCCTATAGCGGCTCATTTTCGTGAAGTTTTCGGGGCTCAAGGAGGACGCATTCTGGAACAAGGTTGATTCGTCTATGAAGGAGATCCGTGAGCAGTACAGGACATCCGGAGCAATCTACGAGTGAGTACCATCATCCCACACTTGTGTTCTCACTCAACTTGCGTGAATAGTGCGTACCAGGCGGTCTACAGGAATGACAAGCTCACTTATGGTGAGCCCGACAACGCCATGTACCCGATCGCTCTTGCGACCTCCATTCCCGCGTTCATAAACGACCTGAATGCTGCTTCGAACAGCCGAGGGAATGAGTGATTGGTGCCGGGGTTTCAGAGGGCACGCGAGCCGGATATTATAGCTGATTGAACTGTACAATATCTTGAATATCATTGCATGGTGACAACCTTGCGACACATGGGAGATCCGGCTGGATGCAATGACAGAGAATTGACCGCGGCATCACCAACAAGCATCCTGACATACCTTGAGTTACAATCCAGCTAATGTTCGTGTAAGGCAACATATGGTATTCACGAAATAATTACGACAGCTCGAACAGTACTCGAAGACAAGGTAGCTACAATAACCTGACAATCGGCTGATGAGCTTGGTGCCAACATCGGACTGACTGCTGCTGCGGAGCCTGCTTCGTGACATCACATAACCTTGCAGAAGTCTATCCTCTCGAGCTCAACTCGAGCTACTCGTCAATTGACAATCATTAATTTGGAGTTTGGAAGCTTGCGACGACATCTCTTACTCGATAATTGACACTGGCTTCTCGATCCCTCGGATAGACCGGCGGCAACGTCACACCAATACCCTCAAGTTTCCGAGGTGTAGACTAGTGAGGACGGTGAAGTGTTGTTGTAGATCTTCCATCTCATCTTATCTTATCAGCGCCTGCCTCCATCCTTCTGCTTAGGAAAATTCCCAGTAGGATGCGAGACCCGCTATATTGGTAGCATGCTGTATCGAAGTTAGACGGGCCAGCCGTCGATGCCTACCTTCAGCGATGTAATCGCACCGTTGATCGTATGTTTGACAGTCACGTCTCGATAAATAAGAATTATCAGTCGCTCTGCGAGCAGAGCGCCTGATGCGAAGAGTATGGTATTCTCCAATGCTAGAGATACTTTTTAGACTTCTTGACTTCAACATATGGATCCTCCATAGGGATTCTACCGTATCTCGGCTCCTCAGTTTCTGAAAAAACAAGGCTCAGTACTAGCTCAAGCGGACATAAACCGGAGTACTCACTCAAGATGTCCTTGTAGAATCGTGACACCGTGTTGTCCCATACCTCTCGCCACATGTGCGCGCCCCCACCTCTGTTTCCGTCCAAGCCGTATTTCTCCGCAAACGCTCGGAAGTTAAAGCCCAACCTCTCCTCGTCCGAGGGAGCCGGGATGGAGATGCGCTCCGTGGGTGACTCCTGTGGCAAGAGGAGGACTACATAGCGGTGATATGGCGTACCCTGCTGTGGGTGAGGAGGGATATACCGAGTGTGGCTCGTCGTGAGCGGGATTGGCGAGGGAGATAATGCAGACAGCGCGATGTTAGGTCTGGAGGTAATCAACTTAGAGCAGTGGGAAGTACATATAGTAGAGAGTACGCACTGCATCCAATGTAAGTAGGCTTGGTACGACTGGCTCTCCGTATCCGGAACATCTGCAAATTCGCGTCACTGACAGTGGTTGATGAGAACTGACCTCTACTGCTCACCCAAGTCAACCATCAGCAGAGTGTACAGGCGGGTGTCAGTGTGAAACACGGTTGTGTAAAGTACTGGTTGCCTCCATGTCTAATGGAGTTGTCACTTGCCGTACGCGTACGCGAGACAGATAATACGCACCTGTTCCGGCAGCAGGAAGACACCAGGCTCCACCTTCTTATATTGACGCTTAGCACGATGACGGGTCCATCCACTCTTTGGTACATCAGGGAAGTTGAGACGGAGGTCGAGTGTAGGGTGCAGTGACGGGAGAAGGTCGGGAACAACATTCATCTGGTGAATACGCTCCATCTACCAAAAAAGTACACATCTTAACTAGCTTATGCGAGGGGATAGGAACCATGGACGCACCAGCAGATCCAGCACCCCATCTTCTCGCCACCTCTGCTCCAATAGATGTCTGTATATGAGTTTGTTCATGTCACCTATACCGACTCGTCAGCGCACTTCCACATCCACGATATGGGGACAAGACCAACCCATAGCGTTCCATGCCTTCCACCGAACATCGGGTAGGTTCGCCTCGCTCTGTATCTCCAGAATTTTCAGCTTCTCTCGCAACTCCTCCAACGCCTCGACATCGCGCTCCTCCTCGGGAACATTCTCCAAAGCCTCTACCTTTGTCTGCAGCTCCTTCAACTCCAGCTTGATCTGCGCGGAGTCTTGTTGAATGTACGCGAGTGCCTCATCATACACGGGCAGGACACCTTTCGCTATGGGTCTGTTCCACTCTCGCGGGTTCTTCGCGCTAATGGGCGGGCGACGCGTCGGCCATTTGCGATCCGTCTGGTTTACAGTACCCCTCGCCGACTCCTCCTTTGGCGATGCTGAGGCCGAAGCTTCCGCCGCCGCTGGCTTCGCCGGAGACGGTGAAGGTTCCGGTGTCGGTACAGCTGCCTGAGGTGGCGGTGGTGGTAGAGGGGTTACTGGTTCGGCAGAAGAAGAGGATTGGAGAGATGCATTTCCCCTGACTCCTGCAAAGCCGACGATGCTTCGGGGAAGTCTGCGTAGAGCCAGCATGTCGCCAGAGCGTTCACAAGTGAACAGCGCAGAAATTCACTGCGAAGACTGGGCTTATGTCAGCGGAAGATCAGGGAGACGACCCACTTTGGCAGGCGTTGTATTCAGCACTACACCCAGATAAGACAGCGGAACACACAACTTCCCCTCTCAAGAAACATAATACATTCTGTGGTAAATAAATAAACACGAGAAGTGAATCGAGAATCAGAATGAAAATCGCCGCGACAATCTCAAGCTAGCGGCTGAGGGGCACACTCACAGGCCTGCTTATTATTGAATATTGATTGATACTTAGCCTGAGCCGAATCCAAAAATTTGGAGTGTTACAGTGCTCATATTTTGCTCAATTGTACAGCAGACGCGTTCGTTTCTGCTCTCGATTCTCTCTTGGTTCTGGGTAGCAAAAAGTACATCTGGGATACCTCATGAGTCATGGGTAGTTCACCTCCGAGTCTGCGACCGTCTGAAACATGATCAATGTTAGATAGAATACTTCAACTTCTAGTGAAGGTTATCACGCAGTAGCGCACAAACTTGTAGAGTTGGATAATAAATGAACGCGGCCTAGGAACGAAGGTTTTCACAGCCGCCAGACTAGTCTTCGTCTATCCTCGTCCTAGGTCTTCCTCTATCTTCATCTACGCGTAATGCACATAGAAGAAATGACGATGCTATACCGAAAAGCGTCTAAGGATTCACGGTAGAACAGCGAGGCCACCGAAAATTTGAAGCGTGGAAGGTATCAGTTGACTTGATATCTCGTTCTGACAGCAGCTACGGCTGTGATTTCGAAGACAAATGGCACAAGGACGCAGGACCCCCCGCAATCCTCCACGAGCTCCGATCCCGCCGGGACCCATTTTCGGGGGTCGCGAGAGGCCCAATTTCGGGGATTTCGCCCCGAACTTCGCCGCCGGTCATTTTCGGGGAAATATGGGATCGAACCTCATATCCGGCAGAAAAACAGTTCAGAAATACTCTTGAGGCTCTTTATCGTTCTTCGGGCACCTCAGAGTAATATTAGTTCGTGTACAGACTCAGCAAGAAGAACTGTATATTAGGTTCTACTTTTTTGACCGAGGCAGTCTCGGTCCCTTCCTCATGATCGTTGTCTCCCCCTCGTTTGCGGCGCGCCGCAGCCTCAAGCTTGAATAATTCCGCGACCTTCGAGTTCAGCCGGGTCTTGATGTGGTCAACATCTTTCATCTGATGGTCCAAGGCAGCACTGGGCTGCAGTACTTCGAGTCTATGTTTGTGACTGGAGGGCTGTCGTGGGACTGGCCATTGCAAAAACTCGGAGACTTCCAATCTCGCGCAGGGCTTTAGAGCCTCCAGTATATGTGGGGGAGGTTGCATGTGGTCGAGTATCAAGGTCGGCAGGGTGTCATTCTGAGATGGAGGTGTCCTGTCACACTTCGCAACGATGTACACTTGCAAAAGAGCGAAAATTACTATTTCTGTATATTCGGATATATATTGATTGCAGTCGGGACTGTCGCTCATCGCTCGGTGTGAGAAAGAGTGGCGGGCGATGGTTTTACGCTGTACGAGACGCCATCAAGGCGGCAACCCCGGCAAACCGGTTGCGATTCTCTCCCTTTTCGGGGATTTTAGTATCGGACATTCAGCCGGACGGGCAGTTTCGGGGAACTTTGGCACATAACTTGGGCCGACTTTTGGGCCAATTTCGGGGGTCCAAGATCGGAGTTTCCGCCTGCGACGGGCCCAAATTCGGGGATTCAGGCATCGGAGCTCGTGGAGGATTGCGGGGGGTCCTAAGGACGCGTGGTGTCACGAAGTGTCACACAAATTCACGTGACCGAAACGCTATGGTGGCCACCGCTTCTCCGCCACCATTCGAAGCTTCCGCCAACACAAAGCACCCTGAGAGGTGGAATTCTTGAAGCGTGATATCTCAGAGAAGTGCTTTGTAGATGGCGCAATACATAAGCTCCAGAACGTCAGGCGATCTAACCACATAAGTAACCGACGCAGAAATGTGGCATCGCTTGTGATGGCTGAAAGGACAAACAAACGAGTCGCGCTTTGAACTGTCAGCCGCCACCTGTTTCTGAGTCACTAGATGACAACAGAAAGGCATAAATAGAGCGCTGAGCTCCACTCCACATCTTGAACTCGAACGTCCACCGTCCTCTCCTCACAACGCACCACTCACCTGTGCTCTCTTTCCTCGGTCACTCACTCTTGCACATTGCCTCTATCACCACTGCCCCGTCAACGTCTTCAGCCCGCGGGTGTGCTAAGCACAGATGGCCACGCAAGAGGTGCGTTTGTTGTTGTGGCCACGGCCGTGTCCGTTCCGCGCGCTGAGTCGTTGACACCGCCAGCTACTATAGCAAGACACGTCAAGCGCAAGAACAAGACAAGTAAGGAATGACAGATCAATATCAGCAACATCAGCAAGAATGCAGGCGGGTGGGTGGGCAAGACCCACGAAGACTGGCGACACTTGAAGACGGTTGTGGCGGGAGGGTGGTCAAGACCAACTGAAGACCAGGAGGACGACTGATGGACGTTCAAGTTGGGGCGGGTGGTGGCAAGACCAACTGAACGCAAGCGGACGGGTGGGTGGGCAAGATTAACGACGACTGACAACTTTCGCAGGTGGTTGGGGAGGGTGGTGGCCAAGACCAACTGAAGAGGCGGGCGGGCGGGCAAGACTAACGACGACTGACGGACTTTAGCAGGCGGTTGGGGCGGGTGGCGGGCAAGACCAACCGAAGATAACGTGGCGGGCGGGCGGGCAAATATGCAGGTGGTTGGGGCGGGTGGTGGGCAAGACCAACCGAAGACAGTGTGGCGGGTGGGCGGGTAAGATTTGCAGGTGGTTGGGGCGGGTGGCGGGCAAGACCAACTGAAGACAGCGGGTGGGTGGGCAAGATTAACGACGACTGATGTATATTAGCAGGCGGTTGGGGCGGGTGGCGGGCAAGACCAACTGAAGACAATGTGGCGGGCGGACGGACAAGGTAACGGAGACTGATGGACATATGCAGGTGGTTGGGGCGGGTGGTGGGCAAGACCAACTGAAGACAATGTGGCGGGCGGGCGGGCAAGGTAACGGAAACTGATGGACATATGCAGGTGGTTGGGGCGGGTGGTGGGCAAGACCAACTGAAGACAAGTGAGCGGGTGGGTGGACAAGAACGGCGATGACTCACATTTGTAGGTGGTTGTAAGGGGCGGGTGGTGGGCCAAGACTAACGACGCCGACAACGAGAAAGAGGTGGTGGGTGGGCCAAGGATATAAGGTGCGTCCCCGAGGTACGGGCCGACGTGTGCTTTCGCTCGTCGGTCCTAGCGCAGGCCTTTTCGTGGCCCTCGGGATAAGTACCCGCCGACGCTCGCGATGAGCATGGCGGGGAAACTAACATGCGCCGAATCTTGTTGCAGTACCGTACTCCTTGATTATCTATGTGCATCCTGTCTTCGCAGCAGCCGAGTCTTCTTGTTATCATGCATTGCGCGATGGTCTGCTATTATTCCTGCTATGAAACTCGCGGGAATTGTCGTCACCTCAACTCGTTAATATTGGACTTCGTTGCGAAGCTGTTATATTGAGTTGCGGACTCAGCTCGCAAGGATACTTCCCTGAGTGGAGAAGTAAGCTAAGGCCACACACAATGTAGACACCACGGAGACATACTTGCCATGAAAAAATCCACCGCGTCAACTTCAGGAAACATAGTGCGCGCCACAATGTCTCGAACAGGCAACTTTCGCCATGTGCCCGCGTCTAGCCTGAGTATGCGTCTCTTTCCTCTTGTCTGTCCCTCAGACATAGCTTCATTCCATTGGGCCTTACATCACTGCAACCATTCACATGGCACCACCAACGAGCTCAGCAGCGGCTCAGTCAGTCTCGGCGACAGCGCCAGCCGCATCGTCCTCGCGCGCTCGTCCACAGGGTGCACGGAAGAGAGCGCATGTAGCCGCGGACGACGCGCCATACCACGCACCCGCATCTGTCTCTGCTTCGGCAGGAGGCGCAGGTACAAAGAGAGCGGCAGGAGAGCGGGCGGAGGGCGAGCCGAGGACAAAGAGGAAGAGGGTCGAGCATGTTGCGAACAGTGGTGCAGCTGCGAATGCTAGGAGGATAGATGGAGATGGAAGGATATCTTTGGTGAGTTTTGATCTATTATTCCTAAAGGATGTCCTCTTTTTTTTGGGACCAGTGCGTGTTTCTGCACTCATTGTCGTTCCTCTGCATTGCGGGATAGTGTATAATGTGCTACGCACCGGCTGGTTCGCATCTCTTGCTGATCTATCTTATACATAGATCGACTTCACAACATTACCCACTGCTGCACTGTACAAATATCTCGTACAGTACGACCTCGTTCCGGAGATTTATCCGTCGCCGCTCGGCACGGAAGACCCACCACCGCCATCCTCCGTCCTCCGCCCCCACGGGCACGGACGTCGACATGCGTCTACAGCAAGCCCAGGGCCGTCGTTTCCTGTCACGCCTGCCAACCGTCCGCGACGTGACCCGGTGAACCGGCGACGGAGCTCACGCCTGGTCGAGGAGGAGCGGGAGCCAGCGGTCATGCCCGTGATGGCAGACGTGGCCGACTTGCACGGGCTTCTTGCAGGCATTGCGCAGCACCATTTCCGAGAACACTCCGTGCGCGAGGTGGATACCCTTGCGTCGTTTATGTGCGCTGTGAAAGCGAAGGGTGAGTGTTGAGTCTCGTGCATGTCCCTTGACGGATCTGCTAGGGCCCAGCTCGCCTACTCTTATGCCTCTTATCCTTAGAAACAGTTGGTTTCTTATGTTTAGATTGATAGCTCGTATGACAGCTTGAGTCTGTCTCTTCCGGAGAGAATCTCTGAATTTGTTGGTCCTTTACAATGCAATTCATGATAATTCTTCTCGTTCATCTTGCGTTCTCTTCTCATCTCTCCTTTGTGCTATTTGGGACTCTCTGCAGGACTGTCTTGAGTCGTGCACTATGATTTCGGATGATCCTGTCTTCGCTCATATCTGTGCCTCACCAAGCATCACCGATGAGAGGATACGTACTGGATCGCAGCACGCTGTCCTGAATCCGGTAGTTTCGATTGTCGAACTTTGGACGGAGCTGCTCCTCCGGCCAACAATTAAAGCGCGCACAGGTTTGCTTGCTCAGAGCGGCGCGTGCACGAGACTCGCCCGATCTGCATTTCACAGTTGCATCCTGAGCACCGGAGGAAACCATAGGCTACTTTAACGACGGAAGTTCTGCTTTGGATGACGAGCTGCGCAGAATTTGTGTAGCTTAATTCCGAGCGCAACATTAATCCTAGCTGCTGACAGGGAGAACTAGCTCATTATGTGGGCCCTGTCATGATCCCGATCCCCTACGTCGTCGGTGGGGCTGTCATCTTGCGCTGATTTCGACTTATCATTCATATAGACTAGCATATCGCCGCCGTAGCACCAGCCTTAAGACTGCGCTTGTTCACTCGCGTACGTCATAGAGTGTCGATTTTGGTGGGAATTGTAGTCTCGGTTATGGAATCGAGGCACTTGTTCACACTTTCTCATCTGCGTAGATTGGAATTTCCAACGATGTCTTGGAGGACACGTACACAAGTCTGAGTGGGGCGAATTCGGCATTAGAAATCAAAACTCGTACAAACAGATATCCTCAGTAAGAGATCCAACCAGAGATTATTCCTACAACAGGGATAACGGTCAGGAGTGCAAGCACTCGGCCTACCCGCTATCCCGACAAATCATCCCTGAAGCCATGGATCCTTTATAAGGACCTCAGCATCTGGCCTGTCTTCAGGGACGCACTGCAGACATCGCTCAATGAAAGCTGCAGCCGCCGCCAATTCCTGAGGACCTTCCACAGTCTCGGAGTCGCGTATGCGCTCAGCGATTGTCCTAGGATCGATCTTCGTAGGCATATGTATCAGCGTACCTGCGTAGAGAAGCCTGCGTCAGCGCACCGGCCGCCGGTAGATTCCACAGGACAGTACTCACCATCAGCATTGAAAAACTGGTCTCGATTGAAGGAGTCGGCGAGGAATTCAGCGGGGAAGGGACGGCCCTGGATCTGCATGATACGCAGCAGATGATCGTCGTCTGCGGTGATGCCTTCGGCAGGGTTGTCTTCGGGAGTAAACAGCTGCGATCCAGTCAACAGCTCAAACGTCTGAAGGAGACACTCAGTGAAGAAGAGAGTTGGCTGCTGGGGATCGTGGCGCACCAGGCATCCGACGGCCCACATATCGACCTTGAAGTTCCATCCGCATTGCAGGATGATTTCCGGGGCACGAAACGCTCTGGGACTGATATCATCTGTCACTTCCTCCTCGCAGATCTGGGCTGTGAACGCAGCCAAATAAGCAACGCTGCAACCCGAAAGTGCCAGGCTCACCGTGCCCAAAGTCGGCGAGCTTGAAAACCAGTTTATCCATAGGCACTGGCGGCGTTGGCAGTGGTTGGCTGACTATGGGACGGACTTCGCGGTCTAAAATCGACATGGTGGGATAGTACTTCGGAGGGTCGTCCCTCAGAATCGCCGTGATCTCCTCGTCCGAGAAGGGAGAGGCGAGCATGATGTTGTCGGGCTTCAGATCTATGTACAAACTTGAGCATTTTGGAGTCGAAGAGAATCATCCCCACTCACCCGTGTGCGTCAGCGAGCACCCATAATGTATGAAATTTAAGCCGATCAGAAGATGCCGCATGGAGAGCTTCAGGAGCGGCAGCGGCAAAGCCCTCCGCGGGAACTGTTTGCAAAAACGACTGAGACCCATCCCAAGAAGCTCTGTAACCAAGCAGATATGTGGGCCAGTATCATTTCTTGCCGTCTCACAGACAAATTCGTCATACAGCTTGACGCATTTGTCTGCACCCTGCTTGAATTGGGCGCGAAATCTCATAAAACCAAGGACGCGTGGCTCTTGCATGAGCTCCTTTTCGACAAGCCTTGTAGCTTGTTTGGTAAGGATCTTGATAGCTACATACTTAGACGGCGCAGACCTTTCAAATGCAAGCGAGATAAATGCACTGATGACACAACGACTGGCTCCACGACGCACGTACTCTCTATCACGAGCGAGCCAAACGCTGGAGTACGATCCATATCCTAATTTGCGGACTATTGTGTAACGACCCTGCGGTCCAATCTCGTCCCCAATGTGGACCTCCATGAATGCCGGGATATCGGGGGGTAACAGCGCCGCCGGAAGACCAACAGGCTCTTCCGGATACTCGAGAACTGCAGGAGCATCTTCTCGGACTGCAGCGCTGAGAATATCCACACCCAGAGTAGAGTGTGGGGCGACCAGAGGCGAAGGGCTCGGGATGGCTTTATTGGACGTGACAGCATGCGACCCGAGTGAGTGAGAGCAGTTATTAATATGGCGAAGAGACGGAGGAGACTTCAGCTTTAGTAACTTCCTAGGCTGGTTCCGAAGTTTTGCAATTGATTCCAGAACCAGGGGCCCTGCTTTCATCTCTACAACTGTGAGCCACACTGAGGAAGGAGGAAAATTAGCTGACCACGCAGCTCAGGACAACATACTTATTTATTTCTCGGGTGGCACCACGGAGTGGACCCTCAGGCGCACACAGATCGATCTGACTCCGTGTGACCCGCTCTGCACGCTCGGGCTAAAACACCTTGGCTTATAGCAGCCTGAGTCGCCTCAATGACGATGAGCTTTCTTTGTGTGATTCACGACGTAGAATATTTGCTGCCTCGTTTACTATGCTGACGCCTGAAAGGTTATTTAAATTGATGGCTACGCGAAATTTTTAGGCTTATTTGGCCGGGACAAATAATCCCATAGACGGAAGGGTCAAGCTCATCATGATGGCCGGGGCTTTCGTCGGGCTGCTCTCCATTCCTCGTTCCCATCACCTGGTGGCTCATAAACTTTCCAATGCACAGGGGTACAGCCGCGATTTGGCGGGGAGGTTGATATCTCGGATTCCGCTGCCGCACGCCTGTTGATAAGCAAGGTAACTACTCTTCTCGGCTGTCCGCAAGCTCTTTCATGTGTTCACCTATCACAGACTTGCTTCGAACCTCCCTACATGCTTTGACCTTCTCTGGAATGGAAGATTACTATAGCTAGAACTCGTATGGATCCCATCGGAGTGAATACAATGCATATGTACATTAGACTCTCATCGGACATGATATCAAGAATTCATCGAGAACCGTCCTCCGCCGTCATATCTCCATTCCCAAGCTTCAAGCTTCAAGGCTTGCCATCCAGGGATCTCCTATAAAGCTCCTTCTGGTTGTGCTTCCTACTCAACCGACAGTAGTCCCATCTTGCAGCTGGCTCTCGCTTTTCAAACAGTCATACCGACATACACATTTCACGTCTCTTACAGTCGCCATGAAAGCCGAATGGGAGAGATGGGAGCAGGTGACCAAGTACATCACTCCCGGGCACAAGTTGTATCGCGCTTCTGCTCCGAACTACAATGAAGGAGAGGGCGACCATAGCCAGAAGCTCACTGCCACCGCTGTGAAGTTCCTCACGGACCGCGGTGTCGACAGCATTATCAGCTTCAACCAGTACCCATACAAAGACGACGAGAAGAAGCTACTGGACGCTGCGAAGATCAGTTATCTCCATCTCCCCGTGAAAGACTTCACCGCCCCTACTCTTGCGCAGCTGAAGAGCGCGATCATTTTTTTCACGGGCCCGAAGCAGCACGCTACGCTTGTCCATTGCGGCTATGGCCACGGCAGGACAGGGACCGGGGTGACAGCTCTACAGCTGAACGCCACGAAGGGAGTTAATCCACCCGAGTCCGAGTGGAAGAGTCAGAACCACGTTGAGAAACCGGAGCAGGAGGCGGTTCTCAGGGCGCTCAGGGACAGCCTCAGGGGTTAGCAAACGATGTTTTGGATGTCGGGCAAAGGTATATCGTCGTCTCACGAATTCAGCATGCTGTTACTGTTGCTGAACGTTAACTCTCGACGTCAACAGTTCTTGGTATATGGAGAAGATGGCGGTTGATATGGCTTGTCGCGAATGAAACACAAAGTGTACTGTATCTGTCTCGGTTGAATGAAGCTAGTCATTGACACCAAATGAACGAGATAATACTGGATGCCTTCCCGTAGCCGTTTAGAGACGTTCTAAAGCTAATTTCGTCTCCAAATCACTTCGGCACGTCGGCCAAGTGATCTCCGACGAGCATGTGAACAAAGTGAGACATTTCTAAACCTTATGTCTGGAAGGGGGGGTCGACCCCCCCTTCCAGATTCTAAACGTCTTCCTAAACTCTATTTTCGATCTCCGCACCCTCGCAACCCCCATCGTCGCCTATCTTTGGTGTTCCGCATCACTTACATCATCTTGCCGTTCATCCTCCGACCGTCTAGAACTTGATTTAGAGATCATGGTCTCACGGTCTCGCAAATCCTGCTGTTCCGACGCAGTGGGGCATTTCGTAGTCCGCTTTATGATTTAGAAACACTCTAAATCCTACGGGAAGGCATCCACTTGGCGTGTTACCAGTGAGTGAGCATTGAACAACATTAGCACGACATACAGGTCAGCCGGTGGTTCCCGCTGCATCATCGTGTGGATGCTGCTTTAGAAAGAGCAGTGAATACATTCGAGGCAGGAACGTTGGCGGTGGTGAGGTAACCCAACTCATCAGTCGCAGACCGTTGCAACCTTTCGCTCACAGGAATTTCCGGCTTCTGGGCGTTTGCGTTGCAAAACCGTTATTATGGCGCGAATGTTTTGATGCCGGATGGGGCATAAGTGTACAATGCATTGACGACACACCAACAACATACAATGGAGGACATAGCCTACTAGATCAGTCACTTTGAGGAGTGCTACCTTGAGGATGTGACATCAAATTAGAGTGAAAAGGCAGAATACACTGACGTACCTCCTAATATTATCCACAGGCATCATATTCAAGCCGGATAATCATCATCCTGGTGCCCGGTTAGGGATGATCCATCAGCGACAATGTGGCGTAGGAATAGCCCATGTCGCCTCAGCGTGATGTAACGCAAGAAGATGCACTGCTTGCGATTAATTTCACCCGTGCTGGAAGAATCGGGTAGATCGTCGATGACCGGATTTACTTGAACCCTTCGTGTTGCATTGTCATCTGTCGCGTACAGCGGACCACAATTGTAGGCTGGTGACGTTGAAAAACAGGTGTCGCCAACGGAGAATGCAGCTGCCGCAGGTGCACCAAATCCTCGGAAGGTTAGCTCAGCGGAGCCCGATCCATCAAAAAATGCCGCAAGGGCCCAGTCCGCAGTCTTAACGCAACCGTACACAGAGATGATGTTCTCGAGTGCAAGATCCAGCTGTAAACTGTCTCGAGCAAATGCGAGCCAGTTCTTGATATTTCTCTTGGTATAGTAGGCGATCCGTCTTGGTATTGACAACTCCTCGTATGTGGCTGACTCCTTCAGCAGAAGAACTGCACCTTGGCTGTTGTCACACCGAAATCGGCAGGCATCTGTAAACTCTTTGCTGCATAGTGCATCAATGTATGTGTGTGATAAAGAACCCTGAAGTACATACCCTACCGTCTCTCCCGGGCCACCAGTGTCTGTCCGCCTCACGTTTGTGCTGTACAGAGGTCCCGGTATGTAATTCTCATGTCGGTGGACATCAGATTGGTCAAAGTGCAATGGGATGTAACCATCTTGAACACCGCGTTCGTTGACCCTGTCGTCCGTCCCCCGCGTGGCGTTGAAGATCCGGAAGAATTGACCCTCGAATATATGTCCCACGTCTCCAAGAAGCACCTCCCCAAACTGGGTAGGTTCAGGGTCCCACAGAGGATAACAGTAGCCAAGTCGGGATAGCTGTTCAGCGTAGACAACAGAAGCATGTGTTGAGGGTGGCATGTTGAAGTAAGGTGGATACTCCAAGGAAGGAGCGAATCTCACAAGGGGAAAGCTTCGTCCAACTGCCGTTGAATTGCACACTTCGAAGAGTAGTAGCGAAGGGCGCTGCTTCCAGCTCTGGCTTTAGCCTCGAAAGAAGCAGAATATCCTAATCTCGATGTTGTAGAAGTGCTCCTGTGCCAGCACCAGATCGACGAATTCTTGCAGCTGCAGACGAGTACCCACTACAAATGCTGCAGGCTGCTTTTCCGGAGGAGCCGGTCGAGGAACACCTGCAATTCTGCTTCGAAGATCGTATGATTATGAGCATACGAGGCCGAAACTAAGATACTTCCGGTGCGCTTGAAAATTTGACGTTGAGAAAACACCCTGTACAGTATGCGAGACAGTGAACTGGACCTTACAGTGAGAAAGATATCCAAGAACGCAGCTGTAACTCGACGCGAACAGTGCAGCAGCCGCTCACGAGAGTACACCAATCTGGAGCAAGGCGATATCAGCGAAACGTTTCTCTCAAAGAGAACGAGATCGCAATGATCGTTGAGATGGTCCAATCACTGACAGTAAGCAGCAGGGTGTATATGGAGCGGCGGATCCACACGCATGTTCCACGAAAGCTAGTATAGGATACAGGATGCGTAGGGAATTATTATGTCGGAACAGCGATGTGCAGTGTATGTGCTGTGACTACTGTCCATGATGCGATAAAGCATGATGATCTGAGAAATATATGCCTGCATCAGTACGACTTCTTCAGCGGGTAGCAACTCCACAGAGAACTGACCGCCGACAGGCTCAATGTGACCAGCCTGCACACGTACTTTTTAGACAGCTGCATCAACCCCAAGCTCTCTGGCATTTCTCAAACTACCCACTCCATGTCACCATGTCCAAAACACATCCGCGTCTTCTTGCAATGCCCACACTTTCATGCAGGAATCATAAGGTCGCCAAACGTCCTAATTGCCGCAATGCCCCCAAAGAACACCGCGATCCCTGTTAGAATGCTGACGTTTCCCGGCAGCTTTTCGGGCGCCCAGATCTCCTCGCGCAAGAACTGCGAGAACGCAGACTCGTTCGGGTCGCCGATCGCGCGGCGCGAGGGCGCGCCGGAGTAGTATGCGGGGCCAGAGCCGGGGGGTGCTGAGCGGCGTGCCATGGGTGGTTTGTGTTAGAGGGCGGATGAGACAGAGTAGGTAGGGAGTCGAGTTTTTTGGTGAGCTCGATGTCGGAGACGTGTACAGCGGCAGGCAGCGTGGAATTGTCAGAATCCCATGTGAGACCGGAAGTATTATTGGGCGTGTCTGAGGTCCTTCTATATGCCCGAAGCATGCCCGAGGTCCACCGAATGGCACCTTGCACTTGACTTGCCCAGCAACTTCACGTCGACGTTTGAGAAGAACGACTACGTGCAAGGTACGTTGAATTGGCTGCATGACGTTTGATTTTTTGGGCATTCACTGACACTCTGAAGCGCCTAGATTGTTAGAAATGTCCGATATAAGTCGATTGTCGGGGCAATTTGTGCAAGTCTCGTCGCCAGAGCCTCACGTCGTTCTCGTAGAGCTTTCCCGGTGAGTGACATGCGATATGTACCCTCTGTCCTCGCTCAATAGTAGTTTGAAGCAAGCCCGTGAATGCATTCAGTGATGAGTATGTCAAAACACTCTTATCCCAGGTGCACATATTAATCGCGTACAAAGGTTCTGGCAAGAGTACGGACGCGTCTTCGACGCCATAAGCCAAGAGCACGACGTGCGCGTTGTCGTCCTCACCTCTGCCAACCCCAAGTTTTTCTCCGCCGGGTTGGACCGTAAGCTCGCACCGTCATCGAATCACATGTTTCTTACCAGCGTTCCGTGTAGTCAAAAGCTTGAGCGGGTTCGACAAGTACGAGAGCGAGGCCGCACGACGCACCTTACAGCTCAAGGCACATATTGACACGTTCCAGAGGAGCATCGGGGCCGCCGAGCGGTGCCCATACCCCGTCATCGTCGCCGTGCACGGCATCGCCCTCGGGATCTCCATAGACATCATGACCGCGTGCGACATTCGCTACGCCGCGTCAGATGCCACGTTCTCCGTCAAGGTATGTCCGCCACTGCGCGTCGAATGCACCCTAATGTCTTCGCCAAAGGAAATCGACATTGGCCTGGCTGCGGACGTCGGCACGCTCGCGCGCCTGCCTAAGGTCGCAGGGAACCAGAGCCTCGTCCGCGAATTCGCGTACACGGCACGCAACTTCTCCGCAGCCGAGGCCGAGAAGGTGGGGCTCGTGTCGAAGGTGGTGCAGGGTGGCCGGGACGAGGTCGTTCAGGCCGCCCTGGAGACTGCAAAACTGATTGCGTCGAAGTCCCCTGTGGGCGTGCTGGGTACTAAGCACCTGCTGCTGCATTCGCGGGACCATACGTGCGTGTCGTGATTTTTCGGCCATAAATTTTTCCGACATCACTGACTGGACTGCAGCATGCAAGACAATCTCGACTATACTGCGACTTGGAACGGCGCGATGATTCAGACTGGGGCAAGTAAATTAATTACGATCTTCCCAGACATCTTGCTCATAGGATTTCTTTCAAAAGGACATTCCGGAGGCCCTCAAGTCCTTCCAGGTGAAACAGAAGCCTGTCTTCTCTCCGTTGAGGAAACCGTCCCCAAAGTTGTAATGATGTATCACATTTTATTTGTATTATAAGATCTGTTCATATCTCTGGAATGAAATATTTGGTTGTCTCGCGGACTTTGTGACCCAATTTGGAACGACTGACGCGTACGACGCGTTGCAACGGGCGTCTAAGCAAATCGCTCTCTACCGCCGTCCTCTCATCTTCCTTCCCTCTATTTCTACTGCAGGCGATCCACTGGAATTTTCTCGATTATGGTACACTCTTTGGTGTAAATTTGTGTGCAGGATGCTTATACTGTGCTGCAGGAACCATCCCTCCGCCTCGTTCCTGCTCCCTCTCCCAAGCACGCATCTCTCAAGGAAACTGCTAACAGCTTAGGGCTGCACGACACCCTCGAATATGGCCCGCGAAGTTTTGCTGCGGAAGTCGCGACGACGAGTGGGATCAGAGATAGACTGCAGAACGTGCGCCCGTCTTTCGCGGTGTTATAAGCTTTCACTGACCATGACATTGACTCATTTGGCCGTGATTGATCTTGGTCGCATACGACAGTGGCAAGAGACCCAAGACAACCTGCACCTAACAATGCAGCGGAATTTGTACGGCCTGCATATGCCGATGCGGCTACTGATGGAGAGGCAGATGGTCACCCATGTGAGAGAACTGTTTGTCCTTCGATTCGTCGAGCTGACCTCTGCATGCTTTTCCGGCGTGTCTTTCATATCAATTCTGCAGAGTCCACACATGCCCGCGCTCCGCCGGTCCAATATCCACCTGGACATCCTCATGGGTCGCGACGAGACGCTCGAGTGCGCAGACTTCATGATGCCAGGCGCGTTCCTCGCTATTCTCCCCGATCACATTCGCTTACAGATATCTTATGCAGTATCGGAACTCGCGCAGCCGCTGAGTATTCACGGCGAGATGGAAAAGAAGCTCCGCATGTAATCGTATCGCTGTGTAGACTGCAATCTATGTTCTTTCCCGAATTACTGGACTTGTTTGACACGATGATGAGAGCGACATGGAATTCGTTCGGTACCGCGCCTGACTCGCCTTGACTCACCATGAGTGTCTGCGCGGCGCCCATTTCCTTTTGAGGACATTCCCGACTCCTGACGGCGGGCCGATGATGGCCTAAACTGGCCATATCACGCACGTGCCGGGATCGCGGCCACGCGTTATAAGGCGACGGCGGGCTCAGTCTGCCTCCCACCTGCCTCACCCACTATCCACGATGCCCAGAAAGAAAGCTGCCGCTGCTGACGCGTCGACGAAGCCTGTGTCGACGAGGACGACGCGCTCGAAGACAGCTGCTGCTCGAGCCCCTACACCTGCGCCCCCTGCGCCCGCGCTCGCACCCGCACCCGCTGCGGCCCCTCTATCGAAAAGGAAGGGAAAGGCCAAACGGGCACGCCCCGACTCTGATAACGAAGATGCCGACGACGATGTTCCCGACACCAAAAAGGCCAAGATCGACGATGCGGCTGCATCCCAGGAGGACGACAAGCCCGAGCCACCGAAGAAGATGGTACGCGCAGCGTTTACGCGTTCGTTCCGTGCCTCACCCCTTGCAGGTTACCGTGATCAAGAGAGGTGCCGCGCCCGTCGACCCCGTCTCCGGTATGGTTGGTGAGTGGCAAGTCCAACTGCCGGTACTTGCGTCTGACCGGTCGTAGCTACCCACGAGGTGTTCGCCAATGAAGAGGCCATCTGGGACGCGGCGCTCAACCAGACCGACGTCGGAAAGAACGCGAACAAGTGCGCTCTACACAACCTCTGTATTATTACGGCGCACTAATATCGAGTCAGGTTCTACTTCATCCAGCTCCTGCATCCCATCGGGGATCGGAGCACTTGCACGCTCTTCACGCGCTGGGGGCGCGTGGGCGAGAATGGGCAGATGCAGAAGAAGGGCCCCTTTGCCGCCTCCTTCGCTGTGGGCGAATTCAAGAAGCAGTTCAAGGCCAAGGCCGGCGTGGATTGGGAACAGCGCCAGGGCATGGTTGCGAAGAAAGGTGAGTCATGTCATGCTCTCAATGGACAGTTTTCTGATCAGCCGCACGCGTATTCTAGGGAAATACCAATGGCTCGGTGGGTTGACTGACATCCATTCTGGCCATAACTGATGTGTACACAGAACGTTCGTTCGAGGACGACGAAGACGATAATGACAACAACGGTTCCGGCGAAGGCTCCTCTTCTCAGAAGGAGAAGGAGGAGCCGGAGAAAATTCCCGACTCTATCTTGGCTGCAGAGATTCAGGCCCTCTGCAGACTCATATTCTCTGCATCGTGAGTTTACGGCAAAAATATCGTCCGACCCAACTCATTCTGCCTCAGGCTCATTCAAGCCACCTTGTCCTCCATGAATTACGACGCGAACAAGCTCCCGCTGGGTAAGCACGGCTGCATTCACCTGAATGACACCTAAGTTGACTCCACCCAGGAAAACTCGCAAAGGGAACCATCCTGAGCGGTTTCGCGGCGCTGAAGGTCAGTCCCGTGGTGATTCAATCTGACATCCAGCCTCAAACGTGTCCCAGACCCTGTCCGAGGTCATCTCTCAGCCTGACGGAGACACCGCGAAAAGCTTGGGCGGCTTTCGCGACGCGGTAGACACGCTAACTGGGCGATACTATTCGTGAGTCTTGCGCCCATTTTTTGTCTGTCGTCGTTGACATCTCTGTCAGCGTTATCCCCCACGTGTTCGGGAGGAACAGACCTACCATCATTAGCGATATGACGATGCTGAAGAAGGTGAGCATGTCTAGTCTTTGCCTCTACCCACGCTCACGCTCCGCAGGAACTCGAGCTTGTCGATGCGCTCGGCGACATGGTTAGTCCTGTGCGCCCTGTCCCTGTGAACTCTCACTAACTCTTCGGTATTGCGATCAGGAAGTTGCATCGAAGCTCATCGCTTCGACGGTGCACAAAGACGCGAGCGGGAAGCCCGTTAATCCCATCGACGCGCACTTCCGCTCTCTCAGCCTGTCCAGCATGGACCCGGTCGCGCGGAGCAGCAAGGAGTTCACCGCGCTCGAGGCGTATGCGCGCGATACGCACGGCTCAACGCACCACTATCGCGTTGACCTCTTGAATGTGTTTCGCGTCGAAAGGTACGTGGCTTGTTCCTCCGAGTCTGCGTTGCGAGTGAGGCTGATGTGCGGGTGTCCAGGCAGAGCGAGACTGATGCGTGGATGAATTCGGGCTTTGACAAGCTTCAGGACGGGGAGCGCCTCTTGCTCTGGCATGGCTCGCGTTCGACCAACTTTGCAGGTATTCTCAAGCAGGGGTTACGTATTGCTCCACCGGAAGGTACGTTTTCACCTGGTAATCACTGAGTACGTTGTTGAATGTTGTACAGCTCCTGCCACTGGTAAGTTACTGTATTGGTGAATGAAGGAGAACCACGGCTCACTTTTTTTAGGATATATGTTCGGGAAAGGTGTTTATTTCGCCGATGTGAGAGTATTTTGTTCATCGAAACGACCCTCTACTAACAAGAGCGTAATTACAGATGATGTCCAAAGTGCGTGCGCCGTTGAGCTACCTTCCTGACTGCACTAACACTATTCGAATCGTTTTTAGTCTGCAAACTACTGCCATGCTCAGTGGGTAAAGTGTTCCGTACAAATTGTACATCGGCTGACAGATCTCCTGCAGTATGAGCGACAACACGGGCCTGCTGCTCCTCTGCGAAGTCGCCGCACAGCCCTTCTTTGAGCAGCACAACGCCAACTACGACGCAGACCAGGGCTGCAAGGCCGCCAGTGCTCTGTTGCGTCTCCTGCCACACCGTCTGGTATGTTGCTGACTTCGTCTTACATTGTTCGCAGATGCACGAAGGGGCTCGGACGCACGCAGCCGGCAGAATGGCAGGACGCTGGCAACACCCTGGAGAACGACGCGCTGAAAGGGTGTCATATGCCCAAGGGGCCGGGTAAGGACGTCAACGACCCAGGGGTTTACCTGCAGTACAACGAGGTTCGTCCGTTGGTTATATATTCGATTTGGTGGGGCTCATGTTGTCGGCTCTGCAGTATATCGTGTACGACGCTTCGCAGATACGTGTGCGGTATCTGTTAATGGTGAAGATGGGTTGAGCGAGGTACCTGTTGTTAGAGCATACTTCCAAAACACATTTCTTCTACGGACCTTCTCATCTCATCTCATCTCATCTTGTCTCAGCTATTGCTTGCTTGTTGTGCTGCTGTATCGCTCTCAGCCCTATGCAGTGTTATTTATGATTATACGATAACACGGTAGATAATGCACCATACCCGTACAGTCTGCTCAGTCCACTCGTCTGCGCTTCCCGCCATGGTCATATTCCACCGACCGTTCTCTTGACCGCCGTCTCCGTGTATACTCCTCGCGTTGTCTGTCCCGCCGAGGCGACCGTGAGCGCGAACGAGAATATGATCGCCGCCTGTCCCTCGCATAGCTATCTCTATCTCTATCCCGATCTCGTTCTCGTTCTCGACCCGCATCCCGATCACCACCTTTCCGCTCAAGCTCATCCCACCTGCTTCGCACCTTGTCTTTCGCGATGTAGCTGTCGTCGGTGCGCTGGCGGTCGCGTCCGTCGGCCCTTGGGGCCTCCTCTCTGTCTCTGTCCCGCCACGACCGGCCGTCCTCTTTCGTGTCACGCACACCCCATTGTCGTGTACCCCCTAGCGCAGTGTTTGCACCTGTGCCTGCGCCCCGGAGGCCTGGTGGGATATCCTTGTTTTGCGGGCAATCTGAACGAATAGTCAGTCATGTTAGAATACTGCACAGTAGAATAGAAATACCCACCTTTCTTGAGATGCGGCCCTCCACATACAAAGCAACCGCCACCTGCGGTGGACGTCCCGCCCGCCTTGACAGGCGCTGTCCCGCCAAAGCCACCCGAGGCCACCGTCGTATCCTGGTCGAGCAAATGTGTATACTTGGTTCGCCCGCGCTTGCCGAAGTTCTTAACCTGCATGACCTGAGGGAGCATCGAGACATCAATGGTGGACTCGGTCGCCTCGGTGTAGTCATGGCGCTTGAGGATCTCCTCGTCCTGGTGGAAGGCGCCCTTGTGCCAGTACTTCTGCAGGAACTTCTGCTGGCCCTTCGGCTTCTCCTTGCGCAGCTGCTCCGCATGCTCGAGATCCTCGCGCAGGCGCTGCTCCTCTGGCAATGCCCGCCGCCTCTCGACCTCCTCGCGCTCGAGCTCGCGCGCAAGCTCCGCCTCCTTGTCGCGCTTGATACGCGCGAGCTCGCGCAGGCGCCATTCCTCGAACTCGGCCGCAGAATCGAGCCCATCCGTGTCGTCCACGTCGGGGACCTGTTCTTCTTTCTCTTCTGTAGAGTGGGTTAGTAGAGATACGTAGTACTCGAATGAGTAGCGCACTTTCCGCGAGTTCCCGCCGGATGCTCTCCGCGACGAGATCGTGGCTCTGCTTTTTACGTTCCTCGGCCTCGAGCTCTTTCTTCCGCAGAGCCTCCTCTGAGTCGTCCGCCATAGCTTCTTTCTCGGCGATCGTCTCGCGCCCGCGCCTGTGCAACAATAAGCTTACTCGTGAGAAACGGGAGGAAGTGTGCGTACTTGGGGATGAAGACAGGTCTAAATTGGACCTTGGGTTGCTCTTCCTCAGACTCTGATTCGGACTCGTATTCACTGGACTGTAGAATGAGACCGATTAGCTGGAAGAGGCGGCAGTAGAGCACACTCACCTCTTCTTCCTTCGCCCCTTCTTCCTCCTCCTCTTCCTCTTCTGCATAAAGGGAGAGCACAATTATTAGCCACTGATGTCGCAAAATAAGTCAAACGTACGCACCCTCAACCTCAACCTCCGTTCGTCCGACCTCAGCCTTTCCCGCTACGGTCACCCGCCCCTCCTCGCTGATGTTGACATCCCGCAGAGCGACATTGATCGCGCGCCGCTCAACCACCTTTGCCCCGCCCAGTTCGAGCCTTTGTTCCTCCTCATCATCGCCCCCGACGTCCGCGATGAGAATGTCTCCCTCTTCCTGCGGTGCCTCTGCGCCTTCTTCCTCGGATTCGGACTCGGATGCGGCCTCGTCAACGCCTTTCGGGGCCTTGCCTTTCCAGTAGCGTGCAGCGGGGCGGGGAAGTCGTGGGGCCGGTTTTCGCGTAGCGGTCGACATGAGGTACTACTTATTTGGCGAGCAACTTCGAAGTTGCGAGCTAGTATACAGAGCACGTGACGAATATCACGGCGCGCCTTAAGTTGTCGGTGCGACCGACGCGTCGACGGTGGCTGGCACTGCAAAAAAAGACTGGAAACATGTCCCTCTAAGATCCACTTTCCAAAAAAAAATCTAGCGGAAATGGTATTTTGATCTCGCTCTCCCGCAAAAAAGTCATTCGCATGGGTTGACTCAAAAATCGAGACAAGTGACGGAATTAGCAGCCTGAAATGCAAGTTTTCATACTGCAAATCCTATGCTATGGACAAAAATCACATGGGTATGGTCAGTACACTGCAACTAGTCATCTGAGCAACTACCTATGGGTGAAAAATTAGAATCCGGAGGACATGGCCTGAGCGACCAGAATCAGTACAACGCCGGCCAGAAAATCTCCGCTCCCCCAGTACACAGAGCCGGCCACTTCTCTTCCACATCAGGCCCCACAGACGGCGGCACCACCTGTAAGGAGTCCACACACGCATCTAGTGCCTCCAAATTCGCCAGTGCGTGCTCGTCAACGGCTTGCTGGGTGGACTCAAGGACGACGGCGCGAAGGGGATGTTTGCATTCAGCTCTGATCGTCGCGAGAGCGATGATATCGTCTACTACAGACACATCCTCGGAGATGACGCGCAACGTGGTGAGGTCGGCACAGAGGAGTTGTGAACCTGCGAGCATGCGGAGCACGTTGGACTTCTCGGCCTTGGAAGCATACCCGACGCGCACCACTAGCGACGTCAGCGAGACTAGTCGCGAGAGCAACGACCCGAGACCTGCGTGCTCGCGCACAACCTCCGATTCTCTTATGTGAAGCTCCCGTACAAGCATTAGCGGCCAATTGCACCACAGGAGCGAGCCTTGGTCGTCTGTCTCCAGCCAACTGTGGTTCGATTTTGAACACTCGACACGGAGCACCGATAGCGCGTTGCAAGCGATGACAACCAGAGTCGGCTCACACTCGGGTTTATGCAGAGCGCGCACGTCAAGTGTGTGCAGGCCGTCGAAGGACGGCCCGTAAATGGAGGAGAATTCAGACCGAAGTGGGAAAGTATCCTGGTCAAAGATGCGCGCAGTCACCCCTTCAGACCTATTAGCGTGTGCGATAAGCCATGAGGCGAGTAGCGTCCCTGCTGTCTCTGCAGAACCGATGGCCATCCTCCGTAGATTTTGCAATGACGGCGCGTGGAGATTCGTGCTATCGGGCGGTACATACACGTCCAAGAGCTCGACCACGAGTTCCTCTAGTCTGGAGCACCCCGAGAGGAAAGCAGTCACATCTGACAGGGTCGCGCGTGAGGATGACAACAATCCCACTATCGACAAATGCGTGAGGTTCTCGAATTGATTGCTCGGAAGAAACTCCACGCCATCCAGCGTCAGCGATGTGAGGCAAGGAGTATTTCCCTGGAATAGCAAAGGACCGACTACGCCTTCACCGTCGGCGGTCATTTCCACGTCATCAAGCCACGCCACCCTGAGATTAGGTGCAGAGAATTGAACATAGCTCGTTGGGTGAGGCTCGGAGAGGTCCATACTGACATAATTCAGACGGAGTTCCTCTATGCGCGCCGTTGCGGCATCTGATGCAAAGATTTTAAGCATCTCGGCGTCTCCCTCATGGACGTGCACCTTTAGAAGTGAATCCTTCGAGCGTTGTAGCACAGTGTCATATGGCACGTAATCGCGAGTGCAGAGAATCGTCCAAAGAGACGATGTACTGACAGCGACCTCCCGCCATCGGTGACAGACGTGGGTGATATTCCTGAGCATCTTCCTCGACGGTAACGGAGACCTCCGATTCGGCCATGGGCTGTCCTCATCATACAGCGGATCCAACGCATACTGAAAGATGAGACAAAGGATATTGTTTGGAAACTGATTGATTGAACGCGCGACATTCATGGTGGATCGGACATGCAATAGAATCTCGGCCAGGACACCCTCCAGGAGTGACATCTAGAGTGAAGTAGTGACATCAGGATATATATTCAGTGTCGAACGCGATACTTGAGCGCACGTCTTCAATACTGCACATGATATGAAACCTGGCGTTGAGCTTGATGCCATAACTCAACGACAGACACGCGCACCTCATGCAGTGAATCCGATCATGTATCTGCGAGAGTACGTTCTGAGAACGCGGCAAAAGAGAATTATTTTCCATGATTATCAGTGGAACCGTTATGCTGAGGCAGAGGTATCTTGTGACGGTGGATTATCTGAGGTGGCTTGGAGCTTTGGAAGAGAACGCGCCGCGTCACAGTAGCGCCGACTTCGGACACACTTCGGGGAGACGCCGACCCGTAGACGAGCTGGCAGCCTGGTGGCAAGTGACTTGTCCAATTGTCGGCCGTAAAAAACTTACGCCGCAATAAAAAATGCAGTGTGTAACATGTTTCTTGAACAGTAGGAGTGTTTCACGGTAACTGTACGTATGGACAAAGTGTACATCTTGGTACACCACAATCTATTTATAATTAAACCTAACTTTTTTTTATTTAAAATTTATAAGATATAAAATCTTTCTTTATCTAGATGGAGGTATATAAGAGAATGTAGATAGTATTATTAAAAATAAAAAAGGGTAATAAATCTTAATTAAAGTTTTAAGTAGATATAGAAGAGAACCTTTTCCTCTTATTCTTTCTACTCTTCTTTCTGTTAAATGTTCCGCGATGTAGGTAAAAATGGAAGATTGATGGCGCAAAATAATCGGCTTTTAAACACTATTAATTCTAAGATAAGCTCAGAGATTGCTAAAGATATGTTAAAATATTCTAAATCAAATTGGAATCTTATAATTCTCGAAGAAGTAATTGTTGCAAGAAATTTTGAAGGATAAAGAACAGTTTTGGATGCTTTTAACAATAGCATCAATTCAATCTCTTATATTTTCCATGAAATAGACAGGAGGCAAGTCATCAATATCTTCATTATCATTATTATCTTCATTATCTTCAATATCTTCACCAACAACATTTAAAAAACATAATAAAGCAATAATAGCTAATAAAAATATACCAAAAGAGAAATTAATAATAGGTAATGCATCATCAGGTATGTATCGTATTCAGCAGGTTTCACTCGGCCAGAGCCCGAATGTTTTGTGGCTGAAAGCGCTGATAACAACAGTACTAGTTGCCTCTAATTTGTTGTGAGGCACGTGATGCATGAATTTTTTGTCGAGACCGTCTGTGTGATAGTTTGAATTTGAAAGCTTCGTATTCGCCGTATCGAGTTTCTCGCCGTCTCTCACCGGGATTGTGAACCAGACGATGCGCTCCAACGAGAACATCGCCATCGTCGACATAGACGTCGTGCTCGTCCCCTACAGGTGCGCCGAAGTAAATCTATAAGTATCTGTCTCACATGCTGAACGGCGGCGAACAGAGCCGAGCACGTAGCAGTCAGTGTTCCACGCAGATACAACCCCTGCCTTCGTTCTGCGTGCTGAATCGTGCCCAACCAGCTAGACGTACCACGAATGGATGACAAGCGCGGAGCTGCGCGCGCAGACGGCGAGCGAGCCGCTGACGCTCGATGAGGAATATGAGATGCAGAGTGAGTTGCCATTTATCCACTGTATTCAGGCATATCTAAGTACTCTCCTGTGGAAGGAAAATGGCAGCTTGACGAAGACAGTCAGTGCAACAACTTCCCCTGTCCTCATCCTCACCAGCTTACAGACTCGCCTGCAGAGCTGACATTCATCATACTGTCTGGCGAGGCCTTGAATCCCGCTGCGCAGCTCACATCGGAGATACTCACCAAGCTACCGATGATCGGCGATGTGAATCTATTCCTGAAGGGCCTGCCGCACGAGGAAGAATTCGAGGCGGAGGTGGAAGTGATGATTGCAGGTGCGGAGCGTCCGTCCCACGTCTGTTTATCTGACGGGTTGCCCATGCATGGTGAATGTTATGCGGACGCCGACGTGAAACACTCTACCATTCCAGAGCCCGCGTTCCGCTGCCGGGGGCTCGCGTCCGCCGCGGTGCAGCTCATGCTTTCGTACGCGACGTCGGCGAACGTTGAAGCTCGCCATCACCCATTGCCTGTGCCGCAGGAAAAGCTGGTCGCGCGCATTGGGGAGGCTAACACGCCCAGCATCCGTCTTTTCGAGAAACTGGGGTTCGCAGTGACGAAACGGGTGGCGGTGTTCGAGGAGGTAGAGCTGCGGTTTGGAGGGAGGGCGACGGGGTGGCGGACGGGGCAAGTGCGCATGCTTGGGGGTCACGGGTGCGCGCTAGTAGATGCTAGCTAGCACGGCGACGCGTACGCCAAATCTCGAGGTGATTACTACGTACGGAACGTGATGCCACGGCTTCGAGGGAAATGCAGCTTCCGGAATTCCATACTCGCGTTTATTGTTCCGCCTCGCTGCAGACGCCTGCGGACCGTGGAGTTCCGGTGTTCCAAGGTGAGCCTGGCTGTTAACCCGAGGGCCATTTCGAATTCGTAATGGGCATGATGCATGCGGGGAAGAAAGGAGGGGTCGGGCGGGGTAGATGGGGACACTCGGAGTACACTCGGAGTACTAATTGCTGCTCTGCGGGGGATGGTCAGGGGCAACAGTTGGGACGGACGTGACACTGATCGGGTATAATCTGATCCTTTGCGGTGCGCAGGTGACCTCCGACGTGCTCTCCCTCTGTGGTGGGCAAATGACCAGGGAAGGCTCACTAATCCCTCTCGGGATCATTGGGAACCCCTCCCCGTCACCGGTATAAAGCTTGACGCCATCACCACGCCCCTCTCATCCTCCAGCACTCGACGTCGACCATGCCTCACACGTTCTCACAGCAATTCAACACCTCTGTCTTCAAGGGCAACGTGTCCTTCTCCACCGGTCTCTTCATCGGTGGCAAGTTCGTCGACGGCTCCAGCAATGGTCACATCGAGTACGTCCTCCCGTTCTCCAGTGATCGTTACCACTGACGAGGTCCCCCCCTATCCGCCAACAGTGTAGTGAACCCGTCGACCGGCAAGGTCATCACCAAGATCTCCGAGGGCACCTCGAAGGACGTTGACCTCGCTGTTGACGCTGCCGAGAAGGCCTTCAAGACCACCTGGGGGCTCAACACCACCGGCCGTCACCGCGGTGTGCTCCTAAACCGCCTCGCCGACCTCCTCGAGAAGAACATCGAGACCGTCGCCGCAATCGAGACGCTCGACAACGGAAAGACGTATTTCTGGGCCAAGGGTGATGTAGAGGCTGTCATCAACACCTTCCGGTACTATGCCGGCTGGGCGGACAAGAACTATGGCAGTACCATCGACACCTCCGAGGACCAGCTCGTTTACACGCGCCATGAGCCTATTGGTGTCGTCGGCCAGATCATCCCCTGGAACTTCCCCCGTGCGCGTTTCTGCGTTTCCACGTCCTTCCACGCGTACTGACGCTTCCTCAGTGCTCATGTTCTCGTGGAAGCTCGGCCCCGCTCTCGCGACAGGCAACACCATCGTGATCAAGCCGTCCGAGTTCACCCCGCTGTCCGCGCTCTACACCGCGCAGCTTATCAACGAGGCGGGCTTCCCTCCAGGCGTGGTTAACATCGTCAACGGGTATGGCGGCATTGTAGGCCAGGCCATCGCAGAGCACATGCGCATCGAGAAGGTCGCCTTCACCGGCAGCACCCTCGTCGGTCGCAAGATCATGGAGGCCGCTGCGAAGACGAACCTGAAGAACGTCACCCTCGAGCTCGGCGGCAAGAGCCCGAACATCATCTTCGACGACGCCGACATCCAAAAGGCTGTCAACTGGGCCGCGCACGGTATCTTGTACGCGTCCCCTCCACGGCTGTGCCCAGAGTTCGACTATTAACGACTCACCTTACAGCTACAACCACGGCCAGACGTGTTGCGCGGGTTCGCGCATCTTCGTGCACGAGAAGATCTATGATGAGTTCCTGGAGAAGTTCACAGAGAAGAGCAAGGCGTTGCGCGTCGGCGACCCCTTCAACGACGAGTCGCACCAGGGTCCCCAGGTCTCGCAAGTGCAATTCGACGTGCGTATACCCCATTTCCTTGTCGCCGAACGGCACGCTGACCCACTCGCCTGCAGCGTATCATGGGGTACATCGAGTCCGGTGTGCAGGACGGCGCGAAGATCCACCACGGCGGCTCGCGTGTGGGTAGCGAGGGGTACTTCATCGAGCCGACGATCTTCACGGAGGTCAAGGCGGACATGAAGATCGTGCAGGAGGAGATCTTCGGGCCCGTCGGTGTGCTTATCAAGTTCAAGGACGACGACGATATTGTCGCCATGGCGAACGACACCGTCTACGGCCTCGCTGCCGCTGTGTTCTCCCAGGACATCAACCGCGCGCTCACGACTGCGCACAAGATCAAGGCTGGTACCGTCTGGGTGAGTGCGGCCTCTTGTATCGTCTGGGATGCGCGCTGAGCATTCTGTCCAGGTCAACATCACGAACCACCTCCACCCCGCAATTCCCTTCGGTGGGTACAAGCAGTCTGGTATCGGACGCGAGCTCGGCGAGTATGCGCTGGCGAAGTACGTGTTTTGCCTCTATCGCGCTATCGCGTTCATTCTGAATCCTGGCATTGCAGCTACACTGCCGTCAAGTCGGTGCAGGTCAACTTCGCGAATTAGGCGTGCCGTGGTCGGTAGTCGCCGTCGTGGTCGTGGGAAGAGGCAGCAAAACGCATCATGTGTATCATATCACCGCATCGTGTATATCTTCTGTAGGAGTACCCATGTCTGCCGCGCTACGCTGGCGGTAGTGTACACGTTCTTCTTGAATCTCTCCCGTGTGCAAGCGCAAACCCTTCGACGTGGGATGGTACTTTGGTCAGGCAGCTGCGACTCGCCCCGGACCAGTGGGAGCAATGCGGCTCGCGGAATGGCTGTCCGCGGATTTCGCTATGCTTCCGGTCCGTTGAGACACGCAATTTCGTGTCAGACTTGCTTGCTGGTCGGACCCCAGTGTATCACACTGATGGTTATCACGGCGTGCGGGTGCGAATTCCATGTCCAAGAGTCGCTGCAAAACTGAGCGAAGCAAGATCTCATCTCGCGGATCACATGTTGTTGACTGGCTTTCTGGAATTTGTGGAACTCCTTGCGATTTTGAAAAGCGGGGCGCGGGATAATACGCCTGCGGGATGGCGCGATCCTTCCGGGGTCGAGCTCGTCCTAGCTTCTGGTTTTCTTCCCCCCGCCCCCGCAATTTGCAGGAGAGGGCCAGGCGTGTGGGGACTGGGGTAGGCTATACCGAAGTGATCGAATAATGAACGATCGAGATGGAGATTGTATCGCGGGGGCTAACGCAAATTTGCAAAGTCTATTAGGATCTCTGCGGATCAGATACTCTGAGGGTGCGTCGAGTACTCACGCGGGTGGAGACGGGATGGCAGCGCTGCGTCTCCACAGGCTCGAGCAACCGAGCCCACTCCGGAATGCGTGCTGTGCATGATACGTGTAATCTTCGTGTCGATGCATTCCCCAACGATGGAGAATTTGTCTGATGACTTGGCCGCGATGATCGTCGCAGTTACCCCTCCCCTCTAGCATTGCGTAAGGCTCGATGCGACAGCTCTCTCTGGTGAGCATTCCATTCATTCAGAAAGCCGTCGACGCCCCGGAACACTGACTCAAAGATAGGGCGGGAACGGAATGTGCAGTTCATCCGTTTGCCGTACTATAGTAAGCCCGGAGATGCGTACGTTTATCACTGTGGCTTCGAATCTCAATGCTGTGTCGCCAGATCAAAGATGTCGTATCATAAACACACATTTTAATAGACGTACAAAACTCCTCCCCGCAATTCGCCCGAACTTCACCATCACGGAAGTGATAGGCCGCCAAACCAGTAAATTGGCACAACGTCTCGAGTTCCCAGAAGAGTCAGATTGGCTTCATCCTTTCCTTCCGTGCGACTCTGTGAAATCAATAATCTTCTACGCGGCGTCCGCTAGCGGATGAGTCAAGCAAGGACTGTCGAAACGAGGCTATTGTCAGTGGATGATCTCAGGCGTCCCCACGAAGCCGCCCTGTCCTTGTCATTCAGTATTACAATCCATTCTATTCGTTCACATGCCTGTTTAACTCACATTCTAAGGCGCATTCGCCATCCTTACGCGAAGCATCCTAACCGTCTTGGCCGCGGTGGCATCTCTCCGAGAGGCGCTAGCTGTGCGATTATGGACAGGATAGGTAGAAACGACGCATGGATGGATAGGATGTGCGAGAATGGTGAGATTGGCAGAAAGGACGGCATCCGTAAGAAGTTGGAATTGCACATGCACGATGTCTTCTGGCACCACATATCATGAGTCACTCCTGTGCTATCGTGTTTGCTTATTCCATTGGAACACCTCCGATAGCTTTCATACGTCCATGTCCTCGTGCCCGCTGCAGCAGATCCTGGCAGGCAGTCCTAGATTATAGAGTTCGAACATCGCATTCGTTGCATATTTTCAGTGGGCAACGAATGATTGGTTGCCACCGACTTGAGCGTGGATGACGCGTCGCTGGACGGCGACAAGTCCGGTATTGCGACATAGTACAATGGCATACCCAACGGTCGCGGCATTGGTGTCGCTCCCCATGCGACTGCCAGGATTTCTAGCGTGTAGGTCTCGCGTTCTAACAACGCCAGAAAAGCTTGTACACCGTGTTTCGCGACCAGACGCGCACGTGAAGCGTGACGTGTCACGCATCACAGTCATTCGACTAACTCATCAAAAGAACATTTAATTGTATGCATAATGCCAGAGGAGAAGAGATACAGATACTGTTCTCAGTGTTGCTGCCACATCATCTCTTTCAGTTGCTCCAGCCTGTGGAGATGCAGTGCTTCCATTCTGTCTCTACCTACATGAGTACTCAGCACAACCTTAACTCTGAGCATCTGATTTGCAAAAGAGGAATCCTGAAAAAGTGTTAACATAGAAAAAACCCGAAAAGATTGTGACACTTACAGGTTTCATTTAAGTTGTAGCACTACTCAATCAAGGCCTCCAGCAGAGTGTGTTGAACACCCTGTGGCTACAAGTCAGGTGTTTGAGGCCAACCAGAAGGCATTGTCAGTCCTTATCCTTGAGCAAGTGCAGAAGGTGTTGAACCAATGAGGAATCTCATGGGTCCAACACCCACTACACTGGCTCAAGGGTTAGAAGTGGCAATGCCTCTTGGCTGGCCTCAAACACCTGACTTGTACACACCAATCTCATTGGTCCAACACCATCTGCAACTGGTACTTTGCTCGGAGATCTACAGCTGCCTATGTAGGACTATGTAGGCCCGGCTAGCACTCGGCTAGCCAGGTCCCTACTACATAGTCCTATGTAGGCCTCATAGCCTTGTGCAGTTTCCAGATGACCTGCTACACTTGCTCAAGGGTTAGTCACAATGACACTAACCATCCTACACACCCCTTCCTCTCTCCCTCCCATCATCCACTCACACTTGCATGATGGCCCACAACATTGACATGGGCAAAGGCTCCTCCAGAGGTGGCAAAGACACCCCCTACAACCCCAACCAAAATCCAGAGCAGAAATGTGCCATCTGCAGTGGCTACCACAGCATCATCATCAAGCATGAGCATGCACTCCTACATGTCGCTGGATGGTGACAAGTTCAGCATCGCAACTACAGATAGTACAACAGCATACTTAATGGTCGCGGCATTAGTATTGTTCCCCATGCGGCTCCAGGATTTCTAGCATTGTTCCCCTAGGTCGCGCATTCTAACAACGACAGAAAAGCTTGTACCCCATGTTTCGCGACCAGGTCCATTCCAGACCCGCATACAGCACGTGCGAGCCGCGGGAGATGGATCTCCGACGGTGATGGACAAATCCACGTCTGCCTGTAAGTGTACAAGGACAGACCGATGCCTGAGAATGCACACGTACTAAATGTTTCAGGCCCCTGCACATGAGGCAGCCACTGTACAGATCTCAGCGGGTACCACATAGATCCACCACGTCAACGACTGACTCCAGAGGATTGCGTCCTGTTTCATTCGTGTGAAATGTAGTGTTGACAAGGATGAATTGTGGTACTCCCTTGAGACAATGCCTTTCACATGCTGGAGGAAGTCAAAAAAAGCATTGTTCCCATGCTACATGTCGGGAAGATTTTCAACTTTGCCACCATCAGTGCACGGTCTCCCATATGAGTACAAATGCAGACTTACCAACAATATTTTGTAACACAGCAACGCACGATCTGGCATCTACGAAGTTGTCATGGCCTTCTCGCCTGCATCAGAGATTCGAGTACGGTATGTCAACGATATATTAGTGATTATCCTAGGTATAAGGTCCGTCGAATCTGTAATTATTGCAGATCGCTGGACAAAGCAATATATAGGACAGTATGCTTGGTAGATTTCATCGGCACTACCGCAGTGCGGAACTCTTGCAAGATATGGCCACTGTACTCGGATGTCACGGCATTGTATCAACCACTATAACCGATAATCAGACGAGCAGCATGCACCAGCACTGTAGCTGATGGTGAACCACAATATGTAAGATTCAGCTGAAGCAGTCCTGGCATGTCTATCGGAGTTGTGGTGCTCATCATTGCGGCATTCATGCTGCTGATATACAAATTTTGCCCGTGTTATGCAGGTAGGGCTTTCCTTTAGTGATCAAACAACGCAGAAGTGATGTCAGGCTTGCCGTCCATATGAGAAGAATCGGAAACGAGCCAAATTATCAGTGGCATCCTGAAAGAGAAAAGCTCTCGATCGGCATCCTTCTGTCGACCACTACATACGACGAGCAAAATTATGATTCACTCTGAGTGAATGTATGAATGTTGCAGGCTGCTCAGGTTCCTCAATGCGAGGATGTTCGATAATCGGAAGCACAAATAGGATAGGCCATCAGCACTTACAACGTTCTGCTAGAAGGCCTTAGCAGCCAGGGCAAACTTACGAACTTAGGAGAGAGTTGGAGGTCACTCTACTAATGGTGAAATTCAGTGCTAACCTCCAACTCTTGTTTATTTGGCTAAAACGAGCACTGGACTCTTTTTGGAGAACCTTGCCAATGATTGTCATACCAGAAGGAAGGGTCTCGAACTTACAACAGTGCCGCAGGATAGAATTCTGACAGGATCATACAGCTGATTGATGAGAACGACAGTCGGACCAGCGAATACGTTACAGAGCATCGTTAGAGAACGAACCGGAGCATCTAGGACTGCTCAACACACGCAGCGTCACATCGACCGCCGTTGCCTCTCTCACCGGCTGCTGCCGCTGGCAATTGCAGTGGCCTTCAGTGCCGCTCGCCTCTCTCTGATCTTAGCCAAAGCACTATTCTTCGACACTGGCCTCCGCGCAGTCGAGGAGTTCGGAAACACCTGACTACAGTTAACATCAGGGACAGACCGTCAAAGGGATAGGTCTACATCTGCAGATCATGCCCAACTCACCGGTTCCACCACAACAGAAGTTCGTTGACTTCTTCTTGCTCATCAACATCTTCAAACAAATCAAGAATCGAATTGTAAAAACGCTCGGAGTCGGTGGCTGTGTCTGTCCTGGAAAATACGGGAGATGAAGACAAAGCGAATCGAACCTGTCGCGAAAACAGTGAGAAACACGTCCGAACAAGAGGTGCTCATACCTG